TCTAATTTTCTATGTTGTTTTCTACTGGTACTTTTAGTAGCGACGCACAGCATAGCTTTCCTGGTGCAGATAATACAAACAGTGAATGGACTCTTAGGGATCTGAATGTGACCAGAAAGTTCAACGAATTTCGCGACGATGTCATCAAAAACAGCCATAAATATAACAATCTCGATCAATCCTTCCACCAGCTTTTGTATGACCAAATGTTTATTTTTTCTTCTCTTTGATAACATGCTTTTTTTTCATCATCGATAGGGCGATGTCATCGATCTTCTTCATCCAGCGACGTAACTTTTACAACAATATTCCAGAACACATCATGGATCCACAGATACAACAAAATACACGGACGGCTTTGCTGGATGAGCTTAATTTTCGACGTACCTTGCAACCCAGAGACCACAGGGCGATCAAGGCCATACTGACTGTAAGACGGCTTGCACAAGAGTTGGAAAATGATGGAAAAAGACCTTTTTTTATGATTTTTGACGATTGATTCTGTCTTTTTTTTTGGTGTAGGAATATCGTGATGGCATCAAAGATATACTCGACGTTCGCATTGGCCTCCTTACAATGGCAAAATCCAAACCTGAACCAGAACGAAACGTATTGCTGGCTATTGGGGACCAGCCATGGTTATGATGATTTTAATATGATCTAGTAACCCTAGATGACTTATTAGCTAAGATATATCAGGATAGCCAAATTCATTTTTATTGAAATAATTCATGCATGAATGTCTTGGCATGCATACATTTAAATTTTTGAAAAAAATAAAAATTGAATTTTTTTTAATATAAAAATAATACCACAGAATATAAAGCAAAATATATTTGTTATATTTTTTTTAGCACTCCAACAAAACTACCCCAACGAAAACACACATGGACCAAATGAACCTCCTCACATTTATTGCCATTATGGCTGAATTTATTCCTATTTTAGGAATAACATTGACGCTCTTAATAGAAAGAGCAAAGCATCTTACTGAACATCATCAAGATGTTAGTGAAAAAACAATTGCTGACCAACTAAGGGTCGAACTCGAAAAGGACCTCAAAAAGGCTAACATAACAAAGGAAGTAAGGGACGAGAACCATACTGCAATAATGGGACGGATTAGGGCTTTTGCAAAATTCCTCAAATCCTCAAATCCTCAATTTTCCGATGCAATGTTAGAGGGTAACACCTCTGGTGCAGATTCCTCGCAGGGCGGCAAAGAATTCCGATTCCAAAACACTAAAGGGCTGTTCATATATATTTGTAAGGACTTCCATTTAACAAAAGAACAAATCATGGAATGGTTTATAAAACATGAACGTATTGGTTATCGAATTGAAAAGGCAATTGCATGTGATGAAATTGCACCAGAAACTGGTGAGAAACATGTTCATATATGGATACAAATGAATGAGCAGTTCGACACAAAAACAGCACGTAAATTCTTTACTATCAATGGTGTTACTCTAAATATTAAACCAGGTGGTAATCCACAAAAGTCCATTAGCTACTGTATGAAAGGAAAAGATTATATTTGTTATAATATGGATCCAAATTATGAAGTTAAGACCAGAAAAATGCACCAACAGTTACTTGGATATCAATTAATTACGAAGCAGCTTAATATGCGGAAGGCTACCGAAATATATCCAGAATTGCTATGGAAATATGATACTGTAAAATCAAATTTAAATTCTTACTTTCATGATGCCGATATGGAAAATAACCCTGGAAATAAATTACATATGTGGTCTATGTTTGGGATTGAAACAATGTTTGGTGGTAAAAATAAGATACCACAATACTGGATTGTAGGTCCATCAAATGTAGGTAAGACATATAACATTGATGTATTAGAACAAGGTGGCCATCGAGCATATCTAATGAATAAAGAAAATGATTGGTCAGATTATAAGGATGATGATCATGATTTTATGTATAATGAAGAAACAGGTTCTGATTTCAAATTAACATTTTTAAACCAAATGTTAGAAGGAACACGGTTAAAACTTAATGGCAAATTCACAAAGTCAATAACTAAAAAGAAAAATATGCCAATAATACTGAATAGTAACTATATGCCGCATATGTTATACAAAAACAAATCAGTATATGAGTTAGAGCCAACGCTCAATCGTTTATATATTATCTATGTTGATAAGAACCGTGAAGGTCATATAATATGGAATCCATACACAATGAAGGTGAAGGATTATGAAAATAAATTCATATATTATGAAAACATGGATATGTATGAGGACTTATACAAAGGTGAATTCGAAAACGAATACCAAGATCAGCATACATTTATCCGTTATGCACATAATAGTGGTCAGGATGATATTAAAAAATATACACCGATGGATAAAACAGTAGAGGAACTACAAGAATTAGCTGACACAGAAAGAATATATGAAGGAACAAGAAGAAAAACATAATAGTAATAGTACACAGAACAATAAACAACATAATCCGCCTCAACAAAATAATAGAGGATGGTCAACTGTAAAGGTACCATCATCAGTAGATTGTAGGCATTGGGAAGATGTGTTTAATGATATAAAATGTGATGATGTTGTAAATGATACTACTGATTGGGAAAACCCACCAGAAGATATAGAGAAACATAAATACATAGATGTAAGTACATCTGAATCAGAGAAAAGCAGTGACTGCAACATACCAAATAATATACCAAAACGTAAAAAGAAAAAAAGACACATTAAAAATAAACGGAGAAACAAGCAAATAGTAGAAGAAATACAGCCAAAAGAATATTTTGAAAAGCATAAGGATATAAAACAGGCTATAATAGATGATATAGATATAACAAAAGAAACTGACGTCAAAAATAAATCAACAGATACTAATATAAGTACAAGTATAACTAATGAATGCATAAAACATAAATATAATTGGGCAAGTAAACGAAAAGTTGATGCAGTCAGTTTCAATATGAAATTTTTTAATAAGCAAATAAGTAAGAAATTAATTTAGAGCTGAATACCATGTGTGGCCATATATTCATGTAGCATTTCCCCGGAATTAAACTTATCAACTGTTAACCAACTATTATCCTTTACACTATATCCAACCCACTTAACCTCAAATATGTACTTATTATCAGTATACACATGTCCTACAATCTTCTCAATTTCATATGAATTACTATGTTCTATATTTCTCTGTTCTCTTTGATTTTTTCTCTTGCGTTTAGATGTATTATTTTCAGTTTCGTCCTCACTATCTATAGCCATATCTATTGATTGATTATGATTAATGTTAAGCTGTAGAAATTTCTGCTGCATGTCAACCATTTCGTTATATTCAGTATTTACTTTTTGCTCATTTGAAAATACTAAGTCAAGTTTGCTTTTCTCACTTGGGAATTCAAAATCTTTTCCATACCATAATTTATGATGTGGTTGTACCTCTATATTATACTTATTTACAAATCGCCATATATTAGTAAGAATACAAGCAACACGAAACTGAATATTATAATATCTTATATTGGTTATTTGCAATGCTGCACGATTATTATTAAATCGTTCAAATTTAGAGCCTAACATAGAGAACTGTGCTTCTATTGCTGAACGAAATGATCCAAACTTGTTATTAAAGTATGTCTCATTGATTGTTAACTTTTGTCCTGGTTCTTTTCTTATGGGATGTAAAAAATTACGATCATAAAAACTATATCTAGCATCTGTCGCATTATCTTTAAACTTTTGTATAAATAAGTTATATCCACCATCCATTCCTAAACAATCTGCCTCACTTATTTTTTTATATAGTTTCATATTAATAAACATAGTACCATCATTTCTGATAGCACATTTTTCAGATACTGAAACATGTGTAATTATTTCATTCATATCCTGTATAACTTGTGTACGTACAGCCGGCCCTTTTAATTTATATGAATATAATTGTGAATGTGACTCATTTGGTTTATAATACTTTATTTTACTATCATGTCCATCAATAAATAGTGTAACATTCTTAAAACCCTCTGGATTGTTTATTATTGCTAATAGAATGTGAATACATGGTGATGAGAACATAATATCTAGATCTTGTTTTACCTTTTTATTCAATTCATTATAGTTAGTAATCCAGAACCGCTTATATAAATCATAAAATGTTGCATATGGCATAACAGTATGCATATCCTTTCCTGATACACCTGATACCATATGATATAATAATGCAAGTCCTTTTTCAATCTCGCGGTATGGCCCTAGATATTCAATATTTCCATATAAAACTGTAAGAAAATAAAATACAGGTATAAATCCAAATCTATTAAGTAATACATCCTTTATATCATTTATTGTATTATTCTTCATATCTTTAATAGCTGTTCTATGATTAAATCTATGTTGCATTTCAGGCTAAGATTTATCAAGAAAAGTCCATTTATTATTAATTAAATTTTTAATTTCAATATCGAGTTGTTCAGTGTGTTGTGTTGTGTTCATTTTTATTTGTTGTTATGTACTTTAAACAATCGCTCTTTTTTTTCTCATGGGAGGCTACCAATATAAATAAAAAAATTCAATTTTTATTATTTTTATTGTAAATCAATAATTAATTCGGCCACTGATGGTTATACCGGTCATAGCAATTTTATTATCTATATTACAGCTAGTAGATTATAATTAGTTAGACAACTAATAGCAGGACACCATTGAAGGACTGTAAGTGATCATTTCGAGATTATATTGTTGTTCTTATTCATTGTGTATCAAACGTTTATTGAAGGATTCCTACTCTAAAGGATTTAGACCTCCCTTGCTTGTCATCAGAAAACCATCTTACAGCAGGTTACATCCACCCTGTAATTCAACATTTATTTGCTCATAACCCTTCACATTTTGCCCAATGGTAAGAAAGAATCAAGCTATATGTGAACACCACTTTTAACTTTTTTTATTAGTGCCAACATCCTACCACGATTTGAGTGCGCTGATAAGCGACCGGATTACTTCGTACAGAAATTCGAACACTATCAATATGTGTCAACGTTTTGCTTTGGCGAAATTAAACTTGACACTGCAAACGACATGTCATGTATGAACGATTTTTATCGACTGGCATTGTTTGCAAAGACAGAGATGGATACCAGCTATTTGAACGCCGTGATTTGTTTTCAAACCATCGGTAAGATACCCAAATTTTCATTATGTTTGGCGAGAAAGCTTATAACTGCTGACATGTTTTTTAGGTTTGTCAACCACATTTTATATCATGACAAGGAAACCAAACATGTTGGTCTTTGTCGAATTAGTTACGATTATATTGCCATCCAACAAGCCAAGCATCATGTCCATTTTGGGATACCTCGATGATCTTTATTCTCTTGCGACTCTTCATATGTCATTGGAAAGGACCCGTCAAGTTCCTTTGAAATACCCCACCTTACCATTCGATTACGTCCAATCCAATATCAAAACGTTGCTGCGAAAACGACGTATGTCTCATGGTGCCATTGCATCAACGTCAAAACACTAAATTCCTTGCCTCCCATGCCTTCTACCGATTTTACACCAAGCAAATGCACCATTTATCATTAGTTTGTACTGCTTGGTTCATACATTTTTCATGACAAAAAAATAAAGAAATTGCGTATTCCAAAGAAAAATGATGTATGACAGTTGGTGGACTCCCAACCGTTGCAACCGTTCATGAAAAACGTGAGAAATTTTATAGCATATGTGCCATATGTTACGTTAATCTCATTTACCACATTCTACAATACTTGTTTACAGATGGTATTAATGACAAATAAATTTCTTAACTCGGTTTTCGTGAAATCAAGCGATCCGCCATCCTGAGCTTCATGAACAAGTGAAGTGAATGGCTTTGACCCTTTTGGAGACTGATAAGATTTACTACGACTGGAAAGTAAAATCTCGTGCTTTCGATGAATATGTCGTCTGACATTTTCCATTCACACAAAAATGCCATTCTCGTCACAATACGGACACACTTTCTGCAGTAACATTGAAATTGTCATGCCGATAAACTGAACAAAAAAAAAAGTGTGGGAAGAAAATGAAAAAGTAAGGTGGAGTAAGGTGGAGTAAGGTGAGGAAAGCGGATCGCTAATTGGCTACAGCTTGGAGTAAGGTGGAGTAAGGTGGAGTAAGGTGAGGAAAGCGGATCGCTGATTGGCTACAGCTTGGAGTAAGGTGGAGTAAGGTGAGGAAAGCGGATCGCTAATTAGCTACAGCTTGGAGTAAGGTGGAGTAAGGTGGAGTAAGGTGGAGTAAGGTGAGGAAAGCGGATCGCTGATTGGCTACAGCTTGGAGTAAGGTGGAGTAAGGTGGAGTAAGGTGGAGTAAGGTGAGGCAAGCGGATCGCTGATTGGCTGCAGCTTGGAGTAAGGTGGAGTAAGGTGGAGTAAGGTGAGGAAAGCGGATCGCTGATTGGCTGCAGCTTGGAGTAAGGTGGAGTAAGGTGGAGTAAGGTGAGGAAAGCGGATCGCTGATTGGCTACAGCTTGGAGTAAGGTGGAGTAAGGTGGAGTTAGGTGGAGTAAGGTGGAGTAAGGTGGAGTAAGGTGAGGAAAGCGGATCGCTGATTGGCTACAGCTTGGAGTAAGGTGGAGTAAGGTGGAGTAAGGTGGAGTAAGGTGAGGAAAGCGGATCGCTGATTGGCTACAGCTTGGAGTAAGGTGGAGTAAGGTGGAGTAAGGTGGAGTAAGGTGAGGAAAGCGGATCGCTGATTGGCTACAGCTTGGAGTAAGGTGGAGTAAGGTGGAGTAAGGTGAGGAAAGCGGATCGCTGATTGGCTGCAGCTTGGAGTAAGGTGGAGTAAGGTGGAGTAAGGTGAGGAAAGCGGATCGCTGATTGGCTACAGCTTGGAGTAAGGTGGAGTAAGGTGGAGTTAGGTGGAGTAAGGTGGAGTAAGGTGGAGTAAGGTGGGGAGCAAGATCTTTTTTTTTACACTTCTGTTTTGTCAAAGCTTCATAACCTTTCTTTGTTGAGACATTTACTAAAACATTTAGCAGAATGAGAAACAAATCCTTTGAAATCGCTTAAATAAAGACTATCAATGCCTCGCTGATTCTGGTCATCAAGGATTCTTTTTCCAGAAACTTATTTCTCTTAACTTTACTCTTGACAACAGACCAGAACTGCTCAATTGGATTCAGCTCAGGAGAATACGGAGGAAGATATACATAACGGTATCCTCGGGAGTGAATATACTTTCCAATGTCGGTTGAACTATGAATAGGAGCATTATCCATGACAAGATAATGTCCCTTCATTTCGGGATACTTGTCCATTTCATCAAGAGTTGCCTTTAAAAAGCTCAGATAATGCCCTGTCACTGTTCCTATACTATAACCGTTAGTTTCATGACCAAGCTTCCTCTTTTTGATACGCTTTGGAACTCTCAAGCTAACATTAATTAAGCCGGTGGCAGGTATTGCCCCCAAAATCGATGTTGAATTCGCTTAAGTCGTAGGCACTGTAACTATTGCAGGGGTTCCCTTCCTTGACCAAGCCATACCTCGTTTCAAATTGATATGAAAGGCTGATTCATCAAGAAAGACACAGTTTGTTGTAAAGTCCAAGTCAGTTTGCTGCCACTTTTGGACCCAATCGTACCTCTACTGAATCTTTTCCTCGCTGTTTCTTTCCACAGGCTGGAATTGTGCCTGTTTAATGGATAAATTACACTGAGTTGTCATGAAGTTATAAACAGTACTACGTGAAACGGTGAGATCTGCAAAGTTCTGTAGTAAATGTCCCATTACTTCAGTTAAGACGGCAGAAGGATTCTCATCGATATAGTTTAAAAGACATTGCTCATGCTCCTCGCCAAGAATACGATGCCGACCTGTTTTTTTCTTCTTCTCAAAAAAGCTTTCAGGGTCTTCGTAATAATGTTTGACCCATCTTTGGGCTGTACGAACATGAATACCTAATTGTCTCGCAGCAGCAGAAGCACTCAAGCTTTTACTGAAAAATAGATGAAAGAATCTAGTTTTCTCCTCATCAGAATAAAATGTATAGCGCCGCTTACTGCATAATTCCATATCAACATCTTCACTATTCCTTTCAACTGCAGTTGGATGCATTGCAGGATTAGGTCTTTCTGGAGGTTTATTCTTAAGGAATTGTGTTCGAGAACTAAGCGTCTCGATAGCGAACAACTCCTCGTCAACAACAAGATCCATGGGCTCAACTCCATGCTCATCAACAACATGCCCTTGCCCATCTTCGTAAAAAAATTGTATACTCATTTCGAAATGTCTGTAAAATAAATTGTAAAAGAAAAAAAGAGAACGATAAGAGGGATGGAGGTGTCACTCAATTTATACCCAAATAACAGCCAAGAAATTTTATTGGGTAATTACTAAGCGACAAGTAAAAATAAACGACCTTCGTCACGACTTCATTGCTGGATCAAGCGACTTCATTGTTGCACACGAAGATTTTTTGCACGACGTCAAACTCAAAATCAGCGATATTACTTTTTGAAATGACTGTATATCCGGCAATGATGTGGAGGCTTTATTGCTTTTTAGGCTTTTTTTTCCTTCTTAGATTTTAGATCAAGTCAATAAAAACGCCTAAAAAGGGAGACTACTTTCTCTCTGCAGTATAGGGGGGAGAGGACCTGGTGTAAAACGTCCGTTTTCCAACCAATCATCTTATATATAAACAGCTCCTTCCAGCGGTCCTTGGGCAAAAGTAGCAAGTGTACGTTCTTGAGAGAGCAAATCTACTCATAATGACACTCTTCTATGTATGCTATTTGCAAACATTATTTTCTTTTTATTTGTTTTTTGGTGGTTAGGGCCTAGTAGTTCATGGATGATAACGGACGAAAAAGAAAAGAAAATGCTTTGTTTTTCAACTTTTTTCGTAAGAATGACGAGGTGTTATGATCTGATGACGATCTGTACACGTTGTTCTTGCATGCGTCAGTACAGAATCGTTTTTTGGTTTTTCAGTAGCGTCGCCGTGGTGGTGGCAGCCCTCCTTTAAGAGTCGGTTATTATGATCCCGCTCCCAATCACGCCAGTCGTGGAATCGGCCCAAATATGCAATGTGTGGGCGAGGCCGAGTGCCGAACAAGTGATCCACATGGTTCGAACAAAGAAGAGATATCAGGATAATCAGGATATGCACCGGAATGAGACAGAACGTTGTCGTGTAGGTTTTTACCAAGAAATAGTGCTCAAAGAGGTAGAACTTGTAGTCGCAGCCCGGTAGCAGCGACTCTGGCCAGCATCGGTCGTAGTAGGTCGCATGATCATGTGGGTTATCGAAACCACAACAATGTAGCTTATAAAGTGATATGGGAAGGAGGGGAAGATCACAATGGATAAGGGGAGAGAAATATGCACTGTGAGTCTATAATAGCACCACATATGTTTTTGCTTTTTTTTTGCTCAGATGAAAGGGTCTTTTTAGTAAGGGCCCTTATAAGAGTAACTTACATTATCTTGCAGAGCGACCTGATCCTGTGGGGAAAAGTCATATCGCCACTGCATGCCGAGCTTGGCCCTAAGGTTCCAGACATCGCCCTTGTACGAAAGATACCCGACCGCAGACAGGAGTGCAAAGCAGGGCCACAGCAGGAGTACGTAGATTCCCAGTATGCGGCGATCTTTCCATCGCACCCCGACTAGACCGACAATCGATGTAACTACAGCCAGCATTGCGGCCGTAAAGGTTACAGCCAGGATATCTCGATTGGCAACAACGATTACAATTGCGCGTTGGTATCCTTATTCAAGATATATATAATCCATCAGCACTTTTTTCTCTTGGTACTACTACTTTGTTCAGCTTGTGCTTATTACCTTTAGCATACGTTATAAGGCAGCCGATGACGAAAAAGAGTCCATAAAGTAGTAACTACATGCATGTAAATAATACGATTGTTATAATAAAAGAGAATCAATGATGATACAAGTACTCTTACCACCACGTTGGAGAAGAGAAGCAGCCACCGTGCTAATGTCCATCCGAAAATGCGACGTGGTTCACGACGAATGTCCGGTCGACCGAACGATCGTAAATGCATACTGTGTTGGTGTTGTGCAAGGTATTTTTCTTTGTCGTCGTCGTCGTCATCCTGTGGTAGTACGTTGGGCTGTCCGTTGCAACTCGCAACCGTACTCGTCGTCGCTGTTGAATGGTCGTTGTCAGCTACTGCCGATGTGTCATCGCCACCCGATGCTTTTTGGATATCGACTGGGATGACTTCATCGATACTATGGGGTAAAGTGGTTGTGCTTTACAGATTTAGTTTCTATTTTTGGGCATTCTAGGGAGCATCTGTTGCTGCTGCATGATAGATAAGGCTATACCTAGTGTCGTGATTATTGTGATGAGGATCCATAGCTCTCAGTGCACACGGGACCCGTGGGTGATATATATAGTAAAGAGAAAGAGAGAAAGAGAGAAAGAGAGAGTGAGAGTGAAAGTGAAAGAAAGGTTCCAGGAATAAACTCGAGCCCAAAATGTTTGGTCGATCAAATATTGGATTACCAAACTTTGAGCTAGAAAAAAGAATACACCTCGTCGAAATTAAGCAATTTTTTGTTTAAAACACAAACAGTAATTGCAAAAGCGACGAGCTGCAAGTTTAAAAAGAATTAGGGGGAGGCTTACTGCGGGGTAAGAATTGCGGATCGGCATTATAGAGACTACGCTTTTATTTCTACAAGACATATTGAGTTTGTTGTTTGTTATATAGGTTATTAAATGTTTGTGTGTTCTCAACAAGATAAGCGTTGTTAATGTTTGTTGTTGTTGCTACTCATGTTGTTTAATAGAGATAGAGAAAGAGAGAGAAGATGGCAAAAACTCTCAGAGCGAGTGAGTGGATGACAGAGGATGGGTGGGTGGAAGGATGGATGGATGGATGGAATGACACTAGAGAGAGAGAGAGGGAATAAGAGAGTGAAATAGATGTGAGAAACAAATCAAGAAAGCAGAGAGAGAGAGAGAGAGAGGGAGCAGAAGGATAAACAAAACGCGTAAAATAATGGTGTTGGGTGGCTAGTAGTAAAGAAAAAGAAGTATAAGGGGAAGGAAAAACAGATGGAGACAGATAGAGATAGAGATAGAGATAGAGAAAGAGCGCGCTATGCGGCCATGACGTTCTTGATGTTTTTAGGTGTTGAATCGTCGTTGAGATGTTTTGAGTTATACCGCAGAGCCGACATCAGATTGGACGTGCTTGACTTATCTGCTGACGGGACTTGCACATTGCTTTGGATTATTTTTACAGAATGTTTGATCTAGTGAACACGTCCCCAGTTAATATCCACACAGTACAGTCTAGCATGAGCAAATGAACTTACATTGATAGGTGAGTTTTTGGCAAAGGCACCATGTGAGTCGATGTGGTCATACAAGATGATGGATACCACCATGACCTTGAGGAAAAACGTGGACACTTGCTGCTGTTGTTGCTGCTGCTGCGACTTTGCACCCTTCTTGTTGACGGTGTGGTAGCACGTTGACCACAATGCTGCCAGACAATCACTGACGCTTTTCTGTAGTCGGTTTTTCGTGACAAAGTCAGTGGTTGTGTCGATCACGCGTTTCAGCATGGGCGTTGGATAGGCAATGAATAGTGATATCCGGTTTGCTTGGTCATCTTCTAGCATGGCGCTTCGTAGATCCGATACAGATTCGTCGCTTCCCCGTCCGTATCGACCTCGTTGCAGCATGCGTCGATAGTACGAAAAGTCATTCTGCAGTGTCGGATTGCGCATCTATCAATAAGAGCCATTACTTAAATTTTTTTTTCCTTAAATGTATCCTGTATTTTTTTGTTGTGGCCATGATTATAAAAGTCTAACCTTCCAATAGTCGAACTCAAAGACAAAATCCAGTATATCGGCAAACAGTTTTGTTAATCCCTGATGTTTTTCGAGGTTTTTGTTGACATCTCCTTGACACAGCACGCTTAATAACCGTGGCAGATTCTCCTCTGAAAAAATAAAGTTAGGGTTGGATGGGTTGTGGAAAGAAACTTAAAAGCGACTTAAAGGTCAAGAAAAAAAAAACTTACCCAACTCAGAGGCATACTCGTAAAAGTCGCGTAGCATGTCGACAGTAGGCAACACGCCATCCCAGGCCTTGTCTTCGTTCTCTGGTGTGGGAGAAGCGATTGCATCTCGTATTAAATCGGACGCAGATCGATAGTTTTTCAGTGATCCGAGTAAGGCTGGGGCGGGTTGAACCAAGAATGCTGCAAGTTGGTCGTACAAGTCCGCTTCTTCTGGCGACGGTTTCGCATCTTTTTTGAAAATTAGGAGCGGCGCGTTTAAAATTATGGATTATTATTATTAGGCGACAAGAGGAGAGAGAGAGAGAGAGAGGGGGGGGGGGGAAGAGAGCAGCAAAGAAAAGAATAGAGATTTTCCTTGATTTAATATTAAATTTCTTTCTTTTCTGTCAAACTTACTTTCTATATCAAAGCCTAGATCAGGAACCATCGTATCGCCACTTCGAATGTTTAAACTTGAAAGTATCTGGCCCATCGTTTGAGAATATTATGTGTCGTCCAATTATTGTGTGTGTGTGTGTGTGTGTGAGATTCAATTGTATATATTCGGGTCAAAGTAAAAATTCTATGCTCGTATTGGTTAGGCTCAAAAAATACATGTGTTGTTTTTTTTTCTTTTTAAAAAACATTTGGAGAAAGAAGCTTACACGTTGTTTGTATGTGTATACTGCGATCGAAAAGAGAGAGAGGAAGGGTGGGTTGGGAGCGATTTGCAAAGGTAGTCAGGATTTTCAAAAGCGCGGGAACTGATTAAACCGGAAACAATAGGGAGAGATTGAGAGATTATTCGAATAAGAGAAATATGGAGATGGATGGTTTGATGTCAATTGGGAAAGTATAATGGAGAGCGAGATTTCGAAAGAACAAGAAAAGCGAGCAAGGTGCCGGAGTGTACACACACAGAGAGAGAGAGAGAGGGAGCAAGGGATGTCGGTTTTGATTTATGAATGTCCGGAAATGGGGGTGGTGCTCTTGAATTGAAAAGGAAGGAAAGTGAATGATGAGAGGGTCAAGTAAAAAAAGATTGCGATTGAAAAGAAGAAAGAGAGGGAAAATAAGAAAAAAGAGGGGAGCGAGGTTAAAAAAAAAAAGAGAGAGCACTCTTGCTTGCTTCGTGCGTGTTACCCTGCCAAAGATTCACACTTGTAGCATCACTGAAAACATCCGCAACGGCGCCCTTTACAATTGACAAAAAAAGAAGCACTCAATTTGTCGCGTGGCCGCGCGCACATGCCCTGCACAGATTAGCCAAGAAAGAAGAAGAATGTATTATGCTACCTGTAAGGGAGAGGGAGTGTTTTAGAGAGATACTAGAAAAGAAGCTCTGTTGTTTAGGTAAGACAAAGGCATACTACTACTACTACTAGTGCTGCTACTACTACTCTTATACTGCTATGGTAATGATATAACAAAAGGAAAGGGAGCAAGAGGGGAGGAGGTGTATACATAGAAAGGGAGGAATCTTTTTAACTCGTTTTCACATGGTTATGGACTCTCAGTCTCGTCTCTTGTACTTCTTGACTTAATCAGCATAGCCGCCTCTTTTTCTTTCTAGCTAGTGCTGCCTTGTGTGATGCACTGCCTTGGAGTTAAAGGCTGGTAACAACAACACTCTCCTTGCTGATAATCCACGATTTGCGTTATCTCTCGCGTCCCTTGTTCTTCGCTATTAACACGAGAGAGAGAGAGAGAGAGAGAGAGCGGGAAAAGAAAAAATAACAACATGCACAATACACTTTGAAAAGAACAGCTGCACGCACGAGGTACATGAATAGAAACTGTTTACCTTATAAGATTGTCTAGCCCTGGCCTGTGTTTCTATGAACTATAGTATTCTCCTCCCTCCCCTCCTTCTCCACGCGCCCGACCACTTTTTCCAAGCCTTTCTATTATTACAGGAGGACGAAGCGAAAAGAGAAACTGTGGGGTTACCATTTCTTAACAACAGCCCGAGCAAAGTAATAACAATATATCCCGCGTGTGAATGGGCAGCTTCGATCCAAGGAAAATGCATCTCATACTTCCTTCAAAACAACAAAAAAAGAGCATGTAAGAGATGATAGACAGAGACAAATTCTTCAAAGATGGCAATGAATGCTACATTATGCATAATTACGTCGTTTTATTATTATTACTGTCTTTTCACTATCGTCTGGATTCTGACTTTTTTTTTTACCAATGATGCGTGGTTCTTGTGAATGAACTTGGTATATAAAGCTAAATATATATAGATGGCAACAACAAGAGAGTTTTACCGCATTATCATATGCATATGCATGATCTTTATATAAATTTGCAGCACATCAGTTAGAGGTTGTACAACAACAAACTCGCTCATTTCTACATGCATAAGCCTAATTGTCATCAATTTGTATCAACTTTATCTTTTTTTTGATGTGTGACTTGTCGGTATGAGGTATGATTGATATTCAATGTGCAAAGACCAACAATGCAGCGTTCGCTTTGATACGAAGGTTTTTTGGACAAGAGGCATATAACTACACCTCCTCGTTAATATTTACTACTACCCTCGGGAAATTAGAAACCAATTAACACTTATTACAAAGTAATAACAAGAACAGCATGAACGTATTAGCTTTGACCCAAGAGTACGTATTCGTTTGGTCATGTTGCTTATTAGTATGGCCATATGCTTTTAACTATACTTGAAGTGGTGTCTCTCTCTACGTATTGGTTACACGAGAGCCCTTCGGTTAAACAAAGATCGCCTTCATACTCTATGATTAGCGGACTTTTTTTCGTTGTGGCCCTACTAATTACATAAAATATGCTTCCTTTTTGCTGTGGCACATTTCCCATTTTGAGTAAAAGAACGTGCTTCTTCTCGGAAAGAGAGGGAACCCCAATTTCTTTATAAAAATAGTAGCATTCTCTTTTTGTTGGTCAGTAGATAGATATATATATATATATATAATTAGAGCACGTCTGTGTGCTTTTTTTTACTTCCTCAATTCGTAACTGCGTCCCTATAAAATAAGAGTGACGAACAGCTTTGTTGTTTGGTCATAAGTTGTAGTGCACTCCAGCTATAAATAGTTGAAATGAAATAATTGATGGGCAGGGCCGTCAAGACCAAAAGATAAAGGATATTCATAATGGTCAAGACTAACTTGTATATACGATACACTTTACAAATGAGCCTCATAGAATGTCGCAAAAGACATGGGCGTGACAAGGTAAAGTAGAAAAGCGCACGCGTTTTCATTTTCAACGCATAGCTTCTTGATTCGAATGATCTTGCAGCTATATTTGGGAAGGTACTCGCCAAAAAAAAAAAAAAGTGTTGACAGGTAAAAACATTAGCAAAGATCCATGAAGAAGGCGTTTTCTATGCCATATCGTTCAACTGAGGCTTTTCTTTGACATGCAACGTTACAGCATACTCTTCCGTTTCCATAGCAACGCATATTTTGTTGTTGCTCAACAACTGCTACCATAGTAACGCAATCAGTCAAGTGTGACATTTAAATATTCTACTTTTTGCTACGACACACGTCTCAACTCAAATGTACTTTTGTTTCTCGAGAATATATACCAGCAATTCGATTCTCGAATAGTTTATCTTGAGTGCGTCGGTCATTAAGTGCATTTCATACTTCAGTAACACAACAGATTTTGTAGCTATTAAAAGTGCTTATATAACATGTATAGAAGCTCGGTACATCTGTGTATTACAAACCTGCTAGTGTTGGAGATATCATAAAAGGCAATCTATGTCACGACGTGACATACATGCAGAGCTGTATTAACATGATCATTCACAGCAATCAGTACGTGCAGGCAATCACTTGCATAAACGGAAATATCACCATTGAAAAGCTCCATCCACTAACAACAATCCGGATCCTGCTGCATCTGTATGCATGCGCGATGAGCAATACTTTGTAAGCCGAAAAGAAAAATTTTTCAATGTAAAAAACTATCATTTTGTATTTAGGAATTGTTCGACAAAGAAGAGTTAATGTATGCAGCTCGGTCATTGTGTAGAATAGAACGTTTATGCCTTTTTAGGAACTAAATGGTATAGACGGCAAGAAATATATCGTACGAGTTGCTTTGCAAAGTGTACTGAGAGACACACACACTCGTCAGGAAAAGTAGGTGGAGGGTGATGTGAAATTATCGACATTATATACAACTTGAACAAAAAACATAAGAAAGAGATAACATGCTATAAGATTTATCATCTAGTACTGCAATATGACAGAGGAAGCATGCGGCTTTCTAGATGCGTACACTTTGTTATTTCACATGCTGTAGCAAAATGTCCTTTTCCCCCTTTCTTTCCATGATGATTCGGCTAACATGACAAGGACGATTATGTCTGGTGAATAACAGTGATTCGATTTATATGTCTGATATGTTGTTAAATGCATGATAGCCGGCAGTGTGCGCATATTGGGTTAAGTAGGCCATGATAGTTACTTCAAGAAGCCTTGGCAGATCTTTTCTTTTGCTTATTACTATGCTATTGATCACATGCCAATGCACCAGCAGTATGTAGTTCTGAACTTTTTATGACAAACGTCCCGTACCATAGCATCAACAACTGCATAAGGTATGCATAAACCTATAATTAAGCTGCATCACGACAGTGTTTCAAACATCTGTCATGAGGAAATATGAAACAACAAGGTGGCGCATCGTTTCTTTGATTTCTGAAAGGAAAATGTCGAATTTAATAACGACACTTTGCGTGGTGATATACTGATGACAGTGATATATCTCGGTGGCTGATCACCGAGCTCGCCCTGCTTTAGACACAGCTGAGGTCTCAGAAACATGCATTCTACATTCGAGTTATACGGTTTGTTCAAATTACAGGGTCGGTATTATGACTAGACGTTGTATCTACAGAAATAGAGGAATCTACCAAGAGCAAATAAATTCTTGATTTGGTGATAAAAGATTAGTACTGTACATAGCAAACAGCCGTATTTGCCGCAGTCCCCTTTTTGCTACTATACTTTGATGTGGTGCCATGCATATGTCAATGACTCATTTTGCTGGCAAAATGGAGGATAGTGATACATATTAAACCAAAAAAGAAGCTTATAATACATAAACGGATGATCATGCCCATCAGCAACAAACAAAAAACGGTCTTTTTTATCAACATTGTTACCATATGATGACAGAAAGAACGAAATATTAAGACGCCTCATAATATGTCTGTTTCTCATAACAAATGACATACATGTCCGATTTGAGACATGATTTTTAATGCCTGATGTCTTACTGCTGAGTATATGTTTCGTGTATGTTTCAGAGCATATCACAGGCTGCATTATTAAAAGTTGCGCAGCTGTCAGAGTTTTCTATTAACGTCTGTTAGTGAATACTGTTACGTATAAAAGTATGTATTTGCAGCATAACAAGTGTCGATCATGATCTTTTCTCGACAACAACACCTGTCAAATCGCTGTGTTGTGTGGTGCCTGGTTTTTGCTAACATTGTATATTCAAAACGATAAAAGTTTGACCCCTTATTCATAAATCTACTTCTTTATTGCGATATGTATCATACTTTAACATTACTACTTGTACTGACGCCGATCTTTTCAGTACTTATGCTGCAATCAAAGTGGCAGGATTTTGTGCTTTTCCTAAAATAGATGAATAGCAGAGTGGAAAGAATGCATGATTTTATGCTGTTTGCTCCATAAAATAATAATAGTCCTTGCACGTTGCGTTGCCTTTTCTTCTCCTTGTTCCGTCTCCCGGAATGTGGCAGTTTACTGGTATTGGTTAAGTCATAAAGTATGCCTTGTTATTTGTAGCAGAGGAAGCAAGAAAAAGCGATATACATATTTCTTATATACGCACCACAGTCAAGCAGAGGCTGCTCGTTATGTTACTGCTGTTGTTACTGCCATGCAAAGATAGTTGAAACTTAAAAAACCCTTTAGTCGATTCAACAGAGTGTGTGTAACCTGTATAGTACCTCGAAAAGCCAACCTGATTTTCTGGTATAGCATAATCTATAAAGTAATAGCCTTTATGTGATACTGCAATGAACCTGTTTAAATTAATTTGATGCAATATTTATTAACCGCTCCACCGCGAAAAAATCTTCTTGCAAATTCTTCTTGTACCTGAGCACAAAACAACAACATATTACACATATCAGAACAAATGGTAGTAGAACAGATGAGAAGGTTTCCGATCCTTCCGCCAAACATGGTTCCTAATTCGTCGGGGAGGAGAACGGCGACGACAAACGACGAAACATCTTGTTACTTTAGGAAGCAAGACCTATTTTGCACGCATGCAATGGATGTACAGAACAATTGCAAAAGAGTCAGGAGAGTTTCTTGTTCCTCCCCCCTCCCCCTCTTCCACCCCCCAAAAAAGAGGTACTCCTCATGATGTTGCATACGGCAAAGAAATTATAGTGTCTCTGATGATATGATGATATAATGAAACAGGCAATTAGTCCAAAGGGCAAGTCCACATATTAGTTTCAACAAGAAAAGGGCTGTTGCAAATTATGTGTGTGTGTGTGTGTGTGTGTTGGGTTTTGCTTAAACGTCACATGAAAAAAAGCGAGAACGAAAAGAAAATTAGGCTGTGCTGATTCCAAATTGAATTTGTTACCTCACTCTTTTCCTTCCCCTCTTATTTTATTTTGTTGCACTGTAGCTGTGTGCGTGTGTATGTGTTCTCTCAAACATTCTGTCAGAAGTTCGACCGTCGCATGCACACGCTCACACTCAGTAATCATTGATCATTGAACGCGCGCATTCCTTCACTAGCTCCACCATTTTTCTTACCTTTTTATACGCCCATCACAACAAACAACAATAATATTACATTTATAGTCTTGCAATTACTTTTTTTTTTTTTAAAAAAACACACAATTTTAATTCCCAAGCAACAACAACAACAACAACTTCTTTTGTTCCCTCTCTCACACTCTCAATCACTCACATAGCAACAAATCACGACACACACTACAACAATGAGCTCGCCTCCCCCAAAACATTCCTTATCCTCTCCAACTAATAGCGGCAACCAAACACCGGTGCTGCCCACGCCATCTTGCTCATCGTCGGCATCCGAGGTACACAACCAACTCAGACGTGAACTCGAGCAACAAATAGCAGAAAAGGAAAAGCAACTGCAAGATTCTAGCAGCGGGATCGGAAAAGGCGTGCTGAATCGACAAATCAAGCAGCTTAAAGAGCGTCTCCAGGAGATGGATCGACGGCAGAAACAAGCAACACAGGCACAGCCAACGGCATCATCTTCCTTGTCGCCAAGGCAACAGCTGCTAGGCACTGCGTCACCGTCGTCCTCAGCAACGAAACGATCACAGTCGCCAGCCTCGGCTTCAGGCGATGATGATCTATCCCCTGCCACGCTTGAAAAGCTACGCAACCTTGAACGCGACCTGGGCTCCTATCGGGGCTACCAGCAACTGTCACCTAATTTAAGCGGCCATCGGAAAGACAAAGTAAGAAGAAGAAGATGAAGAAGAAGAGAGCCTTTTGTTTAATTTTCCTTTGAGGGTGGGATGCCCTCACCAACCAACCCCACCCCTTTTATTGTGGACGCACCTGTCTGCGATGTGTCTGGATTGGATGCGTATGGTGCCTTTTTTTTCTTTTGCTTCTTCCTTTCTTCTTTGGTTATTCAACTTTCTCCATTTCTTTGGGTGGGAACTTTTTCCTTCCTTTGTATTATATTTTGTATAGCTGCTAGGTCAACGGACAGGTCTCGATCCATTACCGAGTCCCTCGACTTCGACGATGCTTCCTCCCCCGCAAGGCCATGACTCGACTTCGCTCCTGCCACTACCACCCCCGCCCACCGGCTCAACGCCCACGAAACGACGATCCAAAGTGCCTAATGCCGATCGACGCAACACCGATATCGAGTTTGCAACAGAAATCGGCCAGGGCCTGCTGATCGAAGTGCGGAAGATGCAGGCTCTTCTCCAGGAAAAAGACGATCAGCTCAAAGCTCTCCAGGCACAAAAGGCTGACTTGGAGCGAGCTGCTGAATCCATGGCAAAACAACTTCGCCAAAAGGAAGAAAACGAAGGTAAGACATTGTTTCCATCTCTCAATTCACTATTGTCCATGGACACACACAAAAAAAAAGGGAAAACCCAACCTTTTCTCCATGCCTGCTTGCTTTTATGGGGAGGGGGGTTACTTATTCCATTACGTAAAAAATAGAAAAACTCAAGGAGGAGACGTGGAACCTTGAGCTTGCCAAACAGGAGTTGACCATCAGTGTCACTGAGCTGCAGCAGAATCTCAACAAAGCTAACGCTGAGCAGAAGCGGATGCAAGAGCACATGGATGAGCTGACAACCGAAATCGAGCACATGCGCGACCGCGAAGAAAAGTTATCCGCTACACTCGAGGCCATGAAGCAGCGGCACGAACAAGACATGGGCACCATCCGACGACACTCGGCTGGGCTTCAGCGGGAAAAGACAGATCACATCAAGCAGATTGAGGCGCTATCCTCTGAGCTGGCTATTGCCAAGGCACAGAGCAAAATTGCGAAACGGAGTCATTCAGACCTACGGCCAGCTGCAGCAGCAGAGAAAGGCGAGGAGAAGGCAGAAAGCGCAACGACACCTGCAAAGGAGGGAACTACTCCGGGAAGCTCACCGCCTCCCTCTCCAAAGCAGACGCCCACGCGGAATCAACAGCTCGAGGTCGAAACGCTGAAAACGTCGCTTGCTCATGCGCATCGTATGGTGAACAACCTGAGATCAAACCTGCATAGGGAAAAAACAGAAAAGTTCGAGCTCAAGAAACTCTTGACAGAGTCCCAAGAGACGATCGAACAGCTGCAGAACGATCCGCGACTGTGGGTCGACGCCGGCTATCCCAAATCAGGGACTGGCTCAAACAATGCACCCGACTCGACTGGATCCACCAGCACACGTCGACTTCGCAAGGGCAAGCGGCGCGTACCTGTATCAAAAACTCGCGTTGCTCGAATACCCAAGGGCGGCGAGTCTTTGGACGATTCATCAGACGTCGAGGAACGCCGCAAACGAAAAGACTCACAGCAGTTGTACTATTCATCCCAAGGCGAATCAGAAGAGGACGACGACGACGACGAATATTACGAAGACGCCGATGAAGAACCCTCTGGAACCACTGCAGGGTTCACGTCACTTGATTCCGAACTTTCAAAAAGCCAACAGAAGCAGCAGCAGCAAAAGCGCCCTCCAACTGTCTCCGTTGAACCTCCTACTCCGGTGGCAGATAATGCACCTCGAACTCTGGGCGATGAATTGAGCGCTGCATTTGCAGGTCCCGACACCGCAGACACTGAACCTCGTGCTACTGGCTCCGATGCAGGCGTGCAAACAGAAGACACTTCCGCTAATACCACTGCCGCTGCTGCTGTCGCTGCTGCTGGCATTGCTGGTATTGCTGCCGTCGCAGATGCTGACACTCCTGCCGCCGTCTTCCACGAGATTGCTATCCAGACAGACCCAGCAGACTTCCAAGAGTTCAGTATGCCCGCCACAGACATTGCTCCTGTCACTGTTCATGACCAAGAAGTGCAGTGTGTTGGCCCCGCTATCGTTCATGCGGAGACGCAATGTGTGCAACCCGAATATATCGAGCACGGTATCCAGTCAGAACCTGCTGCTGCTGCTGCTGTAGACGCAAGTGCACAGTATGAGCCAGCTGCAACGCATGACCAAGGCGTACAGCACGAGTTTGCCGGTGGCATCGACCAATTCACACAATCGGATGTCGCAGATGCAGTCAATGCAGGCGTGCAAAGTGAAACCGCATCCATATCCGATGCGTTCTGCCAATCTGAACCCGAACCTGTCAAGGAAACAAACGACGTTTCCGTGCAGTCTGAACCTGAGCCTGTCAAAGGTACGAGCGACGTTTCGGTGCAGTCTGAACCTGAGCCTGTCAAGGACACGAGCGACATGTCGGTCCAGTCTGAACCTGAGCCTGTCAAGGACACGAGCGACATGTCGGTCCAGTCTGAACCTGAGCCTGTCAAGGACACAAACGATGTCTCTGTACAGTCTGAACCTGAGCTTGTCAAGGAAACAAATGATGTCTCGGTGCAGTCAGACGTGCCCGTTGCCAAGGAAATCTCAGTGCAGTCCGAGCCGCCTGTTACCAAGGATATGTTTGTGCAACACGAAAACGACTTGGACGAAGGTGTAGATGTTGCCGTTCAAACAGAGTTTGAATCCCCATCGTCATCATCCGCTGCTGGAGCCGGAGCACTTGCCGCAGGTGGCGCTCTTGGTGGCCTGGGCGCATTGGCTGCCAAGGCATTTGGCGGCTGGGGCAATAGCGATGATGCAAAAGAATCAGCCAAAGACAACCGCACAGACGAGGGTGATGATGACGACAAACAGACATCCTCTGGCGCAGCAGAAAAGTCCTCAACTACTCTCGAAGATGTATCCAAATCAAAATCGCCTGAAGAAACTTCTCGCGGTGTGAAGGATGCAGTAGTAGCAGGTGGCATAATTAATGCAGCCACTCCCGTCGAGGGTGATGCTCAACGACTTGCCAATGGTTCCACGAATGAAGGACAGTGCGATGCCAACAACTTGAACGATGCCATCGAAAACAAGCAGGCAGCCGTTATTGATCTGAACGAGCAAGCTGATAGGGCAAGCGAGGAGGCATCCACCAAACCAGCAACGAAAGCAGCAGCAGCAGCAGCAGCAGCAGCAGCAGTGGCTGGTGGTGGTGGTGCTGCAACGGGTGCTGCAAGTGCTACGGTCGCGGATGCTACGGCAGGCATTGCCACGGATGACTCAAAGACATCCCCTGCAGATTCGGCCACGGACTTGCACAAGCTTGATGACCACAACGACGATGATAGCAAGATGTTCACAAAGGAAGAGACCGATGCCATGATTGAAGCTGCAGTAGCCGCTGCCGTGACCAAGTCACAGCAACAGCAAGCGACCGACGGCGATCAATGGTCAGTCGAAAACTCCAAACGCCACACTGATGGTTCAGCAGCGACCAGCAATACCATCGCGACAAAACCCAGCCTTGCTGATCTTGCTGGCCGTGATAGTATCAGCAGTCGACATGACACCCGCGACATACCTGCACGGCCAACCAGTCCACCGCCAGCTCACTTATTGTCGCGTGTTGGACAGGGTTCCACCATCAGCTCATCTCACCGATCCAGCATTGGGTCCATCAGCACAGCAGATAAAGGGAAAACGCCGGCACGCTCTCAAATGTTGCGCAACATCCAGCATAACCACCACCAGCAGCAGCATCAACGACCGCCATCCAGCTTGTCTAGTATGTCTGCATCAGAGCCCCGTGTATCGATTGCCTCTTCACCTTATGCTACATCGCTGCGGACGGAAGGCGATCCTGCTCATATCGGCTTGATCACACAGACCATGATCGGCGACTGGCTATGGAAATACACTCGCAAAACGGTCGGTGGTGCATTGTCGGATCATCGTCACAAGCGATACTTTTGGATCCATCCATATACCCGCACCCTGTACTGGAGCACCAGAGCTCCTGGAAGCCATGGTGACGAAAGCAAGGCCAAGAGTGGTAAGTCCCGATCAATGAAAAAGAAAAGGTTGGAAAGTTGAACAAATGCACTGATAACGATCGGGTGGGAATGAATAGCTCGAATCGAAGGTGTCTCGGCTGTTCCAGATCATAATCATCCGCCATCACCGGACGTGCCAAACATGAGCTTGCTTATCCAAACAGCGAACCGCGTAATTAAACTTACAGCTCCCAACATGGATCGTCATAATGTATGGTACGAAGCACTGTCATATCTTGTTTCACGCCCTGGCGGCAATGTCGGCACCGAAAAGTCATCACAGCCAAAGGATGCGGCATCCTCCAACGGTGGCGCGCGAGGCCTCGTGCGCAAGCCTAGCATTCAGCGTGTACAGAACCTGTTCCGATCAGGATCCAAAACCGAAATTTCAGCAACTACTGCAGAGTCCGCATTATCCAATCGCGCCCATACTCACGATCACGACCACGACGATGATTATGACACTGAAGACGAGGCGCTAGAAGATGTACGCATGTGCTGTGACGGTAAACACCATGTTTCCAAGCTGGAGCGCGATCATGTTGATCATCGACCGTATTACCGCAAGATCCGTTCCCTGCGATCCCCACATCCTGGAGAGCAGCATGAGCATCATCAACCACAGCCGCAACCTCAACCCCAACAAGTGAACTAAACACACACCCGCAGCACGCCAATTGAATCGACGTAAATTTTATCCATTTTCTCTAACTCTTCCCATTCCTTTTATTTCAACTCCTTATCCTATCCTCCCTCTCCAAAAGGGGCTTTAGACTCGGACCCTTCTTATTCCTTCTTCCCTTCGCACACCACCCCACCCCCCTTTTGATTATATTCCCTTGCACAACACTGCAAAATTCTTCAATTCACTTTTTACTCGCACTATCAATACTCACACACAGCACTACATTCATTCATTAATTCATTTTCTCTTTCTTACACGCATCTTGCAAGACTTTTTTTTATACTCTGTTTTCCATTTTCTTTCAAAAATTTCCTCTTTTTTCCTCACATTTTGACGTTGATTCATGCACTTTAACTTATAGTACGAAAAATCCAGTTACAAAAAAATAAAAATAATCAATGTTACATAGTAAACGCAATAATAATCTTACACGCTCGTTGCGCTATATGTACTAAGGTGCTGTTAATGGCTTCGCAATCTGCGTGACAAACATCTAAATGGAGAGAGAGAGAGAGAGAGCTCTAACTGCAAAGGTAGCACCCTATGGCAACAGACAGTATGAATTACAGTATGCTGGCTACAATCAATGATTCGTTGATACTGTACAAAACGGCATATTGGGTATGTCATAATGCGTTTGTCTAAAAGGACTACATATGTATACGGTGACTACTGTACGTTTAATTTTTTAAATCGTTTGCTGAAGTTAATGAGAAGTTCGCCATTATCGGATGATTACTATATTGAGTAGCGAGTGAATCGCTGTACGCGTCCATTATTTGGCTGACTAGATGCTACTAAACAACACTATTTGATCTTATGATACAGCGTAGACATCTTTCAGTAAGACTGAACAACGATCGATATATCAATGCCACAATTCAGGAACTTTGTGTATCTCTCGAACGAACAGCGCAAATCCTGCTTAACAGCAGTTATTAGCCAACGCAACGCGATGATGGTAGCTGGGTCTGTTTAGGGCTGCCAAATCTTTTGTGGGTGTTAAAATAGCATAATGTAGCTGCTTACTGTGGTACAATGATGTAGATGAAGTATGCTACGTACATTACGTACATGATAACTGTGAGCATTCAAATAACCGTCATGGATAGCACAACGGAAGTAGCACCTCAAACTTATCATGAACCATCAAATCAAAAGCGTAGTTTTTGGGTAAAAAGGTGAAAATATAGGACTGTATTATAAATAAAGGTAAAAATAAATAAAGTGCATCTGTACAAAATTAAAAAGAACAATTATATCGAGATATTGTAATGAAAAGTGGAACAGGTAATAGAAATAAGCGTGGGTGAGAGTAGGGAGAAAGGTGTGACGGAAGGGGTGGGGGACGAAGAGGATCAACTTCTAGTTGACCTTCTGCTTGCTGGTTTTAAGGACTTTGCCTTCAATTTCTTCTGCTTCTTTGGCTTGTTGAGCCCAAGTCTTCTTGTTGATACGAAGCTCTGCATCGTACTGTTCTTCGGTGGGTGCACGGTGCGATTCGCCAAAGCGATCCCAAAATGTAAAATACTGGCCATAGTTATAGTTAAAGTAAAGGTGGTGTACGGCGTGGTGAGCACTCGTATTGATAATGGTGGAACGTGAGATGAAGTTGCCTAATGGGATGCAATAGAAGCATTATTTCATTAGCCTTGCGTGTTTTTGCCTTTCCCTGTTTACGCGCCTGTCAATGTTCATTAAGTAATACTTGCCATCATGAATCAGGATAGTCCAGATGTTGACAAACATAAACATGGACATATACAACCACTTATGCATTGGGACAATATACACGAACAAATGGTAAGGGATTGATTGGAAATAGCCGTCCAGCGGGTGGAAAGCGTAAGCAGAATAAGGCGTAGGGACTATTTGAAACGAGCTGTTAGTATATGCTACATAGTATGCCATCGCTAACTTTTGGAAACGTACTGAGCCATTTGTGGTGTGGCTATATCATCGGTTCAAAAAGCAGAGCCGAAGATATGGGAGTATACAGAAAGAAACCAGTTAGAGAACTCTCAGTGAGACAGAAGGATAGGGTTGTTGACAACTAATTTACCTTGTGCAAGTGCTTGTACAAAAGAGGATGGTGCAGGTAACGATGGACCCAATAAATACCACAGTCTGTGAACAGCAGGAACAGCGGAACAGTGAGAGCCAAGTAAGCCCATTCAAGAAGCGTTGCTGGTGTGCCTTCATACAGCAAGGAATAGCCCTTGATTTCACCCCAGAACCAAGGCACAGTAAGGACTGTTTATAATTCGCAGGAAGGAACGTGTTTTAATACATTAAATCAGTGCTACAGATAGCTATACAGATACACACACGCACACGCACACACACACACACACACACAGAGAGAGAGAGAGAGAGCTAAACCGATTGATAGAATTGTAGTACATACGTGCAAATCCAGGAATGGCTTTCGTTGCGGATTCGATTTCAAGACGGACCTGGTTCTTTAGGAATCTGGGATGTTTCATGTACTCCTTGTCAAAAAAGACAAAGTACGAAAACGTCGCTGAAGCGAAATAGAACAAAGTGGCACCAACAATCAAAAAGACTGACAGTGATAGACAGATACGTAGGTCGCTATCGCGTTCCCATGCAGATGTTGTTGCCAGCTGCTCGCCCAAAAAGTTCGTCGTGGCGTTTGCCAAAGGCACCTGCTTTGGGACTAATTTTGCATAAACGCCATCAAAAAAGTATTCATCAGCGAGCTCCAGAATCGTGTCCATTTTTGAACGAGAGCACAGCTGACAGAAGCAGGAAAAGCAAAATGAAGGCTGTGACAGAAAAGAAGAAAGAAAAGGAGAAATGAGATGATGCTTAATAGATTGCTGCTACTCGGATTTGCGGGATTATTGTAAAACATGCTGTCTTTTGGTCCGAAATCTTCTAACCCCGACGGCAAACGGATCAACACACCGAATTGCTTTACCCCATTGTACGGCGCGGCCATAAGCAGCCAAACAAAACATTTAACCGTCCGGTTTGCCCGCGCCTTCACGGCAGTGAATCCAACTATCAAGATACAGACAGTTATTTTCACGGATCTTGCAAGTATGAGTGTTTGTAAAAAGGCACTTTGCTACGTTTTGGTAGCATGGTTTTTGGGCAGCAAAATTTACCACACAACATGTGAGACAAGAAGTCAAGAAAATCATTCGAGATATTATCGTAAGATAAAGTTTTGTAAAATTTGATTGGCTGTCAACTAATATGCCGATTCCGTTGCCGTCCTATATTCTAATACATAGACTTTTTGTCTAGCACAATGCGCTCCACCTGCATATTCATTATGCGTTTTGAGCTATAGTAAGACTATAGAAATACAACGTCGTCCAATAAGAACAACAGCTTTGTGGTTTCATATGGGATAGCAATACTGGCAGTAGATTTGCCACCCTTTGCTAATACTCGTACCACAAGCAACAAGTCGGTTTGCTGCTTTGATTTGTAGGATGCGTTCTATGCAGGGCGTGGTAATTGCCCGTTTTTGTACTATTTTACTATTTATTTTGTCAGTGTCAGATCAGAACACATGATAAGGCATGCTGCGTGATGTGTTATGGTGTCATTAGTCCCGAGAACCTGGACCATTTAAAGTCGCATCATCACCTTCCTATTATAACAAAATACGCCACAGGATGCTTCACTAAGTGGAACCCGCTTCTTTCCTCGGCAACCAAAAATAGTTGTACATATACAACTAGTGGTGGGTTGAAGTGAGACTTGATAAGAGGTAAACCGAGTGCTTACAGCGTCAGGTGCAAAAGTTTTATATTGGTTTATATTCAAATTCTATGACACCATCGTGAAGGTATTATACCACCAATTTACCCTTCCTCTTATCAAGAAGACTCTATAAATAATGCATTATGGAACAGCAAAGCTTAGCTTGATATGCTAATTTCTCCAGAAGCCACTACTTGCCACTACTTGATTAATTACACTGTTCATACGTCGAGAGTTACCTGTGATGGCGAATGATGGTCCAGCAATAATGACTTTACAACTTATAGACTGAGCGTTATCGAGAAGGTGTTGGCAAAATATGGTATATATACCCCGTATTTAGCACTTTTGTTCTATCAACGCACAGACCAAAGGTTTATGGATGGCGGAATATATTCTCAGCAGGCGACGATAATGCTGCTGTCACTGTCATTATAAAAATGAACGTGGCACCGAAGTTTATAACATTATTTTTATGTATCCGTCTGTGATTATTGAAGCACGTCAACACTGACTTTTTATGATTTTTAAAGGTCATTAGTGACACCATGTTTTTTTGCCTACGATCTCAATAATGAGGAGTCATTGTTTAATCGCTAACAACATGCAAAAGAGAGATTTCGTGTTAAATATAGCAAAAAGAAGCCGTTTGTAAAGCGTGCCTGAACTCAAATTGTGTAGTCGTGTTCAAGAAAATGGGAGAGCTGGCAATGTATGATTGTATGGAGCCTATAACTCCCACGATAAAAAGTTTATAAAAGAGTCCAAAACATAATAAATTCTTTTGTTACAAGTCTCTTTTCTATTGCCATCATATACATTGTTGATTATGTCCTCTGTGATTTTTTTATCCGAATCGCTCCATTTTGATACTGTACTTGGCTCTATCATATGATAACGAACAGGATGCCTCAGCAGACAGGAATTGCGATTAGTGTGGCGTCCGCTGTGGTCTTACTTGGTGTATACTATGCCATTCGTGTGTATATGAGTAACCATCGCCATGCATGGCACCCATCATCATCATCATCATCATCGTACGCTAAATCTTCTTTGTAGGCTTTTAGCAGCAAAAGCACATCATCGAGCGGAGCATCCATTTCCTTTACCTGGAAAATACTCAAGGATCGGTATCAGCAACACCATCTAGAGAGAGTCCTCAACAAAGGATTATATAACAATAAAGAATTATATGGCAGTGTTGTATATGATGAAAATACTTGCCCTGTCCCATCGAATATAAACGAACAAAGTGTTAGCAAAAGCAGAGGTCACTCGCTCGCACACAAAAGCCGATCCCTGTTAAGGTCAACCTCGCTAGCTTCAACTCTCGATAACATCATCTTTTTCCGGTACCCCTTTCTAAATCTATTGAGCCCAGAGCTACCCTCGCCTTCGATCAACCCTCACTAGCTTTAACTGCTCAGATACGCCCTATGGGCTGACATTGATGGGGTTCACTGTTGTACCGTATAATGCGCAAATATAACCACAGTACTATCAAATAGACAGACTGGTGTAGTATCCATGTTGTGTATAGTGTGTCTGGCCAAGCAATATCTCCTTCCATTAACAGCCGTTGATGAAAATGGATTCGCGCCTATTGACACCCTGTATGACCCCTTTTTTAAAATAGTATGAAAAGTAACGTTCCCGTTGCTACGTTTATGGTACGAGGTCTTTTCCCCCCTCTGATCTGTCATAAAAAGACATACATACGATGCATTACAGACGCTGATGACGGTCTCTGAATAGTTGTCTCAGAGCAGCTGCAGGTTGTGAAAAGGATGAAAACGGACTAAAAGCAACACTTTCATTATTTACCGCATTTTTATTCCAGCAGTAGTAAAACGTGGTCATCGTATCATTCTCAGTGTCCTCAATGCGCTCGGTAATGATATACAGAGTATTATGGATGAATATAAGTCAGTTATTGCTCGAGTTTTCAGAACAATGAAAATAAACACCTACTATCTTAACAGCACTAATACTAGCCAAAGAAAAATAAATTGAGATTATTAGCCACAAGCAACGAGCCTTATTTAGTGGATATTATGATACTGACAAGCCTTATTTTGTTGCGATGGGGACGGTCTTAAAGAGAATAAGTATGAATATGATGTAAAGAAGTGTGCTAGAAGGTAAACTTTGAAGGGTGTTTGATTATGCTATATGAAGCGATTTTTATTTATAGTTCGGGCTTTTCGAACAACACCGATTTGTAACTGTCTTCTCTTATACTCGTGTACTTAAAAGTAACACGCGCAGATCTTTTATAAATGGACAATCTCGACGACGATGCAGGCTCTCTCATTGAAGACGACCTATACGAAGTGGAAAAGATACTTGACATGAAAGAGGAATTCGGCATGCGCAGGTTCTTGATCAAATGGAAGAATTACGACGATAGGTAAACGGGTAAGTCCAGAAAAGAACGGCAGATCTTGGTTCGCATGCGATCCAAACTGATAATAACCCAATCCTTCTCCCACCTCCTCTTCCTCTCCTTCTTTCTTTTTTGCGTTGTTCTTCTCTATAAGAAATGAGTATTAACCGTCTGTCCATTTCTTTTGCTGTGTTAGGTTTAGCCTTATATATACGAAGTCCTACCTTTTCACGCGTTTTTCGCTGCGTAATAATAACGGGCCTCTTATTTTTATTTTGCTTCTTATCTCTCTTTTTCTCTTCTTTGTTTTCTTTTTTAAACAGTGAAAACACTTGGGAGCCAGAGGATTATCTCAGTTGTCCTGAATTACTGGAACAATTCCTGAAGTCGCGTAAGGCGGAATCGGCACAACAACAACAACAACAACAACAACAACAACAACAACAGCAGCAGCAGCAGCAGCAGCAAGAAGCAACAAAAGCACCACCTCCTGCACCTACATTACGAATCAGACTTATTACACCCAACAAACCCACATTGGAACAATCGACTACGACCACGACTGCTGTTGCTGATACAACTACTCCTAGTATTGCCACTCCTGGTACGGCGTTGGCTGCTGCAGACTCTGTACTACCTGTCAAGGTAAAAAATATATATATCTGCATGCGTGCTTGTGCGCTGATAATTTTCCTGCCAAAATTATAATTATTCACGCGAATGGTCTGTTTGTTTCGATTCTATTTTATCCAGCGTCCATTGGTAGAAAACAAACGAGCAGGTTGTAGTAGTTAACCATGATCCACCGGATTATTTAATTTTTTTACGCCAGCCCGTCGTCTCACCTCTCTTTCACTTTGGGTTGCGTTTATTTCATTTTTTACAGTTCAAGAACAAGAAGAGTCTGCTGAGACAATACCAGCAGCGAAAAAGCTGTCAACAGGAAGCTCCGAATCCATGAGTTCACCAAGTACATATCACACACCCACACACTTTATCTCTGTCTAGTGACGAGGCAAGGTTTACTGGTCGTATTGTTTGCATTAAAATACTCATTTTACTTATAAAACAGGTTTAACGGCGCAGCAGCAGCGGCGACGACAGCAGGACCAGCACCAGCAGAACAATACCAGTGACATTCAAGCTCGAGAAACACATCCACATCATCCTATATTATCATTATCATCGCCATCAGCAGCAGCCTCATCCTCACCGCTACCAAAACAAAAACCATTAAGCATTTCAGCGAATCGACCATCACGAGACCCAAGACTAGCACCTCAGCTAGCACAGCAGCAACAAAGACAACAACAGTCCTTGGCAACATTACATATACCAACATCGACACATCCTTCTTCTAAACCATACAATTATGTCGCCTCACGACATCTTGCACCCGACGAATATCCAGAACCTGTATCATGGAGTGGCAAAATAGTGGGCAACATTGAACCACCCACTGACGTTCAGATGATATCCATCCCAAGCAAATGCAAACGCAGCTCGATGGTCAAGGACTTCATTAAAAGCTCAGAAACGGTCAATGGGCAACAAAAAATCCTACGCGTCACGGCATTCGTCAAAGTCAAAGTATTGGAAAAGTTCTTCAGTAATCGTCATCCACCGCCATGTCTATTATTTTTGAACCGTACTGCGACAAACCAAGTCAGCTATGGAAAACTTTCTAGTTTTCTTCAAGTCAATGATGTGGTAAAGTAAACAAGGTTTAATTAGGGGATGGGAATATATATATGCAATTTCGGATCTTTTCTTTCCATGAAAATTACATTAACGCATAAAATGAATTTTTAGGCGGCTCTTGTACATGTGGATGGACGTCCTACGGAGGTACTGGCCATCGTCTATGGTTCGGACAGGATTGAGCGGCATTGGGATTTGGGTTCGCGCACCATCAAGACATTACTGGGCATTTACATGGAGCAAATGCCAAGATATCCATACTTTGACCGTCATGCGATACAAGTGAAGGATTATCCGCTACTTGCTACATCCACGAGCATAGTGTACGAATGGTATCTTCTGTTGAACAGTCTTCAATTCCCCCCGGAAGTAAGTCTTTTTTGTGTTGCTGTATGACATACAGAGTGCAGTATTAAAAGTCTTTCTAATATATAAACAGCTCATCAGATGTTTGGATCAAGGATCGTATATGGAAATTCATGGAACATCTTTATGGGCCGCTATGCTCAAGAGTGCACATGAGCTGTTTAGATCAAGTGTACGCAGAAGGAAACCACGCAAGTTATTGGTAAGAGATGCTACTTCTTTACATCAAGGGAGTTATCAGGGCTAATGTTGAACGAGTACAACACTATACACAGAGAGAAAGGAATATTGAGAAATTGTATATTCTCCAATACATAGTTTGATCGATCGGATGATAGCCTGTTCAAAGTAGACCTGTATCAGTATAAACGATCGAACTGGAGTACAGTATTCATACAATTTGGGGCACAATATCCCAGTCTGGCCTCCATACCACCACCAACTGAATCTTTTCCACGAAACTCAGGTACAGAAAATTAACTTTCTCGGGGCATAGGGATATGCCATAATGCTCAGCTTGGAAAACAGAGAGGGATGGTGTCCGTCCGGATATTGGTAATGGTGAGGCAGTTTTATGGATAAGCGATTGTTCTTATACTTTTAATATATCGTAGGCGGTTTCTTTACAACAGATGTCGAAAATATCGTGAATGATCCTGCTATCCTTGGCCGGATTGCTGATGCAGTGGAAGAGGTAACAACATGAGATAAAAAGCCTGTCTATTATCGTCTGCTATTCGATTGAAAAAAAAAATCGAATGTTTAAGGTTTTACATATTCAACTTAAAAAAACACATTCATGTAAAATCAAACTAGTTAAATATGCAACCCTTGACGTTATCCAAGTGGCGTTTTGTTCTCAAGGATGATATATTGGACCAGCTGCGAAATTACGCCAAAGGATTTAAAAGTGCACAAAAGTAAGAGAAAGATGATCTCCTTTGAAAATATTCAATCTAATTATCTCTCATCTTGCTTATCATGGGAAATATGCGTCATCTTTATTTTTTTATCCAGAGTCCAATCGGCAGTGATCCATCTCTGCATTTTTCTGTCTGACAAAAAATGCGACATAATGCGGGATTGGACGAATGATGTAAGCTTTCATCACCTTTTGGCCAGTATTGTTTACCCTTGTTATGCATGACTTTAACCTAAATTGCCCCGTACAATGTGTTTACACCTTTGTGTAGAATACAACATATCCTAATGCAAGCACAGCTACAGTCAAATGGGCTGAAAAGATAGTACGGAGGTATCATGGGGAGCATGAATACTTTGTGCTGGTGGATGATATTGGTACCATGAAAGCACATCTTGACTGTCTGGATCGAGCACCTTCACATAATCTTATAAAGCATTTTGCTGTACCTGCATAATAATAATAGTATTCTCTAGCAATGATTGTAAAATATAATAGTGGTAGTACTACATGTGAGCCTTAAAATTGTCGCTATCGTTGTATATATATATATCATGGGATGCATATACTTGCTTGACAAGCACATCTCACTTCCTTCTTTTCCCTCTTTCTCTCTTTTTCAAACAACACTACTGGCGTCTTTTTTCTTATTTAGGCACATACAAAGTGAATAGACACTCTCAAAGGTTATACTACGACGCCCGCAAGAGGTCCAAGTTGAGGTGCTGCACCACAAGAGAAAATGGGCTAATAAGCTTCCTCGTAGGTTTAAATTTACTCCAAACTGAGCATCACAGCGTTTCTCACGGAAGGAAACAAGTCGCTGAAGCAACGGAGAGAGGTTTTGATAAGCCAAGTGGCTATGAAGCAATAACAATGTCTTATGCTGTTAATAACCAATGTGGCTGTACCGCTGAATATGAAAGGGTGGCGGGCGAAAGGCGGATGCGTAAGGAGAGATGGGATATAATGCACATAGAGCTAATAACAGACTGCTACAATCAATATACTGGATCAAAAATATCAAGTACAATAATGCCATGTCGACAAATGGCATGGGCCTTCTAAGTCAGCACTGAGTTCATCGATAATACAAACATTGTATGTACCCCATTAGACTAACGCCCTTGATTTTTATACTATAGTCGTCCCAAACTTTCAGTTTCTTCCTTTCTCACCTGACATAATTCTCTACCTCCACCTCCCCCCTCCACTCCAAATGAATTACGACGACGACGGCGACGATGTCTTGTACGAAGTTGAAGAAATATTAGACGTACGTTACACCGAAAATCGTCATCGACAAAAGTACTTGACCAAGAAGAATCAGATTCAAGGTGGTACGTCAAAGATAAACTTTTGATAAAAGAAAAAAAATTAGTCCAAGAAAGAAAGGAAGAGGAAGCGAAATAGAAAAGCAAATGGCTAATCCTTGAGTGGACGGATTTTAGCGTTATTCACCTTCACACACGCACTCTCATTCTCTCTTGCTTGCTCTGCAACGTATCTTCTGCTATGAGACACGCTTGTTATAGTAATGGCTGGTCAGCAAGCGCCAGCGCCAGCATCAGCATTATCATAGCAGTAACTTTATTTTTTAACGCATCGTGGTGCTCGTGTTTGTTATTGGGTAACGTTATGCGAGACATCTTGTACAACATGCAAAACAACCATTGAGGAGGCTGCTGCTGCTGCTGATTACTACCGTGTCCATTTTGCGTCAATGCGCGCGCCTTTGTGTTTTTTCTTGAATTAATACCATTGCTGGGTTCTCTTTGATACTAACTTACCCCCAAAACAAAGACAATAGGCAGTGAGAGCGCGCTATATGTTGTATGTCAGTGAGTTCGTGGAAGACAGACAATCCCCGCGCCACCCATTCATCGCTTTCCAAGGATGTGAATACACCTGTAACCACCACCCTCTCACCCCAATGTATGTGCGCTTTTTCAGAATACCATAACTTTGGTGGAAAACGCATAAATGTCTGTCTGTTCCTGTGAACATACGCTGATAAAGTCATTCTAGGGCAGCAGATAAGTTTTCTTTATTTTTCCTTCCATGAAATGAGCAATAACTGCTTCCCGAACATTTGCGATCCATTAAAGGGGAAAGGAGGTCTGTCACACTTCACACATATGGAGTCCCACTGATGACGATAGAGTTATTTGAAAAGGAAGATGCGATTATGGATGTCCTATGCACGGTTTGTCCATATATCGCGACCTACATATTGATAAGAGGTAAGTAGCAGTACCACTTGCATCTAGCACATATACTTACTCTCCATCTATCTTCTATCTAGTCATTTTTTAGAACAAGGGGAGTAGCCAGAAACTGAGCTGAGCTTTGACTTATGCTACCACAATGTAATGCATCGATCATTTCCACTCTCGCATGTTCCACATAGTTTCATACACGCGATTCGTTCCTTCTAACCGTATTCAAAGAATAAGCAAGCAACATCTAGTGGGTACGTAGAAGGTATCGCACGTACGCATAAACAAAAAGTAGTTGTTTACCACCTAGTATCTCCAATCCTTAAAGATGTGTGCTACAAAGCCTGTCCTCGATATGATATCAATACCACTATCAATTGCTTCAATAAACACACGAAGAAAAACTGTATATGTATCATCTATTAGAAGTACTGTACTCCTCGCTTTGCATAATACATTTTTCTTCAATTTATACCTGTGAAGCGACCGCCTTTAGAATGTCATCCACGGTTGAGTATAATGACAGCAGACTCAACCACAAATACAGTGTAAAATGTATACACTAAGAGTGACAAGTACCCTATTTGCTCCAACAGATTACTGCCTGTCGGGCGTGAAATATACGAGGCTGACACGCTCATTCTGTGTATAGCACTCGAGCTTCCCAAGATTTGAAGATTACCGTTTGATGCTTTTTAAGAGGCAAGGTTCTCCTAAACGTTTAAACAAGCCAAGAATATTGAACAGCTTCCGAATTTCAAAAGAGGCACAAGTATGTTGTTTACATACTTATTAGTGAAGACATTATTGTCACGGTAACATGAAGGGGGAAAGCATTGGTTGTTAGCCTGGTTCCCACTTATTTGGGAACTGTAATCTAGATACATGATAATAATGATGTTACAGTAAGTTAATTTGTATCACGGAGGCACAAGTGTGGCCAACTTTTTCTTTCTTTGTTTTTTATGGCCAGTCTAGGAATTGAGAAGAAGAGAATTACGGTATAGCAGTACAACATTGAATTTTTGTTCCGTCGTCCGATGGCGGAACTGAAGATTTGTGTGGAACACTAAGCCGGAAAGAACAAGAAGAATAAAAGCTGGCAAATCATCATATGCTAATCTTCGGCTTGTTTGGCACATTCCGTCTTTCCGCTGTGTACATAATACTGCGCACTCATATATGTACATATACGAGGAGCAATAAAAGTAATGAGCACTGTTATGGTTGTGTATACATAACAGTAATAGAGAAGTAGAGACTCACTTTTTAATGATAATAATAATAGGCTTTAGTCGATTATTGGTTTTAACGATGATAGCTATAATGAGTCTTGATGATGAGTGGTGTTTGCTAAGAAACGTGAGGGGTGTATGAGCAAGATTTTTATACTGAGAGAATATGAGTTGGATAGAGAAAAAGGAGGTAGATAATATATATCGATTAGAAAAGTATATATGATGCAAACATTAAGAGAATAAGCTTCTCATAGAAGCAAGAAACACAAGGAGATAGAGTGCAACGAAAAATAACGCTGGTCGGTAGTTATTGGACAGGGTATACGACCAGTAGCAGTATGACGATATGCAAAATTTGAGCAGATAGTAAAAGCGGTAGTAGTAGTAGTTATCATCTGGTGCCGTTCAACGCAAAGAAGACTAGATGTCTGCGGTATTGATGGTTTGTTTTAATAGATAACGTGTCGGTCGATCTAAAAATGACATGGCCGATATTTAGAAATTACAGAATTACAAGAAGTCTTTCATATACTAGCAATATTTACCTTGATGACAATCGGTGGCTCTTGAGTATTGGGCCTAGAAATCTCTGCCAACTCTCGACCAGCCTACATATGCGATCAATGTTAAAACTTTGGTAATCTTTAAAGAACAAGCACAGTAAACGTTGCCACAATGACTTTTGAAAAAAAGAACCAGGACTTACACTCCAGGTTCCACCTTGAATCAATTGAGATAGGCTTAGCTTTTTTCGATTGAGGCCCAACGTCTCGCGCACGCGTTCAGCCACGATATCGAGATAAGCAACAGTTAGGGCACGCCATTCAACCACCACCGGGTCCGACATTTCAAACATGGGAGCAATTTCGACCTTGGGCTGGCCAGGCAATAAAGCATTTTTTCGATAATTCTCCAGCCCACGTTCCAAGTCGGGCTGTTTGAGGGTCAGAAACCCAGTGTCTATCAAAAGACCGCCATTGCGATATTCAGGCAAGACGGTCAGTTGCTCTGTGCCTTCGATGGTGGCACCTAGCAGCTTTACCATGGGCTCAATCAGCGAATAGACCAGCCATTGCGATAAGCGATGGAAAGAAACCCAATGGTCAAACTCGTTCGTTGTCGTAATGTTCTGGATGGCTTTGCATGGCCAGACATCTCCCAGGTCATGAGTCCCGCCCTTACCCGAGTTGTCGCTGTAGGTCCATGCTTCGCCCATTTCTTGCACCACTGGCCACAAGGTTTCCAAATGAATCAGGGGGCCTTTTTTTGTATTGATCGTCGTTGGATGAGCAAGCAGATAATCTAGAAAAGTTAGATTTTTAGAACCTTATTTTCTTTTTTTTCTCTTGCATGTGTGTTGTATCGGGTACATAGGTAGTATGTGTCACGTATTGCAAAGAAATGTTTTCTTCTTTTCTTACCCATCAGGTTGCCTGGTCGTGCCACGTCGGCGCCAAAATAATCTTGACGGCTTTGTAGTACCTGGCCCAAGTGACGCAAGAGATCTACTCTGTCCTGGAGCACTACGAGTAAATTATGATTGGGATCAATTTGAAAGCCTTGTGCCAATGTTTGCAAGCTGAATCGGAATAGCGCCTCAGCTAATATATCATATACAGGATTGGAGATATCAGTAAGTATAGTTCATATTTACTGCTGACATAATCATGTTTGTAGCAGCTGATCGGTAGTAGTAAATAGACAAACAAATAGAAAAGCACCATCTTACAGTCAACTCGATGAGGCTTGCTAGGATCACTTGAAAAGGCGCCAGCAGTGAACATCTCCAGACACGCCACGGCAATGCCTTCGTTTCGCTTCAATACCCGACCAGTCAGTTGTTCCTGATACGACCAAGTATGATCAGTTTCGATATCCAAGAGGACCGAGACGACAAACAAGTCCAAAACCCGACGCGTCTGTTCCATAGTACTTTCACCGAGACTAGCCCAAGAATTGATCAGGTTCTGTATCCGAGGACGGCCACCGATATCAAAGTGGCGCCAACGACCATGTACGGGGATTTCGCTCGTATCGTCAAAATCGCGCTTCATTAAAGACAGCACGTATTGCACCATGTCGTTGAATTTCGTCTGGTCAACCTCAAAGTGCTGTAATTGGTTCCTAGCAGCAACTTCTTGTACTCGAAAGCATTGTTCTCGAACCGAGCGTAAACTGGCCAAATACTCTACATCGGCTGGTGCCATATTTTATATAATTCTCTTGGTTTCTTGGGGTATGAAAGGAGGTGGGTACTACGGGGAGACGTCTTTGATGGCACGAAAAGGAAATTTTACACAAAACAAAACGGAAAAAGTGAAATAAAAAAATATACAAAAGAATAATAGAAGTTGAAAATGAAGAATGTTGAAGAGCAAAGAAGAGAAGAGAAGATATGTAAAAACACGCGGGCCTTTGAGATATAACAAGGAAGAGGGAACGGTCTTTTTTTTTTTAAATGAAGGAGTGCTAGTGTCTGTACACACACAATGTGCGACTAGAACAAAATAACAAGCCATAGGCTTGTTGTTGCACTTGCCCAATTTTCAATTCGTATGTCGATCATTGCCTTTAACGGTGATTCGGTGCGACAGAATCAAAAAACCTTGTTGGCACCAAGCTTCTCCTCTCCCCCATCACTTTGGCTCCCCTGTCACTTATTACACTCTTCAGCCAGCCTGTAGGGAGTCTTTGTTTTGCTGTAGTTGTCGTTGTCCATGCCTACTTGATCATTACTGCTATTACAAATATACCAGGGCTCCCGTGATGGATGAGATAAAGGAAAGGGAGGCGTCTTTTATTAACCTGCGTGGGGGCTCAGCAATGCAAAATTTATCTCCTTGCGCGTTGGATGACGATGAATAAACGACGGGCGATACCTCTCTCCTCAACCCCCTCTACCTTACCTTTCCATAATAAACGAAGTCAAAGGCCATATAAGCTACCATCCCTCAACATCGTCATCGCTGGGTGACTCTCTACAATAGACTACCAACTCGTGTTGCTCAACAGTTTCTTTTGCCCACTGTGTCCTGTGGCGTTTCTTCTCCATGAACTTTGTTCAATCAACGACATATAATATGAATGGCTTATTTGTGTATTTTAAAGTGTCAGAACAATAACGAGCACGACAGGGAAAAAAGGGAATCTCAATAATAAGGGGTGGCTCTTGGGGAAGATAATGGCGCTTAGTGCTTTAGCCTTTGTCATTTAAACTTTACCGAGCCGAGCCAAAACTTTCGGTCCATCATATTCTATGCCTTGACGGTATTCTTGGTTTATAATGTCAGCAGCATGCTTTCAATGTGTTTGTTTTATTAAAGCATCGTGCTCTGACCGCTGCCTTCTGCTGTGTTCTTTTGGGGGTTGCAGTCACCACTACTTTCACTATTGTTACCAGTACCGTGATCGATATTATCTTTGTTTCAACCGCCTCCTTTCTCTTATCATCCATGTGGTCATAGTGTGCGCGTACATGGACATGAAAAATACACAAATGGTATACATACCTTCCCTCCTCGTAAATCAAATGATGGATATACTTGTTTAGGACGATGGACCAATTTTTTTGACTATATGTGAAGACATATCACTGCCATATGGGCCTATATATACAAAACGATCTACTTGCTCTTCTCCTTATTTTATTTTCTTGCATCCTCCAACCTTGTTTCCACTAAGCTTATCATGTTCTGTGAATATAATTTGACTTTCATCCCTTTAATAGATGACATATCCAAGTAATAAACCCCCATACTTTATGAGCACAAACACTGCAGTTTGAGAGGAAACTTTGGAGAGGAAAGTACTTGTATTATAATTGAAACGAAGAGAAAGTAAAAACAATACTGATACAACATCATGTGATAGGATACATCATACAGCACAAGGGAAAAAATGTAAGAAATGTAGAGGAAAGTGACAAGAGCAGTAACGATGCTACTGCAACAAACGCAAACACACAGTGGTATTTAGATGGTGATGTTATAATATCTGAGGCCAAACTTTTGCAATTCGACCAAACCGATGTGGATGGTACAACAGACAAGGATCATCACCCACGATCTCCAGTCAACGTAAGACAGCTCAAGCCAAGTCGAGATTCCTATTTGACAGTAAGTGATTAAAACTCGTTGTCAGTTTCTTCTGTCAATTCATCTGTATAATTATCGGTACGTATTTTTGTTTGGTTAAGTATTTACCAGGAGCATAAACGCCTAGGATCAAAAAGAAAAAGGAGACACCCGCAGCCACCAACATCCATCGATTGCTGAGAACACCTGTCTTGATGACAGAAAGATGCACACTACGTGACAAGAACGAATGAATCAATTGAATCATGGTCAAGTTGGTGAAAACCTGTTGAACAGAGAAATGTGAGCTTTCCTTTTTTTTTGCATATTTCGAGAACAAAAGGTGAATTTGACTACTTACCATGGATTGAGCCTGATGGTGCTCATAATTAAATCTGTATAGTGCAAGCACATAAGATCCTAGGGCTAGTGCAGACATTAACAGCGATTGGACAAGAATCACTATCCATACGCCAAGTGTCACGACACCAGTACGAGGATCGCGAGGAGATCGTTGCATAAGTGTTTTTTCTCTTGGCTCTACACCCAATGCCATAGCCGGTGGAATATCGGCTAATCAAGTTATGACATGATGTATCTGTTAGTGAAAGTATTTATGCTCTACCTGCTCCGTGGCACACATAAACGCACTACACTTTGATTTAGAAGCTTACCAATGATGTTAGCCCACAAAATCATCATCACGGTGAATGGCGTGTCGATGTTGGCAATTGTGCAAATGAGCATCAAGAATATTTCGGAGCCGTTGCAGCTGAGCAAATAGACGATAAACTTGAGGATATTATCAAAGACATGACGGCCTTCTTCGACTGCAGAAATGATAGTGGTGAAGTTATCATTCAGCAGCACAAGATCGGCAGCCTGCTTTGTAATCTCAGTTCCGGCTTGACCCATGGCGACACCTACATCTGCAGATTTGATTGCAGGTGCATCTAATAGCGGTAAACATTATCATAATTGAGAATATCAATAAACATATCAGTATATATGCGCATACTTCTTTTTCGCTAATAGCTATGCAACCCGCTGCCACTTTTGAGACAGCTATTATTTCTGTCTTTAGTGTCTAGACGTACCATTCACGCCATCACCGGTCATGGCTACCAATTCTCCACGTTGTTGTAATGCCTTGACAATAGTTAACTTGTTATCGGGGCTCACGCGGGCGAACACATTGGGGAAAGGATCCAGTTCAATTATAGCTTCCTCGGAAAGCAAGTCGAGCTCACGCCCCAAAATGGCACGACTCTGTATACATGAAGGGAACCACACGAGACGTCGCATGATTGATTTTGATTTGATAGTTAGCTGAGAGTGCTGCAGCATTGAAGAAGGAAAGAGTATGCATGCATATGCTGCTTTCTCTCTATCATCTATGCACCACCATTGAAGCCATCTTTCACACTTACCATGCCGGGAGCATTTTTTTTAAAGATACCCAGCTTGGATGCAATTGCAACAGCTGTTTCAACATGATCGCCAGTAATCATCATGACACGAATTCCGGCTTGTTGACATATATCAACAGATTCTTTGACGCCTTGTTTTGGAGGATCGATCAAGCCAACCAATCCAACAAAGGTAAACTCGTTCTCGGCCATGCTTGGGTGCTTAGCCATATCGGCTGAATCCGTACTCGATAAAGACCCATCATCATCATTAATGACTTTGAGCGCAAGACCCAGGACTCGCAGACCTTGTGATGCCATCCGCGAGCTTTCGTCAGTGACTTGGGTCGCAAATGTTTCGTTCATAGACATGCTAGCTTGTAGTATTTCGTCCGCATCAGCAGCAGTAGTAGTAGTTGTAGTAAGTGAGGAACTGCTTGAAGATGTGGTGTCAATTCCGAGACGAGTGTGATTTTGTTGCTGCTGACTGGTGGATTTGGGAGGCAAGTAAGACGAGCATTTACGTAACAGCTCCTCTGGAGCACCTTTACATAGCAGCAGCGTAGTACGAAGAGCATCACTGTTATCCTTTTTTTGGGGCTGCTGCTTCTGCATGTATGCGCTACTCATCAACTTGCGCTCACTATCGAATGCTCGTTCAAACACCTTGGTATAACCTTTTTGATCAATCCAGTAGCGAGCACCAGCATTGGCTTTTTGAGCAGCTACAGTTAATGCGACTTCGGTTGGGTCACCGATTGTTTTCCATTCGCCTGTTTTCTCCTCCAGATGCACAGAAGCATTGTTGCAGAGTGCAGCCACCATTAAAGAGTACTTCAGGTGTGGGGCATATGTAGCAGGGTTGGATCTGTCAATGGGTCGGGACCGGAGAGCTGCATAGTCGATCCCTTGTTGTTGTTGACTGCTTGTTTGTTTCTCTTCATCGTCTCGGTCGTCCTTGTTGTTGTCACCGTTGTTGATGGGATCGTCTGCGATAGGTGCAGTTGTGCGGCGAACATGGATCATACGACGTCTTAGTTCGGCTGGCTCGACGATAATCTCACCGTGCGTAGGATCCAACGACGTTGATTCGGTAAACCGATATACATTGTTATCTGCAGTCCACATTTCAGACGTACCCATCTTGCCTTCGGTCAATGTACCGGTCTACATATTAAATTAATTTCGATGGACATCTAGACTGGATCCAGCAATCAATCAATAGTAGCTTTTGAAAGCCTGTCCAATACCTTGTCAGAGCATATAACTGTCACGCTTCCCAGAGATTCTACAGCTGGCAATGTACGTACAACACATTGCCTAAAAAAAGTAAATTATTAGCAAGAGAAAGACAGAGCCTAAAAGGAAAAGAAATAACAAAACAAAATGCACTAGTGCATGGTGACGAACTTTGCAGCCATACGACGCACGCCGAGCGCCATGGTAACAGTAGTCACGGCCACAAGACCCTCCGGAATAACGGAAACTGCCAAACTGTAATTATTACAAAATAAGAGAATATGTCAAAAAGGAGAGAAAGACAGCTGTCGGCTTTCTTACTTGAGTGTAACGTCTGTGAATGACATATTACCTTAAACCAACATTGACCATTTCTTGGACATTTTTCTTCCAGGCAATACCGATCACAGCCACAAGAACACACAATATAATAGCAATCAGAACAAGGTACTTGCCCAGCTTGTCGAGTCGGCGCTGGATCGGCGTCTTTGTTTTGCGTTTTGATCCAGCTTGGATTGCAGTGCTAATTTTACCAATCTGCGATATTTATACTAATGAGTAAACAATGAAGCATTGTGGAAAGCTTATCGGGCAGAGAGGCTTACCTCGGTTTGTACACCAGTTCGTACGACAATGCCTTTACCGCGCCCTTTTGCAACAGTCGTCGACATGAAAACATTACCCAAACAGTCACCGAGAGGGATTCGGCGTGACTATATAACAGTGTTTTTATGATGATTTCGATACAAGTTGTATCGTTAGCAAATAGCACCGTATTGTTTATTTGTTTATGCATACAGAACGTGAGCAGAACGTGTCTTTTTTTTTACCTTTGCTTTGATGGCGTCTGTCTTTTTGGTTACTGGCAGACTTTCGCCGGTCAAGATACTTTCAACGATCTCCAGTTGTGCAACTTCAATCAACCGGATATCTGCAGGAACTGCATCACCTTCATCGAGGACTGCCAGATCACCTGGTACCAAATCGTCCGAGTCAACAATCTGTTGCTCCCCGTCACGAATCACTTGTGCCTGTACAGAACAAGGAAGAATGAGAGCGAGAATTAATTTTTGGGATTTCTGATTTGATATATTAGGAAGCCTTGTGCTCCCCACACATCCATTTCCCATCCCACCCCATCCTAAAACACGCAAGGTAACATTGCCAAGACAGATGTTGATAAAAGTGTTGAATAGCACACAAACGTGTGTCTATCATTGTTGATTTACCTTTGGAACAGTCAAATCCATCAATGCGCTCAGCGTCTTGCCGGCCTTCCATTCCTGGCTAAAGCCAATGACAGTATTGAGAACAACCACGATCAGCAGAACCGCCATACTGTTGAATTCCTGCTGGCCAGCTTGAATGATGGATGCTGCCAACAACATCAAGACCATGAAATCGGTCAGCTGAGTCCAGAGCATTTTCAAAGCGCTCGGACGAGGCGGGTCTGGCAACTTGTTGATGCCGTACTGCTCACGCAATGCGCGGACCAAAGCCGACGGCAGGCCATTGGTTGGATGCGTGTGTGGGAACATTTTCATGAGCTTTTCGACCGACCGATCAAAATAAAGCGCCTGTGGTGGAGGGAGCATGACAATCGATGAATCGTTGTTGTCGGTGGCCACGAGATTTGCTGTGGAACGTGGCATTTTTGACTTTTCTTTATCCATTTCTTTCGCCAGAGGCGATGCCAAGAGCTGCTCCATGTCGCCTTGTTCGCTTTCCTTGATCAGATCGCGCCAATCGCTGATGTGTCTTGGGAAATACTCGGTCAAGAGCTGGACAATGGCAATGGCACTCCGTTTTTGCTCTTCTGTAGAAGACGGCTGGCAACGGTAGTGGATTTTCAATGTGTTGCGTAATTCAAACACGTCTTTTTCGCCAACAATTGCGCGGAACTCATAGACTAACCAAGCACACACAGAGAGAATATGTTGTTTGTATTAGTTAGTTCTCGTTTTGGTTTGCTTAGAATAGCTTTGGAAACGAAAGAATTCGCTTAACGTTGCTTTTTGTGTAAGTGTCTATGTGGAAAGTTTCCCTACCTTCTTCTAGAAAATCACCAAAGAGAAAAAATGCCATATCGGCTGCGGTGGTAGTGCGCTTGCGTAAGAGATGGCCTTCAGTATGGCCCGTGTTTAACAGCAGGCCTTCGCATAGTCGCTTCATGAGTCCTGGATCGAAATGAGGTTGACATCCGCCCTTGACGCGGAAATGCATCACGTAACGCAGTCCCTCGAGTACTTCTTCGAGGGAAATCGATTTGTTTTCCTTGACGTCAAATAGATCGTGGACTATACGTACATCATATACGTGCATAAGAAGCAGCATGATCATAAGCATACATGTACTTTTGCAAGCGGGTGTGGCCCTAGCTCTAATAACATGATGTAAAAGATAGACGGATTTGTAATCATACCGAAGACTTCGATTTGTTGCTCGATGGATACTTTGCCATCAATGACGGGTGCTGGAACATCGACAATGTCATGGTGTTGGTCCGGCTGGGGAGTTTTTGCCATGAGTTTGTTGATTAGTAAAGTGATTTAAAGAAAACCTTTATTCCCTCTTGTGCGATGAAAGAAAAAGAAGAAATTCCCTCTTGTGCGATGAAAGAAGAAGAAGAAGTGGAAAAAGAGGAATAACGAAAGACGCGGGAAAGAGAAAACCTGTTTTTATGCGTTCTTTCAAGCACTGTGCCCGTAATCATCAGGTCGAGGGTTCGGGGTGGCGGCGAGCAGGCGTAAAATGTGTAAATAGTGTTATCATCATCAACATCATGTAACCAGCAAGTTGGTATACAATATATCTTACATGTGCATCCTCATGTAAACTACAATATACTTTACACGCACGCTTGCTGCTTCTCTCCGTTGCTGCTGCTTGCCCATGTGCTTTCGCGCAACGTAATTTGCTTCTGTCGTCATAATCGTCGTTGAATCTTCTACACTTATTCACTATTCTGCAACTCATTTAATGTAAAAAATGATCGTTCCCTTATAACATAAAGAAGGATTATTTGTTTGTTGTTTATGTGTACGCATGTCTTTGCTTTTCACCAAACGAGGCAACATTTTTCCCCTCTTACTGTGTTTTATGAACTTCCCAATGAAGACCCCTGGATTTTGATCACATTTGCGCTGTCTTCTTTTCATTTCGACTTGAAATGACCACGCTGTGCGGTCATTGTCATATGACGTGAGATCGGTGAGGACCGCGACAGGAATAGCCCGATACTATGGCCCGTTCCATTGTTGTTCGGACCGATTAGGTCATACCACAGTCTTTTACGTTACGCTTGCAAATTCTGCATCCCTACACACACCTCTTTATATACATAGTAATTACGCATCATCACACTAACATGTTAATGCAGAATACGATATATAATAGGTAGTAACTCGATAAAACGGAGTAGCGATAAAAAGTACGTCTGTTCTGCATTCATTTTACGTCTTCATATTCATTCTACTTTGGCTGCTGCTCTTATTGGACCTTTGTGTATAAGTTTAAGATGCACGTCTCGGAAAAGCGGAAACGATGTTGTGTGCTAATAATACACCAAGAAGCAGATAGCAGGTCGCTGCGGGCGGTAACACTGCTGCTGAATGCTATCTGTCTTGGAAAAAAATATCGATCGCCATACATGATATTATGCAAGCAAGTTCGCCTCAAGTTCGAGAATATGCTGCTGCTGCAGTTGCTGCACTTTCAGTATAGCTAGTGTAAAAATTGACAGATATGCAAATCTAAATAATTGAGATTACGTGAAAGCGGACAGGTACTACATAGCACTTTCTACCCAGAGGCACCTTACTAGCTGTGGATGTTGTACTGTACGAATATATTCTATGTATGCGTCTGCATATGTCCATATATACATGCAAAGTGCTAGGCCTTACAACAAATGATCGAAAGCCTAATGCGTGTTGGGAGATAAAGGTTCGATTTACGCGGTGTAGCAACTATTTTGCTCACTTGATCAGGAGATATGAGAATACATGGCGTTCGTTATTTCAAGGGTTAGTTTCCGCAGTCATCTCTGTCTGTATGGCTACAGGATAAAGGGGTGCGGAGAAGCAGATTATTTAAGGCAATGTGTAAATACAAGGCCTGATTACAGTATCACACCTTAAGTAAAGAGAACGTTTAAGTATTGGGTGATCAAAACGTGCAGTCGAAGAAATGAATGAGCACACATACACATCTTGTAGCATTTGTGATCATTCTAGGAAGCTCAGTTTCAATTTGCTTTGTGAGGTCCGTAGCCCAATAAAGAAAGGAGTGGGGGGTTTTCTGAACCATTTCCGTCTCCTCATACACACAGCAACACGCACACGCTCACAGACCACCGTAACAGATACACACAATGGGCGACGGTTCAAGTAGTAACGCGTTCCTGAGGAACTTGTCCCAAAAAAAGTACTCATGGATGCAGTCGTCTTCTACATCTGCGAATAACGATCCTACAAATGGTAGCAGTAGTGCTGCTGCACCGTCGTCTAACACCACAAACAACAACAACACAACCTCTTCCTCGTCGTCTTCTTCCTCTTCCCCTACAACGGCAACAACGCCTTTAACCAACCCAAATAACAATAGCAATAATAATAACAACAGCACGAGCAGTCCAAAATCGCCAGCGAAACCCATCAATACAAAAGAATCCAGTGACAATAGCCATAAACGGCCGTCTGACGATCTAGGTCGATCTCATAAAAAGCCACGACAACAAGACCGAAAATCGTCACTTACGTCTAGTAGTGCTGCTAGATCGAAAAACAACATTAACGATGAACGAGACGTGTCAAGTAGCACTACCGGTGGTAATGGTGGTAGTAGTAGTACTGCTTCCGGCGGCCCCACTACTACAACGGTGAATAATGCTACTACCACCACTGCTAAAGCAAGTGCGCGAAACTATAGCAATGGCAAAGCTACACCTTTCGTTTCACCATCGCCAGCCCCAGACGACATTCCGAACGAGAAACAACCAAAATTCAAATATACAACGTTTCCAGCTAAAGGATTTACCATTTTGCCTACGCGTAATGTTACGAGCGGATTCGACAAAACAGACGCCACATATTTTCCTGGTAATAAGGCTGGTTCAGAAGCTATTGCTCCTAATGTAAGTAAAGGAGGGGAGGGACATAAGTGCTATTCGTTTATCCTCTTTTTTTCTAGTAAATTTTTGCAATGACACAATATTTAAATTCCAATTATTCCGTATTACACATATGTATTGTATTAGCCTGAGGAAGAATGGAGGGACACGATAGTGATACATCCAGGGTCGCGTAACCTGCGTATTGGTCGATCTTCTGAAGCGTTTCCCAAAACTGTGCCTCATGTTATTGCTCGACGGCAGAAAAACAAGAACGACTCATTATCAGCAGCAATAGCAACAAAAGCAAAAACAACAGCAGAAGAAGCTTCGGATGATGTGGCAAAAACAGCAGCTGCCGTGGCTCAACAGCAGAAAAAGTCCAACGGAACTGACAGTAATAATGACAAAATGGATGTTGACGATGAGGAGGAAAACGAAGACGATGATGATGACGAAGAAGAATCACCGTTATCGTCGCCTGAAGATGATATCGAAGAAAGTGAGAGCGCACCACCACCACCAGTAACGCGTCGAGCAGCTCTGGATGCAACTAGTACGGCAAATAATCGTGAAGAAGCCTTACGCGAAATCAAAAATGAACTCAAATGGCGCATGAAGGCAGCAAAACGACGGGCCGTGCCCAATGCTGAAAGTCAAGTGGTTGGATTTAATACCCAAGCATATCAAGAAACGATTCCGGATCACAACGATCCTTACAAGGTTGAATGGACTGAAGTCACCAAGATAAATAAACCAGAATACTTCGTGGGAGATAAGGTAATGTTCATTTGGATCTTGGATTTGTGTGCGCGTTCTCTGATCGATTAGAAACCTAATATTTCACAATTTTCATTTCTCTGACTCGAAATTCGTTTACTAGGCATTAAATTTGCCCATTGCTGATAATCCCGAGTATCGATTACTGTATCCATGGAAATACGGCACCTTGAATAGTCAGGACTATGACTCTGTTGAAGAAGTATTGGGTGATTTGCAAGCAATTTGGACCGAGACAATTCGGGCTGAGCTTGATATTGAGGAAACATCATTTGAGGTTAGTTTAAAGGTCATCTTGCGCAGAACCGGGAGCTTTTTATTTCTCTTTCTTTAATTAACGAAATTGGATGTGTGTGGAAATCATAGGACTATAATGCAGTTCTGGTGATTCCGGACTTGTTTAATCGTCGTTATACATGCGAACTCTTGACTATGCTATTGAGATATATGGGATTCAGGGGTGCACTAGTTCAGCAGGTTTGTTACTCTAGTCTTTTTCTCTGCCTTGATCTTGGGTAGGGGAACGGATAAGCAATGCTGGTGCATAGAGGTGCGGATACTCATATGTTCATCTATAGGAATCCACTTGCGCGACTTTTGGCGCGGGCGTATCAAGTGCATGTGTTGTTGATATCGGATCGCAAAAGACCAGTGTGGCCTGCATTGAAGATGGCGTATGCTTTACGGATTCACGGTAAATATTTTCAGGCGATGACAAAGAACTGAAGTTTAAACATAAACCTACGTTTTCTACGGTTATTTCTATAGGATGACTATAGCTATTGGCGGTGACGATATCACAAAAACGTTTGCATCCTTTCTGTTAGCAAACCGATTCCCATACGCTGCTATTAATTTGGCAAAGTCGTATGATTGGCGATTGGCACAAGAACTCAAAGAGAAATGGTGTACCATGAATGAAGCCGATATCAGTGTCCAAGTATATGACTTTTTTGTTCGTGTTCCACGGCAGCCAACGAAAAAGTTCCAATGCAAAGTGTATGATGAGGTGTTCCTTGCCCCACTATGTTTGGTTTATCCTGCCATTTTGAACGCCAAGGAAAAGACAAAGCATACTAGAGTATGGGCAAACGCAAACGTCATTGATGATATTGCAGATGAAGCATACGTAAGTTTCTCTTTTATTCTCGTTCCTCGCTCTCACTGGTATAAGGGCTACACCTACCCACCACCAAACGATAAACTCTTATGTATCGTAAATCGACCTATTTCTACATGGAATCACATGTGCATATGTAGGCGGAATCTAGTACTGTGCCTACAGTATGGCGACCTCAACAACAATTGCAACAGCAGCTACAACAACAGCCTACTTCTTCGACCACTACCGAAACACCGTCTACACCGAATAATAATGCAACACCACAACCACAAGCACGACCTACATACGCTACTGGTATTGAACGATCCAACAATTACGACGTTTATCCCATCGACGTAGCTATTGCCGAGTCCATAAGGATCGCATCTGGATCATCTGACGAACGACTTAAGCGGTTCTTTACGAATATTATCCTCGTTGGCGGTGGTGGCATGATTAGCAATTTCAATCGGGTTCTGGAAGACAGGTAAATAATTAAAGCCGTTTTTTCTGTCCGTGAAAAAAAAAAAAAAAAAAAAAAAAAAAAAAAAAAAAAACTAATACATTTATACATGAAAACTCTAGAATTTTATCCACTGTTATTGCTCGACGAGCAGCAATAGAACGTGTTGAAGTGCTCCCGGCTCCTCGTGAATTGGATCCACGGTTATTGATGTGGAAAGGTGGTTCTGTATTGAGCAAATTAGATACAGCCAAAGAAATGTGGATTGGACAAGAAGAATGGAGTAATGTAGGCGCTCGATGCTTACGCGACCGTGCTTTATTTGTCTAATTCTACCAATAAATATACATATGCGTATATTGACACCTTAAAAGAAACCGTATACACATTTTATGATATGTGTCGAATAAACTCTACAACAAAATCACATAGTTGTTCTTGACCCACTTTGGCATTGACATTATGGCCACCCTCTTCGAGCACGATTGTTCTGCGAATAGCTGGACAAAAGCTCTGGAAGCGTTTCATGAGTTCAAGTTGATCTTCCTTGCCGACGTAACACTCGTCGTCTTTTACATGGACCATGGCAGTAGGCCGGTTGACACCTTCGTATAATCTCTTGATCGTTTCATCGGTCAAGTCGGTTGAAAAAACGTCATCATCGCCACTACAGGGAAAAATGGCATCACGTCAGTTATTGTCCCTCAAGTGATACCTTTTGGTTGGCATGAATAAAAACCATGATGTAGATGTGATTACCCAGCTCCACCGAGCGAGTAGAAACGGTCTGCAGTGATAGGAATATCACCACATGCAGCCCGAGGCATGAGTTCCTGGCCCAGGTTTGCCTCACGCAGCTTTTTGGCTTGTTCTAGATACTTTGCATGTTCCGGCTCGACTTCCATAACTTGACGGTCCGACACGGGTGCTTGCAAGATGTATCCCATCACTGATTCACTCATTTTGCCATACTTGTTGTGCCAATAGCCATCCTGAGACCCTAATAACATATTCTCATTTTGTGTCAGCACTAGATGCATTCTATAATATTGACCATTTTTATATAGAGTCACTATCGATACGTTTTGCGCACACACACACACGCACACACATTGAGTTGCTATATGCAAACCATACGTCTTTCTATTCAAGTATGTGTAATATATGCTCAGGCACTCTATGTATACTTTTTTTTTACCTGTTGAGTGGCCAAGATACAGAATTTTTGACTTGTTACGCTCGTTTTTCAGATACTTGATCAAGTGATCCAGTTCGTCGGAATCATTTTGTAAATTGGTAGTTCCAAAGCCATTGTAGGATGAGGTGAGCTGCACTTGGACTAATGACCAGCCAATGTCGGCCAGTTTCGATTGCAAAGGAGGAAGGAAGGGAACAGCGTTGTACCCCTCAGTGAGGCCTGCCACGAAAATACAAGTGTTGGGCGAGTCGAGAGGACCGCTCTCAAACGCAGTGAGACTTTTGGGTTCGTAGTAAGTGAATAAAACGCCTTCAAACTTCATGGTTTTCTTTTTATGTGAGCTCGAAGCAAGTGATTTTTTTATAGATACGCGTTTTTGTTAAATGTTTGTTGCTGACTTGGGATTTTATATGCACGCCAGTGCCCACCAATACATCGTTAAAGAACAAACTATGCAGCCCGTCGTCCTCGACAAGATTGTATTTCGACTACTGAGCTATGGTGTGCGAAGACGGTTTATAACGTCAATACTTATGGAAGCAACACGTTTAAAAAAATATCCAGGATGCAATACACGTCTTGTGTCGTTTCTTTTGGAAATTAAGATTTGATAACACCACACTATGTAACTCAGCTCGCTTTTTCTTTTTCTTTATTCTAGATCTATACTGAAGAAATGAGTGAACCGACACAGGAATCAACAGTGCGAACAACAGTAGATCGAGCTCATTTAGCAAGCATGCGGGAACGTTTAGATCGGTACCGTCAACGACATGCAGCAGTGGTAAAAGCATAGATACACAAGAAACAACCTCGCGCATAAAAGATATGCTGTTCTGTTTACAGAAACTATCTATCTAATTTCTATCTCGTTTACATAAGCTCAAAAAAGAACAAGAAAAAGAGCGGATAGACCAAGCAGAGGCTGAGACACGGAAGCGATTACAAGAACTGCTCGAAGCAGAACAGGCTCAGGTAAAGAGAAAGCATCAACTCTATGTGGTACATAATACGTTGAGGTGCTTACCAAAATTACATGGTCCTCTCGTTATTTTACTTTTGGACGACGCATAAAAAAACAGCAACAAAATCCCACAAGTAAGCTCAAAAATATTTGAGGGAGGCGTTTATCTGTGAGTTGCTATGGCAACATAATAGCTGATCAGACTCATACGATAACTTATAGATTCTCCGAGTAACCACAACAACATCCCACCGCAACTCTTATCCAATGCCTTTGCCATGGTATCTGAAAAAGATGCCATTAGCTGGCTCAAAGCCAATAACCCAGAAAAGCCATCATCAGCATCGTCTCCTTCACCATCCTTGTCGCCGTAAGTTTTGTGTTTTCTTCGAATGCAATACATGTTGTAATGTGTATATGAATACTTCGTTAAAGAGGGTTTGTGGGAATGAACTTGATGGTGCGATGCTTAATGTTAAGGAGTACGGCGTGAAATGTACAAAGAGAAAGGCGGTGGTGGATAATTTACTTTGAGGATTGCTTGTAACTGCTTGTATCAAGGATTTGCTTGCCACACATGGCACAAATACCTCGCTTATATGCACATTCTATACCAGCAACACGTATATATAATCAGTGAGCCTGATATTCTTTCACAGGCATGTTTTTTGTCAAAGCAGAAAGAAATTGTGTGGGCTTACGTTGACAGTAATGTGCTTGTGGTTGGTTTACTTTGCTTTTGCAAATGCGACACTTGCTTTCGTATGGATTGAATCTGTTCAATCAATAGTAATTGAGTATAACACAACTTGTAAGATCTGCACTGATCTTAAATTACCTTATTTTGGCTGCTTTCGATAAAAGTTTGTTTTGATTAACTTTACGATCGTCTTTGCCAGCTAATCAAGCATCATTGGAAGAAGTTGAATGTCAATGCAATATATCATTATGAACTGAACTCAAAAACAATTGACTAATTACCCGTTGAGTTCTTTGATCCTTCTTTCCATTTATCAGGTGCTGCTACAGCTGTCAATTTCTTTTCACACTTTTTGCAAACCATTATTAGTGCTTTTGTAGGAGGATTGGAAAAAGAAAAAGGCACTATGCTACACTGCAGAAACTTAAAAGGCATTTCGGGCTTTATTATTGTTGAAGCATTAATGACACCACAGCAACTGGAAATACTGCGCCAATCAAGGCCATGGCTGCTGAAATGGCTGAAGCGGATGACTCGGATGGATGGCCCATGGATTGCTGCTGTTGTTGGTTAACAGTATCTTGGTTTGGCTTTGCATGCGTCTGTCCAAATATGTTGCCAGCATCCTTGTGGATTGGTTCTGGGATGGATGCTGCATGGACTGTTTGATCCTTCTTCTCGTCCTCCTTTTGCTGCTTCTTATTGTCTTTTTGAGCCGGTTGTAGGATCTCTTCTTCTTCTTCTTCTTCTTCTTGTTCACCTATAGTCACTTGCTGTTCAGCACCACTATTTTCCTGCTGTCTGCCATCATGATCCTTTTGCTCGACGTCTTCGGCTTCAGCTCCTGAGCGACCGCAGATATCTGATATACGTGTCATTTGTTTCTCTTCCTGATCTACAAGATGATAACGCTTGAGTAGGTCATTACAGTAAACGAAGTATCATTGATCTATACCAAAGATTTGTTCATTTTGAGGACATTCCGAAAAGCAAGCGAGTACTTGCTTTTCAGCCGAGCAGGCACAAGAAGGTATCGAGTCGTATCCGCCCGTTTTGCATGCGTCCACTGCACTCTGTGCTGTTTTCATACACATTTCATATCTAGAAGTTTCCGCCAAACTTTAGTTTTTCTCTTTTATCCAGGAAAGCTTTATATCAAAGAGAGTACTGCGAAGATATACTGTGAATTAAAAGAAGAGCGCAGCATACACTGGGTTACATGCATGGACACCGGCTGCGACTACCGTGAGCATCAGTAGGCTGGAATACTTCATGTTGAATGAGATTATATATTTTAAGTATGTATGATGAAAGCAAAGAGTAGAAGAAAAAAAGAGAAGGAAATTACATAGAGAGAACGTGGGGGGTGGGAATGGTTAGGATGTTTTGATATGAGAAAGGAGGAATGCTGTGATTTACGAATTTCTCCGACTATGTTGAATAAAATTAAAGAAGGGAAGAAATACAATTATAATATACAATACTTGGAACGGATGAGAAATATGTGCTTAAGCAAGGGATGGATACTTTTACAGCTTGAACAGAATACGGTTTTTGGGAGGGTTCCTCTTGTTGCGCCGCATGACCCATGAGCGCATGAGGCCTTGAACAACGACGCGTTCCCAAACGGTAGTGGCGGCAAGGTTGCCCAGAATAAGGCCCCACAAGCCCCATCTGAACGGTTCCGGCATGACGTTGTGGCCCAAGGGCGAGTTGTATTCTGACACATCCCAGGTGGGCATAGGGTATCCGATCTCGTTTAATACAGCTGGCGTGCCGCAGTTGATACGGAACTATTATAAAGATAACGGTAAGTTTCTAGACCCTATAGCAAATCACAGTAGACAGAGAGACAACTTACAATACAGCTGTACGGGTTGGGATCAGCTAGGACCATGTAACTGGTACTGACAAAGAAACAGCACCAAAAGACGACGAGAACATAGTTGCGCCACCAGGACTGTCTGTAGACAGAACCAAAGTTGACCAAGGCAGCATTGTGGAAGAACTGGAATATGATGACCAGGGCAATGACCTCGGATTCGTAATTGTCGCCCAACAGCCACCAACGGGCAGAGTCGATGGAGCTGCTGTCGAACTCGTTACATACAAACCAGTTCTGCTGGAAGAGGTAGATAACACCGCCGATGACGAACCAGAAATTGATGAAAATGACACCCAGGGCAGATGCCAAAGTATAAGGTCCAACCGGCTTGGCTGTGGGTCGCGAGGGGCCCAGTTTGTTGGCTGGGCGTGCTTGGGTAATGGCAAAAGTCATGAACGTGACAATGAAACCGTCAATGGTAATCCAGATAGGCTGCGGTGCAATCACAGTGAAGTAAAACATGAGCAATTCCCATGCAGCCATGCATTCACCGTAAAAGATCAAGAACTTGTAGTTGGCGAAACTTGTAGCAAGAGCAGACCGTCCTTGCTTCAACAGCTCGACACACTGCATGACGGTTCGGTTGCTGGTGCTGAAAGGAGAGACAATGGATGCTTCAGCTTCGGACAGCGCAAGACCGACGTGGGCAGCACGTAAAGCGCCACAGTCGTTGCCACCGTCACCGCACATGCCAGTGACACCCTTTTCCATGTGCAAACGGACGCACTGGATTTTGTCAGATGGCGTCATGCGGGCAAATACGCGCGTGTTGAGCAAATATTTACGCATCTTGTTTTGAGCAATCAGTGTTTCGAACGCACGGCCAGTGACAGCCAACTCGACTTGCTTTTCCTGCTGTTCGCGAGGATCCTCTTCTAAGACTTGGTCGACGTCCACCTCGTGGCCAGAATCCACATCGTGCCATACCAGTTTGCCAGCCACAGAGTCACCGAGTAGAACGCGCTGGTGTGGTTCGATCATGCCACACTGGCGAGCAATGAAAATGCCAGTGAGTGCAGTGTCGCCAGTGATCATGACAACGCGGGTATCGCCTTCCTTGAGCTCTGTAATAGCGTCCGTGGTATCGTGCTTGAGCATATTACGGAATAGGATAAATCCAGTGAAATGGCAGTCCTTTTCTAAATCGTCGCGGGACATGGTCTTGATCTGCTCCATCGTCACATCTTGGCCCAGTTTACCCATGTCACGGTGTGCCAAGGACAAGACGTAGCAACCTTCGCGAGCATAGTTCGCGGCCGTTTGATCATAGTTGGTGGGGATGGTGTCTTGAACGGACAGATGCTTGACGCGTTCAAACGAGCCCTTCAGAAACACATGGACGTGTTCAGTGGCAGGGTCCAAAACAGCGACCGATTGTGATGCACGGGCGTGGACGAATTCAAATCGGCGGAGCACATGTACGGGAGTAGGCTTTTCATTGGGAGTGGTGGCAGGAGGGCACAAGGTGTCGAGGTACTGAGAATCAGCCGGCGTCTGCAATTCCCACTTCATGGCATTGAACGATTCAATATCGACAGGGTTGCCAATGAACTGGTCACGGACCTTGGTCACAGCATGGCAGGTAGCAATACCCATGGCCAATGTCTTGTCCATTTTGAGCGGATCCTCCACACGGTCATCGAACGTGCCATCCAACTTGTCGGGTTGTACAACAGCACCATAAAACTCCAAACCTTCACGGGTCAAAGTACCAGTCTTGTCAAAGCAGAAGATACGCACCTTGCCAGACAGGTTGATGCGCGGTAAATCCAAACACAAGATCTTCTTCGAGCGCATACGGGCAGCCGACACGGACTGGTTGATGGTAAATGCGGCAGGCAGCAGAGGGGAAAAGATTTGAGACATGATGAACACACCGTAGAACCAGCTGGTAATGTCACCACGACCCATCCACCACAAGGTCAATCCAAACGCAACACCGCCCCACAGCAGCAAGATACAGATGGCAAGCTTGATGTGTTCGTTGAAAATAAAGCTGACGGGAGACGGGAACAGAATTTTGTGGATAAGCATACCCTTTTCGCTTGTGATACCCGTACGCAGAGCCAATGCGCGGATACGACCGTCACCATCGCCGGCAGACGTGGCTTGCATCACTGTTGTGCCAGCAAACAAGGTGTTGATCTTGCTCGACCCCATCATGTCGTATACACTTTCATCGTTATTCATGGCGATTTTACGGATAGGCATGGCTTCACCGGTCAAGGAGGACTCGTTGACAACAACAGTACCGGACAGAATCACAGCGTCACAAGGCAGTTGGGTATTTTCGCGCACTTCGAATACATCGCCAGGAACAAGATCGCCGCTCGAAATGCCTTCTTTCCATTCACCGTCGCGTAAGGCGCACACTTGGTCGACGTGTTCGGCCATGTGCTTGATACGATATTCGGCGCGCAGACGCAAGATCACGCGGACAAATGCAGACACCAAGATGATGCAGGTTTGTACCAGACCCATTTGGAAGTATTGGAAGTAGCTAAATAGATCATGTGATTAATATTATTTTTTTCTGTCTTTTTCGTTTATTAATTCTGCCTACTATCCTTGTAATATGAATTGGGTGTTTGATACTTACTACCACACCCACATGCACATCATCTGATACAGGTACAAGTACGAGCTGAATCTGTTGTTCAAGGCATAGAATGAGTGTCAAATCCAACCGAATGTTGCATGCTTATCATGTTTAAGATTGACTTACTCTTGGGCAATGGCAATCGGGATCGAAGGAACATGAACCTTGATGATATTCGATCCCAACAATCCTTGACGTTTGGCAGCATCCTCTGTTGTCATACCGCTGGCATACTCGTGGAGCTTGCTATTGGTTGATCCAAGGTCAAACTCATACGGCTCATACTTGTGCTTATTTGCGTTGAAGACATAGCGCATGCATTGATATTCAAAGAACCGCAATCCACTGGTATACTTGACTTTATGTGTCTCGACCAGAATATCCATGCTACATTATTCCCGAGTAACGATTAATACGTCTTACATAAGAAGATCAACCATTGGTTTTGCTTTGAGTTTGAAAACCAAAAAAATAAATAAAAAAACTTACTTTAGCCGCTTTACGACAAACTGCTCGTATTTTCGGAGTTTGGCAATCAACTTGTTACCATCGTCCAAAAACACTTGCTCTTCTTGGCGTCGTTCGATCTGCACATACTGCGAAGCGTGCGCGTACGACTCGATACGGAAATAGTTGACCATGCGCTTGCGGAAGAGCAGAACACCAACAAACCAAGCAGCAGCAATATGCCATACAGCGCAAAAGATCTTGGATGACAGTTCGGACTGTAAAAAGATGGCAAACTCTGCCCCACCCAAATCACCGTCTGTGCCACACAAAAAAGAGTTCGGTCAGCAAACAAAGTAACACGATCAAGTGTAACACCAGACATGCACGACGTGAAAAATTTAAACTTACAGTAGTCACTGACGATACAGCCCAAGAAGACCAGAAACAAGAGTGTAGTGGCAACGACTGATCCAAAGACGAACAGGCCGATATAATCGGTATTGAAACCACGGAATCGCAATCGTTCCGAATCCTGTATCGATGACGTGTCTGAATCCGCCGCGCTCGCTTTCACCACTGCAGCGGCAAGATCCCCTTGCTCTTTCTTTTCATCCGCCTTGATCTTCTCATCGACGCTTGACAGAGCACTTGTTGTTGTCCCTGCAGCTGCTGCTCCAGCAGCAGCATCGCTGCCGTCGACTTGTCGCAACGAACGATGGAACGCAAATTCGCGGCCCGTCTTGTACAGATGCCAGAGTATCAACAGACCGGCCTGCGCACCCATCAGTGACCAGACGGCAATCCACATGGGTTCACGAAAAGTAAAAGTGGGTTCAGGTAAAACAGGACATTCAGCCCAAATCATGGCCGAGGTTGTGTCCTCGCCCCAGATACCAATGGACGAAGAGGCGTTGGCTGCTGATGACGACGACGCTAATCCGACGGCTGACGAACACGTATCTCGGGTCTGTTGGGCTGCAATTTCGGCGTTGAAATGGGTAATGTTGACAAGCTGGCCAGCCATGCAAGGAACATAGTTGGTATATGCGGCGCCGATCGCTTCGCCATTGCAAAGACAGGCGTTGGTGATGCCTTGGCAGGATTCTTGGCAGGTACCGTCAAGACAGAATGATTGGCCCGAAGGACAGGTTGGTGCAAGTGTTGCAGGGCAAAGGTCATGGTTCGTCACGCAAAGTACGGGACATTCGACATCTTTCTTCCTCAGCAAGGGGCAGACGTTTCCATCTCGATCATAATCGTTGACTATAAGTTAAACAGTGACGGATGTTATTCGTTTTGTATTCTCTGATAGGCACCGATAAAAGGCAGGAAACTTACTATGGTGAAAAACAGGGATCGCCCTTGCTCCTTCAAAAGTAGTGGTGGACGCCAACAAAAAGACGGCAAGTATCAATGCAGCCGCTCTCATTTGATGTGTATGTCGCCCGCTTCCTGCTTTTCGAGCTCGTACGTGATTTTTAAGGGGGTGTTTGTTGGGGTGGTGGTTGTATTCCGAGTGGTTGGGTTTAGAGGAAAGAAGAGGGAGGTTGGACGAGGAAGCAAAACGAAGGGTGAAGAGGAAAAAAAATTTAGCTGAGATTACTGAAATGGGTATTTTTTTTGATTTCCAACTGAAAACACCGATGGTGTGATTCTTATCCTTGTCGGGTAACACACGTCCTAGGGACAATGATTCCGCTATATAGTCACTCATGTGACAAATTCATGCCCTTATCTTTACCACTTTCTTCTTTACTATAATGTTTTATTCACATATCTATAAGTTTGTCCAGTTTGTAACACTGGTGAGCATATTTTAACCATCATATCAACTTCTTTGAATCATCACTTTTGTATATGAAGGTCATTTTTTGTGAGTCAAATTTATTACGGGTCAATAGAGTATACTGAACCAAAATTTGCGAAAGATAAGATCACTCCCTTCGAATCTCGCCATTCCTCCTCGCCAATCCTTCTTTAATGGAGCAGTGGGAGACAGAGAATGAAGCGGACGATTTTGGCAATCAGCCAAGACTTTAGACTGCAGCCGTCAAACGTGCAGTTCGCTGGTCAAACATCTTCCCTGCGTAACTCAAGGCATACAAAGACGGTTATAAGCAAGCACCAGTTGCAAAGCCACTTGAGCCTGCCACTCGTGTGGTTTGTGGTTGTGCTCCTGATACAAAGGTCCACAAGAATATCACTTGCATTTTTTAAGTGCGGTAAGCATTACTTTCAGGTTTTTCTTCTTTAGAGAAAAAATGAATAATCCTTGTCCTTCTTAGGTATTCGGCAGTTTGACATCGAGTACTGCAGATCGTGCCCTGACTATGCTTTGCCACTGGTACTCATGCGCCGTTACATGTTTCCTTTGACACCAAAAAACCCCGGCCTCGCGGTGCATATAAAGCTCATGCAGACTATTCACAATATGCACTACATTTGCAGCGTATCAATGCATAACATCGCCAAATGAGCCGAAGCAGTTTTGGATCAAGAGGTATTACTAACTTTATAAGGCGATGAAACATAGAACATTCAAATGTACTGATTCAAATGCACTCTTATCTATCAAGTTCCTGCTTCGTTCAAGCCTCGCATGAACGATGCACTTTCTGTTTTTGGCAGAATACTTCTCAGCTTGAAAAAGCAGTTAAGAGATCAGTGCGGCATCGAGAACAATGTTTGTCCCGGTTGTCGATATATGATATTGATACAATTTCTTTGTTGCTTTGATTTTGAATATATATGTGAATGCATATTCTAATAACTTTGTAGAATCACGCGAAGATCGTAGCGTTAGATGGCAACATTCTCTCTACTGCTGAATTACGTATATGTCTTAAACCACTATATCAGCTTAAATATTAGATCGCAACATTTCTCTTAGATTATATACATACATTATAACAGCCAGTCCTTTTATATACTAATAAACATTGACGTGCACTGTATTATGCATAGTTACTTCATCATTACATGTACCTGATGCACTGCACGACTTTGCAGAGGACCATGACACTCCCAACTCAAAACAATGGATTGAGCACAAATCGGTTCACGAAGAAGATTGCGGAAAGAAGAATAAGAATAGCACAACAGCCGCAAAGCCTCGTCGTCATTGCCTACACTAAGTCGAATCTTTTGATAGCTCTACCGATTCTTGCTTCTACCAGATTTTGTGCTCACCATGCTTTTTATCAAGGGCTATCTATTTTTGATACCGACATACTTTTTGATCAACACGCCATATCTCCTTCAGTGATAGTACGGATTAGATACCCAGCAAAGTGGCCTTTTGCTACCTTGCACAGGCCGTAGGATTGCTCATGGGTAATTTCTGCGCCGGTCGATGCCTAAACTACTAATTCGCTGCATGGCCAAAAAAAATCACGGAGTACAGTCGACTGCAATAATCCGGACAGCGGTGAGATCAAGAACGCGACAAAGAATAAATCTACCATAGGCCGCTTACTCAGATTAAACGGCCATTGAGATTCCCCATATACAGAAACTCGATTACAGTCTGTAAATATTGCTCTGAAGCTAGTATTTCTATTTTTTACAGATGGTTGCTCTCCATTGCATAGCCTACTTGGCCGTTTCGATCAATATTCCAAGTATCTGGTATGATTGTAATAGATGTATTAACCGACATAAAAAGACAGGCAAATTCTGGTTTATGTACTTTGATTTCTTGTCGTATGTGCGTTCACATTGAGCAGTAGTGAGCTTCAATGTTGAAGTCACAACTTCGGCAACGTAGTAGTTATTGGTTGGTCTTAAGCCAGGAGAAGGTGGCTTGATTAGCACCTTCTGCCGGCTTCTTTTATAAGTTATTGGTGTAGGCAGGACCTTTGATAATATGTACTTCGTTCTCATTTATGTACTATTCAATTCGCTATATAATAATTTACAAGACATCATCACTCACGCTAAATAGGGCGGTCGGATCGACAGTAATGCATCCCGCTATGGAAGCTGTGGTGTCTGGGCGGATATACACCATTTTGAGCATTTTACTGATGCTTTGTTATCTAGATACTAAGCATTACTATTGTACATGACGATTTCTAGCTTTTTACGTATCTAATACGTAAATAGATGGTGCTTATTCTCGAAATGTCTGATCCCTCAAAACTTTTGCTGTGCAGTATTGTTACAGGGCAGGAGAAAGAAAAGAAGGAAGTGGAAAATTAGTCTTCTTTTATATCTCTTGCCATCAAATGGTCTGATATAGCATGACGACAATTCCAAGAGTTCCAAAGCAATCATAGAATGGATTCTACAAATCTTGGTTTTTTCGTTTACTGTATGTAAGGTAGATCATACATACATAGATCGATAATCTTATACTCTGAGAAACTACAATATGCGCTTCAAGACACTTGGCATTGTCAGTAAAATGTTGGTGCAGATTAGTAGCTATATGACAAGTGGTACTGGTAGCGTCAAAATAACTTCATACTACCATTTTGTAGCAGGAGCAGATGACTTAATATACGCACGCCATTCGTTCAAAAGGAAGTACTACAGCTTGTAACTCATGTGTTACGCTCCTCTACCAGAGAGAAGGCGCTATCTCCTTATTTTAAAAACCTTTAAATCAAATAGCGACCTGCAAAATGCAACAAAGTACCGTTTGTACATCACAAATGCACAAACAGGTATGGCTATATTGAAAATTGCAATCTATAGATCGTATCTTGGTAGAAGAAAGAACTGCTGCTGTGGAGTTGTTGTATTATGGTATCAAACCACTCCGCTCCGTAAGTTGTTCTTGTGTTACAGAGTGCTCATACATCCACAGTATGTGGAACAAACAGATCACGCGTGGGATATGATGTGTAATAATGGTCATGTTCCTTTAACCTGTATTTAAAATGCAAAGTACAGAGCAACAACAACAACATACATCATTGATGAGAAGATGTCCAGATATAGGCAGCAAGGCAAATAGAGAAGCAAAGAGAATTTCTTTTGGATTATTGTACAACTGTAATAGCAGAAAAACGATTATAGTGAAGAAATGGGGAAGAGGCAAGAGAAAAATCAGTGGCAAAGTGGCCGGTAGAAAAGTGAATGACGCCTCTCAGATGCAAATAAGTATTAAGTAGAAGAACGGGAAGATGCGGAGGTCGGGGAGGTCGGAAATGATAGAGTTAAGTAATTAATCTGTTGGTATTGGGCATTGGAATGCAGATTCTCGTACCGAAGACGTTCTTTCCCATGTAATGCCACTGATCTGCTGCTTGACGTAAAATACAACGTTAAACGATGTGCCTCCTGTAGTCATTGTGCCATTATACGGCGTTACGGTGCCTGGGTTTTGGGCTTTGATACTACAAGCAACCAAGTTCTGTAAGGTGGTATCATCGCTTTTAGAAGAGCTGTAATCGATATCAACAATGACATTGATATCGAGCATTGACTGTCTACCAGGTAAAACCATCGAGCCGGTGCTGCCTGTACCGATCTGTTTGCCAGTAGACATATCTGCTGCCCTGATTTCAAAATTGCTTATCCGTGTAGGAACCCAGTTTTCCGAGTTGTCAACCGTGAAAGTAACGTTCCATGCACCCTGGAACACATTATCTACTTTGACCAATTCGACGCCATCGGCCCAATCCGCTCCATTGAGTACAATAGCATTCGCAAATCGCGGCCACACAAAGTACCAGACGATGGCAACGATAATCACAAACACAAATGTCCCAAACACTATCGTACGACGTCGTAAACCGCAGCATCTCCGCTTCTTCTTGCGCCTTTTGATTTCAGGCAAGCCTGCTGTACCTGCAGCCAATCCTTCATTATGCTGTTGGAACGATCGATGTTGTTGCTCAGACACACTGTCCATGGCGATATTGTCCTGCAGCAGCGAGCCAACGCCACCGTCTTTGGATGGAGAAACAAAGCTCGGCAAGTTCTCTTCCTCGATATACACTGGATCAGGCGTTGCAAACGGGTCGCCTCGGTCATGATGTGAATATGGCAAATACGAATTGGCGCGCTGCTGTGAATCCATACTCGATCTGTATTTCTCAGCACCAACAGCCATTGTGATTGCCGTCGTTGGGTATTCTTGTTGTTGTTGTTGGGATCGTGGTGGTACAGCGTATGGATCGTAAGGGTCATAATATGATCGATGTTGGTGATGTTTGGACGATTTTTTCTTGTTATGAGCGTTGTTGGTATGGGAAGGCAGGCCTGGGGCGAGTCGGCTGGTGCTACTATCTGATCCTGTTCGAGAATGGATTGCTTCGGATTCAACGGAATCTTGAGAAAACCAAAAAAAAAAGAACATGAGTATAATTAGCTTGTTTGTTCCAAGTTGTTGCTGGTGACACCAACCACCTCCTCCCCCTCTACTTCTTCAACACGCAAAGAAGAGAACGATTGAAAAAAAAAAAGTACATTCGCCTCAAAATTCCAAACTTACCTGGCGTGGCGCTTTTCCGTGCTGCTCGGTAGGGATCGGCAGGTGTAAAGTAGGATGACCCATGGCGATGTTTCTTCCTCCCTGGGGAGTAATCGTATTGACCAGGTGGTGGCTGACTCATATGTTCGAAGGCAGTGGAGCGAAAGAAGAGAAAGCAGAATTGGGCCACAAAAGTAACGGTAATACAGGTGTGGTGGCGTGAAAAAGGAAAGAGAGAAACATCGAAAGAGAAAAAGAAAAGGTCTTTTTTATCCTCCAGTAACCCGCCGCACAGACGTACACAGAGAAAAGCCTCTTGTTGTTTCTAGCCTCTAGCTCTCGACAAATTTTAGACTCTCATTGCACTTGTTGTTGTGTTTATCGTCTGTGTCCACCACCACTGCCATCGGTATCTACAGTATGCTGCAAATGCACTTGCCTGCAACGTATTCCCTCTGGCAACCCCTCATTGGAACAATGAGAGACCGGTGCATTTCATTATGCATCCCTTGTATAAATGCATGGCGTGTGCTTCACCTCCTCAGTAGCCATGATCACGAACTGTACTGTTCTTTTCTTTTGACCCGCCTTCAATTGAGTGTATTTATCACCCTTGTGCAACATGAATCAATTCTATAAAAAGAAGCATGCGTCCATAAAGGTCGTCTTTTTTCCTGATATTCACTTGTATCAATGAAGAGGATTTTAAATCTGTTGGATGCTACCGATATCATTTGCGTGTGTGCATCGATACGTCTCCTTACCTTTCTGTGCTCGACCACAGGCAGCATCGTCATCGGACTCTTTCGTACACATACTGCATTGTCGCAACATGCGCGATAATCGTCCATGTCAAAAGTAGATGTTTTACTCCGAAAAACCTTATACAGTACGGACTCCAACCGTCCCCCCGGCCTGGCTGGACAATCCCGATGAAAGAGAGCGCGTTGCCAAGAGAAGTTAATTAGAGTATCTTGCATCTCCATCGTAGACCAGTTGCTTCCTACGCAACGAACACAAATAGTAAGAAAAAAATATATTTATCGAACAGAATCATCGTTAATTCTCGTGTCGCCGAGGTTTTCTTACATACCATGTCAAATTCCTGGGACTAGTATCGTGTTTCATTGTTAAGTAAAGTGCTTTTGCGTTACATCACCTGTGATGCAGCTATTATAATGATTTGGCAATTTCAACATCTAGAAAACGGGACTTGCTCAGAACGATATGTACAGAATGCTGCTTCTTGTAAGAGTGCCATTTCTCAAGCTGATATCTGGCTGGCATGCAGCAGCTTAACGATCAGCAACCTTTGATGTTAACGGCATAAACGTGACACGTTTATTGCCAAGAACTTAATCTCTTATTAGAGTTATGCTTCAAAACGCGATATCATATATGAACATGTCGTGCTATACGTGCTAGACATGTAGACTATACACAGACACTTACACTCACTTACACCAGCAACAACATGTTCCTGTAGATAACCAGTTTCCATTTCATGGGTATGCGAATTTATGGATAAAGCGGTAAAGCCAGGGATGAACAATTTCTCAACTTGCTATCTTACAAATCGTTTAATACGCTGTCAAACGCTTGTTCATATATAATACCATGGAGAATGAGGAAGGCGCCTCGAATAGTAAGTAATGGAGCTGATTACTTTGGATCAACAGTACAGAAAAGTAAGCTGACATCCTTTACTTTTTTTCTGTCAAACAGATGAGCGAATGCTTGCAGCATGTCGCAACGATCAAGATGATTTATTAAAAGAGATTTTAAAAGCGACTGATATCGATGTGAACTTTTCTGACGCGATTGGTGACACAACTCTACACTATGCGTAAGTTTCGCAGAATTTTCCTTTTTCATTTTCATCACCGTCCACTATATCACTTTGGAAGTGAAAAGGATAAATTCTTAAGGGAAATTAGTTGGTAATCCATTGTGTTTAGCGCATCGTTTGGATCCTTGGCATGCTTGGAAATATTGGTGAATCTTGATGGAATTAACTTAAACGCGCGCAATCGAATTGAAAAGAACACACCGCTTCATAAAGCGGTTCAGTACACGGAAGAAGATGTGGCCTTGGCCACGGTAGATCTATTATTGGAAGCCGGTGCTGACCCTAGGTAAGTTTGATCATCACTATCATACACCAACTAGGTCAAAGTTTATTTTTATATGTGTGTTAAATATAAATCAACAACAGGATCGAAAACGGAAACCGCATGACACCAGCTATGTTGGTAGATCCAAAGAACGATGATATGAAAGAGCTTTTCGATAATGCATTAGCAGGATACGAAGTGGTAAGGAAAGAAAGACACCGTTGCTTATTCACACGATGAGTGCCATCGATACTGTTATATTATGTGTGGATTATGAAGCTAAATGTCGTTTTCATTTAGGATGATTCCGATATTGCGGAGGATTATGCAGACGAAGGCGATGTAGGAGCAGCGGGGGAATACAACAGTGACGATTATGAGCAATAAAAAAGAGTAATCATAAGTAAGAGGTTTCAGCTAATAGTTGTCATTGAATTATCGAAAATCTTTGCCAATTGCTCGGCAGCTGGAGCCTTGTTAGGAGTTAGCTTGGTGACCCGGTGTTGCGGTAAAGTGCCTTCTACTAATGCAGGAACCATGGAAGGGTCTGAATCAGTTAATCCGTTGGGTACGTTCAGGTCTTCAAGGAAACGAGTTGGCGCTTCCCAATCAAGACATCGCCAGCCGTTGATGACTTGATGGCAGCAGGATCCATACCAAAGGCGATAGCAGCATCGGCATGGCAAAGCGGAGCTCAGAAGGTGCTGTCAAGGAAACAGATACGCCGTGAGGGTCTAATGGATGGTCAACATCATAGCCAGGATGCTTGTACGTCTTGTTCAATGCACTGATATCATAGGATAAATCATACGGTGACATAAGTGAACGCCTGCGCTACCGAAACCAACGCTATCATATAAGCAACAAGCGCATATCCCATCCGTCCTCGCCCATGACTTGTTAACAAACATTCATCCATAGCAATAATAGAAGTACAAAGAGGGATAGAGAGAAAACGGCTGGATTCACAGAATCAAGTTCATTCTTTACCCCGCAAAGATCGTGGCAAGAAGCATCTAAGGCTTGCGGCTTTTGCTGTATCCATGACTGATCCAGCACCAACAGCAACAAATGAATCCGGCTGGTGCTGCCGAGCAAAATCAATGCCTTTGTTTGAAGCTTTCAATACATAGGATAGGCTCTACAGGCACTGTGTCATATTAACAAAATTGGCGCCGTGCTGATCGAGAGATTCCACTACACGTTTGAGTAGTGTTAACTTGGCGATCTATATATATACGCATGTTAGATATGCGTGTGAATGATAGAACGTTTGTTGTTGGTCGTTATATGCTTCCAAATTGGTAACTTTTTGAATAGATCCCACATCCTGTACTGTTTTACACAACGTGAGCGGAATTGTTTTCTTTTATGATAGACAGAAGTAAAAAGTGCTTAAAAAGATAACAAGGCCTTGCTTCAAACTTATCCTTTATGGCGATTGACGGTTTTCTAATGTTTTAATTGAGGGAAAGTCTTTTTGAATAACTGTTTAAATTTCTCTAATCACGGTTATGGAAAAGAATAGTATATTCAACGTTCTTGCAGCACGGGTATATCCTTTTGACTTTGTGCTTTTATCTTTGAAGGAAACATTTTCCTTCAAGCCTGTATCACATATCCAGACTTTATAATCCGTACGACGTAGAGCAGCAAGCAGTGGTTTCATACAACAGCATGCACAGCGCCCTGATGTGGCAGTTCCACCTACGTTATAGATAAAAGACAAACAGAGTTAGAGTTATTTCACATGCTAATTTTTTCTGTTCCTCGGAGCAGAAAAAAATGGGAGTGATGACATACATTGTCAAACTGAACTTACTTATAATGCACCGCAAATACATATTTGCAATGACATCCTTGCAGCCATCAAAGGATACGGCGACAGAAGTCTTGAAAACTCGGTGATAGTGCATTTGCAAAAGGAAAAAGAAAACGTATCCAAAGAAGCAGACACTGACGGCTGGTTGTCTTGCCCGGGTAGGTGCGGACTCATTACAGTAATTCAAAAACATCAAGAGTCAGGGATACTGTTCAATGATGGTAATGTCGAAGTCCAGTATTTAAAAGGCGCGCGAGTAAGAGTTTATAATAAAATGAAGAGCTCAGATGTTACTGTTACTGCCAACAGGAACAAATCTAGTGCTGTGTCATATTTATTTATGCAAGCAACCTATACGATACATACTTTATTAATGTACTTAATCTAACAATAATTCCTTTCTGCACGAGCGAACCATTTATGATGTTGCTCTCAAATAGGAATACGCTCTAATAAAGCAATGCATAAATTTACCCTAAGGATATGTATTTTAACTGCTGTGTTTTTGTTTCACCCACCTATTCGCCGCATCTGTACGCCCTCCACAACTCTTTCTCTCACACCATGCACTAGACGTATTATGCATGACCACTTGTCTTCTCTTCTATAACCTTCAGGCGCTATAATCATAGTCTCCCAATATCATCCAGCCCAACCTCGACAACATTTAATAGCACATCAAGGACTTGTACGATGCCATATTACACCAAGGAACATTTATATCAACAGATATAGTCGAACATCAAGCAATTCATACGCGTGTATTAATGTATAACTTATATCAGACAGAACTTCCATTTGAGCTCTTGCTCCTTCTTTGATCTATCATGGTGATGTTTCTAATGTATTTCACTCTTGTAAAATTAGTAAAGACCTATTGGTGTAGGATGATGCTTAGTATAGAGTCATGGTCGCAGGATTAGGAAGGGACCAACGACATGTAACTTACTTACTCGGTTGATTATCCTGAAGGTTGTTCGAACAAATAGAAAATGTTCTTTTTCGGGTACTTCTTAATATTGTTACTGATTCGATTCCGTATCTCAAAAAGAGGTCTGAGCCCAGTTGGTTTTTATGTGCATAGATATACTCTATCCAAGCAGCTGGTGAGTAATGTAGTCGAGCTTTTCTTGTATGAGTTCAAGGATTTTTGCTACCTGAGTCCCCAAAGCGATTTGCCCATAAAGAACGTCTGAACGCAGAACCGGTTAAAATTCATAGTATTTCCTTTCAGTTACAGAAAAAGCCATATACCCCATATACACGGCTTACAAAGTCATCAAACAGCAATGTTCAAATTTAAAATATAGATGCTCTTGTTGTAGTGTACATTCATATGAACAAGAAGGAACATTAGCTGAAAAGATGCTAGAACTAAATAAAATATGTATAGAGAAGGGGAAATTTAAGAGCGAAGGACACAGGATAAAAGTAGAAAGGTAATGAGTTGTATGTAGAGTTAAATGAGAGAATAATATGATAATATGATAGAAATATGGAGATGGGGAGGGGATGTTATTTCGTTTACTGTACAAGTTCTTGAGGACGGCTGAGGATCATGTTTGGCACGGGGCTGTAAATATACTATGAATTCCAGATACAAAGACATGTTAGCATATGTTGCACAAACCCAATAAGTACATAGTGATAACTTACGTCGCGGTACAGCTCCTCAATCTTCATTCTGATCAAACATTTGCCAGGGACCTTCTCTTGCACCATAAAGAACTGATACATTGGATGATCGCGAGGAATCAACTCGGCAAGGTGCGTTCGGACCATTTCCCAGCCACGGCCATTGTGATGCATACCCAATACACGGATCAGACGCTGGAACTGTGAATGAAAGAGAGTGTGGTAGAGCAGCTTGTATACTTCGTCCATGGAATGTGCAACAACACAGCTGTCGGGAAGGACATCCAATTCAACACCACATGACTTTTTGAGCGTTGGGTTATGCGCCTTGACGCCACCAAAGTCGCGGATGACAAAGCCCTTGAGCTCGCCGGTACGTCGGTCAAATCGACACATGGTGTTCTGACCATGGGCTTCAAAAGCCACACCATTCTCCAAAGCTGGCGGAATAAATGCCTTAAGAGCAAGCTGAATGTAACGATCCAAAAATGCTATGCGCTTCTCCTCGGTATCCAAGTTCCATACATGCGTTGCCAAGGTCTCCTGGGTATCCGGTTTTTGGATCTTTTCGACCAAAGCAGCAGCCACAATGATAACGTCGTCGTTAGGGGTAGGGTTGGATGGGTATTCGATGGCTTCACGCAACACACAGCTGCAGTGCTTGGCAACGTCAGTATCTGGATGGCTGTAGACTGCACTGGCTAATTCGCGCTCGATGGTCAACACTTTGCGGTCGTAGGAGAGTCGGGGGACAACGTTGGCAGAAAAACCAGGGCCAAAGTAGGTGGTGTACGGGGTGATGGTGCGCAGGGCGGAGGAAACCTTGATGCCAACGCACAGCTTGACGGTGAGATCCTTGAGAACGTCTGGGATGGCGACCGAGCGGATGGAAGTCAGGCTGTGCGCGGTCACATTGTTCGCCTCGGGTAGTACAGACGCGTCCTTGAATCGCTCGAGAACATTGGGGATTTGAAATTCGTGAACAGGCATCAGCACGTGGTCAGCGTGCTTTGCGCGCAATTCCCGTGCGTTGCCCGTCTTTTCCAATATCGCATCGACCAACGGAGCAGCCAAAGTCTCAAATTCTCCGCGAAGTTGCATTGATGAGCGGGGAATAGACAGCAAGCGGAGCTTGGGTGTTTCAAGATTGACTTGACCAGGGTTCAATGGTGGCAATGGCGGATAGCTGCGACGTGCCTTATGCATCTGCATCACACAATAAGATTATTAATATGATGTCATCTTTCAAAATAAGAAAATAAGGCCCTCTTTTCCCCACCAAACTTACAGGATGTGTGGCGTGGCCTTCAACAATCGATTGTTCCCACTGGATGGAAGAAGATTCGAGAGTTGGCAGGGGTTTCGGATAGTCGTATGTGTAAGCTGGGTGTAGCGGGGAGCAAATCCCGAGAAATCATCATGACATAAAATTAGCATACACCATCGTCGATTGATAAGGAGTAACAACATCGTCTTCTGGTCCCTCAAAAAGTCTAATTGAACCCAAAACTTACTTTGATGAATCATAGAGCTTGCCAATTCCGATGCGATGAGATCCGTGAGCTTATCGGTCACACCAAAGTCATGGGCAAACTGTTGCCAAAGCTGGACCGCATCATAACCATCAGCCAAAGCAGCATCCCGGAAGCCCAGCTTGGTAAGGTTCTGGATCACTTGACGATAGATGGTTTCCGAATCGGCCAAAGTGTTAGGGAAGGTATTGTTCACATAAGCTTGAGGAGAGTAGATATGGGGCAGCATATCCCACGGGTCCACCAGACCAATCTTGTAGCATTGTACACCGTTCACTGTAGTCTTCTTTCCCATGTCGAGTTCCGGAACGCCGCGCAAAGGAATGACGGTCAAGACGTTGTTATCCAATGAAGAGACTCGGGCAGACGATAATTTGATTTTATCGGCCGAACCGCGGATACGCATCAACATGCACAAGCCAGTTATCGTGCCATCCTGTCCTTGCTGCTGTTGTTGTTGTGGTTCTTGTGGGCAGTAATAAGCATTCACCAGACCTTCTGAAACCAAGCACGCGACGAGTCTGGATGTGGTGGCGAATTTGCCATAGTAAGGGTTTTTGGCTGTAGAGTATGGAGCAGGCATGTTTTAGAAATGAAAAAGATATGCGAGTAGAAAAAAAAAAGAGGCAGAAAATAGCCGGCGTGTGTTGGTGTTATTAAGCAGCTGAGAAAAGAGGGAAGTAAAAGTGAAAAGCGAAAAGCGAATCGTTTCTTTTATAAAATAAAAAAAAAACTACAAGAAAAAAACCCCGCCTGCCCCCAATCGCGTTCAATAAGCCCAAGCACAATCGTTAATCAGATCCTCTGGAAGACGATCTGATAATTTCGAAGAATGGGTCGATATGCGGACGACAGAGGGATTTTGCTCAAAGGTTACACAGGGAACTCCGTATTGTGGATTTTTTTTTTCATTCAATCTCGCGACGTTGCCAAACCGTACCCTGGTCACATATTAGATACAGGTTTATATTAAGTATCTTATACCATGTTAACAAAAGTGTCCATGGGTAGTCAATGGGAACCTTGTAAGTAGTCACCGGGCTCAATAACTAACAATGGATGCTGCTCTTGTCGTGGATGACTACGAAGAGAGAGACGCGTTTTCCTCAAGAATATACCATTCTCACAAATTTAATCTTCGCTGTTGAATCACGAAGAACAGCCCGTAACTGAGTTTTTTCGGCTATCCATGATCGATCTTTGACCGTGTCACCGTACATCGCTGGACGTTGATCACTGTCGCTCCCGTTCCCGCTAACCCGATGAATGACCCCGGTGCTTACGAATGTTGTGTTCCCCTGCGATTTGAATGTCAGTAGAACAGCCCAGCATACTGTGTGCTACATTTCTACCCTTTACGGGTCTTATTTTCCTATACTCGAATGGACAATCTTCCCATATATAAAATCAAACAGGAACCAAGGGTGATTGTGCTCTGATCAAATGTAATAAGTTCAGTGTTCACGTGTTATAAACTTTAGTTATTGGATGGAGAAAAGCATAAGATCATAGTAAGCTTCTGTTTACTTTAATAAGCTGTGATTTCGACAATAACATTAATAAAGATATGCAGATGCATATTAAAGGATACACAATTCGAGCAAAGAGAATTTGGCTGCCCGATGAGCTTAGAGTTTAGAGACCATACTGCTTCACAACAGTTAATAGTTCTATTTCTGTCCTTTTTATCAGATCCGAGAATTGATTGCTAGTCTAACCTGACCCTACCAGTAGTAGTACTACAAGTAGTCTATTATCTGGTCCTATTTACTTATCTCACGCTAAAGAAAATTAATTGCAAGCATAATAACTGTTAATACGTAACTGACTACTACTTCAATGTACGCTACCCACATAATGTATGCATATGTCAAAATCCACGTATATAAAAATCGTGATCAAATGGGAGAAAAACTTGTGTACCTGTTTCCCTCTTTACACAAAGATGAAAAGAATAGTAAGTAGCTAAATACTTAAAAAGAACGTTACAAAGCAATGCATGGGTCCCTGGTGATTGTTCACGGCCGTGATTTTTTTCACGAGGAAAAAAAAGGAAGGCTCCCATACACAAACGCATTAGATTCTCGGGTCAACCTTTTGCTCATTTAGCGTCCTACTAAGAGATGATTTTTTCCTTTTAAACGGTAAAGACCAGGATCACCCTAGTACATGGTATCAAGCAAGCAGAAAGAAGAAAAGAGATTGATTTTGTCGTATTAAATAATATAGGATGTGACTTGGACAACAACGCAATTTACAGTTGTTGCACATAGCATCCAATACACTGGTACATGCCTTATTTAATCTAAAAGGCATGATAATTAGCCGATGTCACAGGATCAAACAAGCAAAATAATATCATGCCCGCCGCCCGATCTTTATCTCACTACTGTAATTGGATCACCGTGGCCAACAAGGGAGCCCAGATTAACGTGATATCGTCATTTTCATATCACATAGCTTTAGCTCGTGGTCTCTTGTAAAGAGATGTAAACCTTGTAAACAGAACAGTATTTTGGGGGAAAAGGGGATGGTGGGACATCTAATTAGCCCGATGAGGACGGGTAAATATGCAACATATCGTCTTATTTCCTGAAAAGAAGAAGTACATACCGTCACATATACTACGAAAAGGAGTATATCATCATCCCAAAGCTTTTCAGAAGAAATAGACCGAGCATATGATGGATTTAATCTACCTCTCTACGTCTTCAGTACCCTGGTTGAGAAACCCTGGTAAATGTGGTGCATTCTTTCCATTACCCGGTTCTCCTTGCTCAATTAACTCGGTATACATCAGCATCGTTGTTGTGATCCCAACAAGAAGAACGATCGGGTGAGATAATGAATGAGCGAGCACATATATAACAAATTATCTAGTTCGATGCTGTACATACACATACACAGAAGAAAACAAAACAATCAAGATTGTACTATAATTAGTTCATGTGGAACCAGGCTTTATTTTATCAATGCTGTCTTGTTAACGCCCAATAATTTCTTAAGACTATACAGTTCCTATACGGCAGCCTAATATGTCTGTAACATGAAGTATATCATTTGAGTTTTCACGATTGGGTGAAAAGGAGTGGGGGGATACCTGGGAAAGAGGGGAGGTTGTCAACAACGTCGACAAAATCTCGAACATGAAAGTTGATACAAGGGTGATAAATATGCGATTAGCGGTACCGAAACTGTGGATTCGACCTTGCAGTACGTATAATAAGTGATGATTACGGTAGCCACGTAATGTTACGTGATGATCGCATCCTATCAAAAATCGCGTCGAATACCTAAGATCTTTTTATCGTGATCTCTCGGATTCTAGCTTAGAATGCTTTTTTGAATCGTTGTTTTTCTCGTCAGAGAACAACAGGTATAGTCGCTTACAGTTGTATAAAGATAAGTAACAAAAATAGAAAACTCATTATACGGCATTTGACGCCATGGTTTTAGGCTGGGTAAAGGCTTTTTATGAGCACTTGCGTGTATTCGTAGATCTATTTATTGTATGAACCGCAACGCTTAGTATTTGCATCGTTTTATTTTCTGAATATACTTTGCAAGGACTACTGTATTAACAAGATGTCTCGGGAACTATTGAAGGCTTCAAAAAGCATAAGATTACAACCTCAAAGCTGTGTGGGTCATGATGTATGAGCATGTCGAGACGTATCGGAATATCCAGTTTACGAACGTATACATACAACGCATCTGCCAGCTTCCACTTTTATATCTCTTTCGTTTCCTAAATAATATGAGTACGTTAAAGAAGTCTCCACATTTTGAAACCGATGGACTTGCACACATTCTACTATTTTCCCCGTTCTAGTTCGTGGAGGTACAGTAATCTATTTTATTTCGTCTCGAATTTCTTTCCATACATGGAGTACAATATATCTTTTCCTTTATCAGTAAACGGTTTGCGCAGCAGAATATCTCAAAGCAAACTCTCAAGAGACTTTCCACAAACAGCTTGGCCTGAATAATTTTCATATATTCTTGCTTTTTCGCTTTCTTACGGGCATAGAACCAGTATGTTCTTGGTTGCTATATTTCTACATACAACATCTGTCTGATCATCATCATTGGTAACCAGTTGCGCTTATGCTTCTTTTTTCACGAATTTATATAATTAACATAATAGAAGAGATATGGAATGAAAAAACAAAACCACCATCAACAATGCATATAATAGTTCTCTACCTTTGCCTGAAGTATCAATTAAGTTGCTTGTAATAGACCGATGATATATTGGACGGGCGTATGGAAATTGTGTAGGTTGGCGTAGACTGTAAGCGACAAATACAATCTGTAGTGCTGTCTAGTACAGACCAGAAGCTCGCACGTGCATATATATCACATGTGACATTCGTCAGAGATATACGTACACGAGCTGACCGATGTAAATACCAACAATGAAAGTGATAGGGTCGGTTTTACTATCGTTGCCACATTTAAACGCCAACGTACTCTTCATAATTTCTGGTCAATTCAAGTTGAGATCCTACAATCTCTTTTTTTTTGCTACCAGCGTTTTTCTTTCCGTCTTGGGCTGTCCCATATTCTTTTATATCGCAGAAGAATTCTGGGCGGAATGGAGGCATTTGACTGTAAGCCAGTGACAGCACCTCCTCAACAGTTGTTGATACCGATGAATGTTTGATCCCCGTCTAAATAGACATAATCAATAACGCCCAGAGCCCACAACGTTTACACTCTGCAACTAGGCGTTTCGATTCAATACATGCATTCTGCAAATTGTTAAAAGCTTTCGTTCAAGATGGATCAAACGCGCAACATGAAGTTCAATTTCGATCTATTGGAAGCAGGATAGTACATTCTCTCTGTACATCTGAATAAACTTGAGCAAGGTATGCTTCAAGCAATCTTCGTCGCTTTTACCCATAAGGGTCATACGAATGGAGAAGGGGCGATAATTTTTTGTAAATAGCATTGTGTATCTTCTCCTTCTTCTTCTGCTGTAAAGTGGGGTAATGATACTGTTGTTGTCGTTTTACGATGATGCTGAAGCTGCCGAAAGACAAAAACGATTTTGTCGAACCTATAGGAGCAAATACCGACCGCTTGTGCTACCTGAAGCGAGTTACAAAAGCGGAGCATTGAAGGGCGGAACAGTTGTTCTGTGCATGGAAGGCTGTGGTGATGGTTGGTGGGGATTCATTGTCCGCGCTACTGGACAACGAGCCTGCGTTATGTATGACGATAGATCTTGCCAGTCTAACTTCAATGGCTTCTTTTTAGAGGCCCACATATAACAATCTTAACGCAAAATATAACAATTTGACATTAACAATGTGTTTTTTTATGTTTGAGCAACAGTTTGATACGGCAGGTTGATCACCTGTTAGTTGTCAATCACGAAATGCTACTTCTTGTATTCAACAAAAGTAGATACGCTTGGTTCAGCGATGCTTCTTAGGTAGTTTTCAGTGACTTTTGGTTTTAAAGGCTTTAAACTTGTGTTTTGAGCAAGATCGTCGAGAAGATTTCTGTGCTTCCAAATGGTATGAATGTATCTCGCCCTCTTTTACAACTTTCTCGCTCTGAGCATCACTGTCCGTTGGAAGCGTGACATGATTACTGTATTAAATTCGACAACAGCAGCTGAGACAACTTGCGATAGTGCATGTTCTGGACAAGATTGCTGAACCTCTTATTGTTCGATACAGGGATCTTGAGAGACGACCGACGTGTCGCCTGAACTTTGATATTATGACGGAATTGTATGAAAACCCCATACATGTATGATTTGGGTGACGCGCGGTTGTTGTCGTATTCGAACTTCTAAGCATGCATCATCTTGCTCTTCAGCACTTCAGGACAGTAAAACTGTCCGTTTTCCTGCCCAATTTAAACGTGTTATCCTTGCCGCCTTCCGCACAACCGTATTCACATTCATTATGTAATAAGATTAGATTAGGACGCTAAGGCGACTGTCTAGGATCAATTATCGCTAAAAGAGCGATGGTAAGGCCATGGTTAACATTCATCGTCGTCGAAATTGAGACATTGTCTCTACAGAACATTAAAAGAGATAACCTAAGCCATTCTAACTTATAACATACCTTCGTATTTAAGCTTGGATGTCATCGAAGCATTTATTCAATTTGCACCATATGTCGCAAACAAATAACATCTCTGGTCCGTCATTATGGGTCCACAATAACATAGTCTGTAATATCTAAGCAATGTGCCCTCGACTCAAACTTTATCGTATCACGTATAGAAGTGCAAAAGGTTTCTTCTTCTCATCTAGTACTGTCGCTTTATCGCTAACGCTTTTGCTGAAGATGACGACACTGATTCTTTTTCTGCATGCGCGTTTCGCAGTACTGTTGTGCATTTTTAAAATTACTCTTGAGGCCTGCATGAGGATTCGAAAATGAAAGGTTGCCAGTTGATGCACTTTTTCTTCCAACTTTTGCTGTTAAAACAACAGAAATATACCTAGTTTCTACTTTTCATTTTGGTGATTGTTGTTTTTGATGAGCGTGATGTGTCGCCTGGTTATTACAGAACTAATGATGATGACGAGTGTTTATAACGCGGTGCTTCTAACAGGAGAGACCTCCATTAGAAAGGATTCATATTACACTTGTTGATGAAGTTGATCCACTTGAATAAATTTGGTATTACCTGGTTTTGACATTTCCCAAATAATTTTGTAGATCATCGCTGCTATAGTAGCACTTTGTATGCGGGTATACTTCATGCGTTGTATAATAAGAGCTTCTGTAGCGCATATATGAATGTACCAAATGCAGCTACAGTCGTTTAGCGACAGCATTAACAGACGTGCTCGTCAAAGTATTTTGATTTCGTTTCGAAATTATTGACTGTAAGCTGTTTGTTTGCTTCGACAAATTAGAAAAGCTAGGTTTATGTCTTTGATAAGGTGGTTTCTGATAAGCTTTTTAAAAGTACGTTAGTAAATGTTTAGAAACTATGGCATACCTTGATCTATCACTATTTGGTCGCAGTGAGTGATATAAGGCGGAGATTACGAGGCAAATCATGCGACGCGTTACGTTGGCAGCATTTGAGTTTTTTGGGATATTTGATATCATAAAGGATCAACATCATCATGCTTGAACACGGCTGCTGTGCTTCTATGTAACACGTAAGATATTCACCAGTATTTTATTATACCGTACTGCTTTTTTGGGAGTCAAGTTATAGTGCTCAGTAAAAGAACACCTCCTTGATCGGTAATACTCTTACAGTGAAAATGTCGATATATTAGCAACTACTCCGGATAATGTTGACGTCGCCAAGAGAGAAAGAAAGGTTAGCTAAAAGAAAGCAAGGGCAGCGCAGTGTAGTCCTACAAGAGGAAGGTTGCGAACACGACGTTGGCGGCATCGCTTGTTGAAACTGTCATATCGATGGGGACTTCGCCAAAGTCATTTCCCTCTCCCCGCTTGTCTTCCACTTCCAACTCCTTACACACACATACTGCACCATTCGCTCTTGCGATGACATGCTTCAAAAATTACACAGCGATAGCTGAAATGAAGCTGAGATTTTGTGAGAAAGGGAAGAACAACGTAGGATTTGTCAAAAAAGATGGGAATGGGCAGGAACAGCTAATCAATGGCTGCGAAACAAACTCCATGCAGACAACTGTATGGACGGACTTGACACATTTAAAAAAGGTAAAGCCGGATACAGATAAAATAAAATAGGCATTTGACTTGTGTGGAAAGTGACGGGAATGCGGACATCATCATTACTGCTACCGCGCTGCTTTTTCCATTGTCTGCTGAAAACATTAAAAGTTTATAGTGTATTGGACTCACCAAGATATACATGTTTGAGAGTTGATGAAATTTAATAACCTACTATGAAGAAGTGATTACGCTTTCCAGTCGTTGACTATTGAGGTTACTGACTGGTTGAGCAACAAGTATATATATGTGTGTACATTGCGCTTATTTTGCCTCGTCACTACGTGCTACTTTGAAGGAGAGACAACACTGCTGCTAGTTTCTAAATGGAAGCGCTATTAACGCCGCGATACAGTACGCCCTAAGACTCAACGGCCACGTACGCTTGGGAACACAGCCTTCTCCAGATACTTTCGGTTTCTAATGCTCATTCAAAATTATAGTATTGGACTGTGTCTTGAGGAAAGGAAAGAAAAGCTCTACATAGAAAGGATGCACGCGATGATTTTGTTAATATGGCTTATAGTAGTAGCTAGTTGAACGCCGCTCGGTTCAAAGAATTTGGACCGCAGCACTTGGATTCTTCTAATTTTGGTTGTCAAACACAGTATAAAGAAACTCCCCAAAATGGCTGACGATGCTCCATTTTCGTTTGCATTTGACGACGATGTATTTGTAACCAAAGCTGAACGCATCATTCCCGAGCAAGCACCCTATACGGCCAAAGAAGAGAACGACGGTGTAAGAATTTTTTTTCACCTCAAAAGATCGGGATCTTTTAATGTATACAACTCGATCTAAAAGGACCCTTCTCTTTTTTTTTACCCCAAAAAAAAATTATAGTGGTTTCATTCTTTTGACGATTATGATAGTTTAATGCTCGAAAGACACGGACCGAATCAGTTGAAAAGTGCAATTGAACATGATTATTTCCGTAAACGCTATGCGCAAGCTTTGAAAGGTGCACTCAGATATATCGAATTAACGGATGCTGGACGGTCCAAAGTGAGCAATACTCGAGAAATGACTGAAATTGCTATACACTGTGCAGTGCGATGCAATAAGTTGGATGTGGCAGAAAAGCTGCTCGATCGGCCTCAGGTAAATTAATTGATTTGGGTTTAGGGTTTGGGGAACAGTGGGGTTGAGAAGAAGAGAAAAGCTTAATTCATATATTTGTAAACTGCACACAGACCACACAAGAAATGGGCAATTTGTTAGTTCAGGCACGGGTCTATCCACTTTGTGGTCGGCCCGGTGACGCCCTGTCTGCTGTGGTCCGGTACCACAAGCTACGACGCTTAGATTACCATGCTTGGCATCTCTCAGCGACCATCATGTACACTCCTCCCTTACCACAGGTCAATAGTCATGCTGTGTCTGCGATGCGAAACCATATAGCCCATGCAGCGATTCAACGATCTATCAGAATCATGACAGCAAGTCAGTGGGCGCTATCTATTGACCATGTACGAAGGCGGTATGAACGCGAACTGGAGCAGCTGCAGACACTCGCCAAACAGATCACCGAAAACCAAGGCAACGCGGACACTTTTTTCACATGGATGCAGTCTGTATCACCACCAGCGTCCCACCCCGAGCAACTGGCGTCAGTGGGCTTGGATATGTTTGATGCAGATGACATTGATTTCATATATCGCACGTGTGTCATGTATCAAGAGGGTGCAGAACAGCTAGAAGAAAATGAATCAAGGCACGTAAGAGAACTCTGAGAAAAGAAACAAGCTCTTTCTCGAGGTGTTGTAATCTGTCCCTCTTCTCCCTTGTTCATCCCATCATTTGTTCATTCGTTAGCCGTCCCTTCTTCGTTCCTCCTCTTTTTTCTATTCCTCCCTCGACATCCAATCGTTACTCAGTTCAAAACAGGTTCATTTTAAAACTGGGAAAAGGGGGCGATTTATTCTTTTCTTATCAGCAAAGGGTTTAGAAAGAAAATTGGTTCGGATATATAATGTTTGTGGGTGCGTTCAAGAAATGGGAAACATGAGAAAAAGTGTGAGAGGAAGATAAAGAAAGGGATAGAGAAAGAGAGAGAGGGAAGAAATGGACCGGGTAATCTACTCTTGCGTTTCCTCTTCGTTCTTGGGAGCCTTGTCAGCCTTGTCAGTGTCTAATCATACGAGTTGGAAAAAAAAAAAGTCAGTAAAAGTATGCATGTACAACCCGTCCAAAGCCTCTTTTTCTCCATTCCCATTCCAACGCTCTTTATCGATGCCCATGTGTCGTCGCATTCCTAACCTTCTTGCAGATCTGAAGTCCAGAGCGTCAAGTTGTCTCTCAGCAACTGCATGATCAAAGTGGAATCCTTGTAAGACTCTTCACTGAGTGTATCGAGCTCTGCAATGGCATCGTCGAAGGCTTGCTTGGCCAAATGGCAGGCACGGTCGGGCGAGTTCAAGATCTCGTAGTAGAAGACCGAGAAGTTGAGAGCCAAGCCCAAGCGGATGGGGTGGGTGGTGGCAAGATCGACCTGGGCAACGTCAGTGGCAGTCTTGTAGGCTTCGTGAGCAGCGGTTGCAGCATCTTTGCGTTCATCGCCCGTGGCATATTCCGCGACGTAACGGTGGTAATCGCCCTTCCTATATTTAGTAGAAGATTTTTTTATTATCGGTGGTGAGTGTCACACAAAAGGGAGGCTGGGCCAAACAACAAGGAAGGAAGGACGGAAAAAACTCTTTCTCATACACACACACACACACACACACTACACAAAACTCTATATACGTTGTGTATGTATTGTAATGTGTGCTCTGAATATGTGTGTGTGTGTGTGTGTGTGTCCCACACTAAAAAAACTTACATCTTGTAGTAAAAGACCTTGGCCTCACCCTCAGAGGCCGAGGGGATCAAGGAGTCGGTGAGAAGGTCCAAGATGTCGTTACAAACATCGTACAACTCGTTTTCGACCTTCTTGCGGTATTCCTTGATCTTGGTTACCTGAGCCTCGTGGCCCTTGCTTTCTTCCTTTTGCTCAATAGAAGACACGATTCGCCACGACGCACGGCGTGCACCAATCACGTTCTTGTACGCGACAGACAAGAGGTTACGCTCTTCGACAGACAAATCGACGCCCATCTAGGTAACATCATCATATCAGTGGTCGTTATATAAAGATATAGAAGCAGGTTGTCACTCATAATGAAAAGCATGGAAAAAGAGCTTCTTACCTTGGCCACTTCCTTCATATAGGAAACCATTTCTATTGAACAGTGTATATGTTGAAAAAGTTAATATAGAATATAGTCGTGCCATAAACAAAGCAAAATAAGGGGGGGGGATGGCGACCCAAGAGAAAAAAAAAAGGTTAGGGAAAGAAAAAGAGGTACTCTACCATCGTATCGTTCAGCCTGTTCGGCAATCTTGGCCATGTAGACCTATATCAGATAGAAACATTTAAAAACAAAAAGTTCAATGGAAAAAGTTCTGAACGGATTTGCACAATCTTTCATCTGTGCCAAGATTATATCCCATCCCTCATCTCCTATAGTTCTATGCTTTTCTCTCCCACAAAAAGCCCAAAGTGACAGAAAAGAAGGAACAACGTTTGTCTTTTTTTACCTTATCTTCGCGTTCCTAAAAGTGTATAGAAGCATAACGGGTGAGAATTGGACGAACGAACAGATTACAAACAAAAGGAGGAACCAGTAGACACGAAAAGTTGGAAGGATGGCAATAGATGGAAGAAAATAATTACTTACGGTGGACATGTTTTAGGTGTAAGCGTGCGTACGGGATGAAAAGTAAAAGAAGCGGTAGAAGAAAAAAGAACTAGCCGGACCGAAGGTGCGAGAAAACCAAGTAAAACAGGAGTGCGAAAGCTGACGGAGACAGTACACACGCACAGAGAGAGAGAGAGAGAGAGAGAGAGAGGGAAGGGGAGGGGACGTCACTTTTGTCACCTGACCCGTGCTTAATTTACTTACACACACACACACACACTCCCTCCGCTCCTCTCTTGTATACGATGAACATCCAGCCATAACGGAAAGAAACAAATGACGCGAAATAACATATATGGAAAGAGAGAGTACAAATTTATTCATTATCATCCTTCATAGGATCATGGTTATGGTGGTGATGGTGTTCACTCGACGCGATCACGGTATAATCAGCATGTCGCCGACGGGCGATCACAGCACACAGCGACTGGATACACTTGTCGACCACGGGAGCAGTATACGTAAATAGACTCACGAGAGTGAGGATCATAGTCAGCAACCACATGCTGACGGCTCCCGAATGCTCGTAGACGTAGCCACACACGAGCGATCCAACACCGGCGCCTAAACCAAGATATACCGTGCCCAGCAGTCCTTGCGACCGTGCCTTCAGGGCCGGAGGGGCTATGTTATCGGCTTCCACCACGCCCGCACTCCACAGTAATGAGAAGCAGATACCTGTATAAACGCTTGTTAGTAGTAGAATACAGGAGAAGAGGGGGGTTTTTTCCTTTGGTGTGTGGGCGGGGGTGGGGGTTGGGGGTTGAGCATGTTCCCTTTTTGCTCCTGTATAGTAATAAAAGTACCATGCAGCGGCTGGCTCGCGGCAGCCAAGTAAGCGCCGCTTGAAATCGTGGTAGCAATCATATAGATCAGGCATCGACAGACAAGAACGCTATGCGCAACAATCAACATCCTTCGTGGACCGAGCCATCTGAAAATCTATATACACGACTCTCTTTAGTCCGATCCTATTCAGTTGCTGTTTGTACTAGCTGTACCAATATCTCTTTGAATCAAAGAGAGAGAGCTAACGAAAGAGAAGGGTAGGAAGGAGCCTTACATCCTTGGCAAAAAAGAAGCAGACTACTTCGGTGCAACTGGCCAGCGGACCTAGAAGCCCTACAAGCGCGGGACTACCGTGTAAATCTTTTTCAATGAACAAGAATAGAAATGCGGTAACGTTCCCCATCACGATCCCCAGGAGTGTCATGACGATAAAGAATCGCACGGCCTGTGGTTGTGTTGCCAGGTCCCAAATGGATGAGGGGCTCTTCAATTTATCATCATCATCATCATCGACATTATCGTTGTCACCGTCAACTTCACCACCATCATCATCATCATCACCGTAAACGATAACGTCATCATGATGGTGATGTTGTCCAGCAGCAGCAGTAGTAGTGCGGTTGCTGTTATTGATGGGTCGTCTCTGCTGAGGCCATGGATAGGGTTCGAGATCAGTAAGCAGACAAGTGCAGACAAACGATAAAACACATGTTGCAAATATGCCAAAGAGCGCATAAGGGCCCCAGAGATCAATGCTTATGCCGGTCAAGAAGACGGAGAGACCGAATCCAACGGGGCAGCCCATCTTCATTTTTCCATAAAGCTGCTGCTTCCGGTCGCCGAGCACCCGCAGTGTTGCACAGTCTACACAGGTGCCAATGATGGGGTAGCCAAAGAACGCGTAGCCCAGACAACCGATACTCACGAGTGTTGTGATGGTCCACTCGTTGCTGTTGCTTGTAGTAATGGATGGCACCAGACTTATAGACAAGATAAACTACGAGATTGGCATTTGTGTGTTTTAAATATCACTGGATGGAGGTTTTTTTTTTCTGCTCGACATATCTATCTGTGGAATGGCGGGGTAGGAAAGAGAAAAAAAAAGAAAAACTTACTACCAAGCCAATGAGCATGTTGATTGCCATGATCTTTTTATATTGCTGGGTCTTGTCAGCCCATGCCATCCAAAATGGAAATGCTAAACATGACACAAATGGAGCTGCAGAGAGAGAACAAGAGAGAGAAAAAGGTCAAAAGGGCTGTGATAGAGGATATGTATCGTATAAGCGGATATAAAAAGGAGGGATGTTGAGAAACCAAAAATCAGAAGGTTACTTTACCGATAGATGCTACGAAACCGATCTTATCGGCGCCTAGGTTTAATACAGTACTATAAAACGTAGGTAGATAGAATTGGGCTGACCCTACACAGCCAATACTGAATATGTGGAGGAGTTTAAGGCCTAGAAATAAAGGTGTGGTAGGTTCAGCCATGTTAAAAACATGTGGTATAAAGGAAAAAAAGAACTAAGCTCTCTCTTTTTTTTGTTCTTGAGGATGTTGCCTCCTGTCCCTGACAGTGAGAGAGAGAGAGAGAAAGCATCGCAACATTGAAACTCCCCAAGGAAATGAAAGCAAACACTCCTCTCATCATCTTGCTCCAACTTGAACAGTAATAGTTCGGACATGGCATATCCTTCATGCACGACAAGGTAGTAGTGGATACATACTGCCGCATTTGTCCATATCATCATGATTACATCCAGCTACTGCTGCGGTTATGAAGAGCGATGAGTTAGGGATAGTGGGGTCGCAGTATGTACTACGAGTCGCTTCTATATTTTTATAAGCAATAAAAAGAAAACAATACAAAAATTTATCTTTTTTCTTTACAAAAAAAGCAGAACAAAGCAATCAATTAAACAGGAAAAGAAAGAAAAAACAACGAAAAAGCAGAAAATGGACCAAAAGGGAAAGAAGGAAATGATATAGGACAAAAGGAGAGGAGAGATTTGGAGGGATGTAGTAGTAGTAGTAGTAGTGGGAGGAGGAGGAGGAGGAGGAGGTTATTCTTTTACCGTTATGTAGTACAGGTTATTTTGAATAGGAGCTATATAGGTCGGTTTGTATATATGGCGAAGAAGTTAGTGTGTGGAACAAGAAAAAAATCATAGAAAGGGGAGTATATATAAATATAAAACATACACAAGAGAGAGAGAGAGAGAGAGAGAGAGAGAGAGAGAGGAATAACAAAGAGGTGTGTTGACTTTTCTTTTCACTTCAACATCAATCCAGTGCCAGCTCCAGTCAAGTCCGCATCCGTTGCTTCACCGTCATGGAGAGAAAGATGTGCAAAGAATGGGTTCAACAGACTCTTGGGATACAGAGACGCGGCATCTTGATCGGGTAAATGCTGGCTATTGGTAAGTGAATGCTGACGATCATGATAATACATGTAGCCATCGATACCAATCGAGCCTCCACCGCCTTGCTGGTGCTGGTGATGATGATGATTGTGGTGGTGGTGGTGGTGATTGTCAATCGGGCTACCACTGCTACTGCTTTGGCTCGTATTATTATTTACTGTTGTGTCTTCCTGACCCGCAGTGGCTGCAGCATTATCATACGAGTAACCCTGGCCAGATGCCGTCATTGGATTGTACAGCTGCTGGGCCTGCGTCGTCGTTGTTGTTGTTGTCGTCGTCGAGTTGGTGCCTGTTGTCTCGGAAACATTGTGCAAAGGATGCACCGGGTTCAGTAGCTGACCAAGGTTGGCGTTTGATGCATAACGCGTGGTCTGCTCGCCTCCTCTCGCCTCCTGAGATTCTTGCTTGATACTGCTGCTATTTGTCTCGCCACCCACACCAGCACCAGTAGCATTGTTATGGTTGGTAAAAAATCCTATGTCAGGAAGTGAAGGTGTGTGTTGCTGCTGTTGATGATGGGAGAGATGTTGCAAATCCTGCGTATGTTGTTGTGGGGATTGGGACGGATGATGGTGTTGTTGTGATGATAGTGACACTAGATCATTCGAGTTGTAGCTTCTAGGGTAGGATGCAGAAGAGGTGGAATAATGGCGCTGATGATGTTGTTGCTGGTGATAGGATTGTCTGACGGGCGAGAGCATTGGGGTGCTTGGAGAGGATGACAGACTTGTTGGCGAAGGTATGGCGTAGCCGGTATTGTAAATCGCGGGCAACGATGACTGCGGTGTTGCACCGGGAGCAGCGAATTTTTGGTCGCCATTTTCCAGGCGGTGATACGGTGTTTGGTACACAAGATGCGGATGGGTGATGTTATCTGGTACTCGTAGCGAGCCCACGGACATGCTGCGAAGTGTCTGATGCATGCGGCGGTCTGCAAAAGAAAAACCAGAATGCATATGCATTAGTTCCATTGGCGATAATCACAACACGTACGCACGCACGCACGCATACGATACATCATCATGTAGAGAACACATACACAACACATGGAGAGAAAGAGAGAAGAAATACATACCTCCATAAGATCCAGTCAATGAGTCAGGTGGTGTAAGCGGACTAGAAGAGGATTCATTGCCTGGACGATCATATGCAGGCTCGACCATAGGAGGGATACGGAAATTCTGCTTGACAAGAAGCTCGGGCGAGATTTCAAGGCTTGCTAGCTCGGGCACAGACGTGGGACTGCGCAGGTTACCTTGCAAGACGTCGTTGGGATGGTAATAGGATATCAGATGCTGAGCCACGCCGTTGACGACGATAGACATGGTCTTTTTGATCAGGCCGTCTCTGCGGAACTTGTAAGAGTCGGATAAGCTGCCCACCAGCTGACGCTCACGGCTGCGATCCATACTTCCGCCGCCACCACTACCTCCCGCGGCGTCGGGGGACGAGGCTCCTGCCACACCAAGGTCTGCACTATAGCTGCGCTGCCGCATATCGCCTGCTGCAGCAGCAGATGTTGCTGTGGAGGCTGAATATCGCTTCTCGCCCGGAGCCCGCTTATCCAGTTCTCGATAGATCAAAAAGTTACCGAGGATACGAGACGGACTCCATACTCGGCCATCGGTCCATCGTTTAATGCCTATTTCAACACTGCTATTAATCACCCGATAACAAAGCCCAAACCATCTCCATACGATGTTTTTCTTTACCTGATTCACGCTCATCAAAAACAAACACTGACCCGGATTGGATCATTTTCCGTTCTTTCTCCTGAAGACGACGGCATATCCTCGGCAGCAGTCCACGACGACACCCTTCGAAAATAAGCAGTACATCTTGGGTCGTCTCAATAAAACCGTGAAATGTCTCGGTCACCAGCATTACTTTTTTTTGTGTTGTTTAGAATGAATTTATATAAAGGGGGGAGATTGTGTTTAAGAAAGGTGGTGGAAAGAAAGATTAAGAACGAAAAACTCGGCTACAAGATTGAAACTTTTTACTGTCCCTCCTCTTGCGCTTTTTTGTAAACGAGGAACAACGACGAGGACAGCGCAATGTTACTGTTGTGGGAGGGTGGTTATTGAGTTTTCAGAAAGGCTGGAGGAAAAGGAGGAGCAATGTCGACAACAAAATAGCAGAATATATGCTTGAGAGAAGAGAAGAGAGTAAGTGAGTATGTGTGTGTGTGTGGAGAAAAAGAGTGCACCTTTCTTTTTTTTTTGTGTCGAAACCAACAAGGTGGGTCAAGTGCGGGGAGAGAAAAAAAAAGTGTGTGAGTGAGTGAAGAGAAGTGGTAGGGACCATGTCGCACCAAAAAGGAGGACAGGTGCGCTTTTCGTAGAGCTTCGGATTATTTTTTAAGCGTCTTACTGTTGGAATATACACACGCTCTCTCCCCCCACACACACACACACACCTTGCGCTTTCCTAGAAGAGTGAAAAAAAAAAGGTTTTCCATTGTCCTTTTTTTTTGACGTGAGCAGAATTGGAATTTTTGATGGGCTGTGGTCTGTCTTAGGTAAGTCTTGTGTACGACTCTATTCCTGTCTATCTAATATCTATTGCAGTAATCAATACTACCTGCTGCTTCCACCCCGCTGGAAGAGAAGAGGCGTTTACTAAGTCTGAAAAGAAAGAAGGGGGGTGGCGCATTAGAATAGGAAGATAGGAGTTTCAAGTGTTCCGGAAAACCGGCCAATAACAACAGCAGAAGCAGCAGCAGCAGCAGAAAGACCACAGGGTCAAACGACGCCGGGCCTACTCAAATGCTCATATCCAAAATCTCATCATCGTCATCATCATCATTAACCAATCTGTGTGGTTGCTTTGCTGCGGAGTTCCTGGATTCCTTTTGGTTCCAGTTTCCATGGATTCTGCCCTATTTGATTGGATCGAGAAAGCATATGCAATCAGTATCTGTTGTTCCTTTGCCCCACACACACACACTACTACTATCATACTCACTTGGCGCTATTTTTTTTTACATCATCTGATGGAAAATAATGACGCTACAGAAATTGCTGTTATTACTGTGTATATATTAAGCTTCCAAAGATCTAGAACAATGACAAAAGACAATAATAGCTGCTTTATGTAGTATCCCAGTGATACGACCAGAAAGTATATCAAAAAAGTAAAAGGGGGGGTATATTGGTTACTTTTGGCTTATCTTCGATCCACCTACCATTACAGGAATAAATTTCTTGGATGGATCACAAACACAAGAATGTGTTTCACCAAATTTAAAACTGGACTCAGTGCTTTTTTTATTCGTTGGTCAGCAATTGCTCCCCGTTTTTTCTTTTTGGGTAACCATGCGGTTTTAGAAACCAGCTTCAAGCTCAGTTGATCCAATTGCAGGGATTGTTGTTGTATATACTTCTTTAGACAAGGCCCTCTGGTATTTTCTGTTGGTCTCTGGCGATGAAATGCTATCATTGTGGTTTTGTTGTGTAAGGTGGGAGCTGATTATTAAGTTGATACATAATGCTTTATTTTAATTGTTGGAATCGTAGTACCAGTGATCTACCCGTGTGAGAAAAATAAAAAGTTGGCGTGCGTGCGTGCATGCTTTTTTTTTCAGATCTCCATGACAATAACAAACGTGCGCTCCATGGCAACCGTATGTATGTATTTGTCGTCATGGTAACAGCATCTGTCTGCTTTTGTTAACACGGTATTACCTTCTTTCAAACAAAGAAAAAAAAAACTCACCAGTTTAAGCTTTTTTATTATTTTCTGCTTATCCTATGGATCCATAAACTATAATGCATTTTTCCCGAAATAAAGTACAGACAAATTCTGGATTCTGTAATTCCAACCGCCCGGTAATCGTGATTGCCATTAGCAGCACCCACGCAAATCTCTTGAAGCTTCCCCTTTCATTTTTTTTTCTGCAGCATAAGACTTGCTACATACTTTGATTGTGTAATCTATTTCAAAAAATGTAAGAAGACCTGCGTGCATCTGCAACGTTTAGGACCCATCAAAATTTCCCATTGTTGTCAACTTCTTTGTTGTACAAGAGCCCTATTTGATTTGTACATCAACTTTTTTTCCCTCTGATGCTAAATTGGGGAAGAAGGAGGGGGGGGGGCTAACTCTGTCCATGGACCCTTAACTGCAACAGTCTTAATTTGATCATGACACGTGAATATGGAACTGTAAAATGGTATATTGAAACGAGCGTCGCTTGAATCAAAGAGGTTGTGGTGTGGCGGAAAGCAAGTTTAAGAAATTTGTCTACACCGACCGACTCTATTACAATCTTTACTGTTACTGTCAATAAGAACCACATATTTGATGCACAGCTGGTAGGGAACTCATTTATCTCTATCTGCTTGCTACTGCGCTTGTAAGCAACAGCATAATCAGGAACACCTTGAGCGGTGGGATAATAACAGTGGCAGTAGTGATGATAGGAGGTATCATACCTCATCATCATACACTCAAAGGCCGCCTTCTATTAGTTGTAGATCAAGTTTTATGCAATCACAGCAGCAGCGGCATAATATTCATTCCTGATTTATACGATTATTGACCAGAAATTCGGTTAAGGTTGATCCGAGTTACTTTATTTTACGTAATTGTATACGGGACCTTATGAACGAAATCTTTTCTCTACCATCGATGAATGTGCATAAAACTGTGATTGATCGACCCTTTTTCTTTCTCGCTGTACGGGTGCTTTTCTACATGACTGTATGAGATCGCTATACAGTTGTCGTCGCCGATAGCAATAGCGCACCAGTGCGGCAATAGGAGATCTTTCAAGAGTATTAATAAAATTAAACCGTGTACAGCTGCAACATGCAGGCTACTACGGTACATACTGCGAATTCCTTTTAAGGATTCGTTCTATACGTAAATATTTTGGAGACGAGTACTGTACCAACAAGCTTCATCAATGCCAGCATCACCATGTATCCAATCATGTCTACTACTCCAGAACCACGGGATGAGAGTGTTCAGTAAAGGGATCGGAAGAGTAATGACATCAGTATTTTTCTCCATGTCTTTGAGAGACAAATGTGTATAGCATTGCTATGATGGCTATGGGAGACCAGAACAGCTGGAACATTCCTTGCGTTTAAACGGCTGTGTGTTACATCTCATCAATTCACTTTATATCAGCATATACTCTGTGATGAGATGGTGTATTTATTTATAGAGGATTACATACGCGCTGCAAAAATCTCCTCTTTTTAGTATGTATTGACTTGGTGAGAACTTTAATGAGTTTATGCTTTAATCGATGCTATGGATACTGGTTACTAAGGAGCCAAAGAGGCATCCACTGTTTTTGAGTGTCTTGGTTACCGACCTTGCAGTGGCAGGCCAACTTACTTGTACAGTACATACATCTCTAATGCAACCAATCCACTTTGGCTCACCAAGTCCTTGCCAAAGTTGGCGCGTGCCTTATTTAGCAGGACCTTATTGTATCCTTATATGCTAGAGCATTACAAGTATTAGAAAACAGTAGACTAATTGGGATGCACTTTTTCTTCTCTACGGATGAAAGTGATAGTAACAGCGATGAAAAATTCTCTTGGGTTCTTTTCTTGAAAGCTTGTATCATATCTCTTATTTTCTTTTACATTCTTTCACATTTATACCTTGTCTTAATGAGGGGTTCTTCCCTACGATTTTATTTACCCTCAAATAAATTTCTTCACTTGCGTTAATTGATTTCTTATCTTTAGTCTTTTCCTTTTTCCGTATTCGAGTTCGACCCAAGAGTCCTCGGGGGAGATGGACCACTTAAGTCACCCACTTGGCAACTATAACAACAATGACGACGGCGCACCAGCTCTTAAAGACCTTCTTACAACTGACAACGCCCATTCACCTGAGCTATCTCTGGCGCAACCAGACGAGTTTCTCTTGGAATGACGGGGTGAGCCACACTCAAACACCGCGTAGTTGAAGCCTTGTAATAGAGGTATGGCAGGGAAGGATTCCCTAGGGACGACAGACCCCCAGAGGGTTTAGCTGAATAAACAGCACTACTCGAGTCTTTCGAGTGTCACTCGATTACCTAGTAGCGTTTACAAACAATCTCCTCCGCCCTAGTCGCAATAGTGAACGGTGTATTTAACGGGAGAGGGTTAACCCTGGTGCATGTGACATACTGTCTGTCCAAAACAAAAAAAAAACTTCTAAAGAAGCTCTGAAGCTACCCACTATCATCACCTACTCCAGCACCGCAGCAAGATTGACACTACTCTTTTTCCTTCCAACTACCATTTATCCTTCATTTGCACTTTCTTATATTATTCATCACCACACTCACTTCTAGCACTACTCTACGCTAGCATAAACTTTTCCACCTATGGGGTTTAATTCAGTTATTGTAACCACATTCTCATTTACTGTACCAGGGTACCCCTTCTCCACAACTGTATCTCAAAAAAGTAACCACATGCTCACAGGCGCCGGTCTATTTAGGCTTCCATTATATATTTAAATTTACTCGGATCCAGATCCTACAGTGAATATATTTCTCTTACTACAAACCCCATCGTTCGTACAGTGCAATCCTGGTCAAAGTTCAAGTGATACCCCTTCAAGTTATATAGCAGATGTAGATTGTATGTTCCCTATGGTATTTATCACTTGAGAAAAAAAAAACTGGGAAAAGGACTACGTGTGCTGCAAAGGATCATGTACTCTGCACGATGGCGGAATGAAAAATGGGCCCCTACTAAAAGACGAGGTTTTTGCAGCATGTTTGGCCCGAATATACAGCGCGTGTAGTTGTCCTCATTTTATTATAAAATCATCGATTTATATAGATGATAGATGATGGTCACTGGAAGCGGTTGAGGAACTAAAAGTAATAGGTACATGTGGTGAGTAAAATGCATTGACGGTCGATTAATCTCCTGCCATCCGTTGAAACCGACCTGAAGATGTATATGCTGTGATTTTCTTAACCGGTGTATATATTGAGCGAAAATATCTGGAAAAAAAACAGGTATCGTACAGGTCTACATGTGTGCATATTGATCATCTAAGAGACTGGGAAAAAAAACTGGGATGTGGTTTGGGGGAGCATATACAACTACAGTTTTTGATCTCTTGTCGAATGACGGGATTTATATCTCTAACAATGGCAAGTCGGTGCTGTCCGAACTTTCCTTCTTCAGGTAAGATACCTGTAAACTCTGCAAGGCCCCGTGAGTGGTTGTGAGCTTGCAGATGCGTAGTAGATAGTAACGTGATCGCTGATATGACCTTACTTCAGTGCTTACAATAATCTAGTGCAGCGCCAGAAATTGTACTACACTGTATAGTAATACCGGCTGAAAATCAGGAACTTCTAGTGATTCTTAGCGTCAAGCACCAAGCGACAGTGTCCCCTTTGTCCGCTTGTTATTAGCCATTTAGATATTAAAAAGCTTTCAATCGTGCCGATCCAACCGCCACTGTCCCCACTATCAAAAATATGAAATAGAGTTGATTGTTAAAGAGAACCCTTGTTTGCCAATGTGCAGTCTTCTGTAATGTGTTACTTCAAAGTCCAGATAAACTTTGCTCAGATCTTGATTCATTGAGACGACTTGGGGGGTTTTCACAAATTTACGCACATGTCCACACACACAGGAATCATCCACTTGTTATGTATAGAGCGGCTATCCGGATCCCTCATTTTTTGTATCCTTGATTTGATCTGTTGTCATTAATTCATATCTGGCCAAGGAGCTGATGGTATTATTTGAGCCAATATGCCATTAGCTGAGAAAATCCACTGTTAGATATATGATGTAGATGCTTTCTTCTTCCCGCATATCTCTGCATTTTGTGTCACTGCGCGATATTTTTTTCTGTTGGTAACTTTGCTGTACTACTGTCCCCGGGCATCACCCTATACTTCATCCTCCCACCTAAGAATCGCACATTTAACAAAATCCCCTTTTGTAAAAAGTAAAAGCCTCACCCCACAAAGAACGTATATCACAATAACAACAGTCGACATTTCACCATCAGAAGTGACTTCAAATAGGTGAATAGGAATAAAATGAAATCTTATCCTTATCAACTCAACAAAAAAAAAACATGCCCGCTTCTGTGAAAGTTAATCAATTTTTCGGGCTCACGCTATATGCGGTCAAAGTTTGATAACTTACATGTTCTGTGAACCTAAATGAATCCGGCTCAAAAACAGAAGAAAGAGATGAGGTTACAAAAATTGTTCTCAGAGCGGATCGATACTCTCTCTCTCTCTCTCTGTGTGTGAGTGTGTACATTGAATGGTTCTGAAAAAAGTGTGCGTGAGAATGTACGAACTGTCACGGCAAGATATGAAAAAGAAAACACACGTCCGTGAGCTAGCGTTATTGTTACACTGTGCCGGAAATGTCTCTCTGGCTACACATGGCATATTTTTGCTGCAATCAGTTGCTCCAAATGGGCATATTTCTCACGGTTTTTTCTTCCGATTGAGATCGATCCGTCAGAGCATAAGCAAAACATCGTGAAAATTATGAAAGTTACTATATCATTATTTCATCACTTTTACTGATCTGGTTAATAAAGCAGCAAAAGATTCAAGTTAGACTACAACAGTAGTGCTAGTAATATGGCTTATCATCATCAGATGCTTATAATGGTAAATGTTCTACAAGGAAGAGGAGCTATTTCGTAAGAAAAGAACTCAGCATATGACGAATTGGGATGGGACCTTTCACTGCGTATGTGAGAAAAAGGCTAGCTGTTTATTACTTGTACGTGGGCAGTGAAATGCATCATCATCATCATCTTTGTGCTGCATCATTCCGAGAATATCGATCGCAGTAATTCTATATTGGCTCCATCGTTCGGCCAATGCTTAAAAAGGAGTGGGTTCTTCCAATTTGATATTGTGATGATTGAGCGTACACACAGCATACCTTTAAAACTTGCACTCCAGTCATTGCTGCTACTACGCATTTCTCCCCAAACAACAGCAGTATAGAAGAATGCGATATTATAAAAGGTGAATTGAGCGGCACAGAAAGTATTGTAGATAACATGCAGATAATGTAGATGCACACAACACAGAATCCTACTTTTACTGTTATGGAAACCATCTATCTTTCGAGAGAACATGTGAGTGCTTTTACAGAAAACTAAGCCGTTTATGTCATGATGGGTTCTCATTTTGAGTAACGATCAACAAGAAATACGGTTTGATAACTAGTCCCCACTCTTGGTTCTATCCATTTCCTTGCTGAGCCGTCACTACGCCTCTATCCAGCTATCCGATCAGACATATAGGAACAGCCAAAAGAAACTCCTGAACGTGTTTAAAAATAACATGCATTTTCGGTTCACTTGCACCCAGAATTAGAATCGGTTTCATGCCAGTGATAGTAGTAGTACCCCACATCGCATTGGGAAAAAGCTGGTGGGAAGACGGAAGACGCAAGTGAACATTAAACGCGCAGCCTTTTAGACAAACAGAAAAGCTTTTGACAAATAGAAACTGTGGAAAGACTCATTGCCCTGCCCCCTAAAAAAACCTCATTCACAATTCTTATAAATACCAACATTTGTTTCCAACAGACCAATTACTCTCCTGTTTCTCTTGACCATCAACCAGCTTACTACTATCAACAATATTGATATATACATATATTCTATAAATCACTCACAATCATGAATGAAAAGGTCCTCGCTGCCAGTAGCAGCAGCAACACATCCAGTCACACCAGCTCGTACGATTCTCCAGCAGCGCTAAAATCATCAAAAAAGCAGAAACTTCGTAAGGGTTATGATACAGAGTTTCTTTTTGTATTATAATTCGACCATAAAATGCCTACAATCAAAAAATATTAACTTTCTGTCTGTATACTCTTCTTTTTTTGCTCCATCACTGTCAGCATACGACTGGAAAGAAAAGCTTCACGAACCAGATTTTGACATCGATCGTTCAAATGCCGGCAGATCAATGACTGCGTATTATAATCTTGTCTGCTGTGTATGTGGTACTGGCATGTTGTCACTCTCCTCGGTGCTGGCATCTGGAGGATGGGGTGCTTTAGCACTGCTCATACTATGCTGGTGGATGACAATGGTGAGGAACCTCCTGTTGCTAAAGTTATCACTACTCTTTTGTCTTTATCAGCATATAGTAGTATCACGAAATGAGAAAAGCTGCATGTTACCTTGGTCTAATAATTTATCGATTATCATCACCGCAAATATAAACCTAGTACGCTTCTTGTATCTTGATTCGATGTCTTTATTACGGTGGAGAAAAACGGCTAGAATCGGTCAACAAAGTAGCAGAAGCAGCATTTGGTCGCTGGGGAAACTATGTGTCGTTTTTTTTCAACGCATGGCTCCTCCTAGGAACTCCTACGCTCTACATTGTGCTCTGTGGTCAAAACCTCAACGATCTTTGCCAAGGAACGGTCGCAGAAATCGGTCAAATACCATGGTCAATTGTCTTTGCTGCCACGATTACCATATTTTTCGTGTTCATGAAAACCATGGATAGTCTGAGCTGGACCTCCTGCGTTGGTGTTATTGCCACATTTGCTACAACGCTTATCATTGTCATTGAAGCCGCCCGAGATCCAGAACACCCGGTGGATACCGTGGTCCGTGAGAACATCGTCTGGGATGGTTGGCCTAGCGCCGTCGCGGTCATCGCATTTAGTTTGGGTGGCAACGTCATCTACCCTAATTGTGAGGCTGCCATGAGACGACCTGAACGCTGGCCGATGATTGCCATTTCAGGCTTGTCAACCTGTGCTCTTACGTATATTATGATTTCTGTCCCTGGCTACTTCGTATATGGTGAAGCTGCAGAGAACCCCATTTACAATAACATCCCGCACGGCGTTGGACGTATCATGGCCATCGTGCTTGTTACTTGCAACATTATGGTCTCTATTCCTATTTTTGCTGGCTCCTTTGCCTTGGACTGTGAAAACATAATGGGAATAACAGTCGAGCGCTTGGGCAAAAGAAAGGAGTTCATCTATCGTGCAATTTGGCGCATTTTCAGTAAGTTTTTGTCGTTTCTTTATTTTCTATGACAACTACAAAGAAGAGAATAACACTAAGCTTCCTATTACAGTCATGGTATTCTGCACAGTGATCGCTTGTACTGTTCCTCATTTCTCACCTTTAATGTCATTGTTTGGTGCATTTGGTTACAGTACCACCATTTTTATTATTCCCGTGCTCTGCTACTATAAACTCACTGGTCTAAGAAACAAGCCATTCTACGAACTTATCGGCGGTTTTCTTACAATATTGATGGGCCTTGTAGGCCTAATCTTTGGCACCTGGGATGCTATAGAGAGTTTGATTGTTGCTTTCAGAGGAGAAGCATAAGTGTCAGAAAGAAAACCTCACGGTGCCCTCTTGTTAATTTTGTATACTAGTAGTTTTTCTATATTATATATATCAAAGTACATAAAACATTTAGTAGCCGTGATCAATTTAACGTGTTTTGGTCAGATCTCAATGACCCTCTCGTTTAATACCAAAAGGATTGTTATATAAAATACATACAAAGAGTAGCATTCAATACAACTCAAGCATTTTTTACCCAATCGTCATCTGAAAATGAACACAAAATGGCACCACATATTGTCAAGCTTATAGGAACAGCAGTTTTTCGGTAGTGCGTGAGAAGGAGTGAAAGGTCGAGAACTTTGACATGAGACTTGTCAATTTCGTCGCACACGTTATCAATGGGACGAGAATCTTGAGGAACCTGATCGCTGCGAGGTCTTCTTTTTTCTATTGCCAGACTCATAATACTTTGAGCCAAATGCTGCACTTGTGAGGACTTTCCTTCATCGATTGCGTTGGTCACCATGCTGCTCTGCTGTAGCCCTCATATCAAATGTGTGTACGTTGGATAATCAACCTATTGGTTACACCATAGTAGCAAAAAAAGGTTGTTGAAAACATAGTCTTGGCAACTGCCGTTGATTTTGCATAAATTACATTCAGAAAGCGTAGCAATACCTGTCGTGGCAGAGAGGAGAAACAGACCGCACACTTGTACCATCACAACAGGTATCAGGCCTCCACCTCCAGATCAGCCAACAAGAATGAGCGGCGCCTAGAATTGCGCCTTGTGAAACATAAGGAGATTGTTCGAATTCTCAGCAAATCTCAGCAATTCTCCAAAAAACGATACATATGCTGTGATAAATGTCAAGAAAAACGGCGAACAATGCTTATGGCTTCTTTGCTATTACCTTATAATGCAAAAAGCCTGATCACTGCTGCATTATTATTTTGGATCTGAGATAAGCTTTTCTGTCTCCCTGATATGGGTCAACTTCCTTATCCTTTCTGATGGTATGTTGATTTCTTTTTTTGAAAAATGAACCTGTGTGTCAATGGATCTGTGGGAAAATTTATCATACATTGGCATTATCAGCGGACGAAAACCAAATCAAGCCCGCGCTTCGGCTAAACTTCATTCGTGGCGTGGAGTCGTGAGGATGACAATTATCATATATCATAATCTTGATGTGCGCAAGTTTAAAATCGAGGTGGTGCTACACCATGATAAACCACAGCACCACACGGTACCCAGGAAATGACGAATTCTCTTTCTTGGACATGTACCCTTACGCTCCCCTGCCAAAAAAGATTGATCTGACTAAACATTGTTGTCTACATGGTCCTGGATGTCATAGACAGACCTATGTTAAAGAAGGATTGACTTCACAGCAGAGTTTGATGAAAACTATCGGTCATTTTTATTATAGATATTTCTGATAACACACACACACACACTTCTTCGGCGGGGTTCAATCCAAATACGATCTTGAGAGGAGCAAAGTGGAGGGGCGCCTTTTTAAAAACTTGCTTAATAACGACAACCAGTTTACGAGGGAGGGTTACTATATTTTAGGTCGTACACATCTTTTTTTCCTTGGATCACAAGCGACACTTTTCCTTAATTTCTTTCCTCTTACCATGATATCATCGTATCCAATTACCAAGAATCTACTTTCTCACGGCCATTTATGCTCAACAATAATGAAGAAAATGAAAAATCGTGTTTTTTGCCTGACATTTGATATGTTGCCCCAAAGGTTCTTGATAAGCTAATGTCATTATCCGTGTAATACATACAGCTAAAAGAGGTTTATCGTTGCAAGAGAGATAAGAAAAGTATACAATGTGTATCTTTTTTTTTCATGCTGTTGATTTGTCGTGCGTACCACCAGATACAAAACGCACTTGAAACGACCTTTTAAACTCTCGGATACCATGTCTTCAAGAAGGTGCTTTTGCGCTAATAAGATTGGACCGTTTGACTCCCTCATTCAATATATGGATCAGCCATCATAATGATTGCTTTATAACCTGTGCGTATACGTTTCCAGAGCAGCGGTGGCAACAACGATCTGGATGCTTCAGCTAGCACGAGTTTAGCAACTGCGTAATGATGCAGCACAGAATTCTATTTTTTACAAATTTGGAAGCCCTCTACTTTGCCAAGGACCATGTGAGCAGTTTTACAGAAACCAGGATCCGCTTTTGTCAAGGGGTATTTTACTTATTCATGACAGCTGTGAAGCAAGCCAAAACTCTGATTGCGATATTCCAAGCAATCCTTACTACGTAACTATTATGTGCATTTATAGTTGCACAACATCTTGTATCTCTTCATACCTCACACGTTGTCGTATTTGTTCGAGCCAGCAGTAGTAGTGTTTAGTTCACCGATGGATAAATATCCATTCCTAATCTGGTAATGTATTGCAGATGTGTACATAGCCGAGTGACACATTCAAACCCTATCGCTAAGGAGGATGAACGAATAGAATTTACGGAAGAATTCACTGATAGCTATAATGTTTCTTACCCACTTCTTCCGACGCTGACTGATACGGCCGGTCGTATAATAAGCACAGAAAAAACATATATATAGACATAGTCCTCCTCTTGTATCGATATATCTTCCCACTCCCCTCCCCACCTTTTTTTTTGTTTTCGCCTCACTAGTCTTTTCCAACTTATAATAAAGAATAGTATGAGTGAGAAAATACAGTATTCTTCGGAAACCAAATCCATATCTGGTGTGTCTTTTGTCGCTCCTGATACAAAAACATATAAACGTTTCCGTAAGTCAGTTTGTTAATTGATACAAGTAAAATTGTCTGTTGCTACTGTTCTTTTTTCTGACAACATCGCATTTAAATCAATTTTAGCGTACGATTGGAAGGAAAAATTATTTGATCCCACCTTTGATATTGACCGCACAAATGCTGGAAGATCATTTACTGCATATTATAACATCGTATGTTGTGTATGTGGTACTGGCATGTTATCGCTGCCTTCGGTGCTGGCGTCTGGAGGATGGGGTGCTTTAGCATTACTCATACTTTGCTGGTGGATGACAGTAGTAAGTGAAGCGTTATAACAATGTTGCAGCTGCCAGAAGCCCCAATGAAACATTAGAGTGACTCATCCATCTTTTCTATTGTTATGTATAATTTTCCAGTACTCCTCAATTGTTCTAGTTCAACTGCTCTATTTCGGTGGAAATAACCGATGTAAAACGGTTCACGAAATTGCCATACGAGCTTTTGGACCTATTGGAGGATACGCCAGTCTGTTCTTCAACGCATGGATTCTCTTGGGAACACCTACTCTATATTTCGTGCTCTGTGGACAGAATTTGAACCAGCTGTGTGCCGGTACCGCTGGCGAAATCGGTGCAACAAACTGGTCGATTATATTCATTGTTGCTATTGCAATTCCTTTTGTCTTTATGAAAACCATGGACAACTTGAGCTGGACCTCACTCCTTGGTGTTATCGTAACCTTTGCCACTACTCTTATTTGCGTCATCGAAGCCGGCCTTGATCGTCCGAACCATACGGACGTCGTCCATCAAAACGTCGTTTGGGAAGGTTGGCCCAGCGCCGTTGCAGTCATTGCATTCAGTTTGGGTGGCAACGTCATCTATCCCAACTGTGAAGCAGCCATGAAACGTCCCCAGCGATGGCCCGTTGTCTGTGCTGCTGGAGTGACCACCTGTGCTCTTTTGTATGCCACGATTGCAATTCCTGGCTACTTAGTCTATGGCGATGCTGTCCAAAATCCAGTTTACAACAGCATTCCTGACGGTGTCGGTCGTATTATAGCGATTGTGTTGGTCACAACAAATATCACCGTGTCTGTTCCTATCTTTATTGGCTCATTTACTTTGGACGTGGAATCGATGATGGGGATAACTGTCGAGCGGCTCGGCAAGACCAAGGAGCTCATCTACCGAATAATTTGGCGTGTTTTCCGTAAGTTCTCCATATCTTATAACTGTGCATCATTGTGCATTTTCGAGTAGTTTTGTTCATTGGATGATCTTGCTGATATGGACCTGTTTATTTGTAGTGATAGCATGTTGTGGTGTAATCGCCTGTACTGTTCCTCACTTTTCTCCTCTTATGAGCCTGTTTGGAGCTGTTGGATACAGTACAAGTATCTTTATCATTCCTATAGTGTGCTTCTGGAAACTTACTGGATTCACTAACAAGCCTATCTACGAGCTTGCTTGGAATTGTTTAATTCTATTAATGGGCCTTGTTGGACTTATTTTTGGCACTTGGGACGCCGTGGAGAGTCTTATTGCCGCATACACTGGAGGCACCAGCTAAAAAAGGACAACTGTAAATATATCTACTGCTTAAATTTAATTGTAATGTACACAGCTTTCTTATATGCATACCTGTGCCCTTTACTCATAATAAAAATCTATAAAGCACATTGTAATATACATTCATACTATATGCTGAACCAAGGCAAGATTTTCATAAAAATAGAAACGTCATTTTATATACGCTTCTCTTGTCGATAGGTCACACCAGGCCATAAACTACAGGACCTCTCGATTGGCTTTTTCCTTATTATTCTGCTCCTTCTAAATTCTTTTTAAAGTGAACGTTTCTTCATTGTCGTGTACCTGCAACTTGAGTCTCTAGAAAATGAGCAGAAAAGACCAGCAGTGGCACACGTGATAGATTAGTTATCTTATTTGGCTAATAGGCTGTGTGTCGTGCGGTCTTTTCCCATAGACTGACAGCCAGCCGTTCACACCTGGCTCTCTCATTGGCGTAGAACCCTTGGAGTATTGTACTTCAGCTGCTTGGAGAATTTCGAGGTTTTCTACACTGCGACATATACTTTAAACCAGAATAAAAAAGATGTCAAGCAGCGATCGACAGCATAATGACGAAGAATCGCATCGAATGAACTTTGCAGTGTAAGTGGTCAAGAACTTGAACCAGATTTGCTTTGTTTTTGGGTGGTTGGAAAGTGGTTATGCTTTCACTTTGTTTGCGCTGATGAATAATGTTATTCATTGTTTGTTTGAAACCCTTATAAATTAATTACTTTTAGTCCAATACCGCATGCGCCCATGTCGTCGTCTCCGTTGGCAGCGTTGGCATGGTCCCTATCACCACCTGTAGCATTTAACGCAACGCAACACCGAGACAGCTTTGGTCGCCGACAAGAGTTAGAGAGCGCATTCTATCGCGATCTATTCTGTTGTAACAAGCGCATTCACAACTTGCACCACTTGCTATTGCATTATGAAAAGCACCACCATCCGCAGTCGCAGCAGCCCATGGACGAGGACAATTCGGGTAGTGTTGCTGCGGACCAACAAGACGCCATGGATATTGAATCCGTTGTATCATCACAACAACAACAACAACAGCACCCACAGCAGCAGCAACTACAACCACCAATACAACAGCAGCAGCCAGACATTGTCACCACTACAGACAACACGTTCGCACCAATCATACCGGGGACCGAAGACGCTTCAGAAGAGTTGCTATTGTTTCGCAACACTGGCAGCGACATGCAGTTGTTCCATGCCGACTATAGTGCGGTTGACAAGCCATATAAATGCACTGTACCAGGCTGTCTCAAGTCATACAAAAATGCAAATGGGCTGAAATATCATCGGGAGCACGGGCATTTGAATGATGAAAACGATGACGATCGACCGTTTCGATGCACTATTGGAACGTGCCATAAGCGCTACAAGCAACTGAGCGGGCTCAAGTACCATATCACTCACGCACACATGGCTCCACAGCCTGCATTTGCTGCGCACTTTTCTGCCTTACAGCATCCTGCCGATCCGTTCTCTTGAGTTTTTCTTTGGTAAAGCGAAGAAACAACTCCTTTACGCATATATACATACACTAAACATACACGCTCGCTCCTTCTACACCCTTCTTTTGCCCCCCAATACACATTTTCCATCATTTTGTATATTACAACAACTCCCACTTGCGCATGTAACAACAACATAGAAAGAAGAGGAAGACAAAGAAGAGACGAAGAAGTATCTACTTTCATATACATTTTTTCAACACAGCATCTTTTTTTAATATAATATCTTTATTTTTTAATTGATTACATCGTAATCGATTAATTCACGTTCAAGCATTATCACCAAGAAGTAATTCAAATTCCTAAGCATCAACAACAAGCTGTGCAGCACCATGTCATGGGGAATTTTATGCTCATTTTAAAAATTCTCCTTGCTCTCTCCTTATTTTTACGCTCTTTCTCTCTCTTTTTGATTTTTATTTATCCTTTGAATGAGCGGTGGTGCTAGTGACATAACCTTCCGACAACTGGGCATTCAAACGCCTGACAAACTAGATATCAATAATCCATCATTATCAACGACAACAACAACGAGGAATGACCCTTGTCTACCTACTATAGATCAACAGGAGGTTGTCGATAACGCAGCACCTTCATGCCATCCAACTGATAACACGTCCGCACGGCCGCCGCCAAAATTTGCATATCAACGAACCCTATTCAAAAACTCTCGAGGGACACGTCTTTCGTTTCAGTCGGACAGTCGCACGTACAATCGGCGAGTCTCTTTTGATAATAGCACATTGGACGCAGTAGATCAACAGCATGTCGTACTACGTCAAACCAGTGATGGGTTTGAGCGGACGCGACGATCACGTGCTTACTTGATACCGGTGAATATGGATGTTGCAGGAGCGCTTGATGGTGTCAAGTATGCTCTCATGGTAAAAAGTCATTTCTGTGTATACATGGCAATGTGTGTGCAACACTAGCACCATATCACTAAGAGAGAACTTTTTTTAGGACCTAGTTGACGAAAGTGACGAGATTATTGCTGTGGGGATTTTCAGCAAAGGTAATGAGAAGTCAGTTTTGTTTATTGGATTCATTTTCTCTCACACAATATGCATATTTATCATGTGGGAGGCAGCTACAGATCCGTATGCATCAGCCCAGACAAAGGCGGATGAGCTCATGCGTAGCGTAATGGAATTTCATCAAGGAGACAAGGTAAATGATGGCCGTGGTCTAAGAACTTATCGAGTGAATACACACTAATCTTATCGATAATAATGCATGAAATAATAAGATTAGCATGACGGTAGAAGTGTATAGCGGGAAGTCTGCCAAGAGTACCCTGGAAGAAATGGTATGTTTATTCCTTCAAACAAGGGAGGAACAGCCTTCTAGTCGTACTTGTGTGCGTGTAAAATGAGTATGAGGGGAAAAAAGGGCCAACAACATTAAGGTTTAGGTGGACATCTATGAGCCGTCGATGGTAATTGTCGCTTCCCATAAACGAACAAAATCGTCTCACGAATTTTCGGGCACGGGGATATTCAGAAGCGCTCTCAAACGATGTATGACACCGATCATTTTTGTGCCCACAGAAACGTACATACGACGTGCATCAACAGGTGATATCTTGTCATCATCTTCAGCAGCAGTGCAGCGCTGCTCCCTTCTGCCCACCGCACAACAACAACAAGACGAAAGTGCTCAACCGCAGAGGGGTGCTCGTCGTTCAGCTTCTGATCCACAGGTTAAACTTCAGCAACCAATACAACGACGGCATGTTCGTTCTGTTACTTCTATACGCTTTATCATCAGAATGATGGCCATGTTTAAGAAAAAATGCAAGGCCATTGATGAATGACTATGATATACCTCCTTTATTTTAGATATTTTTTTTGTATAGAGCCGTGTATGACGTATATATGTTTATTTTATCTTCTTTTAATATCACAGTAATACATAAAAGAGGTGCGCTGTATACAAAATTAACCATATAAAAGTATGCAATAACAGGATCGGCGAAGTTTGAAAGCAAAAAAGGTAAGAGCACAGAATTTTTCGTGCATGTATAACGACATGGATCTTCGTACAACGAGAGACAAATATAATATGATGTGGACGTAGTAGATAGTGAATACTGCGATGTGGCATAAAGAGTACATATAAAGAAGATGGGGTTATGGGGTGCGAAGGAGGAGGAGGAGGAGCGGAAGATGGCAAGCGTAAATTACACTAAGTAAGGATGAGTGCTAAGATATAGAGGTATATATATGTATAGATAAGAGAAAACGCCTAATAGATCCGACTAGAAGAAGGAGGTCGGATGGCTGTGGTGACCCATTCAATATAGCTCTCAAGAATGGGTACTTGAGCTGGCGGAAGCACTTGAGTGATGTTGCCGATAGCTTTGGAAACCGAAAAGCAGTCCTTGGCAGCGAAAGAGTAGTATGCCTCCAGAACTGCCTTACAACTGCTTTGAACCTTGTGTGCTAGTGGGACAAACTCGATCTTATCCAAAATCTGGACTGTCGACAGGAATTTTTCGCTGACATCATTATTATTATCGTCATCATCATCATTGCTTTTGCTGCTGTTGGTGGCCAGTACAGCCAGGGGTATAATATTCATGAGCACATGTTCCAAGAACTCGAGGACGTAAATCTTGCCGGCAGTAGCCTTTTCGACGAGTGCGTCGTAGAGTAACTCGAGCATATCCTGGATCGTTTCTACGAGTCCACGATCTCTTTCATGTAGTGCGATCGGTTCAATGACGCAAGTGATCTGTGAGCGTCGCTTCAATCTGGCAGACTGGTGTGTGATTGGCATACCAGTAACAGTGATCCATTGGTAGTATTCGTCTGCTGCATCCATATCGTTTTCATCTTTTGAGGAATAGCCCTTCGTGAGCCACCGTACATCGAATGTAGGTTGAATTCGTCTGTACGTCATGTTGAGCTGTCCGCAAAGAATCTGAAGGTCTTCTGAATGTATAAAGGCCATGATTGGCATGCCTATCAGTTGACGCGTAGCTGATGACGCTGGTTGTAGCTCTTGGTCAATCACATGATAAATGCGATCGACAATGCCATATGGACTGAGCATAATTACAGTGGTGGCGTCAGCGGGTAACGTGAATCGATGATGTTGCTGACGACGATAACGACGACTTGTTTTTTCCTGATTCAGCGGACGCACGAGCCAGTAGTCGAGTGGCGCGGTTGCCATCTCATTGGGTGCCGTTGTGGTTCTGTGTAATAACGGATCACGATGGATGCATGCTTGAAATTTTATGCGCGTACCTCGTTTGTCGCGTGCTACACATCGAAGCGGGAACGTGTTGTCTGGTGACGGTATCGTCTTTAGTAGCTGGCTGATGGTCTTGCCAATCACGTCAGATGGGGCGTATCCCAAAATGTTGAATATTTCGTCGGTCGCTGTGACGATCGTCTGGTCCTGCTGTTTGACTATAAACAAGGAGGATGATGTGCGCAGTGGACAACTGTCAAAGGAATGTGGATCTTCATCGTCGCTTGTCGTCGACGCGAAGGACATGATAGCATAAATAATAGGGCGATGTTCGAAAGCGAAAGGGAAAGAAGAAAGACGGGGCGAAAGAGGGGAATAGAGGAAGAAGCTGGTTGAAACAAAAGAGGGAAGGGAGGGAAAAGGTTGACACTTGACCTTTTTTTGTTGTTGTTTTGTTTCGTCCCTTTCACATGAAAAGGTTCACATTTGTGTTACGCTAATAGAGAACAAAAGACGCGTGGCAATAACTGCTGGCATATGAAAAAGAAACGCCTTAACTACAACGCACAACCAATGATGCTTTTTTGGGTTGCAACTAGGATGGTGCAGTTTCCTCATCTAACACGGTCTCATGTCATCATACTGGGGTAGAAAGTGGATGATGAGAGAGAAAGAAGAAGGCCGAATTTATCCCATTGGACTTGTAATTATTTCACATGTCCAACGCCTAGTCCAAAGCCTAAAAGCTCCAATATTCATCTTAAATTCAAAGCGATAATAACAACAGCAAAATAGAGCACATCTAGGAAAAACTTTTTATTATTAATACACAACGGAAACATTAAGCTTATAGCGCTCGTTCCTCTTGTTCAACAAGAATTCGTCATTGTGGAATCTGCGCACTGCCCTCCATGCCTCTGACTCCGTATCAAATTTGACCAAGAATTTCGATACAGTCGCTTGCTTCTTTCTAAGTTACATCATAACAAGTCATGTTAATTCATGTTTTTTGTGCACATAGTAGAACTACATGCGTGATATGTAGTGACAAAACATCATGCTTACGTCTCTAACTGAATGATGCTGTCTGCTGTGCCTTCGACTGGATAAAAGTTCCGTGACCGCAGATAGCCCAACAAATGCTCCGGTTGTGTAAGCATAGGCAGACCACTGAACGTTACCGAACGGCCCGATGCACTGGTTTGATCAGCAACCGATCGAAGTTCACGTGTGCGGACCTTGTCCGAAAGATTGCCAACCTTTTGGATGATCTTCATTAGTCCCTCATCTTCTCTCTCTTTCTATGTTCTGGACGAATCCTCATTCATCCCATGATAGACAGATATCCGACAGCTTACATGTGACATCTTTACTACATTGCCTCCCATAACACGTCGGTTACCATATTCAATGACACGTTGAGCATCCTCGGCGGATTTCATTGAAACGATACAGCGTCCCTTGAAGTCAAAGTTCTCTTGGCGTACAAAGACCACTGTTTATATACATATATATATGTTTTAATTTATCCATAAAATTAGCTTTTTCGCATCGTCCATATGAACGACACACAGAGCCTAGCTTCATTCAAAATCTTACCTTCATTGATAGACTTGTCACCCTCTGGCAATGCTTCACGAGCCAACTTTCTGATATCTTCCATCGTGGTGGTGCTAGGCAGGTTCTCGAGTTGAACAAAAGGAGTAGGCTCTTTGTCCATGATATTACGTTCTTTCCGTGCTTGAGCTGTTTTTTTTTTTCGACAAAGGATAACAAAAGTTAGCTCTCGACTCATTGATTTTGACAATTTGTTGTTATAGGAAAATAAAACAGACTTGCCAATGAACTTGTTTGTCATTGTTGCTGCACTCGATTGTTGTCTTTCATTCGGTTGTGCTTCAACATTCCACTTCGTTGCTGAAACTTGTAAACAGCGCTGCTGTTGTTGACATTGTGCGGATATAAATCCTGGCAATGTTGATCTCTGACGTAAAATGGACGAGGCAACGAGTCTGTTGGCCATGTTAATTCGTTGTTGTGTTAATTTTTTAAGGCAAAGGACAAAGCTGTGTTTGTTATTTTTCGACTGAAATTTTGAGTATAAAGTCAGCAAAAGCTTTGACAGTTGCGCGCGCGGGGGTGGGGGACCGCTAACAAGAACGAAATCCATGACACGGCACAGTGTGTGTACTTGTGTTTATCAAGCAATGTTGAACATAGGTTAGAGCAAAAAATACTGGTCTTAATGTAATGACGCCCCGGTTACAGTAGTTATAAAGAACAAAAGGGCATTTTGGCCCCAATAGGCTTGTCTTATGCTGATCAAACTCGGACAAACGATGCTTGTTTGTGCAACCGCAAAAACTAAGCTGTGGGGCATTTGTGAAAAGATTAACCAGCTTCCGTTCTCTGTTCTTCTCTTTCCCTTCTTTACCACTCTCGGAAAAAAAAGGTCGAGCAAAAAGATGAGCAGTAAGTCGCTATAGTAACTACGTCTTTTATTCTAGCCAGTTACTATGGTTACTTAGCTAGAGTTGCCATGTAGCTACTACCACCGCCAAGAAGCAGTTTCTGGTTGTCATCCGTGACTTCAAAGACGACAAGGCTTTGGAGCGAAGAATGGCTTCCCGTGATCAGCATATAGCCATGGCCAAAGAATCATATCCCGATTATATCGCATGTGGTGGCGCCATTTTCGACTCGCACGAGGTACGGTATACGTCGACGCATTGAATAAGAGACGATAGAAAGTCTGTGTAGATGTATGCAGAGGTATATAGCTGGCAAAGCGAATGGGCTGAATGTTGACTTTTTTACGCACACTCTTTCGTATCATCATCAGTCGAGAAAAATGATTGGCAGTGCCATGATTTGTCAGGCTGAGTCAGAGGAGGAGTTGCGAGAGCGAATCGCAAAGGACCCCTACGTTGTTGGAAAAGTGTGGGAAAGCTGGGATATTTACCCATATCGCAAGTAAGTTGTGTGGACCATCGTAATCACATACGTGTTCTCTGTTTTTGTAATACCAATAGACATGTATATTCACTTACCATTTGCCACTTGTAGTGCTATTGGTTTGGAGAAGGAGCTTACCGGACCTGTCATTATCTAGAAGGTTTTCTTACAAACAAAAGGATGTTATTAAAAAGGATGATGCTTGATTGAAACCGGGTTGATACAGTACTGTTATGACTAGATACGTACATTGGAATGGTTCACGTTTGGTACTCAGAACTTTAGAAGGCATGTAACATAGCAGTGCTCTTTTTTTCTGCTACACAGCTATCAAGTAGTAATGCAATCACGCGCGAGGAAAGAAAAGAAAAATGTCAAAACCAAACCTCCGGGTCCACCAGCCCGTTTGTCGATTTAACGTGTTTGCCATAACTCTGAACTCCGCGATAAAATGGGTGAAGGCTCGTCGCAAAGCAAAGACCACTATTTTTCCCTGTTGCGATCGTCCAATCCAAGTTGCATTTTGTCTTGGACGCGCGCCTCCCTCTCTCTCTCTCTCTCATTATATCTTTTTATTCCCTTGTTTTTTTTTAAAAAAAATACAAGCATATTCAAATAATTAAATCAAGTGCGTATTCGAGCATCTCTTATTTTCGGATCGAAGTGAGAAAATTTCAACTCTCTTCAAACGAGATGGACCCCGTCTACTTAAAAGAGCTATTATCTTTTGAGATTGCTCATGCTTATATATTGACTTACGCGATAGGCTCTCAGAAGCTTTATTAGTGGGAATTGTTTTATAAAGAGCAGGGTTAGTTTATTTAATCATATACACTCATGTTTGTTTTCTTTCTTTGCCATTTGAAGTATTGACAGACTCAAAATGGATCTAGGAAAAACTCGAGCTTCCTTCGAATTGAGAAAAAAAGATCTTGCCAAACGACCTTTACTTTCTCTAACGACAAAAGAAAAACGTAAAACGACACGACGAACTCGAAACAAAGAAAAAAAAACTACCAGCGTACTAAACATATCCCTTCAACAAACTACAGCTACGCGCAACACGCACAACACTCGCTCTTATACATATCACACATAACGCATATATACATACACATCCACAGCAACAATATCAAAAATACGAACAATGTTTTTTCTGGTAAAGATGGGAAGGAGGCATGATGTATCAGCAATGTACATATACGCGTTACTGTGTACTAGCGGATATCAGTATCTAAACCAACAAAATATATAATAATAACCTTTATTGTGGGGATTACGAATTATATGTATTTTGTAGAAAGAGTTATCACATACAATCACTCTGCATCCATCATATTTTGGGCCGAATATGCACGCACAACTTAAAGACAAGCTTTACGCGGATGTCGAGGGTACCTGTTCTGGACGGTTCGGATACATCATCACTGTGGTATCGCTGTTGAATATAAGCAAAGGAAAGATCTTACCAGGCTCAGGCTTAGCAGAGTTCAAGGTCAAGTATCAAGCAATCGTATTCAAACCATACAAGGGAGAGGTCCTCGATGCCGTAGTAACTACGGTCAATAAGGTAACGTGTACCTCCTCTTATTCTATGGATGCATATAGTTTCCGTACATGTGTGTATGCTTTCTAGGGACAAGTAATAGAGAGGAAACAATTTGTGGATTAATGTGTGTATGTGGACTCTGTGTAGATGGGCTTCTTTGCTGATGTGGGGCCACTACAAGTATTTGTTTCCAACCATGTAAGTATCTTTATTTTTGTCTCGCACGCGGATAGTTTGTCCATTAACTTCAACTGAACGATACACTATTACAGCTTATTCCTAATGACATGCAATACGACCCGAACGGCAATCCACCATGCTACTCTTCAGAAGATCAGGTAAGCCAACTGTTAGCGATCGACGATCGTTATTGAACCAGCACAAAGGGTAATAACAGTTTGTGTGTGTGTGCGCTTGATTTGTGGAATGGATAGGTGATACAAAAGGACGTTCAAGTGCGGATAAAACTAGTTGGCACGCGTATCGATGCTACAGAGATTGTAAGTGATTGGTAATACCCAAGTGGAAGGGGAATGGTGTTTTACTAGAGGAAAAGTGGATACGTTTATTGATTTTTCTTTTGGTGGGAAATCTACCACTAGTTTGCGATTGGAACGATCAAAGAAGATTATTTAGGTGTCATATCACCATAGCTTAATCTTTTTAATGGGAAGTGTAAAAAAAACCGAGACGGAAATAAAAGAGTCATGGGAAGCAGTAAGAAAGAGATGCATTACCCTTAAAAACAACAATTTTTTGGCTGATATACTGTATTTCATGCCCTGGTATCATTTGCGGCAAAGTATATAGTAATGGGTTTCAAATCAACGGGATGGTCGTAATAGGCTCATACTACCAGTAACTAGATGGTTGGCTGGCAGCTAAATGAAACTTCTTCAGGTCCATTACCACCAGCTAATGTACATTTGTAGTACACATCACGTGATATGACATTCCTATTCAAAAATCCTCGGTAACTTCATAAATCAGTTATACACACCTGCGGTTATTGTGTGAAAATAGCGAGGGCTAGTTGAAAAAGAAAATAAGTTGGACACAATATAATGTTATGGTGATACGTAATTACAGGTCTTCTTGCCCTCCCGTTATTGATTTATACACGCATATATTACTTCCTTCATTCCTCGCCCTAGAACCATCTAGACTATCCTTTTGCAACATGCACGAATGTCTTTTGCCCCATACAGTGACGCTTTTTGTACAAGAGCATACACACATCGTATACATATATATTCAAGGAAATAATAAAGGTTTCGAAATGGTCGTTCAATTTTCTTTTTCAGAAGTATTGACGAGCTACATTCAACATTATAATAATACAAATATACAAAATACAATAATGATGATAATAAATAATGATAGTACCAATGGGACATAGAGGGAATTGATAAGTAAGTGGAAACATGAGATACATGCTTTCCGATGGCTAAACATTATGCCTATGCATTGTAAGCAGCAATGAGTTTCACAACCGAGTCCCAAGTGCCGAAAATGAGACCAACGATGCCCATGAGCAAGATAAGGCAACCCCATGCGATTTCATAGATCGGCTTATTGCGGAAGCCGGTAAGCTTCCAGTAGCACAACACAGGGATGATGAAAATGGTGGTACTGTAACCAAAGGCTCCAAACAAATGCATGAGTGGCGAAAAGTGAGGAACAGTACATGCGATGACGGCGCAAAAGACCATGACTAGAAAAAAATAATAATCAATGAGTATATGGCACATTTAAAACAAAAGGAAAAAAAAAAACTTACTAGCAGTACGCCAAAGGGCACGGTACATAAATTCTTTCTTTTTACCCATCTTCTCGACTGTAATGCCCATGATATTTTCACAGTCCAAAGCAAAGGAACCAGCGTAGATAGGAACAGAGACTGTGACATTGATTGTGACCATCACAATTGCCATGATACGACCAACACCAGGCGGAATGCTGTTGTAAATCGGGTTCTGAGCGGTTTCACCATAGATGAAATAACCGGGAATTGCAATCATAAAGTACAAGAGAGCGCAGGTTGACAAACCACTGATGCAGACTATGGGCCATCTCTGAGGTCGCTTCATGGCAGCTTCACAGTTGGGATAAACGACGTTACCACCCAGACTGAAGGAAATGACGGCGATGGCGCCGGGCCAGCCTTCCCAGACGACATTTTCCCTGACGACATCCACCTGATTCGGGCGATCGAGGCCAGCTTCGATGACACAGATAAAAGTTGTTACCAAGGTCACAGCTACACCAAGTAACGAGGTCCAGCTCAAGTTATCCATGGTTTTCATAAAGACAAAGGGAATTCCAACAATTACGACAAAGATGATAGACCAGGCAACATGGCCAATTTCGCCGGCAGTTCCGGCGCACAAATCGTTCAGGTTTGAACCACACAAGACAAAGTAGAGGATTGCTGTTCCGAGCAAGATCCAAGCGTTGAAGAAGAAACTCGTGTAGCCGCCCCATTTGCCGAACGCAGTAGTTGCAACCTGGTTAACCGACAACATACGCTTCTCACCACCGTAGTAAAGCGTTTGAATGAGAATAACAGAGCAGTACTAACAAAAATCCAAAGAGAGTTAGAATATTTCGCATTGGACATTTTTCAATATCTCTTGCTTTACCATGGTCATCCACCAGCAGATAATCAATAGAGCCAAAGCGCCCCAACCTCCTCCTGCTAAGACAGAAGAAAGTGATAACATGCCAGTGCCACATACACAGCAGACAATGTTATAATATGCTGTGTACGATCGACCACCATTGGATCGGTCAACATCGAAATTGGGATCAAGAAGCTTGTCTCTCCAATCATAAGCTATATTAATAAGATTGCATAAAAATGTTGTTTAATAAAAACGAGTGGGCATCTAATAATATGATAAGAAAGAGCAATAGATAGTAGGATGTAAAATGAAAGAGGATTTGCTTACCGAAACGCTTGGTAGGTCGTGGTGCTGGTGGAACAAAAGAGCCGCCACTTGATTTAGTGTCAACGAATGAAGCCGCCTTTTCGCTCATGGTTATATAAACGATGAAATAAAGTGTAGTGGCAGCTAGTGGAAAAGGGAGTGTTGTTGTTGGATCGAAGAAAAGAAAATGCCTTTTGCGAAGACTGGTGTATATATACGTGTTTGATGGGGGTGGGTAAACGTATATCGAGGCTCAATTCTTCTTCGTTTTCTATTTTTGATCACCTTGTTGTCAACAGTCTGATTAGGTTTATTGCTTCAATGACGGAGTGGTGAGGTGGGTTGATTTATGGGTATTATCGGCAGTAATATTGTAAATGACCGCATCATCCAATAAGCTTGTAAGGGAGAACAGATGCCATATTTCGATGATTTTGCCAGTCGGGAAACCGGGGTTTAATCGCTAATATTCCATGAGGCATGATAGCAAAAGCAAAATCCCAGGCCTGTAGCGAAGGGAGAAACACATACACCCACACACAGAGAGAAATTGAAAGAGAGGAAGCTATCATCCCAAAAGACCAAGGTCGTACCAACTACGATATCGTTCACTCTAAAAGCTAGATCGTATCGCGCAATACACATGGGTAGTTCCGGCAAACTGTTGTTACTCAAATCCTAGATACCATCGTACCAAGTACAGATTAAGTTTTTGGGATCATGTCCACATGATCCAGTTACAAGTACCCGATTTCCATATACGTGAAAAATCAAAAGTTCAAACGTGTCTAATGATACAGAGTGCTCGATTGTCGGCGGGGCTTGTAGTGATGTAATGTTGCCCTACTTCTTGCTCTTTTTTCTTCTTTGTGCAATAGTGACGGTTGATTTAATGAAATACGATGATTGCTCTTTGTTCCATTCTAATGCACGCATCACCCAACCTTTTTAAGTGATACCTAACTATCAGCAATAAAATCAAGTTTAACAGAGTACGATATACCAGTCTCCTCATAAAAAACGAATGACAAAATTTGTAGGATAGATCATGAAATACTAGCAAATATGTATAGGTGAGAAAGTAGATGATATTGGAGCGTGATTGATAACAGCTTTTCTGTTTTAGAAGTTGATCAGAAGAGTATCTTTGCTATTAGAGTTCAAGATCAAAGAAAAACCCGCGGCATGTTGTGAATTTGCTTTTGGTTCCCTCTCCCTCGTTCCTTCTTCCAAGTCTAGATGCGCTCCAATATGACGTGAGATAGCGCTACGTTTATCTTTCGACGATAAGCCTAGCTGTTGTGTGATGTTGTTTATATGTGCGCCAGGATAACAATGCATTGCCGTAATCACAGAAACAGCATTTACGTTATATGAACGAGAGCTGCTGGACTATATTTTTTAGATGTATCTGAATTATAATTGCTGAGAGATATTTTCTCTTTATAACGTTGTTTAGACACTTTTGTTGTGTGTGTGTGTGTGTGTGTGTGTGAAATTGAAGGTGTATAAGGGATTATAATCCCAGATGCTGTTGTTACCCACAGCATCTTAGTCATGTAAGACCATTAATAGCGGCTCTTCTGCTACTGGCTAAAGACGTCTTGTAATTGTGCGAATGTGATACAGAGCCAGATAATTGTGAATAAAACACATACAGTACTAGTATTAGAACGTTTTACAAAAAATGAAAATAAAAGGTAATATTTCTCACATGCGCGTTCCATCCCATATTTTGATAGTCTTCTTCATAGAATAGCAATACATTCGTTTTATCATTGTAGCAAGAAAAACATACCTTCATCATTTCATCGAAAATTATTTAACTACAAGTTGGGTATGTCCAGGAAAGATTGATTTACTTCTAGACCCGCTAAATCCGAGTAAAGGGTAACGAAGAGCAAACTTTATTGACATAAAAGGAATATTGCGATTATGAAAGTTGTGTAAGGGTTCCTTTGATAAGCAGCCTGCAACAAAGTTCAACCACAGCGGCTAATAGCAAAGCAGGAAAAGAGGTAGTGCGACGAAATCCAGAATGATAACGCTTCAAAAGCTTATTCGCTATGGTGTGCGCTAACTACGTAGAATACAATCGGCACTGCTGTTAAAGAAATTCAAACACATCTTGTTACCAAGTCATGGCTCTAACCTTGCTGATGATGATTGAAACCAAAAGAGAACGGCTTATATTTCCGGTGTGGGGTATCACAGTTGAGGAACATAACGCAGATTAACGAACCGTTGGTGTTGTCACCAACTATTCCACTACTATATCTGATTTTTTCCCGAAGGCTTGTGTGAGAGAAAAAAGCCAACCGTAAAAAAGGAAAAGGTGACAGTCTTCTATTTTATTCAATTTAGGTAATATGCTGTGTCATCTTCACACTGTGCAGACCACTAAAAAAGTCCAAGAACATGACAGAGCAGAGATAGAGAAATTACAATGTACACGCCCGAATCGTATAAACAAGAAAAAGAGAGTTCATCAAATCCAGATCCAAACGAAGCTTATCTTGTATACAAAGGTGATACATGATGCTGTTTGATATAGAACAAGTAGCCCCAACAAAACATATAAGCTCTTGTCTTCTGTTTTCGAGAAAAATTACAAAAAACAGCTCCAGATATTTACAAGTATATCTTTCGTTGTTCGCTTTTTTTATTTCCCGCTTCGTGGCGACGATGTTACCTATTACCCAGTCTAAGCCCAGCTTGATAAAGTTCAGCCACTGGGGGTTTTTCCCCTGTTCATGTAGTCTTATTTTCAAGCACAAAGCTTCCTTTCATCTTCCTCATTTTGATCTACTGACTGCTTGGTTCTGTTGGATAATCATCATACATGATGTTGCGGTAGCACGCTAGTACTAATGGTGGTCTGATGATGTAAATAACATTTGATCTCTTTGATTTCAATTCCTCACGAAAATGTACGTGCCTCCGCTGATACAATTCTGTGGGATGATGGTGGATGGATATATCAAACGTAACACACCGGACAGTAAAGTGAGGAAGTTTCCTACAATTCTAGCCGACCAATATACCCCTCATCATCATCTTATTGTTTTCTTACACAAAGGTGATAAGGAGACGGGGGACTGGTAACTTGACGGTGCCTTTAGTTAACCGTCGCACTAATTATAGAAGGACATGTGAGAAGTTGGTTCCTCGCCGGATAATTTAGTCTTTTATATCTTCATGTATACTTGAAAGTATGTACATGATCTGTACTTTAGCGAAACGCAGCAACAGTAGAATGCTATTGTCATAGAACGCCTCTCTTCTCCAAGTGTATATTAACAGTTACAGTGACTGTAACCATATGTATCATCTTGCACAATCTGGTCCTAACAGTCTAACCGTTAGCGCAAAGATGAAGAAGCCGTTCAACACCAAGGGCGACGCAACTAAGACTGTCACCGTCGCTATATACATACACCACTACTGCATGGGTCTCAGTAGCCTACTACTAGTTTGGTTCACGTACGATATTTGAAACGAGTTATTGTGCCCTCTAATCTTACAGAGATTTCCTAAGGACCATTTTGTTTTGTAGTTGAGTAGTCTTTAAAATGTTAGGCGACACGGATCACTCGTGTTGGCGATTAGGAGGATAGGGATGCAGATTTATTATTAGCCTTATCACTAAAAACCAACATCATTGAAAAAGCGAGCGTTATTATTCTCCCGAGAACCGTATGTTTATCGTTGATGCTGAGGTAATACTGCCAAGTCCAATATGAAAGCAAGCAAGTCAAGCTATCAAATGCTCTTTTCAAAATTTTTACATTTTACAGTGAACCCTCGCCTTTTAAAACAGTGACAGTTCCAAAATTTGGTGTAGAATTCAGGGACTTGCAAAGAACGGGAGTTAGTAGCTACCTTCCAAACAAAGATAAGAATAGTTAATATTTACAGGTCTCTTTGCATGCATAACTGTCATCATGACGATTGTGACTATGACAAAGTAGTGAAATAAAGATGTATAGTTATACTCAACCTAGCTGGAACGTGTCTATATGTATAAGCAGCTCACTAACTTTGATTGTGACGTTCTTCTGTGTTCTTAAAATCCTTTGAACCACTTTTTTTTATTCTATGGGAAATTAATCTCTCAGAATGCTCACAGCCGAGCATGAAGATCGCATCTGGAAGGAATAGATTTGTACTAGTGGTGCCAAATCACTGAAGGAGAAAGTATCTGCGCTAAGAGTACCATCATCACAGTTCCACTTTTCCTCGTCTTTTGCACAAGAAACGTATCGACCCATACTCAGTTATTGAACCGTCACCTTTTGCAGAGAAAATCTCAAAGCGGCGTGGACAAGGAAAAATACTCTGTAAGTTAGATTCGATTCATTGTTACATATAAAACTATCATCGTCATAAATATCAGTAATGTACTAAATTGCATACTGATATTATTTGTATAGGATATTGAGGAAGCGATCTACCTTTGGATGCTAGCACCATACCTTTCTTGGCTTTAACCATTTCTTTGATAAGATGCCACAAGCGCCAAGGCATATGTTTGTTGCACATTACGGGAACATTTAATCACTGAAAAAGATGAAACCGTACAAAGCAAATGTTGTTTCTTATGGTTTTTTTGACATTAGCGTACAGTAGAGATTGCGTTGCCGGGAGTTGCAAAACCGGGGCTCACTGTATTCCAGCTTATAATTAGCTATAGAAGTAAATCCTTGTATGTAAAACATCAGTGCATTCTACATCCCTCAAACTCTTTTTCACATAGGTTATACATCGTCTTCCTTGTTTCGTCTTCTTTGTTGCCATATACTGTACATTAACTGTCAGCATCGCTTGTATGTAGCATTCAAAATCTCAGATCACCGTTAAACCCTTTTAAGGTATTACGTACTGAGTCTTGGAAGGTCGTTTTAGGTGTCCCAAAGGCAATTTGTATCTTTTCGGGTTTACGATCTTTTCGGCTCTTTTTAAATTGATACCAGCATCCAAAATATGCTCTCCCCTTTGTCATCTTAATCGGCATAAAACTGTGTAACAGGGCGTTAAACAATGCTAGTAGCACCTTCTTTTTGAAGGAGCGTTGGCAGAGATGGTTCAATCTCTGAATATACGACGGAGCATTTATTTATACGATGCTTAATGACCAAGTAGTTAATAAAATAAGCCTGCTGCGTCAATCATCAGGTTTAATGCACGAGCTTATCTAGTTACAACCGACCGCATAATGTGATTACAGAATTCTGAGTCAAATATATACAGTACCCGCTCGTTAAACCGATCACCTTTAAACCGATATTTCGTTAAACCGATCACTTCCCCAAAATACCAGCTCGGTAAGCAGTAAAATATCGGACGTTCGCTAAACCGATCACCGATCACTTGTCCCACGATTGATCGGTTATTTTTGGTTAAGTTACTAAGCTTAATAGCTTGATTGGCGAAATTGGTGATATGAGATTGCATCAATTTCAAAGACCTGATTCTTCTCTTCACAGATGTTCAGAGTCTCAATGGCTCAACAGTAATAGGAAGCTCGTCTACCAATTGCTGGTATTTTCGTTTCATCTACGCTATCGCCTATTTGATGTCTTCTTATCCTTCTTCTTCTTCTTCCCCCTCAACAACTCGCATCCCAACCTGAAATGTATATAAACATTACATGTAATAGTGTAACATCATAAGATGATCCTTCCAGCGAGTTCTATATCTCACATGGCGGACCCTCAATCTTTAAAGTTAAACCGATCACTTTCTCGAAAAACAGAGGTGATCGGTTTAACGAGCGGGTACTGTACCCTTTCTTTTCCCGTCCTTGCGTCTTGGAAAATGACTAGAGCTCACATGCGAACTTTTAAAATTAATACTTTCCGTGGATCCTGGTACAATACATGTACCATATCTTCCGCTGTGTTGTGATTTGTGTCATGATAATGATTACAAAGAAAAAAAAATCATGTAATATAGTAAACAATGAAGAGTTGGTATCAATGTTTCAGTTTCGCTCATAAACAGTGCACAGTAGTACTATATACTGTAGTTATGCGATGATCTAATTTACTGCTATCTCTTATCGTCATCTTCGCCACAAAATGATTTCAGTCAACAAAACTGACAAAAGGATTGCCATCAATTGCTAAGCAATCGATCACTACCACTTCACTAATTGGTTGATACTGTGTAATATATCGTTAAATGCTGTCATAGATTAACACTTTACGTGCTTTGGTTGATACTGTATGATATAGTCAGTCAATACTCAGATATCAGTCAAGTGGTTGATTATAAAGTTGGTTCGTATTGACTTTCTTTACTGTTCAGTCAAAGCTTCATTAGCCAAGCCATGCGATTTACCATTGTCATTTGTGATGAGAGTAACTAGGATTCTGTTACCTGGCAGCCGAGTACAAACCAATTTTGTAACGTGACAGAGGCACCAAAGTGCAACAAACCGAGTAACCAAGGCAACCAAGAAACAAAGAAAAGTAACTAACTAGTCGTGTTTCGCGGGGATAATATAAAATGTATTGTATATGTATGAGAGACAGAGAGGGGAAGCTGTCAAACGCTGAACCAACTCGGGCAAGGTGGCACACCAATCTATTTGGTCGAAAATTAAAAAAAAAGTAAACCAAAATCCAAGCAAATTAACTCCGAGAATTATTCAAGTGGCTCAAGTTCCTTGAAAAGCAACACTTTTTTTTTGACATTGTACTGCAGTCACCATGCGTCCTCTCACAAACGAAGAAACAACTACGCTTTTCGAGAAATTAGCAAAATAGTAAGCGATCTCAAACGTTTTTAAAGTGAATGAGAAATATGTAAGTCTAACAGCTTGTCACTTATGTAGCATCGGATCGAACATTAAGCACTTGATTGATCGGCCGGATGAAACTTACTGCTTCCGTTTGCACAAAGATCGAGTATACTACCTCAGGTACTCTATAAAAGAAGAGTAGAACAAATAAAAGTACAACACATGACAACATATACTCAACAAGAATCTATATATAGTGAGAGCATGGTACGCATAGCAACTTCTGTTGGTCGAGATCAGTTGGGATCTGCTGGTGTCTGCTTCGGCAAGTTCACCAAAACCGGAAAGTTTACGCTCCATGTCACCGCTTTGGATCACTTGGCACAATATGCAAAGGTAAACCGCTATATATTGAAATCACATAGAAGCGGAAAACGGCTGATACATTCATATCGTATTAGCACAAGATCTGGATCAAGCCAAATGGTGAAATGACATATCTCTATGGCAATAATGTTGTCAAGGCACATTTGGGTCGCATTACGGATGATACACCTGAACACACTGGTGTTGTTGTTTATTCCATGACAGACATGCCTTTGGTAAGTTTGTTTTTGCAAGGATAGGAAGGGGGAGCAATTATGCATATAGCGGAGGATGGGTAAACTGACAAGAGTTCAATTAGGGTTTCGGTGTCACTGCTCGATCAACAGCAGATATGAAGAAGCTTCAGCCAACGGATATCATTGTGTTCCATCAGGCAGATGTTGGAGAATACCTTCGCTCTGAAGATACTTTATTATAATTAATGTTTTCCCTTAAAGCTTTTATCATTGTAATATACTATATACATTCTTTTGCTTTCTTTTTTCATTTACAATATCACCAAAACGCATTACACAGAAAAAAAGTCTTGTTTTTTTATGAACAATTTCTATCTCGATCAACAATATCTCCATCATGCATCAATATGGGTGTTGGGTTGCCATTGGAATCGAATTGGGTTGCTACTGTCAAACCTTGTAAAACTGTTTCTGCTGCAGGATTGAATAGAAGCGAGTCAAGTCGCACATCACATATTCTTGCCAAGGCCAACGGCATATGAGATTCCATGAAATGCGAAATGACATCGGCTGTATATTTTTTGTTACTGCTTGTAGCCAACATTGCTATACTGGATTGAGGATCCAATGCGCCTGCTGCACCGACCAGTGCCCGCACATGATCAGGTGAACATCCAGCCTTGATACTCTTGCATTGAACGATGATGCTCGGTGCAATATCTATCCCAAAAGGTTGCTGTTGTTTATAAAGTGACAAGTCGCGTAATGGCCACGTGCCTCGTAAATCCACGCCACCGTCGCTTTTTCCACCTACGCGTCGTAGTCGCATCCCGAGTTCTTGCTCAAAGACTTGATGCGTTTGCCATTCGAAAAGCGTTCCTCGATAGACAGTGGACGACGAATCAGAGGGTGGATGTTGTAGAAACGATTTGAGATCGTGGATCAAGGTTGATTTGGCACGATTGAGAGGGTTACGCATTGAAAGAAGGAGAGACAGATTTCTATATCCTTATTTAAATGAGCCAATCTCTTTTCTGAATCGTAGTTACAACAAGATGAGCTTCGTTTCGATGAAGTACAGTATTTCCAATATGTGATGTCGCAGCCAATGAAAATCAATGTCGGGCCCGATGGAAACCAATGTCGTCCAATGGAAATCAATGTCGCTAGCCAATGAAAATTAAATTTCGCATAGTTCAGCCATAGATCGTTCGCCAGTGCTGCAAGATACAGTAGTTTGCGTTTAATAATGTAGACGTTGATATAGCGATATGTCGACGATGAAAAGATCCAAAAGCAGCTCGAAGAAGTCAAGGCCAAAATAGCCGAGTTTCCACCTGAATGCATCTATAACATTGATGAAACGGGACTTTTTTACAAGCAAGTGCCACGTCGAACGATTTCGAACAAACCTATTGCCGGACGAAAAGTCGATAAAAGTCGTGTAACTGTTGTCCTTGTCACCAATGCAACTGGCTCGCATAAACTTGGCCCCTACTTCATTAAACGCTTTGCTGGAGGAAAAGATTTTGGATCAAAGCTGAGTAAGTTAATGTTAGTAAAACATGAAAAAGAACGACAGCTGATTCAATACACCACAACAATACGAAAGCGTGGATGACAAAGTCGATTTTAAGAGAGATCTTGCGCAAGCTGGATTCGGCAGTGTTTCATGCACATAAAGGCAAAAAAGCTCTCTTATTGATGGATAATGCACCTTCGCATAAAAACTTGGATATTCAGTTAAAAAAATATCGAGTTGTGCATGCTTCCTCTAAAAACCACATCCCACTACCAACCGCTTGATGCAGGAATCATTGCTTCGTTCAAAAAAAAGTATAGGTACATTGTAAACAACAGGAGATTTAAGCAGACAAAGTGATTTATTTGGATGTTAAGAAAGCAGAACTTGTTGGGCCAAATCTATTTTAGGAGCATCTTATTTCGCAGAGCAACAATTCGCTACAACAACAACGAGCTTCACGATCTTTACAACATTAAGTTCAAACAAGCCTTGGACTGGTCTATTATGGCCTGGGACCGTGTCTCGTCCGAAACAATTTCAAATTGTTTTCGACATACTGGCCTTATGTCAGTGGAAACCCTTACAGAAGTAATTGAATCCGAAGAAGCTGTTGTTTTGCAGGAGGAGGAGGAACTGACTGTCGAACTTGACTCGTACCTAAGATCTGTCAGCAATGATCAAGATGATACGAACACAGTTTTCGTGATTCCAGATGACGAAGACGACGGGACATGAGATGTTGACGCTGGAAGAACGAATGGATCGTTTGGTGAATCAAAACGTTGAAGATGAAGGTACAGTACTACTTATCAATCTTCTAGTAGGGACATCATACAAAGTAAGTGCATTGATGGATAAAATCCCCTCGTCTTTATAATAGGCGAGGATGGAGCGACCGAAGAACAAAATGAAGAAGAAGATGATGCCGATGCGAATATTAGGGCAATTAAAGGAAAAAAGCGCCTCTACCATAGTTTTATAGATAAACTTGACATCACACACAAATTGGATATGGACATCTTGTATCTGGTAAAAAAAAGAGTTAGACTTTTGGAGTCAGAGGAGCGGCAATCAGTGAAGCTGACGCAATCCCACCTCATGGACTTTCTAAATTAAGTGAATAAATATATACTACGAATTTTTATTGGGAATACATGTTAACTCTGGACTCTGATGTATGATCCGACACTGATCGCTGGTTCGATTCCGCGTCACTAAGTAATTCTATTGGTTTATACTTGTCGATATGTCACAGCCAAGTGATCGATGATCGAATTATCGATTTGTCGATATTTTACTGCTTACCAGCCTGGTCATTTGAGAAAGTGATCGAATTATCGAAAATATCGAGTTATCGGGTATCGAATTATCGAGCGGGCACCGTACTGATGGGAGCAAACCATATAGCAAAATTTGCCCTTTCTGTCTCAGCAAATGCTGTTGCAGGAAACACTTTTAACACTTATTACACTTTAAATCTTTTTACATAGTCGTCACTTTTTATTAGAAAAGATACTTGAAAAACAAGAGGGGCTATACAAACATTGTTATGGAGCCATATATGTAAATGCTATTATGATATTATAAATATATATAGAGAACAATCGTAAAAACATAAGAAGTTAAACATTATGAAAAAGAGAAGGATGATTATGAAGGGCAATATTGAACTGAGGTATTGGGGGGAGAATTCTTCTTCTTCTTCGATGAACATGGAAAGGAAAACTGACGCTTAAGCGAATCCTTTTTGATCTTTTCGTCATGCGATGACTTGCGCACTCGAGTAGTGGATGGCGTTGGTAACGGCTTTTGACGAAACACAAAAATGCATGGGGACCCCGAATTGCTGGGCTGCAGTGACGTTGTAGCTGGTAAAGAGAGTGACCGCCTGTTGGATGGCCTACCTGCCGAAGACGACGACGAAGCTTGAGAAGAAGGTGATGATAATAACGATCCATTGTTATTAAACACTATGCCACTACAGGTACTCGTGCTGCCTTCAATCGAAATCTGGAGGTCACGGAATTGTTGTTCGATTTTTTCGGCATAAAGTCGCACCTTGAATACGTCGTTGATATAAGCCTGAGTACCGCGCAACAGCATCAAGTTGATCCGCAGCTGTTCTTCGGCAAAATGCTTTAGTGCATGTGAGTTGTATGTATAGATGCGTTTGGCTGTGTTGTGGATGGCGAAAAACATGTGGTGATAGGTACTCTGGTCGCAGCCAATTTCTTTGAGATACTGCAATGCTTGCAACAAGGCCAGGTTGGTTTCCAAACAGTCGATCAAAATGTCTTGTGGCGGAGAAGACGCTGGATTTAAGAACTGGAAGAGAATGACGAGCCGCATGGCGTGATAGCACAAGTGAAAATGGTTTTCGGTATGCTGCTGCTGGGCGTACCACTGCTTTAACTGTACGGTTATCTCTTGATAGAGTAACGAAGGGTAAGTTGTGCCTTCTTGAAAAATGGTGCCGGATCGGATCGCTCGAATGTACATACGCATGTACTGCGTCAAAGCAGCAAATTGAAAGAGACCATGGAAATTTTCTGGCCGAAGCGATAATGATGCGTCGTCGTCGTCGTTGGTATTGTTGCTGAGTGCTGCCAGTTGTAGCGGTGTATCGTCTGCCAGCAGGCATTCTCGATTCAGGGTAAGGCACATCCATGCGTCAACATAGTACCAGCGAAGCCAGCACATCATGGTCATGCGATCGACAGGCCGGCCAGCGGCAATGTCTTTGGTATGCTGTTGCAAAGCAATGGACGCCAGTCCTCCCCATGTTCGTTGCTGCTCATACAACCGTAGCAGATTGGATGTGTAGCTCAAGCAGAAATAGGCTTGAATTATCATGGGCTGCATGTCTTCAACAAACACGTCGTCCATCTTGTGTCGCGCTTGCTCGTAAAATACCATGGCCGCTTGCTTGATGAAAGATTGACTCGCATTATGATCTATAAATGTGACTAAGCTGATTGATGCTACGCAGTACACAATCGCCGGAGGTGCACTGTGCCAGTCGCGGATCAAATCGAGGCTGATCGGTGCTACTTTGAATCCAATGCAGCACCAATGTGATACGGCCTGTTGCATCAAACTCTCGAGCATGTGGGAGCTTTCGACGTTAAGTCGGATGGAAGACGGTACAGTGAAGTCGGTGCTGTTCAAGTACACTAGGTCTTCTTCTGTTGAGTTGTTCGCTGCTGTATCTGTCGTAGTTGTTATATCGTCGTTTTTGTTGCCATTGTTGTAGATCTGATCGTCTGCTGCCAATAATGTTGATGAAGCAGCGTTATAACTGTTGTGGTGATAATAAGTGTTGTGATTGTGATGGTGATGACTGCTGTGCAGTAGCGGATCTTGCAAACCAGGGAAGCTGAGCATTGGTTGCTGCGGACTTCCAGCCGGTGAGCCATAGGCTTCATGACCAATGTCTTTAAGCGCTGTTTGGAGGTCGGAAAAGCTAGTTATTTGCAGCTGTATGTGATCATCGACTAGGTTTGCGGAAGTCATATTGATATCGGGATGAGGATAAGCTGTAACACAGGTCTGTGCTGGATAGTCATGGATGGTTTGTGGTGAAGATGAATGATGGCTGATAGGGGAAGACAAACCGATCATTTCCATCGTGTCAAACTCGTGGTCATCAAAGAGGCTCACAGGAGAAAATGATTGAGCAAAATGGGGCTCTAGGTATTGATAGAGCAAATCTTCAGTCGACGTCTCATCATCTTGAGCTGTTATTGTTGTTGTCGCCGTAGAAAGATGACTGTCATTCCTGTCGCTATCAATGAAGTTGTATGACATGGAAAATGGATTCGTACTCTTGTTGTACGTGAAGGGATTGTGGGGTAGTTGTAGTAGTAGCAGGATGCAAAAAGAAATTGAGAAAAGAAAAGGAAGGGAAGGGAAGGCAAGCGAAAGCGCTTTGGGTTTGTAGAATTGCAAGATGTAGGAGTGTGTGAGAATATGTGAATATGTATGCTTCTCGGAAAGGGAAGGAAAGGCAAGGCGGTGACGACGATGTAGCCCTTTTTCACTTACAAATAAAATGGAATGCATCTTCTTCTTCATCACCTTTTTTCTTCTTGATTCATACTCTAAAATTTAGCAGTTCGTTTCATTGCAGCTCTCTTTCTTTCATTTTCCTGTTCATATCTCCTTGATTACTACTTTCCCCTTTCGTTTGGAGTTTCTTCTTACAATCAATCATCTGTGCGGCACCTCTTTTTAATCTTGGCAGCACGAAAAGAGGCACCGAACGCCCAATAGTCATTACACCTAGCAAGTCCGTATGCAAGGCTGCTCACAACTCAACAAATCAGGTTTCTCTGTCAGAAATAAACATTGCGATCAACCCCGTAAGAATAGTGATACACACAGATCTCGGGCGTTCTCACACTATTAGATCACAAACTCTCTTTTTTGTCAAAGTTGTTAATGTGCTGCTGCTGCTGCATCGAGGCACGTACGCAAACACGATGCGCGTGATCATCGTCATATGGGGCCTATCAAAGTCATACAACAGAGGATGGGGCAAAAAAAAGAAGGAAAAAGAAACCAAAAGGGCTCGCTACATGTATCTCCTCCTCCCAACAAAATGGTAATTACACACATTTGTTCAGGAGTACAGCACATAGCAGTAATAAAAGATGATGGACATGCATATAGCGTACATTATTCGCCATCGTCTATGTGAATAACAACGTCCCTCCCTTTGTCTAATTCACATTACACATGTCCTTAAGTTCCCAGCTGATGAAAGGAATCCATGGTCATTGAGAAAAGAAGAGGGAAAAAATGAAACATGGCAGACACGCATAGCACCATACATACATGCATTTTGAAGCATGCGGCGCCTCGTATTAGGTCATCCAGCCCAGCTTTTAGTATGACATAGCTTCTTACTAATATGGCTAGTAAACTGCTACTGACAATACTATAGTATCTTTCTTGCCCAAGCAAACATGCAATGGAATAATGTACAAGCTTTAAGAGATCCGACAGTGCATTTATACTTTAACATGCTATATAATTAAGAAACTAATAATTAAAATTTCTAGTAAAAACCGACTTTCATTGTCATCGCTACCAGGTACTGGAAAGACACACAGCGACTTGAAAACCAGAACAATACTTTGATATTTCTCTTTTTGACCCTTATTTTGTGTGTGTGCGTTTTTTCTATAGTTTAGATGACGACGCCTGCTGCTTGCTCTCTTGGGTCAACTTCTTTAGAAGCGCCTTTTGATTGGCAGAGGGAACCGCATTTTCCTCTGCAAGGATTTCTGCTAACCGAAGCACACGCGTGCTCACTATTGTAGATAACAGTTTAGCTTCGATTCTTGATTTTCATTTTGATAAACAAAAATATGTAATTAGCTACCTGTAGCACTGTCTCTTCGGTTCTTGCCTTCCATTCGGAAGCGACCAATATGTTCAACAAGATCCCAAAGTGGGCCTTGTGGGACAAGGATGCCATCCTTGCGTTCGGGAACGTATGCTTCTGTCAAAAAAATCTCAGACCAAGACTTGGGGGTATTATGGCGGGCAAGCAGCATGATGCCTTGCTCTTGGTATCTCGTAAATGCTGTATTAAGCGTCTCCTTATTAACTGCCTCCAAATAACTCTGGAAGTATATAGAAGGGCAAAAAGTTTATTAATTCGGTTTGTCCCCCTTGTAACACTCTGACGCATACAAGTTATGCAACTTACGAGGTCGCCCTGGTAATACAATGTTTTGCCAAGCGCTTGTGCTCTGTTTGCAAAAAGCTTCATCTCTGCTTTGGCTGATCCGCTGTTGGGGCTGTACGCACGACGTGATTGTACTAGGGAGAATAGACTCACTGCAGCCAACCAATACGATTCAACAAATGGCCAGATCAAGAAGCATAGGAAATCTGTCCAAAGAAGGAAAGGAGAGGAGCAAAGGGATCAGCATGCATCATCCAAAGGAGGAGGAGTGGTGCAAGATAAGCAAGAAAACTTACCATAGTTCTCGCGGCCCCATTCTCTTTCGGCATCGGATAAACCAACCCAACCGTCATCGCTTACTTCAATGACATGATTATCTGCTAACCAACGCACGGTTCTGCGCATGTTGTTCTCAGCACCTCCTGGTTTATAGATCATGTCTAGTTTCAACAGGCTAGACAAGAACGAAATTTCCTCTAGTAGGTCGGTGTATCGCATACGCTGGTCAACTTTGCTTCCACCAAGCTTCACTACTGTGTAAAGCGCGACGCAGACAATAGCTAAAAGCAGATAAATATATCCTTACATTAATAAAGGTACATTTCACGAAACATGACAGCAATCTTACCTTCTTCGACAAACATATGGATGACTTGATTACGATAGTAAGAGAGTTCAAAGGGGTTGATACCATAAAACGTAGGTTCTAGCAAGTCCTTGCCCTTTTGTTCGCCTATCAAGTCTTTGTGAATCTGGACAGTTCTAGTGCATCCCAAAAAAATAACATTTAGAATTTTTCCGTGCAGACACATACACAGAAAGCGAATGGTTCTTTCCTTCACTATACCTGTCAACAACAACACCTGTGGACATTCCGTGGAATTCGGCGACCTGCCCGCCCTTGGCGTTGATCACCTTGATCAGCCAATCCACGCGTCGAACAAGTTCACTCCGACCAACGCCACGACCACGAAGGGTTAAAAGTACGGTGCCAAGCAACGCTGATGGCATCACAACAGCGACGGAATTCTGTGCATGAACAGCACAAGTGTTACTTACTACAATCAACTACTGTCAACCTTTTTAAGACATATAGAAACAACTTACGATATCTGACAGAATGCTACACATAATATACACACATAATTTCAGCTCGTTGTAGTTACTGTGTTTTTGGTTCAGTATCTGCAATCTGCAACTTACCGGTATCCCAGTGATTTCAAAAGGACAGATTTTTGAGTTGTTTGTGTCAGATCCATAGGTCTAAAATGTAAAGAAAAATAAAGCCGGTCAGCAGTCTATACGCATGATGTACATGATCTTTATAAAATCCGTTGCCACATTGATACTTACCCACGAAGTTTAATCTGTTCTTCTAACCAGTTTCTTAATGAAAACGGCTTTCCAAGGCGGACTAGATGGGAAGAGGATGGAAATTACCGTTGTTAGTTTAAGATACGAATCCATTTGATCATTAGCTATATTATAAAGACTCACCATCGACGCGTCCCCATTTAAGTTGCAATACACGCGTGTTCGTGATGAGGCCCCTATATCAAAACATACTTTTAGAGGCAAGATCGCATGATATAAACTTGTTTACTGTATATTGCTTACCATAAGCTTTCCTTTTCCTTTGGATTACCGAGCAATTCGTTCGCATAGCTGTTTCAGTATGCATAAAAAATATTATGCGTGTGCGCGCATATGTCTCTTTTAATCAGCCCCATCTTTTCCCATATTACTGACAAGTATTTTATACTATCATGTAACTTACGAATATGTTTCAATTATCTTATCATAGCCCAATGACATGGGTACGATATGACAGTCCGAAAAGCGGTCATCCACAATTGCATCCAGGATGATCTTAATAACACCCAGTTTGGGAGTGAGCAATTTACCTATGATATTAAGTTTTTCATGTCAGTATGATACAATCCATAAACGCGCATCTCTTGTCTATTTCCATTCTTTTTTTTACCAACTAATAGATGATAGCTTACCTAATCTGGATCGCGTTCCTTCCACGAAACACTCAAAATTCACTATATAGTAATTACTCGGTTGATGAGGATCTTCGGTAACGGTGGCCAAAAAAGAGTAAAGATTCTCCATTACTAATCATCAAACGAATACGTACTTCCTTCCGACAAAAGCGTGGTAATATACTCCTCCATGATCGTCTTGTACAGTGGATTACCACCCCACTCTCGCTTAATAAAGAACGCGCCACAAGATTTCAACAATCGACCCACAAGGGGCAGATCCAAATTCTCGCCCGCGACAATATGAGGAATCTGAAGACCTGTTCAAAACAGCAGTGTCATATATGTGTGGTCGTTTCTTTTAGCAACATGAAAAATGGATGGGGTTCGATCCATATGTCGGAGCTGGGAGTTGCCGTGCGCGAATTGCTTACCTAGTCGGAAGAAGATGTACGACACAACGAGGTAGTCAATATGTGATTTGTGAGACGGTACTAAGATCAACGATTGCTTCTTCTGCTGGGCCATCAAGGCCACGCGCTTCAGCTGAACATTTATAAGCAACACCACGGTTAGATAAAACGCTCCCGTTATTTCCACAATTTTTTTCCTGTTGTGATTTTTTTACCTCGACCCATTGGCTTTCTTTGATATGTACGCCCTGGTGGTACAACCTCACCAGCACATTGTTAAGCGCAAATGCAAAGAATCTGTAGCATTTGGCCGATTTGTCTTTGAGTAAATTATGTCAAGGCCCTTTCCTTTTTACACTTCTATGTGTAGTATCCTTTTTTGGTGAAATGTGCATGTACCTAACTGCGCGGATATCATCCATTGTGGAGATGCATTTCTCAGCGATCCCTTTAGCCACAGCCTCTAATTCTTTTTGTGAACGCTTTCGCTGCTTCATGATCCGCTTGGCGCGTTCTTCTTCGGTCATGTTTTTCTTTTGGACAGCAACAAGTTCTTGGGCCTGACGATCAGCTAATTCTTGGATCACCTGCTCCACTATTTGAAGGAACATAGGTCGAGTTTACCATTACATCCATTATTTAACAAAAGAGAGAGAGAGTTAGCTCAAGGAAATAGTAGATAAGTAATACCTTTGCGACTATTGAGAACCAATGACTTCATTCGATCCGAAAAACCGGGATAGAAAATCTTGTTTCCAATGTATTGTTGATAGCCGCGCCATCCCTATCAAAGCATGTACCCATTTAAGTAAAGAGTTGATCCTCGCCTCCACATATACACTCAGTTCCTGAAGCAAATAATCGAGAAAAAGTTACCGTGCCCTGATAATGCAACCCAATATTCAGCATGAAAGCCACAGGATCTTCTCTCATACGTCGAGGTTCTTTCTCTCTATATAGTATTTAGCCCCACATGTGAGGATTGTATGAGTTCTCTTACTTGCAGTTATACGAGGCGTAAAGAGGAGGTGAATAGGGGTAAAAAAAATCAAAAACATGGTTGTTGCCCAGCAGCGAGAGGAAACAGTAGGAAGCAGACGAGGATTGGGGTGGTGGCAACAAAATACTTGCGTCAAATTACGATGTTCATGTTCCGGATCATCAAAATCAAGGGACAGATTAGGAACGTTCGAAGGCGACGATCCACTCTTATGATAGTCTTCCATGAGAGCCCGAAGTCGTTCTTCGGTTTTACTGTTGTTCATATCTTTCTTGCAGACACTTTGAGTAAGCGCCGTGGGGAAAAGAAACGAGGTAAAAAGAAAAAAAGCGGATACCGCAAATTGACAGCAGTCCTTTTAAATACAATAACGATTAAATTGGTGTGGGGATCATGCACGTGATCCTTTCTAACCTTCGGGAGCTTAACCCCATCGAAAAATGTCCATACTGTACATCTTCAAATCCACATAAGCCGAATGTTCCAACGGCAGAGGTGCCCTGCCCATACCCAAATACACACATACAAGGAAACCAAACCCCCCCCAGCAACGATCAGCATGACAATAACAACAGATAATTCTCATATACTGTGCATTTCGCACTCTCACGATACACATCGCTTTTTATACAAGTATATATTGTGGTTGTCGAAATACAAGCATCCCTAACGCGAAAAAGTACACTTAAGCCGAGGCAGCGGGCTTGGTCTGCTTGACAGCCTGGGTACCTATTAATTAGATAATATATACGCACATCAGCTTCTTGTTTTTATTTTCTTTCGTGTTAATTCTCACTAGGAAAAAAAAAGTAAAAAGAACTCACCCTCGCGGAAACCGTTAAGGAAACGACGGTGGACGAGCTTCAAGTGGCTCATGCGGCCAGTACCAGTGGTCTTTCTGCGCTTAGCCTTCTCGGACCAGTTGACTAATTTTTAAAAGTTTGAAGTGATTGTGCATCATAAAGATGTGTTACATAAGTAATAATGCAAAAAGCAAAGCCCTAAGGGAGTTTCTAATAATTGCTGACAATAACTTACACTTGCGGATTTTGGCAGAGGGGTAGCCACAGCTAGCGCAAGTCTTCTTTTGCTTGTGGAAAGAACGATTGCCGCAGCGACGGCACAAAGTGTGCGTCTTCGTCTGGCGTTTACCGAACGAGGTGGTACCCTTGGACTAAAATGGTTCGTGGAAATGTTCGTATATACGGATTCGAAAATCAGTTTCAATTGCAAATGTGGACAAGCGTTGAAATAGGGCCATATCCGCTGACGGTGTGGTATGTAGTTGACGCATCCATCTATTCATCCATCCATCCATCCATTTGATTTTCTCTTTATATTGCCATCATCGTCATCGTCATCCTCTGTCCCTTCCCCCTTCCTTCTTCTCCAGGATACGTACCATCTTTCAGTACTGAGGGAAAAGACCGTTCCTATGTTCGCCGCCGATTCACCTTCAAGTGCCACTCGCCCGCCAGCAATCCGAGGCGGTGTTTCAAATATTCCATAGCAACCACCTGCATGTTGCCATGGTAATCAAATTTATTGAGTTTTTTGCCCCTGGAAACGAATATATGGTACTTACTTTACATATAGCTGTAAACGTGTTCTTATAATGAATGCTCAGCAGCATGCTTCCTTTTTTGACTATTAGTAATACTCTTCCTCTCTTTGTACTGTATCTGAAATAACCAATAATTCCCTGTTGCAAGGAAAGAAGGGGTTAAAGAAAGTGTGTGTCTGGTGACATCCTTTATGGTGGACACACACACGGGTCGGAAAAGCTGCCGCACTTAGCAAACATCGCGCTTTTTTTATGGGTCACACAAAGAACTTTTGGGCTTTTTTCTTCCTTGCGTCTTCTCTCTCTTTCTCTTTTACTCGTTCTTCGCTCTCTCAACTGTTTTAAGCAACTTCTCTCCTCCCCCACCTTTTAATTCTCTTTCAACAACAACAAAGCATACGCCTTTTTTTTTCTTTGCAAATGGCACAAATTGGAAAACTACGGAATCATTCCGGCCTTCGTCTTAACTTGGGCGATTCAAGACCAACAACACCATGCAGTTTAGACGATGAAGGAAGTTTAGCTGCGGCCGTAGGCGCCGGTGCTCCTTCACTTAAACCGTCGACCTCAACCGACAGCAGCAGCAACTGGCGAGAGGACCTCGCCCGTATCGTCAGCCAGAACCGTTCACAGAACCACTTGGTGCCTAACAACGATGTCCCGGACGAACTAAAGCCCGAGGATTTTGAAAACATCCAAAAGCTCGGCGAAGGTGCTGCAGGCGTTGTCTGGAAAGTTCGCTACAAGCCCACGGGTTTGGTCATGGCCAAAAAGGTAGTAATTAGTGATAATCACGGTAGTGAGTGAAAAAAATGAGTGATGATCAAATGTTTGCTCATCACAAAAAGTGGTTTTGGTATTGTAGACGATTACCGTTGAAGCGGAACCACAGCTGCAACGTCAAATTCTGCGAGAACTATCATTTCTCAAAACATGCGAATCGCCACATATTGTTTCGTTTTACGGTGCGTTCTTAGACGACGGTGATACGACGATCGCGATCTGTATGGAGTATTGTGATGGCGGCAGCTTTGAGGATATCTACAAACGTGCACGCGAAATGGAGGGTGTGATTGGCGAAACGGTGCTTGCCCGGCTTGCAGAATCGGTAAGATGAAAAACTTTCCAACTTTATTCATTTTTCATGTGTTATGATCTCGTGAGACACACACACATCCGCGGAAGATTCAACAGCATCAACAAAGACAAACAGCAACATAATCGCGTCGTCCTTTATTACTCACGATATTGAATATGTATATGTAAAATCATAGGTCTGCAAAGGTCTTATTTATTTGCATTCAAAAAATGTAATTCATAGAGGTAAACATCAGTGCTATAAAAAGGCAAAGTGGGGAGGATATACATATGAGCGTCTCTCTAATGCATAATGTCGAAATTTGAAAGACATCAAGCCGTCGAACATTTTAATGACAAGAAATGGAGAAATTAAACTATGCGACTTGGGTGTTTCAGGTGAATTGATCAACTCGATGGCCGAGACATTTACTGGAACCCAGTATTACATGGCGGTATGCGTTTTTCTTCTTTTAATATACTATTTTTCCCATTCCACCATTTTTATTAATGCGTAGTAACTCGTGCGTGTTTTTAGCCCGAACGTATCAAAGGAGCAACTTACTCGGTCCAATCCGATATCTGGTCCCTCGGATTAACGATTATAGAAGTTGCCCAAAACCATCCAGCCTTGCCACCACCTGGCCAACCTCATCTCTCTGTGTTTGAGCTACTGGACTTTATCGTAAGCCAACCTCTTCCAAACTTGGGTGACGATAGATCTGCCGAGTGTCGCGATTTCATTTCAAAATGGCAAGTGTCAAAAAAAACACAGAAATATATTAAATGATATAACTGAGTCTAATCTGTATAAATGAAATGAAATATTTATAATTTAGTTTGATCAAGGACCCTCTTGAAAGACCGGGACCTGAAGCAGTGTTAGAACATCCGTTTATCAAGGAACGTGCAGACCCTTCACAAGACCTGGCATCATGGCTCAAGGAAGTATGGAGTTGGCAGTAGATCTGATTATTTCTGAGAGGAGAAACAATCATATATACTACATATATCCCAAAGTATAAACATATACACAACTTATTGGCAGGTCTCCCCAGTAACCCGCTTTAACCCACAAACAAAAAATATCTGCTATATAACAAATGGCATCCTCACCACATAAACACACATGCTCGCAAGCAAACACACACACACACACACATATATACACCAATTTATACAGAAAAGAAAAAATCCAACACTGACTATCCACAACACACATACACACAACCCATGTTTTTATACCCGCATCCCGTTTTATATTGTTGTCCATTCCTTTGTTGACTGTTTTTTTGAAAGTTAATATTCCCCATATCATATCCTGTAGAAATGAACATATTACAGGTTAACCCTTTCTTTCTATTATACATGTTATTTTTTGCATGATGCATGATGGTTGTTAATGGCTTGATAAATGAAGGTAGATGTCTCGAAAGATTGTTCATATGTTTTTTTCCCGTTTTATTGTATTATCTAATGATATGTTTGGATATCAGATCCTATTATGCTCAGCCCATGTGTTGTTTCAAAATTCCTTTAGTCCTTACCGCTTTCATCGTCACCGTCTGGTGGTGCTGGGTTTAGCAAGTATGATTGTTTGCCCAAGGCCATCATAGATGACGGTTGTGAGGCTGATCTTGCTGCGGATGGATTTTCTACTGTAAATTCGAGGACTTAACAATGAGAATACATGGATCCCTTGTATGCACACTAGTAAAAATAAATATGGAATGATATTGTACCAGTAATGTCGCTGTCTTTAGAAGTATTATTGTTGCTGTATTCTTCAGGATTTGACGTTGGAGTGTCGCGAAAACTAGGTCGGGATGGTGACCGGTCATCTATACTTTGGAAAGGGCTGACACATATAGACGGCAGTCGCTCGCCTCTATTTCGTTGTGCTAAGTGGATAGGTGACATGCTGCTATTTCTGCTGGAATACCCTTCCAGATGATTCCATTGCGGCTGTGATAGTCGGCGTATTGAAGCAGCTCGTCCGCGCAAGTTGTTCAGCTGTGCCTGGAATTCCCCTGCATCTATACATTACATATACATCAGCATTAAAGATATCGATCTGTATCTAGATAGCTCAACTTGATGGAGCGACTAATAACCTACCTCCATCTGTACAGCGCAAAAAACATCACCATGTGTTTTATTAATTAGATCTTTGTAGCAGCAAACATTTCCATTTTCGAAAACGTGAAAACGGCAGTAACTTACCACTAACATTGGGGCCTATAAGCGCTAGTGCCTGAATGATTTCTTCCATATACTGCATTAAATGATACACGATATGAGTTAAAAAGAACCTTATCCATTTCATACCGATGCACTGCTTATATACTAAAGTGTTTGTGCATTCACATTGGTATATAGATGAAGGGAAAGAAAAGGGAAACCTACTTCTTGCTGCTTTAGTACAACAGAACGTAAGAAGGACACTTCATCAAAAAGAGTCTCGAATCCAGTGTTCATGCGAGTCACCCGATCCACAAGGTTTGCATAATTCTGATGCAGCATCTCCGATCGCTGCACATCGCTTTCAGTGACGGAAAGAGGTGCTGTTGCCCTTAAGGAACGGACGCTTTTACGTTTAATGTTGCGTAAGTCTTCCACTGCACCACGCTGAAAATGAGGATGTCGAAATTCCCATATCTGATTTTCGTTCCGCAAGTTGGAATGAATCATATCATTGACCTTATTAAAGCCATACACTTTTGTGCATCGACAGGGAGGGAAGAAGAGGGAAAGGGTTTGGGAAATGAGAGAGAAAAGAAATGAGTTGTATGTTTAGTAACATGTACTGGAAATAGAGAAATCTTATCCACTTTAACATCCCGCACACCATCGCGCTTAATAAACGCGAGACTACCCATGATATTGTGGTGTTTGCTTACTGTTCAGTTGTCTAACAAAGCTTTGCCAATTGCTATGTTTGAAATAACGAGGGAGTACATTTTTCGAGAACGCCGTTGGGTTGAAGACTCGAAACACGTCGCCGTTTTCTGACCATGTTATGAGATCTTGAATCTCAGAATCCTCTACCATGCTTTGATTCGTAAACAATTCTGAACAACTTTAGTTTTGTTCCTGGCAACCAGTCCGTCCCCCTTCGATACACACACACCCAAATATAGAGGGCTTACTTGTATAATTTGCTTACGAATGCTGCGTGCGTTTTTGTTATTGGTACGGTCGTAAGCGATTGTCCGTCCATTACTGATTCAAACGGTTGTAGGTGGGACGATCGACTACTACGAAGGTTTTGCGTCCTTTGGTGTTAGTCAGCATGTTGTTAGGTTACCTTTCTCCTCTTCTCTCCCTCCTCTCTCATCCTTGTATTCCTCTCTATCTTTTTCTATCTACATGCTCTCCCTTTCCTATTCATGGTTTCTTACTCTTGGAAAAACGCTTCGTCGCCACTATTTCCATCTATGCTTGCGCTGCCACCTTCACTGTCCTTGCTAGACCTTCTACTATTGAATACATCCATCTTTTTCTGGCATAACTTGGATGGATAAGATCAATGATTGTGCTTTATATAATTTCCCGATTTTTCTATAGAAAAAAGAAATAAAGTGGGTTAATATTTTTTATCCTGCTAGTGAATACACACGCGTACGTTCACCACGATAATAACCGTAATAATTGTATACGAAGAAGATATTGTGAAGACGTACCGCGAAAGATGATTAAACGCTATTAATATCGGAAGTTTTCGACGTGAAGACAAAGGTATCGTACTAAAACAAAATTTTGATGGTAGGTTGAATGTAGTAGTGTAGGAGACGGTGTTGACGGGTGCTGATATGATTAACGTGGTCTGTGTGATAAACGTAAAGAAGTCAAAAGTAACGGAACGAAGGATTCGAAGACGGTAGAAACAGCGGAGTATGTGCGTAAAACGTTTGGTTAAAATTATAGCAAGGTGCAATGTATGATGTCAAGCAATGACAACTCGCGATCGTCAAAAACGAACCGAGCTGGCTTGGGTTAAGGCGGTGAGGGGGGAGTGCTGGCAAGAGGTAAGTTACAAAAAAAAGGGCAAAGTGGGATCAGAGTCGGGTGACATCACCCAGGACCAATGGAGTGGGATTGAGATCTTGTTTGGGAACACTATGCCTTTCCTGTACCGCCGACCCACGTTCTTGGGTATTGACCCATTTCTTCTTTTTTGTTCTAAAAGAATTCTTTTGATTTTTCTCACTTTTTGACGTACGGAAACACCAACAACGATCCACTACATCGTTTAGAATCCTACTAGTAGTGCTAGATAGGCCAAAAGGTATACAAAAGGGAAAGGGGTTGCCTACTGTTTCTTTCGCCATAGCAAGTCCTTTGTTTTTTTTGTTTGTCAAGTGTGCAATTTCGCAGATGGCGGGGATTTCATAATATTTGGGCCCAACCCCGTATGCATACTGTATGCTTTACACACGTTCGCTTCGATTGTGAAAGCAACCAACCTCGCTTATGCCCACTCAAGGGTAGGGTATAGGATGCCAAGGAGAGTTTTTCTACCACTTGACGCACATAGGCGTTGGGAGTACTAACAAATTTGTATCCGACATCGCGAGGGTTGACTGGCAGGTAAGGACTGCGTACAGGTTTTACGTCAGATAAGGCTCCAAATTGGAAGACAGGTTGTAGGTGGAATTGAACGACAGGCACAGCACTGTTGGAGCCGGTACTGGTGCGATTAAGCCGTCTGTATAAGGTTTGGGGTTTTTCAACCGGAGACCGGTTTTGCTTATTGTTGCTGTTGCTACGACGACGATACGGTATCGAAACCCGGGATGCCTAACACCTGGTCATTTTCCCAAGCTTGAATCGATCATGTTCCGTATGTATTTCTGGAGAAACATCATAATGATGAGAGTATTTATTACTTTCTGCCTTGTATATTACTATGGCTACTGTTTCTTGTGGATAATAATAGAGACATAAGCTTTGTAACAGATAAACAGACCACATCCTAAAGATGGTTTATCAGACCCCAATATATAAAACCTAAAATGAAGATTGCTTCCAGAGCGACAGCACCGTGATAATTATCAGCATCATATTCCCATGTTGGTTGATTTCTTTAGCGTCATATATCAGCGAATCCATTTGCGATTACTTCATAGTCAAAATCATAAAGGCCAGTTTTCCGTTAAAACAAAGCATTGAAAATACATTAACCTTGATAGAATTTTGCTAATGGAGGACCACATCAAACCATTTAATTCTTTTTGATTCACCATTGCTCTTCGTTACTTGATGTCATCAAACCTTATAAGCGAATTAATATGCATCAAGCAGCATTGACTATCACGTCTCCGTCATATAGAAAGCATGAAACATTTGCTTTATGCAGATGCATGTTGTTGTCGATGTACGGAGGGTTTAGTTCACCAATCCTGCAATTGCTGTCGTGGATTTAGTATAAAATGGTACACCCTTTCATCCCGGTCCATGATGGCTACTTATATTCCTGTATCGTGTTTGCAAGTGGCCTTGGTTTGCTGTTATTGCACGACCGAAGCACAATCATCCTCTGTGCGACGAAGAAACATGTGTTGATGAGCTCTGTGCTTTATAATTCAACTCATCGCCAAAAGTGATTATATGAATTGGTAAAAGTAGTACAGTACAGTAATATAAATACATAGGATAGCAGAAGTACCGCATTGTATGTTGTTTTTCTCTGTAATGTGACACTTATGAGCACGTAGTAGTATATGTTTCTCATCGTCCAATTCTATTTGGCCTCTTTTCCCAAAGACGTCGTCACCGCATCAGATGGAGAATGCACTGGCTACCCTCCTATCTGCCCATCCCTCATGTACACGGCTTCGGTATCACACAAACAAATTTAGACAACGAGCTACATACTATCGACCATATCATGGACAATTTACCACGTTCCAATATAGTTTTGTCTCGCGGAAAAGGGATAAGGATCTGACTGGCATTACTTCGCGTGCTGCGTGAAATCAACCACTCGGACACTGACTATGACACGAATGAACTGACATCCGAGAAAGCGCTAGGCCTGGGCAATCGGGACATTATCATCATTTCCACATCCGTCACAACTACACTCATGGGCTAGGCAGCTCTTCTCTTTCACACTCTCACAATTTCACATCTCTTTTCTTTTCTTTTCTTATTTTTATTTTAATTCGTCGCCTCTCCTCACCAGACATCTTAACCCGCCATGACTTTTACGTCTCTAGAAGAGGTTTTCTTTAGTGAAAGCACCACCTCTCCTATTATGTATTTTTTTCTCCATCACTGCACCGCAAGGAAGCTCCAAGAATGCTACAAGCGTACCCTCACTAGCCTTCCAATAAATATAAACTTTAATCTAGTCCTTATTGTCTGCTTACACTACTAGAAGCCAAATAGAGAAACATAGATTAGAAGCCGGTATCAAAATCATCCTTGTTCAGTTTGTCCTTGATTCTTTTGCAGTCTTGTATAAAATTTTCATAAAGACCTTTGAATAACGCTTTGTATGCCATGCTAGGAATTTTAAGCTCTAATGTATAATTCTTTAAGTTGATGACAACAGAGCATATGATTGATCATTTGTAACATTTCTGCCTCTGTTATTATGCCACGGGAAGCATGCATTAGTATTCTTTTATATTACATATAGTCTATGCTGCAGAATAAAGTTACACATTGTTGAAACTGTCACAATACAGCCGGTGGTATTATCCTACTTTTAGTAAGACATACGGAATCAGAAGACTAATGCTTAATCAGGTGAAGGCTAATTGTATGGATTGGAAGTGATGAAGAATAGAACCATATATACATCTGCGACTACATATCTTTCCTGCTGCTATGCCTTACCTGTATCATGGCAAAAGAGTTTCAAGGTAGTATAGCTCATATATGTATGGTAAATGGGTGGCTACACCCGAATACAAGAAAAACTTGAGTGAGCCAATGTTCTTTCAATAACCAAATTAAATTGTTTGCTAATCAAGATATTTGTTAACTTTATTCTAAATGCATATGCTTAAGCTCTTGTTTGCTCTGATACTCAACAGATCTCAATAGTATGTACATCTTAGCTGCTACATAGCGGTATTTTGCAACAGTGTGAAAGGAGGTACATACCCTTTCCAGTTATTCGTCTGCTGACATCGCGTCGTCATCAGGAAAATTGATAATCTCCTGCATTGACTCATTTTCCGTATGATCCTCGAGACATAAAGGGCCGGGTTCAAATGGACCACGCAGGAGATGTGGCCGGGCGTCTTGTAATTCGGGAAGTTGAAGGGATGAAGATGAAGCGGCTGCTGATGATGGCGATCTTGCTGACGTGGTGGGTGCTCTGGTGGCATCATCACGGTTAGTGTAATAAGAATCCCTTTGCTGCAATATTGACGACAATCGTCTAGTTCGAGCGATCGAGCGGGGAGTGGCTTCAGGGGGTATAAACTCTATACAAAAATCCATTGATTCAGGTGTACGACGATAAGCCGGAGATAGCTGTATATCGCTGGTCGACGAGCAAGCAGCAAACGGTCCATTGTCAGCAAGCAAAAGTGGTGACGATGATGACCATTCATCCTTGATGGCAGAGGGTAAGATAGCTGAAGGCGGCTGAAGAACAGATTCCTTGAAGCTGTTATGGATAGAAGCAAAACCGTCGTCAGCAGAGCTGTTTGTGGGATTATAAGAACCGGATGACATGCTCTTTCAGAATGGAGAGAAAAGTGAAAGCTGAAAGAAGAGGATTAATACTTTCTAATGGATAGTACAAGCTGCCTCTTTTGACCAGAAAAAGAACGAACGCGCATCATCCCATGACTCCTCGTTTGCTTTTCGGCATCCGATGATCACTGGATTCGGTGATGTCTAAATCAAATCACCCCTTGTCACGATCATTCCACATGGCTAATAGTACTTCAAAACTAACCGTTATTAGCGAATGTAGATATAGAGGAACCCGAGTCGATCGCTCTTCTTGGTGAATGAAACTGTCAATTTGACGGGCTCAGTGCCGCTGGTATAGATTTAACGAAGAGAAAAGTTCTTCCTTTTATGTGTAGAGATTGGAGAGTGCAGGCCATCAACTGAGCTTTTTTGCGCTGCATGTAATAACTTATTATGGTGCGTTCGCCTTATAACCGTCAATTTTTTACCTCTGCTTTACACTCTTATTATAACGTCCCCAAAAAGCAATTATACAGTCCAACGTGCTTCAAAATACGTTTTTTAACTCGTTTGCTTTCGTTATTGAAGAATAAAAAAATTATTATGTTTGTAAAAAAAATATTTATGGGAAGCCAAAAGTTACCGGTTTTTCCCAATTTAGCTGGGCCGGCAGAAGTTTGAAACAACTCACGTACCTGAAACAAGAATGAGTAAACAACTCCTATACGTATATATAGTCGTCTATCGCCTACGTCCTACATACACGTCTTTTCTTTTAACCTTTCATCTAAAGATGCCGCCATTAAGACGAAAGCAGAAGGCCATCCAAAGAAGGACGTGTGCGCCTGACGGAAGAATTACTGCCCAGTTTCAGGTTATACGCCGTTTTTTCTATTGCTATTCCTATACATTTTTATGTTTCACCATATATATGTATCTTTGTTCTTTGAAGTACATTTTATAAGATTTGGTGCTTAAGAATCAAATTGAAACAAAATAAATTTTTGACGGTTATAATGCGAACGCACCATTAGTATACCACATATGTTTGAAGCAATGAAACCCTGCTAGTTATATATAAAGGAAATTCTTTTGGTTAGATTAGATTTTTAAAGCCATCAAATGAATGATACAAGAGGAGCTTTTTGAAAGGGACGACGTGAAAAGTCATTGAATTCATCATACAGGGTTCTTCCATACACACATTCTTTTCTCCAAGCATCCTCCGTAAATGCCTGGTTTTCTTTTGTTTGTATCGCCGTCAAATTTTGCGGAGAGAAGGAACATCAAACCTCTGTAAGCTGCATGACATCGGGGATTACATAAGCTGATTAGGTAACTCTGTGGGGCTTGAAAATTACAAAGGGTTTCTCCATATTTTACCAAACCTGACTCTTTTGCTCTTACCAATACGATCAGCTGGATTTTAGAAGAGGCTGGACTATCTGCATGTGGCGGAGAAAAGAGATCAAGTTGTGGCGCCAGGATGACTCTTTTTGCCGTCGATAAGCGATTCACGCCTTAAGTAAGCGTAAGGTAACAACATCTGTGCGTTACTACTACTGCTGATTTCTCAGCTACAGAAGATATGTATATTGTTCTCTATAGCAGCAGCGACAACGCCTTGTGAACGATCCACGTGTTTGTGCGTGCTGGAATTCTCACGATTCTGCACTAGCATAATATACACACGTCCAAGAATGTATGAGCTAACGAAAACCTGCATACGATGTACAAATAGAGTGCTGACAGGTATATTTATTCTCTCTTTCGCTCTGCTGTCCGAGAAACATCACTGTGTTATCTAACCCAGCAATTTGGTTATTCCCAAAATAGGACCTCACACTACTCCCCTTCAATATTTGAACACCAGATTCCGGCAGTACACGACTCCGTGGAAATATATTGCCCCTATGGCAGTAAACAATGATTTACGGTGAAGTTTTCTTTACTGTCCAACGATGATACTTGTTTCGCATTGTAGAATGCTTTGCAACAAGGTTCGTACGGAAGGTTATCGATTGTAGCTCACATTGAAACTACTGAAAAATTTCATTTTTTTACTGACAAGTTCACGTAACACACTGCTTTAAGCACAAATAACAGCGGCGATCAAGGAGGAGCAATTAAAATAGTTGTGCCGCGGCGCAACAACCGCCGCATAGATTGGCTGACTCACATGGCAAACCTAAAATCAGAGAATAGACAAAAAAGCTGGAGCATCGGCTATGGTGCCTCCGCGGATACCGGCGCGAAAGAAGCAGCAGCAGGAGGAGCAATGACAGCCAACTCGACAAGAAAAAGATATAAAAAGGTCATCAGTCGACAGCGGTACTGAAATTATAGATAGTTAATCATCGCAATGCACAATATGCCTGTTGCTACTTCCACTGCACCTTTCTTTCTAGACGAGCTACCTTATGATGTTTCTCTTATAATACTATCTCATTTGTCGTTACGCGAACGTGTACGCTGCACTCAAGTATCCAAAGCATGGCGATCGCTTGTACTGTACTCTCCTCCCATGTGGCACGAGATTTTCGGATGCAACATCTCACGCGATTTGGCACCATACAAAATTGACGGCCGGGATATTCATAAGATTGACCTGCAGGATCAAGATGATGTTACACTACTAATCAATTTGGGATGCTCGACTATTCAGACCAGTAAGCAGATCATATTTTCCCTTTCTTTGTCTCTCCTCCCTTACTATATCTCTTATACTCGTAAACAAACAGTTCCCTATATCTATCAACCTATTTTTATCACTTTTTTGCTAAAAGCCCGTAATAAATTTACTATATTCTTTTGCTGTCTGATAGTCACTAATGCGTGCTACAATCCGAACCTTCAAGATCTGCTGAACATGTGCGGCCCTACGCTAACTGATTTAGACGTCTTCACTATTGACTGGAACATCGACGACTTTCTTCACACAATATTCACAGCGTGTCCTAATCTCACTCGTTTGAGATGTGTTTGCCGCCGTATGTCACCTCCATCACCATCATCCGACAACCTGCAGCCCAACATCAAGAACAGATCTATTGTCACCTCGACCGGGAAACGTTCACTTTTCGACGCCTATACATCTATACACGAAGCAATGCAACGAGTGACGGATCTAGAACTCTCGGTGCCCTATATTGATACCGATACTTTGAAGCGAATCCTGGCACTATTTGGCAACCTGCGGCACTTATATCTTCGCGAACCTTACCAAAAAGGCGACTTTCTAATGTGGCTCAACTCAATGTTTCCGTCCCTACAAACGATTCGATTCGGCAAAAACTTTTACGAATGCAGTCCGTCCAGGTTTAGCAAGTTACCACCGGGATACAAGGCATTGGCTTATAATGACATGGCTATTGGTCAAGAAGGTGTCGGCACAATGCTGGAAACTCACGGCCGCGATATGGGCGCTTTGCATATGCGAGCAGATCTTGGTTGGTCAATGGCATTCTCTATGGTGCAACGCTTTGTATATTATGGCGCGCCCCATTTACAATCACTTGCTATCCAGAGCCGTCAAATATGTGGTCCTCTAGTTGATCTCGATCATCTCTTACGCCAATTCCCCTGCTTGGAGCAGCTTGTTCTCGAAAACATCAGCTTCATCCAGACGCCATCGAACGATACAGCAACAGCAACAGCAGGTCACAAGCGCCCACTATCATCGTACTTAATCCAAGACACCGTATCAACGCCTCAACCATACTTAACGTTGAAAACAGCCAAGTTTGTCAATTGTAAGGGGCTTGAACCTGCCAAGCTGATGTCCACCATCTGCCGATTTGACTCGTACATGGATTCAGTGTCCTTGGTTGAATCTGGCGACTTGCCGAAATACGTTCTCGACGCCTTGTCAATAAGAGTGGAGTCTTTGGAGCAACTTGTTCTGGGATCCAGGAATTTGAGTGATCGCAATGTGCAACGACTCATAGATAACTGGTCCGTTGGCAAGAAAAAGTTAAAGTCCTTACAAATCACAAGTCTTAGCAAGGATGCTTCACCAGCTGAACTGACACATTTTGCTAAGCAAATATTAACGCAAACACATATCGATATATCCACACCATCACATAACAGCCACTATTAGCACTAGAAATGTTCCTTTTGAATTGTAAATATGCCGCCACCACCATAGGTAATGGCCAAATAAAAAACAATGTATATATATACCCTTTTCATTTATTTATTTATTTTTACACTTGCTTGTGAAAGGCTAGTTATTTCGAAATTTTCCGGTATTCTTCTCTCTGTTATATCACTTTCTGTGCATATTGATACCAAGATATCATGATCAGTCAGCATCACCATCCCTTTCTGCTACTTCCTGCGGCAAACCATCATCCTCTAACAATAACCAGGACAGCATATCAGAATGCTGCAATCTTCACGTATTGTTTGACTGAAATACTTCAGCTTTGAACGAACCTGGTCTTCTGTATAGCGTGATCTCTTGTTGCTTGTAATACCTTCGATTCTCTTCGTCATAGAGCACAAGATTGAGATAGTAACGTACAGAGAATCGTTTATTGATATCTTTTTTTGTTTTAAGTGAAAGATGTTAGGTACTTAATAAAATCACTTGGTTAACCACAGTCATTCTTCTTTTCACTTACCGCGGAACGTTGGCGTAAGATTGTATCCGCCAAGAAACAATCGAATGGGAATCACTTCACCTACACAAACATACATAATGTTCGGTTCCGTCCGTGGGTTAGATCTTAAAATTATGCTACACCAACAGGCGTACACATTCTCAATCTTCTTCAGATATCATACCGCGAACAGGGGCTCCGTCCATTATTTCAAATTTGCTGACAGTTTCGCTCTCGTTGTAAGTATTGGGTGCTGATTTTATGTTGAGCAGTTACTGACCATATTCAACAAAATTGAAATAAAAGGAAAATGCAGATTTATATGTAATTACCAAATCCAGTTGTCTCCCTTCGAACAATACATAGCTCCATATGTTTGATCTTGATACGCACGAGTAAGAAGAATATTTTGCCGACAATGACATCTTTAAGATGATACCTATAGCATATATTAAATGTGATGAGTATCTCTCCAATGATGCGTTGTTGATAAAATCATCAAATGATGCCACGATGCACAACAAGCTCTCTTCTAACATGCCGACATGCCGAAAACCAGAAAGATATGTAAAGCATCATACGTTGACTTGTTGTACTCAAACTCAATATGCAGACAATCCTCAATACCGACTTCCATCTTGATCGAGTGCGCTATTACTTCCTTGGGTTGATGATAAGATCGCACCAAAATGTCCGCTTCCTGGACCAAGTTTCCCATGCGTCTTGCAACAATCACTCGAACAAAATATCTATTAGTCTCAATCATACACATTTGGATAAGTTAAGATTTTTAAGAGAAGTGCTTGCTCACTTGTATGCATCCGGTCTACCGGTCGTGTTACCACTTTTTTCCTCACTGCGCTTACCGTAACTGTACGTTGATCCCATAGTAACACTCATATTGCTTCTCGACGTTACTAAATTTAAACTCCATGGTCGGCTTTAACGCTTCACCTGGTGCCGCCAGTTCCTGCGACAAGCAGAGAAATTCTTTACTTTGCGACGAATCGTTGAAGACGACTATGTACGGCAACAGACGTGCCAGTCAGAGCAAATAAATAAAAAAACACACACTTGTTGCACCGTCTTGCCAATATATCCTTCCATATCCCAATTTACCAATGCTGCCAACACATTCAACTCGAATGCCGCTATGTTCCAATCGTTTACCATGACCGACCTTGATCTTGACCTTTCCAGAAGAGGGCGTAGCTTCTTTAGGGATCTTGGTAATGATGAGAGAAGCGTACAATGTCATATTTTACCTCGCCTTTTACGGGCTCACGATCAAAGTAGAGTTGGAGCCTTTCGCGTGGCTGCGACCTGTTGACGGCCATGTCAAAGCCTTTGCGTTGTTCTGTATCCGTCAGGTGGATTTTTATATCCGCTGGTGCCGAGAAGCCAAAAAGCGACTTTTTTCATCCAAGATATTCAGAATATCGAAAGGTAAACCATTTATTTAAGACGCGCTTAGGAAAGGGCTATTATGGTACTTACTGCTACAGACATGAAACGCTGTCGAAAAGTAAAAGATAAAGAAGTAAAAAAAAAGAGGACCCACAGTCATCCCCCCCCCTGAATTGATTTGTATGTATCAGCTCTGCTGATGCATTGTTTGGATGGCCACAATAAAAAGCGTACCATCCTCGCGGTACGAAATAGTTGTGCTTTTACTCTGACGGTATGATTGAGCACTGCTTTCTTCCTATCCTAAGCAGCTTACGTTGGAGAGTCCATCTTATCCCAGCAAAAGAGAAAAGGTGACCTTGCAAGCATATTATTTTGCTGATGGCGGAAACTTAGTTCCAACATAATCAGCACTTGCGTGGGTATGACAGCTTTCAATGATTTACTGTTATTTTATACGGACTACAACTTGCTTGGTGACCAATCAAAGGCCACCAAGGCTGTCAGACGTTAATGCAGCATATCCTTCACGTAGGCTCTCCACGCACTTGATTGTAAGAGCGCAACTCGTCTACCACTGCACTCGGCAACCTCCGTCCTCCGAAGCCAAAATCTGTATTTTCCTTATTAAGAAGGCAGTCGCGTCATGCAGGTCAAAGCCGATTCGCCAGAAAAGGAGGAGCTGACTCGTCCTTTCATCAAAGAAACCCAATGTTTCACTTTTCCAGGGCCGCCACTGCTCGTTGTCGACCATTGCTTCTCAGGACTTTCACTAATTCAACCACCATGGGCAAAGGCTTCACTCCAGCTGCACGTGTCTCCAAATTTGAAAAAGACGGTAATATATTGTTTGGCTGGCTACAGAACAAGTGGGCGAACGAAACGGTAGCAAAGCGAAGAGAGAGTACTAAATATCAAGCTCCTCCTTGTTTCTATTAGTTTGGTCTATCTTTACACCATTGGCTGCTGAAACCAAGGCCATAAACCTGGGCCAAGGTTACATGAAGTACGCTTTTGAAATTACTAGTTGTCCAAGGAATGGACTATGTGTTTTAGTAAGCTTACTTATATTGTAACTTTTAGCTTTGGTCCCCCCGAGGCAGTTCAAAACGCGGCCAAAGAGGCTATCGAAACCGTCGAGTCCAACCAGTACAGTCATCCCAAGGGCCGTCTTCGCTTGCGCAATGCCATTGCTGCTTCGTATGAGCCAGAGTACAATCGTAAACTCAATCCCGAAACCGAGATTCTGGTTACCGCCGGTGCAAACGAAGGTATTTCACATTTTTAAAAAAATAGCTGCAATAGCAGTAGTGTTAACCAAGGAAATTTAGCCATGTATGCCACGTTTGCCGGTTACTTGGATGAAGGGGCCGAAGTGATCTGCATCGAGCCATTCTTTGACCAATATATCGTGAGTTCAACATGGGAGAAGATGCGGGCAATGGATCTATGAGGCGATTTATTGATTAGATTTTGGCTTTTCTATCACATAAAAAGTCCAATATTACAATGAACGGAGGAAAACCGGTCTTTGTACCACTTCGCGCTCCTGACAGTGCCAAAACCAGCACCATCTCATCGCATGAATGGAAACTGGATATTGACGAACTTCGATCCAAGGTGACAGATAAAACCAAGATGATCGTCATCAACACCCCTCACAACCCTGTCGGCAAGGTCTTTGACGAAGAGGAATTGTTGGCCATCGGCAAAGTTGCCGAGGATAACGATTTGATCATTTTGTCGGATGAAGTGGTAAGTTTGGTGATAAAATAACTGAGATTGGGCTGATCTAAGGCAAAGTGATTAAAGAAGTGCCAAAGTGAACAAGAGATGTTAATCTCAGGGCATGTTTCCTGTCTACTCCTGTAATTAGTATGATCGTCTCTACTATCCTCCTCTCAAGAAGTTCCCTCGCATCGCCACCTTGGGTAATCTCTGGGAGCGCACATTGACTGTATGCTCGGGTGGCAAAAGCTTTGCTGCCACCGGCTGGCGTGTTGGCTGGCTGATCGGCCCTGAACATCTCGTCAAGTACTCGTTTGCTGCCCAAACTCGCGTCGTCTTCTCTGTCAACTCGCCATGCCAAGAAGCCGTCGCTGCTGGTTTGGAGGCTTCCTTGACCCAACCCATCTTCCAAGATCAAGTGGCAGCCTATCTCAAGAAACGCGAGATCTTAGCCAAAGTGTTTGATGAACTCGAGTTGCCTTACACCGTACCTGAAGGTGCTTACTATATCCTTGTCAACACCGATAAGATTGACATACCTAAGGATTATCAGTTCCCCGAAGAGCTGGATTCGCGAGGAGCTGATTTCAAGACGTGCTATTGGTTGACCAAGGAGATTGGCGTAGCTGCTATCCCGCCTTCAGAGTTCTACTCCAAGGAGCACTGGTATTTGGCAAAGGATTTTGCCCGTTTTGCTTTCTGCAAGACAGACGATGTTTTACTCCAGGCTGTCGAACGTTTACGTGGACTGAAGCAGTACATTAAGAAGTAAAAAATAATAATAGTGTATCTGTAAAAGAATATAGACATTGTGTTTTGTTTGTTTTAATGCACATTTTAGTGTTTCATTTGACGTTTGCTGTTGTTTATTCGTATTAACAAGGTTTGGAACAGAGATAAACAAGGAGTTGCGTATTAGTGGCCGCCCAAAAGAGGAGCACGCTCGCCAACTCGGTTTGCTAAGCGGCTGAAGCGGCTGTTGATTCTTTCCAGCCAGTTGGGAATCAATGCGCGTGCAACGGCACTGACGAGAATACCGACCACAATGAGCGAAACAACATGGGGTGTGCCTGTCAAGAAAACAGCTGCATCCAGCAAGATCCTATCCATCATCGATCAGAATAAGCGATGAAACACTCAATAGCCCCTCCTCCCTGAAAACCCGTTTTTGTCTTACCATGCAGTTGTCAAAGCATAGACCCAATCGTGTCGATGGGAGTAATCGACAAGGTGCAGCGCGACAAATCCGATAAGGATAATGATGACCGTAAGAACCTAACATATCAAGCATGTGTTAAGCCAGGGAAAAAGAAGACACGCGAGCTTTATACATTGCACAACACCCAGTAATATGGCTCCTTCCTCCTTCGCTTCCGAAAGTTTCCTTACCACCGGGTGGTTCTTGGTCTTTTCGCTAAATTGGAAGATTTGCCAGATGCTCATAAAGAAGGAGGCGGCAGTATAAATCGAGAACGGAGAATTAACAAATAACATGTCCGTTTTGTTGCGAGGAGGATAGTCGCGCAAGCGATGGTACACAAAGAAAAGCGTTGCCAGTTGCCATAGCAGACCCACAAAGGCAAAGATGTTGAGATGGAAGAACTGGTGGTGTCGTAAACGTAGAATCACATTGGATGGTCATGTTAGTATACCATGTTATAAGTTTGTAACGTCACCAATAACAACAAACATAGCAATAATCTTATTCAACTCTCCCTCTTTCCAACGGTTTCAAGTCGCTTCCAGAAAGAAGTGCGAGATGGAAAAGCCCGCATCCCCTTCAAGAAAAGCTTACCCAGAGAATGGAAACGCCACTATTCAACGCTGCGATCAACAAGTACCAAAATCCGATCGCTTCGAAAGCATCTGTTCATGAAAATAACGCAATGTGACGTTTTAGCCCACAGCTACGAAACATACACATGCATGTACGTTGCTCGGGAAAGGTGCATGACAACGACAATAAAAACTTACCCTTGGGAGCCTTGGGGAACCACTGGTAGATGGTCATACCGATAAGCAACAGCTGTAAGAGACCGATTAGGATGATGATAAAGTCGCGTCCATGGAAACCATATTCGTGGTCAATAAACCTGCATAGATCGAGGCTTTCAGTTAGAGTGTCGCTCTGGTGTTGCTATTGTCGTGCCAATAAGAGCGCCAAAATTGAAAAAAAGGGCTTTTTTAAAGTCGGTCGCTTTGATATTACCAGTTAGAGTAACTGAAACCCTGAAAGCCGAGAAGCAGCAATGTGCCCAAGGTGTTTGCGAGCTTGATTTTAATGTCGAGATTCGCCATTCAATAATTTAGGAAAGAAGGAAGAAAGGGTGCGCGAAAAAACGTCTCCGGGCCAGCTGGGAAAATTGTATCGGGATCATGCATCCATGTTTCCAAAAGCGGCTGAGTCTTTCTCAATGCAGTTTGTTCTGCGTTTGAAACCGTGTAGACGACAGGTTGTTGATGTAATTGTTATGACTTACTAGGCAACCAACAGCTTCGTCGGTAGAGACCAGTGCATGTGCTTCACTGTGTGCATTTAATATGCACACACTAAAGCATATGGTCATTTGTGTGTAACAAAGACTTATTGTCCGTGGAGATTAGACTGGAATACCATTCCCGCGAGGTTTTGCCGTACAAATATCTGTCTGCCTCTCCAGCAACAATACTAGATCGTGGCCTTACTCAGTGACCTACTCAGTAATTGACAATTAGGTATACAGTCTAAAACGAGTGAATACTGCTACAGCCGTATATAGAAATTTTATGCTGCTGCCTATTATGCTATAATTATTGATTATTGTACAAGTAAATTCTTTCTGAAGGTCCTTGCCATGGTAGCCGTCGCCTATACTGTACTCTTTTTACTAGCCATATGAGTAGAGTATATAGTACTGCTTAGACTATAATCGAGTAAGTATCCCACACACAGCCATAGTCATTTGAGGACTTTATACCAGATGATGTGACTCTTTTATTTCATTCTCTGATAGCCATGCTATACTACCAGCCAATAAATTCTCGGCTCCAAAGAAACTCTCGAAGAGAAATATGATGATGGTCTGTTAATCGTCAACAGGGCGTGTTTACTTGTCTGTCAATTTAGCAATGCAGTGATGCCTGTTGCCGGTTATATAGCGATTGATGATATCACTACTGCACGAGTCCAATTGGTCACGCCTAGGAGAAGAAGCTCTCAGGATATCATTACTACTGCTTCTTTGCTCTTACAAGTTTTGGGACTTTTAATCACATGTACACTATTATTATTGATATATTCTATCCTCTAGTACGAGCCTTTAAAAGGTAAAGCCTCATCAAAGTACAGTATCTACAAAGATTCGAGACCACCTTGTCTCTTCATGAAAACAACTGATTGTATTCTTTACGACTATAGTAAATTGTTAAGAAAGAGATGTAACAGAAGTATGGTATTACCATACCAGGAGATTAATGGTCTATTTGCTATACCACACGTATAGGTGAAACAAACCAACTTGGAATGGATTAATGCTGTGTGATTCCACCGATCCTTGACCAAAAAGAAATTAAAAGACTTTACGTTTAAATGCTTTTGCAACAGACGGGGTCGAAAGCGCTTCGTTGTTGCAAATGTACGGTAGTCACTGCTTTCGTCCGATAGTACACCATGTGCATAGTTTGCTGTCGGCTATATGGGCAATGTTATAGTTCGATGAAGTGCAGTGCTTCAATGAGCATGTTGTAATTTGTATATCATGCGAGCCTATCATGTCCTTGTTTGATATCTCAATTTTTCTTAAAAAAAGCACTCTGCAGTGAAAGGAGCAAGCTGTCTGATACATTAGCATCATTTACACCTAGCGACATTGATTATAATAAAGTAAACAATGTGAATACCGTGAAGAGGATACTGAGGTCAAAGAGTTAATACCCAAAAACCACATCATCAGCGTATCGTTATCGTTTCTGACAACAAGATGGAAAGTAAAGACTAAGTGGTCTACTAGCGTCTAGACCTACACACTACATATAACACTTTATACAATGTGAGTGCTCAGCAATGGATCAGCAAGTAAAGGTTATCCAGTTACAACGAGCCATTTATATGAATTTGCGAGTTGTCAGTACGGGCATTGACTCCAAGGAAGTGGATCATGCAACCGACAAGGACTGTATTGCTGGTTTCAGAATTTCTTTTTTCTAAAAAAAGTAGGCTGAAGGGGAGTTTCTGTTCGGGCACTTTGAAACAGCTTTTTTTTTAACATTCAAGCGCATGGATTCAGCGCGTGAATGCTCGGACGACGGAGGAGCAGTGGATCGCAAACAGTTACCACCGGCCCACAATGGTAGAGGCGAGGCTATAAAAACACGACGACTTTCCGATTCTCACATATTTGATACCTCGCCTCGACACACCAACCATAATGACGACACCAACGGCAGCAACGGCAACCATGATACAATGGCTGCAACTACTCGAGTTCAACAACCTGTTAATCGCCGTAGACCTTCTCACCTCTCCTCTGTGCCTAGTCGCTCAATTACTCAACAAGAGTTTCCTCTTGGATCGCTAGCATGGCAACAGCAACGCCAACGACCTCATCGTTATACACCCACGCCAGGTGCAGCTGCAGCAGCAGCAGTGGCGGCAGCACAGCAACAGCAACAGATAGCAACAGTAACTGCGTCACCTACAAAGTCTTCGTCACAATCCCAGGAAGATACCTTTTACCGTACGTTAGAGATAAGGGTACACCATTCCGTGGGCAGTATGAGTATCAGCCCTTCATGCAGAGATATTGTCCTTGCAGGGTAAGCTTGCATAGATTTATTCTCCATACGCATATATATTGAGCAATGGAACTAGGCAATACTAAGATGAAGTATCATTATTGCTTTTAGTCGGCAGGGTCTGTTGATAATTGATCTGGAGGATCCATGGGTGCTGCCGCGTATTCTTACGCATTTAAGCAAATGGGAAGTGGCAGATGTTCAGTGGAGTCCCTATGTGTCGCGTGAATCTTGGGTTGCATCCACAGTAAGTGATTTAGGAAACGACGATGACATGGATATTTTTTTAGGCGTCTCAAGTATTACGTGCTTATATACTGCAAAATGTGAAATCCATCCAGTCAAATCAAAAGCTCCTGGTTTGGAATTTGAACTACTCAGGATCTCATGCTATCGAAAACGTCCTCCATGCACATTCGCGTGCAATTTCGGATATCAATTGGTCACCTCATCATCCAGATATGCTTGCTACTTGCTCGGTTGATACATATGTGCATATATGGGACCTGAGATGTGCTGGTCAGAGCAGGGATGATCCAAGTGGACAGCCTTTACGACCAGCAAATTCGTTTACATCTTGGAATGGTACGTTCGAATTAATACTTTAATAAATGAACGGAGTGTTGGTACAGATGATGCTAATTAGATTATGCAGCTGCCACAACTCAGGTTAAATATAACCGTAAAAGCGAATATTTGCTGGCATCGGCTCATGACAAGGATGTGAAGATCTGGGATATTCGGGTTTGTTATCACTGATTTTGCTTCGGCTTGTCTATCATAAATACCATCGTATTCTTGGGCTGAACTAATGTTGCTTTTGAATGAATATAGAAAGGTGCAATCCCAGTGACTACTATTCAAGCTCATACTAAAAAAATCTATGGTATTGATTGGAGTCGGCAGAATGATCACGATATTGTTACTTGCAGTTTAGATCACCTTGTCAAAGTATGTATAATTGTAATTGAGTTTGTTTATTGTTTAAATGATATTTTAACTTTGGTTTTCTTTATTTAGTATTGGAACATTCATACACCAGAACAAGAAGAAGAATCCATCATGACCAACTCGCCTGTATGGCGTGCAAGGAATTCGCCTTTCGGTAACGGTGTCCTTACGATGCCTCAACGCACTGAAACGACACTCTATTTGTACAACAGAGACACGCCTACTACTCCAGTTCACCGATTTGAAGGACATTGTGATACGGTCAAAGAGTTCGTGTGGCGGTGGAAAGGCGGCAATGGCTCAGATGGTGGTAAGCTTTCTATTACAATGAAAGAGAGACAAAGTGATACGCTTTTTTTAAAGTGGCATTTACTTAGATGATCGAGAGTTCCAGTTGGTGACATGGTCCAAAGATCAATATCTTCGACTTTGGCCTATTACTGAAGACATCATGAAGGTTAGTACGAGAATATTTCAGAAAGGATTACTATGCTGCTGCTTCCGGAATACTCAACATAATATTTTTTGTCATAGTCTGTTGGCCATAACTTCAGTAGCAAAAAGACAACTTATCGTGTACCTGCTTCTGCTGTTCGTCCTGATGGAACCGTGCAATCTCGAACATTCCAAAGAATACCTGATGAAGTTGAACCCTTGAATGGTCAGCTGACATCATCCTTGTCAGGTCCTGGATCACGAAAAGACGGCAGCGAACCCATGTCAGCAATGAGTCTGTTTCGACCGGGTGGTATTAGGGCTGGAACAACAGGCATCTCTTCTGGTGGCTATGATACCACGGCAAATGCGTATCATGAGCAAAAGTACGCTATCAACCCGTTGCTATGGATGCAAAACGTCAAAACTGTTGGACCACCAACCACTGAGCTGCGGCGCGCGGCCACGACTGAAGCCACTTATCCGACCGTGGCGGAGGAAATGTCAACTGTATTAAGCAAGTATGCTAGTGCAGGTGTTAAAACGGAAAAGGTAACCAACAAGAGCATTCTACTTATTTGAAGTAATAAGGGATTTCAGTTAAATCATGTTGAAACATGTTGGTTTTAATAGGTAAACGGCGCCTCGCGTACCTGCACTATTACTCTGCATGGCCCGTGGTCAGATACCGGAAGCACATTTGTCCGCATTACAATCCGCTTCAGTGCGCAATATCCAGATAATAGTCCCCCCGAGTTTGATATTCAAAAAAATAGCATGATGTCTATCTTTTATCGTGCCCATATGTCACAAGAGCTGAACGCTTTGGCAGCAAGTTATACATCCCAGAAGCGATGGTGCCTCGAAGCATGCATTCGATGCTTGCTTGGAGAAAATCCACAAGATGACGCCGATTTAGCTTTAGAAAAGGGCAAGGAGGACATTTTTGGAAATGGAAATCAAACAGGCAACTACTGGAACGGATCTGGTACTGGTGTAGACAATGGTGACTCTGATGACGAGATATTCGCCGGTCCGCCATTCATGGGAGGCGTCAGTGGTGGATATGGCATGGCAGGCAAACGCGTGAGCGTGCAGAGTGAAAAAGGTATCGTCGTGGATATGTCTTCCAAACAAACCGCAGACGAAAAAGTACCATTTCCTCGCCTTTGCGGTGGTGTCTTTTCTGGAAGTGGTAAGTCGCTTCTTACTGATTTATTCTTGCATCACAAAGTATGTAGATACTATATTCACTGCTTGGGCTTTTGTAATGTAGGACAACTCGTATGCTTCTTTTCAACGTTACGTGTACGTGATTCCAATCGTGCAAGCCAAAAAGACGCCGCTGAAAAGCAAGAGGCTCGACAGGGCACGAGCCCGACCAGCAATGCAAGCAACACTGAATATTTCGAGAATACGTACAGCGATTTCTACAAGCATCCACGTACATATGAACAATTTGAAGAATACAAGGAAATTGCAGCAATGTCACGGCAAGGGCGAAATGCGACCGTGCTTGTCGGTGGCACAGGCGGTGCCTTTGGCGAGTATGCCTACGATGATGATCCGGATGATATAGACGATGGGTTAACAACGATGACCTCGCTATATTTCAAACCAGATGTATGCCGTATGGATGTTGCTGCTATTATATACGAAAATATAATACTGATACTTTACTTTATTCATATAGAGTTTTGCATTGGCGGGATCCATATCGAACAACGGCAATCTTTTATACCGTAATCCAAAAACAGATCGCATTACATATAATGTTCTACTTGTCGATCTGAAAAGAATACTACCCTACGACGCTGATTTGGCTAAAGAATACATGTTAGTATTAACTAAAAGAATAACCAGTGTATATGAATGGTCTGTAAACGCATCCAGAAAATTGAATATTGATCTCTTCACTACAATTTATAGCTTGACTTTGGGAGATCCAGTTGCAGCCTGCACGCATAACGCTGTCGTGTGTCGAAATCATGATCGATCAGACTTATCAAAGGTTTGGTCTTTGGCATCCGAAATCGTCAAGCAATGTATCCCGTTGGATAAAGAACAAGGATGGGCTCCCGAACAGACTGAGATTTTCCAAACGGACGACAAAACCTTGCATGACATTAGAAAGATACTGTACGGACCAGCAACACAACGGACAAAGAAATCGAGCAAGCGGATACCAAAGAAACGACGTGTCAAATGGGGACTGCATCCATTAGGAAGGAAGCTTATCAATAACTTGTAAGTGGTGGCAGAGCAGGATCACACCAAATGTGCAGGAGCATATACTTACTATCATATGTAGGTTGCAGCATTTCATGAGTATTGGTGATATTCAAACTGCTGCTATGCTCTCCTGTATATTCCACAACAGTAATACCCAAGTGTCGCCATCCACACGCAAGGTAAATTAACTGACTGCTTACTCCTGCTATCAGTAAAAATATGTATTGCTATCGGTGAAATGTGGTTTAACTCCATAATCATTCTAGAACGGACTTTCAGATCACACTGTTATGTCAAATGGGAACATTGACTCATCAAATATACGAGCACAATCTCTGGTGAGAACTGGATCAGGGCCTGTTGCAGTGCTTCCTGGATCGCCAGATCGTATCACGACTTCACAATTGAGCGCGTCGTATGGAACACGAGGCGTGAACTTTCTATCCTATTTTTGGGATACTGACCGGCATACTCCACCTGGCGAAAAGTCTGCGACAGAGAGTATGCATGAATCATCGACCGCTGGCTACGCCAAACGTATCACTCGACCCTTCACAAGCACCTTGACCCAACAAAAGATACCTAGTAATACTGCCCCGGGCTTACGCAATTTATCTACCCAACCATTGACCCCACCTGCCACCATGACAACCGCCACTGCTGCCATAACAACACCGCCACCTTTTACTCCTCCTGCATCTTCATCTCAAGCCGTCGTTTCCGACAAAGAAGGGAAGCTTGTTTATACGGATGAAATGACGATTGAGTTTACGAATTTGGAAACGTATGATGGCGACAAGGCTCTTTCTTACAATAATGACGTATCACTGCTCGATCCAAAAGACATTGCTAAGCTCGATGTCTTACGACTCAACTATGCGGATATGCTGTATCGTTGGGGCTTACTTGAAAAACGGGCCGAAATTCTCAAATTCCTGAGTCGGCCACCTTTTCCTGCAACAGAACGAACAATGCAGGTTCAAATACGATGCTATATTTGTGGGTCTGAAATTGCTGGACGAGATCGGATCTGCTATTCCTGCCGAAAGCTGCGCAATCAAATTCGATGTAGCATATGTCACGTACTGGTCAAGGGTATTCTCAATTTTTGCAGCAAATGCGGGCATGGTGGACACAGCCAGCATATCAAGGATTGGTTTTCACAACACAAAATTTGCCCGACGGGCTGCGGGTGTGTTTGTCTCATCGACTCCTCATCATAGTAGCAAATCTGAAAAGAAAAGCCTTTCCACTCTACTTCTTATATTTATTCGATATCTCTATACGATTCTGTACATAAACGACACCTTTTCCATCAATTACTGATTAGAAATAGTAAAAAGTTCTTCTCCCCGTAAACATGGTAAAAAGTATCATTGAATGGGGTTTCCGTTCGAAAGACAAATTTGATAATCAATCATTTGATAATTGAAGTGAGGGATAGCACAGAGTAAAGGCGGTTATCAGGATAATAATAGCGACAAAATGAACGTAGAGGACAATACATACAAACTAGAGATCATATATAAAAGGAGAATGTATGTAGTAAAATCAAAACAAAGTATGAGAAACCCACGGCTCTTTCGTCAGAACAATTTTGGAACAGAATTTCCTCCAGGCAAACGAGACGTGAGATATGATACACAGGAAAGAATTGCACTATAGCAATTCTCAACACAACAGATATGCTGTCGCTGTTTCAACAAAGACAACTGACAGATTTGACAGGTTTGTCAGGCGCGCTGGCTATCTCTCCATAGATGCAAAGCATCATCAATTCTTGAAAGATGAACTGAGCGTTATATGTTTCCCTTTAAGGCAACAGTAATGTCACTGTTATACGTGTCTCATATACAAATGTTTCTAGCTTTAGGAACAATGAATTGGAAATATGATATATATGGATCTAGTTCTTGAGTTTTTCCCTTTTATATTCTGCAATTATAGGTTCAAAGTATAAGCAGTGTTTCCCATTATGTAGTTTACTTTAGTTTTATGTATTAAATGAACTCAAATGGATAAGTGTGTGTACAGGTTGTTGGGCTGTTAGACTTATGATACAATGGTGTGTTGAGAGGGTACTTTGCGTAAGTAGTATATATACAATGAAAAAAGGAATGTGATTTTCTCTACACTAACTATAATTTTTACTCGTCGCTCATTTCATCATCTTGATCCATCGGTTCCTCAATTTCAAAATCGCTTTGGCTTTCATGGTTGCGCCTGACATCGATAGAACCTTCACTTACGACATCCACATGAGCTGTCTCGCCTGGACGAACGCCACCATCAATGATAAGTCGAGCAAGTGGGTTCAACAAGCGTTGTTGGATCACACGGTTCAACGGGCGAGCACCAAAGACGGGTTCATAACCATTTTCGGCCAACCAGTGCTTGGCAGCCGGCGAGACATCCAACTTGATTTTGCGGTCATCAAGTCGTTCCTGAACCTCCTCCAAGCGAACATCGACAATATCGGTAATGTTGTTCTGTGACAACCGTTCGAAAATGACAATCTCATCAATACGGTTGGTAAACTCAGGGCTGAAATGCTGGCGGACGATTTGCTGGATCTGTTCCTTCAGGATGACCGACTCGGGTGACTGACCGTGTGCCGACTGTTCAGCCAACAAGTGGGCTCCCAAGTTGGATGTCATGACAATGATGGTGTTGCGGAAATCGATCTTGCGACCCTTGGAATCGTGGATAAAGCCTTCGTCCAGTACTTGCAAAAGCACATTGGCAACGTCCTTGTGTGCTTTTTCCAGTTCATCCAGCAAGACAACAGAGTAAGGCTTGCGACGCACGGATTCGAATAAACCACCTTCTTCGTGACCGACGTAACCTGGTGGGGCACCGATCAGCTTGGCAACACTGTGTTGTTCCATCAATTCGCTCATATCGATACGGATCAGTGCACGCTCGTCATTAAACAGGAATTCAGCCAAGGTCTTGCACAACAAAGTTTTGCCGACGCCGGTGGGACCAAGAAAAAGGAAACTGGCCAATGGCTTGTTTGGATTCTGCAGACCAGCCTTGGTAAGACGAATAGCATTGCTGACAGCACGGATGGCAGGATCTTGGCCAACCACCTTGCGACGCAACTCGGCTTCCATGTGTAGCAGCTTCTCACGCTCGCTCTTGGCCAGGTTGGTGACAGGAATACCGGTCCAGCGCGACACGACTTCCATGATCTGCTCAGGACGTACAAGCTCGCTCAATGCCGGTTGGGCATCCGGGTTAGCTGCCATCTCGGCAAGTTTCTGCTGCTTTTGTTCCATCAGCGTCTGGACGCGCTGCTCAACGTCTGGAATAGCATAGTACTCGATATCTGCAGCCGTGTCCAAATCGTACCGGTTTCGTGCTTCGAGAGCCTTGCGTCGTAACTCGTCCAGCTTTTGCTTCAATTCACGAATTTCGTCCAATCGGCCCTTGTCCATGTCATACTTGAGTTTGAGCGGCTTGAGCTCTTCTTGCACTTGGGCCATCTCTTCGCGGACTTTGGCCAGACGTTCTTGCGACTCCTTGTTGTGCTTTTCTTTGGAAAGCGCCATGGCTTCAATTTCGAGCTGGAAGTGGCGGCGTTCGAGCACATCGATCTCTTCGGGTTTCGAGTCAAGCTGCACACGGGTGTTGGCAGCTGCTTCATCAATCAAATCAATAGCCTTGTCGGGTAAAAAGCGGGTGGTGATATAACGGTCGGAGAGCTGGGCGGCGGCGACAAGAGCCGAATCGGTAATCTTGACGCCGTGATAGTTTTCGTATCGCTCCTTCAAACCACGGAGAATCGAAATAGTAGCTGGGACAGAGGGTTCACCCACATCGACTTTTTGAAAACGGCGTTCAAACTAGAGTAAACAAGAGATTAATTTTGGGTATCACTGATATATTCACTGTTGTTGTTATGCATGAACAAGAATAAAACTTACGGCTGGATCCTTTTCAATTTGGCGGTATTCGGTAATGGTGGTAGCACCAATGCAACGCAGCTCGCCACGAGCCAACATGGGTTTGAGCAAATTGGCTGCATCCATGGACCCTTCACCCTTACCAGCACCCAGCACTGTGTGTATTTCATCGATAAACAAAATCACGCCGTCCTCGGATTCCTTGACCTCCTTGAGCACTGCCTTGAGTCGTTCTTCAAACTCGCCACGGTACTTTGCACCTGCAATGAGTGCGCCCATATCCAACGCAAACAACTTGCACTGCAGCGTTTGTGGAACATCGCGCTCGACAATGCGCCGGGCGAGACCTTCGACAATGGCAGTTTTACCGACACCGGGCTCACCAATCAAGACGGGGTTGTTTTTCGTACGGCGGGCCAGTACACGAATGACGCGACGAATTTCATCATCGCGGCCAATCACGGGATCTAGTTTGCCAGTGCGTGCCATTTGGGTCAAGTCGATAGCGTACTTGCTCAGAGCTTCGTAGACTTCTTCGGCGTTCTTGCTGTCAACGCGTCGGTTGCCACGGACTTGGGAAACGGCATTCTCGAGCGCTTGTTTGGTAATGCCGGCATTTTGCATGGGCTCAAAAGATTGATTGTCGTCGGCAAGGGCAAGAATAACGTGGTCGACCGAAATAAACGAATCCTTTTGCTTCTTCATGTGCGACTGGGCGTTCCGAAGCAACTTGCTTGTGCCCGTGCCAATCGATATCTCGGCCGGCGGTGGATCCTGGGTGGGCAGATTGATCATCTGTTTCTTGTAAGCACGCTCTACAGTTGTAGGCTCGCTACCGGCCTTTTCAATCACTGACTTGAATAAGGATTGTCCATCGGTTTCGTCAAAGAGAGCACAGGCGATATGGGCTGGATAGATTTGGATATGGCCGAATTCACGTGCGAGACTTTGTGCAATGCCGAGAGCTTTCTCGACTTTTTCTGTAAATTCCATGCCTGCCATGGTGTGTGTGTGTGTGTATATATAGCTTGTGTATATGTTTCTTGTGGGAGTTAGAAGCGAGTGAAGATAAAAAAAAAGTTGCGGGAAGCAAGAAGGAAAAGGTGGGAGGGGTTTGTATCGGTTTTATATGTTTTATGCAGCTGCTCTTTTGCTCGAAAATGGTTGAACATGCCAGAAAAATTATGGTTCCGCTTTTCCAGCAATTTCTACAGCATGCCAGCAAGTGCTGGTAAGTTAGCACCCAGTGATCGATGATCATCCTCCTGTGCCCGGAGTTTAGATCTTCCACCTGAAAATCGGAATCGAGGGTTTATCGAACTGATGGCTGTAGATCATCGTTGTTTTCCTGCAACGGATCCCTTTCTAACCTCCTTTACTTTGTATCCAAGGGATCTTATCAATCCGTCCTTTCACGTTATGATATGGTAATTAATGGTCGAAATATGAGGTGATATATTAACAATGGTTTATTTCCTGTCTATCGCTAAGCAATATTAACAATGAGCACCTGACGGCAGCATTGTTCTCTTCAGTCATTTCTATCAGGCAATTACCATAGATGAGGGGTATTTTGCATGAATATCTGTGTGTTTGTAATGTTATAGACTTTTTATATCGGCGTACGTACGCATCTTGCCTCATTGAGAGCTATCCAATTCTTAACTCATGCCACTTCTGGATACTATCTTCAGCTTGGATGTCAAATCATAGTGCGATTACACACCGTGTCACCTTCCAATATGTGATGGCATTAGAGGATAAGATACAGTGCCTGCATTTAATAGGGGGTTGCTGTCACAATAAGAATAAAAAAACATGGACGAAGTTCAGTATTGTGTTGCTAGTAAATGGAGGGCTTTGGTCCTTGTCATACGTTGGCATTTTACGGAAACGGTGGCTGGTGTAATACATGTTCCACATACTAGGTTTTTTCAAATAGCGATCTATCATGCATAAGGAAACCGAATGGAACACTTGGCAAATAGTGGTGGAGCCAAAAAAAGAAGACGTCTATGTTTGTGAGTGCCACAGGAATTGAGCAATTGTGCATCTATACCTCACTTTCCAGCTATTTCACTGGTTTTTACCACTATAAAGCTCCTGCTTTCTGCCTTCTTTTATTTCATTGATCATCATACAACCTTACGGTAAAACCCTCCCCACCACAATCTACACCTCCCCCCCCTTCTTTTTTGTTGCGTTCCGTGCCTTTAAAAAATAACAACGAAACGACGACAGCGATCCAGAATATGGCAGGTGGCAACAGCAGTAGCATAAGCAACGATAACAACAAGAACCATTTCCGGACTTATTCAATCAACAGCAGTAGCAGTAGTAATAGTACTGGCAACAGCAACAACCACCATTACAGTAATGACAATGACATCCGTAAAGAAGAAACAGCAGCATTACTAGAAGCTGAGCCAGACATTGTGTCGATTGCAATCAATCACAGTGACGATTCAGATGAATTCTCCAAATCCTGTCGCATTTGTGGCGAAGGAGAGGAAGAAGAAGACGACGGCGACGAAGAAAATCAACTCGTAGGAAACTACTATCACAACGATCAACAACAAGAACAACAACGATACCCAAACCATCCAACCATGTCATCAACAACACAACAGCAACAACAGCAGAAAACAGCCAAACAAAAGACAACGAAAAGAAATACAGATAACCCATTGATACGACCTTGTAAATGTAAGGGGAGCATGATGTACATTCATGTTGACTGCCTGAACCGGTGGCGTGAGTTATCTCCCCGACAGGAATCACATGTTGCCTGCGACCTGTGCGGCTACCGGTACAACATCTACCGGCCCAAGTTTGCCGCTATCGTATCGCATCCTTACTTTTTACGTTCAATCACGGTTCTGCTGATCCTGCTGTTCACGATCGGCATGGCGTATGTGTGCAAAGTGGTCCATATCTACTTACTAGGCGGCAGTGGTGTCGATGGTGACCATGGAGATCCTGACGATTGGCATGGTCCAACGATTCTGTGGCTAGACCGTGTCTATCTGCTCGCTGGTCTGGTCAGTGTCTCCATGCTGGGCATCATCTATCTGGTGTATTGCTGTGCAACAGCATCATCACCCATGACCGGTGGTGACCCATCAACATCCCCAGCAGCATGGCTGTGTTGCTGTTGTGGTGATGGTCCGTGGTACGGGTGCTACGTGGCAGATTTCAAAACGTGCAGTGGTGATGCTGCTCTGGGAGGCATCGTCGTCTTTGTTGCGTTTGTCATTTTGGTCACCATTGTATTTGGTATTTTGGGGGCATTCAGTGGGATCTATGCATTGATGGAAACTGCTGTACAGAATGTTGCTGGTCGAGTCAAGGAACGAATACTCGATGTAGTAGCACAAGAGTCGACGTGAAGAGGAATAAAGCAGTTTTGGAAAAGAAAAAAAGAATCATCAAGGAGAGTTTTTTTTTTATTTTGTTGGAAAGTAATGCATGAAAGTACAAAGGGGTGGTTGTCGTTGCGAGATGAAATTGTCTTTTGTAGACGAAGTGAGAGAAAGAAGCACTTGAACCATTCTCATTTGTTTGGTTCTTTTTAGCGAGTATGTGTGTGTGTGTGTGAAACGAGATCTTTAGTGGATGGGTTGTGATTGTTGGATGGTGATCATGTTGAAAGGGAGCACGTGCGTTTGTGTGCGAACAAAGGGTGATTGTGGCAGTGTGGATGTTGCTTAGAGATAGGATAACCGAAAGGGGAGAAGGCAGATATGGCTTGAGAGAGAAAAAGAGAGAGAGAGAGAGTGTGTGTGTGTGTGTGTGGATATACTGAGGATGAATAGGATAATGGGTAGCACTGGGTGGGAGGGAGGGGGGGGGGCTTGGTTCGTTTGGGGGAGAGAAAAAAGAAAGTAGTGCGGATGATGTAAACGTGTGGAGTTGAAAGAAAGAAGCCAAGTCAGTCTATCTCCGTGCATCAGCATAGCCAACAACGCGTGGGGGAGAAGCCAAGCGAGCAATGTCACTTTGTGCAGGGTGATGGCATATTGGAGCGTCATGTGGTGCTTCGTTGTGCGGCAGTCCGATCAAGAATCCTAGCCGTTTGGAAAACTCCTGCACTGCTTCCGTGAAGAATAGGTTTCCTGTATAGTGATTGTGCTCCGCCAAACTATAACCAAATCAATCAATCAATCAATCAGTCAGTCAGTCGTCTTGTGCATATGTCTGGGTAGGAGGAGAGGAGAGGAAGGGAGGGGGGGGGTCTTGTGTAGTGTTGCAAGGGGAAAAAAGAAGCCACTGTCTTGGTTGCTACTATTACTACTTGAACTGCTACTTACTTTTTGGCCCACTCCTTCACCGCCTGAAGGCTATACGACTCTCCTTCCCGAATCTTGGATGCAGCATACCGTGATGCTGACTTCCAACACTCGTCAAGAACCCGGTACAAATCCCGTTTAAGTTCGTTGTTTTCTAGCAAGAGTTTAGTTTACATGAGTTTTAGGGACTTTTTTTTTCATCATTATACTACAGGAAATGGTTATTCTACCTTCACTGTCCCACAACGGCAACCGATGTGCTAAGCTAGTGGCCATGTGTAAGAATGCAAATGCCTGTGGTGGAAATGCTGTGGATGATGTAAAATGATCGGCGTATTGGATGGCAGTGTCCTAATAATTCTTATGCGTCAGTGAATCATCATACTAATGCTGCTGCTGCTGCTACTGCGCATAATACAGTGGAGGGATGATACGTACGATCAGCTCAACAAGGGCACCGCGTACTCGTGAGAATGTATAGTCATTTCTAGAGGGACCGTTGCGGTTATAGGGGAAGCTGTCGTGCACACGCTTCTCCAAGTTGTTGAGCACAACTGCTGCGGTATGCACACTGGGTGCTGGTATGTAGTTCATAATGTCTTGTCGTAGTTCTGGGTGCGTGTCAAAGAGCGTGTGTACGATATGAATGAGTTTGTCCTTGTCCAGCGAAGCTTTTGAAAACACATGCTTTTAGTTTAGTATGACACTTTACAGGTGTACATGCACACACAACACAAACGCACACAAGCAATGTGCGGAATTTACCTAACATGGCTGCAGTGCCTGATTGTTTCGTCATGCCGGTTTTGTAGCGTTTGTTAATGTCGTGGTTGCTGTTGTTGCCATGAAGAACAGGACGGTGATGGTGATTTCGAAGGGGTGAGCTTGGTAATGGCGCCGAGGCATCACCCATGTCTTCGTCTTCGGAAAGTCGGCGTTTTCGGCCTAGCAAGAAAGTCATACGCAACACCATACAATAAGCAAAAGGCAATTTATATATACAATTTCCAGTAGGAATTGCTTTACCTTTAATCATTCCGTTGTGAGGTGGATAAAGTGAGGTCATGCTAGTGAGTTCTTTCTTTTTTTTTTAATTTGATTTGGTTGTGATTGAAGCGACAAGGATTATTGTCAAAATGCGATGAACGAAAGGAAAAAAACGAAAAGAGGGAGAGAGAAAAGAGAGAGAGAGAGAGAGAGGGAGAAACGGAATCGAAAAGAAAGCCGACTTTTTTCTTTTTTGAATCGGAGACACTGGGAGCAGTTACTTTACGTACTATACACACACACGCACACACGCACACATACGCACAGTCGTTTCGTGAAACGAATCAAAATGAAGAAAGATCGAGCAAATCATATCGCTGCGTAGTTTTATGCTTACTAGACATGCTTTGCAGTGCTACAGTCTTCTTTTTAAGTTTTGTTCGCATGTCCCACACTTGATAGTACATGCATAGAAGTAAGATATAGCATCTCATCGTCGTCCTAGAACTTAGATTTGATTGATATTATGCTGTAAACATGTGTATACACACAACGCAAGGTGTTGAAAACCTTATTCAGTATGGTGGGCGTGCAACCATCTTACTGTATCTCAAAAACAAAAGAAAAAACAAAAAATAATCCCATTTATGGCAATAAGCAACCCCAGTCATACGTGCAGCGTGAATTCTCGCGCTCTACTACCAAACGCGCTTCTTTTTTTTTCTTTTCCCTTTTCTCTACACACAAGAAAGTCGCATCCCTCTAATTTACCTCCATGTTGAACACCAGATCACTCTCCAAACAAGATCTGTACCGTCTCACCTATAGCAAATCCGTTTATGCTATCTTTACCCGTTCCAACCACACCGATGTGTTGACTTGTGTCAAAGAATGGTGGAACAATCCCAAACTTAAACCAAGCACACACCGAACTTGGGGCGACTATAAACAATATGAAGACGGTCGAAAGAAAGCTGCTTTGTGTGATTTGATCTATAGAGATTGGGTAAAAAATAACAATCGACTTTTAATGTTGAAGAAAAATCAACTTACTAATAAGATCTCTTGTCAATTCTAGAAAGACGGATTAACAATGTACCAAGTCGCTCAATTGGATTTGACAAGTATGTATCGTTTTCTTATTATATCGTGAACTACTTGAAAACGTTTATATCATGCAAAACCACCAGGATGTCTTTTTAACTTTTTACTCTTGAACCAGCCATGATACATAAAAGGGTTCGTCTAGTCTCAAGATTGTGGGAGATCAAAGGAGGTAATGGATATAACAATTTATTTCCAATCTGTTTTGAGTGTCATCATTATTAACAAACCGATCTGTATTTTTAGACGTAGAACAGCTTGAACTCTCATTGAATGGCTCGATGATATGCCACCGTATACAGGAACGGTTAAATATGTATTTCAAATGTGTAAGGAAAACTCTCTCTCTCTCTCTCTCTTTTTATTTTCTTGTTCATATCATGTGTATCTCGGGAGTAATCGATTACTTAACGCAGTTGGGAGGAAAGTATAGCATGTCTTTGTGATGCGCAATGAAGAACAAAAGACAGATTGGATACGAATCGCTCTGTTCGCTTCGGCCGATTCCGACGAACTACCAGGCTCATCGGAAACGATCTACCTCGTCCGATATCCTGACACGCCCTATGTAGCAGCGCTCAAAGCCAACCGTTCAGCAATTCGACAAATCGTTCAACAGGTAAAACTCTACTATGCTTTTCCACAACGCGAAAAACAACCCAAAACTCACAAAATGTTCTCGTTTTGTATAAAAAAAATTAGTCAGTTGCACTTGTGTTTGGAGGCACTTCAGTTGTGGAAAGAAATACCGAAACCAACGACGTCGATAAAATCGCTGAAATTGCCAAAAACTACAATTCTCTAGGCCCAATCAATCAATTGCGAGAGAACGAGTTCGATACCAACCCGCTCGACCTTCAGAAACAGCTTAAAAAAAGATCAGCATCTGAAGAGGCTGATGATGCCTATGTGACAGGACGTGAACGTCGACGTCGTGTGGTACCTTTAAATCGCGACGTGCTCAGGAACCGGTATAGTCAGACAAGAGCAACATTCGGCACCAAAGTGGTTCAGGGATTGGAGAAGTTGAATATTCATGTAAGTGCATATTCGAGAAAGAATTGTTTTTGAAAAAAAAAGGAACGATTACTAACTTCTCTCTTGCTGTGGTGGTGGACTGTGTATATTAGATAACCCACTCATTGAAGGACATGCTGGAACCCAGTATTGCAGAAGCAGCGGCAGAAGATGGCAGTGATTTGATTAAATTACAAGTCAAGATCAAAGGGAGAAATGTGATGGAAGGTCTTAGACAACTGTCGTTGAGAGGTATCATTGAACAGCCAGTGCCGCCATGGATGATTGATATGGCAGCCCAGGGTGCCAACACTTTGTATGTTACCGAGGACAACGTTATGAAAGAAGTACTCGGTGATGATGATGATGATGATAATGACAACGACAGCAATGTCGACGAAAGACGGCAACAAACTCCACATACCCTTTCATGAATTGCAAGAGATAATAAAAGAAAACGTAGTGTATTAACCTCATCCTGTGAGGATCTATTCTTTCTTTTTAAGGTGGGCGAGAGATATTGTTTTTTATGTATAATGGACAAACGCGGATGGAAAGAGTAGTTGTGGAAATATGGTTGGCAACAAAAAGAAAACAGGGAGGGAGAAAGGAGTCTATTTCTTCTTTGAAGCAGTGACGTTGAACTTGAAGTAGATGATGTCGCCATCCTCCACAACGTATTCCTTGCCCTTTTGGTGGTACTTGCCGTTCGCCTTGACCTGGTTTTCGCTGCCGAATTCCTTCAAGTCGTCGTACTTCATGACTTCGGCCATAATGAAACCACGCTCAAAATCAGTGTGAATGACACCAGCAGCCTGAGGAGCCTTGGTGAGACGACGAATGGTCCAAGCACGGACTTCATCCGGACCACCAGTAAAGTAGTAGATGAGCTGCAGAGCACTGTAGCCAGCGACAATGATCTTGGGCAACATGGAGTTACCGCCCAACTCCTTCATGGTCTGTTCACGCTCCTCCTTGTCCTCGATCAACGAGAGGCGCTGCTCAAAGGCACCCGAGTAAGGGATCATCAAGTCACCCTTTGAGTGCTCATCGATCCAGGCCTTGATCTTGGGCAAGTGCTTGTTCTTTTTGCGCAAAAAGTCCTTTTCACTGCAGTTGGCCAAGTAAATGACAGGCTTGGCCGTGATCAGGTGCAAGGTGTTGATGACTTCAATTTCCTTGTTGGTCCAAACGCCGTGACGCACTTCTTTGCCTTCCTTGACGTGACTGTACACCTTTTCAACGACGGCAAATTCTTCCTTGCGCGCCTTGTCCTGTGCATTGCCACCATGGCCCAAACGCTTGACAGAGCCTCCCAATTCAGCCACGTTCTTGGCAAGGAATTCCTCGTCCTTCAAACGGAGTTCTTCGTGGATGATCTCAATGTCACGGACGGGGTCCAAGTCACCTTCAACGTGAGTCACATCGGGATCGTCAAAGGCACGCACAACGTGGAAAATGGCATCGACGGCCTTGATGTGCGACAAGAAAGCGTTACCGAGACCAGCACCGCTGGCAGCACCCTTGACCAAACCGGCAATATCAATGACAGTCAACTACATGATAACGATACGTGAGTCCCTCCAGTAATTGTCAATCCCAGCATCCCAATGTCAATTATAGGAACAAGGAAATACATACGAAAGCAGGGATCTCCTTGGCAGGCTTGTAGTGCTGAACCAACCAATCGAAGCGTGCATCGGGAACAGCAACACGGGCTTCTTCCGGATCTATATTGCCCGTCACCGAGACATGTTGGCATTAGCTCAGTCCCTTTTCTCCATTAACTTTTTCTTTCAAAAAAAAATTTGAGAAAGCCCTTACCGATGGTACAGAAAGGATAGTTTTCAGCAGCAGCCGATGAGTTTGTCAGGGCGTTGAAGAAGGTCGACTTGCCAACGTTTGGAAGGCCGACAACACCGATCTTCAAGTTGTTGGAGGGACGACCAAGCAAAAGCTTCTCTTCTTTGACGGCCTTCTTTGGTGGCATGACTAACTTATTCGGCACAATCGGTTTTTATGTAAGCTTTTTGGTTTAAAACATTTAACTGAAGAAAAAAAAAAAGTCGATTGAGAATTTTACCTTTCAATCTATGTAAAAAAAAAAAAAGTTGGAAGAAAAAAATAATAATATAGTAGTGCTAACTTTTGCCTGAATCTAAAAAAAAAAATTCGGTGGCTGCTGACGTCAGAACAAAGTATAAGGCACAGCCTAATTTTTTGACAGTTTTCCCTTTGTGTATACACACACTCTCACTCACTACCATGTTGATGCGCCATATTAATGACATTAAGGTGTCCTTGTCACCCTTCAACACTGCCTCCAAAGCATCACGGTAATTTAGGTTTTTAATTTGCAACATCGTTGCTACGTTTTCTATAAACTTCCTTGACAACGGCCATAGCCAACGTAGCAACACACCCAGGAGAAACATTCGAAAGACTTATTGTGGATTTCATAAATATTTTTATTAGATTATTTTTAAATCGCGTGAATACCAACGAAGCACGTAAATTGAATCCAGCATTGAAAATCACAACAACTATCTTGAGCGATGCTCAGGCACCTTCGCGCATTGACGTCGTATACCGTATGTGTGGTTTTTTCCATGGGTTATTGGGGAATTATAGTAGAAAAGACAGAGGCATAGGATATATAATTCACAACAAAACCTTCCAAATAGGTGATGGCAAAAAGCTCGGACTCGATACGGATAAGCTAAAGATTGACAACATTGTGGAACTTGTCAACAAGCATGCGAAAAAACTAGAGGAAGTTGAACAAGCCAATTCTTGGTAAATCATATACGCAAACACACACACACACACACACACACACTCGACATCTATCACTTGGTTTATGCTTCTGTTTTGTAAATATATATAATATACACTACTATACATTCTTTCTTCTGCTTCTCTTTACATATGTACACGCACCAGCATGCCCGTATCATCATTACTTTTTTTCAATGCGCTTCGGCCAAGAGTTTGCTTTCGAGAACACATTTGCCTTCTTTGTACTTGTTGTCATCATTATACGCTTTCACCTGTTGTGTTGCATACAAAAGAAAAAGGTCAAAAATCACTGCAAAGTATGTGATTGTATAATACGCACGTAAATCCAGCCGAGTGTGGTTTTACACTTGGAGCACAGTACATCTTTGATCGTGTGTAATCCCGTGGTCATGGCTCTGTCTTGCTCATCACCCTGCATAACATTCACGCTAATCGGTCATTATGTATGTGAGTACAGATGACGTATGGTATGTACCGCCAGTCAGATTGATCATTTGTGAGTTTATTATATTACACTTGATGGAAAAGATATGCCGTTCCATATTTGCCTTGAAATTGCTATAATCACACACACGGATTCATGATCATGGGATGTTATTAATAATATGCTCATTTATTCTCTGTATAAACGGTCGACAAAGATGTGAATTATGTTACCCTTGACAGCACATACTCGTCCGTGGCCAAGTGGGTTCTGCATTTGCCACACGCATAGACAACGCTGCCTTCAAGAAACGTTCGATACATCAAACCCATAACAAAGATGTGGTTTGTGTTTGTTTGTGGGAAACGAGAAAGAGTCGAAAGAAAAAGAAAATTCCTCAATATGTGCTTTTATGTGTGGGCACAGTGTGTGTGTGTGCGTTTCTCGTGCTATACTGGGCCAGACCACATGATTGGCTGCTTGAGCAATGCCGCACCCGCCGCAATGGTGTGTGGACTCTCACACACACACACACATCCCATTTTTTTTAAAGTTCCAGCCCTGTTACTCTTTTTTCTGGTTCTATACATATCTCTTCTTTCTCTCTCTCTCTCTCTCTCCCACACTCAGGCATTTCTATTGAATTCATTAACTACTACAACTGACATAAAAACCATGGATCTCGATGCACTCTTAGCACAAGAAATCGAAGACTTGAATCGAGACAGTGAAGAGGACCGACGAGTCAAAGAAGCCGTTATTCTCGACAAGCGAGATCCCAACAAAATTCTAGGTCCTGATGATGACTATTCGTCCGACGACAGCTCGTCCGAAAACAATGGCAACAGCAACAACAGTAGTAGTGGAAACACCACGCCCAGACGACGCACGGTGCGATACTGTGACGAAGACGACGACGACTATTATGAAGACGACCTTGCTTTACGTGACCCAGAATTATTCAGAACCACCGAACTTAACCGTCAAATTATTTTGGACGAACAACAACAACAACAACAGCAACAGCAACAGCAAGACGGCTATACACCTCAACGTAAAAAGTCAGTGGCAGCCATCATGACACGTCCACCAGAATTGGTGTTTTCGGACCCACCGACCACTGTCACCGAACCAGACCGTATCATTGTCACGTTCCACTATGGCCAGAAGCCGGACAAGCCGGTGGTCAAGTCGCGCAAATACATGATGGCTTGCGACTTTGGAGAAGAAAGCATGTATGCCATGAACTGGGCACTGGGCACTATGCTTCGTGATGGTGACCAGGTCCATGTCGCCACCGTCGTCACTCCGGACGAGGATATTGATGATATGGATGATGATGAAAAGTACCGTCTCTGGCAAGAGGTAAAGTCCGGATGGATGGAGGCATGATGCATAGTACGTCAAGAAGAGCTGATGACTGATCGAATGTATGGTGTATATAAATTAGATGGATCGTAAATCCAAGAATTTGATATCCAAGGTACGCTCCAAGTTGGAGGAGATGTTACTATACAATATCACAATTGTCATCTATTCCATTGCCGGCCAAACAAAAGAATCGTTACTTGAACTGGTAAGTTTTCCATACTACTATTGCTACTACTTCTTTCCCGGTCGATACATATTTTCTAATGGAATAAGTATATAGATCTATAGCCTGCCATTGACCATGGTCGTATGTGGTTCACGAGAAAAAGGCGCTTTCAAAGGGTAACCCAGAAAATTACAGAGCTTCTTTTTATGAGTAGCATTGATATCTATTCTGACACTCTTCGCTATGATTAGATTGTTGATGGGTAGCGTGTCCACATTCCTTGTCCACAATGCACCAGTACCGGTGTCGGTGGTACGTCCTCAGAAGAAGGAAAAGAAGAGCAAGAAGAAGATGACTGCAGCTCAGAAGCTGTCACAGTCGGTGCGCAATGGTCAACTCAAGGTGGATGAAGCAGCAGGTGCTGCTGCTCCTAACGTTCACAACCTGCCTTGAAGGAAATAATCTTCTATTGGTCAACCATCAATCACGCACCTGCAAGTGCAATCGTCTATCGGCTACCATTGTCCACACACACACACAGTCTCCCCCTCCTTTCCCAACACTAAGTATTCCCGCTTGTCTCTTACAAAACCAACTCTTATCTAGCTTCCTATTCCTTTCTCTCTTTTTTTCCTGCATCGTAATAATATAGTACTACATATATAAATACATCGTTCCACACAACATGTTGTATACAGATAATTGATCTCTCTGTTCTCCGGCTTTAGTTTTTGTACAATTATGAAAGAAAATGAAGAAAATTGGGTTTTCTGGAAAGAGGGGATAGTATTACGCGGCTTGGTTTTTTGTTTTTTTTGGTGTTGCTGTTGGTTAATAGAATATGATCGCAGCAAGGAACAGAATGATGACCATCAAGATCAATCGCGATAAAAATGAGCTCTGTGCATTTTGTCCGTGCAGACCACCGGATGTTGCCGGAATATTCTACAGATAGCATAGCCCAAAGAAGCATTAACACAGCTCTCTCGTCAATCAACACCCCCCCCCTCGTCGTCCTTTGCCCACTTACCAAAGTAATGCCTAGTGGAAATAAGCCAATGCCTGCAGAGATCGCAACGTTGCTGCCGGCGTTATACATGGCTCCTCGGAATGGTTGTCCAAAGAACGAGGTTGCCGGTGTGTTTGGGTCTCGTAATGGGGGTGGTCTCTGGCCTGCTGGGCGTGTGGGTATCGATGGATCATTCCTAAAAAAAACCCCAGTATATACATAAGCATACCGTGTAGAATAGCCCCTCTCAATGATACCTTACCTTGGATCTTTTTCTTCTCGTCCTCGTCCGTAAATAGGGATCACCTTATCCTTACCACATCCAGCTTTGCATACAGGACAGGTAGGATTGCGCGATTGTGCATTAAGCCATTGTGCAAGACATGACCAACTAATGCATAACAGGATGAGTTCAGAACAGTGCCACACATTGTGATTAAAATGTCGTTTACACATACCAAAATAAATGGCCACACAGTGTCAATACCGGGTGTGTTGCCGTATCGAAGCTTTAATTTCCAGATTGTAACCACACAAAAAGAAAGGTTATTAATAGCTCATCCTTCTCGCCAAAGAGGCATACAAAAGAGCCTCTCTCTTACCATATATTACATTCATAGAATCCTCCTCCTCCACTCGTATTCGTTTCTGCTCGTGTCGTTGTACCAGACGACGACTCGCTTTTTCCAAAAGTAGCAGCAGCAGTTTTCCCGATATGCCGCCGTCTAAGCTCGTTTGAATTGTATGAAAACTGATTCCGTTTCCGTTCTGGAATTATGGGTTCTGTTGAGTTGTCCATTGCAACGTTATCGTCAATATCAGGGTCGCGCAATGATGATGAAGTGTCATCCTGGGTCTCTGTCGTTGTTGTTGGTTGTGAAGGCACCACACTGCTACTATTACTATTACTACTACTGTTGCTATCTTCTTGTAATAGCGGGTCTGTGTCGTGTTGTTGTGTTATGGACGAGTCCACATGATGTGCAATTGTTGAATTTGAGTTATGGTTGCTCGTATCATCGTCCCGTATTGCTGCTTCACTCATTGAGAAGAAGGAAAATAGGGTTTCGGCTAGGTGTGTGGGAAAAAAAAAAGAAAAGGAAAGCAAAGAGAGAAATAAATGCTTTTTTGCTAGAATGAACGGTTTCTTTTTTTTTTTTTTTGGCTTGTGTGGAGATATGTCTGTGTGGTGTCTGTTGGAGTTGATTCAAGTTGCCAGCCTATCGGCTTGAAAAATTAAGATTACCGGTAAAACCAATCAGGCGTAAAGTACAGTTATCACTCACCCACAGGTGTTTCGTGGCATTTCTTGGGTGGAACATTAGGAACAGCGATAAAAGAACGGGCTTTGGAAACAGAAATAAGCTTGTTCGCCCGAGATCGCTATCATCCATCAATGCAACATATTATTTCTACAACGAAAAGCACAAGTTGTAAAGTATGTGGCCAACAAGAGTAGTGACAGTGGTAGTAGTCACTGTTGTTGTTGTTGTTGTTGTTGTTGTAGTTGCTGATGTGTTGCGTTATCCCATGATGATCGTAAAGACGAGCTCATGTTTGTGAAAGAGACCAAGTCATCGTTGATAACGTCAATATGACGGCTTCATAAGATGCCCAAAACACTTTTATGCTTTGGTCCTCGCCTTTCAATGGATATGGTACAGCTATGATAGCAAGAACAAATAAATATCATCTGTCGCACATTAAAATAACAGAGAGTATATAAAGACACTATAGCGCTATTGTCAATTCACAGTCCTGTACATATCAGAAGGGTAAAGAACTGTGAATGTAAGAATCAAGAATCCTGCAGTCCCCGGAGAAACCTTCCCCGCGGAAAAAGTGGCAATTTTGGAACTCATGCCAATCGTGGCTGTCTTTGTTACCATGGCTCCGCCATAATCTGGGGTCGATTTGCCGCTTAAAGATCTCAAAGGAAAAACTATCATCATCAGCAAACAATCTTTAGTAGCTGCCGTGAGAGTCAAGCCAATCAAGGAGAAGTAACTCCAGATAATGAACAATACCAATACAACCTAGCCTGCAAGATTGTGGCCTGCTACACGAAAAGTACACCTTTCAGATTGAACTTTTGTAAAGAAAAACGTGCTCATTTGTGACAATAACTTGTAACAACCCGACAACAACAATAATGGTTCCAAAAGTTTTAAATTAAATGACTCAACAAAGGGCCTGGAAGCGTAGGTATTTTTTAGGAGAGAGAATGTACACAAACAGGGACACCAGAATGGGCCGGCTTATGTAAGCCGATTGAAAGGGGAGTAACGTATTTAAGCACACCCTGAATTATTTTTTTGAGACATCCTAGCTTTTTTTCGTTCTTCTTTCCTTGTGTATCACAATGTCACCCAGTATTAGAACCACAACTACCACTACCACCACTACTGCTACTTCCTCCCGTGCTGCCGCCGCTGTGCCCATCGACGACGAATGGTTTGGCGATCAAGTGCACGATTGGAATGAGATTCGCCACCTAGTCTGTAAGTTGTGTCTTCTGAACGTAACACGGAACCAAGGGGAGTTGGATGGCTCGTATCTTGTGATATCACATCTACCTGCCTGCCAACAACAACCAAAGTAGAGGGAGAAAAAAAACCACTACGATACGCATCTAATTATTCATAATTTCCATGTACTTCAATGAAAAAAAAAGCCAACAACAAAGTCCAACAACTTCGACGCAACCGTGAGGGCCAACGGGTGTATCGTCACTGGACCGAGACCACGCTATCGAAATACAAGGACATTGAGGACTTTTTGTTGTCCGAAAAGCTCCATTTCCCAACCGAGGAACCAGCAGATCCAACGCGTCCACACTATATTGTGCTTCCCAACGACTTTCCTTATTCCACCGAGCCAGGCACCAAGCATGTCTTGATATGGTCTCAAAAGCCATTGAGCGAGCCTTACGTCAGGGAGATCCTCGAGTCGCATTACGGCAGCAACAACTGGGAATGGGTCTATTTTGTAAATCCTCCGGAAACTCAGAGTGTAAAGCGATTGCCACATGTACACGTGTTTATGCGTCCTCGCACCGCCAACAACGCCAACGCCAACGCTACCGCCGCTGCCACGGCAGACAAGAAATAACAATTGCCACTCTTTGTTTTTTTTTTCCTTTGTTTCGTTGTTAGAGAAAAACAGGCATGCATTTCTGCCGTATACTCATATATCCTACTACTATATTTTTTGTCGTTCTACCCCCATCAACAACAACTTACCCACTATGTCTCTTTGTTTTTGCCATTTCATTTAAATCAATAAAAAACACCTGTCACTATATCCACCAGTTCTACCTGCTGCCATGAATTGATGATGATGTGTGATGGCTCTTTATTCATATAACACATGAATAGCTACTTATGGAGATAAGTTATCTGAAATGTCATTGAAATTGACTTTTTTGTACAACAACGGATTTACATACTATTGTAGATTGACAAGTATGGCTTCTTGTCCTCTAGATCATTGTGCCTTACATCCAGCATAAATGTAGCCTATATATCATATAAAATTTTGCTTGCTGCTGGAGGTCATTAGAATCTATCCAGGCACATGTTCGTTGAGCGTGAACCTCATTGGCTGCGCTAAAACCAAATTGTACGTTTTTTTATGCTAAATCGTAAAAGATGGTCATGATTACAGTAAATACAAAAGGTGCAATCGAAATACAAAGCTCATACATAAACATTCTACATAGTGTGATGATGTCAGTGGAATACAGGCAGCAGTGATATCATATAGTACGCTAGCAGCTGACGCCTCCGCCACTTTAGGTGTTATTATCTACTTTACTTGTTGGCGGCGGTATGCTACTTTTTGTACCTACTACTAGTGAATGTTTAATACGGCAGTAATCTTGACAGACGGCCGTGTATACTATAAAAGATACTGTAAAGGAGTATTAATAAAGTAGTCTGACGTGTTACGAATGATGCCATAGCCAAAGTTACCATGGTTACCCGCGAAAGTCTGCCGGGTTGCTGCTATGCGGGCACGCATAAAATATAGGAGACACAACAAGAGACGTCAGGCGCATCACTGGCGCCCATTAGCTCGGCTTGTGTTCCGATGGTAGTTCGCGAAAATCACTTTTCTTTCTTTCTCCACTTTTTGTTATCCCCTCCTCAAAATGAGCTTCCTTTGGTCATTTGGATCAAGTAAAAAGGTAAGAGCATATTACTCACACTCACGCGAAGCTATAGTAAACATACACAAAAAAAAAACTGAAACATATAAATCCAGGAACCAGCTGGTTCACCTGCTGCACCTGACCAGCAACAGCAGCAGCAGCATAACACCTTTAAAACAATGAGCACAGCTTTTCGAAGAGGTGTACAATATAATAGTAGGAATCGGACATTGACATTAAGAAACAGAATAATTTAGACATTGCTTTTTGCTGATGGATGAGCTTTGTTTTTTCTTAGTGAAAATCGTGGTACGCGGTGATGTCATGACGGGCAAATCGACCTTGTGTAATAAGCTTTTTTCGTAATTGTATCCAGCGCTGTAACCAATCACTAACTGTGGTGTATATATCCCGCCATATAGTCAACCGGCTTCAAGGGGCAGAGTTTGATCCCGCATACAATTCTACACCAGAAATACAGGTGGCCAACATACCCTGGCAATATAAAGGTACTTAATCCAAGAGAGAGGAAGAGGTCAGCATTCTGTATATGCATATGCAAAGCGGCCATTGGCTAAAACCTCTTTTGAAAATAAAGATTCAAACGATGTCATCAAAGTCGAAGTATGGGACGTGGTTGATAAAGCTCACAACAAGACGCCGTCCACAACGGATACAGGCATCAAACTCGAGCATAATGCACCAACAGCAACACCAAAATCACAACAAGAAGTGCAACAAGAAGCATCATCATCAACAGCAGCAGACCTTGGACTAGATGCAAGCACAGTAAACGTTTATAGGAATAGCCATGCAGCTCTTTTTGTTTTTGATATAACCAAGCCATGGACGTTCGATTATGTAAACAATGAATTGCCAAATGTTCCCGAAAGTATTTCTGTTCTCGTACTTGTAAGTGCATATCTGTTTACTTTCTGTGTCTTCTGCGATCTATTTAGCTGTTTACGGGCATCCAGAGAGCTCACATGACAAAAAATCATTCAATTGTTTGGAACAGGGAAACTTTTCGGATAAGAGGTGGGTAAGTGTGAGCCACGTTTTAGGGTATATATACATCAGCCCGTGCTCAAAGAACTATCAAGGGAAAAAGGGAGATGACGAGGCTTTTTTGAAAGGAGCCAAAGAAGAGCTGATTACATAGAAATTGGCTATCATAGTGCGGAACGTGTTGTCAGCTTGGAAGAAATTCATGCTACACTCTATCAGCATAATCAAGAAAGAATCGAAAAGGGAGCCATCAAACCCAATTTGATACGCTATGCAGAAGCAAGCATGAAAACGGGACTGGGATTACAGTACATCTACGATTACCTCGGTGTCCCATTCCTCCAGTTGCAGGTATAAAAGCGTCCATGTCTATGCGTTGAAGCATCTTTTTTTATTATTATTCTAAAACGCTTTGGGCTTTTATTTTACCGTAATCTATAGATGGAAACTTTCAAAAAGCAACTCGAACTGAAAGCTACTGAGATAGTAGATACATTAGAAACACTTGATACCAATGATAAAGTTCCTGATGTAATGCAACGTAGGAGAGGCCAAGACAATTTTGATCAACGTACAGTACCCGCTCATATATACGAGGAAAAAGGAGGAAAAGTAAAAGGGACATAGCTAATTGTAAATGTATTTGTCTATAGCGTCGGAACCTCATTTAGCAAGACAACGAGATGATATGAAGAAAGTGTGGGACCAAGAACTTGAGGATATTGCTGTGGATAGTACGTGGATCTTTTTATTTGCGTTCTTTGGATACTGGATGGAGACTGAAAGAGAGATAAGGCACCTACTGGTAGTATAAATTGCTTACATCTTCTGATGCTGTAATAGGTTTGCCCGCTTTGGAAGTTCCTTCATCGCCATCCTTTGTTCGAAAAGAAACACCACCACCACCTACAGCCCCTGTCCGAGGTCGTCGACGTGAAGGATCACTTGTATCAGATTCAGATCGGATGCCTGCTGCAGTTGACCAATTCGACGCCGGCGAGCTGGAAGACGATTGGTTTGGAGAAGATACAACAGATAACAACAACACAGGACCATCATTTACTGCTCCCAAAAAACAAGATTCCGATAACGAAGATTATAACGGCAATCCAATGGTGGCCGGGGATGAAGACGTTGAATCTGTTGAATACTATAACACCAGAAAATCCAGTGCTGACGGTAGACCGGATGTGCGGCAGATAGCAACAGCAAAGGATAGCGACCATGACAATGACGACTTTAATGAAGAAGAGGAGGACAAAGACGACGAAGATCAGCAGCATTCGCCTGCAGTATTTCATAGCGAATTGAGCAGTGTCTGGGGCTCCACGTCTCATGACCACCGTCAACGTAGCCATTCGTTGCTTATGCGACAAGCTCGGGTTGAATCTGACAGCGAAGATGAAGACAATGCCTTCTCGCCAGCTCCAATCCCGGACGATCGCTTTCAGGAACCAGATATCCTTGAGGGATCACCAGCAGCAGCGTCTCCGCTCGTGACGGGTGGCGGCTTTGGAAGTTATGAAGAGATTGGTGGCGACAGTGAGAATCCTTGGTCGTGGGATGATCGGCAACAGCAAAAAACACAAGAAGATGACGGTTTCTGGGCAGATACCACAGAAAGTGAACCACAGGTAAAAGAATTATCAACAACTTGATCTCCATTGTTCAAAAACATTGTGAATTAAATTTGGTTTCGATGTAATAGGCTACAAATAGTACCGGTGCTACTGATCTTCACCATGAAACATTAGATGAAGCTGCTGAGAGTCCTGAGGCGACAGCGAGTCCGTCGGAAAAGAGTAAAGGAAATAAGAAAGCTTCGAGTAGCAGCAGTGGCACGAAGAAGAAGAAGAAGTCCAAGGATGGCAAAAAGAAAAAGAAGACGACGACGACCTCGCCTTAATAATATACACGACACTATTGTGGAAAACCACTACACTGTAATAAATATGTATCATACTCCTTTTTAAGAGCTGGTTCGCATGATGCAAGCAGTATGTACAGCACAAAGTTTATGGCCGTGGATGCTGATGTAATGTCGCTATTATAATATTCAACACATTGTCTCTGTAGCACATTATTGTATTTCGCTGCTTCTCAGAACCACACCTTGTGATTTCAACCATTTAAAAGAAAGCTGTTGGTCATGGCATCCTCTAATCTTGTCGCGAGTGCATACAGTAGCTACATAATAGTGTACATAGACACGGTTTTTTTCAACAGGATTTTCAACAAATGTCTGCTACACACACCCTACCGACACATTCTATACAGCTTTAAATTTCCAAAGACGCGTATAAGATCTGGCTGTTTGTATCTGGTTTACATAGTTACATGTTCTGCTATTAGCAATATAATTCACAGTGTTTATTTCACTAGAGCAAGCAACTCACTTAACATAGTATATTGCATTGAGCTATCGATTTTGCTGGTACAGTATCATCCTTCTAGTAACTCTTACCTATCAGATATAGATCTATGACATTCTTGCCTAAATATTTACTATAAAAAGTGAACAAGTACGTATCATGTATGCGGCCTTGTTGTAGCGCACATTATAGCATAATTAATCTTATATGATATATTACAAAATATTGAGTTTCTAGTAAAAATAAAAGAGTAACGTAAACGAAAATCCACCTTCGAAAAATTCAATAGAAAACATTACATGTTAATACTCAAACACCAAAGTTGGTTTAATTTGAAAATTGCAAAACTGTATAAAGAATTTGAAAGTATCTAAGCAAAGTACTTGGAGGATATACAGCTTAGATGCATAATGATTATTCATATACTTGCATTTTTACTGTATATCTGCCAAATACGTTTTTCCTAATATGATCATGTTTTGCTGCCAGAGGATGTATAGGCTTCAGTAGACGACATGAAAATTCCGCTTTCTGATTGGCGGGGTTGACGAGCACTATACACAAAATTACCCAAGCCTTGAATCCAAGGAACAGCCTCTTTTTGCCATATCGCGTACGTAGGTCCAACACATGAAGCCATCCACCCCATCAAAAATCCATCCATCCATCCATCCATCCGTTACATCTATGGCAATAGCGTATTGACAATTGAATTCTCTTACCAATATTTCTTTAAACAGCATGTCTTCGGATCTTGCCATCGTCTACGCTGCCCTCATCCTCAAGGATGACAACGTCGAAATCTCTGTAAGTTAAATTATTATCTTTTTTTTCCTAATTTTGCACTTGTGGAGACATTTCACGTCACTCTCTTTGGAACATACTTTCTTTCGCACGGCTTGTCTATACGGAAGCAACTAGACGATGTAAACAAAATGCTTACCATGCGCCCACGATTGCCTATTTTTTTTTTAAATTTACTTAGGCTGACAAGCTCCAGACTCTTACCAAGGCTGCTGGTTTGACCGAAATCGAGCCTATCTGGTTCAACCTCTACGCCAAGGCTCTTGAGGGTCAGGACCTTAAGGAACTCATCTTCAACGTTGGCGCTGGTGCTGGTGCCGCTGCCGCTGGTCCCGCTGCTGCTGCTGGTGGTGCCGGTGAGGAGGCCGCTGCCGAAGAAGAAAAGAAGGAAGAAGAGAAGGAAGAGTCTGATGAAGACATGGGCTTCGGTAAGTTTTGACATAACTGCTTGTCACGACTCGTCAAATTATAAGTTGCATGGATTGTTGTATCTTTGAAAAAACTTACACGTGTCATTTTTTATAGGTCTTTTCGACTAAACATGTAGTCAAGATTGTTTCTACGATTAAAAAACACCCATCATCTTGTTAAACCAACAACATATCAGACTCTTTACGTCGAAACTTGTTTAGAATGCATGTGCTCTTTCGTTTGGAAAAGATGGATGGGCTAGTGGACCAGGTCATTGCTTTTGGATCGTAGTGATTTTCGATCGATATGGTTACTGAATGTATGGTGCCCGGGATAAGAATATGGCTGTTATGTGAAAATGTGGTGTTCGGGAACATTGAGGAATGGCTTGCTTGAAAGCAGAGGGATGCCCCCTAGCGACGGTTATTTAGTGCCAGTATGATGCTCTAAGCATGTCTGGAACAGATGATGGCTTACATCTTAATGCACTTATTGAAGTGTGTCGAATATTAACTACTGAGATAGAAGCTGGTAACCTTCACTTACTGACAAATTTCATGAATGAAATGTAGCTTTTGGATATATTGAAACAAGAAGCTACAGAATGAAGAATTCTAAGACGTGTGGTAACGGTGTCATTTTGTTTGTAAATGCCCTTGTCCAAGCTAAATAATATGCTTGGATTAATTATACTCAGAAGGACCACCAAGTGGTTATACAACACTCCAATTCAAACCATGGTAGTCTTCCTCTCCTTCCCTTCCTCATTTTTCACCCTCCATCTGTTTTTCCTTTTGACTTATTCATATATTTCTTTTAAATAAAGCTTGTTTATTACAATTGACCCGCTTTGCGTAATTGACGACGTTCCTCCAACTAATTAGGCATAATAATTAGTTAAAGGAATCACTGTAGTTATATAAGTATGTATCTTTTTTTTTTTGGAAATATCAGTTACCCATTTCTTCTTGCATTCCCTGTACTGTAGGAAAAAGTAATCGCATTTGCTTTTGTCATAGTTGTTTTGGTCCAGGCACTTCATGCTTTGTTTTTCTTCCAGAGCACAGGGATTCATGTACTTTGTCGTTTCTTTTCGTTTAAATTTGTCATTGAAATCATTGGGAGTCGAAAACTCGTCAAATGTAGGTTTGGGTGGCGGTGGTGGTGGTTTGGACAATGGCATAATATAGTGTTGGTGGTTCTTGAGCTGTAAACAAGAGGGGGAAAAGCAAGAGAAGACCGTTTCGGAGATTCGAGTTCTTTGACTCCAGCAGGATAGCTCTTTTTTGTAGCAAGTTGTATAATGTAGGAAGTATGTAAAAGATATATTTAAGATAAAGAATGTTCATGATGCACGATACATCTTGTTGCCCTGCATACTCTTATGCTAAAGCGAGCGCTTTTCCATTTCAGCAACGCTCAATCTTCTCTTAGCAGCTTGAATATGGCCTATGCGGACCCTTCTGGCTTCCTACTCAGTAACAAGTTAAAGCAACTCTTGCGCTGATACACAAGACATTATAGTTACAACTTGGGAACAGACTGTCTATGTTTTTTACTCATCAATCGCTGCCACTGTGTGGTTGTTGCGGCTGCAGCGAGAACAAGGTCATCATGTATCTACACGTGGTCAACTACTTGCTTTTTTTGAAAGTAAACTGATGTGCTGCAGTTAAGTGTTCCGATAAGAATATGTACGAATGTTGTTGCTTGCTGGTTCTCTTCGATCGACATCTGATCGACATCTGAGCGACATCTAGCGCATCTTGCTCACGATATACAGACTCATAGGGAGAAAATGCTGCGGTCGTTGTTTTGTTAATTGCCAATATTACTGGCAGTCTTCGTTGTTGTTTGCATGTGCCACTACTATGTACTTTAATTGATACCAACTATCATTATAATATGCAACCGGAGCGAGACTTAAATCATGCATGCGAGAAACAAAGATAGTGGCACCAGCAAGGTTAACAGCGTCTCTATCTACAGAATGAAATATTGTCTCATAGTAGCAAGTTGTCTCTAGTAGCAGTGAAGCAGGCACGGACAATAACCGTGTAAAGCAGTTTGGTGGCAAAATTAATGAGTTACGCTCTATCATAAACGGCAGACACAAGTGCATCCGACTAATGCAAAGCAAACTAGCGAAGGTTTTTGGGTTGTCGTTCGATGCAAGAGTTGCTTCCATAGATCAAATACAGCAGGTGAAAAATGTAATCCGGGGGCATACACTACACTTGGTACTTGATGTAACAGCAAAAATAAATTATTACACTTGCCACGATACAGCACCAAACTTTTCAGCGTATAGTGGTCGTGTATGAGTATACTCAAGGCAATTATTTGTATTGAAACAGAGTGGTGGACGCACGTATATTACCCTAGATACAAGTGGTGCAGCTACAATAGCCATAGTCATTTTATAATGAAGTGTATCAATTCGCCGCCACGAGTGTTGTAATAAAAACCTGCTTAAAAAAAGACCCGCAGATGCATCCAAGTACACCTCTTTCATTGCAATATAAATTTTTAGTAAATGCCTGACCAGCTTTTATTGTGATCCCTGTAAGCATTGTTATACAAGTAGCTTAGCAGCACATAGCATTTTCCAAGATGGTTTCTCGCCAAAGCATGAATGGAACGCTTGAAAGCAAATCGAACATGCAATGTTTCTCACCATCAAAACAGGACCCTTCATTCACAAGCCGGATCTGAAGCCCAGAGAGAACACCAATGTGAATTCAGCAAGACAAAGAAACCCCACCCTATCATTATTTTTTTTTGCTGTGAGAGAAAACCGTGTAACGAGAGCATAGTAACAACGATTAACGGCTTAGTCTTCAAACTTAATTAAAAGCTCATAAAGAAGCGGCGCTCTCAAAGATTGTTTTTTCAATGAAGCGCGACAGAATAATGCTAACTTTCTTTACAAGTACAAAATGCGGATTACATCGACTTGTCGTTTACAAAATTATCATCTGAAGATATATGAAATAGTCTTAAACGGTACAGCATCATCACCTGTTGAGAAGAGAGATCGGCAAAGCCAGAGATGCTGCGCCAAGAATATAAGGAGTTGAATGAGGCCAGCATCAATTAGCGTGATCAAGGCAGTCTAAAAAGTCTTTTCTCGGAGTACATCGGAAATGTACTTGAGGCTGTGAGTAACGAACTTCACATATGAGCATGAGTATTTGCTATGCATGAAATGTAAGCGGCGCATGGTTTGAATAGAAAAACGTAACAACTATGGAAGAGAGAGCCCATTCATTGCCAAAGTTGCTGCTCCCTCGACTCGAAAACCAAAGCATTCGTCTTGCAAGACATGCTTCTTGCTTCATAGGTAGTATAACGAATCGCTGTATGCTTATCACATTTTACTCATTGACTGAATGAAATTTTGATTGGTTCCTGGGATGTTTATCGTCAGTGAACTTTGTTGTCACCTCCTGCATCCAGCAATTCGGGCAGCTGTAGCTGCTTTACAATTACATAACGCTGCGTTGATACCGGGCAAAGAGGCGTTGCATTCACTCTGGCTATCCCGAAAGATTCTAGATAACTAGTTACTGAGCGATAAGCATACAAGGCAGATGGAGTTGTGCAAAGTAAAATGGCCGATGGGGCACGATGAGGATAATGAAGGTAAAAACACTGATTTCAGGAGCGTGATGGAATCTGGAATTGACTAGAAAAAGTGAAGGTGGGTTTTACATTTGAATCTATTTGCTTTCTTATTTCTTATGGTAGCATCAAAAGGATCGACATGGCTGACGGTAATCTTAATGGAAAGCCGCTGTAAATAATCACGTAAGCACTGTCCTTTCCCCATGTAACTAACATTATCAACAAAATTCATTCTAATCAAAGTTCATAACAAGCTCGTTTTTCTCTTCATTAGTTAATTGAACGACACTATACAGTATGTCATTAAAGAGTTTTAATTCCGCATGGTCTGTTCTGCGTATCCCAATCCAGCAATGGATTCATTGAAAGATATTTTTTGTACTAAAAGTCTACGGTTTACTATTCATTTGTGTACGGTACAGGGATGGGCACTCCCGTCAGCAACTCAGTATATAGTATCTCTAACTGTGAAAAATATGCTGGTTGTCCCCGAACGTACATTTAGTGCGTTTGGTAGCATCTCTTAATCATTAAAACTGAGACTTACTTGCAGCAGGTCATTTAATTAAAACTTTAAATATTTTGGGTTAAAAAGTTTGCGACCCACTGTAAGATTGAGTACGTACTAGTAGTAGCGATGATGGGTATTCTATGCTGTTACGTATAAGATGTATTTCACATGTATTCCCTCGGAATTATGAATCATAGATACGATAGAAAAAGAGCATACTCGATCGTTTTTGAGTGAGAGAGAGAGAGAGAGAGATGAACGTTTTTCGTTCAGTATTTAACTAACCCGCTTGTATCTACTGTATCCGATAGGCACACACCCACATAGAAGTCATTTTTTTTCGTCGTTGTATAATTAAGACTTCAATAGCAGGAACGTCAATTCCTCTTTTTTTTGGCATTGGAGCATACAAGTCCGAGTTTGGATATCATTACTATAGCAACAAAGTAGAAATTCGATAGGCTCCTCATCTGCTCTTTGTCTGCATCCAGCATTGCACCATTCTCCGCCGCTTTTTTCAGCAGTAGTCTCGGTCATTAGATGCATCATCTTTTTATACTTGTGCAGACCTGCGATAATAATTGTTATTTGGCACTGCTCCTCGCTTGCGAAAATACGAATCCCGGCAGGATAGTAAGCCGCTATTTCGAAATCCATAATGTGTCATTATGGCTTGATAGACGCCACGGTAAATACTGTACATAAATTATACCAGTTCAAAGAAGATCGAATCCGTCTAAACCGCCAATCTAATAATTCAATATGCGCCATGTTGTACGACGTGCCAAGAAAAGAATCACATGAAAATGAGTAAAAAGTAAACTTTGAGATCGATAAGATTGAGTAATATCCGCGTTCAGTGATGATAATAATAAGTGATATGATTATTTTGCCAAGTAACATTGAGCGCTAAAGTCGCGTGATACAAAAGTTATGGGAGGAATAGGTGAACAGGCTGTTTATTTTTCCGACTCGAGAAAGCCAGCGTTGTTGACAATGCAATGCTGTGGCTGAAAAAGATCGCTCACATACTCAGATGATCCCAGCTCGTGTGTGTGTGTAACAAAGGCAACAGGGGCTTGAACCAACCAGTTTCTCGGAAGGGACGGGCCTGTGCAGCGAGCACTGAGAACCAATCGCGTTTGACTATCTACTTTTTTCAGTTATTCGGAAACAACGCGTCGTCAGCACAACACGCTAAACCACTTGGCGCTTTGGCATTTCGTTTACAATAGGCCGGTACAAAACTCAAATCAAAACAGGAGGTCAAGTACCAAGATGAGCAGAAAATTAAGGGGAGAGTGTCATCAACGATGTACAATTACGTCATTACGTCATTGCATGATGATGATGAGACGAGAGGCGGGGCGGCAATCCTTTCATTTACTTTTCTTTATATTTTTTTTTTTTTGCTTTTTTCATATCCCATTTCAGCAAAGGTGTTAAATTCGTGCAACTACTATGTGTGGTATGGTGGAGACTTGAGCGACTACCGCCACACCTGGTTTTTTGTAATATTACTGTTGGCCGTTTATTGTGAATAATCAAAGACAAGTAGGTCCTTGAAATAAGTATCAGGAAGAGAAGAAGAAAAGCATAACGGAAAATTAGACTTCGTCTGTTTCACAAGAAAGAATGTAAGCAACCGCAAAGACAGAGCGAAGGAGCAAAAGTGACGACGACGACGACGACGACATAAAAGGCAACTGTGAGATGGTCAAAGCGCGTTGTTGGGTTAAAGTTTTGGGGACGATGACGATATGGCACCATTTGCAATGCCAACACCAACGCACGTTTTCTCTTTTGTGAAGCAAGGTTTTTCCCATAAAAGTAAAGCTATGATGTCATGTGTGACATTCCAATGCTATGACGAACGTTTTTCCCCACAAGGGCCATAATTGGCAATGCCTATGATGTCATTGTGCATATAACGGCGGAAGGAAGGAAGGAAACGCCCTTCTGCTTCTCAAAGCATGGTATGATCAAAGTTCGTTATCGTTCATTCGTGCACGGAAGAAGGATGTGTCGTCTTCTGTTACTTTTTTGTGTCAATGTGGCCTTGGCGTAATGCCTCTCACTCCAACCAGTTCTCATCAGTTGGGGCTAGCGAGTGGGGTGTGTTAAAAGTGCGCCGGTCGAATAAAAAAAAGACCGGGTAAGGAAAAACAAAATGGGTGGTCAAAGCGAGCAATGGAAACAAAAATGAAAAAAAAAAGTGGAAAGAAGAAAAAGGAAAACGGGACAAGAAGTAGAGGGCCTTTTTATATCTTTTTTGGGGATTCTGAAAAGGTCTTGTCAGAGCAAGAGGGTCTGGAATCCAGCAGCACGTGTGGAAGGAAAAAAGGACCTCGATCGATCGCATCCCAAGCCAGCAGCAACAACAACAACAATAACAGCAACACTAGGCCCTCTCTCCTTTCCTCAATGTAGACAGCAGTAGCCAATACCAGGTGTGTGTGTGTGTGTGTGTGTCCCGTGCTGCCGGCACACAAGGCGATTACAAAAGGCAACAAACCGAGCCGATATGCAAGCTAAAATTTTAAAATAGCAGCCCGTGTTGTCCTCTTTTTTTTCTTTTTTCTTTTTTTTGGGGGGGTTCCTTGCACAAACTTGCCTTTTTCAAAACAAAGCGCATTTGCAGTGGTGGTGGTGGTGGTGGTGGTGGGTGCACAGGCACCTCGCGTTTTGCTGTCCGAGTCACAGGGTCACTCCAGCGTTATTTCGGAAACACACGCACACACACACACACACCAATGAGATCGCTCAATTCCAACGGTGTCGGCTCAACTCGGCGGCACCGTCCCGAGTCCAGGGTGTCACAAACGGAACATGGCCATGGTGTGGTGCGACACGCGTCTTTTTTGCTATACACCTTGTCTTTTCTTTGTACTTTTGATGTTTCGAGCTGTACAGTGAGGAGAAGGGGGAAGGTGGGCAAGTGCGTGTAGGGGCAAATGAACACTGCACAGTGGGTGGTTGGGAGATAGAGTATGTATGCAGGGTGTCAGGAACAGCAGAGGGGTGGGGTGGGATCCGCAGAGTGTGCAATGCACAACGACGTAAAACCAATTCCAAATTTAGCTCCCCTGTATCATCGTTGCACAAAAAGCGTCACCGTCCCGAAAAGGAAAGCGGCTATTTTTTGGTACTCCTTTCTTTGTCCCACCGCCCTTGCTCCCAGGCATATATATACCCGCCGTGTTTTCCACATTTCCCCCACTTCTTCACTCACATCGCATCACGCATCTTTTCCACTGCTTTTCGCTTTTGCTCTCACACAGTCTTCATCCAACATCCCATCAACACATCATCATCAGCATCATCATTATCATCGCATCATCACACAACATGCCTTCAACCATCGCATCCTCACAGTGCAACAAGACCTTCAAGTGGGCATCACAGCAACGCGTCAAATCAGGTCGCGTGCACAAGCGCACGGGCTCCAATGCATCCTCCTCCTCCTCCCGCGCCTCTTCCACCCTCTCCAAGAAACCAGCCTCATCCGCAACCAATGAAATTGCCCGCTTAGAGTCCGAAATCACCTTCACATACGACGCCTTTGCCACCGTCTCCGTCATGTTTGACAGTCTCCAGCACGCCTATGCAAGCAGCAAGGCCGAGATGGACCGAGCACGCAGTGAAACCCGACTCTCCGAAAAGGAAAAAGAGTTGTTGGCCGCCTACGACGATCTTGGTTTGCAGGTCGTGCACTTGGAACGCCATGTCGTCAAGCTCGAAAAACGATTGGCTGAACTCCGATCCGCATCACCTGCTCCAACTCCGGCTTCTGTTCCTGCTCAGCCACAACAACCACAACCACAAGCACAAGCACCCGTTTTCGTTGAAGAAAAAGAAGAAGAAGCAGCAAAGTCTGCCGCCATTGCTTTTGACATGATGACCACACCCGATCTGGCTATGCCTTCACCTACCGGCTCTCCCATTCGCCTGTGCTATCCCCCTTCAACCGACTACTTTAGCGACGACGTCAACAGCTTCTACCCCTCGCCACCAGTCAGCAACCAGCCCACACCCTACGTCGTACAAGACCCTTCGCTCTTTTGCGACTTTGCCATGGTTCCTCCACAGCAGCCATCACAGCAACAGCAGCAGCAGCAGCAATACGTTCCTATGGACAACTTTGTCTCGATGGCAACTGTCGTCAATGACCCATACTACTACAACACCAACGTAGCTGCTCCTGGCTGGCCCATGCAACAATTCTAAGCGTCTCCATTACTTTATGCATTCATTTCATATCCCAATTTTTATATGCAGCATCATTCCTCCATCTTTTCTTTTAAGCACATAGCCCCCCTTCCCACCATAACCATCATCTTCATCTTCATTTCTCATCATCACGCATTCTACATATAACATCCTCCTCCAAGATACCCTACTTAATTTCATAGTTTGTCTAAAATTGTACAAAAAGTTTTATTTCCCTTTATGCAGATATACCCCGCATTTGATTCTATTTCCAATAATTAAAAATCAACAAAAAAAAGTTTGACAATTGCATCATAAATTGACAGAAATGCTTTATTTAAAATGTGGACTGGACTAACAACATAGTGCGATGTGGATGATGAAAATGGGCGGCAAAATTCTTGGTGAGTAGCAACATAAAAAAGAGGCTAAAAATAAGAATAGGGGTGGATCATGACGCTCTATGTACGATGATAGGAGGGTTGTCCTGCAAAGTCATGATATCATAGTACGCAGGGATACTCTTGCTGATACATGGGGAACGCCCTCCTCATGTGCGCAGTACACACTAAATAGTGCATATACAATCATCCCTCTTTGCAACAACTCCTTACATGTCGTCATTTCGTGGAAATTTATTATGAAGAGACCCTTATTTCCTTGCAGAAAAAAAAACATCCGTCAAGTGAGCAGCGATCATGGACATAGTCTTGTGATACTGTGGCGTATCAATGGGCAGGGGCATCTGGAAAAATCCATGGATGGTTCCCAGAATCTGGATCGCTACCGTCTCCACGCCTGCCGACATGAGCTTGTTTGCATACAGCTCACCCTCGGTCCTGACCACATCACACTCGGCAAGAATCATCAAACACGGCGGCAGTCCTTGCAGCTCTTGCGCTGAGGCCGAAAGAGGTGCAATCAACTTGATGTCATCTTGTTTTATTGTTGTTGTTGTTGTTGTTGTGACCTCTGTCGTGCCGCAATAGGCATTCAATGCCAAGTCGACATGGCTCCACGAAAGACCAAAGTCGTTTGTACTGCCAAAGCGTTGAACGCTTTCCAACTCGGATCGTTGCTCGTGGCTGCCAGAGACTGTAGGGTAGAGTAAAATCTGTGTCTTGATCATGTCGGCATAACCCCGCTTCTTTGCCAGTACTATGGGTTCGCCCCCCCCGTTTTAGAGTTACATAACTACGTAGCAGCGGTTCAGAGATAAGACACATTACTACCGTACTTACAACAAACCGCCGTGGCTAAATTCCCACCAGCCGAGTCGCCGCACGTGGCAAGTTGGTCAGCGTGGACATGGATTGAGCCACCGTGCGTGTGTAGCCATCGCGCAACCCCAAATGCTTGTTCCAGGGCTTTGGGATACTGTGCTTCCGGGCTCTTGGCATACTCGACATAGATTACCACGGTTTGTGTGCGTATCGCAAGCTATCATGCATTCCCCCCCCCACCAGTTTAACGACTGTCTTTTTTGTTTTTATTCCTGATGCTAGGATGATCCCTTTTTTCCTTCCTTACGTACATCCGCAGTGGTCTTTAAATAAGTATCCTTGTCACCAAAGATCCAACCTCCTCCGTGCCTGGATGAAAAGTCAATATCAGTTTCACTTTGTGTGTGTGTGTGTGTGTGCATATGAGACAAGAAACCCTTTTTGCTCACAAAAAGATGACGCCCGGAAGATCTTTTGCTTCCGTGCCCGGTGGCCTGACGATACGAACTTGTACCTCTTTGTTGTTATCCATGCTGTAGGGCACCATCTTATCCTCGACAGCAACTTTGGGAACCGTACCGCGAAGTTGCAAACATTGCCCATCTATGGCAGCTCGTAGCTGTGGTAAGGGAATGTTCTCATGGTTGGGTGGATTGGCAGCGAATGCTTTGGCGGCTGCTACATAAACTGGATGGAGACGTTTATACTCATCGTTGAGAGAAACAGTCATATTGACACTTGGGAAAAAAAGAAAAAGAGAGAATTAAAAAAAATATACGCCCATCTTTTTTGTCTTTTTCTAAATATGCAAATAGAAAGTGTCAGGGAGGGGGGGGGGCTACTCCTCCTCCTCCTTTTTCCTTGTCTTGTGACGAGCTTATTTGCATGTCGTCCTTGCTTATCCAGAATGGCTCGCTACTAGCAAAACCAAGTAAATCGTCAGACACGCAAAGAGAGAGAAAAAGAGCCTATCGGCATTACATACTGCAGGGTAGAATAATAACTACAGTTACTACTACTTTGTTATACAGATCGGCCCTTTGTTTTTCACGTGTGGATAGTGTACTGTGTGAGGCTACTTTCTCGGTGTTTATGCTCGTTGCAAAGGCTAATACCATCTGTACTCGACTCTGCTTTATGTTTGTTTGACAGCTTAGCAAGTGATTTTGTTCAGCAGCTGGGAAAAAGTCACCTCTTTGGACTTTTTTTTTTAATTTTTTGCACTTGCGTCCCCCTTCTCTCGAACTTTTTTATATTTTTTTAGTTGCAACTCTAAATTCCACCACGATTTAAACAAGCAAAGGTAACCTTTTTTTTTTCCTTCTTCTCTGACAATGCTACTCCAACTCTGTTAAATTAACTCACTCTTGTTATAGTTCTCCCTTTTTTAATTCCTACTGCTATTCGCCTGTACTCTTTAGTATTTTAAAAAAATTATCTTTACATAAATATAAACAACAATGAACGCGAGCACCGAAAGCTCCCTGTCAATACAGTCAATTAATACAGGTAAAGTATCAACTGCACTGTGAAGAGAGAGAGAGAGTGTGTGTGTGTGTGTGCGTGTTTGAGAAAATTGATTCTAAAAAAAAAACTGTTAAATTCTTAACTTTACAGCATTAGCAGCCGTACCTTCAGCAGCACAAACACAGCAGGACGAGCACCCATTGCATTATACCTGGGTGTTTTGGTTCATGCATCGTCTTCCAAAAGCCAAAATTAAGGATTATGAAGGAAGCATGAAGCGCATTGCAGCATTCTCCTCGGTAGGTTACTCTTGACTCGGATCTATCACACACTGGTATTTTTTGTGGGAAAGAAAGAAAAAGAATAATGACACCCTATTTATTTTGTATAGATTGAGGAGTTTTGGGCAGTGTACAGTCATTTACGTCGACCAAGCGATTTACCAAACATTAGCGACTATCACTTATTTAAAATGGGAGTACGGCCTGTATGGGAGGTATGTCTCTCAAAGCACTTGGGCGTGGAGGGAAAAGAAAAATACTGACGGTCGGTATATATATATTCCTATTAGGATGAAGCAAACATTCACGGGGGTAAATGGATTGTACGATTGAAGAAGGGTTTGGCAAGTCGATATTGGGAGCAGCTGGTAAAGTTCACTTTTTTGAAACAAGAGAAGAGAGAGAGAGACACATGTTTTTTGTTCGGATCAAGAATACTAAAGTAACACGGGGATGGGTGGGGCGGGGCAGGTTCTTGCTATTATTGGAGAGCAATTCGACGTGCAGGGCGAGATCTGCGGCGCCGTGTTATCGATTCGTAATTCAGAAGACATCATTTCTGTATGGAACCGAACAGCATCGAAAGGACGAATTAATCTGAAGATAAGGTACAAGGTGGATGGGGAAGAGAGAGAGAGAGGGGGGGGAGAGTGAAAGACAGAGATGGAGAGACTAAATATATCTTCTGTTGTGACCGGTGGTCTATATAGGGACACAATCAAAAAAGTGCTCAGTCTACCGCAGGATACCACGATGGAGTATAAAACGCACAATGATTCGTTAAAGGACAATTCAAGCTTTTGTAACACTGACGTGTTTCGATGAACAAAACAAATTCAACATGGCCAAATAAACAACGACACGACTGAACCAAAGTATAGAAAGGGCAACAGGGTGCTGCTGCACAGTGCGGATCACCGCTCTCACAAAAAAAAAAAAAAAAAAGAGTTCCCAAAATAAGCAAAAAATCATAGAGAAGAAGGTTGCATGAAATCTTTTTGTTTGATTTGGATCGAAAGCAATTCTCGAAAAGGAAAGACTCTTTTTCGCGCGAAATGACATAAAGAACAAAAAGGACTTGGGGTTGTTGTTGATGGAACACACGACATGAGAGGGACGCGTAATAGAGGCTGCACATCATTATCTTACCGTGCAAAAGAACCCCATGGTTACACACCGGTTCGAGGCCAACAGCAGCCAGGGGGGGCGGGATTGAACTTTTTATTGTATTGTATTATTCCCCCCCCCACCAAGTTCTCGGGTTTTTTAATAGGGTGCATATGCGTATATGTGTTGCACCGCAGTTGCCATCTTCTTTTGTCACTGTAGCACACTATTACATGAGTTGTCCACATACATCATGATAATGGGTAATAGTACATTTTATTTGCATACACGGTCACTATTCACAACAACAACAACAACAACATTAACGATAACATAGAAGGTATTTGGCGAGAACATACAAAGAATATAAAGAGGGGGCATACAATGGTAAAAGAAGAAGAAGAATGAGGGTATAGTGAAAGTTAAATAACAGCAATATGTGATAAGAACAATGAAGAAAAGATAGTGTGTGGAGGAGGCTGACAAAGAAAAAAAAAGATATTACAAATAGTGAGTAGGGTGTAAAGAACATTGGATCATCATGAAAAGAGAAGAGAGCGGCGTATAGAGTGAGAACAAGTAGAGTGGATAGGGTATCATCATCACGACATAGATAGAAAGAGTGAACTGTACAAAAGGTGAAGAGAGATAGAGTTTGTTGCTGTTACAACAAGGAAGGACCCGTCCAACAAGCATTGTTGCAGCTGCTGCATTCTGCACAAGCGCACGGTGCGTTGTTGTGGGTGATAAGCGGTGGCGCTGGAAAGCAACCATAAACCGGGTCACAGGACCACGCTTCTGGCACGGCTGTTGCCGTTGTTGACTGTAATGACGGTGCTGCTGCTGCTGCTGCTGCGGGAACATAATAGACAGGTGGAGGGGTTGCTTCGAAAGGCAATGCCAAGGGAGGCGAATAATTGCCGTCATCGAGCACCAAGGGGGGCGTACCAGGCGACGGCGTGCCATTACTGTGGTTTCCACAGTTACTGTTGTTGTTGTTGTTGTTGTTGTTGTTGTTGACAACAGTCGTCATGGCAACAGTAGCAGCAGCACCACCATTGCTGATTTCCTTAATCTGTTTCTCGAGCTTGCTCATGTCCCGTGCCAAATGTCTGACTTGTAATCCGAGATCATCGTAGGCCGTCAAAAGCTCTCTCTCCATTTCACCCAATCGCGTGGCCGTGCTCGTCTGATCCAGCTCAGGCTTGGAGTTGTCGTAGGCGTGTTTGAGACTGTTATACATGACTGTGATTGTGGCCAGGGAATCCAAAGAGTAGGTCACTTTGTTCTCGAGCTCGTTCAAGTCCTTGCTGCTGCTGCTGCTGCTGCTCCCATTGGTCTTGTTCTTGTTGTACAGTCTGCGCTTCTTATAGTATTGTTGCTTTTCTGCTGTTGTTGTTGCTGTTCTTGATCGTTTGTGCACGCGACCTTGTTGTTGAGGGTTTTGCCATTTGATTCGCATCATTGTTAGTGTTTCAAAAAAGTAGATGTGTGTATAGTAAAGAGGACACAGAAAGAGAGTAAAAGAAGGTTTCTGTTTGTGAATGTCTCTTCTGCACCTTTGTTATGGGTGCTTTTTATACACTTTATGCAACCCCACCCCCTTTGCCCTCCTTCTCTCCTTTTGTCTCCTCCCCCCCCCTCCCCCAAAAGACGCGCTGCATGATGAAATATGTGGTAACACATGTCGCTCTATTCGGATAGCGCCTCCTGTCAGAACTGAAAAAGAAAGCTGCGTAACTTTTCATTGGTGCCTTTTTCCCTCCCCTGGGGATTATTTTCTATTCGTCCCTGCCCAGTCAATGCTCAATCCATCCTACCATCCATCCAACCATCAAACACCATCGTCGTCATCGTCATCGTCATCGTCAGATTGAAATACACCCCAGCTCCCTTTTGTTTATTTTCGCTCAACCGCCAAGTAATAGTATAGTCTACGTAGTACCTCTCTCTCTCTCTCTCGCGCCCCCCCCCCCACCCCTTGGATGTTCCCAATCCCCAATAACTGGATCAGGCCGTGCACTGCTACTGATTAGCCAGGATCGCAATAATCTATTTTTATAACCACGTTTCGCTGTGCATTATGCATGTACCTACACTACATTAACTGCCACCCACTCTCGATCCTTCTTGGCAACCCTTTTCTTTTTTTTGTGCATGCATTGCATTTCACCGTAAACCATTTTGGCTTTTGTTTCCCTGCTGAAAACACAGCACGGGCATAGACTATTATTCTTTTGGTTTCCTGATTTGACAGATAAATACCACCTATCCATTTCCCCCTGACTGTTTTAGGTGGGAAAACCCTGGGATAGTCAGCACAACTTTTACAGCAGAGATTTCAATGAAACTTTTTTTGATACGTCCGTTTTCTTCCCTTTATTATAATATATATACATATATAAACACAAAAGGCTGAGAAAAAAAAACACCAGGACTATACAGATATATAAACAGAAATAAAAATAAAATAAAAGCACAAAATGAAAAGAAAAAAAGGATGTATAAAAGATGCTGTATCTATCGAAAGTGTTGAAAAAATAAGAAACGAGGAGGGAGGGGGCGAGAGAGAGAGAGATGAGGGTGCAGATGTCTTTTCTTTTTTTTAATATGCACATGAATTAGATTGTATAAGAAGACAAAGCGTATATACCCCCATGTTTACTTCTTGAGGGCACTGTCGAACACAGGAATGAGTTGCTGGGCAACAGTGAAGGAGAAGATCAGCTTGGGACCAACCTAGAAACAAGGACAGACGGCACAGGTGAGTGAACTGGCATTCGCATAGAGCTACTTTATACAACGGCCAATGATGTTTATACAACTTACCACAAGGATCTTGGGCGTCAAGCCCTTGAAGAAACCGCCAAAGCCTTCCTTCTTGACGAGATCCTTGATGATGTTTAAGCCAGACTCGGGGTTGTCAAAGTTACGGTTCTGGATACGCGTCTTGACGACGTCCAAGGGAGCGGCAACGGTGATCGAAGCCACAGCACCACCGATCGAAGCGCAAAAGTTCTGGAAGAAGGTGGCCTTGTTGTAGTCCTGAAGACTAAACATGTATTCCTTGACAAAGGCAGAGCCACCGAACAAGGCGAACGAACCAGGAGCGTTACGAGCAGCAGTCCAGCCGGCACCACTTTTTAAAAATGTCAGCATATCTATTTTGCATGATTCCTCTTTCCCCACCCCCCCCTCGTGTGTCGTCCATTGTAAATCACGTACCGGTACAAGCCCATGCCTTCATCCTTGATGATCGTGACGAAACTACGGCCACGGAAGGCCTCGGGGTTGGTTTGACGCTTGATCTTCAAAACATCCAAGGGAAGCAGAGCAATCTCACCAATGCCAACCAAACTAGAACAAAAAGATCAGTAAAACAGCACTCGTATTGACTTTATATCAAATCCGTACCTGCCAGCAGTGGCGTGCATGATCGTCTTGCCGGTCTTTTCACCAAAGGTGTTGGTGAAGACTGCCTTATGGTGGGTGTTCAAGTAATCCTTGACGAAAGGCTGACCACCAAACTTGTACACACGCTGAGCGATCTTGTAGCCGGCAGCGAAACCAAGACCAGGGAAAAGCGAAGCGTACTTTTTCATGAAAGCCTCGTTGGCAGCGTCCTATAAACAAGTGGGTGTTTCAGTGTTTCCTGATAGCACATAGAACCCGCCCTTTTTTTTTCCATCTCTTTGCCCCACACAAAAAGGGGCCTCTACCCCTTGTACATCTCTTGATCTCCCCCCCCCCTTCCTTATGAAAGACAGGGTCCCCCTCCTCTCCTCCTTCATGGATATTTTTAAAAATAGCAGACCGGTACCTTAAAGACAACCTTGCTCAAGGCTGCTCTGCTCTCCGCAGTACTCTTACCGTCACCAAAGATCTAATTGCGTAGAGAAAGGGGGGGGGGAGTTAAATGAGTTTTCTCTTTCAAACTTTATTGTATATGCTAAAACAACTATCAAGGGGGGGGAGGGGGAGAGTGAACTTACTCTACTCTGGTTGCTCATGAGACGCTTGGCAACAGTATCGACAGGGTGGAAAATCAACAATTCCATAACACCAGAGCTGGCACTGCCCAAGAAACGGGCGGTACCTGATTCAGACTTTCCAGAAGCGATCGGAGGAGACATTGTGGGGGAGGTTGGACGCGCTTTCACTTGGAAAAAACAAGTTGGGTTGAATAAACAGAAAGAGAGAACAAAAAAAAAAAAATTGGGACTGTCAAGATTTTTACTGATGCTAACCTGAGTTCCAAAATAAGATACACTGACCTGATTCTTTGATACATCATCATCACATCTAACAAGTTGCTTTTCAAAATGATAAAGAAGCAAATGTGCTGATAAAGATAAATGTCATTTGTTGTTGTTCAAAGTCTACGGCAGTAGCCTAGTCGTAAGGCTGCATAATGGGATTTTGGGGCATTGACGGAATTTTCTACTACATCGACAGTTTCCCCTCCCTCCCCCCCCCCCTGTGGATCCTTGTTGACAACAAAATAAAATAATCGCAGCCCCGGACAATTGCCGCATTTGTGAAACAAGGCAAACGGCGCTTGAAAATGAACAAGTCTCGACTTTGTTCAGGTAAACACATCCATTCATCCATCCATACAACAGAGAGGAAAAGTTGCCTCTGTCCCACAACTGAAATGTGTGCATCAACAAACCTCAAGTATATGTTGTACCATTATGCGCCTAGTATAAGAGTAGCTTTCTGATTTTTCTCAGGTACGAGGTACCTTGCCATTTTAGCTTATCGGGTTGCTATGGAAACGGAGTTTTGGCGGCATGACAACTGGATTCATGATCACCCCAGCTGCAACATGCCAATCATTTTGTCACAAAATGCCATAGTAAAGAAGAGGACACTCCCGCCAAAATGTCTTTGTGTTGCTGATCCACAAAAAAAAACAATAAAATTCTATCAGTGAGTCCCCAGACTACCTACTTGCTGTGATTACCCGTTGTCTCGATAGTAATTCATACAAATACATCTTTTAACCTTAACAGACAAATTAAATCAGACCCGTCACAAAGTCCCACAGAGAGGATCAGTCGCGTTGCAGTATTTCATTACCTAATCTAGTCTATCAAAGCCAAGTTTTATGCTATCTCTCAACTATTACATGCCAAATAAAAGCTTTCAGGAACGAGTAATACTTTTAGATGTTTTTCTTTTTTTTAATAACGATATGTGCGCACGGCAAATCAAGTAGCCTAGGGTCAAAGCCTGTTTTTAGATAAAAAAAAAGATAGGGGTTCAAAATTGTACGCGTATGCTACTGAGAGAGAAGCAGAGGTTCCACAATTAAGGATCTCGCACAGAAGAGTGAATATGTGTATTAAAACATTGAATCTGGAGCGTGGTACAGAAAAAAGGTACCTGATTCACGGGGCTTTATTTCTTCTGTTGTACAACAGCATTTCATGATTTTGTGTGGCTAAAAAGAAGATTCGAGCAAATCATCATCATTATGCCTAGGCTTAGCATTGAATAATGCCACTAAAGAACAAAACTTTGTTATGGAAATTTTTGCAAAGGCAGAGAACGTGGAACGAAAGAGAGTATCTACTGCTGTTCTATTATCCGAAGGTACTTTCTCTCTCTCTCTCTCGCACGCTCAGCTCGTACTCGGTCGAGGTTAACCTCCTGCATCCAAGCGAGCTAAAGTTTAACTTGCATCATCCAGTTTGTGTTTTTGCGAACAAAATGCCCGCTTCAAAGAAAAATGAGAGAGAAGAAGCCTACGTACAACGCAGATGATTCGTTCATTCGTCCACAGCAAGGAAGCACGACATATGTTCGGGAGAAAAAAAAACTTGGCTTTTGAGGAGCGTTAGCAGGAGTTCAAGCGTCAACAAGGTTTCACATAATACGTAATATGCGTCAGTGACGTTGAATTGGCAATCCATTCACCGTGGTGGTCCACAATAATGCACCCCCTTTTGAAATGTGGAAGCTATCAATAGCAGTAGCGATGACTGCTAATAGGTGGGACAATTTCTACTTGAAGAAACTCGTTACTGGGTAACCAGTGATTGGTTCTCAACATACTTTCTGAACAGTGATCCACCCCCACCCCACACATCCGCTAATAACCAAAAAACACGCCGCTGCTAGCATTGATAACAATAGACTTTTTAATTTTTTTAGGGCTATGTGCGTGTATCTCACCAGTTGTGAATAACCCCACATCTTTCTTCGTCTATGCAGCACACCCCCCGACGACACCCTCCCCCACAAAAACCCTTATCGACAGGTGTTTTTCTCTTTTTTCCTTAGCATACTAGGTCCATAGCAAGGAATCGATTTTCATGCTAACCACTGAGGCGAGTCTCGCGGAAAGAAATGATATTATGTTCTTGAAGCATAGCGATAAGTTACAGTACTGTAAAGCACGAGTAGAGAGGCTCGGTCGTTATTCTTGCGTGTCTGCTTTGGGCCTGTCTACTAGGCGGGCCTGGTCATCAAGATGGAGGAAAAAAAGGATAAGGGAAGGAAGCTGACTGGGGTCATTGTTTGATGCCCCGACGATAACTTGTCTTCTTGTTCATGTCAGTTTTCGCGCGAAAGCTCCATTCGAATGAATGCTAAAGCTTGTGGCACGCTATATCCGCAAAGATTGTGTGTTACACATCAATGATAAAAAAATAAAGCTGACTTGATGGATCATCTGCAATAGATATAATCTACCGTCTGTTTACGACCGTTCTTATTATTTCAAGGTTTACCACGCTGCTCTTTTATCTGCTAAAATAGCATATGCCGCGTCATTCCATTGTCCATCCCCAATCCAGACAGGCGGTTTGCTTACCCATTTAGGCAATCCTGTCATGATGCCGGAGTTTGAGCTGTTGCATAAAGACTTTTGCTGTAGATCTTGACACTGATTATCCACAAACTACTTTTAAACGTTTCTGCTATTTGCTTGTTGAAACCAAAAGGCCCATATTGTGACTCTATATCCCCTTTAGACGGTATATTGAAGAAGATATGGCAGTTCTCATAATACAAACAAGTTTCTTCCCACCCCCGCCCCTCTGCTTTTATGTGTGTGTGTGGGGTTACTGAACAGGAGTTGAGCTCGGTTTTTTTTAATATGCATTTCCGTGCTACATTGTCAGTGGAGCAAATAAAATGGGGGAAAATCTTCCCCCAAATTGTATTACAATGGGTAACAGCCATTGCTTTTCCAGTTAGTTCCACAGAATCAGTCAAGACGTGTTCGATGGTTCGTTATAACCGCCACTGATTGTCGAGTTTGCCAGGAGAAATATGGATAAAAACTTTAGCTCACCGAATAAAGGGAAAAGGAGGAAACGACGTTTTATATCATGGTGACACGAGCAGACATATCTCGCTTTTTGATATAGGACACACTCTATATAATGGCAACACATAGAACATATAGGCATAAACAAAACATCAACTTTATTGAAGTAAAACTCTCTCTCCACATACCAACCATGATATCATACTCCCGATCATACGTATACAGTTTCACCCAGTAGTCCAACATATAACCCAGCTCTTCTGCTATTTATAACCGTATTCCACAGTACTGTGCTTTGACTTACGTCCATAATTATGCCATGTTCCATCCAACCGCGATTTTTAGCTTCTGTGTGAAATAATGACTAGGTGTGGATGCTTCGAGGAAAAGACTGACGGCAAGCCTGAGTCGCAGGAGTAGTTTCCACTAGAGTCGCGTCATGAGCGGCAATGGCAACGGCGTTTGTCATTGGCAGTTGAATGTTTGTTGTGGTAACAATGGAGTCTAGAGATCAGCAACGAGTTTGGTGGAGGAGGCAGAACAACTTCACCCACAGCTGCTCATCTTGAAACAGTCGTACTTTACATGCTGTGCTGTTGATCGCGTTGGTCCCATTCTGCCCAGTTATTACGCCATGTAGAAATCGCTCAGTGTGTGGAATGGAGCAGCCCTGTAGTAGCATAGTAATGGCCAAACAGCGGTCGCAAAAGAAGCCATAATAGCACACGAAAAGTGAGCAATATAAACCCGTCAATATTACCCTTATCCTTGCTTCAACAAGGCCGTTGCAATTAGTAGTCGTTTCCCTCAATCCTTCCATCAATCGTTCAGGCAATTCTATTCGAAATGGCGTAGCGTTCTTGTTAGCTGTGCTGTGTCAAAAAACAGACAAAGCCAAAAAAAAAAAAAAGCCGCGTTTGCAACTGTCTCCTCTGCAATACGACGTACCTGTAGGCACTGTTCTCTTTTCCATTATGCTGCTACTAAATCTGCTGCTGAAGGTCCATGTGGATTAAAATGTGCATTCTTCAATTGTTTGTACGTGAAATCGTCAAAGACCTTGTGGCATGTCGCAATTGGCAGCTCTACAGAGAAAGGAACAGAAACTCACTCGTTGCAATGCCCCTCGATTCTACTGCCCTTTACTGCACTACTTTTGGCCATTCATAGAAATAAGCAAAGTGTTAATACTGTGCCGTAATTGCTTTCGCTCCAATCAGTCAAATATCGTCGTGCTTTTTATACTGCTGTATTGGCCAAAATTAAGAGGAGACACTGTTCTTTCTCCTGAAATTTTCTTTATAGCGCGCTCCACCAACGTCATCGACTCTCTGACTTTGAAAAGAAATTTGAATTGTGGGGGGGGAGGCAGCTCTTATATTGGTGGCAATATAAGTAAATTGATATAAAACACGCACAAGCAAGTTTAGCGAACGGGAAGAGAAAAAAAAACATTTTTTATTTGATACATGATACTACTAATCAATAATAGGGTGTCGATGTGTTAGCTTCCCTGCTCTTAAGCAGGTACTGACAGGAGCAACCACGAGAAGGTCCATCGACATCTGCTCCCGTAACCCTCTCCCCACAAAGCTAGGGTCTTGTCTTGGTCGCTTTTTTGTGGATCATCAAAGGTCGATTGGTATTGAGATGCCCAGTCCGCTCTCACCAATCGCGAAGCTACAAAAAAAAAAGCACCACCACCCACCCACACACCCACTTACCACCAACCACCTACCTTACGCCTCCGTCGCCCATGCCTACAAAACAAGCACCACCACCTACCCACCCACACACCCACTTACCTTCACCCACTTACCTTACGCCTCCGTCGCCCATGCCTACAAAACAAGCACCACCACCCACCCACCCACACACCCACTTACCTTCACCCACTTACCTTACGCCTTCGTCGCCCATGCCTACAAAACAAGCACCACCACCTACCCACCCACACACCCACTTACCTTCAACCACCTACCTTACGCCTCCGTCGCCCATGCCTACAAAACAAGCACCACCACCCACCCACCCACACACCCACTTACCTTCACCCACTTACCTTCACCCACTTACCTTACGCCTCCGTCGCCCATGCCTACAAAACAAGCACCACCACCCACCCACCCACACACCCACTTACCTTCACCCACTTACCTTCACCCACTTACCTTACGCCTTCGTCGCCCATGCCTACAAAACAAGCACCACCACCTACCCACCCACACACCCACTTACCTTCAACCACCTACCTTACGCCTCCGTCGCCCATGCCTACAAAACAAGCACCACCACCCACCCACCCACACACCCACTTACCTTCACCCACTTACCTTCACCCACTTACCTTACGCCTCCGTCGCCCATGCCTACAAAACAAGCACCACCACCCACCCACCCACACACACACTTACCTTCAACCACCTACCTTACGCCTTCGTCGCCCATGCCTACAAAACAAGCACCACCACCTACCCACCCACACACCCACTTACCTTCAACCACCTACCTTACGCCTCCGTCGCCCATGCCTACAAAACAAGCACCACCACCCACCCACCCACACACCCACTTACCTTCACCCACTTACCTTCACCCACTTACCTTACGCCTCCGTCACCCGTGCCTACAAAACAAGCACCACCACCCACACACACACCCACTTACCTTCAACCACCTACCTTACGCCTCCGTCGCCCATGCCTACAAAACAAGCACCACCACCCACCCACCCACACACCCACTTACCTTCACCCACTTACCTTCACCCACTTACCTTACGCCTTCGTCGCCCATGCCTACAAAACAAGCACCACCACCCACCCACCCACCCACCCACTTACCTTCACCCACTTACCTTACGCCTCCGTCGCCCATGCCTACAAAACAAGCACCACCACCCACCCACCCACACACCCACTTACCTTCAACCACCTACCTTACGCCTCCGTCGCCCATGCCTACAAAACAAGCACCACCACCCACCCACCCACCCACCCACGACCTACAAAACCCGCGTTAGCCCCCACTCCCTCCCCAGACACTCACAAAAAAAAGAAAGGGACTTACCATACGTGATCGTGAAAAAGTGAAAAATGAAAAGAGAAAGAAAAAGTGAGGAAGCAACACGCTGCGGAAAATGGGTGTCTTTTTATGGGCAAAAGTTCATTTCCAAAAAGAACGCTGGTCTGGGCTCAATGAGATTCTGAAGGCACGCTTGCTTTTTTTTTCCTTTCCTGTATCTTTTTTTTTGCGTACAAAAAACTAAAATAGGCAAAGATAAGCTCCGTGCTCAACAAAGCGCACAACAATGACAGACGACAGTAACACGATCACAACGCGCATTATCACACTTTGGCACTGTTTTTTATCTTTTTTTTTTACTTTCTGTGTTCGCGTAGTTCAGTTCGCGAAAATAATGGAAAGGAAAAAAGTTTTATTATTATTCCAATGCACATCACGTAGTTCAGTTCGCGAGAAAAATGGAAAGGAAAAAAAGTTAGTTCGGAGGATACGTTCCGAGCCAATCTGGTTTGCTTTTTTCACATGTATCATACTTCACGCGCACCCTGGGAAAAGGAGACAGATAGGATATACGATCGACGCTGTTTTTCTTGAAAAGAATCCCTTTCTCTGCATCCACCACACTTGCCAGCTTACGATTATCGTTCGTTAAGCTGACCACCGAGCGAGCCCAAGCTGACCACCGAGGAGCGAGCTCAATGCGAGACTAAAGACGACAAGCAGTCTAAAACCACACCTCCATAAGCGTATACAGTGTAGTGTTTTCGCCTGGACGAGTGACGTCCCCCAACTTTGGTTCCATCCCCCCATCCAACCCCCCACCCCCCAACTTTATTCACGGCCAGCACGGAAGGTCTGCGCATGAAGAAGCCGAGCATGACAGCAAAGTACAATGGAGACCCTGCGCAAAAAACATCGTAACTTGGCCTCAGAGCCTCGAAAAAACAAGGGTTGAGTATGTGCGTGTTGCTACGAGTCTGCCCATTGCGCTGGTTGCGGTTGTGTGAAAAAAGCGCTGCGAATCGCTTCGCAAGAGCAGCCGCCATTTCGCTCGGAATTGGTCAAAATGGGTGACGCGAATAAAATAAAATGTGTTTTGACATGCTTGTCCTGGCAACAAGCGGCTTTCAGGAACATGGATTGTCATGACTACTGAATGCCATGGCAATAAGCAGCTTTCTTATGCAGCGTAGTTATAAAGCAAGCCTCATAGAAAAGGATGTTAAAACGAGCAAACCAAACAACCTGAAGAAGCAGCCTGTATGGATAATAGTAGCTCTAGGATGACGCGCATACTATGCTGAAAACAGCCATGCTGCTCTATATCTGGCTTTGACAATTTATTTTAAGCTGCCCACATCCATCATTGCGGGCTTGGAGGATCAGCAATCGTTAATTGCCGTACGCATATACTCGTACAAGAGAGCGTTTTTTATTTTCGTTACACACGCCACGACAGTTGATACAACAATGGCCGAGACTTTCTACAATGTCTCACTGATCCCATGAAGACGCTGGCTGCGGCGTTCAGCACATGTTTACTCCAAACATAACCCAAACAAACAATTTAATGTTCAATATAAACAACATTGACCCGAACCCTGTACAGAGACCCTTTGATCATTGGCCTGACCTTTGCGCTATCCCAATCTAATACACGCCCAGTCATCCTGCTGATAAGATAACAACCAACTTGCATAACACTATCCGCTATCTCCCCCATCCCCCATCCCCTTCTTTCCTGATACTTTTCCTTTTTTGGATTATAATTCAGCAATATAACTAGTAACAAGACAACCATTCCAAGTGCATCATCAGCCGTAAATAATCATCAAGAGCTTACAAACGACATCATATCACGCCACCCATTCGGGTCATAGGCGTTCATTGCTGTACAGATGTTGTTTTACATAAACTGGATCATCCGAGTATAATGTTTCCGTGATTTATGGTGCATACTAGTGTGTCTCAAAATCTGGAGATATCTGGAGAGTTTTTTCATGTGTGAAATAAGTAGGGCATAGGCATAAAAGGGAAATTATGGGGGTTGATGAGGAAAAAGAGCTTCTTCCTGACGGAAGGTGATGCGTAATTTGTGGGTAGAGCCGATGACAGATTGAGGGTGGAATGGGATAGAAGAAAATATAAAGCCAATGGGCTCGCCACACTCCAACTAGAATACCTGAAAGAATCTGAGCGGTTGTATGATAGAGGTTGTTGAGATGAAGGCCACGAAGGCATAGTAAGGTGGCGTCGGAGACAGTGTGCTCGGAGGCCGGCATCCCCTTATTTCTAGTATTTTTCGGTGTTTAAAATAAAGAAATTTGGCCGTTTTTTGGGAAAAGTACGGTTATAGCTGTCTTGCACCATAGAAGGTTAAAGGTGTACACTGCTTAACGATAGTACCTATACCAACGCAACTGAAGGTAAGTCAGTAAATACAAGTATCTTTTATATACTAGCTAGCCTCCTATGTTATTAGGTAGCTCGAAATGGATATGATGTAGTTTTGTATTAGTGCACGTCATACAAAGAAAGGTGTGACGCCTGGTGAATTGGATTTGTTTATCTGGATGATAAAGCACCAAGAAGGTAGATTTTGCAAAGGAATAAATCAAAGGATTTAGCAAAGGTTTCCTTCACCAAGTATAAAATGCTCACCAATGCCTTGACTTTGCATTATACTAGAATGTATGCAAATAGATATGCTATTGATTAAAGTAGTAGTGGTATCATTTCAATGTAAAGAAACATGCTTTTTTAAAAAAAACTTTAAGATTATGATGATGGTGGCGAAGTAAGGGATAATAAGTATTGGTAAGCAGAGAAGAAGTAGTGCCGATTCGATGTAGAGGTATAATAAACGGCTATAGCGGCGACTGCTAGGGTCACGGTAGTTATGGCAACAGAAGAAGGCCCATTCTTGGATGATTGTTCGTCGTTTGGACTATGAACATTACAGCCTGAATGTCAGTGAGATCTCTCTTTTTTTCTTATTCAGTATGACTCCACATAGGCACAAAAAGAAAAAACAGAGCTTACTTGGAAGGCTCGGTCAAATTTAGCATTCCCCAAAAACGTTTAGTCGATAACTTTTTGCCTTTGGCAAAAGAAATCGCCCAGTCACCCAATGACCCGAATGGTGTAAAGACAAATCCTTGTTTCTAGAAGAAGTGTCAAAGCAGTCTTTCGTCAGTGCTTATTGAACATTAGCAGACAATGAATCAAAGCATACTTTGCCGAATGTGATTCCCATTAAAAATTTGTTGTTCGCCTTGTATGTCCTGGATGGTTCTTTGCCCTTTGTTGAATTCATAATGTTTGCACAAATAACACGGGTGTGACCCATACTCCTTCCAGCCAGCTTGTATTCATCAATATCCGCCACATCGCCAGCAGCATAAACATTGTCGAACCCGGGCGCATCCACTTGTAATGTAGGCTTGACCTTGATGAATCCGCCATTGGATGCCAAAGGCAATGTGTCCTCAAGCCATCCTGTTTCTGCGCGCATACCAAACATCAACATGACTAGATCCACTTGTAATCGAGTACCTTTACGGGTCGTAAGCGGCTCTTCAGGCTTATAGATTGTCTGTTCGATAGATGTAGCAGCAGGCAGTATGACCGGATCGTCCAATAGGACCTCTATATTGTTCTTTTTAACTTTGTGTAACATTTGTGTGCGCGACCAGGCGGGAATATCATCGTTCAATAGCTGCTTTTGATCATGCGCCAATATGATTTTCTTGTCACTGTATTTTTCCCGGATTTCACCTGCTACTTCGACACCCGTAGGCCCGCCACCGATGATCAGAATCGAATGGGCTTCTTTGACTAGATTTTGAATTTCACGTTGTTCTTGTGCAGCGTCGTCGATGTTGAGTGCTCGAAGCATGGATGGTGTAGGGTAACGGATACCGGTAGCAAGTACTGTATAAGCAAACTGTAATTCAGTGGATCCTTCGAATCGTTTATCAAGATACAGCTTGTCTTTTTCAAGGCGCACGACCATCGCTTGTACCACAAGGTTTTTTTCCTGGTCCTTGAATGTATGCGTGTAAGGGATGACGTTGTTGATGTGTTCTACAGCAGCACGAGGACCAGCGATGATGTGGTAAAAGTAGGATTTCTAGAAAATCAAACAGATTTAAATGATTTTCTCCACCATGTATTCATGTAATGGCTACTTGATTTCTGCCAAGCTTCCTTCTTTTATTGATTGTACCTTGTCAATGAGTAAAACCCGGTATTCGTCGTTACCAGAAAACCGTTTTTCGAGTGCTTGTGCTAGGCGGACCCCGGCATAACCACCGCCAACAATAACAATATTATGCGTAGCCGCAGTAGAAGACATGATATTAATCTTGGCAGCAATCAAAGTATCAGATAGAGAGTAACGTAAAACAAAGGTTTTAGTAACAGTGTCCTCTTTATATATAGCCTTCATGACGGATCTTGATTTCATTTTTGTCAAACCATTCCAGACCGAGTTTGCGCGCGAATCAGATCTCAAGGGTAAAGTTTAACCGACGAGAAAATCCATTTTAGGCACATTGGTCGGTTCAACTCTCCCCGATCGTGCCTGTGTAAAAAAAACACCGAAGGTAGGATTATGCAGAAAGCAACATTTTCAGAAAACTTGTATCTACTCAATTGCAGATCTTGTGGCTACCTCATGCTTCTGGGGAGAAAAAATCCTTTATACTTTGTTGATTCTTATATCTATATTTGTTGATAACTACTACTTAAATGTATACAACACAACAGTAGCAAGATGAGCCTGATTTGGGCAGAGTCTCTTCACTTTTTTTAAAAAAAGCACCAAATCAGCGATCAGCTCTTACTATTATCATTGCCTGCATTCTTGAACTTGGAAAGTAAAGCATATATACTACATGTCGCCACTGCTGTAAGTTTGATTCTGATGTTTAAAGTGTGCCCGACGATATCACGCTGTTCCCAACGTAGTAGATACCCGCGCCTACTACATAGACGAGCCGAGTAGAGGCTACACTGTTTTCCTATCATGTTGGTTCGTGTTGATAAAATTAAGTCTTTGCTTCATATTTGTCTTGCCAGCGTACGAGCCTGGCCATGGATAAGTTTTACCAGCTTTGGAAGAAGAGGCTAGGATCTTGCAAGCGACGTAATACTGTATCCTTCTTCGTTGCGTAAGCTCGCTTTCATTGTGCGCAAATAAGAGAGTGATTGCATCGTCATGTATTTGAGGAGAAAAGACGGCAGTTATGCTGTTTAAAAAAGAAAAGGTATGCTTGTCAGTTAAGGACATGTCCAATTTAACACTGTACAACACTAATATCATTTTACTGCTAATTGCTAGCCTAAGTCATGCCATTGATGTATGGTATAGCCAATGGGATTAGCGGCGACAGAGAACAATAGGACAAGTGTACAACTACTTGTCTTTGTTTCTTTATATGTGATTACAGCGCCCATGTTTTGGAAAAGGAAGCTACGGAGGGGACTATATAAATACTTTCAAGGTTCGTTGAAGGAACTAATAAAAAGGTTGACATATGGATATATTTTTAAGACAAATTACCAGTGTGCCGACCAGATGGCTTGGATGATGACATAGCGCTGATGAAGCGGCTACTGATATAATAAGGTTGAGGGAGAATGAAAAAGAGAGCTGACACATCATACTACGTACATTGGAGATTGTGATATTCAGTAGTAATTTATCAAAGAGAATGGTGCGTCATATCGTCCGTAATGAAGGATTATTAGGAAATAGGAAATGGAGGAGGGAATAAGGACGAGTTTTACAAAATGCAGGTATTAGTCGCGTTTTCACTAAAATTTATCCGCACGGTCAGCAGCAACTCTGTGCAAATTGTTTCTTGGTAGTCGGGAAACTGTACCGATTAAACATGACAAGATGTTATTGTTGACACTAAAGTAAGGCTTGTTAGGAATAAATGGCATCAATATTATGCAGTTAATATGATTAAATCTACGCGTATAATGTGTACATTCCACCTAGACATATAGCAGCATTGTTACTGCTCAGGAGGCGGACGAAATAAAGCATTGGTCCACAAGTAAACAAGGGTGTATATGTATCCATGTAGGGTAAGCCAAAAGACACATCTTTTTTCCCTATCATATTCTGGCGGAAGCCGACCACAATTCAAGATACTACATACCAATTTGATGAAGATACACATTAATTGTGAGCGTTCAACCGTGTTTGATAAAAATTCGCTGTTATGGGAAAATGGCTCATAAGAAAAGGGCAATTTCCACACAAGTATCAGAGAGCTTTTGACGTGCGTACGTATGTAGTAAGACCTCTCGGCGACGTTCACTCGGTTCAGCCCACTGATATTTAGGGTATCAAGTTTCTTCCGGGACCAAGAGTCGATTATGTTTTTGACCGTTTTATCATCCAGGTTGCTACGGCGTAATCTTAAGCGGCACAAAACTTGCACGTTTTCCGAAAGAGCACCCAGTACAAGATCTGATAAATCATATAGCCCGTCGAAAATACGGTATCCATCCATGTGGAGAATCGGTTGTTGATAAGTGTAACTAGCTTCTGCGAGTCCACGGCATCCGGAAAACTAGACGGTTTTGAGTGAGCAAGAAGAATTAGATTCTTTGTCGTTGCGGGGTGATAATGAAGCAGCAGTGGCGGTGGTAGTAGTAGTTGAAGAAGCGGCTGTTGATCTTGTTGTAGTCAACTTTGAATTTGAAGCAACCTGTTCAAGGATGAGCTACTCCAAGCAAGGGATACCTAAAGTGGATCAATATTTAAGCTGGGTTGTTCATCCTCGTCGCCATCAAGTAATGGTATCCGGCAGCTGCGAATAATCAGCGACCGAAGATGCTGCGCGACACCAGCATCCAAAAACCGGTTGACCATACTGAGTCCCACCCTAAGCAAAAGCAATCCTTGCATGAAAGGCATTCTTAAGCGCCTTGTGGTTTTTCAAAAATGGATCTACGCCTGCCTCTTGATCGATACATCCGTAGTCATATGCCAATGCTTTATGATTCGTCGTCGTGCTATTATATGAAGCTGCAGACATACATCGCTGTTTCCACCCAGTCGAATAGTTTGTATCGATGGAGCTTTGTCGTTAATTCAGCCCAATAGTCCGCTCCCTTGGAAGTGTCCCATCAAATAAAGGTGCCATAAATGGGGGAAAAACGTGAGCAGCCGCTTGAGTGTGTCTTGATCCATTTACGGAAATGACGCTTCCAAATGCACGATCCGTTTCATTGCTGCGGTAGCTGAGCTGTTGGTAGCTAATTTGCTAATCGTTTGAGGGCGATGCATCCCGGAATACGAAGTCGTGTGAGGTATGGGCAAGTAATTGAAAAATTCATCGGCGTCCCGATCGTCGCTAACTTCCAAGCTTGTTAGTGTGTCAACTAAAGTAGATCTTCGAAATACTCATGGCGGTATGCGTTTCTTACTGGAACAGAAAAGAATAAGATACGAAAGATCAAGATACGACAATCTACCACTAAGTATACAATGCGACAGCTATAATGCATCGTAAGTTTATGCGTGTACACCAAAGAAAAAGAATACTATACTTGTATAAATCTTTGAACAGCCCCAATGAACAAGAAGATTTGCGGCATCGTGATCCTGTCCTGGCATATCGACCTCACGAACATATTTTCCGTTGATTTCGTACAGAGCGAGATCGCAAGTGATGTTGCATCCTGTTATATTGCGCCACATTATGGAAGATGACAAGAGGAATGTTCGCCAGGTTTTGCAAAACACGACAGCACCGTATGGGGTCACGCAATGATAACTGAGAGAGAATGCAGGTAAATACTTCATGAGGCAAACTCGTAAATATCTCGCCTGGATTCTCCCTTTGAGACTCTTGTTGTGCATACTCCCTATATGTTGTTGCTTTTACAAAGTTTGGTGAGTACAGAAATATGAGCTGCAAAAACTTGGCGTATCTTTTCACGGGTGAATTGTTTATTCTCTTGTCTGCGCGATGTTTCAGCGGTTCTAACGCCAGATTCGCCACACTGCGCGATGGCAAATACCTTCCCAAGTGTGCGAAAATGATTGCCGCGCATCTTGAGTAGTGTTGGTTAAGAGAAATGGGTACTAAGTGATATCCTTTGTTATGTGTCTCTCATTTGTTCTTCATTTACTGCTTTTGCTTCAACAATTGTACTCTGTAGTCCCTGAAACTGCACAGAAGATAGTAGTAATAATATAATTTAACTACATATTAAAAAAATAATCCTTTCCTTTTTCACGTTCTTAGAGCAAAATGCGTCTCCTCATGCATGAATAAAAGTGCTCATGTGCTCCTGTGAAGTAGAGCTGGTCTAGGTGTTTGTTTTTGCTACACAAGGCTATCCTTAAATCGTTCCAAAACATAACATCACATCGGTTTACGTATTCCGTATTTTGCCATTGCCAAATTATGTTAACATGAAAACAAAGGAGCCTACGAGAAATCTCTTATTATGCTCCTTGGTATAAAAGACGAAAACGGGTGATACAGTAATACAGTAATGCAGTAATAATAATCACGTTCGAAATGCTCTCAGAGTCTTCAACTTTTACTACACTGTTGCTTGTGCCTTACTGCCAAACACTCGGCTACTTTTAAACTTTCATGGCACCAGGTGGCATCTGTCATGTAGGTAATAACATGTAGCCCAAATCAGTCGCTACTACACAAATCCTCCTTTTTAGCATAGACGAACATCTCAGAACTTCATAAGAAAAGAAGTTGTTCGTCAAAGTTGCTCAAAGAGAAGGTGCATATTGTTATAACGCGCTTAATAGATGTTCCCGCCTTCTTCATTTCCGAATGGCCGAAAACGCCGATGGACGCCGAAACAACATGATGTGAGACAGAAGCATTACGACATCCATAGCACCAAATTGCATAATAAGTAGATATAAAGTGATCCAACACTTTGGTTTTACTATTATATGATTTTCTCTATATGTGTGATACAGCATAGTGCATGTACAGTATGGTGGTTCTGTTATGCAGTATAATGTGCGCTAAGTATTCGCCTGCATATTTATTGTTATTTACCAACGTAACCTTATCGTTATTGTTTAACGTAGTGAAGGGGAACGCGCACATTAGACCAATGACTGAAGGAGAAGACCGTTGCAGCTCTTACATTATGTATAATCAGAAAGCAGCGGCGATTATAATTCTAAATAAAGTGTATTTGACTGCATTTGGACTGCACAATGTTTTCCCGCGCGCCTTTTCTGGTAATGTATCCATGACATATAGGGTATCAGCAGGCGGCAGTGAGTGTCCTTTTAGAAGCAGCAACAGCATGCGACGACGTGTATGACACTTTGTTTCTAAATCGGAGCTGACACTGAGCTCTTGGCATTGGCCAACACAGTTTTTATTTATGCTCGTACACACTCAAATGACACGGGAGCAGTCAGCAAAACGAGCAGTAGAAGGAGGAAAGCCATGTTACAAAATAATCCAAGATGTATTCTTTTTGCCAAGGTTTTCTCTCATACGAGAGAGAGAGAGAGAGAGCTAACGAAATAAATTTCTGCAAAACAAGGTTGCACAAGGCATGACGAAAAGTAAGCCATAAACAGGTCGGCCAGCATTTTAGCAAATCTGGCCCTTCAACACTTCTTCTTCTTTCCTCTCTCTTTCTCCTTCTTTAACCTTTCCATCCTCCTTGTGTCTTGCTCAATAAACCATACAATGCGTGTTGCCACATCTGCGTTGCTGCTGCTATCCACAGCATTTGTTTGTGGTGCCTCAGACTCTGTCATTCGTCTTCCACTTCGACGGTCGGCAAAGGGTCTCGACGTGCACAATGCTCGACGGAAATCCTTTGAAAAGCGTGACCCCTTCCAAACCAATCTCTACAACGATGGTGGCTCGCAGTACCTCGTTGAGGTAGGCGTTGGCTCGCCTGCACAGAACTTTACAGTAACGCTCGACACGGGAAGGTAAGAAAGAGCTCACCAATAAAGCTCGTTAATTTGGGCAGACAACCCCTAATTATCTTTAGCATTCTGATCACTCCGCTGGAAGAGAGAGAATTATTGATAATATTAACAACACATGCTGCTTTTAGTGCCGATCTTTGGGTTCCTTCCACCGATTGTCCGACGAGCGAATGTCCGTATACCCGATTCGATTCATCAAAGTCATCCACCTTCAATTCATCAACCGAGGCATTCGGCATCACTTACGGCATCGGCTCGGTAAATGGCACCTATGTTTACGATACCGTCACTGTCGCAGGCGTTTCCGTCCAGAATCAACAGTTTGGCCTGGCGTCGACAACAGCTGATATCCTCACAAACCCAACCACTCTGGGTGGAAGTGGAACTGATACGCCTGCCAACAATGCAACGCAGTCAAGCGACAGCCCGGTCGGTAACGGCATCCTAGGCTTGGGCTATCCTAAACTGACAGCAGCCACGAGTGCAGGCGAACCTGCATACAATCCATTCGTGTTCAATCTGATGGAGCAGAACCTGATCCAAAACCCTGTCTTTTCGGTGTACATGAACAATGCCGACCAAGAAGGCTGGGTGGGTGAAGTCATCTTTGGCGGTACCGACGACTCTAAATACACAGGCCAGATCACCTACTTGCCTGTAGCGCAGTTGGCCACGTCAAACAATCCACTAGACTCGCTTTTAGGCAGCTCCAGCGACGCATATTATTACTGGATGGTGTATGGCCAGGGCATCGGCATCGGCAACTCACAATCGTCCCAAGTCAGCAACATGACTTTCGGCTCATCCGCAGTGCCATTCATCATTGATACGGGCACTACGCTGACGTATTTCCCAGACAACGTGGCCGCCCAAGTCGCAGCAGGATTGGTTGGCGAAGGCAATTACAAGCTGGACCAACAATCGCAAATATTTTTGGCCCCGTGCAGCGCTGCAGATTCGGGAGCTACACTGCAATTGCAAATGTCGACGTCCAATGAAAAAAGCAACGATCCAGTCGTTTTATCTGTTCCTGTCTCAGAGCTTTTGATCCCTCTCGACGCACTGACCGTCGAGACCGCTACAGCCTGTATGCTGGGCATTGCTCCAGTCGGCAGCAGCAGCTCGTCCATGTTCCTGATTGGTGACTCGGTGCTCCGCAGCGCCTATTTGGTGTTTGACATGAAGGAGAACAGAATCGGCTTTGCAGCGGCAAATAATGTTGCGGGTAGTGTCAACGGCGTGGGTTCGTCGCCGGCTTCGGTTGTGTTGCCGATAACCACTCCTATGCTGCTTGCTGTCGTGGCTGCTGTCGCTGGTGTTCTTGCATCTCCCATGTGAAATGTTAGAAAAGAAAGCATAAACTCACTGTACACAATCGTATCTCCTCCCCTTACTTCACATCTTCCCATACATTACACACGCACATACTCAAAGCATTTCGGTTGACATTGTTGACCTTGTATACTTGAACCCGCTGATCACCAACCACCCCATCCTCTGCCATGACCTACGACGATACACACCACACAGTTATACAAGTAGATAGCCAACCAGTAACAGCAAGATCCTACATGTACTTTATACACACATGCATATAACGATTATATAATGACCCTCGCCTGCTGCGTCGTAGAAAATGCTTCTATTTGCATGAGTGAATGATACGTTTCTTTCTTTCCCTTTCTGCCAAGGATAGATCGGCAAATACTCGGTATGACGGTAATATATGCAGTGGGTTTACTTCAACAACAACAACAAAAGAACGAGTACTTGTGAATGGTCAGTCAGGGAACTCACTAAAATCTAAAGTAAAACCATTAACTGCAGTTCATATCATGCATCGCTTCGTTTCTGTCGACTCTTTACACCTATTTTACTTTATATCAAGCAAGTAACCATACAACAGTGAAACAGAGCACGATAATATAAAAATGACATAACAAAAAAGAGAAATTATGCTACTTTATCAATTGGACATTGTTATGATACCATCATTCTCATTAACAAAGTGAGCCTGTCGGATTTTACTGAGCCAACCTAACATTCTTAAGGGAGTGTAAGAAGGAGAGTCGATCTTTTCTTTTTTTCTACTTCTTTTTCCATCATACCTTTTTGTAGAAAATGTGGTGACTGGGCTGGTGAAGTAATACTTGGTTGTACTGATGCGACCAAGTACAAAGGTGATTTACTGTAAATTCCAGTCGCTCGACTCAGTAGCAACTCAGAAACCGAAATCTATGCCTACTGGGCGATATATGGCCAGTTGGTCCGCGTTCTAGGTGATAGCTATAATGGCAGTAATCGAGGGGACAGCAGTATTAGCAACAGCAGCGTATTGTATTGAATGAACTGTTCGACGTTGGAGAACGGCTGTGCGTTGTGAGTATTGATTATGGAACCACACTGACCTATATGGACCAGGTATTGGCCGAATGCGTTGTCCTCGTCATGGCCGGACAAGATTTTAGATGCCTCGTCGGGAACATTCATTGTCGACTGCGCAACGATTGGAATTTGGCTTTGCACCACCACATGAACCACACCCAATATGGATAAGCGCTTCTATGCGCGGTCTTATCATTCCATTGGCTTCGGACTCATTTAAAGATGCTCAATCCTGCATGTTTGGTGTGGGTCTTGGGAAGGTAGCAGCACAACCTCTCTCAGCTCGTCGGGCATAATATTCCGTTTTACGATGCATGTATTTGGTGTTTGATATGGCTAAGTATGAATTTGGATTTGCTGCTGCTGTCAACTCATCTAGCAACTATCCTGTACACCAATATAAAGATCATCCTCGTCATCAAGTCGCAATTTTATCTTATAGCCCCTCCAGCTGTATACACTTTCTTTTGTTCCTCACTAACAACTGCGAGGGGAAAACGCCTTCAATAAAAACTACATTGTGTACTTAATCCTCCTATCGTGTCTTTTATGACCTTCTCGTGTCTTGATAGGCCGTTTTTAGATGCCGGGAAGGCCACAAACAGCAAGGATTGCCAGCAAACGGATATTCGGACTTTTAGATGATTCACCGCGGCGTGTGCGTCAAAAACAGCGCTAAAGTAGAAATCATCATAGCACATAGTGTAATGACTCTCGCAGTGGTGTTTACTTCAAACAAAACTTGGAATTTATTTTGACTATACTGCTTGCTGTAGCTATTAGTCTGCTGTTTTTCTTGTCAAAGGTACTGGACGTTGGTAGATCGGCCTTATCAATTCATGTATCAATGAGATTAAATGTATGCAACGGTTCAGTGTTGTTCTTTTTGTTTTCATCGCTTTTTCATAGCTAAAGTTGGAAAAGACAAAAGCGCTACACTAATCCTTTTACTTGTAGTTAGCTGCCATACGTGTTCACATCCGCCGTATCTTAATGAGACCTTATATAGTCCCCACCACGGTTTGATACAAGAACATCACGATGATGTCTGTTTGTGACCAATGTACCCCAACAAGGAACAAGAGGCGGCAAACGTGCTAACATCGATGGAGGAGCCATTTGTTTCAATGGATGGTTTCCGTTCTACAAACTCAGATGCAACACACGCGAGGAAGGGATACTCAAGGAGTAGCTGGAACAGCACATGTTTATATCATCAATCGGTTACATTGTTGATCGCTTGCTTTGTCAGCTAAATACCAAGCATCATTACACGTCTTTATCTTCTAAAATTACGTATGATATAATTTACAGAATTCAGCTAAATAGCACCTTGAATCGCATTAATGATGGTATCAAAGAAATCCATAAAAAAAGACTTATTGTTGAAAAGGATATTATATGCTGTTTGCGATAATATATTAATGATGTATATTTAATGAAGAAGAAAAGAAATGATGAAAAGGATATATTATACATATATTAGAAAGTATTATAAAGGGAGTGGAGAAGCAGGCATTCAGAGATATTATTGCATCAAAATACAGTAGAAAGCTAATATAGCGGGTAGAATAATAGCAAAGTTGTAAAGAGAGGAAAGAGATGTATGCGAGAGAAAAGTAAACGAATAATAATGAAGCAAAGAGACTTCAATACTTTTAGGCCCACTTGCCCAGAATAGCCATCACGGCAGCGCCAATGTACATGGCAATGAAGCAAATAGCCTTGTATGAGAGGCTAGATCGAAGGAAAGACATGTTGTGGTTGATTTCGCCAGCAATAAGAGAGATGAAGGCGTTGTAAAGCAGAATACCAGCTGCCAAAGAATCAAGAATGGCTTGTCCCAAAACGGACGACTGCGAAAAGGGGTTGACGGTCATGTTGACGCCGATACCGATAGCAACACCAACTGGAGTGGTCAAGCTGAAGATTGAGCCCATAATGAATGGTTTGATGAAAGACTTGTGCTCCATGTCGTTGATACGGGTGCCGAGTGCAATACCTTCGAAGAACTATACATTTAAATTATAAGTTTAGCAAGTGGAAAAGATACAGAGCATGCTTATCTAGTTTTCCAATTTACCTGATGGAAGACAAGGGCAATCAGCAAAACGTTGAAACCGTCATCAGAGGTGAAGCCGAGAGTTAAACCAATGATAACGGAATGAATGACGATGCCGAGTTCCAAAACAATGGTGCTGACGTCGCGCATATCCTTGCTGTCCTCAATCATCATGTGCGCGTGACCGTCGTGGTGGTATGCAACAGCCTCTTCGCCCTTGACGGCAGAGCTGTTTTCGACATCCTTGTTTTCAGTGCTGTTGGCGCTGCTGTTGATGTGCTCTTGTTGCATTTTTTGCTTTTTCGTGACATGGGCATATACGGCGAGTTCGACGATTTGAATAAAGAACACAGCAATCAACGCAAAGAGACCGACAAAACCGTGGTAACCGCCCCATTTTCCACTAGTGATGCAAGGGCTTGTGAAGCGCTCAACAGCTTCGGGTATCATGTGGATGAAAGCGACACCGAGAATAATACCAGTACCAACTAGAAAAGCACAAAAGGTTTTTCTGTTTTAGTTGCTAGCAGAAAACAATTATTTTTTTGAAGAAATAGCTATTAGGGTTTTGTACTTACAGAACTTGCCGACAGTCAAAATCCAATGACGGACACTGCCTTGGGAATAAGGACGAATACGATGAAGGACAATAGGAGCAAACACACCTAAACAACGAATCGTATTCAAGTTAGTAAGAATTAATAACATTTAGATCGTTTCACGAGACACTTTACCGATAACAGTTGCAGCCATGATAATGAAAATGGCGCCAACGCGGAGTCCAACGTTATATTCGTCACCGGTGATAGCAACACAGTCTTCGAGCGAGGTGGGTCCATGACTATGACCAGCATGATCGTGTCCAGCATGGTCATGACCAGCGTGGCTATCTTCATCTTCGTGTGCGTGGTCGTGGCCTTCGTGGTCGTGGTCGTGATCGTGTTCGGCTTCTATTATTAATTAGAGATTGACAGTGACAAAATGATTAGTTGAGGGTTTTTATTGCCTCAAAAAGTTTGAATAAACAGGATATTTTCGTACCTTGGGCAATAGCAAGTGCCAGATATGTCGTAAGGACTAGTAAAATAGTCAAGATCTTTTTCAGCATTGTTGTTGTTGTTGTTATGGCGAGGAGTGGGGGGGACGCAAGTTGTTTTTGTTTGGAAGAAGAACAAGGGAAAAGGATTGGCGACAAGCCTGAATTAAAATTTAATGGTGCTGGGGGTCTTGTGTGGTTGGTCAGAGAGGGCGGCGGGTTTATATACGTAACCATGGAGGTCCTCGCTAGCACAGATGGATTGGCCAATCACATCAAAAAATTTCTGCTGTGTTGACGGTCACTGGTAACCTGAGAGGTACACACCACCTTTTTTCGTGAATTCCCGGGGTTCCATAGCGGCCCTTTTCTGATTAAGGTACGTTACTCAGATCTGTGGATCTTCTGTTTCATAATAAACTTGCCACTCCTTCTATCCGGTGAAGGATTGTCGTTGTGTCGAGTTCCAATAGAGTCTTTAAGGTGGTTATCCTTTGGCCATTCCACTGACACCATCAAACTTTTTTCTCCTTGCGAGATTGTATCACCCGAATCCTACGAAAAGCTTTGATGATTCCAGAATAACACTGCTAAATCCCGGGATTCTGCAATGAGGCGGATACGAAACAAAAAAAAAACCTAAAATTTATCGGTGTTAAAGTTAGCGGCTTTGCAAAATCCGAATAAAATTTTTACTTGTATCTATCAATGCGGATCATAATAGAGTTGTTTTACTGTGCAACGTGCAAAGTAGACTTTTTGTTCAACATCAACGTTGGCATTATCGCATGTATGGCAACAGTAACAAACATTTTTTCTGCATGTGCGTGGGGGTTTTCATGCTTCCCTTACGTCGATTGGAAAGGACCCTGTCCCGACGTTTGGACTGCCATCATTTTAAAGCAGCAGCGTTTACTGACACTGTTTCTAATTTAGTCTAGTTGATACATTTGCCTGCTTAACACGTTCATAAGGGTATACTGCTGGTTGAGAAGATTAAAGCTTGCTAGTTATACCCTACGACTATCCCATTGACAGAATTGCAAATCAATTCTAATACTCAAACGGTATGAGGCTTCTTTCACATTGGAGCTTAATCAAGTAAGTTTATCTATTAAATCCAAGTGTAATAAGTGTGTTTTCACCTATTTTAATGTGGATTTCTACACGTATAGTAGTCTTTCTGTAGTAAATAGTGTAACGGCGTACTTCCTGACTAATAACTATACTACAGAGCGTAATCGGTAATAAGAGATGTGACCTTGTTTGTCCCTTTCCAAGCGAAAAGGCGGCGGTGGTATCATCTATCATCACATCAGCTTACACAAGACGGTTATTGCAAAAATTTTTGGCATGGATCTGGTGAAACGAGAGATGGATAATAGGAATTCAGTCTCGCAAATTCTATTGCCAGCCCTCTGTTGTTCATATCAGAATATACCATTGAGTAGACATATGAAATAGTGCGACAAAAAGGAGCAAGCAAAAAAAAGATCAGGCTCGCTACAGTAGTAGCGTTAGTTATTGAACGTTTCACCAATTGATAAAGGGTGGCATTCAGCTTTCTTTGTTTTTTTTTCTTGGTCGCGTTGTAGGTAGCAAGCACGTAACAGATTGTCATATCTCATTTCAACAGTCTCTGAAGAAATTTCTTTCCCACTGTTCTACTAGATACCTCATACAGAATTTCTACAGCACGTGGAAGACCTATAGCTGCCACCATATAACTAGTATTGTTGTCCATATTATGGTTACCAGAGCAGATGGAGCTTGGTCTCCATTTTCACCTCGACTGTCATTTACCTCGACTGTCATTTTCCAAGCCGATATGGATCTTCATCTAAACGGACAGCCACACAGATAATAATATAGCAATTTCTGTTGAAAGCACTGTCATTCGCTAAGGTCTTGTAGTTTATTGTTTTATCTTTCAGCTCTTGGTGGTGTTGACGCATGTTACAAGATCCAAGGTGTCCCATCGTCCAAGATTGATAGTTCCCCCTACATGTTAGTCAACCTTTGCAGAAGAAGGGCATACATGTGAAGTTTCGCTACATATTCTGGTCTCCCATTACTTATAAAAGTAAAACTACTCCAATCTGAGCTAGGTCTATCTCTATCATAAACACTTTTCTTCACTGGATAGACAGCGTCTATAAAACATTGGATGAGGAAAGTGTATGCTGCAAGTTTATTTGAATATGTCCAATGCTGTAAATGGCTTTGGTTTTTCTTTTGCTGCAATGCGTTTTTGCTTCTCCTGCTCGAACTTTTCGCTAATTTCAATCTAATACAATGAGGTTAGATTTCCTTTCGGCAGAACACCCCATATCTATCACTGACAGATGCCTTCCCTCTCTCTATAGAATCTTTACCTTTCGGGCTTCAATAACATTTTCATGACGCTTAAGGTGTTTCTTCGTTCTTTTCCGCAGCTTCTCGTATCGAGTAGCCTCATCTTCTTCCTTTTCGCTCTTGCGCACACGCATAACTTCCTCCTTAGACATGCGCGTCAATCGACCAATGTTCGTAGGATCCAATGTGATCATGTCTGGCTGCAATTTATCCAATAGACCGTGCACTTCAGCCTCTTGTCGTTGTTTCTTGGTCTGGTATGGGTTAGCAGCAAGCGTGTCAAAGTTGGGTTCACCAGCACCAGGCACGACAATACTGGAAACACCCTTAGCGTGACCAAAACCGAGTACATCTTCGTATGGAACAAATTGTATGTCACGGATGGCTGATGATGGTTGGATATGGTTCATGTAGGGTGAATTTTGTTTGGTCAAAAATGCGTCTTTCCATACCTATATAATCATTAGCTATTGTTGCGTAGTAACTTCAGACATCGCTCCCCACAACAAATTAATCCAACTTACAGACACATGTGTACTCCAACCAACACCCAATAATCCTCGCTGAGATATAGATAATGACGTTGCCGGTCGTGGTGTGTAATATTCTTGTAAAACTTCGTATTTTCGGACATCCCAGATCTTTAACTGACCGTCTAAACCTGCCGTAGACATGTATCGGCCTGTAGGATCGATTGCTAGTGCCTGCACGTTGCCTCGATGACATTGCATTTTAACCACTGGACTGGACATATTGGGGGACCATAATGTGACAGCACCGTTTGCATGGCCCAAATGTATAATTGCGTTCCAGGGGTTTTGTGCCATGGTGCCACAAGAACCAAGCTTTGTTCGTAATTCAGAAACTAATTGGCCCGTAGATGTATCCTGGTATTTAAGATAACCTGCGTTGCCCTGAAAGGATATGTTGCAGTTAATATACATGTTTTCTGATGCGATCCTCCTCTTCCTCGTCCTCCCGAATCGAAAAACATATACATACAACAGAAGCAAGCAGATAGTGATACGGCAAGAATTCGAGCTTGTTGACATCGCTGTGCTTTTTTAACCGATGAATTTCCAAACCGCTGTTGTCGTAAATGAAAACGTGTTGCTTTTGTGCTGCAGCAAACATAGTTTCGTTATGAAGCCATCTACATTACAGGAATCCACCTTTTAGTAGAGCAAAAAGAAATTTGATATCATCTTTGATTTTTTTGTCGCGCTAGTGAAACATACTTGACGTCGCGCACAGCTTCATTGACATGGACCTCAAAGTGCAGCTTGCCACTTTGCCAGTCAAATGCAGCCAAATGACCAGTTTTACCACCAATAAGCAAATGTCTATACATGAACGTGGCCATATTAGTTTAATCATATGCATTGTATATGGATAATCACACATGATACGTGATAATATAAACAAAACTAAGATCGTACCTGCCGTTACGAGTATAATCGACGTTGTAGGGTCCATGATCGGGTAAATCGAGTGAGAAGATCTATTGAAAATAGATACAAATTTTAATATATCGTTCCTCCCCTATAGCTAACCAAGTAAAGCCAGAATAAGTAGTATATACCAACCTTTTGTGAGGTATTGATGTCCACTTCCTTTGACAGCTGCTCCTGTCTATAGTTGTATGTCTTTTCGATTCCCTCGGATTCCAGAAAACCGGCCTCTTCACCAAGCAGCAACTCGGCTCTTGCAGCCGATTGCACTGCATCGCGAATTTTTTCTTCTTGTCGTTCTAATTTTCCTCGAAGTTTTCCACTTCTGACTCTCTGTTGCAAAGCAAGGGAGAAGATTAGAGGATCGAATCGGGATCGGTCGACGTTCTGAAAAGAGATCGTCGTTATTGTTGTATATAGCTTTTATATTTACTTTGAACGGAACTGGTTTGCCGCGCTGGTATTTCTTTTCGGCCGCTGCCAATGCAGGGTTGTTGGTGGTGGGTTTATCGATATTATTACTATTACTTTTTGGTTGGCCCATTGGAGAATATATTTAAATGATAGAATAATAAAAAAAAAGGTTCTCTATTTCAATAATGCTTTTTTTTTACTTGCAGTCGTCGGGGTAAGCCTTTCAAAAATTCGGGCCTTCCGGTTGCGGACAAGCCACACTGGCAACGATGCAAGTTAATGCTTTGGATATACATACACACGACTTGACTACATGCACTACAATACAAAAGATACTATCTACATATTACGGAATCTAGTGTTTTTAGATGAATTCTCCCTTTCTGAACGACATTCTCATGCGGTCCCAAACACCACCAAACGAGACAGCCGGTCGTACATCAAGGTAGAAGCTGATGGACTCGGGTCGTCGGGGGTCCTGCTTGCCCGAGTAGAAATCAATCACATAGGTGACCTTCTCGCCGCAACGATCAACGACCCAGTCATGACGATCGAATGGCAGTTTGTAGCTAGCGTGCACACAAAGTTAGTTTGATTTCATCAAACAGAGCACAGCTTCTATCCACTGGAGTTCCCAATCATAATCTCTCGTAACATAACCTCTCGTATACGATAAGCTTACCCAAACCATGACCATAATCGAGCCTTGGGCGTGATTTCTTTGGGTCGTCCCTGAAACTTTACCAGCTTTGGCTGATTGCATTCACTAAATAGCAAGAGTAGGATCAGTACCTCTTTTCCTTAATTTGATATAACCTCCAATGTTTCGAAAAGAGACAGTAGGCTTTTTACGTTTGATGCATCTTTTCCCATTCGAGAATTTTCATCCATGCCATCTCGTTGACTGCATTGTGGATAGGCACCACAACTGACATATCTCGCTCTTCCGGGTTCCAATTCTTGCGTCGCATCGCATTGAAAAACATTTGCTCTGACGGATAGATCCATTTCTGCTCTTCAACATCTGCGCGTGGAATAGTCGATATTTCACGCTCAACGCCTAGTGGCATCTTTTGTCCGGGAACCGGTGTTTGCTGTGCGACAGAAGGCATATTGTTTCGTGCATCGATCGCGTCAGAATCGCAGCCGTCTGCATCGGCTTTTTTAGACGATTCCTGCTGCTGTGGCAAAAAGTGTTTGTATGTGGTATGGTCGACAGGACATTTCTCTGCTGTGTCAGAAGACTGTTGTTGCTGTTGGTGGTCTTTAGGTAAGAAATGTTGATAAGCACTTGGATCGACAGGACACTTTGTTTCTTCTGAGGGTTTTTGGAATTGGGTATGGTCAACAGGGCACTTTGCATTATCAGCAGTGGTAGACTGTGCTGGTTGTTGTTGTGCTGATTCCATGTTGGTGTGGTCGACAGGGCATTTATTTTCAGTTGACATTTTCAAGGTTTTTGTTTTTTTACAGTTGAAGCGTCAGGCTGGTCGTTTTAAACGCTCTAGAAAAAAACGAAAATAATTCGGGTCCCGAAGAGTCATGTTTGTGCAGTGATGCAAGCTCGTTTCCCATTTTTTAAAAAGTCTAGTTTCGCCTCCTTTCTTTTTTTTCTCTGTTTTTTTTTCTTCTCTCTCTTCGTTTTTGTCTGGTTGTTGCGAACGCACATAAGACAAGAGCACGCGTCACTATGTTTCCATCACAAAGCACTCTGAAGAGGAACTTCTTTGTTCCCTCCGTTGCCGCCGATAAGCCCGCTCCTACTGGTGTGGATTTGTACGCCCGCTTCGCTTTTGCCGGCGCTGTCTGCTGTGCGGTCACTCACGGCGGCATGACGCCGGTCGACGTCGTTAAGACCAGAATCCAGTTGGAACCCGAAAAGTACAACAGAGTGAGTGATCTAGCGACGATAGCGAAAAAGAAAAGAACAAGTAGATGTGCCTGCGCGATATAGACAGGATGTATTTGTGCACCCCCCCCCCCTGCCTATATTTTTTTTCTGTGTGAATGACATCATAGCGTTGTGGTTTTCACACACACGCACAATATATACAGAAACCGTGCTAAAACTACTTGACCGAAATCGTTTCTTTTCTAGGGCATGATTGCTGGCTTCCGCCAGGTCATCCAGACTGAAGGGGCCGGTGCCCTTCTTACTGGCTTTGGCCCCACTGCCGCTGGTTACTTCTTGCAGGGCGCGTTCAAGTTTGGAGGTTATGAGTTCTGGAAGAAGACCTTTATTGATATGATTGGCGTCGAAAAGGCCAGTGACAACCGAACAGCCATTTATTTGGGTTCCTCTGCCATTGCTGAATTTTTTGCTGATGTTGCTCTCTGTCCCTTGGAGGCTACTCGTATCCGGTTGGTCTCGCAGCCCGATTTCGCTTCTGGTCTTGTGAGCGGTTTCACTCGCTTGCTCCGAGAAGAAGGTACTGTTTGTGCCAGATAAATTAATTTCCATCACTGATTACAAACAGAAATGAAACTGCCACATATGCTACATGAAAAAGCTCGATGTTAATATTGATATTACCGGTACTGATAGGTGTCATGAGAGGTTTCTACTCTGGCTTCTCGCCCATCCTCTTCAAGCAAGTTCCTTATACCATGGCCAAGTTTGTCGTCTACGAACGTGCCGCGTAAGTATTATACATAGAAGTAAGGGTTGGGACAGAAAGAGAGAGAGAGAATATCGGACGTTTTTGTTTACATAAACAAAAAGCACACACATGCTACCACATTACCAAAACACTGTTACTTAACTCTCGTATTCAATAGTGAGCAAATCTTGCGTTCGATCAAAACACCCAAGGATCAATTGGCGCCTTCGACTATGACTGCTGTGAACCTCAGCGCTGGTATTGTTGCCGGTACTGCCGCTGCCATCATCTCTCAGCCCGCCGATACACTTCTCTCCAAAATCAACAAACAGAGAGGCGTTGAAGGCCAGTCGGTCACCTCTCGCCTTATTCAGATGGCTGGTCAGCTCGGCGCCAAGGGTCTGTTTGTCGGCCTGGGTCCTCGTATTGTCATGGTTGCTACTCTTACTGCCGGTCAATTGTAAGTTTCTTCTACTGTTTGCTTTATTTGGAAGATGTTACGTATCATCCTTGCTCGAGATGAACACCTATTGTGGTGTGATATTCTTCCACATTATTAATACAATACTTATTTCGCGTATAGTGCCATTTATGGTGACATCAAGAGAGCATTGGGTGCCACGGGAGGAGTGGAGATTGCAAAAGTAGAGAAATAGAGATTATTAAAGAAGAATAAGCAATGTTACTGTCTCTTAAAGTAAAAACGAAAATAAAAGAGCTGCGAGTATTATTGTTATCTGTGGATGAACCAGCCTGGTAGTCATAATGATAATACGCCTGTACATAGCATTAGCAACTCTTATAACCATGGCAATTCGACAACTTCGGCAGCCAGTGGAGCTCATAGTGTCTGTTTCAACGTGTTGTGTGCGTTTCGTAATTGTTATATCTTCTCTCTATAACCTATTCTCTTACATGAGTGATGAGTTTATCATGCTGTGGCTTTGATGGCTTTAACAAACAGACAGATACATCAAGGTAGCAGCATAATGTAGTAGCATTTCTAGTAATTGTTTACACACATGGCTAGAGCATATGCTTACTTTCCTCGAAGTATGACATACTCAACGAATAAAGGCATCAGTCGTTGACCTCTTAGTGTTTCGTAGTCTTCAGGGGATAGGAGGCTATAACAACAGTCAATTCGATATCTGTTTCGTAGAATGCAAGCTGGTCCTTCACCATTAAACCCATGGATATGCAGGCTTAAAAAATAAGACATGGACAGCATAGAAGATTTGTAAAGAAGTATGTGTGTCTAAAGTGGTCCTTCTTAACCGTCCTCACCCCATGCAGCCCTACGCATAGAAATATTGGCGGGGTTTGAATGTGCGTTAGTACTTTTCGCAAGGCGCGCATTTCGTCGCTTTGCTCGGCGAGTCCACCCTTTGCAAACGCCAAAAAAAGCGAGCGTCTTTTTGGTTTCTTGGCAATAAGAGCGAAACGAAACTATTTCTTTTCTACTATTGCAACTACTTTAAAAACTCAAAAACACCTACAAAAGCTATCATAACGAAAAAAGACGGGCAGTAATTCTTCAAGATGACGAATTTACCTGTCGTAGTTATGGATAATGGAACCGGGTAATGATGAAGAACAAGAAAACCATGTTTTTTTGAAAGTGAAGAGAGACACGGCAGTTTAATGGGGGTGTTTATTGTAAAGATTTGTTTACTAATGTTAAAGTTGTACACTAAATGTATAAAGGTATTCCAAACTCGGTTTCAGCGGCAACAATGAGCCATCGTTTGTATTCCCAACGGCCATTTCGACGCGTGAGGCTCCATCGTCGTCCGGCCGACCCGGCGTGCCTAGCAAGCCTTCATTCTTGAGCAACAACCTGGCGTCTAAACGTGGTATTGAAGACCTTGACTTTTACATTGGCGATGAAGCTGTCTCCAATGCCAAAACTATGGCAATCAACTATCCTATCCGTCACGGCCAAATTAATAACTGGGATCATATGGAACGGTATTGGGAACAGTCGATCTTCAAATACCTCAGATGTGAGCCTGAGGACCATCACTTTTTACTGGTAAAAATATCGCTATACAAAGGGCCATTCATGTTACATACGCTATATACTAATAGTGCACCGCATGTTGCACGGATAGACCGAGCCACCACTAAACCCACCCGAAAATCGTGAAATGACCGCCGAAATCATGTTCGAGTCGTTCAACATCAAAGGATTGTATATTGCTGTACAAGCTGTGCTTGCATTGGCTGCATCGTGGACGTCCAACAAGGTGGAAGAGCAGACGTTGACTGGTACGGTCATTGATTCGGGTGATGGTGTGACCCACGTTATTCCTGTGGTAAGTTTAATAATGTACTACAATGCTTATGTCTCTTTCCCAACATATGTTCAAAACTTATGAGTTAATGCGCATAATGCTATTAGGCGGAAGGCTATGTGATTGGCAGCTCTATCAAGTCAGTCCCTATTGCAGGCAGTGACATTACATCGTTTGTCCAGTCGTTGCTCCGTGAACGCGGCGAGACCAACATTCCACCCGAAGATTCCCTACGTGTTGCTCAACTCATCAAGGAGCAATACTCTTATGTCTGCCCGGATATTGTCAAGGAGTTCAAAAAGTATGACCAGGAACCAAGCAAGTATTTCAAAAAGTACAATGGCATCCATACCATGACTGGAAAGGAATACTCGGTGGATGTCGGTTTCGAACGTTTCCTTGCGCCTGAAATCTTCTTCAATCCCGAAATCGCAAGCTCTGACTTTTTGACGCCGTTGCCCGAAGTTGTGGATACCGTTATCCAGACCAGTCCTATTGATGTGCGCCGGGGTCTTTACAAGGTAAAGCTGATGTTTAGTCAAAATCTATGGTTAAAATAATGAGAACAAAGAGGACTCAGTCGTTTCTCTATAGAATATTGTGCTTTCTGGTGGCTCGACCATGTTCAAAGATTTCGACAAGCGTCTCCAACGTGATATTAAGAGAACCGTTGACAAGCGTATTCAACTTAGTGAACAACTCAGTGGCACTGGTGCTCGGGTAAGGGGACCCCCTTTTTTTATTATGCTTCCCTATCGGCACTAAGATAATGATACTCACACACAACACCCATACATTTTGTGAAGGCTACACCTATGGAAGTGAATGTTATTTCTCACAAGAAACAGCGCCATGCTGTATGGCTCGGTGGCAGTTTGCTGGCATCAACACCAGAATTCTATAACTACTGCCACACCAAGGCAGAATATGATGAATATGGTCCTAGTATCTGTAGACATAACCGTGTATTTGGTAGCTTGCTATAAAAAACGGGTTTTTCAATTTGCACCTGTCTTCTTCGATCTCCCTCCCTTTTTCACTCTCTCCGTTTTTTTGTCCTTCTATAAATATACACAAGCATCAGCAGTAAATGATGAAGATCGGGTATGACCCCGCTATTAGAAACTAAATATATGGGTTGATTAAGATATATCGTGACAACTAAATAAGCACAGATTCTGTAAGAATAAAAATTTATATCTTGAGCTTATCATTACATAGAGAAATAGACATACGAATCTACCACGGGATGCTTTCCCTTGCAACGGCATGTCTTCCTTAAGATTATTGCGATGTTGTTTCTATTCAGCCCCGTCAATATTTGTCAAACGTTAAAAACGGTGTATGTACAAAGTTCACCGGTACATCAGCTGAAAAATCATAGAAACCAATGATATAATAACAATCAGCCAACTTTGGATTCGCCTTTGATGAGGCCATATTGCAAAGAAGATCTATTACAGCAACGCGTTTTATGATGTCGCGAAATTAGGACATTATTGAAGTATACAACGAAAGGGATAAAGAGCGACTTTGATGTAATTAAGAAAGAAGGGATATATACGGCCAAGTTTGACGAAGATGGATTACCATGATGATTATAAGGCTTTGTCAAGATGGAGAAAAACAAGTAGCGAGGAGCCCAGAAGCAGCAGCACATGGATGGTTAAAAAAACCGTACAGCGCTCCATCTGTGATGTCCGTTGATAAGCGCAACCATGTCGCCAGCTTCAACTACGATGTCTACAAAGCTTAGGAATGATGCATTCGAAAAGTCATTTGAGATAATACCGGACGATAAACCACATATATTCCATACACTGCATATTCATGACACTAGAAGCTGAATAGGGCCTCGTCAGCTTCTGAGCAAAAGCAATCCGTTCAAAGCAGAAATGAAGCGACGATCAAGGCATAATAAATTTTTAGGGGCTAAAATGGTTGATTCCGGTTAACGCGAACGGAGTTCTGCTGTGTTTTAGTGCAGAAAAGCTGCTAATTATATCGGACAGCAGCAACACACACATAAGCTCACAAGCACAAAGACTATTTCCTCTTTTTCCCTTTGCTGTCTGTGTATTTCTTTCTTCCTTTCTTTTTTAACTCTTCCTTTCCTTTCTTGCTTCCTATCCCTCCCTCTCTCCCTCTCCCGCTTTCTGATAACATGAGACTGTCTTCGATTGTTGCCGGTGCTTTGGCCGTGCTCGCTGTTTCGTCGGTTCCGTTCGCCCGAGCTGATGAAAGCCTTGACCAAGAAATTGCTGAGGCAAAGCAAAAGTTCTGCAGTGGTGTGTGCCAAAGATCAGCTACTGACCTTTCTCTTAATGTGGTTTCGTAAGAAATCACATATGTTAAAGAAGTGAAACACATAACTAAATAGCAAATCTGGTGTGATATGTATAACTGTCTGTTAGGTCTTTCCGTCACTGCACCCACCCAAGGTCAGCAGTTCGCCGATCCCACTCAAGTACGCCTCACTGTTGGTAAGAATAAAGGATATACAGATGGATTGTTAAGTTCGATCGTCTAAACAACTGCATCGATATAGAGCGTCAACCCGACGAGCAAGCAAAGACCTTGAGAGGTGTCGATGTAGGTTTTATTTTTATTTCTTTGTACAACGAAAATAAGGGGAAAGCAAAGCCCTCTTTATCATTTTTCGCTCTGTCTCCCTAAATTTCTAATAACCAACAACAACAACGACATGTTACTATACGTACGTCGTATGTGCGCGCGCGGGGATTCCAGATTTACTCCATCTCAAATGACGGAACGCCAAAATACCTCGGCACACCATGGGAGGACATCTATAACCTCAACACCAAGGCTTCGCTCCCTGTCGACATCACCAAGGTAGAAGGCACCGACGCTGCAACACAATACCGGTTCCGGTAAATATAGAAAAATATATCTGTACATACACATACAAAGGATCTTCTCCTCGTGCCGAAGCAAACAGACACTAAACTATATTGATGGATGTAGAGTATGGGTGAGAAACGAACAAGGTATAGTTGATATTACTTCTTTAAGGAAGCTCCAGTAACTAACATATTAGCATCATTAACGCCCTCAAAAATTCCAGGCCCCGATTGTACCTTGATGTCCAAGGTAAGCTACTTGGCGGGGCCCCTGCTCCCTCCGCTCCCTTATCGAACATGATGTAGCTCTAGAAAATCAACTCACCATGGTTATCGATATGGTACAGGTCTTCCGAGTTGCCGCATCGCACACCAACGACGCTTCGTACGCCATGCAGAGCCTGGACGGCAAGATTGATCGCGGTTGTTTCGGTATCGATTTGACCGCACCTGCCATCGGTAAAAAGCTCAAAGCAAGTGACGGCCCCATCAAAGTCAATATCAGTACGTTCTCTATTTTCCGCTAATTACTGTTAATTACCTGGCAACAACAAAAACAACAAACGGAGCCTGTTGTACTATATATTCCCAACAACTTACTAAACCGCATCTCGTACAATCAATAGAGCGCGACCCTATTTCCGGAGTGAGCGAATATCGGTCAATCGAGTTGTACAAGTACCATTCCGACACAAAAGAGGCCGAGCTTGTTCATAAGTCTTGGGACAAGAAGACAGAAGCATCGGAGCTGTTCACCTTCAAGGATACACTCGACCAAGGTGTCACATCCGACGATGATGAGCCTTTCTTTTACAAGTAAGGTTCCATAAAAAAGTAGATCATTTTTACCCAATTACGGAAATTAATTTTCTTTTTTAGGTTGACGGCAGTAACAGAAGACGGCAAAGACTGCGAGTTTTCCTCGCACCCCTTCTACTACCAATAGATGCTGTTGTACGCTCACTCACTCACTTGCACCTCCAAAAAGCTTCCTGCACCTCTCTTCCTCTCCCGCTCCCATCTAGCCCCACATCCATGCGGGCTATAGCAAATAATGTTTTGTGTACCAAATATACTCCTATACAGATATACCTCTTCAAATGATGTGATGTCAAATTAAGCTCTATACCCCGTTCTGATTAAGCGTGTATAGACCAGCTTTGTCAACGCGATGCGTTCGACATTCTCATATCATCGTCGTCGGATCTGTACTATTCATCAATGACGATAATCAATATCCCTTCTTTATAGGTTTTACAAACAGTGCTGGGATGTCTGAGATTATGGGTTGATGTATTGCCAAAAGAAAAATATCATGACACCTGTTTAATTTTCTTGTAATTCATACAGGCTATACGCTATTAGAGCTGATTCTTTTTATCATACAGCAAACTATGGTTTTTTTTCTCAAAATGTAAATTAACTTCTGTAGATTATATAATAGTAATATCATGTCGTTTATTGCTACTGTTGTTTTTGCCATTGCTGGTCAGGGTATGTATTATGTGCCACGTCAAAAAACAGGGTCATGTTACCCTCATTTATGCACTTCTTTTTCTTCAAAAAACCATTTGTTTATGTTTTCCTAAAATCCTAGCAACAAATTGAAGCGCCTTGTCTCTTTGCTTCCGTGGTTACATCGATACACTCTTGAAACAGTGATCACACTTCACAAAAGGTTAACGATTATAATAGGTGGCATGCTCATTATCACCGTATTGTGCATAATCTTTTTGTTGATGCGCTCGAAAATATACCAAGGTGTCAGCCGCGTTGCAGTATACAACCCACCCATCATTGTCATCATCTTTACTAAAGTCTAGGGTCATCTCTATTGTCAACACCATCATCCTACTAGATAAGTGCAGCAGTAAAACGCCGGGTTTGGGAATCCAACTATAGGCTTGCAAGGTGAGCGTATGACAGGCGATTACAAGATTATTTACTACATGCATGGTTGACTACTCTTACAATGCATCTACATAGAAAGCCAGACATCCTGTTTTCGGCATTAGCGCAACGTCAGGAGCAAGTAAAAAGATATAAACGCACACTAAGGTCGTTGTTTTTTCTTTCAGAATACATCAGAGATATTTCTTTCAGGCATCTTTCCAAAAGAGAAATGACCTATCGGGTATCATAGCTTTAGAGGCATAGCAAAATGATATCAGGTATCCTTCCTTCTCCTAACTCTGTACCCATGCCACACTGCCATATGTATGATACACCTGCTTATCGCACACGTATGATATCTGGAAAGTACTAGTACATTGTGTTAACTCTTTTTATGCTTCCTTTTTCACGTTTAGTGCTCAAACTACATCTTGATTTAACAAAAAACGTAACAGCGCATCTTTGTGACATCAATAATATACTGTACCCATATGAGTATGTTGTTCTCTCCTGCTTATTCGCATGTAGATAATAATTGGAAGTCCTACTATGCATAGATCAGATTTGTTACTTTATATGTACATAATTATAGCAAAACGATCTATTGCAAAACACTTTATGATACAGTAGTTTGCGTTTGAAAATGTAAAAATCGAGATAGCAAGGTGTAAATTTTAGATCGTATGATGTAATTTTTTCAAATACATTGTACTTTGGAAAATGCCGATGTCATTTCTTTGAGCCTGATGTATCATTGACAACAAAATAGCCGCACAGGGTCAATTAACGCATTGCTACTGTTCTCCCGCGGCTTATTTGACGTGGTCTATTCTGACAAAATACGTGCATTAAGAAGTATTATCAGACAAAGGAGCAGCTCTTGAGAGACAAAGTAAAGATGCATTTGTGGGATAAAGCAACGTGCAAAAAAATGAATGGGGGTCGGCCAGGTGATCCATTTAGATGTTCACAGAGAGTCAAAGGGGTGCTTGCACTATGGTATCCATCCACAGGACGTTTATCAACATTGGTCCCTAGGCAAATATGACTCGACAAAGAGGTATTTGGCAATGTATAGAAAGTTAGTACACTAAACTCGTCTAGAACCGTAAATATAAGTAACTTACCGATTCCCCGGTAGCACTTGGAAGAGCAAAAGACAGTATTGACCCTGGGAGCCACAGCCCATGGTTTGGTTGTTGTGAAGAAAAACACACGGGGCGCTATTGTTTTCGGTAATTGGGAAACCGAGCGAGCTCCCAAAAAGATCAAGCTGACCAGGGACATACGCCATCACCATAAGTTGTCCCAAGGGCATACGTAGTCCTATTGTCATCCCGTCTTCATACCCGACATCAAGTCTGTTCGAGATGGCAATTCCCACAGGCGACGTCATAGGCTTTTTAAGTAAGAGTCCGACGTCAGCAAAATATGCTCGCGACACTTTTTCGCCTGCCTTCACTTGCATTACACATACACCTTAGCAAGTATTGCGATACCTACAACGAGAATGACAAGTACCATCGCTTCTTTGCCGCAAATAGCCTTAAGGATTGGGGATTCTATTTTTTCAAAAATCATTTGTAAAAATAATGCACAATCCTCCTTCGTCCAACATGCTAGAATCTTCCTACCAGAGGTGTCTCGACGCTATCCAGAAGGATTCCTCGACACCAAATAGCGTCAAGCAAGAACTAAAGAAGTTGTTAAAGGAGATATGAACAAGATAAGAGTGATCCACATCACCGTTTCCTCATCTTTTCGTATTAGAACGACAATGGCATTTCGTCACCAGCGGTCTCGTCGAACACATATCACTTACACCAAGGAGATAATTCGTTCACATTCATCAACTCTACTAATTACGGGGCTAATACGGTTGGCAAGGAAGGTCCCGGTGACACCACCACAACTTGCAATTATTGGATATCCTTGAAATTGTGGCCAAGGCTTGCCTGACCAACCCCGCTGCCTCCCCTAATGACAACGACAGTAGTGAACTCACTTGCTACAGGAAGTGTACGAAAATATTTGATGAGGTGCTAAACGGTAGCAGGATGCAAATCTTTAATGGGGAGACGATGTGTAAAGCCTCCAAATTGATCGCAAAAATGCATAAAAGGGTATTTGGTTCGAACATTCCATTGAACAAAGGATTTGGACGCCAGATCGATCTGATTCTTTCTGCTCATAATGGGGAACTATCTATGAGCGAATGGAAGAGACTCAAAGTATCGCCACAAAAGTCGCTGATCCAGCAGGCCAGGAACACTAGGATTATAAGGCCATCCTTTCCTATCTGCTGAGTCTTCCCATTGAGGACAATCTCATGGATAACGTATATACCATCATTGGTATGGACTTCACCGGCCCGATGGGGTATATGATTGCGGTGAACGCATCGGAGATGTGTACGTCTCTCGCCGTCTTTCAATACTTGTAATACCTACATATCTCGACGAGCTACCTTCATTCATTGATACGCTGGATCGGTTGTATACTTGGCGACAACACCACTGCAATCTCAAGGATATTGTTCTCCCGGCCATCCGAAGTCAAAAGCAAGCCGCACAACTCTCCAACATCTGCGGGTTCGATGATGCCAGTATTCCCAGATCACCAAACATTTACTTGACACCTACCAGAAAAGCGCATGGTAGATTGATTGATAATGACATCATTGAAAATGACGATGGTGATGACGCTGAGGAATACTATGATAGTGATTAATTGTTTTCGCTGGGAAAATCTTCCACGCTCATTTCTCCTTTATACCACCACACTGTACATTTAAGCAACTTTTGGTCTCCAAAACTCTCATCCTGCAGCATCAATAAAAAATTGCACTCGTTGTTCTTGTAATTAGGGTGGCAACCGAAAGTATATGTATGTCAAATATGATTTCACCAATAAAACTAGTTTCAGCTTCTACATAAGACGTTACGGAAAATACATCTTCGGCGGTTCGGCCAAGCCGATAGTCACCAAGTGCTAAATGGAAATTTGTTGCATGCTCTTCGTCAACACGATATGATCCATCCCAGCCAAATTGCATCTTTACCTCACAGTGTATTTTGATATGCAAAATGCTTTATTGGACGAGAAATACTAAGCGCCAATCATTAGGAAAAATCCAATATTGGATCCCGTAATTGCCTTGATTACTGATGCTTTGATCCGGGGAATAGCATGCTACTTTGGTTCCTCTTTTTGGTATTCCCTCCTTTTTGCCATGCTAGTGACGCCTTGGATTCAGCACCTTCTCGACACGGGGTTGTTGCATACATCATCGAGTGAGCTCCAGTTACTCAATCCAGGCGAGTCGATCTTACCCATCTAATAGATCTGACATGTTTATATAACCCTTCTTAGCATCCTCGGCTTACCGACCGTAACAAATTCTGTGTGGCTATTTTCTTTCTGTGTCGCGGAAGAAGCTTTATGCCAACCTCCAGGCACATGCTCCACTTTACGTTCCGTTGCAATTAGCTATATCAATATCCAAAAAACAAATGACATCGCCTGTTTCAAAACTACAAAGTGTTTGGCAAACCTACATCGCAGAATCAAAGAACTACATCCCATATCGACGCCTACATTTTCAACGCAAACTACTGTATCTTGCAGCACTGGCGAACGATCTATGGCGAGAAACGGCAAACGATCTATGGCTGAACTATGCGAAATTGATTTTCATTGGCTAGCGACATTGATTTCCATTGGACTACGACATTGATTTCCATCGGGCCCGACATTGATTTTCATTGGCTGCGACATCACATATTGGAAATACTGTACTTCATCGAAACGAAGCTCATCTTGTTGTAACTACGATTCAGAAAAGAGATTGGCTCATTTAAATAAGGATATAGAAATCTGTCTCTCCTTCTTTCAATGCGTAACCCTCTTAATCGTGCCAAATCAACCTTGATCCACGATCTCAAATCGTTTCTACGACATCCACCCTCTGATTCGTCGTCCACTGTCTATCGAGGAACGCTTTTCGAATGGCAAACGCATCAAGTCTTTGAGCAAGAACTCGGGATGCGACTACGACGCGTAGGTGGAAAAAGCGACGGTGGCGTGGATTTACGAGGCACGTGGCCATTACGCGACTTGTCACTTTATAAACAACAGCAACCTTTTGGGATAGATATTGCACCGAGCATCATCGTTCAATGCAAGAGTATCAAGGCTGGATGTTCACCTGATCATGTGCGGGCACTGGTCGGTTCAGCAGGCGCATTGGATCCTCAATCCAGTATAGCAATGTTGGCTACAAGCAGTAACAAAAAATATACAGCCGATGTCATTTCGCATTTCATGGAATCACATATGCCGTTGGCCTTGGCAAGAATATGTGATGTGCGACTTGACTCGCTTCTATTCAATCCTGCAGCAGAAACAGTTTTACAAGGTTTGACAGTAGCAACCCAATTCGATTCCAATGGCAACTCAACACCCGTATTGATGCATGATGGAGATATTGTTGATCGAGATAGAAATTGTTCATAAAAAAACAAGACTTTTTTTCTGTGTAATGCGTTTTGGTGATATTGTAAATGAAAGAAGAAAGCAAAAGAATGTATATAGTATATTACAATGATAAAAGCTTTAAGGGAAAACATTAATTATAATAAAGTATCTTCAGAGCGAAGGTATTCTCCAACATCTGCCTGATGGAACACAATGATATCCGTTGGCTGAAGCTTCTTCATATCTGCTGTTGATCGAGCAGTGACACCGAAACCCTAATTGAACTCTTGTCAGTTTACCCATCCTCCGCTATATGCATAATTGCTCCCCCTTCCTATAGTTGCAAAAACAAACTTACCAAAGGCATGTCTGTCATGGAATAAACAACAACACCAGTGTGTTCAGGTGTATCATCCGTAATGCGACCCAAATGTGCCTTGACAACATTATTGCCATAGAGATATGTCATTTCACCATTTGGCTTGATCCAGATCTTGTGCTAATACGATATGAATGTATCAGCCGTTTTCCGCTTCTATGTCATTTCAATATATAGCGGTTTACCTTTGCATATTGTGCCAAGTGATCCAAAGCGGTGACATGGAGCGTAAACTTTCCGGTTTTGGTGAACTTGCCGAAGCAGACACCAGCAGATCCCAACTGATCTCGACCAACAGAAGTTGCTATGCGTACCATGCTCTCACTATATATAGATTCTTGTTGAGTATATGTTGCCATGTGTTGTACTTTTATTTGTTCTACCCTTCCTTTATAGAGTACCTGAGGTAGTATACTCGATCTTTGTGCAAACGGAAGCAGTAAGTTTCATCTGGCCGATCAATCAAGTGCTTAATGTTCGATCCGATGCTACATAAGTGACAAGCTATTAGACTTGCATATTTTTCAATCACTTCGAAAACGTTTGAGATCGTTTACTATTTTGCTAATTTCTCGAAAAGCGTAGTTGTTTCTTCGTTTGTGAGAGGACGCATGGTGACTGCAGTACAATGTCAAAAAAAAGTGTTGCTTTTCAAGGAACTTGAGCCACTTGAATAATTCTCGGATATGCTTGTCAAAGCGAAAATTTATTGGCACTCAAACGATGTTTGGGAAAAGAAGGGGAGCGCGCAGTAAACAGGTCCAGGAAAACCCATGGAAGCAACAAGCGCACCATTTCTATAGATGATATGATGGATGCTGCAAAAAGGCAGGTGAAAATGTAATACTTGCTTGTGTTGGGTTGGTAGGATCGAAAGGGGGAAGAGGTGACTTGGTAGGGGAGAATAACTGGGTAACAGCAGCGAAGATCATGGCCGTACTCGAGAGAGAATCACGACTAAAGGTAGTGTACCCGACACGCACCGCAGGGCAATCCGGGTTGACACATTGGAGAGCGCCATGGACCTTCACTGCCTTGATTTTACCGTTTTTTGTAGCCTTGGTTGCCGTTGCCATCACCAGTGGACATTAGCAGAAGGACAGGTTTGACTAGTTCAATATTCATCCTGCAATACCACCGGACAACAAATTCTATGTTCATTGCGCATCTTGCGGCCGCCGCGCCGAGGTCGCCCACGTAGATGGGAGCCTACGCCTGTGCTGGCAAGGCCAACACACATGACAGGACGCAGGTTTTTGGCGTTCCTTTGTCGCAAGTTGCGTATAAAGACGACTTGTAGCAATTTCGCGGTGACGGTGTTCATTGAGGGCAGCGTTGGAATAATAAAACTTGCGTAGAACGTCGACATGCTGTAGCCTGACTTTTTGCCTTTTGAAGGTTTCCACTGGATCGCAGATGCCAACGAAGCAGTTTTCTTGTAAGTCGTGGAGAGCATTCCGCACTTCTTCATTCTCAGGCTGTGTATCAAAGTTGTTCATAAACATTAAAGCAAGATAAGCTAAGTATGTAAACTGTCACGTATGCGTACAACAATTTTACATGAACATACCTTCTTCAGCCGGTTCTCCTGCCTCACCATGAACTTTTTTGTTTTCGTCGCTTCATGGATCTGTTCGTGTGTGATTGTGAATGGCTTGGGTAGTTTTAGGTCCTTGACTGTAAGCGTTTCAAGATCAATATATTGCTGCTGTTGTTGTAGCTGCTGGTCCTGTTGCTGGTCCTGATGCTCTTGCTGCGGTGAAGCTTTCATCTCACGGTCCAACAGAATCCGCATCTGCTGAATATTCTGTCCTTACATCCGTATACGTCCTTTGTGGCTCATTGTGATGGATCCGTTTTCAACATGGTTCAAGACCCAGCTGCAATGTATTGCTTCCTTTTTTGATATATGCGGTGGCGGGCTTTGATGAGATGTTGTAGCATCACTATGCAAACACTGCCGCTTAGCCGGTGGTTGTTGCTCTTCCAATGTAGATCCTTCCCGCTTGGCGTCACTCTGTTCTTGTAGGTACAATTCAGAACTTCCGACAGCATTTTTTAAATCAAAGGTCGTCTGGCGCTTCGCTGGAGGTGGTGGTTCTAAATCCATGCCTTCCCTCTTCATATTTGCTTGTGTGGCATCGTGTCGCGGGATGGCAGAGGGTGAAGACGTGTCGGACGCTTGGTTGATTGATACATTTGCTCCAAGCGAACCTGCTTCGGCTAATCTTGGCTGCTGCCGATGAATTTGCTGCGCGTTGTAGAGAGAGACGTGGAAAAGAACATCTTGTTTGGTTAAGGCTGTTGTCTGGGACATTGTAACATGACCGTAGTCTGTACCACCGTAGACTTGACCCAATGGGCAATGATTTGACAGATCAATATTAGCAGCTGTATCTTCGCACTGAGGCTTTTGCACAGTCGGTGTTATTGCTGGGACAGTAGTTGCAGCGGCATTGTCTTTCTTGTTGTTTTTCGCCTGCTCGATAAACTACAGTAATGGGAAAGTATCAATCAACAACCAGTACATGTGTTAAAGAAGTCCAGAGAGGATAATATTACCTTTTGGGTCTTGTATCTACGACTTTTCATTCTTCAAATCACGATGATTAAGCAGCATAGCGAGCCTAACTTGCCGATTTTCACGCACACGTATCGATAGTGCGGCACTTGCTTCGATTCTTTCATGTTTGGTTGCAAAACTGAAAACGTTTTCTGGCTATTTTGCGTTCCTTGGCGGTTTGCTGGTATTTTTTCTTTAGAACACCATGTCTTCTTTGTAGCTCTTTTGTGCTCGATGTTGCCCGCTCTTCATCAGCTTGTAACTGTTCAAGCGTCTTATCGGTCGTCCCAATGGTTGCTGACGCTCCTGACCGACCTCCCTTCTTTCGTCGCTTTCGTTGACGTTCCTCATATGCAGAGACCAACGGCTCACAGCCTTCCTTCATGATTCCAACGATTGATACGGTCTTGTCTGGTCGTACGATAATGCGATTACAGAATTCCATGCGATGTCGGTCCGCTAGTGATTCAACACGAGACTGATCGAAGAAGGACCATAGCATAGCATCGGGGTTATCTCGAGCTCGTTCACGCGATGTACAGTGCCCGCTCGATAATTCGATACTCGATAACTCGATATTTTCGATAATTCGATCACTTTCTCAAATGACCAGGCTGGTAAGCAGTAAAATATCGACAAATCGATAATTCGATCATCGATCACTTGGCTGTGACATATCGACAAGTATAAACCAATAGAAATGCTTAGTGACGCGGAATCGAACCAGCGATCAGTGTCGGATCATACATCAGAGTCCAGAGTTAACATGTATTCCCAATAAAAATTCGTAGTATATATTTATTCACTAAATTTAGAAAGTCTATGAGGTGGGATTGCGTCAGCTTCACTGATTGCCGCTCCTCTGACTCCAAAAGTCTAACTCTTTTTTTTACCAGATACAAGATGTCCATATCCAATTTGTGTGTGATGTCAAGTTTATCTATAAAACTTTGGTAGAGGCACTTTTTTTCTTTAATTGCCCTAATATTCGCATCGGCATCATCTTCTTCTTCATTTTGTTCTTCGGTCTCTCCCTCCTCGCCTATTATAAAGACGAGGGGATTTTATCCATCAATGCACTTACTTTGTATGATGTCCCTACTGTACCTTCATCTTCAACGTTCTGATTCACCAAACGATCCGTTCGTTCTTCCAGCGTCAACATCTCATGGATCCCGTCGTCTTCGTCATCTGGAATCACGAAAACTGTGTTCGTATCATCTTGATCATTGCTGACAGATCTTAGGTACGAGTCAAGTTCGACGGTCAGTTCCTCCTCCTCCTGCAAAACAACAGCTTCTTCGGATTCAATTACTTCTGTAAGGGTTTCCACTGACATAAGGCCAGTATGTCGAAAACAATTTGAAATTGTTTCGGACGAGACACGGTCCCAGGCCATAATAGACCAGTCCAAGGCTTGTTTGAACTTAATGTTGTAAAGATCGTGAAGCTCGTTGTTGTTGTGGCGAATTGTTGCTCTGCGAAATAAGATGCTCCTAAAATAGATTTGGCCCAACAAGTTCTGCTTTCTTAACATCCAAATAAATCACTTTGTCTGCTTAAATCTCCTGTTGTTTACAATGTACTATACTTTTTTTTGAACGAAGCAATGATTCCTGCATCAAGCGGTTGGTAGTGGGATGTGGTATTTGGAGGAAGCATGCACAACTCGATATTTTTTAACTGAATTTCCAAGTTTTTATGCGAAGGTGCATTATCCATCAATAAGAGAGCAAAAATTGGACCGCATCCAGCAAAAATTGGACCGTATCCAGCAAAATTGGACCGCATCCAGGCAAAAATTGGACCGTATCCAGCAAAATTGGACCGTATCCACCAAAATTGGACCGCATCCAAAATTGAAGGACCGTATCCGGACCGCATCCAGCAAAAATTGGACCGCATCCAGCAAAAATTGGACCGTATCCAGCAAAAATTGGACCGTATCCAGCAAAATTGGACCGTATCCAGCAAAATTGGACCGTATCCAGCAAAATTGGACCGCATCCAGCAAAAATTGGACCGTATCCCGCAAAATTGGACCGCATCCAGCAAAAATTGGACCGTATCCAGCAAAATTGGACCGTATCCAGCAAAATTGAAGGACCGTATCCGGACCGCATCCAGCAAAAATTGGACCGTATCCCGCAAAGTAATACTTGTAACAGTCCTTGACTATTATGGTGTATTGAATCAGCTGTCGTTCTTTTTCATGTTTTACTAACATTAACTTACTCAGCTTTGATCCAAAATCTTTTCCTCCAGCAAAGCGTCCAATGAAGTAGGGGCCAAGTTTATGCGAGCCAGTTGCATTGGTGACAAGGACAACAGTTACACGACTTTTATCGACTTTTCGTCCGGCAATAGGTTTGTTCGAAATCGTTCGACGTGGCACTTGCTTGTAAAAAAGTCCCGTTTCATCAATGTTATAGATGCATTCAGGTGGAAACTCGGCTATTTGGCCTTGACTTCTTCGAGCTGCTTTTGGATCTTTTCATCGTCGATGTCAACGGAGCCAGCCTCACCATGGATACCGTGTGATTTTAATCTGTGACGTTTCATGAATTTGGTGACCCAGCCGTCAGAATACTGAAATCCTTCAGGAACAACAATGTTGAGGCGTCTTGCTTGAATTTTTGCTTGGAGAATGATGCTTTCCCTGTTGACTGGTTGCCCAACAGATGCCATATCCATGACGAATTCTGCAAGAACGTTTTCGACTTCTGGCAATGCTGGTACGCGTTTTCTTTTCATATTAAGCTCGGTTTCCGACATAGCGAGATACTTCTCTTTTTCTCTAAGAATAAGCGAGATTGTCGATTGGACAGGTGGTTTCTCGAGTTTGAACTCATCCTTAGCCCATTGTGCTAAAGCACGTTGACCGACTTTAGGATTCTGCTGTTTGTATGTGCAAATAGCAAATTTTTGGCGGTTTGTAAGTGAGTTGTTGCCCTTAATATTGAAGTAAAAAGATAAGGTAAAGAAGACAATGTTTTTTGCTGACAGATGACATCAGCTACTTTATTACTACATGTAACACAAGATGACAGGGTGTCTATACTTTCTTCTTGAACCTTCCTTTTCTTAACGGAGTCCCAATTCCATAACTCGATATTTCGATAATTCGATCACTTACGGCTGTGACCAAAGTGATCGAATTATCGAGCGGGCACTGTAGCTGCACTGGTAATGGTAAGATTGCTTAAAAACTTATTCAAGTGCACACAGCCATCGATGTCGATCAAACCCAAAAGAAACCTTTCTAACCAGTTTTGATCCAAATTGTTTTCTTTGGAAGATATCATACTTATTTAAATCGTAGTTTCTGCAGAGACATGTCAAGAAAGGCGGTCCCAATCAATGTGCTGTTGTGAGGTTTGTGTAAATGTCCCTTCCTAAAGAACGTCGTGCCAAATTTTGACATTTGAAAGGGAATTGTGTGCTGCGGTTTGAAGAACGGGATATAGTCTCCATCATTACGCCTCACGATCTCTTATGTGCCTCTGATGTTGAATGGTATCTGCTTGGCTACGTTCTGTGCTCCTTACATTTATTTTAAGAGGTAATTAGGTATATGACAAACTTAACCATGACAGCAATGATAACAATCGAAGACTGAGGCGACTACAGCAGTGAAGTAGCCGAGAAGACTTTTCTGTTTTCTCAACTTGATAAACTGTACTGTATGACGATAGTAACAATGCTACAGGCATATGATGCTGGTGATGGTGCTGCTGTTGTTGCTACTACTGGTGGTGCTAATAGTGGCACTAACAATAGTGGACGTCAAAAACATTGACGATAATTAATGACAATAACCCAGAAGATGACGCTCCTGAACGAGATATGCTCGGACTGTAGAGCAACGGTGAATTTCACCGTACATGAAGGCTAAAGAAACTGATCTTCTGCGGTGGTTGCTGCTACTGATACAAAAGGCCTGTAAACATCATCGAGAGTTAGTCATTGTTTATTTACTTCTGTATGATTCTGCTAATTAGAGATGAGCATCAGTTTCCTGTACATGAAGGCCGAACCTTGCAAAGTAGAATATTGTTTATAGATGATGCTGCGCTTTTGGTTGGCTTGGAGCGTGTAGAAGCAAGGAGCAAGAGCTGAGCAAAAAAGTGATGAGTCCAACGTACGCATATGGACGATTATTACTATATCTACTTTGTTGGGGCTACATACGAGAATGCAAGTAGTATAATTCAAATGGGACATCAGACCTATGGGTGGCAGTAGGCAGGTGACGAGACCAACACATATTTACATAGGTACAGGAAACCTGCTCGGAAGATTGCTCAAGGTAAAATCATTTAATCTGACAGGCACACGCGTAATACCGATAATTTATACTCTATGGTGTATTGACTGATCGCTTCTCACACAAAGGACAAAATCAATAATGCATTTGAGCTTACGATGCATAGAAAAAAGAAAAATAACACAACTAGTAATATTCCATTCAGTGATTCCGCTACAACATTTGTTACTTGGTTTCTTTCCTTGCATGAGATTATGGCACGTCATTTAATTTAGAAACTTGGTTATCGTTATATAAAAGTGTACTATATACTATCATTGATTGCTATAGCATGTGTTATGATCATTGTTTGAAATGCCCACTAAGTCCCACGCATCTGCGAACGAAGAATACCACGCATATCGATAAAATAACTATAAAGCTTCTCCATATTAGCGTTCAATATGTTGTTATTTTGGTTTATCTGGGCTACCATCATTTGTTACAACGACTACCATGTATCACGCCACATTATCAATAGGCGGGGACGGAACGGATCCCGATCAGCACGGCTCAATAGTCATGTGTAGTCATGTCTGGGGTCGCAGAAAAAATCATGTATCGGTATGCTATAAATTTTGACAAGCGCGGGTCTGGATTTGTTTTTCTTCAACCTTTACACAATGACCATTACATTGATTGTTGCTTCTAAGGCTTCTCCAGCTAGCTACGGTACGAGTTTAAGGACAAGCCTCAAGTCTACCTTTTAACCTTTTACTTTATTACTAATCGCTCCTTCTTTTATGTGATCTAGGCGTTTTGGCTGTTGCTGCTCAGGTCAACATGGCCAAGCCTCAAACTGTCGCCGTCGAGTACCGCGATGCCGCCAACCTCGAAGCCGAGGGTGCTAATAAGGCTGCTGCTTTGATCAAGTACAACGGGTAAGTCAGCATTGGCTTTATTGCTCGAATCATGATCGTTACTAAGCGATTTTTTTTCAATTTGCCCATTTATGAATTGCAGTGAAAATTATGACAACACCAACGCGATTGTGCGTCTTTTGGGCAGACTTGTTCCCGAGTCTGGTTTGTACAATGTCTCCGACCCCATTAGCTCTACTTTGGTATGGAAATTCAAAACAGAGGAATTCGCAAAAAAGAAAGGAAACAGTTTTCATGACCAACATATATATGCTACTTATAGGTTGATCAATGGTTGGATTTTGCTGAGAACAAGTTGGCGACTGCTGACTTCAAGGCTTTGGATGCTTCCTTCAAGGAGCTCAACAAGTACTTGACTCTTCGCTCATACTTGGTTGGCTACCAATCCTCTTTGGCTGACTTTGTTGTCTGGGGTGCTTTGAAGGGTATGTTTGTGCGATATCTCAACCTTTTTTGCGTTTTTGAAAATGCCGGATGACTCAATTTTTCTCAATGTCTATAGCTTCGCCCGTCTTTGCCCGTGTCTTGAAGACAAAGAAGGAATCTATCGGTCTTTACCTCGCTCGTTGGTATGAGTACGTTGCCTCCTTAGATGCCGCTCAGTTGGCCGTCAAGGATCTTCAAAACGCTGCCAAGGTAATAAAAATAATCGATTTTCTTGTCTGTAGATATACTAACATCTTATTTTATGAAAACAGCCTGCCAAGGTCACTGATCAGGGCAAGTTCGAGATTGGTCTTACTGCCGCTGAAATGGGCAAGGTCGTCACCCGTTTCCCTCCTGAGCCCAGTGGTTACCTCCACATTGGTCACGCCAAGGCCGCTCTTTTGAATCAGTACTTCGCTCAGACTTACAAGGGCAAGATGATTGTTCGTTTCGACGATACCAACCCCAGCAAGGAAAAGACAGAGTTTGAAGAGTCGATCAAGGAGGATTTGGCTTTGATTGGCGTCGACTCGTCCATTGTTACCCACACCTCGGACTATTTCGACGAGATGTACGAGCTCGCTTTGAAGATTATCAAGGAGGGCAACGCCTATGTCGATGATACGGACCAGACTACCATGCGTGAGGAGCGTATGAAGGGTACCCCATCCAAGTGCCGTGACCAGTCGGTCGAGGAGAACTTGCGTCGCTTCGAGGAAATGAAGAACGCTACTGAATTCGTAAGTTAAAATTACTTATTGCTGGTTCAATGAAACATTTTCGGTATGGTAAGTTCATGAAGATACTGTTTATCATAGGGTCAAACCTGCTGCCTTCGTGCGAAGATCAGCCCCGATGATCCAAACGGTACTCTCCGTGATCCCGTCATCTACCGTTGCAACTTGACTCCTCATCACTACACTGGTGACAAGTGGAAGGTTTACCCCACCTACGATTTTGCTTGCCCCATTGTCGACAGCTTGGAGGGCGTCACTCACGCTTTGAGAACCAATGAATACCGTGATCGTAACCCCCAGTACGACTGGATGCTCAAGACCTTGGGTCTTCGCCATGTCACTATCTGGGATTTCAGCCGTATCAACTTTGTGTACACCTTATTGTCCAAGAGAAAGCTGCAATGGTTCGTTGACCAAGGCATCGTCGCTGGTTGGGACGACCCTCGTTTCCCTACTGTCCGTGGTAAGTTGTTTTTCCTTTTTGGAACAAAGTAACTTTTCTTGTCCTAAAGGAAAGTCGTGTTGCTTAAATGTTGAATAAACATTTTTACAGGTATCCGCCGTCGTGGTATGACCATTGAGGCACTCAAGCAGTACATTTTGATGCAGGGTGCTTCGCAAAACACTTTGCTTCTCGAGTGGGACAAATTGTGGGCTTTGAACCGTAAGGTCATTGATCCTATTGCTCCTCGTCACACTGCCGTCATTAAGGACAACATGGTTCAGGTCAATGTCCAGGGCGCTCCTGCCACACCTGAGGTGAAGGAGAACTTGAAGCACAAGAAGAACCCTGATTTGGGTACCAAGAAGACCAGCTACTCGAGCAAGATCGTCCTTGACCAGGAGGATGCCAAGTCCTTGGAGGTCGGTGAAGAAATTACTTTGATGGACTGGGGTAATGCCTTTGTCCGTAACGTTGTCAAGGGTGATGACGGTTTGGCCACCAGTGTCGATTTGGAGCTTCATCTCGAAGGTGACTTTAAGAAGACCAAGAAGAAGCTTTCATGGTTGTCGTACGGTGACGAAATTGCCGATGTTTTGCTTGTCGACTACGATTTCTTGATCACCAAGAAGAAGGTCGAGGAAGGTGACTCGGTCGACCAGTTGGTTACCCCGGTCAGCGAGTTCAAGACGCCTGCTGTTGCTGATGCTAACGTCAAGGATTTGAAGAAGGGTGACATTATTCAGTTTGAGCGTAAGGGTTACTACATCTTGGACGAGCCTGCTACCGACTCGGCCCCTGCTCACTTTATCTGTATTCCTGATGGCAAGGCTGCCTCGACTGTCTCCAAGGCCGATACTTCGGCAAAGAAGGCCGACAAGGGCGGCAAGAAGAAATAGACAATATGTATATGAAATTCGACAAATTGTGTATTAAGAAAATTATATTAAAGTAAAGAATGAAATGTACTTTTCGTGTGTGTGTGTGTGTGTGTATGTTTTCGTGAACCTTCAATGGGTTTTAAAGTTCAGGCACAATCGCAGCATCACTTGATGATTTTCTTCGGCGTAGGAAACGCAAGGATGAATCATTGGCAAACGTGGCTTCGACCTCCAGGGTTGAATTGCCATCACCGTTGTCGCTCCATCGACGTCGTGGCTTGGGAATTGTATCACGGAACAGACTATTGGCTCGCGGCCGCTCATCTTCGCGTGGCGAGGTAGGTAATGATTCGGGTGTGATGGCTACTACGGGAGGAGGAGTCGGTGTTTTCCTCGGCGATGGTGCGGTTTCAAGGATAGCTTGGGCATCAGCAGATTCTCTTCGTTTTCGTTCCTGAGCTTGCGCTTCCATAATCGGTGACAGAATGCTCAATGTGCCACGAGATAGCGCGACAAATACAAAGAGCATAACGACAATCACTAACTGGGCCATTGAAACGCGTCGTTCAAATGCAATCTTATCATATAGTACTGGGTTAGCAAGATGGCTTTAAGCCCACATTATAGCAAATAAAAAGAATTCTTTTCTAACCTGATCCGCCAATAAAGCCATTTTGGCTGTCATTTCCTTCATATTGTTTTCTGTCATTTGCTGTAGCTCGTCGTATGCTTGCTCATACCGCCGTTTCTTTTAAATTACCATTTCTTAGATAACTATCTCGTGCTTTTGTTGAGGATAATACTATAGAGAAGTCGGTAATGGGTAGCTTACCATGCCATCGATTCTTGTCGACGCTGTATCATTGAGTCGACCCAAAAGCAATACGATTTGGTCCTGATGACGCTTTTCCATACTCATAAACACATCGTTGAGCATCTTGTTTTGCTCATCAAGATAGCGTTGTGATAAAGTGGCATTCAGCTCAAGTGCATTGAGTCGTTTCATGATCGTCTTGTAAATGGATTCCTGGGTATAACTGCTGTCTTTGTACATGTTGCTTGGTTTCGGCATGACGCGACTGGTTGCTTGAGCAGAGTTGTTGATAGCCGTATTAAGCAAAGAGCCAACGTTGGTTGTCATGGTAGTACCACTGTTACTACCACTATTACCAGTGGTCGTGCTGGCAATGGCGCTGGTCGTAGATGTAGTAGTATGATTCATAAGGTTTTCTTCGTTTTCGTTTACGCTCAAAGAGGCAGCTGGTGTGGATTGTTCTTCGACCGATGATTCTTTGTACAATATATCATCCGTTGGCAAGATAGTACTATCTCGGGTCATCGTAGGATCGCTAGGCACAACAGTCACGGATGTGTGATTTGATGAGAAAGACGCCGGTGATGCTAAAGATGATGACATTTCGTTCTGGCTTTCGGACGTAACTGCATCTGTTGGCAATATGGACGGAGTATCTGTTGTGACAGCCGATGGAATGACGAGAGATGTTGAAGAAGAGGATGAGATATCACTTGAACTGGCTTCGTTATCTGCCAACGTTAGTTTCTCAACGATGCCTACTGTTGGCTGCTCTCCCTCTTTTTCCAAGTCGTCTGGTAATGCACCAGCGATTGGCGTTGAGAATACTGGATTCGTGGCAGCTTCAATATTGTCGTTGATGTTGTTGTCAATGTAATTTTCATCATCATCTTCGTCGTTGACCGGTAAAATAACTGCTGCTTGTTCATGGTCATCACTAGTATCATCTTCTTGTTCAGGGATGATAGGCATCGTGTCATTGACTGTATCGATGTTTGGATGGATGATTTCATTACGCACTTCGCTAGGCCATAAAATTTCGTCTTCGATCTCGTAATCTTCGTCATCGCCGGCCCGTCGTTCCACAAGATAATAGTATTCCATCATGGTCATTCCATGCACGCGGACCAAGCTTAATGGACAATAATATTCGTGGCCATAATGGTTCAGAAACTCAATTTTGATGTTCTCAAACCAACCGAAACGATTGTTCACTTTAAAGACCTTTGAAAGAAAAAGCAAACAAATAAGTAAACGTATTGGAAGTATAAATAATTTTTTTTGATTGACAGGAAAGCATGGGGTGAGAGGATGAATTACCTGTAAATCTCTTGTGTTACGAGCCTGCCATTGGCCCAACAGTTTCCAGTCCTTCGTTGGATATCTGTCAGCAACATAGACACGAAATTCGCTGAACGTGCTGGAAAAGAACTCAAAGTTGGCCATCACAATCGTATCGATCAATACGGGCTCACAGAGATTGATGATGACGTATTTATCAGCCGAGCACTTGTTGAGCATGTACTGATCCTTGGATTCGTACACGATCGATTGAGCACCTTTGGCTTCCTTGTTGGCCCCTCGAACTGTTGCAGCACAGTCAATAGACGCATAGTTGAACCGTTCCTTTAATGACTTGATGGGTACAGACGCAATTCTGGATGATTTGGGTTGTTGCTGCTGTTGGTTTTGATTATTATTGTTGCCGGGTATATGGCTATTGGCTGATCCGCCAGCAGCTCGACTCGGTTCAATGTATTCCTCTTCGTCGTAAACATTTGCAGCAGGCGGGCCTTGACGGGCTTCGAACATGGATCCGAAATCATCTGCGAAATCACCATCGACACTGTCGATTATTTGGCCCAGATTGCCTCCACCTCCTCTTTTGCGATTACTGTTAGAAGTCCATCGATCATTGTTTTCTTTTTGTAGTACGCGTTGTTGTAGTTCTTCAAAGGACAATAGTAGACCGCCCCCGTTTCGGTTGTTGTTACCACTGCTATCGCCGTTACTCGATGCGGATTGTTGTTGTGCGGTATGCTGCTGTGTTGATGATGTCGAATATGATGACGACGAAAACGACGAGGATGAAGAGCCTGCTGCTGCCATGTTACTGGTGGTATATTTTTGCTGATTTTCGTGATTCGTACTGACTGCAGGAGTGGATGAGGCGTCGCCACGTGGCTGGTCTTTTATGAGTGATGAAGAAGGTTCATTATTGGCCCGCTGCTGTTCATGTGTACGCTCTAACGTAGCCAGTTCAGCTGCCCCCTCGTGAATTGCAGTAGGGTCGTTGTTATTACCGATACTGTCAAGTCGTTGCCGTTGTTGTTGTTGGTATTGGTGGGAATGACTACTACTGTCCAGCAGCATGGGAGGGTAAAGTAGATTGAAATCGGCGTCATGGCCTAAACCGGAAAGGATGGAAACATCGGGAAAAAGTGCCTGGAAAGAATCCAGATCGCTTTGTTCAAATGCCGGACACATATCCAACAAGACATCATTTTCACGGAATCGTAGACATTGTCGCTTGTCTATCTTATATCTATTATTACTGTTACGACGATGGTGCGAATCGTGGCTATGACTGGCAATGGTAAATGGAATAAGTGTAGAAGCAGTATATAGTGGGTAAAAGGCTAAAATATATATACAGATTGGATGCATCAAATAGAGTAAAAAAAAGAAGGTAAAATAATGGAAGATGCAGCACCTCCAATTCAGGAGTTTTTAAAGTGATTGTGTCACCAATAACAGGAGATCAAATTGACGTCTTTTTCCAACAATTTCTGTACGAAGATGGTGTGATGGTCATAACCTATTCTAAACCATCTTTTTGATAATGATGATGCTGTTGCTGACATTGAGATCCTCCTTCAATTTCTCGTAGATTTGTAGAGAATAGCATATCCATTTCTTCCAAAGTTTTGCCCTACGTGATTTTTTCATGAGGATCTGGATTACATCTTCACCATATGTTTGTTACCTTAGTCTCTGGAATAAACGCTAGGCAAAAGATTGCCATAACAATGCACCATATTCCATAGAATATAAAGGTGCCAAGAGTACTACTCGCTGTTGTGCATGTAATTAGCATAAACTACAATCTATCTAGTGGTCATTTTAAGACGGCTGATCGCATTACCTAGAAGAAGTGGACTGAACTTTCCCACGATGGCATTGAATGCCCAATTGACAGCCGTCGTAACCGCCGTGCTTTTGGCGCGCATCCTAGAGTTTAACATATTTTAAAATGTTTATTTTTAAATCACTGCTATTACGTTATTGACACTCTTGAGTGTTGGAATTGAACATGATACATACCACATTGGATAAATCTCAGAGCAGTAGATCCAGGGGATAGGGCCCCATGATAATGAAAAGAATACAGCGTAAACTGAACAAGTGTTCGAGAAGGAGGTTAGAGATGGTCCTTGTTCTCAAAAACAATTGTGCTATACGTACCATACATGAATACGATACCCTATAAGCGGTAGTTTACAAATGAGCCAACAAATAAATGATAAGGATCGATTTAGCAACGATAATGACACTCACCACATACGAGGCTGGATGCACTGCATCGCCCATGACTGACGGAGGTCGGGCACCCACACAAATGGCCACGGATAGCATACATAGACCCATTGCTGTACCTCCACCAATAAGCAGTTTACGTCTTCCACATCGATCAACAAGACATGAAAACCCGATCAGCGTGACAGCCATCTTCACGAGACCATACACCCCGGTTGCCAGCAATTCGGTCGTATTGGATGATAATCCAATGGATCTAAAAATAATAGGCGAGTAGTAGTTGATAACATTTGTTCCAGTCAACTGCTGGAACATTTGCAATGCACTGCCGATAATCAGTCGTCGTCGATTTTGACGGGCAAACACCATACGCCATGCTGTAAATGTTGAAGGATTTGATGCTGTGGATTGTTGTTGCTGTTGCTCTAATAATAATAGGCCACTTTGGATATGTTCGAGCTCTTTATCCACTTGTGCGTCATGAACATGCAATCCGCGTATACGACCCACCACAATGCGGGCTTGGTCGAGCTTGTCGTGTGCACAGAGACATCGTGGTGTTTCAAACATGAATGGCATGCCAAACAGCATGATGACGCCCGGTACCGTTTGAACGATCAAGGGTATGCGCCATAGGGCATCATCTGTTACAGCAACGTGACTCTGAACGACATAATTGGTCCAATACGACATGGCAAGACCAGCAGCAATGAAAAATTGCCATAATCCCCCTAGAATCCCTCGCTGGTCTTGATGAGCTATTTCCGCAACGTAAATCTACACATGCAAGCAATTGACCTCATGTAAATAACAGAGCTGCAGATTTGTTTGCATTGTTTTTTTCTTCTTCAGGCTATTTACAGGTACAAGCATGCTCATTGCACCGACCCCTAAAGACGATTATAGAAACATTGGCTGAGCAAAATGCTGCTGTATCAACAATAGAAGTAGGAACTGTTCATACAGAACAAGATTATTTACCAAGCCCTGCGACGAGTCGACCGGCATAAAGCATGGAAAGACCATCGCCAAGTATTTGTAGGATGCCCCCTAAGGTGAATATCGCAGCTGCGATCGTGATACTCCATTTACGGCCCAACTTGTCTATCATCATCATGGTCATTGTTACGCCTGTAATCGAATCTGACTTTTCTTTATAGATAGACAATACGTACCAGCTGTGATGGTGGCGGCCAAACTTCCTAGCAGACAACCGATTTGTAGAACGGCAACAATGCTGCCATTGATATCGGCTTCTCGTATCGTGTCATTTGGATCGATGCCGAAATGCGACTGAAACGAAGGGGCTATAAAAAGACCTCCAACGACACCCAAATCGAAGCCTACAAAAAGCATTGTGACGATGATAAACAAAAAAGACGATTGATAAGCACAACCAATTTTTTATGCTCATTAACAACACGGTGAGCTTGCATAATCATATATGAAGAACGCTTTTAAATTTACCGAATAGAAAGCCTCCAAGGCAAGATAAAAGCGCTGCAGCTACTGTCCAGATCGTCATGTCAAAAATAGGATGGCGGTGTTGATGTATCGATGTTTTTACTGCTTTTGCAAAAAACTTTTGTCGTTGCTGATGCTGGGAAAGAAGCGGCTGCTGCTCAGACGAGGAACGGCGAGTAGCAGTTGCAACAGTAGAAAAAAACGACAATAAATTCACTGTTGGCATGTTGACCGCGTTTATACTTTTGGTAAAGCTGTAAGATGCAAGGAGGTGGAAACTGTATGTGGTGGGTGGGTAAATGATCACGTTTACTCGTTATTTCTCTATATGTTTAATCCCACTCTGGTTGTTGTATAGCCCTGTTGGTATTTTATGGTAGGTACAGTATATGCTCGCTTGAGGTCTACCGGTATACAGAGAATGGTCTGTTAAAGAGCTGTAAAGCAGCTAAACTTGAAAAAAAGAAAATGGGAAAAGGAAAGATAATCAACTGGTGTGGGCACGCAAGCTTTTAGCATGTTTATAGCTTCCACCCGTTCTTTGATTCTTATGCAGCTCGTGACGCCTACCAAAGCCGAATCAATTCCGATGATTATAATTGTGCTGTCGTTTTCTTCTGGAATAAAACAAGGTTGTGTGATAGTACAGCGCACTATAATATGCTGTGGTATTTGGGACTAGGGGAATATACGATGGGCTGCGATGACGCAGGGGAAACAACAGGATTGCACTCTTTTTACAAACTGAGAGGTTTACCTAGCTGTGATATGATTGAACTAATAATCTTATTATTTTGATTACTAAGCCATCAACATCCTCATCTAAAAAGCAGCTGCTGCCACTGTGGTAGATCATTGTCTAGCTGTAGCAACTACACTTTATGAGACTTAACCCCAAGGATAAGCTGTTTGTGCAAATGGAATATATCAGTAGTAGAACATGGATCACACTGTTCAATCTTACCGCAAATTATATTACGTACAGTATCTATAGATTACAAATTGTATGTAATCTTTTCATGCAAAATGCTGATAGTCCACATGACTTGCATAAACACAGTAAATGAAAATGATTACACTACAAGTTGCAACGCAAAGAAGCGTTAACATCGCTCACTACATACTCTCTTTGAAGGTGTCGGAGTTCAGTTACCATGCTTCGCTTTCCACAAGAGGGAGACCGAGATCAACCCTTTCACCGGATCAACTACACCACCTAAGAAAATGAACGCGCTTGCGGGTCTTGCTAATTACTCTGATGAGGAAGAAGATAATGAAGTTGAAGGACAACAAGAATTAAAAAAACAATCTGTAGAAGGTATAGTTTCTCTATTGTTTCATTCCTCTTTGTAGCTTTGGACGTGATGTTGAATTTTTAATTGTAGACACGCGAACATCGCCGAAAGATCCCCCACCACAGTCACCACCACCAAAAACAAACTCCAAAGAAAAGAAACCGCTACAATCAATAGAGCTGGTAAGCAGATTGCGACAACTCATATCCATCGTAGATTGTACGGTTACTTTTCTCTAAGTTAACCATATATATCCGTGTCATAACAGAAACGACAGCCAACACCCGCAGGTAGTTTAACAGAAGGCTATTAATTTGCAACATCCCTTATAAACGACCTTATTTATTAAAATTTGTATGTTTAATTTCCCAGATATCAAAGAAGCACGAATAGACTATGAGGCTCCTGCTGCCGTACGCCAATATTTAAATGCAACCGACAAAGCACGTAGGCGAAAAATACTATTAAAACCAAGACCTGTTGCCGGTGTTGACAATTTGGGTATTCCTGCAGAGCCAGAGACGCCTTGTGATCCTGGACGCTTGGTAATTGATTAAATTGGCAAACGTTTGCCATAAGCACTATAATTATTTGTTATTGAAACTATGACCGTGCCGCTATCTCTATTTCACAGGAACGCATTGCGCATTTCCTAGCGCTTCGATCGTCAGGACACAGATTGAACGACCATTTACAAAACAACAAAGCATTTCGAAATCCCAGAATATATGCCAAACTGGTAGAATTCATAGACTTGGATGAAACAGGCAGCAACTTTCCGAAAGACGACTTTGATCCACATGGGTTCCCTCAAGAAGCATACATTGACGGTATCTTGGAGCAACAACGGAAACATGCAGAAGAAAAGGCACTGGCACAACAGAATCGAAGTAGTGTTGCATTTGTTCAACCACAACCACAACAGCAGCAGCAGCAGCCACAACAACAGCCATCACCGTCATCATTACCCCAACAGCAACAACAGAAACAACCAGCACAGGAGCAATCGGCCGCCATGGCTGCAGCATTGGCAAATGTCGCCAAAGTGAAGAGTCGGATAGAACAGCAGAAGAGAAGTAGTAGCCATGAACGTTCCCAATGGGATGAACGAGAGCGTAAACGACGTGCGCATCATGATTAATAATAAAGAAGAAAAAGGCTTTCAAAACATGATTTGAATAATCGATAACCTTCCAAGATGCATGTACGTACAAAAACAGTAGGTGGAAAAAATGTACACTATGTGGGACTTAGTATGATGGAAATGTCACTTTCTGGTTGATTCCAAATGTCATGCTGATTTATAGTTGGTGGTGACACACTGATTAGCGGGCGGATCTTTTTTTAATCTTTGCGAATGCCTAAACAATAGAAAAAAATATCACCACCATGCTTACCTGCCGCATAATCTTACGATCTGCTCGGACATGGGCTCTTCGATCTTACAGCACACTTCGACGAACAACAGAATTACCCGATAAAGTTCATTTCAAATTAACACGCGAGCAATGGGCCCTGGGTACAAAGTGAATTCCCTTTCATTTAAATAGTGGCGAATTCGTGATGTTTTTTTTTTTTTAGCATAGCAAATATTCAATAACAATTTCACTTTTTTTAGACAGAAGCAGCAGTAGCTCTAGCGACATGCAAAACATGTTTGACATGATCAAAACACGAGAAACTACAAACATTCTCCAAGCTCCCGGTAGCACATACGGGTAAGATAATCATACGCGCGTGGAGACGAGCAAAGAAGCATGAATCCGATCTTTGATATATGATTTTTATTGACAGGGGCAAATTTGCTTTCGACTGGACAGAGCGGCCTCGGAACGTCTTAATCATTAAGAAACTAAATGATATCAAGACAGAAAACGCACTTATACAAGTTGCAAAGTAATTTGGTGGATAAAAAGTGGCATACAAGTTTTCGTGAAAATTTAATTGTGTACTAAGCTATTTCATGTATTTCAGTTGGTTGCATAAAGAGTACCCAGATTTGAATATAATTGTAGAACCTAGTGTTGCTGAACACTTCCAGGATAGATTACCATTTGTTCATGTCATACCACGAGGTAAGTAAAAAGTTTAACATTATTGGAAGAAAGCCTATCCGATAACAGAAGATAGATATGCTTTCAAGCTCACTGATCCTGTGTACAATGAATACAAAAATTAGGCCAAAGGCAAGAATATACCCGTACAGTTGATTTTGCTATCACTTTAGGAGGAGACGGTACAATGTTACACTTATCTTCACTCTTTCCAAAAGCCGTTCCGCCTGTTGTATGCTTTAATCTTGGGACGCTAGGATTTTTAATGTCATTTCGTGAGTTGATTACCTAAAAGACGGTTGGGAGAGGTGAATGGAAGAAGGTCTGGATGACGACTTCTTGATTTCGCTAACTCAGTATCACTGAAACCCCGTTTAGAATTCAAGTATTTTAAGCATGTTTTGTCAGATATGACGGCGGGAAAAGCTTCTTTGATGTTACGAATGCGATTATTTTGCTCGCTTCACCAATCAGATGGAAGGAGAATCAGCGTGGATGGGAAGGAAGTAGGCAAGTCATACTTTCTGATAAACAGCGTATGTAGACGCAACACAAAAGGCAAGGACTAAACTGGATCTATAACAAAAAAGGCGATAGACAAGTAATGAACGAAGTATCACTGCATCGTGGACGATACCCACATTTAACTGCTATTGGATGTTACGTTGATGGGGAATATTTGACCGAATGCGTGGTATGTGTGCATGTACTATAAACCCGGCAAGATCATCAGGTTTATATAGTGACGCTGATAAAATTATGGGTTCTCTTATATCTCAATAGGCGGACGGGTAAAGTTTCAATCATTGAGTATACAGACGATAAGAAATACAAATATTTGTAGCTTACCCTTGAACAAACGTTTATGCAAGTATAGATTGATTGTATCAACTCCAACTGGATCAACGGCATATTCACTATCAGCAGGCGGACCAATTGTCCATCCAAGCGTACAAAGTTTAGTCATGACACCTATTTGTCCACGATCATTGTCATTCCGAACAGTATTGCTACCTCCAAGTGCCAAAATCCAATTACATGTATGTGTGTATATGAAACCTTTAGCATACGTGCGCTAACGATGGTTTCTTTATTCAGATTGGTGATGCAAGCCGAAGCCAAGTTGAGGTATCCATGGATGGACAGGAAATATTTCTACTAGATAAAGGCGAATATCTGCAGGTAACAAAAAAAAGGAGTAATTAGTGCGAGTTTTTCTCCATTGAATATTGCCATTTGTTGATGGTTTGAATTGGACTTTGCTATCTTCTTTCTTTAGGTCCGAATGTCGAAATATCCCATACCATGTGTTACGCGAGTCAGCGACGGCATAGATTGGGCAAAAGATATTAACGAGCTATTGAAATGGAACCAGAATTTTGGACGCAACTTGGGATGAATAAAAAAAGGCAGTGTCCATGCTTTTGTTTCAATATATATTCTGGAGCGTTCCAACTTTTGATAATAAAAGTTCGGTCTAAAAGAAGAACTCAAACATACGGTCAATTTAACTAGTTGCTACCATGTTGCAAAGAATGGCACATTACTTTATTATGTTTTTTCTAGTGAATTTCACACAAGTGCCCTTACATGCTACTACTATCTCATTTTTTACATATTCAAGGGAAAATCGAAACCAGTAGCACCGTCACAATAGATATAATGCTAAGGTTCTCTTACATACAGTGCCCGCTCGATAATTCGATCACTTTGGTCACAGCCGTAAGTGATCGAATTATCGAAATATCGAGTTATGGAATTGGGACTCCGTTAAGAAAAGGAAGGTTCAAGAAGAAAGTATAGACACCCTGTCATCTTGTGTTACATGTAGTAATAAAGTAGCTGATGTCATCTGTCAGCAAAAAACATTGTCTTCTTTACCTTATCTTTTTACTTCAATATTAAGGGCAACAACTCACTTACAAACCGCCAAAAATTTGCTATTTGCACATACAAACAGCAGAATCCTAAAGTCGGTCAACGTGCTTTAGCACAATGGGCTAAGGATGAGTTCAAACTCGAGAAACCACCTGTCCAATCGACAATCTCGCTTATTCTTAGAGAAAAAGAGAAGTATCTCGCTATGTCGGAAACCGAGCTTAATATGAAAAGAAAACGCGTACCAGCATTGCCAGAAGTCGAAAACGTTCTTGCAGAATTCGTCATGGATATGGCATCTGTTGGGCAACCAGTCAACAGGGAAGGCATCATTCTCCAAGCAAAAATTCAAGCAAGACGCCTCAACATTGTTGTTCCTGAAGGATTTCAGTATTCTGACGGCTGGGTCACCAAATTCATGAAACGTCACAGATTAAAATCACACGGTATCCATGGTGAGGCTGGCTCCGTTGACATCGACGATGAAAAGATCCAAAAGCAGCTTGAAGAAGTCAAGGCCAAAATAGCCGAGTTTCCACCTGAATGCATCTATAACATTGATGAAACGGGACTTTTTTACAAGCAAGTGCCACGTCGAACGATTTCGAACAAACCTATGCCGGACGAAAAGTCGATAAAAGTCGTGTAACTGTTGTCCTTGTCACCAATGCAACTGGCTCGCATAAACTTGGCCCCTACTTCATTGGACGCTTTGCTGGAGGAAAAGATTTTGGATCAAAGCTGAGTAAGTTAATGTTAGTAAAACATGAAAAAGAACGACAGCTGATTCAATACACCATAATAGTCAAGGACTGTTACAAGTATTACTTTGCGGGATACGGTCCAATTTTTGCTGGATGCGGTCCGGATACGGTCCTTCAATTTTGGGATACGGTCCAATTTTGCTGGATACGGTCCAATTTTGCTGGATACGGTCCAATTTTTGCCTGGATGCGGTCCAATTTTTGCCTGGATACGGTCCAATTTTTGCTGGATGCGGTCCAATTTTTGCTGGATGCGGTCCGGATACGGTCCTTCAATTTTGGATGCGGTCCAATTTTGCTGGATACGGTCCAATTTTGCTGGATACGGTCCAATTTTTGCCTGGATGCGGTCCAATTTTGCTGGATACGGTCCAATTTTGCTGGATACGGTCCAATTTTGCTGGATACGGTCCAATTTTTGCCTGGATGCGGTCCAATTTTGCTGGATACGGTCCAATTTTGCTGGATACGGTCCAATTTTGCTGGATACGGTCCAATTTTGCGGGATACGGTCCAATTTTGCGGGATACGGTCCAATTTTGCTGGATACGGTCCAATTTTTGCCTGGATGCGGTCCAATTTGCTGGATACGGTCCAATTTTTGCTGGATGCGGTCCAATTTTTGCTCTCTTATTGATGGATAATGCACGTTCGCATAAAAACTTGGAAATTCAGTTAAAAAATATCGAGTTGTGCATGCTTCCTCCAAATACCACATCCCACTACCAACCGCTTGATGCAGGAATCATTGCTTCGTTCAAAAAAAAGTATAGGTACATTGTAAACAACAGGAGATTTAAGCAGACAAAGTGATTTATTTGGATGTTAAGAAAGCAGAACTTGTTGGGCCAAATCTATTTTAGGAGCATCTTATTTCGCAGAGCAACAATTCGCCACAACAACAACGAGCTTCACGATCTTTACAACATTAAGTTCAAACAAGCCTTGGACTGGTCTATTATGGCCTGGGACCGTGTCTCGTCCGAAACAATTTCAAATTGTTTTCGACATACTGGCCTTATGTCAGTGGAAACCCTTACAGAAGTAATTGAATCCGAAGAAGCTGTTGTTTTGCAGGAGGAGGAGGAACTGACCGTCGAACTTGACTCGTACCTAAGATCTGTCAGCAATGATCAAGATGATACGAACACAGTTTTCGTGATTCCAGATGACGAAGACGACGGGATCCATGAGATGTTGACGCTGGAAGAACGAACGGATCGTTTGGTGAATCAGAACGTTGAAGATGAAGGTACAGTAGGGACATCATACAAAGTAAGTGCATTGATGGATAAAATCCCCTCGTCTTTATAATAGGCGAGGAGGGAGAGACCGAAGAACAAAATGAAGAAGAAGATGATGCCGATGCGAATATTAGGGCAATTAAAGAAAAAAAGTGCCTTTACCAAAGTTTTATAGATAAACTTGACATCACACACAAATTGGATATGGACATCTTGTATCTGGTAAAAAAAAGAGTTAGACTTTTGGAGTCAGAGGAGCGGCAATCAGTGAAGCTGACGCAATCCCACCTCATAGACTTTCTAAATTTAGTGAATAAATATATACTACGAATTTTTATTGGGAATACATGTTAACTCTGGACTCTGATGTATGATCCGACACTGATCACTGGTTCGATTCCGCGTCACTAAGCATTTCTATTGGTTTATACTTGTCGATATGTCACAGCCAAGTGATCGATAATCGAATTATCGATTTGTCGATATTTTACTGCTTACCAGCCTGGTCATTTGAGAAAGTGATCGAATTATCGAAAATATCGAGTTATCGAGTATCGAATTATCGAGCGGGCACTGTATATGTTTCTCAAAGGCGTCTTCAACAGCTAAACTTACAGAAGTTTCTGAGAGCATCCCAAGACTCAGCTCAGGTATTAGCAAGCTCTGGTACTTGAAACTGGCATTGACAAAGATGTAAGCATATTACACAATAAAATGAAGTTTTAGGTATCTCCATGTAGTATTGTTGAAGAGGCTATTATTGGAACCCGGACGACGACGATTATGGACTTCGTCCAATACAGATCGATGTGAACGTGTCACAATGCCAGCAACAAACAAAGACGGTTCACACATCGCATATGTACTTGCTCTGATGATGATCTTTCTACACGAGGTTCATGCAGAGCAACGTTTAATTAAGCTTTTCTGTTAAAAAAGATCAGAAATATGTAGCAGGTATCTTTATATCATAATATATTCACTATCGCAATGTGATGCTGAACTACCACAACTAAAGCTCCTGTGCGGAATAAGCGACAAGGATACCGGTTCGTATTAAAAAAGTTCTGTTAGCAAAGAACGCTGAGCGTTTAACCGAGACGACACATCCTGTTCAGAAATTTCGCATACATAGCACAGAGTGAGCAAAAACAAATTAGCAATGCAATACGCTCAATGATTTTCGTTTGATGAGCGATGCAGATTGGTGTATACCAATCGACTACAAAAGAAAAACTAGGAAAAAAATTTAGATGATGATCATACTTAATTTAAGCGCATATGATGATCATTTACTGCCACTAGCAACGCCTCCAGTTCATTAAATGTGGCGCGTGCACAATAAATAATATCCAATAAAATAAGCAAGTTACAGATCTCCTTTTTATGTTACCATATGAAAAAAGATTCTTAATATAACTCTGTCAGAACGGAAGCCGCAAAATTATCAAGATTGCTGCTCGTAAGCATACAATACGTAATATCACAACATGACTCCCTGTATTATATTTATGCAAGAGGTCCAAAAGAAACACAAATGCGAAACCAGTCGCATGGACAATGTCTAGACTTTCTTCACTAGGCGAACGAGGACGAGACCATTGCAATATAGCTTTTTGTACACGCACAGTACAACAACAGTGTCACTCAAAACGAAAAATAGAAGACACACAGGTATTATACTACTACAAATAAGGATTTGTAATGGTGGTACTTGCATCATTTTTTCTAATATATCTGTAGTGCAAAAGTCTCAGATGGATGATGAAGATGGGTGATACCGTAGATGACGATAATGACGTTTATTTTAAAACCTCAAGAAGTAAGAGCCATTTCCATCAATGCTTCACACGCCATCTTTTTTCAATTAATTGTGTGACATTTGCTGGGTTTAGTAAAAACTACATGAATGCAAATGCTATCATTACGGACCCGACTTTTTGGATGGCCGTTGCCGTTAATGTTAATTTCGAAAGATGTATTTGTAGCAGGAGCCAGGAGCAGTAATCTTTGTTTCCATTTTGGCGGATTTGTGTAACTGGAGCATACAAATAAAACAACTGTTAGTAGGTCAACACTGCACTGGTCGAGAGCGATAAAACTAGTTATGAATAGCGCAAGCTGATCTTGCAGGTAATAAGAGATAGGATTGCTGGATTGTTGGAGTTGTTACCAGCGCAATGACACATCGACGAATGCCTACTGTGGTACTTGCATCTATAAAGTTTACAGAATTTCTGCAGCCAAACAAAATAATATGAGGTTACAAATGCACAATGCTATTCATACTTGTTGTTTGCTTATGCACATACAGCAGCGAAAGATTAAAATAGTAATTCACGATAAGAGCAGCCGGCGGGCATTTTTATATGAGAGAAACCAGAAAAAAGGTCATGACTAAAAAAAACCTATGTTTAAAAAAGTTGTAACTCATCAAGGAGCCCTTGTGTTCATCAGACAGTAAAAAAGAGAAAAAAGCAAAAGGAGATATGAGAACATGCGTAAAGGTCAATGCCAGATAACACGTTCATCCACGAATTCTGCACCCGCATCCCAATTGAGATTCTCGTACAACCTAGTACCGAGCTTGGCTGGCGGGCCCGCCAATTCTTTTTTGCAATACACTGTAAAACATGTGCCTTTTGAAATAGAAGATCTAGAGATCTGATACACCAATTCTCCTACAGATTATTATGGTTTGATCCCTGTGCTTAGACAATCCTTAATTTTGATGATAATGATGATGATATATACATGCTCTGTCCTTATATTTTTATGCACAAAAATTTTATATTATTGTCTATAGCTAGAACCTGAGTGCAGCAACCTATTAGAAGTTCTTCTCCACAGCACATTGCCCTTTACCCCTGAGGCTACCTTACAAGTAAAGATCGATCTTGCATGCTAATGCGAACGATTAAAAAAAACTTCTTTGTGTACAGCAGATGACTAGAGTAGTAATACTTGACAAACTATAATTATGTGCGACAGCTGGGGTGGTGATCGTTCGGGTCAGATTGCTTGTATTACAGACAGTAAAAGCCAAGAGACTTTACAGATGCTCGGTACGCATGGAAAATACCTTTGCACATGCGTAAATCCCCAAAGTGACCCCCACGAATCCTTTCTGCTCTCCCCGTTATAACCTGCCTCCCCCTGTCCTCCCCCTTCAACCCCTTGTCTTTTAGAATATCCACTTTAAAGTTTTTAACACTATTATATATAATCCTAATATATGACGGCGGCAGTGAAAGAGGAGGAGGGAAAGGCAGGTGTTTTTCGTTGCTGGGTTCTCGTAAATATTATTGTTTGTTTGTAATGTCAACTGTCGATCGATCAGCCTTCTTTCCCCTCTCCCCCAAGCGCGTTTGCGAGCGTATCGCCTTATAAAACTTTATACAGCCTTGTAGCATCTTTATTACCAAGTGCGGTCTGGTACTGCTTTTCTGTTTGATGCTGCTGTACAACATAAGAGGAAGTAGGATTTCGCGTAGAATTTGGCGGGTTTTAAGGCGCGACTAAACAATTTTGTCCGCGTCAGAGGCGTTACACAAAAAATCGGATGATAGTCAATCATCGCCTGTGATTTATACCGAGCGATAAAGCTAAAAATTCAGCTCAGTTGCAAGTTGTTTATTTCCATGAGCTATATGTAGCCTAAAAGAAGTGAAAGCCATTGAAAGCGGGGTGGTGATGGCGGTGGCAGATATATTTTTTCGGGGCAGCAAGAAAGAAAGAGGAGGGAGAACCAACACTGGATAAGATGATAACGGTTGCTAATTCTATTGTACATTTGCTCACAGACATGGGCGATCGCTCATATCACGCAACAAGTTCTGTTGTACAAGAAAACGCTTACGGGTGGTCAATGTTATTTTAAAATACTGATGTGACGTGTGCCAAAATAACGCAAGAAAAGTAACTTGTTTCCTAGCAACAACGGTAATAAGTTGTTGCTAGGTAACTGTAACAATGTTGCCAAGACAACTAGGTATAAGTATATATACTAATGCTATGGTACTGCTGGAAGAAAAAGGAACAGAAGCGTCGTCGCGGGGCGTTGTGTACCCATCTAACTCTGTGACAGATAAAGTGATTGTTAGAAACTTGGGAACAAAGTGTAATTGCCCACCGGTACATGTAGGCTCTCGTGCTGACTCAATGGCAGAACTGGCTGCTCTCACACACAGTATAGCGTATAATGCTGGAGAGAACATGGCACATATACAAACCACATGAATAATAAAAAAAAGGATGCAAAGCGCGTCGCGCTATATCGCGTCGTCGTGATTTTCATTCTTAGTCTGTCGAGCGTGCAGGCTCTCTATAACAAAACATCTTCATCCCGTTCATCCTGCTTTGTATATGTAAGATTAAAGAATAAAGGACGTAGCAAATGTGCCCAAAGCTGCATATCTCTCGTTTATACTGTCACTCATCAGGATCTGTACAAGACGCATCGGCAAAAAGGGAAGAGCTTTCTACGTAAACGAAAAGAACAATGAGCGAGTTATTTCTTTTCCTTTTTTACAAAAGAGATTTCACTGTAGAAAAAAGCGAGCTGCCATGTGTTGATAAATTGGTGTGATACGACTTTGCTTTTATCGTACAACGTTGCACCGACAGCTAAAATCCAAAATGGCTAAAAAAGCAAGGGCGTAAAGAGGACCCTAAATAGTGCTATATACACCACTCTCATCCAGTGGAGATGGTGCACTATGTCAAATGCTCTTCATTGTTTGACCACCACCTCAGCCACATCCTTAGGTATATTACACGGCCACCAAAGCAAAGACGCACAATTTGTCGGTGCACCTCCCCACCCACACAGACAGACAGACAGCTCGATCCACGTGTCTTGTTGCGCGTGTACCGGATAAACACTGTTGTGTGACAATGGTACGCACTGTGTACGAGTACATACGCGTATGGGGAAGAATGACAGACGGGGTGGGTGCAGAAAAGAGTGGCATAGGTGAAACGACGACGACAAGAAGAAGGCGAGCATGAAAGAACGACACACAAACTCACTACAAAAGAGAGAGAAACAAAAGGGGAAGGGTCGTTTTAGAAAAAGAAAGCCCCTAAAATAACAGATGATTTGTTATGTACAGACCGTAGAGTACAGTAGTACGATTAACACATCAACCCATCCATCCCCTTTTTCGTGATGGTGAGGGGCAGGAGAGGGAAAGAGAGAGAGAGAGAAAAAAAGCAAAAAAAAAAAAAGAGAGCCTTTGCTTTCTTCTTCTTCTTCTCTTTCCCTCTCCACACACCCACACTCACTCACTCACTCACTCTCGCTCGCTCGCTCGCTTTGCACACTTTCCAGCAAGTACACACGCTCTCGCTCTCTTGTACATATTTTCTTTCTTTCTTTCTTCCCTTCTCTTTTTTGTTTCCCCTGGGCGAGCGAAAAAAAAAAAAAGTTAAATTCGAGCTTGCCCTTTTCCGCTTGGCGTCCATGCAACATATCACACACACAATCCACACCGTCCCATAGACTTCTGCTTCTTCTTTCTTTTTTTTTTTTTTGGCGCGCGCGAAACCTTTTCTGTTTTTTTAATACTTTGTATCAGTGAGTTCACCTCCAACTATTTCATTCGTATACAGCACACAACCACCGATACGACCACCACGACCACGACGACAAAAAACGATAACGACCTTCTGATCCATACGCCAACAACTTTTGCAACTTTGACGAACAAACGGACGAGGATCAAACATATACCATCCGAGAAGCGACAACACACATCGATAAAGAAGAACAGCACACAAAAAGAAAAATGACAGTGTCACATGCCATCCTCGTACCGACCAGTCCCAAAGCACAACCAGTCCCAGTCTCGCTGTCGCCACCTGCATCTCTCCCCAGCTCTCCTCGGAACGCCTCAGCTCCCGCTCCCTCCACACTCACCTCACACTTTGTCCAGGCACTGCACGACTACTTGCCCACAAACGCTCCTGCCGACGAGGCCGTGTCCTGTCTGTTTTTTCGGAAGGGCGCCATCATTGAAGTTTTCAATCGCGACAGCTCCGGCTGGTGGGATGGGTTGTCAGGCGGTGTGCGTGGGTGGTTCCCTAGCAACTACGTTGGCAGGATAGGAGAAGCTGTCAGACACAGCGCTGACTTTGAGGACGAGGAGTCGCAACAGCAATGGGAGGCATGGCGGAAACATGCCACGCCCGCAGTGGAGGAAGACCAGGAAATCGTATCGATGGAAGAGGTACTTTTTTTAGATGCAGGCAGTGGATGTGATTCATTGGTTGGGAGGGACTGGGCTAGTTGGCTAGTTTGTATTGGAGAAGAGCAGCTTCCTAAGGTTTTTTTAGACCACCGCTTTCTTGATCCTAAAATGAAACCTTTCCATATTTGTACTTGGACAACCCACCAATTTGTATGCATACTCATTCATTCGTTTTTCTTCTTTGTTCCTTTCTTTCTATTGTAGACACCAGAAACATCTACTGCAACTGCAGAAACAACAACAACAACAACAACAGAACCGTCAACAAAAACAATAACAACCAAACAAAGCCGAGTCGAATTAGCGCGGGCTCTACTGAATGAGGACAGACGAAAAAGCAATTCCTCCACAACAACTACATCTACCACACCGACTGCGCCCTTACCAGGAAAAGAAGATCACCCTGACGATCATCCAACCAAAATACTTGCTGTTCCTAGTTGGGAAATCCTCATGGAGGATGTCTCTCATCGCATGTCTGAGCTCGTTGAAGCGTGTGCAACCTCGAACAACACCCAGCTGGCTACCTTCCAGGTCGTCTCTTCGATCCGTGCCGTCCTCACTGCCGCAAACACCGTCAGTAACGACTCGCCCATCCTAAAGTCACATCCCGAACTCGCTAAGCAAAGAAAAATCATCCTGAGCGCACTGAGTAAATTGGTCCTGAAAGGGAAAAACTTACAGAATGCAGAATACCCGCAACCACCCGATGAGCAGGTGCCAGCACTAGCAAACCAGCTTTTGGCCGAGATGAGCACTTTTGAAGAAATCCTAAAGACGGTGCCCGAGTCCATAACATCTGGTGATGATCAAACACGATTTGGCACTCCCAACGGTAGTCACCATTCGATCTCGCCGCGCTCGTCTCTGGTTTCGGTCGAGTCAAATGGTACAACAGCAAGCAGCACACTACGACAACAATTGGTCGACGCTCGACTTTCTAGCGCCTCATTGATCGCCAAAGCAGTTCCCTTATCCGATGCACAGCACATTCTGCAAACATTGCTAGAGCATCAAGCTTCCATCGATGAGCTGATGACGAGTTTACTCACGACAATCGAAAAGTTCTTAGCCAACAGACAGCGTGCAACAGAAATGCTCGAGACTACACGAAAAGCAGTTGAAGCAATACGCAACTTTCTTGCCGTCGTCGAGCATGTGTGCTCGAATGTGGGCGATATTGACTACAAACACTACTCTGTCATTCCAGAAGATCCGCATCTGGTAGCGCTGGTATTGGCCAAAGAATCTGTATACAGCGCCATCACCAATCTTGTCACATCTGTTCGAGCACTGGCAGGACCCAAGGACCGACAGGAAGACAAAGACTATGCTCAATTGAGGGAGAGTTGTGAAAATGTGGTCCGTACGACAAATGATAGTGCAGCACGTGTACGTATCTGCTTGCAGGTAGACGTTTGTGCTGGCAGCGATAACAACAACAACTATACAATTGCTTCTGACGGCAGTAGTAATGATGTCGACGATGTCAACGAAATGCGCGAGCGGTTAGAAAGTTCAGTCGATGCACGACGTAACCAGACATTGAGCATCCTTGGCCGCAAAGTGACAAGTCTCAATGTCTTGCAGCATCAGTATTCCGATACAATGCCGACAACAACAGCAATCGATCCTACTCCCAATAATGGCAGCAGCACGAGCCTCGAGAAGGTCGACGAGCACCAAGTTGAGCATCTAATCACTGCGCAAGGAATACCAAGTCAGCAACAACAAAACAACAACAACAACAGTAATAGCACACCCCCCGTACCACCGACAGAAGTGGTTCGACGATCGAGAGCAATGTCAAAAACAGGTCGCAACAGTAAAGCAGTGCGTGCCGACACAGTGCGTCGATCAAACCAAGTTGTCCCACCACGAGGATCATCAGCAAGCTCGATTCGCACGAGCGGTGCATCGTCCCAGTTGCGACAGTCGGCCGAATCGATCAATAATTTCACACCAATGACAACACCGGAGACCATGAGTCCTGTAAATGAATTTGGTGGTAATGGATATCCAGCCATGCCTCCACCCATTTATCAACAACAACAACAACAACAACAACAACAACAACAGCAAGTAAGCAGCAACACAACAACATCGCCTTTCATGTCGATTCCACCGCCACCGCCACCCAAAGGTCCCGGCAAGCCGCAGCCAGAGCTAAAGATCTTGAGCTCGAAATCAACGCCCACGGCTGATCAGTCAGGCCGTACGCGACGGCCGCGTGAAATGAGCATATCCGCGTTCAGGATGTCGCTCAAGAACCGTAATGATGACCACCAACGGAACTCGTCGGCATCTACTGAAACATTGGTTGAGCAACAGCCACGGATACGACGGACATCGTCTTACATGTCCATGTCGGAGCGACGAGATAGCGTACAGCCTCAAGAACATGCTGCCACTCCGGTATTACTTTATGACATATTCCATTCATGGATGCGGCTCTGCCTTAAACTAACTTTGTCCTTTTTCATTACAGCATGAGGACGAGCCATGGTTCTTGAAGCAACGTGTTTTCTCCGAAGACGAAATGATGTTCAACAGCGAAGGTCAAGTGACCGGTGCTAGCATTGAAGCTTTGGTTGAGAAATTGACACAGCATGAAAAGTCACCTGGTATGAGACAAGTGTATACTGGGATGCACGACGATCCTTTCCCGTTGTAGCCTCAAAACTAATTGCCTTCTTTTTTATTCTCCAGAATTGATGTTTACGCGTTCCTTTTTTTACAACTTTCGTCTTTTTACCACGCCCATCAAGTTTTTGGAACTGTTGATCAAACGGTTTGAGCTACAACCACCAAGCGATGCACCCTTGAACGCCGACGAGCTGGCCATGTGGACCAATCGAGTGCTCTTGCCTGTTCGTTTGCGTGTGTTCAACGTGATCAAGACGTGGCTTGAAACGTACTTTTGCTACGAGCCCGACGCATGCACCGAGCACATCTTGGTTGAATTCACAGCTGGACCCATGATGCAAGCCATGGCAGGTCCATCCAAACGCATGTTGGAGTTGATCCGCAAGAGGGTAACAATGGCTACAAGTAAATTAGAAGCTCTGTGCCGAGTCACTAACATTCACTTTTTAAAAACAGTTTACATCGAAAGGCATGATGACCCAGGGCCGCAAATTGTCGTACACCAGCGAACCGCGACCCACGCTACACAAACAACCCTCAGGGTCGCACATCTCCTTGTCAGCAGGCACATCCTTATTTTCAACTTTGGCACTTTTTGAAGATCATCACCATTCCGAGCCTGCCGCAGTACCACCACCCAACATTACCCGGTCGCTGCGCAACACCTTGCGTAAAGCCATGAGCCAGGGTGTCCTTTCGAGCGTCCACATTAACGAGTTCGATACGCTAGAGCTGGCACGCCAACTGACCTTGATGGAAAGCTCGCTGTTTTGCCAGATCCAGCCCAACGAGATGATTGGCCAAGAGTTTAAAAAGAAGGTCGGTAGCAGCACTGCCATCCATGTCAAGGCCATGATCCAGCGGAGTACACAGATCACGAGCTGGGTATCCGACACCATCCTGCATGAATCCGATGCAAAGAAGCGAGCTCAGATGATCAAACTATGGATCAAAGTTGGCGATGTAAGTTGCCCTTCGTCAAGTTAATCATGCAAGACGTGTTATCGCTGATTTCCTCTGCCTTTATTTTACTTTATAGCACTGCTTACAATTACAAAACTACAACACATTAATGGCCATTCGATCAGCACTGGATTCCACGAGTGTCGCACGTCTCAAGCGAACATGGGAACACGTCTCGAACAAATACAAGGCCATGTACGATCCGATTTACCGGGCAACCGACTCACAGCGCAATTTTGCAGAATATCGACGACGATTGAAAAGTGCCATTGCTCCGTGCTTGCCATTCCTCGGTGTATATCTCACAGACATGACGTTCATTGACGACGGCAATTCGAATCATCGCACTTCAGTCAACGGCTCACAGCTGATCAATTTCGACAAATACATCAAGACGACCCGTATTCTCAATGACATTGATCAGTTCCAGATCCCTTACAAACTTACCGAGGTGGAGGAAATCCAACGCTACTTGTTACAATGTCTTGAAACGGTACAAAAGGACGATCAGGTGTTTTATACTCGAAGTTTACAGCTGGAGCCACGCGAAGAAGAGTTTGACATTAAAAGCTTCATTTCGAACCTTGCTTAAAAAAAACCTGCTACTACTTTTTGCTGTGTATATACACTGTCGTCATTGTCATTTTCCATCATCGTCACCCTTTTGCAAGACCATACCATCATCATCACCCAAAAAAATCCTCCTTCTTCTTTTCTTCTCCTCCTTCGTTTTTTACTTTGTCAAGCCTCCTTTCACAGAAAAAGAGACACACAATCTTATCTTCCCTTCACACCTACCACCATATAACGTCTCCCCACCCCCAAAACCTTCTTGACTTGTTCTGCATATCTTTTTTATCCCGCTGCTCTCCTAAAAAAAAGTCCAGCCCCTTTCTACTTCGCTATTCACCTATTTTCTACATACCTAGTTGTTGTTTTTTTTTCTTTCCCTTCTTTCGTCCTGTTTTTCCAAACTAATATGTACTGATAATACCCATTAATTAAAAATCAAACAAAAATGCAGTCAATGGTTTTGTTTGCATTGTTCAAATCCATATCTAGTACTACTAGCTCCAAAGCTCGTGATGTCACAACCGGCGAGCCGACCTGCTAACCCATTGCTGCATACGATAGATCTGAACAGTAGAAAGTGAAGACAAAGAGTTCTTACTTTTATTAGCGAGGACCACATTCAATCTCAATTGTGAGCATTTCAAAGAAAACATTGTCTGCTGTTAGCGAGTGTTTGTAAAAAGCTCAGCGACACAGTTATAGGCTTTACTACGTAGTAAAGTTTCCAATTATAGTATTGAAGGTCTGTCACTAAAAAACAGTGGATAATCGGGTCTTTAGAGATATTCATTGTCTTGTGCGTTTCTCATTGTTATCGACCATTGAATATAAGGTATCATATGTATAATAAGCCATAATATATATTGTTGGTATCATTTTCATTTGTCCGATCAATGACATCCTCTTATTCATTACATAGAGACAGCAAAGTTGGTCAATTTAATATTCACAGTGAAAAGTAGAAAGAACCTCCTACATCGGCTGATACTGAATAAAAAGAACAAATATCAATGTTAGGGTTGTTTGTCTCTCATAACATACAGATGAAATTGTTGTTCACCTCAAAGTAACCGAGTGTGCTCCGTGATATGGAAGCCGAATCGAGTGTTTTTCGACAAGTGCAACTTAATACCTACATTTAACTGTCGAGAAATGAAGATCCGTACATGCCATCATTGCTACTGCTACTACTATTGGTGTTATTCCCCGAGTGCCCCGGGACTGCTGTTTATCTGTATTGGCACGTCATCGAGACATTATATTGCGTGTTATCGGTTCGGTTCGATGAGATGTATGTGTATATGTTGGCAACTGGCGCATTTCTTCTATAATGACCACTTGCTATGATACTGTTTGTCAATTAATCTGCCACCCGTTATTGCCATCATTCGGCGCGACAGCGCGCCAAAAGGTTTGCAGGAATCTCAGATAAGCGGTTACTGTGCATAGATCATTTTCATCAACAGCAACAACAACTACGACTAATCATATAAGAGTGTACAAGGCCAAGCGTGTAGAGATTGTATCATATAACCATTTTTTCAAATAAAACAAGGGCAGAGGAAAGAGTAGAAATCTGCAAACCATAACTACACGCGCTGAACTCTTGGCCATCTGAACTCTGATTCACTGACCGTCGCATCAAACAATTTAAATACGCGTAGAAAGCTATATGCAGCTGTGCCTTTTTTTATTATTAAATCCCTCTAACAGCGGCGACAATCCACTTGGTATTTTTCACGGCACCTGTCTTATGATACTGCAAATTCATTGTCTTTGCTCTCTATTAAATACATGTAATTTTAATAAAGCCCAGTATATATTGAGGTACAACGAATAAGCTAAAGTTAATGCTTTTTATGGAAGCTATATGGACCTGCGCCTCTGGGCATGTGGTCACTTCTTTGAGATATCATACATTTTTGGAGGAGAAATATTGGTATATGAAGACATGATGCAATAATGAAAAAATAAACCCCACAAGAGAAACGTTATGCTAATATAGAATAATACTATAAGCTTAAGTTGCGAAGAAAGAGATTGAGTGTATATGCTGTGTTGGAGTAGGTGGTGAGGCTGGTAGCTGCAGTGCTTCTTCTGGAGCTGATTCGTCGTTATATCCGCCAACTGGATGACTCAAATTTCCCTGATGAGGCGGATTAGCGCCAACCAGGACTGCCAGATAGTTGGGCGGTTGGTCTGATGTCTGGGCAAGTGCGTCCGTGAGCTCATTCAGTTTCGGACGTATTAAAAATGGTTAGCTTCCTTGCCCTCAAAGCGACAGTCCTAAAGTGGTTATGGGAGAGCCAGTGCATAAGCCCATTTGACTGGGCTGTGACGGCCCTGGAGAATACAAAATGGGGTTGAATATGCGGGTGGTTCGAAAGAAACTGATCGATTTAAATTTACTGGCTCGGGTAAACATTTCGTCGCCCTGCCTGATGGTTCGAGTATATATGGTATAGTTCTTGGTTCTCTATGGACATGTGTGGATTCATTTTTCCGCATATTATTACTATTACATCTGTGCATAAGTATTCACGCATTATCTGAAGATAGCCATAGAATAACTTTCAGCTTCCATGTCTGTGTAAAACCTGAATAACAACAGAATGTATTCTGTTTCCTCCCTTAATTAAAAGCGACTACTACACAGCTACCTATAGATAACTGCAATTTGTAAATTCCTAAGAAGCGAGTTGTACGAGGGGACCACGTTTATATAAGCCAACACGTAAGCCGAAACCATTGGTATACTTGGCCATGAATACCGTATCCAATTCGAGCGCTTTTTGGGTCACAGTGAATCCATTTTTTTCTAGTTAGTCTGTCAAGACCTTATGAGCATGATATTCTTCCAAACCAAGGCCAGAGTTTTTGTGCAACTAAAAAAAAAGAAAAAGCATAAAGATGTGTGTACAAATTAGAGTCCGATAAGATTGCGGCGATCAAGAGTGTTCCTGCAATTCTGGGTAAATACGATCGTTTTCGGTATAAGCCATGTTTTGTGCTTACTATGTTTGTGTCAGTAGTAGTTAGTTATTTTCTGCTGTGCGATTATGGTACAATGCTCAGTCATAAAGAACAGAGAAATTCAGTCGACCAACATATTTTCCATAGTCAGAGATGCAATTCGAGGGAGCGGCCGGACATATACATATCATACTCAGGGGAGATAAGAAGAAAGAATACGGGTGTGTTTCCAAAAGATCTTCCAAGTTGACAACGCACACTCAAAAAAGCTCGTATCATACGCCGAGAGATTTCTTGACTTACAACTAAGACTTAGTACCAAACAAATGTAGTAAGAATGACTACTTTTACATACCCTGGTGGAAAACTACTGTACATCCATCTTATGCGATTAATGCTTAAACTATATAAACTGTGCTAATGTGCCTAGCGAAAGAGTAGGGAAGGGTTAAAACGAAATCTTATCGCCAGGGATAATACAGTACCGACAAGACTGGGACCAGTAATTTGATGTTGTGGTCAATCTCTCGATCGATACCATACCAAACGAGTGTGTGAAAGACTTTTGAATTGATTTCTCACGCAAACTGTTTGTTATGCTATATTTTCCTCCATATATGTCAAGGAAGAAATTGTCGTGCTGCGGATGTGCAACCCAAGATCTTGGCTTTTCATAATTATTAAGACCAAGCAAGCAATAATAATAAGTTGTATGTGTTGCTACTGTCACGTTATGTTTATTAATTAACAGGCATAAACAGAGGAAACTGGCTCAATTGGATCGTCATGGAACGCGCAGCCCACAGCATCTATTAACAATACCTGTGCACATACCCGCGGAGCTGTGGCTAAATCGGAAGAAACTTTGGATTGATCGAATTGTATTTGCGTTAAAGATCAAATAGACATGATCACACAGATTAATTGCAAATGGTTGTCTACGCTCGACTTTTTGGACGTGTATTGTTTAGAGCTATGTATTAAGGGTCTCCTCTCGAAGAAATGTAACGAATCTGCCATACGACACTCTTGACTAGAGGTATAGCGCGCATCATTAAGAATTTAACGTTGTCAGACCTTCTTCTTTTCACAGGCTATCAAACCTTAAAAATATTGCTTTGGGTCTCAAACCGTAGAATATCGTAAAGATACGTGTAGCTTGGGTGAGGTAAGATAGCTAATATGCAGCATTAATTAAAGTAGTAGCTTGACTACATACAATACGCGTAATACACAATAACAAACAGCACATGTTTGATAGACGGGGGACAACAACAACAAGGCCTTTATTTAAATTGGTCAAATTCCTAAAGAGGCTCGTCCAAAAACGAGAGTGTCGATGTCTTAGCTTTCCGGGAAGGTGCATCGGCATCTGCTCCCGAACCCTCTACCACAAAGCTGGGTTCTGTCTTGGTCGCTTTATGGATCTCGGAGGGTCCGATCGGTATTGAGATGCCAGCGGTCTCATCAATCAACTTACCTACTTAGAAGTCGCCCCGTGCCTACAAAACAAGCATCAGCACCCACCTTGCGCTTACCTACCCTCACTCACACTCACACACACTGAAAAAAAAGGAAGGGACTTACCACATGTGATCGAGAAAAAGCGAGGAAGCAGCACGCTGCGGAAAATGGGTGCCTTTTCATGCACACGTTCAAGACCCCGCTTCTTTTGAAAAAAAAAAAATACCCCCACTCCGCACCCACAGGTCCGTGCCAACAACGCGGGGAACAATGACAGATCTTCTGTATCGTAGCGACAGTATGTAACACTATTACAACGCGCTTTACCACACTTTGGTACGCGTTTTTCACCTATTTTTTTTTGTTTCTATCTTCGCGTAGTTCGTTCGCAAAAATAATCGAAAGGAAAAAAATTATTCGGAGGGTACCAGCCCGAAACCTGTTTTTTGTTTTGTTTTGTTTTTTTTTCACATGTATCATACATCACCCGTACACACGCCGAGGAAGTAAGCACCACGTCTGATTGGCTTTGTGTCGCTACTGCTAAGGGAGGTGGATGAGAAAATGAGCAAACCCAACAGCACTATCAACCTGAAGAAGCAGCCTGTATCGATAATAGTAGTTCTAGGATGACGCGCATACTATGCTGAAAACAGCCATGCTACTCTATAGTCTGCCCTTGACAGTTTAGTTTAAGCTGTCCACATCCATCATTGCGGGCTTGGAGGATCGGCAACCGATAATTGCGTGAGAATCGATGTCTACTTGGGAGACGGAGTGCTGGAGTCTCTCATGTGAAAATCGTAGGCTGGACCTTATGGTGCCTTGTGCGAGCAAAACATCCCCTTTTCTTTTCTGCCGAGCATCAGCATCGTTGAAGAAAAGGAGAGGGTGTGTTGATATCATCCAAACGTCAAGTCGTTACAATATTTTGAAACACACCTCTTTCAAAAAATGGCATTTCTGATATATTATAGTGCACGCCACGCTGAACGCGAGACCCGTTTACGCGACAAGGCTAGCAGCAGCATGAAACAGCAAGTTCAGGAAATGGTATTAGGGAGTCCTTGAACAGCCTGGACCGCAAGTTGCCAGTCTATCATAATCATGTGGGCGTGTGTGCGCTGCGCACTGCTTTCCATGAATTGTAGGGGTTGATGATACCAAAAGATATAAATACGCCCACATTTTTCAGGCCATTTCGTTTTTTCTCTTCACTCTTTCTTTCCTTCATTTTTCTTTTTTCCTTCACTCCCTTGGTTCCTCCTGGTCTTTCTCTTGGCTCTTCCCTTGGCTCTTCCCTTGGTCCTGGTGTTGCCTCCGTTGCGCCTGTCCAACCCTTACTTCCGGTAATCCTGGCTGCCTCAACTGGTCCCTGCTTTGGTTTGTCCAGTCTCGCGTTCAACGGTGTTGGTCACAACCGGTCTCCTAGTGAGACCAGAGGACGGAGGAATCCTTTTTCGGTTTCTCGCCATAGAAATATGGTAGTGTCCTTTTTGGTTGGATGCCTTGTCTCCCGGTCTGGTCTACTATGGTGGGGATCGCGTTCGACTCTCGGCAATCGACTCTCGGCAATCGACTCTCGGCAATCGACTCTCGGCAATCGACTCTCAACATCGACTCTCGGCAATCGACTCTCAACATCGACTCTCGGCAATCGACTCTCGGCAATCGACTCTCGGCAATCGACTCTCGGCAATCGACTCTCAACATCGACTCTCAAGGCTAGACTCATCGCTTTTTCTCTTCTCTTTTCGATCACGTATGGTAAGTCCCTTCCTTTTTTTCTGTGTGTGTGAATGTGAGTGAGTGTGAGTGAGGGTAGGTAAGTGTAGGGGTGGGTGCTGATGCTTGTTTTGACACGGAGCGACTTACTGTATAAGTTAGGTTTTTCCCACCATAGTAGACCAGACCGGGAGAACAAGGCATCCAACCAAAAGGACACTACCATATTTCTATGGCGAGAAACCGAAAAGGATTCATCCGTCCTCTGGTCCACTAGGAGACCGGTTGTGACCAACACCGTTGGACGCGAGACTGGACAAACCAAGCAGGGACCAGTTGGAGGCAGCCAGGATTACCGGAAATAAGGGTTGGACAGGCGCAACGGAGGCAACACCAGGACCAAGGGAAGAGCCAAGGGTGACACTGGGGATCGCGTTCGACTCTCGGCAATCGACTCTCGGCAATCGACTCTCGGCAATCGACTCTCGGCAATCGACTCTCGGCAATCGACTCTCAACATCGACTCTCGGCAATCGACTCTCGGCAATCGACTCTCGGCAATCGACTCTCAACATCGACTCTCAAGGCTAGACTCATCGCTTTTTCTCTTCTCTTTTCGATCACGTATGGTAAGTCCCTTCCTTTTTTTCTGTGTGTGTGAATGTGAGTGAGGGTAGGTAAGTGTAGGGGTGGGTGCTGATGCTTGTTTTGACACGGAGCGACTTACTGTATAAATAGGTAGGTAGGTGATCGCGATTGGTGAGACCGGACTGGGCATCTCAATACCAATCGACCTTCCGTGATCCACAAAGCGACCAAGACAAGACCCTAGCTTTGTGGTGAGAGGGTTACGGGAGCAGATGTCGATGCACCTTCCAGTGGTTGCTCCTGTCAGTATCTGCTTAAGAGCAGAGAAGCTAAGACATCGACACCCTATTAGTAATTAGTAGTTAAATGTACCAAATAAAAATTGTTTCGTTTAACTTTTCACCCGTTAAACTTGTATGTACATGTTTGATATTGATGTAAGACTTCTTCATGCGAAGCGAGGAGGGAGCTCAAGGGCTCGTTCAAGAAGATGATATATGTTCAGATTTGCTGCGAGATCATCAATTTTGTTCCAGATTGCACAATGGAGACAGTTGCAACGAACAATATATGATCGTCTGCAAAGCAGTCAATGTCGATGGAGAACAAACTTGTCTGAGAATGAAATTTGCAGCGCGTGTACATTATCATTTCAGCTACTGATATAAAGAGTTGAAGAATCATTCACATTCTAAGTAAAATTCAATTCAGTTAGCACCAGTTGTAGAGTGAATGGCTCTTAGTATATGCGAATGATGCAAGTCAAAGTCAGCACCGACGACGATATGGTCCATGTATTGATGTTATGCGAACAACACGGTCTTGACTTGGGATGGACCCGACGAAATGTGTCATCGTAAAGTCAACTTATTTCAAAACAATTTACCACATACTTCACCTCTCTTGGTGCTCCTGTCATTGGATGTGGATACTTTGATGGACAATGATCTATTTATACCAGTACAATATTTATCATCCCTAGCATTTGAGTGCTAAAGCACATTAATTGTAGTCCTTTTGATCTCTGACGCCTAAAAGTTAGTTGCCTATCATTATACATTCATTGATTTAGCCAGGAATTGGAATACGTTCTCGTTGCTTCCCGGGAACTATAGCTGTATAACTCAAAAACGAAGATCATGCACCGCATCGCTAAGCTACTAAGCACCTCTGCAAGATTCGTTTGAATATTTGTGCAAAACACTCGGAAGCTCACTTCAGAGAAATGCTCGATATCGCTCGTCTCCTTCCGCTAATATATCTCGTTCTTGCTATATCCCTTCCTTTTCTCAGCCTTCTGACATCATAAGCTACCAGCATCCCTCTCTTCATGACCTCCTTGTTTTTCATGTCAGGGTTTCTAGTTCTATATTATACTCTCGTAGCTGTCCGAACCAAAATGCCTCAGTGACGCAGTGGCCACACGAGACGTAAACTAAAATTCAGAAATCAATTCGTACCAACATTTTATTGCGAACGGCAGCACGCATCAATAGTAATTTGCTGATTTTGAGTGAATATACGTGTGGTGTATGCAGGTCGCAAAGCTGCATGTGTGCGGAGACGAAAGGGAGGGCGAAAATCTGCTGCGTCTAATGATACACACTTCTTTATATTTTTAAAAAAGTAGTCACTCGATTTCTTTTTTCGCTCGACCCACCTTTTTTTTTTGCTGTAACTGGAACGTCGTTCCTCCACATCGTATCAGAAATGAATCAGCAAGGTGCCGCTGCTGGCTGGGGTAGCCTGGCAAACGATGCCCAACAACTGCAACAACAACAACAATCGCCTGCATATAGTGGAGATGACAGTGACGAATATAGTGACTATTGCTCTGACGAAGAAGAATCTGACGATGACGCGCCACTTGCCATCAGCTCGTGGGGCGAACAAACGACGACCAAAGAAGGAACAACAGAATACAATGTGTCTGCCGAAGGCTGGGCGGCGCTCATTGATCCCAATTTCAAATTGGGACCAGGTGGTTTGGGTTCAGGCAACCTTCACCGCAAAGGTGGCAACTACCGACCTGTTGACGAAGAGTATATTTTGAATCATCGATTAAAGAAAGGTGGACCCATGCCTGGTGGAAAGAAGAAGAAGAGATCCAAAAAACCAAACTCCTCTACACCTCCAGTATCATCGTTTTCATCCAATAGTCGTGGCCGCGGTCGAGGTCGAGGAGGAGCACCACATCTACCATCATCAAGACCATCGTCAGCCATGTCAGCACCAAGTCGTTACACACGCCAACCTCCGGCGAATAACGCGTGGGGTGGCAGCCAGTTGACAGATAAGCCGTTTTGGGAACAGCCTGCATCAGCAGCAGCTCCACCTCCACCTCCACCTACCAATTACCAGGCTGGCGCATCTGCTTCGAAATATGCACCCGCTGGCGGATCATCGGCTTCGAGATACGCGCCTCAACCTCAACAACAACAACAACAACATCAACCACCGTTACCGCAACAGTGGGGCCAGCAACAGCAACAGCAACAGCAGCAGCAGCCACCACCACCACAACAACAATGGGGCCAGCAACAACAAAGTGCTGGATCGGGTGCTTCGCGCTATGCCACTCAGGAAAGCTCATCTGCTTCGCGTTATGCTCCGCAAAATGCTGGCTCAAGCTCGTCGATGTATGCGACACCAGGCAGTGACTCTGGTGCCTCAAAATGGGCCTCGGACTCTGGTGCCTCAAAATGGGCCTCGGACTCTGGCGCATCCAGATATGCACCTGCAGCGACTCCCATGTCAACCAGCTCATCTGCCGACTCAATCTATGCTTCTCCCGAAGCCAAGCAACAGGCCAAGGCGGCAGCACCCCCACAAGAACCTCGATCAGAGAACATTCTCTCGATCAATATCTCGTTCCTGCCAGGCGTATACGCCACGCTCTCAGTCCCACGTCAACCCAACGTGGACTATGTCAATTTGGTTGAGGAATTTGCTACGCACCATCGCTTGACCATGGCTGAGGAGGCAAAGCACTCGTTTGCCAACAATCTGCAGAAACTTGTCGGGTTGGAGTACGCCAAGGGACAATAAAAGAAGAAGAAAAAAGGGTCTCTCCCCTGCTCAGACCGTCTCCCACTTGAAATATCTCGCCATCGTCCCAAGTCTCTCTCCTCACACACATATCGCCTTCCCCCCCCCATCGACCCCATTCCACATACTCACATAAACCAATCGTTAAAGCAAAATACATAACATATACAGGCACATGTAAAGGAAAAAACCCACATGAGCACCCCCCTCATATTATGCTCCTCTCCTCCCACCACGTTTATAACCACACACACGTCGTTTACATGACAGCAAAGTACAATGGAAAGATAAATTGTAGTTTAACAAAACCATCACAACCATCTGTGTGTTGATTTTAGAGAGTATATATATATATATATAGATATACATATATATGCGATTTGAGAAGAAGGGACGGGATAATACATAGAATAATAGTGATACAACATACATGATAATAGAATATGGAATGGAATGGAATGAAATTAAATGTAATGAACGAACAGATGAACGAACGAATGAGTAAGAAATACAGAAGTGCTTTGCTGTTGCTAATGAAGAGGGGTGGTAATTTGTTTGCTTTGCGTGTAGGGTATCAATAGTAGTACATCGTCATCGTCAGCGTCATCATCATTTTTCATGATCAATGATAATAGCTGCTGCTGTGTTACGTAAATCCGAGTTCAGCCTTTCTGACAAAGATGCCTCGGTGCGGATCTGTTTGGAAATAGCGGTGTCCGTTGACCGACCCATCGTTTTTGCCGACTACAAAGCACAAAATCGTACGAGATTCGTCGTGTTAGTTGAGTTTGTTCTCTCCTTCACTCTTTCCCTCTTTCACTATCGTCCCCAGCTACGTGCAACTAGACCCTTGTTTTCTTCTCCTCTCGCTCTCACTCTCACTCTTCCCCCCCCTTGTTCTTTAACATACCTCGACTTTCCAATTCGACACCGACCCAGTCGTCACCTATATCGAAGTTCACGGTGCCCATGTAACGGACGTGGCCAAAGATTGGCAAAGGACGATGAAGCAGATACACCTTATCGCCCACCTTTAGTACGCGTGGCTGCTCCTCTGCGTCGCTGTTCTTTTCATCGTCCGAACCCATGATCCGATTCTTCCACTTGGATCGTCTCTTGGACTTTTTGCTGCTGCTCTTCTTGCTCTTTTTCTTCTTTTTCTTCTTCTTCTGACCGTCGTCAAGCATCTTCTCGTCAGGCAATGACCATCGTTGACGTGGTCTCGAGTAAGCCGAGTATGCGGGATTCGGCGACCTGGATCTGGAAGGTGTCACCGGCAACTCAAACCGAAGTGCTGTCTTTCTTGGCGCCGGAGCTGCAGCGGCAGCAGCATCCGCAGCGGCCTTTTCTTGAGCGTCAATGCGGGCTTGCGTCTCCTGGGACAAGAGCAGCTCCAAATCGCCAGAAGAAAAGTAGTTGCCCCTGTCGGTGGATTCCTGAGGAGTCGAGGGAGACGAATTAGCTTTCACCTGCGCACGTGGAATAGTCATGTGTCCGGGCCGTCGTCGGGTATTATCATTTGGTAAACTTGAAACACTGTCAGAATCAGACGAGGCGGAAGTGCTGTCGTCTTCTTCATCTCCTTCGTCACTTGACGACGATGAAGATGAGACAGAAGACACGGAAGATGCATCGTCCTCGTCATCGCTGCTGCTCGTAGCGTCGTCATAGGCTACTGCTTCGTCTGCGCTGCTGCTGGACGTGCTGCCGCCAACTTTTGTTGCTGCTTCTTCGTCTGGCTTGATGCTTGGTGCTGCGGCGGCGGCACCTGCTTTGGGTGTGGAGGAAGAAGAAGAAGAAGAAGATGCTGATGATGCTGCTGCTGCTGCTGCTGCAGGGAGCTGCAGCTCATCGGTTGCAGGTGCAGTGGTTGACGTGGTTTGTCGAGTGCATGTCTGGTTCTCGTCAGCAATATTGCCTGTCGACTTTGTCTTTCGCAGACCAGACGTAGTAAATGGGTTGGATGATTTCTTGCTGCTTTTCTTCTTGCGGAAACTGAAGAGAGGCATAAAAGATAACGAAAGCGAAGAATGGAAAGGCGAGGATATGGGGAGGTTGTAGCAAGAGTGATTGAAAAGAAAGAGAAAGATTGAATCGGATTAAAAAAAAAATAAAAACTTTATTTATATTCAACATCCGCTGCAAAAACATGCAACTCTCTTTTGGTGCTTTGGCCCGAGAATGATCTTTGAGCTCTAGCACCACTCTGCTGAGCTGGGCTGGTAAAGATCAATCACTGTCCTACCCTGACTAATCCCACAAGCTTACCTGTCAAAAACAAGAATTCGATGTCGCAATCGCTGTGCAAACGAGGCGCAGCTGTAGTTGCTGTTTGCTGATCTGCTGCTGCTACTACCACTATTACTACTACCCCACACCTCCATAAGCACATACACAAGATACCATTGTTGAGTGCTGTTGCTGAAAGTGTCTGCCCAAGTCCATCGGTTGTAAGAGACGTCAAAAATAAATAGAAGGTCTGGAACGTATTATATTATAAAAATAGCATTGTTTCAGTCTGACTAGTAGGGCCGAAACTCACAGCACTACTACTACTACTAGAAACCATACGCCAGTAATAATTGTTTATCCGGCTTTCATTTCTCACTTTTCTTGAACTTCTGCATCAATTATAGCTAGCTTATAACCTACATACAATAGATCTTAATTGTTCCTTTTCCGAGCCGAGTAGATCACTTTTCCTCGTCTCATAACACAAGCGACCTGTACTGGTAGTCGTGTATCGACTTTGTCGAGAGCTATATTAAGCAGCATCTGTGACACACCCGCTACAAGACCAGCAATCTGCAAGACGACAACACGACAAAATGGAAGCTCGGCGTCTTGCGCCGGGGTGCCGGGTTTGCGTGTTTTCCATGTATCATACACATATGAAATGCGCACGTATGCCAAGAAAAGTGATTAAGGGTCTGTGCGTCGGGAAAATGGGGCCGCTCAAGACTTGTAGAGCTATGATTGGATACGCATTTACTATAGGCCCGGTATCCTTTACTTCTTTTGCCCGCTGTTGTTGCGCAGCATCATCCGATATATTATGCCAGCTTTTTTACTCAGTCTTGTGTCCCCACTCTTATTGACAGCATCACTTCCATACAGCCGCTTCAGATCAGACACACCCTTAGCGAATGAAAGAAGCCCGGTAACTAGTAGAAGTAAGTACAGCCTCTGCTGAGTTTCTTTTCACTACATATCCGCTTAATAGGACAAACAAAACTGCGGCACCCATGGTTTTCCCAACTACAGTAGTTTCTCCGGTTGGAATACTGCCAATAAGCTGATATGATTACAACAGCAACTCAAACTTGGTGCGACTTTGTGTGGCAAAAAACTATACCTCAAAATAGAGTTGCACCAACCCGTGACTTTGGGAAATGTTATGCTAAGAAAATAAATAAATCGTCATTATGCATCTGAGCTCAATAAGGTGCTTCATCCATCATTGCGTGGCAAAAAGGCAACATAGCAGCGTATCGTTATTTTTGCTTACAAAGAAGCCTCTCCTCCTTCTCTATCTGTTGGTTAGTACGTTGCTTTCTTCATGCAATATGTCAGCCACATTTTGCATTTCTTTTTCCGAAATCCATGTGGTGGGGTGCTTCCATAAGCAAAGTGGCATCATCAGCGTCGCCATCATCGAATAAAGAAGGAGAAAGCATGCAGATCACCAGCTTACAAATACATGATGGCGCCAACGTGGAATATGCTATACACATACACATACAACCAACACGCGGCGCATGTGACACACTACCCATTAGTGTAATCCAGTAATAAATCAACGCGCAATTGGTTGCCATATCCAGTGAGGAAGAACATCCACCTGAATATGGTAAGTCTTACAAAAGCTTCTTTATAGCCACTGCAACAACCAAAGCTACGAATCAGTTATCCATGGAAGTCACCTGGGAAAATGCAAAAGGGAGCCGATGGTCCTACTTGCTTGCAGTAGCTGTTTCTTACTTAATAGACACCTAGTACCCTTGCATAGCCAAACCTGTGATGATATTTTTCGACAACATTGACTATTGCTTAGCCACTGTTGTGATTACACGTAGCTGATGTGAAGTTGTCTCGTGGACGTTGTTGTATCGGTCCAGGGTTATAATGAAGGACAGCTTTGGTGGCGATATATTATCACTACATGCTACTTATTCAAGGTCAAGAACGATCGTCATGTCAATCGGTAAGGATGCTTTCAGCTTACACACCGAAAAGTCGTATTCTTTCTTTTTTATTGATCTATGTGTGAACCATTCAAATTGTGACGCCAAGGGCTCTTAAATCATTGGACACGCGCATCAAGTCCGCGACAGAGCCCTTTCCCTTTCGCTCACCATATATCATGCCTGACCACACAGCACAATTCCGCACCATTGTTCGCGACACATCATTGCATAAACCAGCCACGAAAGCATCTAAGCGCGCCGATAAAAATAAAATTGCAACGTCCTATGACGTCTTTACCAAAGAAGCATACCGCATTTATGAACATGTTACGAGTTTAAAACGATTCCTGCTGACAATTCGTCGACCTTATCTCAGTTCAGAATCACGTCCTTCGAGTAAATCCAGAAAAGGGGCGTCAGTAACAACGACACCCAACAAGAAACAACAGCAACAAAACGATGGCAGTCATTCGTCACTATTCTCATTATTTCCATCCAACATTCAGTCATTAACCGACAATGAACGCGACGAAATTGATTTCCAAGCCAAGATCATTATTCGGCGCTGCATGGATCGCATCAAGGAATTGGAGCAAGCTGAACAGATGCGTAAACAAAAACAGCAAAAGCCTGCTGGTCTGACGCAATTCTTCCAGAGTTTGTTAATACCGTCGATGGCAGAGGATACATTGGCGTTGCATCGAAGTAGTATCACGTGGTTATTGAACAAGCGGCTGGCCGAGGTTTCAGAACTGCAAAGAAATCAACAAGAGATCCGATTGACGCGAGAGTTAGAAAGAAGCGAGAATCAGCTTTACAAGGCGTCATCGGCAAAAGCTGCTATAGAGGAGGATCCAGTTTACAAGTTTGAAGATTATCAGGAAGACAATGAACCACCAGCATTTCAAGTAGACGAACTGTCCCAGGAACAAATGCAAATGCTGGAAAAGGAAAACTCGACCATGTTGGAAGAGTTGAATAATACACTGAATCAAGTGAAAAATGCTGAAAAGGCATTGCTGGAAATATCCACGTTGCAGAACGAGTTGACAACTCATTTGGCAGCTCAGACGGCTCAGACGGATCGATTGTATGCCGACGCGATTGCTTCGACCGAGCGGATCGAGCAAGGCAACGTCCAACTGATACAATCCCGTGAACGGAATCGAGGCACGCGTCATTTCACATTGTTCTTTTTGTTGATGGCAAGCTTTGTATTATTGTTCCTTGACTGGTATGCATAATAAAAGAAGATTTACATATATCCCATTCATCCAAACTGCCTCCAAAAAAGTTTCACATATACACGGCATACACATAGTTGTTTTATGTGATGTAAAACGCAAGAAAATTCTCCGGTTCTTAAGCAAAAAACATAGCTGTCATGGTAATGGTAGAGGTATGACTCAAGCTCTCCGTCTCTCTGTTGCTTGGCTACGGTAGTATAGTTACCAGTCTTGGCTGTTACCATGACGCTAATGTAAAAGAGCAAAACAAGTGTGATAACAACTTCCAGCGAAAGATCAACACATCCACATATACGTCATAGTGATTTCTTTTCAGGTGCACAGTTTTTGATGAAACACATATTAAATACATCACAAATTCGAGGGGAACTCTTCTTGGCACTTGAATATGTGGACATAAGCACGATGACGATGTCAAGCTAAAACATGTCAACTTCTTTTTTTGTGTTTTGAGCGTAACTTTGTAACACAAAAGATAGCCGAAAAAAATTGACTGTTTTAGGAAACGGAACTGGAGTTGAATTATTCTGTCATGAATCTCCACAGATTCGACTTTTTTATTTTTTATTTTATTTCACGCTTTACCTTCTTTTTCTTTCCCTTTGTGCGTTGTATGCCTTTCTGCTGTCGATCACGCGAATGTCGACACATCCTTCGACTAGACCACTCGCAGGATATGGAGCCTCCCCCTTGGAAAGCAACAGCCGGCCGGCCTCACCTGATTCCGTCCGTCGCAACGCCAATCGACGACGAGATTCTGCTGCGCCGCTTATGCACACGCCGCCGATAGGGGCTGCTCCTTCCTCTTTCACTGCTGTTGCGCCTACTGCTACTGCTACCAGAACAAACGGCTCCGTTTCATACAAAACTGAAACTACTCATCATCACATCGACTCTGCAACGACAATGTTGGGCGATGTGCAATCGTCTGGTTTATACCGGCGGCGCAAGAAAACGGGACACGGCCAAGACGACGAGTCTGACGACGCTGACGCTGACGACGACGACGTAGACTCAGACCGGGAGTTGAATACTAGTGATGAAGAAGACAATGAGGATGATGATTCGAGTGACAATGATAGTACTATAGCCGGTCATGATGACATGGGCGAAGACGATAGTACATTATTAACGACTCATGGCGGCGGCAGTGGCGGTAATGGTGCCAACGATATACGTATCGGCGGAATGGATCGCGGTGATCCATGGCGCCAAACTTTGCTTGTAGAAGAAGACGTCGAGATTAGTATCCAGGGATACCGAAACCATACGTTGGGCTTTCTGTTGTATCGGATCTCTTGTATCGCATCATTGGGAGTGGTGTGGCTCGTGTGTCGCTGGATGCCGCAGTGGTGGGTTTCGTGGGTCGGGGAACGAGCCACGTTAAATGAGGCACAATGGCTCGTATTTGTGGTAAGAGCAAAGTAGTAATGAATCATTTGCTTGTGAAGAGATTTGGATCGCTTGCCCTACAGTCTTGATGCTCTAACAACGATCGAATACTCCAATGTGTTCTAGAATCAATACGGTGAGCAGGAGATACTACGACCGCAGCACGAGTTCTACGGGGGCACTGTTGGATCCGTGTTTTCTGTGGATCAGATGAGAGAGGTCATTCGGAATGATGGATGCAGCCCTGACGAAGCTCGGCGTTTGTTGAACATGGAGGAAAAATTGACCCACTTGATTATTATGGAATATCGCTATGTCCGGTTGGCGTATCATCCATTGCTACGTCGGTTCTTGATTATTGGGTAAGCTATCCTTCTTGTTAATATGTGATGTGGTGCTACTGCATAGGCTAACTGTTATTGTCTGATAATAAGGTTCTGGAAGGATACAAACTGGACATCCATAAAAAATGCAAAGGCCGGGTTGACTACAGAAAAGTATATCCAACGGCTTTGTGCGTTCGGACCTAATTTGATCAACATCCGTGAGAAACCTACAGGTGCCTTGCTGCGCGACGAGGTAACTCTTGTTACTAATTCTGTTATTAAAATTAGAGTCTATTCTATAATCATAACACTGCATATTCTTTGTGCTGTGCTTTAGGTGCTAAACCCTTTCTACGTGTTTCAAATTGGAAGTATCATTCTATGGAGCATGGATGATTATTATTACTATGCATTCTGTATTTTTACCATCAGTGCAATAAGCATCATCACAACGCTCGTAGAGACAAAACAGGTACCCATAACACAAATATCAAGTGTGGAGGCTGTGGATAATTTTCTATTTGCTTATGATATATATGTGAACCATGATAGACCATGAAGCGGATGCGAGATATGTCAAGATTTGAATGCAGTGTCCGCACGTTTCGGAACGGATCATGTGAGTTTATGATTTTATCGTAGAATCACTGTGGAACATGGTTAAACCGATTTCTAAAAAAAACACTAATACGCGCTATGCTGTGTAATGATAATGCTGATGATCAGGGCGTACGATCAGTTCTACTGAGCTTGTACCAGGTGATCTGATCAATTTGGCGGATTTGCATACGGTCCCTTGCGACGCGATGCTTATCTCGGGTGACTGTATTCTAAATGAATCCATGCTTACGGGCGAGTCCGTGCCTGTATCCAAAGTTCCCGCGGCTGACGCCATTGTGCGCAAAATGGACCTTTCTGGACCCACAATACCTGCAGAAATCACAAAGCACTTTTTGTTCATGGGTACCAAAGTGGTCCGTGTGCGTTGTGGTAACAATGTCTCGGCTGCTGTTGCCTTGGTCGTGCGCACAGGCTTTAATTCGGCTAAAGGCTCTCTCGTCAGAAGCATGCTGTTCCCCAAACCAAACAACTTTCAATTCTATCGTGATTCATTTCGATTTATTGGTATTCTTGGGATTATCGGTACGTTTGATTATTTGTTCTTTTGTGCACATTATTCGCATGTAGCACATTATTTGCATGTAGTATGTAGATCGAAGCGAAAGATGCTGACCAGAATACACTATTCGCAAAAACAAAAAGCGGTATGCGGATTTATGCTATCGACCATCAACTTTATCCGCCTGGGCATCGATACGGAAACCATGATCTTGCGTGCACTGGATTTGATCACTGTCGTTGTTCCGCCTGCATTACCTGCTACCATGTCCATCGGTACCAGCTTTGCCATCGGTCGTTTGAAAAAAATTGGTATCTTTTGTATATCTCCACCAAAAGTCAATATTGGCGGCAAAGTGGATTGCATGTGCTTTGACAAGACCGGAACATTAACCGAGGATGGTTTGGATATTCATGGATTCCGAACTGTATCGGCACGTGAAGAAGGAAGTAGCGTGAAACATTACTTTGATGACGAAAAGCTGTCTATGCAAGGTACCAATCCAAGCACGCACGATCTGGAAGAAGAGCGTTGTACAAAGGCTAGAATTTTCCGTGCCATGACCACTTGCCACTCGCTCAAGATTGTCGACGGAGAATTGATTGGTGATCCGTTGGATCTGAAGATGTTTGAACATACCCGATGGGAGCTCGAAGAAAGTGGTGGTGCGTCGTCTACTGGTCTCAAGACAAGAAGCGAATTAGCGGCTCTGCAAGCTAAAAAGAGTGCCAAAGTTGGTATCATGCCCACAGTTGTCCGGCCGCCCGGTGGACGCCAAGAGTTACCTCTTCATTTGGTATGCCATTCTTGTATTTATTAAATTGTCAGGAAAGCACTCTAAACGCATTCATGGGTGTGCTAACTGTAATATTTACGCCATAGAATCATAGCGAAGCCGCGCCTGTTGAGTTTGGTATCATCCATTCATTCGAGTTTGTATCTGCTTTGCGACGCATGAGTGTAATTGTACGACAGCTGGCCAACCCAGTCATGGAGGTTTTCGTCAAGGGTGCACCTGAAGTCATGGTTGATATCTGCAAACCAGAAACTTGTAAGTTCAATTAATTGAAGACGAATAACCTCTTCAAAAGCACTTATTGTTTGCTGTAATACGTGATAAATAGTACCAGTCAATTATCAAGAAGTTTTATATTATTATACACATCGCGGATATCGTGTGATTGCATGCGCATCGCGTCAGTTGGACGGTGTCAAGTGGCACAAGCTGCATAAGCTAAAAAGGTGAGTAGAACACAGAGAGAGTTATACTTCAATTTAAAGAGCAGCACTATGTATTGACTGATTTTACACACTTAGAAACGAAGTTGAGTCCAATCTTACTTTCCTCGGGTTTATCATTTTCGAAAATAAGCTCAAAGCGCGCACGATCCCTGCTCTTACAACACTGCGCAACGCGAATATCCGTCAGATCATGTGCACTGGTAAGATATCACTTGTTCTTTCGAATTCGTTACCGGGTGCTATAGTATACTAATCAGATGATGTGTGTTTTATTAATGTCTTAAGGTGATAATGCATTGACAGCCATCAGTGTATCTCGAGAATGTAGCCTAGTAGATGAATCTGCAGAAATCTATGTACCCAAGTTCTTGAGTGGCTCCTCCACAGATCCCAACTCTCAGTTGTCTTGGGAAAGCGTGCTGTCAGAAGGACAAAGTCTTGACAACGATACTTTGGAGGTAAGGAAGGATACTAGTTTTAAATATTTTGAGACTAGATTGAAAACTAATATATGACTCAAAAAACCCCATTAGCCCCGTCGCTCGGATTATTATGGGCGTCCTTATCATCTTGCTGTTACAGGCGAAGCCTTTCGCTGGATGGTTGACAATGCACCCACCGAACTTTTACAACGCATGCTCGTTAAAGGTGCCATCTATGCTCGCATGTCACCGGATGAAAAACAAGAACTTGTGTTTGAACTACAAAATATCGGCTATTGTGTTGGATTTTGTGGTGATGGTGCAAACGATTGTGGCGCCCTCAAGGCAGGTGACATCGGTATCTCACTGTCGGAAGCAGAAGCATCCGTTGCTGCGCCATTTACTAGTAATACAATGGACATTGCTTGTGTTATTGATGTGATTAAGTAAGTACATGTATATGACTTGTTTCGTTCATATAAGTCGATTAATTTTGAATTGGCAATCTGTTCATCATATAGGGAGGGACGAGCGGCCTTGGTGACGAGCTTCAGCTGCTTCAAGTACATGGCCCTCTACAGCATCATTCAATTCACTTCAGTCACACTTTTATACGCATTCGGCAGCAATTTGGGTGACTTCCAGTTTTTATACATAGATCTGTTTCTTATATTGCCCATTGCCGTCTACAGTACGTATTTCTTTCTCCTGTGGAACTGTATTCTGCAGTGGCCATATGTTTTTCTTTATTTTATATGGTCAGTAAAACTAACGGTATGGTGATGATGTGTATATAGTGGGTTATACTGGAGCATGGCCACATCTTCATCGAAAACGCCCTACAGCAAGTCTTGTATCGAAAAAGGTTTTGACCTCTCTCCTTGGCCAGATCATGATTACTTCGAGCTTTCAATTCATTGCTTACTGGGCGACGCATCAGCAGGAATGGTACGTGCCCCCAGTATTCAATCCAGACGGGGAAAACATTTCGTGTTTCGAAAACACAGTTCTGTTTTTGCTTTCGAGCTTCCAGTACATCTTGATCGCTGTGGTATTCAGCGTTGGACCACCTTACAGACAGTCCTTATGGACAAATGGTATGTGGGCATATATGTCTAAGCATAGACGTGTTTTGCAAACTCTCATGTTCCCAATGGAAAAAAAAAGTTTGCTGACGGAATCAACTTGTTCTGTGTAGGACGACTTGTGTTGGCCATCACACTGCTAGTTGCATTGACAACTTGGTGTGTGCTATTCCCAAGCGGCTGGCAAACGAGCCTGCTCGAACTGCAAACGATCCCATTCAGTTTCCGAATTTTTATTATGTTCCTTGCGGGTGGCAATCTTGCATTGAGCTATCTTTGTGAAAAGTACTTTTTCCCTCATCTCGCTGTATGGCTCTCTAATACCAAGAAGAATCTCAAGAGCCAGCGAGCACAGTCAGGATACGCTCCATTGATCAAGACACATAAAAAGATATATAAACGGGTTATGGACGAGATGGGCATTGTAGATATTCACCATTGAAATAAACTCTTTACCTAAATACTAGTATACTATCGCCTGATACATATACTACTCTATTGCAAAAGTTGGTATACGAAGCTATTTTGAGGGGGCCTTCCATTACTAGTAGCAGCGAGAGTTTGTTTCAACAGCGAGTTGAAAGCAATATATCCGCTAATACAGGTCCGATTTGCTCTGCCTGTCATTTTAGACATACACAAACACTTCAATATGCCTATATATGTTGAAAAGGATGACTACGTCGCCAAAGCAAACAAGGTGAAAATGGAAGAAAAAGACATGTTTAGACATTTACCTTTTTATTCAAGGTTGCTACGATTTTGCTGATTGTCTCATGTTCAGGTCGTGAATCTCATTCCGTTCCTGGAGAGACCAATCAAGTTTGAAAGGTTAGCATTGTATGTTTTCTGCTCAACGTCGTAATTGTCTCACTAATTTATTGACTGCCGAATTGCTTTAACTGAAAATCATGACTATAAGAGATGATCTCGTCATAGATTTCTATACAGTGAACGACATGCCTGAGCACTTAAAAATATGGGCCTTTGAACTCGTCAAGACCAACCTATATGACATGTACATGCAGTATTTCATACATTTCTTCAATCCCACTGCGCCTTTACCGATTCAATTTATACACATAGACATTAAGAGCTAGAAAAGCTGACATATAACATGATCTTGCAACAGGTACGCAAAATCGAATGATGGATGGGACGAAGAACAGAAAAAGAAAGAAATGCGCGCGCCGGAAATGCGGTACCTCGTTGCCAGGGCAGCATCAAATCCATCAGAGTTGAAAGGATTCTTATCATTCCAAATGTTGCACGAGGAAACGATGGATGATGATGTCATGGCGCAAGCCGCTTATTGGTAAGATGAGGTAGAAGAGGTGGGATGGAAAAATGAGCGTGGATACAAGAATCTAAGCAACTGAATGTGGTATTTGACATTGTAGTTTCGAAGTTCAGCTTGTTTTCAGTGCACGGGGACGTGGGCTTGGTGAATTCTTAATGCGATTACTCGAACGTATCGGCAGCTATTGGCATATGGATAAAGTCATGCTGACCGTATTCAAAGGTAAAAACAAGAAAACAAACGAACAATGTAATACCTTGAACGCGTATTGATGATCTGGGTTGGGCCTATTTAAAGCAAACAAGGGCGCATTTCGACTTTATACTGAAAAATTAGGGTATGTTGCCTTCATGTATTAGGAAAATTATTAATAGTAGTGTACGTTGTTATATGCTGAGTAGTAAGGGTAAACTGACAAATGAGGTTATGATGAATGCAAAATAGGTTCACGTTGGATGAGATATCACCAGGCGCATGTCTTTCGGCATTACGGGCCCGTCGATTCGATTATGAAATTCTCAGCAAGCCGTGTAACCACCAAATTGAAAATGGAAGTGTGTTGTGTAAACAATGAGATGCAAATGGAGGAGGGTAAATTATGCAAGTTGCACGACAAAAGAAAAGGAGAGACAAGGTCCAGCTTATCCACAATGCCACGAAGGGAACGAGGAAGTAGAAGTTTCGTCATAGAATGGTGGTGATGGTCGAATAACTCCCTACCATGACGACTAGGATTTGAATGAGGGCCCATAGAAATGGAATCCATGTGGACATCACAAAGAACCCAGCATTGTAAACAAACGCTAAAGCAACACCTGATTTTATGTATGTAAAAGTTTAATATTCATGTGAATAATATATGTGAATTATATCACATCTTTTCCTTCGCTTTACAATCGTTTCATGCGCTTACCAATTATGCTTCCAATGACAAAGGATGCGAGTGAGCCAGCCACCACAAAAATGATGGGAATCATTATTAGTGTGTACCAGCGTAATGTCCGTGCTTTAGCAAACATCAGAAATGCCCAAATGCCTGCATGCATTATGTATTTTAGCTTGTATATAAATAAGTACAATAGAGCGTGTCTGTTCGGGACCAATTTTCGCAGCTTACCTGCCGGTAGATAGACAACGAGTGCAAACAGCACGGACCAAACCATGGTATATCGCCAAATATCTTGATAGAGCCATTTAAGCGTTAGTCTTTATCCTAGTGTTATAAAACACATACTTGAGCGAAATTCACCTTGAAGATAATATAGAGAATGAGGAACATCGGCGATCAGATTGACTGGCTCAAAACCCGGTCCAAATGGCCAATACAATGACGGCCAAGGAGGTGCGCCACTATAACCATAAGGTAAACGAAAGTGTGATGTCGACATTGTTCAACAACGATTTGAACAAACGAAGAAAGAACCCGTAAAAAATGCAAGCGGGAGCCCTCAATGCCAGGAACATAATTGTATGTAACTGATTCAACCAATTAAATCGATTGCATCGGATCCTATATCCACCGCACATCCGTGTTACATCAGGTGGCTGACCCTTTCTCTTTCATTTCAAGGGACCAACTATGATATATGTACCAAATGCTTATGCTGCTTATAAGCATTCGAGCATCTTACAAGATAAACCAAAATATACAGCGCTGTATATTTCTTCTTATTGAATCAATAGGATGATGGCGTGGTTCACAAACATCTACGTAAAGATAAATTCCGATAGCCTTGTATCTTTCTTATATCTTTTCTCCTTATCGTCGGTGCCGGTGGTTTTGTCCGATTTATTAAAAACAGAAATATAAACATTTATGGCGGTACCCATTAGCGATGGATTAAAAGCGTTGGTGATCCATTGTAAGTCTTATAAACGCGTGGCGGCAGTCATGCTAAATAGGTATGTAGCACTAGGGACTCTTCGTCGTCGCTGTCGCAATCTTTGGTCAGAGTGGTTTGAATATACTGTGATCTCCTTGACCTATTTCATGGTAGTGCGTAACGTGGCAGTTTACTGAGCTTTTCAATATTCAGACTCCATGTCCCCAAAGCGGTACGCTTGTCCATATTCTCCTTGTCAGCTAGTGCTTCCACGTTTCTACGTCTTCTAGGCTGGCTTATTCGCATAAAGCGCAGCTTTGCTACCAAGCCGTTGCGTGTATTGGTATAATAAAACTTGGTTTATATGTGAAGGCACATATTGTCGTCAGTATATCGCGGCGATTGGAACAAGGTGTCCGAGTAGCACAGAATGGTACATGCCGCCCGTCCATACCAGTCTAAGAAGGCAAGTTGTGTTTGCGCATCGAGCTTTCGTGGGTTTTGGAGAACTGAAGCACAAAATGGAACGGTCGCTCGTCGCGATGATCCGATAAAACGTCCGGCTCACAGTACCAGCGTCTACATGATAATTGATTTTCTATCTTGCTATCTTTGAGGACATCAGGGAAAATGTTGGCAAGGGCGATAATCTTTTCGTGATCTTTCGAACTTGTTCGATAATGGGCTTCAACAAGCGCTTAATTGATGCTGCCTCTTCCTTGACTACGAAAATTTAGCATAAATTAGGATAAGCTTTCGACTATAGCTGGAATGGTGCTACTGAGCCTATTTACCCATAGGCTCATGTATTTGCCGACCAGTACTGGTAGGAATACAGTAGCTGCATATCACACCCTTGGTTAGCAACCATTATATAGCTTGTGATTCGACAAAGAGCTTGTTATGAAAGAGGCTATATTATTACCAGTAAGTGCACATGTGGTATACTCGATGGCCGAGCGCTGAACTATGAGCGGCAAAGCAGAAGAAAAGAAGATGAAAGGAACATATGTGGGAACAACATGCTATAGAAGGCGTTCGAGCATGCAGAACTTGCATTATCATCTGGGGCTTAGACAGGGAAAACATGTCCATTTTTTATTCAATAAGCCTGATTCAATCAATAGAAAACCTCGTAAAACATTTATGATGGCGCTGCAGCAGTAAAATTGTAGCATACAACCCATATCCGTATATCACTAAGTCCTGGGGGAATTATCGGGCTGCTGACGATGATAGTATGACCACCGTATTGGCCTTTTGAGCCTTACAAGGCCTTGGAAAGTCGCTTTGATGTCCGAAAGGAACGACAAATTGCTCTTTGAACTTTTGCCCAAGCCGCAACACCCAATACTAAAAGAGTAATGAAGAGCAGCCATAGAATTTGAGTGGCAACGTTTGTCTCTCATTTTAGTCCAATGTTTGAAAGAAAACAACATTTGCATATGTATATTATGTCTATCACATATGTACATCCCTTAAACCTAGCACAGATACTAGTTGTCGTCTACATAATTGCTACTGATATATTTTAATACCTAATATGTAAAGCCGTTGCGTTAAGCAAAATACACACTGCTTTTTGGTTAAATATAATAATGGAGGTAAGAAATGTATATATAAAGAATACGTAGAAAGAGAGACTATAAGGGAATATAAATATGTATAGACTAAATATAAACTAGCCAGTAAAAATTCTGAAAATAAGGTACAGTGTGGCGCCACAGAAGCGAATAACCGAAAGGCCTGCTACAGACCACAAAATAAAACCAAGATAAATTGTGCTTCGGGTCTCAAAATCACCCATCCAGGAGAATGCAGAAACGCTGGTAATAGCAATGATCAATAAAAGGTTCGAAATAATCCAGAACAAGATAAGGTTTGTACGGAAAGCCTTATAGTAATCCTCCTGCTTGGTTTGAGCGTCACGATGCTCTGGTTCCTCCTCAGGCTTGCGTTGTAATTCGATACATGCAGCTTCATATGCTTCGTTGATGTCCTTTTGCTCCGTCGGCAAGTCAATTTCAGCAGTATGTTCACCAGATTCGTCCTTATCGGATTTGACGACACCGAGATCCGTATTAACCTTGTTATCACCTTTGGTACCCCACGAAACGTCGTGGATGTTACAGAATGCGTATACGTTCAAGATGTTGATGTAGGAGGGGCTGAGGAAAATATCTATTTACATCAAAGCAGTTTTCTCATCAGCATCAATACTCCAATTAGTTTGGTATAAAATCCTGACAGTATGATACTTACATTGGATGAAACTAGTGAACATATGCCATGGGTCTAGAAACATGAAAGACGCTACGAAATACATAACGTAGGTAGCGCAGACGGAAACAACAATGTTGCGGAACATACTTTCACCCATCATGGCAGTAAATGAAGCATCAGTGTCCTCAACAACGGCAGTAATACCGACAATCGTGATCCAAACCGTGACGAACAGCATGTATCCCATCAGTAAAGCAAAGAAGATCATACTAGCAGTGTACAAGAACTTGGAGCCTTGAGGACGGTTACCCAGAGCAATAATAAACTGAATAATCATCAGTAGACAGTAGACGTAGTTGAGACCAACGTGTAGATAGTTGGCAATCTCGCCCGAAAAGGGCTTCGGATCCAGCGAATCAGCACTTAATGCTTTTGTAAGGATGTAAAAAGTCAAATAAAAGTTGCCCTGTGTATAACAAACACATCACCATATTATATCAGTTATGAACTACCGTCATTTTTCGAAAAGTACCAAAAGCGCTGATTTTGAAAACGAGTACTTACGATTGCAAACCAGGAAAAAATCATGTTGTAAGTGCTGTACAAGTTCTCAATCATGAAGAAGAGTTTACGGAAAATGGAATGGTCAGATGACCAAACTTTACGCCAATGCCACAAAGCATAAACACCAGCAAAAAATGAACCTGTGTTATGAAAAGAAGAGTTATTATCTGCTCTGCTTGTTTGCCCCACAACTTTGCGATTCAGCACCATTGCCACTTCTTTTCTTTTTTGCTAACTTACCGTTAAGCCAACGACGACGTTGAGAGATCAATTCTGCAACAGTATCGGGAACATCAGTCTCACCATAACTACTGTTAACATAGTGAAGAACATAGTGGGAGTTCTTTTTGGCCACCAGCTATGAACCACAATATGAAAATGGAAGTTTAGGAAAGGAAAAAGCGGTATATTTCCACAAAAGATATTTCTACACTTTACCTCGTAACAAAGAATACGATCCTCAGCGAGGTACATGTTGGCAGTAAAAATATCGGCATCACTACCATGCATTGTCTCGCCCAAAAAGTACTTTTCAAGTGGACCATGGCCATTGACATCGTTTTGGAGAGCCACATAACGATATGCTGAGAAAGCGCCAGGCAAGACAGAAATATACCCAAAGACAGATTCAAGAGGCTTGTCGAGAATATTGGACATTTTGTATTCAAAATTCTGAGCAGCGACAAGTGGGTTGAGTAGAGCGACACCGGCAGTGCCGGTCATGGCACGAATCTCACCACAGGCACCAGCGATATTGGAGTTGATATCAAATGACTTCCATAAATGATAGATCGACGTACCACCAGGCCGTGTTCCCACGTCAATTAGAACACAGACATTTGGCTGGATCAACGGACCAAAGGCTTGCAGAAACCAACGATGCGAGTTGATCTTTTTCTGGTTCTTTTCCTTCAAGCAGAACAGCATCTGGCATGGCGTCATGCCCTTGTCGGCACCCTTGAATTTCATTTCTGGATCGACCGAAAGTTGAGTGGTATACTGTATTTTTTTTGGTTAGTCACTGACAGCATACCGTTCCCTCTCCTCTCGTCGTCAGCTTAAACAATAACGATATTAATGATGCAATATAGTAATTTACCTCGTAAATATGGCCAGTAACCTCCTTGTCACCGACCATGTTCTTAGCAACACCGTCTTGATAGACGCCGAGTGTGGCCAGCAGTGACAGAGTTCGCTGATTGATCTTGTTACGACCATCCGATACCACGCAAACCACAACTTTCTATTATAGGATGTAAATAAGTTGTATCCTGCCTTTGAAAGATAATTTGCTATAGAGATAACTAACCTGCCATCCATTATGACCCCAAGTTTTGGATCGATCACGTCCACATAAATGTGCAATGTTCTTCATCACACCGTGCATTGTACGAGCAAACAGGATCTCATCTTCCTGCAAAGTATCGTGTTGTTGTTTGCTTAGTTTTTTTTCGTAAAAATCCTTTCCATCTATCCCTTCCGGCAAGAGAGACATCCTTCTTACATTATACATGGTCAAAACAATGAAAAGTTCAGTCTGTCGCTCCAAGAGCTGCTGGCGCAAAGTATACCCCGAGGTTGCGAAATCTTTTGGATCGCATGTGGCAGCTGTGTATCTCATATGTGTAAATTCTTTGGATTCCTTGATGGGAACGGCTTGGAGATATCGTGTAGGCACAGGACAATCGAGCACAAGGTTACCGCGGGTCAGCTTTACCTTTCGGGCTGTTATATGTATGCAAGTAGTTGTAATATAACAGTTATTATAGCTGTTCTATAGCGCGTAGCAGTTCTTCATCCACATAGCAGCTGGCTTTTTCCTTACTCGTCTTGTATCGTCGTGGCACGCGTCTGGGTGCTTCGCCATAGTGTGCGTTACCCGGGGATCCAGGTTGGTAACCAAACTGTGGACGAGGCGAGCCCATGGGTGGCGGGGTATGGCCCATGAAGGGCGAGCCAGTGCCGGAGTGCTGAGGCCGGAGCAAAGGTTGGTTGTCAACTGGAAACGGATCTGCAAACGGTGAGCCTCCGCCGTGACGAGGCGAGAAATGCGTCTCTTGCATTGCGTATTGATCGTAGTCGTTTTTGCTATGCACTGGTGGCGGACTTCGGTACATGGTGATGTTATTTTACTGTTTTCGGCTCTGTTGTTGGTGTTGTTGGTGCTGCCGTGGCGTTGGATGATATACCTCTAACAGGTAATGGAATATACGGAACAAGGAAAGGGCGGGGTTTTATGGAAACTGGGAGAGATACCAGCTCTTCACAGTATGTAGACTTTTTAATGTATGCGGGATGTAGCTTTCAAACTACGTAAGGAAGGGGAAGGGAGCGAGTTGGGTGAGCCGTAAAGACGAGCTTTTGTAAAGAAAGAAGAAAAAGGAAGAGAAAGAAAGAAAAGGACCTTTTGGATAAAGAAAAAGAAAATGGCAAAAAGGACAAAATTGATTTAAAGTGAAATTATGTGTAACAGAGCGTGCTACACAAGGTTTTCCTTGACCTTTAAATATAACTGATTGCTCCTTCCTATCTCGGTTTAGCTGTCCCTGATTCTGTTTCTTATTTTCTTTTGCTCTCCTTCCATCCCCTCCTTGAGCCAATTTCCTTGATTTCCGTTTGCATCCTGCTTTCCCCAACCGACATACTAGCGAACAATGAGGAACTTGCTGCTGCTGTTGCTGCTGATGTATCCTATACGGAACCATGCTATCTGCAGGAAAACGAAGGGGGAACTGTTTCGCTCTCACGGAACTGAACTTTTTTTTCCTAGGCTCTGAATAGCATATCCATGCAATTTATTAGCAAATTTAGAGTTTGGTTTCTCGAATGTATAAATAGGCTCCCTTTAACAATGAGTTCATCATCTTGTTATTGCTCGCTTACTTGGCAACAGCACAAGGTGTAACTATGAGACATATAAACTGAGACATATCATTCTCTTCTCACTTTATTATCGTTCTGATCAGTATCAAGTTGCTTTTTTTGTCTAATTGACTGAGCGATATTCGTTGCAGTCTGTGTCACACTGCAGACTGTATCAGATACTGAACGTGATTTGACAGGATCACTAAACAGATGTTACTCCAACTTATATCTTGTGTGTGGCTGCTGGCCTCTTAAATTCACGTTCGTTGTTTGGTTGATGGTATTTATGGGGCTAGATCGCGAACCATATCTGTTTATATAGATTGGAGAGAGCTATTCTACCACCATGGACATACCTGGACCACAAAAACAACAGAACTGGAACCCAATGCTCTTGCCGTTTTTGCAGAATATACTACTATCAGTGTACCCTATCAAATTCCATCACTTATTCGAACATGAGCATGCCCTCGCTACATCAGAGTATAGTTTTAGGCATGAGATTTCAGATTGGACATTTTGCTGCTTCAGTGAAGAACTAAAAAGGTCGTTATTGTTTATCTTGTTGCTAATATAGTAGCACCCTTCGATTGCAAAAGGAATAAGCCCTAGACAACATCAGTAGCAGAACTAAAAGACTAGTGCGTCGTCAGTGTCGCGAAGTATTATGTCCCACAAGTAAGTTATCACATGGAGCTTATAAGAAGCAAAATTACTTGGACAATTCCCACACCGCATTAATGGGCAAGATGTCTCTAAAAAGATGTTATCATAGCATTAACATCTGATTTCACTACAGAGATTGAGAAATCTGCGTTCCTTGCGTGTTCTTGAGCGGCATATATGTATTGAATCAATTAACATTCTGCTGCATACAACGGTTCCTTCTGTTTATGTAATATCACACACAAAGAAAGCTTAAAAGGATAAAGTTAAAGGAGATGACTCTATGTTTTACCTTTTCGGATTTCTCAAGGAGACTTAAGCACCGTGTAAACAAGAAAACTGTATAGTGATTCCATCAAAATACAGTATGTACAGTATATACTAGCCTTCTATTCTAATTTCTATCCATAAGATTCTTCTGTAATCAATTTTCTTTCAAAAAATTGCTCAACTACTATGTTGCTATTGTGGAGTGACACAACCAATTTTTCTTTCTTTCTGCGCCTCATTTTTCGCTCTCATAGCCACAGCATGTAGTGCAGATCACCAAAATAGTAAAGGTTTATTATGCACTAGACATTTAGCGTAAGTGCACACCTTTAATTTTTAAACTTTTGCACTTAGAATAGCCTGCACATTCACTTATTTTTAATCACCTCAGCTTTCGTTTGTACGATTCCTTATATTAATTGTGTCAAAGGATTATGTCGTACCCGCGCTACGTACTACATGGTCATAACATCCTAACAATCAACCTGTATCAACTATATCAAAGTGCAAACTATATTAAAGTGCAAATGGTCTGTGAACCCCATCCGTCTAAACCTTGTCCGACCATCAAAATTTCTATCGTGCTGATCGAGGGACGGATAAGACATCTCTCGAAATAATCCAATATCACAAGCCGCCTCAAACTCTTTCAAAACGAGGTTTTCCAAGCTTTCAGAAAGTGATCAAGTATAATGATAGGATAATAGCTTGTCGTATCTACGATATTGGTCTAAACCGCAAGTCGTTTAAAACTGGTGGGTTGCTTGATAAATCCGCACAGCCCGACCACGATTTAAAAATTGAAGGCCAATTATTGTGATTTCGGTATACACTGGATTCGCTGTTACTATATCCATGCTCTCGAAAAGGAGGATTGTCCACAGAAGTGCGAGTGCATGTCATTGAATAACACTTGTTAGTGGTTGAGTAATCCAACTAATATGAATTCCATTCCAACTCAATCCCACATAAATTTATACAATGGAGAGTTTGCTCGTTTGATGATAGTGATGCTTCAGCGCCATTCTGGGTGAAGTATCCACCGGATACACAACACCGCTCGACTTTTTGACGCAGATGATAGTTTCCAATGCACAGACCTGCGCCGTGCTATCATACATATACTAGCCCGACAGAAGCAAACAAATAGTAATGATTGCTCTCCCTCGTATTCAAGTGCACATTATTTTCTTAATGATATAGCAGTAGCTACGCTATAGAAAATGACAGATTGATGTCTAGAGTAAGGCACCTACACAATCATCATTGCAACCAAAAAAGAAAGGATATGCTGTATGAAATAAGCATTTATTATTCTGATTATTTGATACAAACTGCATTAAAAAACGGTGTGGCTTTCTGTGCCTTGTTGTTTTCTACCCCACTTGTGAAGTAATATTCGTACACTCCATCTGTTGCGGAACTCTCCGCTATTTCCTCAAGATTGAAAAGCTCACCTACTGTCATTCCCCAACCACCAATAACCCGAGAATCTAGAGTAAAACGGAGATAAAGTAAATAAACATATAATCATCATCTGTTCCGTTTTCTCACTAAAAGATCGTATTCAGTATTGTGTTTCTACAGGTTTAACTTACGACAAGACGGTCCATCATCGCATTTGGGTGGAAACGCTTCAAACGAAAAGCTATCCGTAGCCAATGCAGCAAACCCGCAATTCCAGAGCCACCGGAACATATCCTCGGATGCTTCAATTCCAGGGCACTGTGGTTTCATAAGATCGAATCCAGTGTCATTCGCGTGTCTTGCTTCAATCTCATATGCGGCGGTCCAACCCGTCCGTAGCAATAGTATATCGCCCCGGCTGAAATCTTCGATACCTTGCGTCTGTGCCACCTTGTGAAGCTCATCAACAGTGATTGCTGTCCTTAGTAATGGATTATATTCTTCAGTGGCAGCAGCTCGCCACCTGCCATAATCCAACAGCACCGCTCGACCAGTAATTTCCGGTTGTGTTGCAAACCGTCCAGATGCGAGCTCTGCAGCAGGAACCCCGTTATAGAACCGGCAATATGTATCATCTGCACACGCAAAGGAGCGTAAGCTATGCCATTCAGTCGGTGACACAGTGCTGAGTATAATGTCATCATAATGCTCAATTTCGATATCATCGGCTCTCGCTCGAACGGTACGCGGGATATGTCCTCTGTTAAAAAGGTGCCGGTTGGGTCGCTGGGGAATCCAACTTAAAGAAAACATCAATTTGCCTTCTTGCTTGTTTTTGGTAAATCCGAGCGTCTATTTTTTAAACGGATGATATTGTGAGTTAAAGTCGTGACAGAATTTTTCCAAATCAATATAATTTAATTCTTATGATGGTTGTTAGCGTGCTTTTTCTTTTTCTTACTTCCATAATGTGATCTTTCGTTGGAAGTAAGTTAAGTGTTCCAATTGTATCATCGTCGCCCCAGATTCCCCAAGCAGAATGGGAAGGGTACTTAATATCGATAGGGAGCTGGTGATATGACGGGTGTTTTTTTGCCATCTTATCCAAATTATACATTATCAGAAGAAGGCAAAAGTTGAAAAAAAAGAAAGCATTCCTTTTTTGTGTTTAAATACTGTTACACTGATCATTAGCCTCCTGCATCAGTGGGTCCGCTAAGATGTATGCCATCCACAAAACAGCTGCTCCATGTACGAAGCAAGCAATACTTTCGACCGTTATTGGATTTAAATTTTCACTCTTGTTTCTTTTAATACTCTGTTGCCAATCAGCTCTTGCTGATGAACATCGCTGTTAGCGACAATGTAATCATAGCATCGTGTACGTAAGTAACAAGGTGATCCTACTGGCGTACGCTCTGTGCTCTGCAAATGCATGCAGATTATAGAAACGTAGGGGTATGACTTCTTTCTGGTCTAGCCACAGATGATTGTTCGGTTAATGCATTCCGAACACACGATACAAGTCTTTTGTGTCCTCCTGCACAAACAATGTCGGATAAAAAATTACTATCGTATAAACTAGAGAGTTTGATGTGTATGCAGGATAGCTCCCCTAAACTAAAGTACGTGATGTTTTTGGTGACTATACATGATAGCAATATACTTGAAAATAAACATACAAGACGAAGAGGAAATACAAAGCTAGTTATACATCATACAACTATTACTACCATCAGTGTCATTAGCAACCGCAAGGTCGGTAACAGCTATACAAGAAAAGGCGCTATACATTAATTGGATCTCTTGCTCAAAGTCCGTAATAACCTTTTTACGAGAAACTGATCCTTTTGGTGTCGTTGGTAATTGCTTATTGAGTGGAAGAATGTACACCATGTCAGGAACTGCAACAGTACCATGAAACGGAGCGTGTTTGTTTGCTCGATGCACAGCTTCATATACTATTTATGTACATAAATGTTTGTTACCATCATCTTATTTTTATCTTTGGTATTTTGGAGTATAGGAGCTTACCTGTAGAAATTATTTTCACCGGAGAATATGAGAGCGCCTCGCTCACCTTGAGTTCAACCAAGACAGCGGTGGATGGACGATTTTCACCAACAACAATACATTTTCGAATTATGGCCTCCTTGCAAATCTCTTTCTCCAGTGGTAAAGGATTGACCTTCTCGCCTGTGCTCCTATAGTATTTACTATAGTAGTAAGCACCATTCATTCGAGTAGATCTAGACCCATATACTAGTACGCCTTGTTTTAAACTTACATTAGTAGCAGATCATCTGTCCTTCCGACAAAAGTCCAGGTTCCCGATCCAGGCTGATCCTCTATAAACAAGTCCTTTGTGGTGAAGTCTCCATTGGGAAGGTTGGCAGCAACGCTTGGAAGAGATGGACAATTGCTGTGCACCACAAGCTGATACATGTCATTATTGAACGGCTCGAACGACATGTAGCGCATTGATGCACTAGTCGGTTTAATACTGTGCCAGTTTTTGTCATTGCTCCTGGAAACATCAGATAGGGAGAGACAGCCAACCTCTATGTGTGATTTCAGCAAGTACTATAATGGTCAATTCCGTTGGCTGATTGCATGTATCTAGTATTATCATTTACCTGTCATTCCATAAGCATTTTGTATATTCAATCCTTGTGAGCGCATAAGATTGCCAATCGGCTGGCGAAGAGGAGCCCCGTGGCATAATGTAAACTTAAAACGTTCCAATGTCACTCTATAATCAAAAGAGGTTTGTTGCAGATACTCGGCAAGTTGCTCCAGCTCGATCGCCGATGAAATCAATACGGTTGCTCCAAACAAATCTGCAGCAACAAGTATATCATGAGCTGTTGGGGTTTCACGATTGAACATAACCGTTGTCGCGCCGACTAAAATGCCCGTTATCAGTTTAACTACACAACCACAAAGACCACAAAGAATTAGTAAAAGCATTCGCAAAATGTGGAGTTCATAACCCAAAGACATACTTACACACGGCAGGAGCATGGAACATTTTTTCTGTAATCAGCATGACATCTGTTGAATCCATGGCCAGGTCTGGCGAGTTGTTTTGGATAGAGCTCAAAATAATCTCTATTACCACGTACATATACGATCGTGTGCTGTGAGGGATAGGTTTTGGAAATGCTGAGGTCGTACCAGAGCTGTGAAGCCAGGTCACAGTGGCCGTTGGGTCCCGGCTCATTACGCGTCGTCGCTTCTCCCTTGAATAGTCATATTCGTCTGCTGGAGGAGTGCTGACTGCAGTTGCGGTGGCGACAAGCTGATCGACGTCGAATCCATCCCATATTTTTACGCCAATTTTTAGATCATATACAGCGGCTGCGCACTTCCGCGCCTTTGCACCATTTGTTGGCGTAGCGATCAAAAAACCGGTGTTTGTCTCTTTGAGAAGGTGACTAATGGCTGCTTCTGAGCAGTGGGTCGATACTGGAAAATAGCTAACATTCAATTTCAATGCAGTAAAGAATGCCAGCATACACTGGGCCGGGTCGTCGCTGAGCGTAGCGATACATTGCGTTTTGTCGTGCAGCATTGATTTCCAGGAGTTCGCCAAATAGGTAGTAATTTCATTAACTTGACCATATGTTAATGCCCTGAACTCCATCGAATTGACCAATTGGTAGTGGAGGAGAACATTATCTTTAAACCGGAGGGCTTGTAGTTCGAACAGTTCAATAACTGAATCAAAGTCAGTGTAGCTAGGTAGCTCATGGGGTTGGATGGACATAACTGCGTAGTGTTCCTGGCGAAGGCAAGCAAGAAGTAAAAAGTAAAATTTAAAGGCAGTGCTAGAACTCGCCTTTGCTTATAAACGAAAGCAGCTCTTTACCTAACAGGATTACAAAAAAAAATATGCAGTAGAGGCCCAAGGAAATATAGGACCAGGCACATCAATGTACTACCCCATTAAAAGTCGAATTGTGCGGTCAACGAGGCAATGCCGATGTTTGATCTGCGGTGGAATATGTGCACTCATAATTTTTGGGTAGCATAGCTTTATAGGGTAACGGCGATAATTGAGGGGAAAACAAACAAGATAGCTATACTGACAAATCAAAGGGAGGGTGTTTCCACATCCGCTTTGCTGTACAAAAGCCAAAGACCGGGATAATATACCCGGTCATGTCCAACATCAATATTTGACCCCAAAATGATAAAGGGGCAGATACAACCTGCATCATTAGTGCACTGTTTCATATTATTAACAGTAGATCTATGCTTTCAATATATTTTTTGAGTCGCGTACTCGCTTTGTGACCGCTGGAAGGACATACGGCTATGCAATCGACGTCGCTGAGGGGTCACAGCTACATCGTATGCACACAAACAAGAACTCGATCAGCTGAAGTGCTGTCTTACCATGCTAGTGCAGGGGATGTCATGCCGCTATTGGTTTAGGCAGCATCTACTCTAAGATGCAACTGCTGTCGGATGTGTAACACAATGTATTGACTGCTGGTTTTACGATTGATCATACGATCGTACACTGACTCACATTTGAATCTAGAAACATTTGTATTTTCTCTTTTTTCCATTGCCACTTAACAAAGATGCTACTACGTAGCTGTGGTTTCCATTTTAAAAAAAACGATAACAAACATAGTGATATGATATACGCTTCTTACTGAGCAACAATCTGAAAAGCCGCATGCAGGTAATTCGAATAGAGCTTATCAAGCGCCCACAAGCTAGTGACATGCATAGAACTGCATAAAACTACATAACATCTACGCTATATCGAGTATACTCAAGTATACGGAGAGCCATGAAAGCAGCTCCTACAGTAGCATAGTTGTACCTTCAGTGAATGTAATGTAGAGGCATCTAGCGATGATTTTACATTGATCGCAGCTCTACATGGACTGTAGGGAAATGACAATATTACTTTTGAACGTTACTGATTGATCCTGAGAGTTGTACTGTGTTTAGGTATAGAAGAGAACATTCCATAGCATAAATGGATCACAGAGAAAAAATTATTTATTACTTTGAGTTGAGAAACGAAGCATCAAAATAGCATCTAAGAGCTACTCCTTCTTTACTTGTTGAATACCGTTTCCGACTGAAATATCTCCAATGACCTTTTGATGATAAGTATCATACATTTCATCCAACTCTCGATTAAAAGTTTCGATTGCCTTTGGTCGTATGACTGATCCTTTCGGGGTAGTTGGGAGCTGTTTATTGAGCGGAAGGATATACACCATGTCAGGGACCGTAACTAGACCGTGGGATGGCGCATGCCTGTTCGCTCGGTTCACTGCTTCGTATACTGTTTTATGCAATAGAGTTGCGGTCAGTGCTTATAGGCATATGTAATTACTCTGCTTTTACTTTGTCCTTCCTACAAGCATACCTTTTGATGTCATTTCCACCGGAGAACGTTGAAGAGCTTTATCCATGATCAATTCTACCAACGCACTAGTCCACGGTCGGTCTTCGCCAACAATGATACAGCTACGTACTATATCCTCGTTGCAAACCTCCTCTTCCATAGGTACTGGATTCAACTTCTCGCCAATGCTCCTAATGAAGATGTATAACGTGGTAATGCTTGATTATGAGCATCAACAGCATCGTGCAAGCTTGTCTCTCGTTCCACATCACCAGTTTTACATGAGCAAGATATCATCCGTTCTGCCAACAAATGTCCAATTCCCCGGTCTCGTGGAGTCTTTCACAAACAAGTCCCTGGTTGCCAGGTCACCGTTGGGCCGGTTACCAGTGCCACGGAAGGCAGGATAGCTGCTGTGAATAATAAGTTGATACAGGTCTTTTTCATATGGCTCAAAAGTTACGTAACGTAACAATGCATTGCTAGGCTCGATACTGTTCCATCGTTTGTTATCCTTTGAAATGTTAGAAAGACTAAGGTAGCCAGTTTCTAATATATATAACTTTAGCCCGTCCAATTTATCTCTTGTAATCATCCTATAGCTACATATAGAAGTGCTACCTGTCATTCCGTACGCGTTCTGCACATTTAAACCTTTTGAGTGCAAACAATCACCAACTGCTGTTCGCAACGGCGACCCACCAATCAAACTAAACTTGAAACGCTGTAGAGTCTCTGCATAGCGGTCATCAGTCACATGGTGTTCCAGATACTCGGCCAGTTTCTCCAAGAAAATTGGTGGTGACTGCAAGACAGTTGCTCCACAAATATCGGCAGCAGCGAGGATATCTGGAGGCATGGGTTTCTCACTATTTAGCAATAGGATACTTGCACCAGTCAACACGCTCATTATAAGCATCACTAAATAGACCAGAAAATTAACCAAGATTACTGTTAAAAAATAGAGGAAGACTAGTTTAAAGGGTACAGCAATAGCCGTAAGTAGACATACAAATCGCAGGTGCGTGAAACAACTTTTCTGTTACCAAAATAACGTCAGTCGGCTCCATCGCCAAGTTTGGACACATTTCCTGAGCTGGCTTCAAGACTATCTCCAGGAGTGCAAACAAGTACGATCGCGTATTGTAAGGGATCAGCTTTGGTAGCGCGGCGGTTGTCCCAGAACTGTGAAGCCACGTAACAATTGCATTTGGGTCTGGAGTTTTCCTGCCTTCGCTTTGCTGCCTATCTTCCTCCGGTGATGTACTGACCGATGCTTCTGCTGTCGCGATAAGCTGATCGATGTCAAAATCTTCCCATATTTTAGCGCGGAAATTTGAATCACGTAAAGTGGCAGCACATCCCATAGCGCTTTTGCGATACGTTTCCGAGGCAATCATGTATGTTGTGTTAGTTTCCTTGAGAAGATGGACATTGGCCTTTTCAGTGTTGTGGATCGATAGTGGAAAATAGATGAGTCCAAGCTTCAATACGGCAAAAAATGCAAGTACAGCTTGTGCCGGGTCTTCACTCATTAAAGCGACGCATTCCACGTCGGCAGGCACGGTGGGTTTCCATGCATTTGCAAGGTGAGTAGAGATCTTGTCGATTTGGCCATAAGTCAACTCCTTTAGTTCGAGTGAGTTTGGAAGCTGGTAATGAAGTAGCGTGTTGTCCTTGAAGCGAGCCGCATGCACTTCGAATGCTTGTAAAAGTGTGTCAAAATCGGTATAGTTTGGGAGCTGCTGAACCATGATTCAGAGGGAAAGGAGGGGAAATTATTGAACTATGCACTAAAATGTTGCTTTTATACGCCCCATTATAACTGCTTAGTACCTAGAAAGCATAAGATACTGCTTTTTATTCACTAATGTAGCCGAACTTATTCGCCAACAACACCAAATAAACTTAGGTTCTGATGGCCTTTTGTACCTGAAACCTTCCCCTGTATTGGTACATAGCTACTAAAATTCTTCTGTCATATGCTCATTGAGGCAATGTAAAAGCAGCAATCACTTTACGAGTGAAAACAGAAGGAATTATAGACCATCAAACACAAAGCGATGTTTAAAGAAGCCAAAGTTTTATGGATGGCGCCTACCTATCTCCGCTCAGTGAAACACGCTGTCGGCTGCACGTAAAACATAGAGCAATGCAGTGCAACCCACAATTGTTTGTACGACTCAAAGTTGCATACACAAAGTACTGCACCTGCAAGGAATAAATATTTGATATGCAGCATGCCGAATCAGACATGTTGGGCGAAAATAGTACATACTGAAGACTGCTATAGTAGTTTCCCACACTGATCCCCCTACCATTAAATGCCAGCTTCTGCGAGAATTGGAAAGGCTGTGATTCATGCGTGAAGCTGCACGATTTTAGGAAAATACGTCGTCCTGATTAGATCTTGTAGATAGTTTGTACGTTTCTTCTTCATTCAGCCTTCTGACAATTTTACTTGGTGCATATTCACTACGCGCAAAGCCAGCATATTGTCTCTGGCTCAACAATTGTACATCATAGCTCCATTTACATAGTATTTCTAAGCACCACCAGCAGCATATTGTAAAAATGTACAGTAACAAGATCCTATGTATTGAGTGTCCTGTGTATAAGGAAGTTAGCTTAATGACAAGGATATACCGGTATCAATGTATGTTTCTTAGCCTATATATTGCTTCTGGCCTTCCTTTATCTTGAGAAAATAATCCCACAAAATGATTATTATGCACCATTTATACACGAATGAGTTAATAGAACAATGTATTTGCACATAAAGGTACTAATATCGTCTGTTGAACTTCATCTCCATATTTGATGGAGCAAGGTTAAAAATTTGGTCGAATACAAGTCCATTCAAATGAGGTGACTCAGTTGGCAATTCCCACTCGTACTTCCTCACTATTGTGACAAATCAAGGCCATTATTTTGTTTTTGAAGTTAGTGATCATCGAATATCTATCACTGTACTACAATAACCTTGAAAGAAAAATCCACTCACGAAACATTGCTAAAGCGACACGCAATTCCATCATAGTAAAGTTGATTCCAATACACTGTCTTGAGCCATTGCCAAAAGGTAGCCAGGATACTCCCTCATGTTTGCTATATTCGCCACCCTCTGCAAATCGCTCGGGGATAAACTGCTCAGGGCTTTTCCATAGATCCGGGTGGTGATGCAAAGCGTGGACATCAATTGAAATCATGGAGCCCTTTGGAATTAAGACTCCACCTAGATTCACATCGTTGGCTGGAGTTCTTGCCAACAAATCGGTTACTGCAGGATAGATTCGCAAAGTCTGTTATTGAGAGCATCATCAGTCTACCTGTATTTTTGTCTGCTATATCTAGATAGTAGGAAATTATTTACTTACTTCTTTAATGATCATATCCAAATACGGAAGCCGCTTACATTCTTCTATCGTTGGCAACACATCATCATGTTTGTCGCCAAGAATACCAATGATTTCTTCTCGAGCCTTTGTTTGAATATCCTGAAATCCTTTCGTTATCAGCAACAGGCCTTACCGAGTTTTGAGAAACAAGTCATGTATGAAAAGTGACTCACTCTGTTGATGGCCATGTTGTATATGGCAAGAGCTAACGCATTGCTAATCGAATCATGACCTGGCAATATGAAATAGCTACATATTAATGTGGAGCGCAATAAGGGATGAATAGTATTATCCACACAAAAGAAAGAGAAAACAACTTACCAGCCAAGAAGAAGAATCCCATATTATGCTATTAAGTAAAAGATAACAGGAGACGTGTCAGTGAGATGAGTATAACAGAATAAAAAAAAGAAAGATTGCATACTCGTAATTCTTCTGTAGTGAAAGTACCCTCACCACGCAACTCAGCTTCCAGCATCAACCTAAGCAGATCCTTTTCGTTGTCGGTGATATTGTCCGGCTCCTTCTTATTTATCAAAGCATATCTTTTTTGCTCTATCATTCTATCGAGTAGATTTACAAATTTGTGCACGGCATTGTATTTTTCTCGACGAGAGCGGCTCATCCATCGAAGAAGCGCGTTCACTTGAGGGAAGAAGAAATTGATATCTTCAACAAATGCTTCCAAAACTTGGTTGAAAACAATCAACCATTCAGAGTCCTCTTTATCCAACGCCCCAAATTCGAAATCTATACGCAGTTTCCAAATTATTGTCCTATCAAAATAACCTCACAGTCTTTATTCACTGCCGAGTCAAAAGAGGACGACACTAGAATTGACTTACCAAAAACAGCTTTGCCCAGAGATTCTAGCGTCAATCTCTGTGTAAGCTTTACCAGGATGATATGGTCTTTCTTGGATTCCGCTTCATCAATAAAACTAAAAGCTTTAGGCAACAAGCTTCCGAATATACCGACAGGCATAGAACGATGGAAGGCCGGGTTCATAATCTACACATATCGTTCGACGCATCTTAATGCAATCTTATCAACAAAACTTGATGGTTTGATATTTTTTATATATACCTTGCGCTGCTCTTTCCATTGCTCACCATTTACAGTGAGAATGTTGACCCTTCCTGCGAAAGCAAGGAAGCTGTCGCTCAAAGACTCTGATATCATAGGCGTCTTGTCTGCGAACTCTGCATCAATGCATAAAAGAGATCCGGATCAGCGATTATTTTGTGCGCTCGATGGTATAAAGTGCTAACAACAAGATATTTAACATGTGTACCTGGCTTATACAAAACGGACTTTGCAAGAACAGGACTCGCAACATAGATAGTCCAATCCACAGGTATCCGATTCTGATAAAGTTTATACTCTCAAGTTAGTTTTGCTAGGTATATCTTTTCTTGTCAAAATACGATTAACGTTCAAGAAATTAAGGCACAGAAAAAAGTATCACGTACAATGTATATACCATTTGCTTTTGGCAGCAACGGATATATAAGCTTATTGGTTCGTTCTGTCAAGTGCTCTTCTTTGAACATGGAAACCATCAACCGCCAGAACGGAACTGCTGGAATGTGTCGTAGTTCTCTTGGAACACGAAATACGCGTCGATAAATTTGCTGGCATACAAGTGATACGGCTGCAGCGATGCTGATATAATAGCGGTATGAATAAAGCTGCTGTCGGACAACGCTTTGGCTAGTCATTATGGTGCAGAAAAGTGGAAAGGAGAAGGAGAAAAAATGTATATCGGACTTGTCGATACCTGTTTTGTCATCTTCAAAACTGAAGGAACAAGTTGGTGTGGGAAATTCTGAGCAAGATGCGCCGTAGATGCAAGTTATGCAGTCTATGTTTATGTAACTGGTCGTACAATAACTAAAGTTTAAAAATATAGGAGCAAGTAATCGCGCCACTGCATGGGACTGCCCCTCACGAGTGTTGATCTTTTCGAACTAAAATTATATTCAAGGATACAGAGTTTTTACTCAAATGTCTCTAGTGCCATGAAGTAATCGCTTATAACGTTAGTGATGAACACGTGCCTATATGTAGTACTTTATTGCTAGAAGAAAAGCAGTTTATCAATATTGTTGTACATGACCGATGCTTGTACGTTTCATTTATATAAAATGATCCAAGAAAGTGTTACAATACTGTAGCTACTACATACAGCAAGAGCAACATTGATCAATAGCGACCGTTTATGAAAAGCAACTGCTCATGCCACGACAGCATCATTGTATAGCAGATGTGAAAGATGTGCGGAGATTGCATGCGAAACATGATGTGTAGGGCCGATGAAGGGTAACATATGCACGATTGTGCATATGTTTTCTTTTGGTACATACTGCATCGGCCCATAAGCATACCTTCTCTACTCTATAGCAATGATTGTAAAGTTGTCAATAGTGATTATAGATTTTCAAAAGAGAGAAATAGAAACCGTTTGGAACTGCTGGTATTCTAACGAAAAAGATTGAAAAGCGCAGGACATTTACTGCTGTGGATCTTCTCTTTCCCCTAGTGAAATAATCAATAGAAACGCACTGGCTATCTATGTATACGCTTATTTGTAAACAACAAGTGGATTTGCATAAGCTACCTTTCACTCGCTTATAAAAGTGACGTTCACCTCCTATTCATTTTCTTTCTCTTTGTTTTCCCACTATCAACATATTAATTACATATCCTAGTATCTTGCGCACTTTGCTATGATGGAACTTTTCGATAGCTTCAAAGACGGTCGTGATCCACGCATGATTACAACGAGCATCGCTGCCGCTACAGCACTGGCCCTATATGGCGTGTACTATTGCACGAGAGCTTTTGCCGCACAAACTCGCGGGAAGCCTATCAATGAAATCCCAGCTGTAGACGGTGCCATTCCATACTTTGGTATGCCAACTAAATTTTATTACCATCATCTTATATCCTGAATAATATTGCTACCCTAAAACAGCTCACTTAGGCAAAATTTAGGTCATATGTTTCAAATCCCCAAGGAACTGCCCATGTTGAAATTTCACGAATGGCATCAGAGATATGGTAAATAGCTTTTATAACGTGGCTCTAAATCAGACTACTCTATTTCAATGAAACATTGACTAATTCTGTAATAAAAAGGCTCTATATTCCGGATGAACTTGGGAGTCAAGCCATGGATAGTAATAGGAAATCGTCACATCGCACACGACATTCTCAAAATCAATGATGATGTGACCTCTGGTCGTCCGTATCATCACTATCTGTCACATTATCATATGATTAACAGAGGGTATGCACTGGCCTCTCTTTTGCTACGTACTTATACCTTTCATAATCTTTATTAATACAACTGAATTTCTAGAGGTGTTTCTTTCAGAAATCCTGATGAACGATGGAGAAGATACCGCGCAATCGGTAAGTTACAAAAACTACTAAAGTACTGCGCGAGAGAGCATAGATTTGGGTTTTCATGCTAGATGGCTCACGATAAATGTATATTACTTTGAAATAGCGCAAACGATTTTACGACCACAAAACGTCGCTGCCATGACGCAGACAATCGAGTTTGAGGCTTGTAGAGTGAGCGATTTATTGCTCAAGGGTACAACAGCAGCAGGAGTCAATACTGTCAAGTATATGCAACTTCTTACACAAAATGTGATCACGAATGCTCTATTCGGGATTACGATGGAATCATTGGATGATCCGCTATACAAATGCGTCATTGGTCTTGTAGACAAGTCGATCAAGTGGGCTGGTCCTTTGGAAGATATATACACCTTTTTACCTATACTTGCCCAGATTATGGATATCTTTACGAGCAATCAGAAAAAGATGGCAGAGCTAATAGAGAACAAGCGGAACCCAGTCTATCGTCGGTTGATACAGCAAGCGCTCGAACATGGCAGACCGTGTCTCGTAAAGGATATGTATATCAACAATGAGCAATACGAGTTCGATGACGATGACATCTTGGTCTTTGTATGTAAGTTTGAAAAAAAATGATGCAGTAAATGTAGAAAACTATGATCAGTTATAATAGTATATATTGTTAATAGCATTTCAAAAATATATGGTATTTATTATAAGCGAACATGGTGAACGCAGGTACTGAGACTGTCGCAATGGCTCTTTCTTGGACGGTTCTTATATTATCTCGATACAAGGATGTACAGAAAAGACTCCAGCAAGAAGTTGATGCATTTATTGCACAGTACAACAGAATGCCGGTTTACGAAGATAGGGAGAATTTGCCACTATTGATTTCCGTCCAAAAAGAATGTCTACGCTTCAGACCCCCAATGCATTTTGCGCTTCCACGAGAAACTACTGAAGATCGTAAGATTTCTTTTCTTAAACTAATTCCCGCTGTGATAGTTGCAACATTAGCAGTGTATATATAGCGTTGGACTAATTGGGCCTTGTCTCAATGATACATATACTGTAGTTGAGTATAAGGGCTATCATATTCCTAAATCAACAGTGTTGCTCGCCAATACGTTCACGATGAATTTTAGCGAAGAATACTATGACGAGCCGGAAAAGTTTATAGCAGACCGATTCTTGAAGGACCAGAGACCTTTCGCTGTTTCAGCTAGCGCAAGCCCTGAAAAGAAACGCGACCAGTTTGTCTTTGGTTGGGGAAGGTACATAAAGCAAAATGCTATTAAAATGAACATTGGTTCTGTGTATAAGAGTCGTTTTCTAATTTTAAACCTTTTTTTTTGTGTCTGAACGATATATTTTTGTAATAGACGGCTCTGCCCAGGAGCACATTTGGTAAGATTTATCCTGATTTCAATATATACGATCTTTACGGTCAAGAAGACATTAGTGAATACTAATCTTCGTCTCTAGGCTGACGTCGAATACTTTGCGATGATGGTTCGCATTCTAGCTACTATAAACATTGAGCCACCATTAGATGATAAAGGTGAACCGGTGCATGGAGATCTAAACGCTTTTCGCGATGCAGGTCTTGTTGTTGCTCCTCTAGAGTCACAGCTTCGATTTATCCAACGACCCGATAAGCTTATTTAACAAAACTACTTGTAATAGTAAGGTGTTTCGTATATAGCAGCTTTTATTTATTAAAGAAAATCCATAACATGTTATTCCTGTAATGTAACAGAATCAGTGGGTGACAATGAAGATAGTGGGGAACGCTAATACACCCTATTGCTTTCAATAAAGCTGTATGCATAAATTAATCGGAAGTAGTCAAGATACTCTAAAGCTTCACTCTCGATAGTTTCGAACATAAGATTGCCCTTTCAACCTTAAGTGCTATAGCCATAGTATTCCCAAATGTGCTAATTTACTAAATGGACTAAACGGTGACCATGGCAACGCATCATAGTAGTACGAAGTGCCCTCAGGAGAAGAACAAGCCACCCGATAATGCAGCTGGAGGAAATTCAAAAGTGCTTCCCGCATCTCTAACTTCCCAGTTTCACGTACATACATATAAAGACAATGGGCAGAAAAACTGATCGCCATTTCGAACAAGAAGAGTCAGACAGCAATGAAAACTCATCTATTCCCATGCCCGTAGCAATGTGGGATTTTCATCATTGTAATGTATCGATCCCGCCTCTCCATATTTATATATCAGAGACTTGTATTACTAAGTGGATTGAAACTTTGACGAACTAGGCGATCCTAAACGGTGTTCCGGCGTCAAACTGGCACGTACGAACATGTTGAAGACTCTAAAATTAAGCCAGCGTTTCCGAGGCATTGTGGCCAGTCCCGTGGGCGAAAAGGCAGTTTCACCAGCCGATCGTCGTATCGTCGAGCTTTATGGAGCTGCAGTTGTCGATTGTTCGTGGGCGCGTATCGATGAAGTGCCGTTTAGCAAAATTCGTGGGCCCACCGATCGTTTACTACCTTACCTTGTTGCTACGAATCCAGTAAATTACGGCAAACCTTGGAAACTCAACTGTGCCGAAGCATTGGCAGCTATTTTCTACATTACCGGTTTCCCAGAACATGGTGAAGCTCTAATGGCCAAGTTTAAATGGGGACATGCCTTTGCCAAGGTCAACGGCGAGTTACTCGAGAGATATGCTCAGTGTACGGATTCTACAGACGTTGTTCGAATGCAAAACGAGTACCTGGAAGAATTGGAACGTGATGAACAGCAAAGAAGAGAAGAAAACGAGGAAGACGATGATCCGCTACTGTTTAGAAATCCCAATCGAGACTATCCTCCCAGCGACGATGACGATGAAGATGATTCTGACGAAGATGATGATTCTGAAGATGACGAAAACGAAGACGATGATAGATCGTCAGCAGATGAAATTACGGACAAGTTGGGCAATACACGTATCCGATAATTGGAAAGGCCTCACAACAGGAAAAAAGAACACCATCACCATTCTTCATTTATAAAACATTCTTCATCATGTACATACACAACTCTACAGATAGAATAGTCCTATTCCCCGTTTCTTTTATGCTTTTATTATTAAGGCGCACCATAATATACAAACATTTCTTTACAAAAGAGTCTCGTAGGGGACGGCAGTGATGGTCTGAGGAACGTTCTTCTTGGCCTTGACGTAGCGAGCTTCGCGGGGCTGAACAGGAAGTCTCTTCAAGAAGACCTTTTCTATAGTAAGAGTTTAGCAAAACAAATTCCCTATCTATCTCATGATTTCCAATTGTCGCTATAGAAAAAAAACCTTACCACCAGATTCCTTAGCAGCCTTCTTCTTGGCAGCGTTTTCCTTAACACGGTCCAAGAATTCTTGACGGCACTTGGAGTGCTTAACGTGCTCAATACGGAGGTTGACACGCTTCTCCATGAAGCGGCCACCAACACGCTTGTTGATGATCACACCGACGGAGGACTTGGTGACGTTGTAAACAACACCAGTACGGCTATTGTATTAAAAAAAAATATTATGGAAAAAAAGTTTTTCTTGTTAATCCTTGTTTTTCTCTTTCATAGGTTGACCGAAAAAATATCGAGAATATCAAAGACTTACCCGTGGTAGAACTTGTGGGGCATACCCTTCTGGACGGCAGCGTTAGCCTTAATGTCGACAATGTCACCGACCTTGTAGGTCTTCAAATAAGTCGACAAAGGAATGGCGCCATGCTCGCGGAACTTGCGAGAGAACATGTGGCGGGTGCGAGCGCGAACTTTATGACACAAACACAAGCATAGTGAGCATCATGTATACCATTCCTCCCTCACCCCTTTAATTAATTTCACTGATTCTTTTTGAGATTGATTACTTACGACCGAAAGAGTGCGGCATGCTAGCGATTCAGATATATACAAGGAGACATAACATAAACGAGCATAATTAGAGGAATTGCCAAAGACAATTGGTTCTCAAAAGTAAAAGATTTCGATCGCTACCTGACAAACTAACGTAGGCTGTAGAAACAGGAAAAGAGGAAGAATATCACTTTGCTACGCTGGCTTGCACTCAAGTGCAAAATTTTTTTTCGGCGTTCGAAATCTCCAAAGTAATATTTTTTTTAAGCCTTCAGAATTGACAACATTGAACTCAACAACGGGATCAAGCAACTCCCCTCCAAAGCCAAAGGGACTCACCTATGTGATCCGATTGCCTTAAAAAAGGCAACCCCAAATCTGATCTACAGCCTCCCATTCAATGAAAGGAAGGCTGCGTTGTATCAGCTGATATAGGTAGAAGGTGAGCTGACACACTGAGCGTGGAAAGCCATGTTATACACCCTTTCAATCCTGTCTTTTCTTGAAGGAGTTGCGTCAAATCTTCTGTTAGCCGTCGATGTAGTATCCGTGGCGACTATAACTAATTACAACGGACGGTCTCCTATGTCAACCTATTAAAGTTCAGGTTTGCTGTGAGCTTATATGCGTTTGCATCTAATATGAGAAGTAGCATCGTCTTTTTTTTTAACCTTTCCATCACAGCGACTTTTGTTGTATTAAAAAGTTACGTCAACTGCATGACAACCTTTTTCAAAAGCTGTATGTAAGATAATGCTAGAGATTAGATAAGCAGTAGCTTCAATATGACACGAGAGGGCTTATCACTACACATGATTTATGGGAGACAGACACGTACATACAAAATATGGGCTCACTCGGTGTTCATGACATAAACATTGAGAATTAGTACGCGGGCTGAAAAATTGAGACCAGACGGGCTGAAAAATTTCTGTCATTTTAGTAGTAATCAGCCCGCTTTGTTAATGTGAAGGGCTCGAGCACTACGCGGGCTGAAGGATCTTATATATGATTACAATCGTTGATTTGAACCTACTGTGGTGTTACCCGATGCCAGTACTTTACGAGCCATCAGATTTATCTCTAAACATACATTATTTATCTAGCGTAACATATATTGAGCGTTCTGGCTGTGCATTCCATTGAGAATTATTGAATAATAAGAGATGTACTATCAAATCAGAGTTGCTGGACATAGGACACACACTTTAAGTAAGCGTGAATAAGTGCTCCATATTCTACTATTTAATATGGAATATGTCACAGAAATGGATATGAGTAGAGTACAAAACCATTCAGCCCGCGTAGTGCTGAGCCCTTCACATTAACAAAGCGGGCTGATTACTACTAGAATGACAGCTCGTCTGGTCTCAATTTTCCAGCCCGCGTACTAATTCTTTATTGTGGAAATGAGATATATGCTTAGTGCTACTTATTGAGGTATAGCCACAGGTTTAATTTTAATTGTGGGCAAAAACACCAAACATGTACAACATAAAGTAGCATATACGCGATACTTACGATGCATAATAAGGGACCTGTTCTTGATATGATATGTACAGACCGCTTGATATCATATATGTATAAATATGTGATAAGAAAACGAAAATCCGAAAATGTGCACAGACTCCTTGTACCTTACACTTTAGTGTATCAGCTTTACACTAACAACACTACATACTACTATATAGCTAGTTAGCCTTCAGTCCAAATGGACATCTAACATCCTCAGCATTGATAAACTCCAATTTGCAAAATAGATGTTAATGAAGATAGCGTGATGATTTGTTCAGTTTAGTTATGCATTGATGGTCATAAACTACTACTAGACTTCAATCAATGTTCGTCGTTTGGAATACAGTACTGCTTCAAGAGCACCATGATTATGGTTCGAGACACAAGCGGAAAAAGGTGCGATACACTTCAGACAGGCCCTCTCGCTTCCTTGCTTTTGTCCGGGTCTCACGATACAAGTACATACAACATGAAATCACTGGGCACGATGATAATGGTCTTGATGCACGAGTGGAGTCTCCACCTGTGGATGTCTTTTTTTGTTCACCTTCTTGCATAAAAGACACTGAAACTCTAATCAAGTGAGCGCAACCTCGCAAAACGGCAAGAGATATCGGACGCCTGCATCTTTTTGATATGATACTGGCTTGTTCAATAGTCTTTGCCAATCCGCAAATTGATACGACCTTGTTGGACCGCTTCCATAAGCGCTCCTTGAGGCGCGTACTTTAATTCTTCTGCGCAAACTGGCCATGCTTCATACAGGTGCTTTCGTTCGTGCTCTGCGTCTTCTCTGCGACACTCATCGCTTGTACATATTAATGTGTTGCTTGATGGAAATACCAATGGTAAAGGACGTATGAAAGTGATCATGTATTCGCTGAATTTTTCGTAGCCTTCATTTTAAAAAATCTGCCTTGAACTACAGGTATACAAATTCCACATCATCGCCCAATACATATTCATCGCCACAAAATTACACACCAAACACACAAGATAGATTGGAACTGATCCATAATCCGCACACAGAAAGAGCTTCAGCGTACTTCGCATTTAGTGATGATTATGTCGCTACGTAAAGGCGCCGGCGAATCGTCATTGTGTTGTGACTTGAAGCGCCACACACGACGACCTTTCGCGCTAGCTTTCGACCAATGTGACCTTGTAGATACCATGATCATATCTGTAACTTTGGCCAGGGCAATACTCCTTCTTCTGGTATCGTTAAGACTATCATCACCAACATGCTTCTTTTGCATCTTTTGGTGTCTGCTCGAGCCGCCTCTCGGACAACTCGAATCGGTACGCCGTTGTGCCAATCATATCCAGAATCTGCGCCGTTTGCATTAAACTCAACGGCGCAGCAGCTCGCGAGCCGTCGCTTTCGATCCGTAAGCTCCTGATCGAAATATTGCACCCCTTATCATACCACCGCTATCAGTATAAGTAATAGTATCTCCCTTGTACTCGTTTTCCTTGTATCTACCGAACACGACAATTTTGAAAGTGACATTTTCGTCAGCTGAATCGGCGATACTAGCCTGCAGAGCTCTATGGAAAATAGCCGCATTTTGACACTATCCTTTTCTGTTAGTCGTTAGTCTACAAGTGCTTTTTAACATCGAAAGAATGCTATATGCACTTGATTCTTTTACTCTCTCCTTTCCTCCCATTATCTGTTCCTTGTGTATGATGATTATAATTTCTTTTCTAATGACATACCTGTGAACGCCAAAGGACTTCAGGTGCTCTTTTCTTAGTGACGATAAAACTGGCCCGCACAGGTGAAATATGTCCCCGAGGTTACTTCTTAATATCCGGCGTCTGTTTCCAGGAGGTCCTATGTACTTCGCCAACTGCCGTGTCACGAGAAGTCAATGCTTGCAGCATAAACTCGGCTCAGGCTGTGATATGATACAGGTGCAGTAGTATGATAGAGCAGGGCGGGACTGGGACACTGTAAGCGTGAAGAGAATGAAGTAAAAAAAAAGAAAGATAGGAAACAAGACAGGTCTTCTTGTCATGTTTGTTTGTTTACGCATTGTGCTAAACAACGACATGTTTTCACTCTGTGGTATGATACATCCAGCAGCCTTTGTTTGCTTTTACGATGTTAGCAAAAAGACATATTCTGCGGTGAAATAAGCGGGTACATATGTCTTTGTTGTCAATGCATAAACATTGAGTAGCGATTTTTTATTATCAGGAATGAAAGAAAAGGACAAAGTAGAGAAGGGAGAGTCAATATGTGTTGTTTTTTACATGAATCCACGAGGGTAATAATAATAGTGGTAGTAGTACCGTTATCCATCATGGATGGATGTTGTATTTTACAAATAAGCATGCAATATATGTACTGAATATGCAAAAGAAAAAGAAATGAAAAGAGTTCTAGGGGTTATTTTGTGTCATCATTTAGTCAAATCTGTTGAACTTTTTGAAAGATCCGGGTTCACGACGATCTTGATCGCGTTTTCCAAAGGAGTTTCGTCGATTAGGACGGTCGTTGGAATCCCGGTCGTCAAATCTGCTTGATGATCGTCTCTTATATCCACCAAAGTCATCGCTGTCATCGAATCTTCTGTTGCTGCTGAATCGTCCACTATCACGGCGCTTGTATCCACCAAAGTCGCCTCCGTCATCGAATCTTCTGTTGCTGCCGAACCGCCCACTATCACGGCGGTCACCACCGCGTCGTGACGGGAAGGATCGCTGTTCTCGTTTCTTCTCAGAAAGACCCACTTGCTGAATGAATTTTTGAGAAAGATAAGGAATGTCTTCAACACCAAAAGCACGTAAGAATGACTCGGCATGTTCCAAGGTGTCCGAACGGGATCGTCTCAACGTAACCATTCTGCCGACATCTATTTTGTGGTGGAAAGGTATATAAGCAATTTGGATCTTTTCCGAGTCATGCAATTAGCTAACTTACAGTAACCAAGGTAGGCTGTGTACATTTCTCGGACAAAATCTTCATCAAGTTTTGAGTCCTGGAAGTACTTCATGATCCTGGTCGTTTCTTCTTGCTCGGTTTCGCTAATTTCAGGTGCAACCAAGCTCTTGACAGGCAAATCCCCAATTTCGCTCTTGATAAAAGCATCTTCAAACGGAGCGGCGACAAGAATGCCCTCACCGGAATTACCAGCACGGCCAGTACGACCGAGACGATGGATATATTGTTCACGCGATGAAGGGATACCAACTTGAACGACCAACGAGACACCAGGGTAATCAACACCACGAGCAGACACATCCGAGGTAAACAGGATAGTACCTGGTCTTGACTGCTTGAATCGAGCGGCAATTCTGCTTCGATCATTCTGTGACTTACGCGAGTGTAATTCATATACTCGACGCCCGGGCAGCAAGTGCTGGAAGAGCTGAGCGTACACCATGGTAGACTTGGTTGTAGGCAAGAACACAATGGTCTTGCCCTCATTGGCCGCCTCATAATTGCTCAACAGATTACGCAAGAGTGGGATCTGCTCCTTGTAGGGCGCGACCAGCGCAGATTGCTTGACATGCAGATGGGTATTGACGTCTTCTTCACCAACAGTATCAATCAAATCATATTTAGGCGAAAGCGCAAACTTGCCAATCGAGCCTCGGATCTCGTCGGACAACGTGGCAGAAAACAACATGGTTTGGCGGTCCTGCTTGGGCAAATGCTTCAATATCCGTTCCACTTCTTGCTTAAATCCCATGTCCACCAACTGGTCCGCTTCGTCCAGAACCAAAACTTGTGTTGTGGCCACCATTTTACGGAAATGTGCTCGGCTTTCTAGCATATCGTTCAATCGGCCAGGTGTGCCTACGACAATGTCGCAGCGGGAACGTTCAAGAGCCTTGATTTGCTTCATCTTGGACTCACCACCGACAAAACAGTGGACGTTCAGTGGATAGAACTTGGTCAGCTTGTTGGCTTCTTCAGCAATCTGGTGTGCCAGTTCGCGAGTAGGCGAGATGATAAAGATGGACGAGCCATCATAGTGGCGCAAGTCGGACTTGTCCTTGCCAGCGACGACCTTTTCCAAAGCAGCAATCAGGAACGCAAGTGTTTTGCCAGTACCAGTTTTGGCTTTGACAAACATGTCGTTGGTATCAGGTAGGCGAGATAGCACAGCATCTTGCACAGCTGACATGGTATCATACTTGAAAACACTCTTCAAGGCTTTTTGACTGAGGGGATGAATCGTCTGCAAGTCAGAAAATCGTCTTGGCTGTTGTTGAGCGTCTTCGACAGCTGCTGGCATTGTTGGCTCTTGTTCTGCAGCAGCAGTAATAGTTGGGTCCTTGGAAGCAGATGCAGTAGCAGCGGCAGTGTAATATAAGCCAGGTTGATTGTGCAGCATGCGTGCCCATCGCACATTGGACAATGCAGGGCTCCTGACGATCGATCGCGGACCTGTCAAACGAAAATACAAAAAAACCTTCAGTCAAACCACTCAATCAAGGGAGTTGAGACACATAATCCAACACTGATCATACAATACCTGTAGAAATTACTCGTGCTACATTGCGAGTGCTGTGACGAGAAAGGCTCGAAACCACTTGAATCGTACGCTGGAACATTATGAAGTTGGTTTAGAAAAACGATAAATGTCAACAGCTAAGAAAAGTTTTAGCGCCAGGGAGCGCTCTCCGGAGCAAGAACCAATTAGCATAGTTACACAAATTCGGAATTCCGTGGCTTAGTGCGGATGGTGCGATCCTGCAAAACGGTGTATACGTACTGTTAGTAGCTCACACGCGTTACATTCTATTGACTATGGCCAAAGGAAAGCAAGCTGCTGGTCAAAAAGCAAAGGCTAGCGCATCTGGTACGTTTACTACAAGAGTTAAATACTGAAGTAGTTGACATTTGCACGACTCTCGGATTGCATTGCAAGAGGAACTTATTATTTTACATGGAGTAGGTGATGATGGCAAGAAAGGAGGCAAATTGAAAGCTGCCAACAGCATCAAGGTAACAACAACTATTTGTGTGATGCTATGTAAACACTTTAAAAATAAAAGGGCTCACACACTTTGTCCGCCTGTGTGCGTTTACGCTGAAATACAATTCAGGTGCGACATATCCTTTGCGAAAAGCACGGCAAGGTACACACATTCTCGAAAAAAAGTCAAGAAAAGCTCAGGACAGCAAGATATACTAAAATAAGTGACGTAAATCTTGGATAATATCCAGTGTATGGAAGCCATGGCAAAATTGAAGGAAGAGAATATGCGATTTGACAAGGTACGTAAACTGTCGGTGTGAATATGCTTCATCGTATACTCTTCCAACCCCTAAATTACCATTTCTTATTGTTTGCTGCGTAACAGGTCGCAGAAATGTTCAGTGAAGACAAGGCAAAGGCAGGAGGTGAGTTGTTAATTGTTGTAACACGAAGAATACCAAAGAGACATAAGGATTAGCATCAAAGCAGCTTCTAGGGGGAGAGGTCTACGTGATGTTTGGTCGATATGTATACAGTTCCAACGACAACGACAACGCTATACCAACGCTACTTTTCTTTTCCCTTGCTGTTGCCTAAATGTACAGGTTCATTGGGTTGGATGACGCGAGGCTCGATGGTTGGACCGTTTCAAGATGCAGGTAAAGTAACAAAAAAAAGGAGGGAGAGGAACAAGAGGGGGTGTTCGTTATCACCCTTGAATATTCTCTACAAGAGATGGAGACGGTTCAGGAAGTTAGAGATCGTCTGTATGTGTATTGTGTGTGTGTGAATAAGTGGAAAAAAAAAGAAAGCGAGAGGAAGAATAAAGCTGTACACATACACCTCTCTTGAAAGCTCCCCATTTTATTGAACCCCTCCTCCACCCGCATCTTTGGACCGAAGAAAGTTGGCGTGTATGTATCATCCTCCTTCTAACTGTTTCAAACGACAAATTTCTCATATTATAGCCTTTGCTTTGCAACCTAGTTCATGCGGTAAGCATAGGGATGGCCAGGCAGCGTTATTCAGAGGAGATAGAAATGGCTTAAAAAGATGAGATCAACATTCATTGATACATATATCTACTACTATAGATAGCCCCATCTTCACGGATCCACCGGTAAGAATAATATCCAGCAACGAACAAGAAAAAATCAATATCACATTTAACCAACCAGTAATTCTTCCTCCTTGCGTAATTTACGGAATATGTAGGTCAAGACGGGTTTCGGATATCACATCATCATGGTTGTAAGTGAGCGGAAGAGATAAAGGGGGCGGGTTGGGAGCATGCTTGTTCGCATTATAATCAGTAGGTATTATTATACTCAATAACTGCGTTAGGAGGACCGCAAGTAGTGCACAACATATGTAACGTATTTTGTGGTCTGAGAGTTGAAAGAATCAACCACAACAAGCAACGTTGATGCAAATACTCGCGCACGCAAACACATAACAGACTACTGCTATAATCCATTCCCATTCCCAGTACTCAGCCCGTATATACAAGTTTTTTCCCTCTAGAAATTGCGGATGTGTTTTTTTTAACACGACGGTGGGACGTTTTTTTCAATTTTGCACTGGATTTGGTGTCGCTACAGTATTAATAAGCCTGGTCAAAGGCCGCTGAAGCGCGACGCTGAAAGTGCCTTCAGCCTTGGAGGTGAATGATCACAGCTGAAGCTACCTTTTTAAGTAATACGTTCCTTCCTTTCTTTAACAATCAGCGCAACGCGTCTCCTTGAGCATCCCCTCCTCCGCGGGAGATATCCCGTTCTTTGTTCCCGGACCTTCTGAAACTGATGTCAGAACCTCGACCCTCGCGTGAATGTTCGTGCCATGGCCTTGCAAGGTCAAAGTATGGACATTTTACGTAAGTCGATCCCTCCACTTCCGAGGAACACACGCTGCGGATGCTGAAGTACTGCGCTTTTCACAGCGATGCATACAGCAACAACAAGAAAAGTGTCTGTCGCAAAATGTCCGAAGCTCTATTTGGCATCAGCAACAGTAATTTCACCTCGAGAGTCTCGACCAAGATGCAAGATCTCAAGAGGCAATGGGAAAGCGAAAGCTTCACTGCCGACCAATCGAGTGGTCAAGGAAACTTGATTGACGGAATGACTTGGTCTGGTACGAAAAGTGTACTGTTTGGATTATAAGTATAACACTTTAAGTGATACTAACAAATGAACATGATCTGTGAAACAGAGTATAGGGCACACGCTTTACCTCGTCTTGCTCTCGGTGATGCCATCTGGCAAGGTCGCGTCTCAGCAGACTCGAATGTTGCCTATGACAGCAGCATTGGACTAAGCTTGAATGGACAAGCGGTGGATGTCTCCACCATTGTTCCTACCCAGGGGAATCATCGGCCAGCAACAGAGCTACAAGAAGACAGGCGTATGTCGATGATGAAACGTTAGTATACAAAGAGTTATAGAGTCTGTTTCGAGGTTTAGTTCAGTCATCTGTACAAAGTCTAATTGGTTTAATTATCATCATTTCGACGTTAGACTTTCACAAGTGGAATCATTGATCACGGGTCGAACCCAGGCAGATATTGCCAAACAAGGAAGGGTGAAGGCCTTTTACGAGTTGAAAAAGGCGCAGGAAGATCGACAAGCAGTTCTGGAACGTGCCGCTGAGGCTAAACGCGCCCGAAAACACGAACGCCATATGGAGAACGCCCGTGCGAAGCGCTTGAAGCTCGAATTGTAAATACTGAAGCTCACGAACGTGAGATGTCATCGACAGAAGAAGGCACACATTAGCTGACATGTCTTTTGGTTATAAGGTCGATGTTGATTCTGTTTCTTGGAAGCACATTCTTTGAGAAGCTGAGAAGTTGCGCGGCGACGTCAACAATACCAACAACCAAGACACCTTTGAAAGAGCAGTTGCTTCTATGGCAACTGGCTCAGTGTCAAACCATGATAGCAACAACGATCTCCGCAGCGCCACTCCACCTCCTCACCAAGTGGCGCACAAAACCCAGCTTCCACATCTCATGCACCACCACTAACAAACGATGAAGGCATAGACAATAATAAGGATATGTCATTGATACCAAAGCGATCAACGAAGGTCGACTCAAACTCCCTCGTACAATGAAGGACATCTTTAACAAGTTAGTTCTCGAGTCACCTTCACCAATCAGAGATATCAAAGTTGGAGGCTTGGTATGACTTTATGTTTATTTCATCTCGTCTTATCTTTATCTAACACAACAGTAAAGGTGGTTTTTTGATAGCGATTAATTTTTACACGTATCACTGCCTCAAAAAGGAAGCCGAGCCAGAAGAGAATATCGAAGCAGATGCATTGTAAAACTTCTAATACACCTTGATAGTATGGCTGTGAATTCAAATGAAGAGAACTCACTGTTAAAAGGATGATGACACCCGTAGAATGTATTATTAATAGTGTATATGCCACCATGACTGCGGAAACAATTGACATGGGAAACTGATGTGCCTGTTGATGTATATAGCACTTTAGAAAAAGAAGAGCTTTTTGATTTTTGACAAGAGTAGGCATCGTTTTTTTATGTGACTATGGCTATCTTCCTTGCTTATGATTATATTGATAATGCTTATATTCGAGCAACTATATGAAATGTTTATGGTAACCAAATGACAAGCAGTAATGTATACATAGAATAAGTAGTTATCGCTTGCTGTATATTTTACTACTGACTGCGAGCAATCAACTATTACGAACCACAGAGTCAATCAATAAGTGAGACTTGCTGTATAATGACGAAAACAGTTTTCAATTTTTTCGCCTGCAATTTTTTTTTTCGTACCTTTTAAATTTTTCTTCTGAATGAATAAAACGTCGCGCCAACCTGCAAACTATATATTGTAAACGTTTAACCGAAATGCCATGTGGCATTGAAGTCGAAACTCACAGTACAAAGAGCTTTTTTTTTTTGTGTAATCGAAAAGGAAGCTCCGCGACACGACTTGTTAGAAGAAATTTTTATACTGCTCCCTCTCATCGTTGATTGTAGTCGTTATCTCTCTACTGCTGCATCTTCTATGCGTGTTCTTTATATGTATAATAGTAGGTTGCGGCCGCATCGTGAAGCCGGGATCAATACGGGTTTCTGATCGCAAGCGTGCAACAGCAAGGGGAGGAGTGATGGAGTATATTGGATTGTTGTGTGTAATAGTAACCAAGCACTCACACAGAGTCTTTGTAAAAGGAAGGAGGGGCGGGGGAGGTACACACACACGCACACAAGCACACGCACGCACAAGACGGCGGGAGGTGTAAATGTAATTGCAAATAAAAGAAGCGGACATGTAGCACAGAACAGTGCTCATGGCAAGCGGCACGTGGAGTTATTTCCATTTGGGTTGAACGAAGCACCATGGTCAAAGAAGAGCTGGTTTTTCCTTGTGGGTTAGAATGTGGGCTTCTTTGCCGTTGCTCCAAGGGCACCTCTTTATTCGAGTGCATTGCATCAAGGGTAATATCATTCATTCAGTCGGGATACCCCACTTGCCAATTAGCGACTCGCTCGGCATCCAGGGGTGTACAGCAGAAGAAAGACTTAATAGCAGATAGGAAGCAAGGAAGGGACAAGGCACATTACACTACCACATTAAGCGACAATATATTCGGGGCCCTGACATTGCAGAAAGTGAGTGTTACCTTGTCCTCACTGTCTTTTTCTATTTGCAACCCCCCCTCCCCTCCCCTCCCCACCCATTTCCTTCTTTTTATTCCCTTTCAACCGAGTCCAATTCCTTCTCTCTTCCTTTCCTCTTGCACACTTACTTTCTTTCTTTTCTTTACCGTCGTCTCTTGTTCTCTTTCAGCTCAATTGCCCTCCTGTCCTCTTCCCCCGGGCCCTAATCATTTAATTGACAAACGAATAGAGCGAGAAATCGAATTGAACTACTGCTCCCACTACAACGACCCATCATTGCACACCTTCCACGAATACGACACCAATGACAACACCAGCAGCTGGTCTGACAACGCCCACAAGCACTACGACGGGTCACAACTCGCACAGCAGTACCAGTAGCACCAGCACTACTGCTAGCAGACATCAAGCATTACCGTCGCTATCGTCGTCCGTCTCGAGCTCATCCTCCGTGCTGAGTAACTCCGTGCCGCTCTCCCCTGTCTCAGTCTCGCTCCACCACCATTACCACAACCAGCAACAGAAAAGTGCTGCTTCGCTGAAACGCGCCAATTCTTCGTCATCACCTGCAACCCATTCCGAATGCAATGCCCTACAATTGCCCCAACGCTCGGCATCGGCCGGTTCGCTCATGCGCCAACAACATTCACCCGTATTGAGACACCACACCGCGCAACCCCTCCGACCAGCTTCTTGGGTGGAACGTATACAAAACCCCGAAACAATGGCATCCCGTCGAGTCTCGTTCAATGAGCGTGTTGTCGTCATTTCTTCTTCCTCAACTACTCCTTCTTCTTCTTCTTTCCCACAGGACCAGCAGCAGCAGCACCGCCCAAAACAACAGCAACAACATTCATCGTCATCGGCTCCAATATTATCACCGTCATCATCACCTACAACAGCTGCGTCGTCGTCATCGTTTGCTGAGCAACAACAACAACAGTTACCACTGTCTACGGCATTATCTACTACAACCTTGCCAACATCCATCACAGCCAGTAACAGCAACAACAGTACGAATATTTGGTGGGACGAATCGCAATTGGCCATGGAACTTGCAGAAGATGATCTCATGGAAGATGCCACCCGAAGAAGACGCAAACGAACCCCTTCTGCTCGACGACTCAAACAGAAAATCATCAATTCCATCATCTCCACGTCCTCTGCCTCTTCCATCTCATCCAATGACTCCAGTAGCAGCAACAGCAATAACAACAAGCACCCTTCTTCTTTGCATTGTAATAATAATAGTAATAACCGATATCCAGCAACTGCACCATGTCCTCAGGACGGCGCGTTTGCGTCTCCTTCATTGCATCATCATCATCACAACGACGACGACGACAGCCGTTACAACAACAATAAAGTTCCTTCTTCCAGTAAGAATAGTAGAAGCAGCAGCAGCAGCAGGTTTGCTCGATCGCTCAAGAGGTTGACAGGATTCATCTTTTAGGTAGCATAAAAACTTGATAATACCGTTTTCCCTATTACAATCTTTCTCTCTCCTTTACCCTTCCCGCACCCCTTCAAAGTTTCCAATCATACATACATACCACTCACACCCTACTTCATATACAATGGGAACACGCCTTTCTCCCTCCCTTTCCAAGCAAGACCCTCAAGATCATACATATATCATTTTCTGTACTCCCCCTGTCATTATCTCTTATTAGATCCCAACTCTCTTTTCAAATTCCATTCACCAGAGGTGAATGCTTACGCAACAACTAGCTGTAAATATTTTCTTTTACCATAAAGCAAATCGTTTTTTTTCTACTTTCTTATCGTATTACGACGTCGTAGTCTTTTTTTTTCTCGGTCATAATGGACTGATCTCTTGTTCGTTTTTCTTTTGAGTTTGCTTATGTAGACAACGCGAGAAAAAACCCAGCCTCAACTCGCACTATCCTTCCTTTGGGATAAGCTGAAAAAGATTACAGTTATGTACTCCTGCTTGGTCGAACAATGAACAAACAATAAGCGTCTTTGGCTGTATTAGCCTAATCTTTGTCCCGATCCCAAGCACCCGTAATGCGGAATGTGGTTCGTCGTGTTCGTAGCATTGGTAATAGTAACATTTTCACGGACCATAAATAGAAGGTTGTTGTTTCTTCTTTCTTTGATCTCGGACTATAACTTTAAATACAGTATCAATTCATTCTCTTCATTGTTGCAGGGTTATTAGCTCGTTGTCATAGTGATAACTCGATGTATCAATCCAAGTACAGATCGAGATCGTTAAATCAGGAATGTTCCAAAGGAAACAAAGCGCGCACCACTGAGTAACTGAGTAGTAGCATGCGTGGCTACACACACCACCCTTTGGATGTTTAGTAGCAATGTGCGTACACGCACAAGAGTATCGATTCAAACAAGAAAAGAATAGAAAGAATGGGTTTTTTGTTCTTCTACACATTTTTCTTTGTGCTCCCCATAAGTTTCTGATGTGTACACAAACCGCTAACTTTATTTTTTCATTTTATGAAAAAAAAAAAGTTGGAAACCCGCGGGATCGGGTCCTACACAGCATATCGATTTTGAAAAATTACGAGCCGGAAGAATGAAATGAAGGCGAAGCGTGAGTGAGTGAAGAAAAACAGGCTTTTCATCTGATGACGGTATGTCATGACGGCTGTGAGCTCGCATTTCCTTAACCCCCCCCCCCAACCCCCCAAACATTCCTTTCTCTTTCCGTATACCACATACGTGTATACCGTATGATGTTGGCGGGAACAGTTTGTTTTTCTTTGTTTTTTTTTTCTATTTCACTATCAGCAGCAATATGAATGACGGTACAAAGCAGCGCCACCAAAAGTAAAAATACCAGGAATGCCGCTTTGTTCACTTGTGTAATACAGCACACGCACAGCAAAAGAAACAGCTGACTCTGCATATGTTATGTAACGCATATACACATGTGGTTTTGTCATCTTCCCTGGTATCTTTTCCATCCTATAAAATCCCGCTATTGCACATACTTACCATAGCCACACGTAGTGATACCTGAACTTATTCAAGTATACTTCTTTGCTCTTCCTCTACTCAAGCCCGTCGGATGCAGATCTGTTTTATTCATTAAACTTTCATGGTTAATGAAGGCGTCATTATAAAAAAAACCCGCTTACTACATCTCAACATCATTAGTAGTACTGTAGCACCCATATGTACGGTTAAGAAAGCAACTCACTTGCATTAAAAAGCCCGACCTTTTTCAATGTTAGCAGACCTTGAATATGTAGCGTACCATGTGGTCACGATTCCTTTTAATTACAAAAGCGTGCATAATCAAGAAAAACTCGATCTGTATGTATCCTCGTTGATGTATTGCATTTTTACTATCAACTAGCTGAAATTATTAATGTAAACTACCGCTGCTACTCAATAAGTCTGACATTCTGACATGCCAAAAAAAAGAACGAGGACTTACACATGCATTTTGCAATACAGAATATGAAATTTGTAAGCATACAAGCTGCACAGTACTGCTACATATGTATATTATGCTCATCATCATCGGCTCACTTGGTCGTGAGAAAGTATTCCCATTAAGATTAAGAGATGAGAAACGACAGTGCTTTATGTACATCAACATGTTATAAGATGTTTTAACAGCTAAGCGCACATAATACATATACGAGAAGAAGATAAAAAGCAACGTAGAAACTTCTAGCACTACTACAAGATCTACCGGGAAATCTTTTCTTCGTAGCTGTGGCGCCAATATGCAATAATTTCTCACTTAATTACAATCGCAAAGAGCATTAGAGAGCTGTTCAAACAGCTTGTATTTGACACAAAATGAGAGAGCTTAAAGTGGGGTTCCGTGTAAGAACATTTTGTAAAGTACAACTGAAGATTGTCCATTCTTAGAGTGGGTTCAAAGAAAGAACCCACCGTACTCTAAAAAGGGTTTGATGTATAGGAAGAAGCTTTATATAGAACGTCAAGTTACATATACATAAGAGAAATTGTAGCCAAGATCGAATTACTATTACTTAAAGTCATCTCACCTACTCGGTATACAATACATGATGGAGAAAAACCAGCAGCGATTGTCAATTAGGTATGTCATCTCAACTCGACTTATATGATACGCAGTCAAATTCGCTGGTTGCATTATATATAGCTGCGGCCATAACATTCTTGATACAACTTGCTATCAAACGCAAAAACCTGCTCCTAATCAATTTCTTGCGCCAATTAGTCTGGAGGTCACGGTAAAGCTTACCGTGAACAGCATCTGTAAGATCGCTTTATCTTAAAAAGCAAGTAGGAGTATCATAATGGTTTGCGTAAGTGTTGTATTTAAATGCTGATGCTGATGATGCACTCCCTGGGTATACTATCTAATGCTTTAAATTCTGTTTATAAGCATATAAAAAAGTTGATTCTTGTGCTCAGAGACCTCAAATAATGGTAACAAGAGAGAAATTTTTCACAGAAGTTTGACAGAAATATGAGTGAAAAGGAAGAGATAGCAGTGTGATATCTTATTGGTGTGAAGGCTCGGATGATGGTACTGCCACGGTAACAAAGAATCGACATAGAAACAGGTAAAGAGATTCAAAGCATGCCATAACGTCAGACACGTTTTGGCAAGCATCGAGGGCTCTTCCTGAGTTTTCCTACTGCTTAACGCTCAAGCTCGCATATATGAACGCCACAGCATCAAAGAGAAAGATAGCGTTGTATGCAATCTTGGAGTCGAATTTCTTCGTTCGGTGCAATCTATTTTGCGCTGGTTTAGAAATATACCTTGTCATCGTCTTGATGAGTAAAAGAGCAAAGCAAAGATTAACCATGATATAATTACAGTACTACGGAATCATTTCTAGGGAGTTTGAGAAGTTTAATGGAGCAGAAAGAGAAACAGTTCACCCTTAACTTGCTGACCCCTTTCTATAACGCCAGAATGTCTTTCGCGTGGCATTATACCGGACCAAAACGCAGCTCAAGATCCTTAATTAGGAGCGACTACTACACATCTACCTGTAGATAACTGCGATTTGTAAATTCCTAAAGAGCGAGCTGTACGATGGTCCACGTTAATATCATTGGAAAGTCAAGATTGTGACTGGGTGCTCCTGAAGCACTACTAAATTACAAGTTCTGTTGCATTGCGCTCGTAATGCCTAAGCGACGTTTATACAGTAGGTTACTCTCATGGTAAGGATGCGCTTCTCTGGAGATAAAAGGTAATCAAAGAAGCACCTCCGGCACAAAGGAATAAGAAAAAAATTTCACACTGGAGTTAACTGAGCGAAACGACGTCTGCAAATCTGTGCATTTCGCGTTCAGGGAAGCAATGATCAGAAATGATTTCATGCAGACCAGTTGATTATTCTAGTGTGTTTTAAATAGGGTTTCCTAAGCAATTATGGTACGTAACATGAGACTTTTTACGGCGATTGGTTCGTAATCAAAAGAAAATTTGTACGTCAGTTGCTTACGGTGGAGTGTGCAATAACGTGTCTTTCGTCTTGTTCGTTAATTTTTTAAACCGACCGCTAGTACTGTAACTCCATATTGTACCTGCCTCAGGATGTAATTTACTGCATATTTAGTTTACTACCTTGTTATAAACAAAACATGTTACTGTACTAAGCGTCGAGGGTGACTTTCTGAGATATTATATAATAATTAACGTGAATACACAAAACTGAACTGCGGCCGCTGGCATGAGATTTCCTGAATTTCACATTATTACTTGGACTTCGTAAGACCTTACAGGGTTTTGGGAGGTCGTTAAAGAGCAGTACCATTACTGTCCTCTTCCCCCTGAACCCAAATTCAATTGAGCAATCCTGGTCAGGTGCCAATGTTAAATTTTAACGAAATAAGTTTTCAGAAGAAAAAATTGCTGACGCGAGAATTTGTATTTAACTGAACAACCTTTTTGGCACAGTGGGCAGGGGGGAGTATAGAGGAGGGAAGTAAATGTGGTATATATATATATATATATATATATATATATGGGGGAAACGTTCTAGCTTCTTCGTTGAATGGGTGGTCCAAGTAGTATTAGTCTCATACTAGGAGGCGCACTTTTAAAGACTCCAGCTTGACTTGAACCATTCCTATACAATATGTACAAATCAAAATGAGCCATTCCTGGGCAATATTCCCATATAAAAAATAGTCAACTTATAATGACGCTCATACCTTGATGTTGACATGACCCGCTCTTTCAGTAGAGGCGGAAAAGCGCACAAGCTAATGGCACCATTCTATTGGTTTGATTCAGTATGCTAAAAAAAAATTGCAAGGTAACCTTTGATATAAAAAAAGAAAGACAACCGTTGCAGTAAGAGGCGGATCTCGGGAATGAATCAGAAGAGGAGGGGGAGCTTGAGCATACCATCGGGTTGACCAACTCTGTCTGTACACAGCAATCCACCTAACAAACAACAGAGCTAGCGAGGGGCAAGCGCCAAGTGTCAGCGAGATGTAGGTGAAATCATACCTGAATATTCTGCAATGTGGTAGTCTGGACGTTCCGCAAAGCAATGTAGCAATGTACCGCAGTGGAGATCCTGCGTGTCAGTTGGCCACGTAGGCGTCCCTGATTGGCACAAATACCCTGAACCTTTCTCTTTTTCCCTCTGAATTGCGGCAATCATCCTGCCTATGCGTCAGCCCATACTCAAAAGAAGGACATTGCTTTTGGAACCAGTTGTGTGTATGGGTCGTTCAAGGGAGAGGACCTCGTAACAATGTGCGACGTACGGACAGTGCTTAGAATGACCCATATGAAAACCTTTCATTTTCCTTCTTCACCTCATAGCTTCCATCTCCAAGCGAGGGATGAGATACTCTTGCAAGGCCACACAACCATACAACCATGTGAAGGAGTAGAAAGGAGCAGCTAGTATGACCGCCGCCGCAGTAATGGTTATACTGAGCTAACTTTTTGCGGCTTTATTATACTCATACGGCCGCAAAAACCGCAAAAATAAAGTATGCCGCGAAACTAAATGGAATTGTGCTGTAAATGTGATAATAGAAGAGAGAGAAGCCAAATATTGAGACACCAACTTTCTCCTTTCTACCTCTTACCTCCCCTACTCTGCAATTTCAAAATGAATCCCTTGTTGACAAAAGACCATATCGAAACCGCTTTGAGACTCTACCGACTCTTTATCAAAGAAAACAGAACAGCAGAAGAAGAGACGGAAATATTTGATAACGATGATTTCGTTGATTTGGTTTCCGATTGCAATTACGAAGCGGCAGTAGTGAAAAAAAGAATTGAAGCTGCAAAAGCTTCATTCGACCAAGCTCCATTGACAACCGATGCAACTGACGTGGCGACTGCTATTGAGCAGATGGAAATGGAGTCTGCCTCCAGCAACGTAGTAGATGCTGCTGCTGACGAAGCAGTTGCGTCCGCTGTGGCCGAAGCCGACGAGGAAATGGATGCTGATCTGGCAGCTCTTGAAAAAGAGTTGATTGACCGCATGAAGGCAGGTCAAGCCGAAATTGCCACCAAGTATGGCAAGCGCGTCGAGGAGCTCCTGCTGGTGAAGTTGCCAACTTTTCGCAAGCACCCCGGCCAACGGAACACCTGGCAGCATTTCCTGTCCCTTCATTACGATGCTGAAGGTTATATCGTCTTCTTAATTGCAGATACAAGAATGCAGGCACGATACAACACTCTTATTAATCAGTATTTTACTGTACGCTTAGATAGGGAAATGTTGAAGAGCGATAATCGCCAAGCTGGATATATCGTTCAGCAAAAGTCTGACGAATATAACGCTGTAATGAATGATCCGGAACTGAATGCGGACCTGATCCGAGCAACGAATGAGCATAACGAAAGTATTGGCGCCACTGAACAAAAGATCGTTCAGTCGGCAAAGTTGAAGCTGAAGTTGCTTATCAACTGCATGAGCCGCAACATTTTTCAGCTGAAACGAGAATGTGGTGTTGAAACCTTGTGTCTTTTCTCGCCAGACAGGCTCACCAGCAACGTGGTTCCCATTGTAGCAGCTGGATCAGGTGAGGTTTCATTCTTCTTTTCGTCATGGAGATTAACAAACCAAAATTTCGATTTAGACGCAGGAATCGCCTTCTTTTGACAGGCAAAGTCGCAAGCAATACCAACTTCCCACCTTGGTGGATCAAACGCATGATATTGTCATGTCGCTGACCGAAAAGGAACACAATTCCAAGAAGGCCACCTCCTATATACACCAAATCAAGACACGCTGTCCTGACACGGAGCGGCTGCTTGCAGCACTGGCCAAGTTTATCAATATAATAGAAACCAATGTCTTTCTGCTCGACCCTGATAACACGGCCCGCGTTACCGAGTACGATTTCGTCATGCAAGTCTGGGCACCCATCCTCAAATCATTGATTGACATTCATGGTGTACTGCGCATGAAGATCGGAGAGTCCAGCCCGGCTCAAGGTATTGTTGGTCGCAAGCGCTCCTACAGTGACGCTCGCGTTGGATTCAAGGTGGACTTGCGGCTGCTTTTCGATTCGCGCCAAAATGAACACGACCTACTTGCCCTCGAAGCTGCAAAAGCTGGGGAGTCTTCCAAACTGTGCCATGACGTTTGCAAACTGATGCGTGAGGCCAAGGACAATCTCGACGCTACCCTGCAGCACATCTTGAAACGCCACATGCAGGTGCCACTTCTGTCCTGGTACATGCACACCAATGGTGTTTGTGCTTATGTTGGCACTGTTCATCTTGCCAACGCTGGCCTTTATTTGGCACTACATGAATCAAAGATTCACTTTCCAAGGAACTTGACATCGCTACAGGCATTTGAAAAGGAATTTGTCATGCTCGTTTCCATGGTCTTCGACTTGGAACGAAATGCCCTCATGATCAAAAAGTCCATGGATTTGATGGATTGTCGCAAGGATTCGGTCATGAACCGCCACGTTGACCCAGACAATTGCCTTGATGCCAACTCTTGCCTGTCGTCTACGCGACCTACCTTTTACAACCCTCCACGAGACCAAGCATCATTAGCTGTTCTTCCTGCCGGCTTGTTTGACGCTACAAACACAACCTCCCTACCATCTGTGCCGTCTTCCCCTCGCCGCACCGACCTGGACCTCAACTCAGAGCCCGACGAATATGGTTGGGTCGCCATGGATAATGGCTCATTTATTAACGTTCATACCGGCATCATCGTGGATCGCCATCCATTTGACGAGAAGCTTGAACATTTCCTCATATGTATTACCCCCACGTTGTGCCAAAAGAAGCGGTTAAAAAATACTAAATATCGCTATCAACGATTCTTTTTCCAACACTTATTTCGTTTAACTATAAAATTGACACTTGATCAGAATTGCTCATTTGGATTCGTTCCAGGGGGGAGAGGACAGTACAGTACTGTTCTTTGATAAAGGTCTGTTCACTCCGGTTTTCAAGAAGCCAATAATCGAGAATTGAGGGACACTGAACCTCAAATTTATTGTGTTTCAGTCCGTTTTGAATACTGACAACAATTAAGTATCTTTACAATACATACATATACGCGAATTTTAAAGTCGTGGTGCCAGCAATTGGCAATTATTTTTTGCTATGGGAGCAATATATCACACAATGTACGCGCAAAAAAGTTTTCCGAAAAGAGCGTGCAAACGTTAACAAACGGCAATTAGTACTCTTAGATGCGATTAACTCCACTTGAAAGATGATTTTTGTACATGTCGGATATCAAGGTCTGCTACCTATTTTACTACAGTATTGAAAGAAAAGGGGCACGAGTAATGAATCCCCAGTCGCTACTAATTCCTCACAAGTCGGAAGTACATATGGTTTCCCATTATAGTTTGCCTGTAACCGATTTGTACTGCAAGGTGTGTTTCCACAATGTCAGCATACTGTGATGGGTTTGGTTTTGATTTAGATACAGTATCTTTGCCAAAGTGGCGCTTTGAGGCCACTACATGGTCATGGCTATTGTGAGGAGGATCCACCATAGTTTATAGGATTAATATGTACGTTGTCAGTGATTAGATGCAACGCGCGCCTCATTATAGTCAAACGTTTATTAGCGTAATGGCAAGAGCAAGAAATTCCCAAAGATTTATTTTAAAATAAGCATAACCCATTCTACTGTGAAAGAAAATGTTGCTTTAAGCTCGTTACTCTTAATGGTCTTGATATTTTTACAGCAGTAAACGAAACAACACGTACCATGCGTTAATTTATTTTAATGTAATGAGCTGAAATGTGTTTAGGCCAAATCTCGTCTTGTGTCTTTTTCCATTAATGACTCTTTGGCCTCGGATGGAATAGTCGTGCCTAATATATGCAAAAAACACTATTGGATGGATATTGACAGTATAGTTTCCTTCGATGGAAGTTTTATATATATTTATTGGAGAATTAGGCCCAATAGATGCTATAAATATAGATGGCGCGATCTTTGAAGAATATCCATCATCTTTTCGTTCGTATTGTACTAGAAGTGTGTATCATGTGATCTTCGGCGATAATCGGTCGTCCCTGCCTTGATACAAGGTAATGGATGCATGGCAATAGAAGCATCCGAAATCAGTGAATTTTATTTATTCATACTCTAACTGTTAGTACCATTTATCCAACAGCAACAATAACGAAGATTTTGACCGTTTAAACACATACTTGTAATTATTGTGAAGTCGTTGGTTGCTGCGTGTACGGTGGCACATCTGAACATTGGCCATCAGCTGTAACAGGCTTGTGATGGCTCATGTCCTGTAAACTGAATAACAGCGATAATGAAAGCCTTTTTAATTCTCGTGATCTTAGAGGTGGAGAATATACCAGTCGATAAATAAGATCTACAGCAGTACGTAGTTTTGCCTGAGCCCTATTGTACAGTAGTAAACACAGTAACAGCGAAATGAGAATTGAGAAAGACCGTCGAATGTCTACTAACATGGCTGTTGCGGTATCGAATCTTTTGATGTTGGCTGTAGGGACCATTGTCTGTTGATACGGATGGTCTAGAAGAATACTAAAAGAACGAGTGCTCGTCTTTTTCGGTGTTGAGTGGTTGAGTGACAGCTAACGCAATGCATGAGATTTCATGTCACTTCCGCTTAGTTCCACAATACTAAAAGCTCGACTGAAATCCACTACATGTCTTTGCGATTCTGTCCCATTTTTAGTATGACAGTCTGATGGAGACACATGATATATCTCATCGCTGATGACGTTTCTTATATATTTGCACCAAAGGGGCTGTTGGATAAGACATACTCCTATCATTGGTCTCAGGCAAAAAATGTCCGTTCATACGACGAGCCATCCGTCGTTGCTTCCTTTCTTAGTCATATGTCTAATGACGCATAGGGTCTATTTACTAATACGTGTGTTTTCCTTTCATAAAAGTTAAGCGCTCAAAATGCGGCATATGCTCAATTGCCTGAGGCCACCCCCACGCTTCAAAACATCAAAGTATTTCTATTTTTCTGATTAAGCAGCGGAGCCGGCTATTGACAAGTTGGCGGAGTCCACTTAGCAGCACAAAAAGGTTTGGAAAACGAGGCATTACGCTGTTCCATTTAGAGTGGTACAGAGGATGTAAGCACGAATCGCGACTAAAAGGAAGAGAGAGGGATAAGAGCAACATGCACGCTTTCTTAAGGGGAAAACCTTGTGTTGTAGCAGATTGCCATTCTTTTTCCACAGGAACCATTTGATATTAGATTCAATGACGACAGTTTGCTGTGTATAGCAGTGTATTTAGGAGAAGTATATTCCTATTGTATGCTTCAAATGCGTAGCACTTTTAAATTATAAGAGACTCTCTACTAATAGCAGTCAGTCCGTCAGCATGTGAAAAATTAACTCTTGTATTTATTTACATTACCAAGCGACCTAAAAGGCGGGGAAATTTGTTTGTCAGTGGCCTAATACAAACCTTTTGTGTGTGTGTGTGTAATATATTACACTGCGCGATCGCGCCTACTTCTCTTCTTCTTTTGCGTCGCTGCTGGACTCGTCTTTGTTCCTCTCTCTTTATCACACCCTCTAATATATACATATATATTTATACCAACAATGTCGAACATTCCTCCACATTACTCTGACCGCTATGTAGGCCAACGGTTCAACAAAGCGCTTCATATCGTACAGCATTTGTCTCCGTCATCCAGTTTTCAACCCACCAAAGAACAAAAACTAGAAGTATGAACTTTTCTCATCTCGATGTTTGCAGATTCCCGCACTGTTTATTTCTCCCAAATCGCTCGCATTTAACTGAATAGAACATATAGTTATATGCATTATATAAACAAGCTGCACAGGGTAATGTCAACACGCAACGACCAGGCATATTTGACGTTGTTGGACGAGCGAAATGGTAAAACTACAGGCAGAAAGAACGACGACTTCGAAGGAGACGACTATGAAAGCAAACTAACTCTTTCATTTTTTTTTCGCTCACAAATATTGATTCGAACAGGGACGCTTGGAAAAAAATGGAAGGGCTTAATAGTTTGGAAGCAAAACATCGCTATGTGGAGGTTTTATTGCGCGTTGCTGTTGAGGTTAATTAGGGGGGGGGCGAGGGAGCCGTACTTTATATTCTTATCATGCCGCCAACACGAACATCATTTTAAAAACAAATAGGCATACCGGAAGCCGGCGAGTAAGTCACAGGCACATCAAATCATTCAAGCCTTTGCCACGATGCAGCCTTCAGGGGATCATACCGATGACGAAGATTCAGGCACGAGTGATGATGGTAAGATAAATATTAGGAATTTTATACTTGATAACTATGCTTTGTTCCGATATGGAATCGCCAATTTTCTTTTGGTTTCTCAATTATATAGATGAAACGAGTGTCGCTTCGGCAGATGCAGAAGAGCAAGCATATTTACTAGAAATTCAACAACAGGATAAGAGCGGCCGACGAACAGCAACGCCCTCTCGTTCTTCGTCTACGAGCATGTATCGCTCACCAGTATCGCCGACGTTATCTCGAGCATCAGCACATTCTGCCGCCGCTGCACGCTACTACAACAGCAACAATAACAACAGCAGTAGGGTCATGCGAGGTACTAATAATAGTCGGGCACAAATGCGTGCACCGTCTGCAGCATCTTCTGTCACTGGCGGCGCAGGACGACGGATATCGCAAGCCTCTCCTTCGATCACACCTAATACCAATATCAACAACAAAAAACGTACAACTACGACCTCCATTAATAATAACAATAACAATAATAATCGATTGGGAGGCGGCATGTTCGTCGAACAAGTCACTGAACCGTTTGATCCGCACGTAAATCCATGGGCACAACAACCATCGACTGTACGACAATACAAAGTGGATGATGGACACAGTGAAACCAGTAGTATGAATAATGATCCTGCTCATCATCATCACCAGCAACAACAACATCCTCATCATCACCATCAACAACAACGTCCTTCCATTATACAATTACCATCACCCGTGATATCCGCCACGTCGGCAAACGCTACCTTATTATCGTCACCAGCACAACCGCCACAACGTCATTTGCAATCGCCATCCAGTGCAGCATCATCCATGACAGCCACGGGACCGGCTCCAGTTGCACGTGTGGAGGGTGGTTTAGCGTCATCGTCCTCTGTTGTATCACAGTCCACGAACAATAACAATAACAACAACAACAATAGTCTATTGACAGATCAGCAATACACTTCGGTGGTCGCTCTAGGACCAGCAACGAAGCGGGCATTGGATACACTGCAGGCAGAAATCATTGCCCTGAATGATCGGATTGATGGATTGCGACAGGAATTGGTGGAGCGCGATCGACATAAAGTCAGTAGTGCGCAGGATGGTGACGACGACGATAGTAGTAGGAGTAACAACAGCAACAAGGAGAGTTGGGATGGCTGGCGATGGGTTGTCAAGGTAAATTTAATCGCATAGCACTTGTAGAATTATGGGGGGATAAGCGGAAAAGATAAGGGTTAAATAACTTACACAATGGGCTCGGATTGGGTTGTTCTTATCTGTTATATAGGCAGCGGTAAAACATGCAGCTATGAACCTGCTGATGGCCTCGCTCTTATTTTTGGCACTGTATCGGCAAAAGAGCCCAGTCGCATACGTGATTCTTGGTCAGATAGCAAAGCATTGGCGCCGTACCAAGCTTCGTTTGACCATAAGTAAAATTCTGGTTTAATAAATAGATCTGGTATAAATGTCCAATATAAATAACTTGTTGCTTGATGTATTATGTAACATATGTGGCACGACGGTACTCATATTCTCATAGCGTACTAGATACAGCACTAGTATGATGCGATATGCATGTTTGTGTATATTAGTTGCTTGAGGTCATGTGCGAAAGAAAACAGGGAGAGGGAGGTGGATCTGAGAATAGCAATTGTGTGGTACGCTTCTTGCTCCTTTTTTTTTCTTTTGGTCTTTTCTCTTGATTCAACTTCCCAATCTTATTAAATATTCTGCCTTCATGACAACGTCTGCTGCTGTCCAAATGCCGAATTCCGAGCCTGTCAATGACGACCTTAGCATACACGCATCGTCCGACTTGCGAAGGAATCGACTGCTCCGCCCCATGCAAAGCCAGCCCAACTTGCGCTATGCAATAACGACCACACCTAGTACACAACTTACAGCAACGCATGCCATTTACAACAGCAGCAACAACTATAACAGTAGTAGCAGTAGTAGCAGCAATACTCCAACCACGAAGCTGCATAAATCCGTAGAACCACCTCTAAGTCGAACCCAGCACAAACTCCTACTCCAACGACAATCGTTTTTGGCTGACGACAAGGACTATTTGGAACATCCAGCCAACATGAAACGCCTAACCAAAGAACTCGACCGCGTAAATCGTGAATATCAATGTGTACGATACTATGAGCATCCATTAGCAGACTCGTTCCGTAGAGTAGCTTTAGCCAACTCAGTATCACCACCACCACCACCGCCACCACTGACATCACCATCATCAGGAGGAACATATCACTATTCGTCTTTGGGTTGTTCAACAGCATCTTCTTCGTCGACAGCATCATCGTCATCCTCGTCGCCGTCGTCATCATTCTCATCCTCGTTTAATACTATCGGATGTCGTTCGCCACCCGGTTATATTGATGTTAATAATATAACCCCACGATTACAACGACGAGCATCTGCACAAGAATTATTGATGCTTGCAGCAAACAAGCAACAACAGTCTCCACCAACACCACCTAGTTTATTGAGTCGACTATTCGGTCAGCAACAAACAACGTTGACTTTGCCACCCACGTCACATCATCCTCATCAGCAATATATTCATTATCATCATCTTAAACGCCACTCGCATACTGCCGCGTGAAACCTTCTTTTTCTGGATTGGATGGGAACGAGGGGGCCACGACGAAAGGTGATGGATGAGGAAGGAGTGTGTGCAAATTACACCTCATTTCATCATTGCACAGAAACTAGGCAAGGGGAAGTTGTGGTGCAATATTATATATGGTGTGCTGTGCTTCTAGGGGATGGCTATCATACTTTACCATACTACTACTATCTTGATTTTCGCATGGATGTCGCTTAATTGTTTTCAACAACACCCACTATCAATACTACCGACACTATATTATATTATAATGATTATCATTGTCTTTCAAGTTTTCTGTTCCTCCCTCATTGATACGATTCTTACTCTTAACTACAATACTCAGCAGCTATTACATACTATACCCGGAATATAAACCTATACTATTGACAACAAAACCAATGCCTGTTACAAAAATCGCATTTGTTTATGGAATAATACCAGAGAGTGTGACTTTATATATATATAATAAGATTGTATGTATAAAACGACGTTTCGTGCAAGTTAAAGAGAGAAAAAGAAAGAAATAGAAGAGAGAGAGAGAGAGAGGGTTGTAGAAAAAAGACGGAGGAGACTTAGAAGAAAGGAAGATACTACACAGGAAAACGAAGATAATTTGTGGGATGGATGCGATTTGTATATGTATTTTTTTTTCTCAGGTTGAACGGTTGTTGTTGTGCGCGTATATAATTGATTGTGTTGGCACAAAATAGGGTGGATATAACGAATACGAGCGAATAAACAGATATAGAGTGTGAGGCGTAAAACGTGTGTGCGTGTGTGTGCGTGTGCGCGCGAGAAAGTAAATGGGACATGGCGTTATTGTTGAGGCGAATGGTCGAAAGCTGCTGATCTTTTGGACGGCACGAGTGAAACGAACAAAAAAAGGAGGCACTAGTACAAAGAGGGGAGGAATAAACGGTCGATGGGACGGGGGCAAAAGGGAGAAAGGGCAGTTTGTTTGAAAGGATGATTTGAAGTATGCTTTGTGTTATGGTGTTCTGTTTTGTGAAATGAAGAAAGAGAAGGAACAAGATAAGATAAAATAAAGGAAGAGTAATAAAGAGTAAAAGAAGTAGGTCATTGGAGTAGTAGTAATAAAAGAGGAAGCAGTAGTAGAAAGCAATATTACGCCCAAACGCGCAACGTAGCATCCCAACTGCCTGTGCACAAAGCCATGCCATCACCAGCAACACCCAAGCAAGACACTCTGTTTTCGTGTGCTGAAAGGACGCCCACGCGTTCGCCCTTGAGGGTATCCCACACATTGCAGTTGTAATCGTCGTAGCCGCCAAACAGCAATCGTCCCGAAACCGAAAAGTCGATGGAAGTGATGCCGCACAAGATCGCTTCGTTCGAATATACTGCCAGTTCGCAATCAGCACGCAAATCGAATAATCGGCAGCTAGCGTCGTCTGAGCCTGTTGCAAAGGCATCACCGCTGGGGAAGAACTGCACAGCGTTTACGTCAGATTCATGGCCGACAAATGTTTGGACGCAACGTTTGGTTCGAATGTCCCATACTTTGGCTGTCGAGTCGCATGCACCACTAACAAACACATTGGGATTCGTGCCCAATGACAAGCTACAAAATTGTGTGTGTGCGTTGTACAATTCAGTAAGTACAAATGCCATATTATGTTTCTTTGGTTCTTATTACCTCATGACATCGTTTTGATGATCTGCAAATTCTTCGGTTTTAACACCAGCATCAATGTCCCACAGCATGCAGGTTTTGTCGCCCGAAGCTGTCAGAATTTGACGGTCGTTGATGAACCGGCAGCAGCTCAAATAACCTGTGTGTGCCGATAATTCACGCGCAGGACGAGCTGGACCGTCGCGTGTCCGTAAGTTGTAAATCGAACAGATGTTGTCGAGACCACCGCAGGCAACGAGGTTGCCCGACGTTGCGAATGCACAGGTCATGACCCACGACGATCGTAACGGGATGGCGTGCACTTTGTTGGACGAATAGGCATCCCACACAATCAGTTTGCCGTCCTGCGAGGCCGAGACGACATGGCGTTTGTCCGTAGCCCAGTGCATCGAGTAGATTTTCGCAAGATGTCCTTTAAGAGTCCGACGTGCTTTCATGACGATACGCGGCAATGGTTCGACGTCCCTGGCCATTTCTTGTACTATAGTAATTTGTTACCAAAGAATGAAATTGAAATGAGCAAAGTAATTTCTTAATTCATGTTTATAATGGTAGTATAAAGTGTTGTTATATTTAAATAGACGTGTGGTTACACGTTCCACTTCTATGCCTCTTCCCACATATACACTCTCTTATATAACGCCCTCTCTTTTGTTTCTTTCTTCTCCCCCAAACCCCCCACAGAAATATTAAGAAGAAGATAGACGAACATGTTGAATCGGCAAGTGCTTCTTTTCGCTGTTTGATTCTGTCTTTTAGTGCTTCAGCCTCTCGTCTTGCAGCAGCAATGCGCTCGGGAATGTCGCTGTCGTTCATGTTCATGATGTGGAATAGAGGGGGTAAAAAGAGAGATGAAAGAGAAAAGGAAAAGGAAAAAAAGGGGAGAGGAGAAGTGTAAAGTGAAAAACGAATAGAGAGTATGGATGTGTGCGTGTGTTTCCTGTGTTCACCCAAGAATAAAAAATATTATTTCGGGGAGAGCAGTAAATTTGTTTTCCTCCCTCTCCTCTCTCTTTCTTACGTTCTTCGTAGTCGTCCGTCCGTCCGTCCGTCCATACACAGCCATTTGATTCACGTGGGAAGTGTGTGTGTGTCTCTTCATAACCGTATTTTTTTTTCTTTGTTCAACACACACATTTGCAACCATGGCAACACCGTTTCTGGGCAACCGGTGATCGGGGGGAGGGGAGGAGGCGTTGGGAACTGTTATTTTTTTCGCGTTTCCATGCCAACCCATTGCCTCGTTACCAAGTGTGCATCCTTGACCCAACAACAACAACACACCATACTCACTCACTCGTAAATCGCCCCTTAATTTTATACTATTTTACGCCTGTCACCTTATTTTGATGACAGCCCCTCCTTATCTCCCTTTTGATAATAACAGATATAAAAATGCGACTCATAGTGACATGAACAAGAAAAACTTGTTTACAAGATGCCACTTATCGCAGTAACAACGGTGGACCGTGTGCAACCTCATTATGAGCAAATTTGAAGAAACGCCACGGTCCAGCATTCAATATTAGGTATAAAACTAGAGAGTCCGAGCTCAAAGTCTGGTTCTGCTAGATAAGCAAATAATCAATGCATACATTATGCTAATACCATCATCCCTAGCTACTACTTACTACTACTGCTACTGCAATGTAGAACATTGGGACCTTCTTTTTCCTTCGTAGTAAGAATCAGAAAGAAACAACAATTAGTCACTTTAGAGTTGTTGGTACACAGCAGACTATAAATTTATTGAAAGTTGTATTGTTACACAATGTATTTTTCGTACGACAACAAAAAGATAAAGTAATTTTTTCATTTTCCACGGAGTAATCGCTCAATCACCACATTAAAGGCCCACACCCATTCTTCCTTTTCATGCCGATTCTTTGCCAAAAATTGCCATGTCTCGCCCTCTTCTTGGAAAAACTTGCGATTGTGTTTATATACGGTTATCCGCTGTCGACTTGGACTAAATACCCGTCGCGTCTGTGGTTTCCAAAGAGAAAACAAACTATCGTCTTTCACGTCGGCAGCTGCGATGCCGTCCGGGAAAATCCTTGCTGGTCGTCTTGGTGAAAGTGACGAGTAGACGTAGCAGCTGCTAATATCCACCGCATCTTTTCGGTCGTGCACGGCTGCAAGTAATGGCTGGCATGTCACGGCAGCTCGATCATAAATGTTGTAGTAGATCAACCAGCCATTGGCTGTCAAAACAAAAATTTTCTGAGAGAATGTGCCTCGTGACCTTGGCTGGAAATACATGACACCGGTTTTCTATATACAAAGTGTTATGCATTATATTATCGGTAAATGGTCCTTTCAGCCAACAATTGAAAACAAGCAACTTACCACTATGTCTCGACACTGTTCGAAACAGCAAATGCTCCAAATTCGCGTATCCACTTGAGGCAACTTGTTGAACTCGCTTCCTTTCTCCTTGTGCGTTATCCCATATCTGAACTCTTCTTCAAACACATCGCCAAAATCATGTTGTGCATTTACGTTTAGTCTGGCTTCCTTGTATGCTCGCCAGTAAACAATCAAGTTTGCCAGATGGTGGACCCACGCATCACATGCTTCACACGAGTCAGCCTATATGTATATAAATGCTTAATTGACTAGTGTTTTCTCTTTCTCGTGTGAATATAAACATATTAGAATCTAGGAAACAAAGTATACCTTCATCTTGATCACGATACCATTTTGCATGATAATTTCAAGAACCGGGTTTTGTGGGCGAGTACCTGATCTTCTGACAGGTGTAACGTTGTCACTATCTCCATTCTGTTGATGCTGTTGCCGAAGTAAGGACGTTGTTAAAGAATTGGTACTGTCCACGTCAAAAAAAATGCTATTCCGACCCAAGTGATAATTTTCATCGTCATCATGGTCGTCATCGTCATCGTCATCACTGCTGGCAAACGATCGTTGCACATGTGATATTTCTGTCAAATCAATCACGCGTGACGCTTCAGTGACAAGATGCATTCTTCTTTCGATCTCGTGATCCGATGTGGCCGTCGCTGTCGTCGTGCCATTAGCAATACTACTATCCATCGCTTTAGCCGTAAATGGAGATAACATAGCAATATGGGTACTGTCTGTCAATGGTTTCTCATAGCATCGTTCATCGGGTGGCTTTAGATTGTGAATTCCAGATGTGCAGAAAAGATACTGATCGAACGATGCAAAATAATAGCGACGGCGAGAGAAGCTGCCAGCTGGAATCGGTTTTCCAGAGAACGTTGTCAGTCGATATAAAAAGCCTTCTACCGGTGGTGGTTCCTAAATATTGACATAACTAGTGAGTAAAAGTTTGGCAGCATAACACGTAGCATTGCTACCAGTTGTGATTTAGATACCTGCATGGACTTGTGATCAGAAAAGATGATATCAGTTGGTGTATGTTCAATCCGTCGAAGTTCTAGTCGATGGGTCTACATAGTATGATGACTCCGTGTTAAGATGCAAGTCGTATTCCCCACCCCCACCCCTTCTTCCCTGTCGACGATCATCATAGGAAAAAGTGACTTGAGCACAAAACCTGTTCAATATGCTGTGGAGACATGACGAGATTAATATGTCTTCTTTCATCCGTAAGACTGCGTGCCCAATACACCCATTCTGTCCGATTATCGCGCGTCCAACACATGGCAATGTTGTCTTTTCCCAACCGACTCTGGACATTCTGGGCCCAGTCCTCATCTTTTTCCAACACAGCCAGCACTGCGGATTTCACACTGTCGAGCGTAATATCGTAACGCATCTCATTTGTGTATTTGTCCACTAGGGGTAGACGCACTTGTAGGTCCATTAATGGGATATTGACCTCACACCATGGTGAGCAAGCAGGTTTGCAAGTATCTGGCAAGACCCGGTAGAGTGCCACATACCATTCTTGGGATAATGTAACAGACCGGCCTCGAAACGTCAAGGTGACGTATTCATCGTGCGATGACTTAAATGGATACTGTATGCAAAAGGTATAATCAAGTGGGGATTGCAGATATAGCCGTAGTTTTTTGGTAGTTTGGTTGTTGCTTATACGACAAGAGTGTCGTTGTTGTAAATGTTGATCTCGATTCTCATTGAGTGCAACTCTGTGCTCTAACCGTCGGCTCGGCCATATAAGTGCCTTTTGCTCAATCAGTTCGTCTGTTTACTTTTCATCGCTACATCCATTTATTTCCACTCACCGGTGAAGAATAAAGCGAAAGTGTGGTTGATGTCAGTTCCACTTGAAGCTGTCGCCACTCTTCTTTTAGTTGCTTCGTTTCGCGTGAAGCTTTGTACCGGGTTGGTTGATCACCCACGCCATGCATACCCAGCGATTTTTTACAAAGAAGCGCGTCCTGTTTTATTACTACGTCCTCGCCTTGATCCATCAATCGTTCTTCTCGTAAAATGAATGACGCCTGTTCTGCTGGCGGCATAAATATAGCACCGGAGCTTCGCCAAGAGAGCGGAGCTTTCATTTCATCCATAGTACTTGATTTCTGCTGTTTTGGTGATGATGACGATTGTTGCTGGCTACTTGGCGTTGTTTCGCTTCTTACGTCCGGTGTTGTTGTTGCAGCTGTTGTATTTTCGGACGATATCAAGTCATTCAAACCTTTGTTTTCCCTTTTATCGGGTTTGATGGTTCGGACGGACGCCGAGGAAGATGCTGGATCATTATCCAACCGTGGTAATGGTTGGCCAAGAATGTCATAGTCAATATTGTCGTCGTTGTTGTAGTTATTATTATCAATACTGCCATAACTTTTCAAGCACTTTGTCGATCCTGTACGGGCTGTGAAAAAGCTATTCCTGTCGCGCGAAGAACTGGAGGGCGAGCTAGCAGTGGATGTGCGGGGTTCCGCGTGATATTTATCACTACTGTGGTTGGCACCTTGGCGTTGGTTCGGGGATGGTGGTGTGGTCGAGGCCCTCGCTATTTCTTCCGGTCGTTGAACTCCATTACTTTATAATAGTTTTCAATCACAACTTAGTTCATTCATAAGAGAAACAAAAGACCCAAGACAATATATACTACTAGTCAAAAGATAAAGAAAGGAATAAGAAAAGCTTACGCGTTTCGAACGTTCTGACGGCGACGACCATGGGAAAAGTGTCGGGGCGACGATCGGTGATCGACAGTAGTAGTAGAGTCATTAGCAGAAAAGAATTGGGTGACAGTGTTGTCCTGCCAAGGGCTAATGACGACCCGAGTTGCACAACGTTGCCGATGAGCACAAGGCTGCTGCTTCTTTCCGGTTCCGTTCATAAGGGATTAGGGAAAAGGAAAAGAGAGAGAGAGTCTCTAGTTAGTTTTCTCTTTTACTGCTGCATAAAATAAAAAAAAGCACCGCGCAACTAACAGAAAGAAGCGGAGAGGACAGCCTTGGCGGCGGTGAAGACAAACAAGAGCGCGCGATTTCAACTGTTTGCTTTCATATATTCTTCTTGCCTGCCTTTATTACCATCGGTCAACCCTTCTCTTTTTTGTCTTTTTATAACTAGTATAAGGGCGACAGAAGAGATGAGCAAACGGGGAGTGTAGAGAGAGGTAATAGTGATGAAACGGCACAGATGGATTGTCTTTTTTTCCCCGACTCGGCTTCCATGTCGGCAGTAGTAGTACTAGTAGTAGTAAGTTTTATGGTTATTCTCTTAAAAAAGTTCCTTCAGCTGGAGGGCTGCGGCGCGGCGTGTCACAAAGCGCAAACCAAAAGCGGCACAGCACCGTTAATAGGCCGACCACAAAGTGAGAGACAGTGACAGAGACAGAGACAGAGACAGGGACAGATAGGATATATAATAGACACGCAAAGAGACACATTCAGACAGACAGTGATAGAGGTAGAGAAGCTGATAACAGCAATATGTTCTTTTTTCTTTTGTTGCGGATACTATTGTTGTGGGTCTCGGTGGTGTCCCGTTGACCGGCATCATTACAGGAGTTATTACTTGGATCATCTGTAATCATCATCGCGGTCGTCGTCTTCGTCGTCATAGCGGCGGCGAGAGGAACTACGACGGCCACCACTCGAACGTCTAGGACTGCGCGAGCGACCACGGCGCGGGCTTCGTGAGTATGAGCGTGGTGACCGACCTCTTCTACGTTCACTGTACAGGCCATTTACGATTAGTTACCACTTGTCAAAATTGCTCCCATCTTTGACTGCTACTTGGGTAACTTACTTGCAGTCCCTAGCAAGATGCCCAGGTTGACCACAGTCGCTAATTACACAGAAGGTTAGATATTATGTTCCACCTCCTCCACGCTGGTTACAAAATCTATCATTCTTTATCATACGTACAAGCATCTGCTTTCTTCAAAACGCATGGCACGATCACCTCTAAAAAATTATAATAAATGTCAGGATTCCAGTTTTCAGATACTTGAAGAAAAATATGTCCCACTCTCATTCATTTTGATATCAGTCACGTCATTACCTTCCCTTTGGAATATCGCTACATAATAAATTGATGTAACAGTCGTATCCATTATTGTTAGCATATGTAAGCTTGTTCTTTTCAAGCAGCTCTAAATTGAACAATTCAAATCCTATAAAGTACTTACCACTCTCTAGCACTGTGTTATTTAGAATAAAGAAGATTTACAGGTTAGTGCACATAGCCCCATGGTTCCCATCATTTTTTACATTCTTTTTATTCAAATTGCTTACATATGACCTGTATTTGTGTGGAAAAAAAGAGTTAATGCATGGATAAACTGCAGCGATGGCGGCGTTGTTCTCATCGTTGGTGTGATCTCCCCTCCACTATTTCTTCTATCACTTGTTGCTCTTTCAAAGAACTTACCGACTTCTCCACAGTTATAGCAGCGACCATCTGATCTACCTCTGGCTCCTCTCACTGTTGCTGGTCCTTTGCGGGCGTACTCCACCTACAATTGGGGTTATACAAAGAAAAAATCGATCAATTTGTTACAATCTTCAGCAGCAGCAGCAGCAGCATATAAAAAAGATCTTGTCGTAGGAAAGAAAAACATAAAGTGGGATACGTACAATAATACGATCGCCTTCCAAGCGAGTACCGTCAAATTCTTTGATCGCATCAGCAGCATCTAATATGTTAAAGCACAACAGTGGTTATTGTAATCCGGTCAATATATAGCGTATTACTCAACATTTCAACAGTTAATCTTATCTGTCATCCTTTTTTCTTACCTCTGGCATCCTTATTATTTGAATCCACATTATCACGAGTAACATATCGATCCATACAATCTATCAGTATATAACGACTTATACACCCCATTGTTGCTTTTCTTATTTTTATTGCATTACATACTTCATATTCGACAAATGCAAAATCATCCTGGAGTTCATAAAAAGGTAGAGAAGGTTATCTTTAGCAACGAAATATATTGGTCATCATCTATTTGAGATATCATCTATTGCCAATACCATATATACAAGCCAAAGTAAAAACTACATACCACAATCTCGTAATCTTGCAAGCGACCAAGCTTTGAAAAGAGATCCTTGATATCACGTTCGCGGACATGACGATTCAAATTTCCTGCAGAAACGAAGATGATCCATGCATAACGCATAATAAGTTTTTCAATGTGCGTTCCTTCGATGCTGCAACAGAATCATCTGTGTGTTTCTTTGCGAAGAGACAAGAAAAAGGAAAAGCTTATAATCTCACCAACGAAGAGTCTACGCAATCGAGCTGTGCTACGTCTGTCACGATCGTAGTAGGACATGTTGGAGGACAAAGAAAAAGGTAAGGAAAACAAGAAAGAACAGAAGGGCGAAAAGGATCTTTAGCGTAAAAATACGTTCGGAGTTCTCTGCTAAAAGCCTAAGAGTTGGCGTGTAAGGAATGCTGTCCTTAATATATGCGAGTAAAGAGTGTGTCCTTATATCTGAAGGCGCTGCAGGTTACCGGATCGGGTTACCAACAGATTCACCGTAACAGAATATCACCGGCCTTATTCACGTTAAATCCATCACAGCACAAATAAAATAATTGTTTTTAAAAGCTGATTATAGAAGGTCAATTAATGCTTGCTCCTTCCACTCCATAATGCAACATGAAATGGAATAATACGTGTCGTCCGCACCTCATTTGTTGAGTCCTCCATTGAACAGGACGGTCGTTCTCATGTGGGGGTGCGAGACAGGGTGGGACAAGTTGGATCAAATTTACCTTTCACATACGCAGTCTCCGCCAACTCTGAAAAGGGAAAGTGGCACCTCATAATTTTACCTAAAGTTATACTTTTGACATTTTCAACATGACGTCGAAGCAATTAGAAGATGACGGCTTTGTAACGGTGGAAAAGAGGTTTAAATACATGTCTATTGGTGGTGCTGGCAACAATAGTAAACGCTCGAAAAACAAAAAGAAGAATCGTTACGTTTTCAAAGATTCCATTGATTACACCTTGAATGATCTCGAACCGATCCTCGCTCAACGACGGTAACTAGCTTGAAAAGAGTGAAAAATTATCTTCTCGACCATCGCACTGCTCAAGGCTCTCATCAACTGTGCGTGTGTATTTATATATATTCAGTGAGGCCCTTGGTGACAGTCAATTTTACAAAGATCTTTTAGGTAAAAAAAATTATTACAAAGAACTCATTTTATGATACGCTTTTCTGAATAACGGCAGCAGACATCTTAGAGCAACAACTTATACCAACGCAACCACAGGAATTGATTTGTTATGGCATTGGATCTATGCAACACTCTAAAAACGCACAGTATCAATTTATACTGGCATTATTATTACGGGATATGCTCAAGGTATGGCTCTCTACCTTTCTTTTCCAACTATTTTTATGGATGATTAGCCAAGTGAATTAAGTAACATCCCCATTGTTATTGTCTTTGCTAGAGTGTAGAAAAGGTGTCAATTTATGATCCAGTCATGACCGAGTTAGATAAGGAACTGTCCAAGTCATATAATATAGATGTGATAGAAACAAACGAGGTATAATATCACCTTTTTCATCGTTTTAAGCAAGAGTTTCTATGGAGACTAAGATTATTTTACATAACCGTTAGGATGGCAAGCGAAAAGTATCACGACCGACGTTGTTCTATATGCCGCATTGCGGTCGAGGACTGTATAGCAACACACTGAGTGCGAACTGGGATAAAGAATCATTACCGAATGTCATCATGATTGCGAATCGGTTCGATATGTATGTTGGAACGTAAGTCGTCGATATATTTCGCTTGTGAACATTATCATTATTTTGGTTGGTGCCATATCAGCAAATACATATTTTAACGCATATACTTAGTCAACTAGAAAGGGATTTGCGTCGAGAATGTCCGTACTTGATACCAGCGGTCGAGTTGGTCGACTGCACGTCGTTTCCAAAAGAATTCGATGACAATAAGGTCTTTAATGATCTTTCTGTAATAACATTTCCAAAAACCAGTGTGGAAAATGTAAAGGATAGCTATTGGGATGATGTACCAGTAGAAAAAGTAGAAGAATAAATCCAGTGTACCAAAGTTATGTTTATTGTATAATATGTGCTTTGCGTTACTTCAATCATGTAGCAATGGATTTTTGATCACTTGTTGAAAATAATGCTGGATCAATAGATCAAACTTTAATATCACCCTTGCTCACGCTTTTCTCTATTTGAGCATCGAAAATCGCCTCCGTACATGTCAATGTGTTTTCGATTTCTCAAAAAATAAGATACCTCAACGGGTCACCATATCCGCATGACACCGCGTAATCCTTCGTTAAAACACATCACAATCACGCTCCTTGATAGTAACCGAGCTTTAGGGAATAAATAGCATGTTCAGATCACATACCAGAAATCTAGATTCCCACCAACCGGAAGCCGGGAAGTGTAAATGCGAGCATTTTGCTGTCTAGAGTAATTTAATTGGCTGATCTTCCCTGTTTTCGTGATACGGTTAAAATTGGCTTTTCACAACAACTTTAATGTGAAAACCTTCAGCTCACTTATGAACTTTTCTTTGATGTGATAATCAACCATAGACGAACGGAACAACAATTAGGGTGGAATCGAGAATATGTATCGTACCAATAACGATTTAGCTACAAACACGACGTCCTCAGGTTTTTGTGTCATCCCTTATCCTTGTCAACTGAGTCCAACTTTAGTTCTACCTTAACGAAATAAAATCGATCGTCATAGCGAAGGTACAGAGATCATCGAATCGTGATAAAACAAGTCCTTGACCACATCCCTCCCCGCCCAGATCCAAAATGCGAGCGTTTTGCTGTAGTCGATGATCTCATTGGACGAATATGGCTTCAATGGTAACACATCTGTGGAAACATCAAAGCACGTATATCCTAGCATTAACATAAGTAACACAAGTCTCGACTTGTTTAAGGTGGGCTTTAATCTCCTAGTTTCAAATATCGGCATCACGAGGATGATGAGCGCTATATAAGCTTGAACGAAAAGGGAATGTTTAGCATAAAGACACAAAACAAGATTAAGATGATGAATGTTTTCTGATGGTGCCACCAGCAGGATTTCCCGGTTCACGCACCACACCGGCGATAAGATTGCGGACTTAAACAAAAGAAATGAGAGAATTTTGCTCTCCACACAACAAAACGCCAGCTTTTTGTCTATATAAACAGCGACAAAATGCCAGGAGTCTTTTTGATCACTCTACTACTACTCTTTTAAACCGTTCTCACACGCTTTCGAGTAATTAAAGAAAAAATGGTGCTCACTACTCGTCGCGCTGGTCTGTGCCTTGCCTTGCTGGGATTGATGGCTTTAACCGCTGATGCCCACGTCGTTTTCACCACTGATGAAACTTTGGTACTTATTTCAAAAGAAGCACGAAAAAGAAGCTGCATTTTCTTTTTCTTGCAATTAAGCAATATCGACACTGATTTGTTCTTGTTTGCTATTAGCCTGGTGTGCAACTCAACACGTCTCTAGCTGTTGGTCACGGCTGTGATGGCTCTCCCACTGTTGAATTGTCCGTTTCTGTTCCTGATCAGATCACCTCTGTTGAGCCCCAAGAAATCGATGGTTGGGTAATTTTTTTTCTTTTCGCTCATTCTCCAATCTGAATTCCAGTTTTAATAAGCAATGACAAAACTCTAATATGCGCATTTCTTATTAGAACTTGACCCTTATTCACCGCAATGGCTCATCAGGCCCTATAAGCAACTTTACCTGGGTGGGTGGACCTTTGGAAGATACGTCTTATCAAGCCTTTGGTGTGCTTATTCAAGTACCCGATATCGATGTGAGCCAGCAAAACGTCACATTGTACTTCCCTGCCGTTCAACGCTGGTATGTATACAACGGTTCTCGTAATTGGACTAGACGCAATACAAAAGAAGAAATAGGACATTGTATAACATATATCCTTGATTATATTTAGTGAGAACGGAACCAGAGAGTGGGTCTTCGAAGGTGACGATGCAGCCTCTGAAGCTGCCGGTCAATCGCCTGCTCCCGCACTTACCATCACCAGCACCCCATCTTCACCTGAAGATGATGGTCACTCGAGCGGCGACGACAGTTCTTCGCGCGATGATGAAAGCGGCGCCCAGCAGTTTTTCGGTTTGTCTGCAGCCGTTTTGGCTAGTGCCATCGGTGCCGCCTACCAGCTTTTGTAAAAGAAAATCAAAGGAGACGCTGCACACACATATCAATTAAATATATCTCTTCTCAAGTTGCCTCTTGTCTCATTATAGACAAGTGAATATTATCATATATACATATTGCGCATCATTACTATTATTGTGTTTATCTAACTCCTGTATCATCTAACGTACTATCCGTGTACCATGACTTTTCTCTGGCTACACTTTAAATATATATTATATAACATGTTTAACTTTACAGTGGTTATGGGTGTTCTGAGTAAGTAAAACTAAGGAGCAGCATTTCCATCATCATTTTCTGTAGCCACAGGCTGTGTGGAAGGTAAGGAACGCATCATAGCTGTCCGAGCAGGCAAGGATGGGTCTGGATTACAATACTCAGCATGAGGTATGCCAAGTTGTACGAAGGCTTCCTTAGCTTGATTTGTCCAGTCAGTGCGTTCTTCGGCAGTAAAGGCATATTTTCCCAAAACCGAACAATAGAATGCTTTGAGAAATCGTATTTCGTGCATAAAATGCATCTCGTTTAAGCCATGGTAGAGTACCTATATAAACATTCAGCGTCAGGTATTTAATCACTGGTTGATTTCTTTTCGTATTACCGTATATCCTTCCACAGTACGATCCGTACTGATGTACTGAAGGGCTCGAGCTAGGTACAGGCAAGGCTGCATGAATTCCCAAAACTTCACTTTTTGAAAAGCTCGGTTCAGGCTATTGACGCTTTCGATGAATATGTCAAACCTCTCGTTGACGGCTGTGTAATATTCTCTGTCACCAACTTCTGCCATATGATAGAAAGCCATGGCTCCAAATATAAGGCCGTACACTGGAAGAATGTTGGCTATTTAAAAAGGAAGCAGGTATATTAGCGCTATGGATGTGACTGGTTTGATTGAAGATCTCATTACCTGTTGTTGTTAATGTAGGAAGATAACTGAGAAAATGAGCGGTATGCTTAAATGCTCGACGGCGTTTCTTGCAGCGAGCATAATAATATACCAAAGTACCATGAATAGCAACACGCAGATAGTCTGGGACGCCCATCACCTGTGCTTCCAATAAAAGTACAAATGGACGAGCATCGCGAAGACGACACATGACCAAAGCGTTCGCTACTTGGTAGATTGCTAGCCAGATCTCGACCTGATAATCACCGTTACAGTGTGCTGTATCAGCCATTTGCTTCAGCAAAGCTTGGTCACCAGGCGACGTGTCCAGCGTTCCTTCGAATATGCGTATAGTTGCAATCAAGCGAACTCCTCGGTAGAACTCTTGACAACTGGTCACAACACCTAGGGTTTGCGTGGCTTCTAAGGATTGATAAAGAAGTTTACACGCTTTTTTATATTGACCCGATGAGAAGCATAAGAGGGCACAGGTATTGAGCGTGCCTGGATCGGAACTATCTCCCATTTGGACCAATGCGCGCGACATGTAATATACACCTGTGGTTTTGTGATCGTTGAGCCAGTTGAGTAACGCTGCACGACCGAGAAAGTACGTATATCGATATCCTGTATCTTGGATGCGCTCACACACGTTTAGTCCGACCGAACATGCGTATACGAACAGGTCACCTATGCCTCGTAGATGGTAGATATGACAAAGCTGCATCATCACCTCGATCACTCGAAGTCCCAGCGCCTTCTTTACCATCGCGTGGTGCTTGCGTATGATGAGACCGTGGCGATGACGCCATTGAGAAAATTGTATCATCCAAAAGCGCCGGAAAAATTCAAAGTTGCTGTCCGGCCATGGGAAACCGAGACAGTGGAGCGATTTGAGCAGATATTTCTCGCCCTCGCGGAATTCACTTCGCATGGTCAAGCATATGCCGAGCTTGCGATAAATGTCGCTGCGGTGTATAAGGCCGTATTGAGCTGCTAGATCTTCATTGGCCTCCAAAATGATGACGATTTGTTGTAGATGTCTGGCTGCTTCGGGCAATAGGAGCGACCGCATATCAAGTCGCGCCAGTGCTTCTAAATAATATAATTGTTTCCCCAAACGATCAGTTTGTAAATAATGCCTTGTAACTTTTCCGAGAAGCTGTGCATAGTTTCCGCGATCGAGTTTGCCTTCGTAGTACCGGGCAAGCTTTTGATGTAGGTCGTTACGCGTCTCAAACGAAACCATGTCGTAAATACTGTCAGGAACTGCAATATGTGTAAACGAATACAGATCGGCCGTGTTCTCCAGAGAGTTGCCATGGTAACCTGGCTCCAAAAACTTGTAAATGTCGTGCTTCCGGATCTCCTCTCGTATTTGGTCCAGATTGTGGTCGATGAACATTTCATTACTTGATTTAATGACAGCTCCTACTTCGTATACGCTAAAGTATTGATCCAGGCAGCTTGCCACCTATAGTAGTGATCTTTTGTCAGACTTTTGCAAAATGTATATCTCGCAAGGTCATATCCGCAATCACCCCTGTCTGGCGATGCTCTTTCTACAACATACTACAAGAAACTCCTGAAAACTGGTATCCAGCCGATCGTACTGCATCTTGATGATTCGCTTAAAGTTGAAGTCTCCTAGCAAATCTTCCAGATCGAAACGGTTGCTGCTTGGAACGAGTCGTCCGTTTAACACTGTAACGTGATTGAAATCTTTCAGTAGAATGGCAACGTTTCTTTTTTTTATCATTTGACATCGTTTTCGACACAATAACAAGGTTAGCCAAAATCAAAATCTATCAGCAAACTCACAACATACTGCTGAGAAGCACGTACTTGACATAAAGCGGATTACCGTGTGTTCGCTCCTGTATGAGAACGATTTCATGTGAGCTTTCTCTTTCATAACGTAAATTTTTGCCACTGCCACTATTTTCCCCCAGCTTCCTACCTGAATTACTCGTATAATTGCTGGACTGACTTTCTCGACACTCTTGGGGAAAGATTTTAACACTACATCCCCAATTTCATCGGAATTGAGGCCATTCAACATGATATGCTCAAACGACCCAGTCTTACGCATATCATCGATGAATGGTACTTGATAATCCCGTGGTTTTCGTGTTGCAATAATCAGCATAATTTTGCTGCAGACCTGATGCATCTGCTTAAGGCATTCGATAGATCCATGGTCCGCCCCTAGTGTCGTACGAATACGATGTTATACGCATGATAAGCCATACAAGAATAACATAATTCCAACATACATTGAAGATCGTCACAGAATAACACCAGATTCGTAGTCTTGGAGACGAATTGAACCATCCGCAGTATAAGGTTGCAAAGCAGTCTTTCACGAGTACGTTCGTCTAATCGTTCGGTATACGCGCTCTCTTCAACTCCACTCATTGAAGGAAATATGACATTAAATAGTGGCAGGTAGTTGTCATCTTCGCCGCACTTGTGAAGGCAATAGAGAATATTTTGCTTTATATCACTTTCGGTGACATCCTGGCTAATGGGCAATGCGTTGTGTGACTTTTTCTTGTACGAATGAAGCCGTCGTAACAAGTTGCCGCTAAGATCTGGCGATATCTCACTTTTTTCATTGACTTCGACAATGCATTCTGGATCCGGCGTAAAAGATGCTTTTGACCCTGGAGATATGGGTGCATCTGTTGTTTGTGGCACTGCTGAAGAGGCAATGAGCTCCATCAAAGATGTCAGCATGCTTCTGAGCAAAAAGTATTTGGTCCTTTTTTCGACTTTGGGAATTTAGTTCTGGTAACATTTCATTTTTTAGGCTCTTTGCTTTGCCCATCTCTCTGTGCTCTTCTTCCCTTTCCTATATCCTTTTTATTCGCCTAGCTCACCTTCTGTACAGGATGACCAGCTTGTGGAAACAACAATAAGAGTGCGCAAGTAACCATGTTTATGTTAATTTCTGGAATTTAACGCGCATATACGATGTATAGGCATGACAATGCTTTTCTTCTTACCAAACTACTACGTCGTCGCTGGTAATGGACTCTTGAAGATTTTGGCAGAAATATGTTTTCCCTGAACCTGAGGCTCCTGATATGACCATCAAATGATAGTTATGCATTTCACACCAGTCATTGAAAAAAGTCGTTGCTCGTTCCATTTGCACCGTGTATCCGACAAAATCGTCATTGGTAGGGTGGACTGGTAAGCGCTTCCCCTTGCCAGCCCATAACCCAAATTTTCGAATGCTGTATATTTGGACCGGCTTTATCTTGCCTTTGACGTAATTTTCGCCAACATCGTCAAAGTCGCATAGCCCACCAATTTGTTGCTTGGTCGCCTCGTCACATATGACGTGCTTCTTACTGAATGGAAACTTCAACATACGGACCGCAAGGATAATGACGTCTCCAGCAATTCCGGGATCACGGCGGAACGGATTGCCTTGCGGTACTACGGCATTAAAAACGACGCCTGTCGCTAAAGATATCGCAAACTCTGGAAACTTGAGTTTTCGGTACTGATCACGGACGTCAATAGCTGCCTTTGCAGCAAAAACGGCCTCTCGTTCGTGTGAGAATGGCGGAAGACCAAATACACAGAGTAAAGTGGCACCTACACGATGGTTATTAAAAAAATATCAATTCATGTCGGCTAGATTGTCCTTTGGATTTAAAAGATGCTCCACCTTTATCATCAATAGCAAATTGCTGTAGTACTCCTTCGTATCGGACAAGCGACTTTGTAACTGCCTTCATTGCGTCTTGAACAATTTGAAGACCTTCGTCTGTAACCACGTCCACCTTTCCCAAGCTAACAAACATCACAGTGGCGTCCCTGAATTGTGCCTGGAAGTTTCCATCCGGGGTTCGAGATAGCCGATACACTGCGCTCCGGCTGACGTATTTGAAGTAATAAGGGTTGGCTTCGGCGGATAGTTCCATATAGGACTTGTTTCGTATGCGAGGTACAAGAGGCTCGATATTCAGCTGCGATGCCTGTCGCATCAAACCAGGCATATCTTGGAGGTAATTTGCATTCGGATTCACTTGATGATGGTGGGCTCCTTGTCGAAAAGGTTGCATGGATGATGATTTGCTTGGATGCATTCCATGGTTTCCATCAGGATCTCTGTCACGCACAACGTAGAACCCATCGCGTTGATCGTACGACAAATAATCCATTGTCAAACGTCGAATACGCTCATATGCTTCTTTAGTAATGCTCATTTCGCCTGCCTTAGCAACCGCTAGTGCGTCGTCCAAGGACTCTACCACTGGGCCACCGATGGCATATTCTAAGCGTCCGTGATACTGTAAGTAATAATTGCTCCTTGTAGTCATCGCGCCTTGTTTGACCAGCAGTGAGTTTCGATACGAGTTAGCCCACTGCTTTTCATTCTCATCAGGATCTAGCTCTCCAATGACGATATTAGTTACGTCGCCGCATGCAAGTGCGATATGAAGCTCGAGATCGATAGTGTTCAGATCATGCGTTGACACTTCGCTCATTACGCTCAGTCTTCGCTGCTGCTTTTTCTTTTGGCCGTGCAAAAACATGCGTTTCAAGATATTCATGACCCCCCAACGCGAAAAGGACAAAGAGCGTATATTATCTTCATCACGCGTCCGTTGACGTTTACTGATAGCGCTCGCACTACGTTTTGGCCCACTTCTTGAGCCTTTTCTGCGTTTAGCTCGGGGGACGCTCGTGCTGCTGCTAGAACCAGCACTGCTACTTGCCGATACGTGTTCCTGCTGGGATGGCGATTGTTGCGATTGCCGTTCATATTCATTTCTGACGTCAAAAATGCTATATCGTGGTTTACTGTCGCTTTCGTCTTGTGATCCACGTCTAATTTCTCCACTGGCATTGCGATGTTTTGTTCGTTCTTCGGCTGTCAAGTAAACTTGATAATGAGAGAGTCGGGCAAGGAGCTGTAATCCACACTCGACTGCTCGGCGCATCAGCATGTTCTTTTTGCGTGCGGACACTTCGTGGTCTTCCGGGGGGAGGGGACTTGAGTCAGGTGAATGGCTGCGACCAGTTGTGTTGGGTTGGAAGCAAACAAGTACTGCGTCGCCTAGAAACTGATAGTATTGTGGGAGGCCCATGAACATAAAGTATATACTTTCAATACTGTTAGGTAGATAAGTCTTACCTTGACCACATCACCGCCATAGAACTCAATAATCCGAATACACTATTGATTGATAAGACAAATTTAGAGATTGTAGGTTCTTTCATCTTCCGTATGCTTCATAGTCTACTCAGAAATTCTACGAAATGTACCTCTCCCATGTATGCACCAACTTCAAGTGCTATCGCTTCTGCACCTGATTCCCCTTTTTCTGTTGCAAGCGTCATCAACTACAATATTTCACGTTTTTCGGTGTCTATATTCATACATTCTTTTATACGAACTAGAACACGTACAGTACTAAATCCTACAAAATTGCGGGGAAAATTATTGAGCTGTGGGTAACCAGAAAAAGTCCAAGAGAAAACTTACCAGCAATGTCAACCATAAGTACGACACCAAATTGTGTCTGTCTATACGGAATCTGCACATTTTCTTCTGCCGAATGGAGGAGCCGAATGTACTAAATTAGCGCACTTGTTAATGCATTTTAGATTCTTTTTTTTTCGCTTAAACAGACTTAAGGAATCGCTGACCTTAGGTATGTAAGGGGCAATGTTAGCCATCGAAATACGTTTAAGCGTCTGGTAATATATATAATATATACGCAAATACAACTTCTCTCTCAATTTAAAAATCTATGCGTGGAAGTTGGTATATCTTTTAAAATGGAATAGGGAAGAAGATGTCTTTCTGCGTTTTGTTCCCCCGCTTCAGCTCCATGCTGTAACGGCTGGAATGTGGTTTAGTGCATGAGCAATCGGATATTTTTTTCTAAACTTGGTCCATTTAAAGGATTGTCCCTGTATAGCTTTATACTGTTTTATAAAGTCCTGAGGTATATAGTTGCTAAAGGAAGATATACGGTTCATTTTATATGGCATATGTATTACATAAATATACTTGTATATTTTAAAAAGTGTTATAGAGCACCACGATTCTCTAATCATGTTTGTAGTGATTGATGTACTCAGTTGCTGAAGAACTGGTATCCGGCACCCAACACAGAGACAGCCATCATAGCAGCGAAGGATTCACCAAGTTTCTGAGCACCGCTTTCTTGATCCTCACTGTGGTCGTGGTCGTGGTCGTGGTCGTGGTCGTGGTCATGGTCATGGTCATGATCTTCCGTGATTTCGCTAGTGACAATGATATGTGGGGCCTCTTCACCGAGCATTTCGATTGATCCATTTGCGCTATTTACCATAATTTTGTTTTCGTCTCATTAGCTACTGTGCCTGCTACTACTACATCAACAGACACTGAAAGAAGCAAATAAAAGAAATAATGTCCGTCCTTACCATGCTTGCACAGTGGGGAACAACAAAGTGACGTTGCCCTGGCTTACATCAATGTTGGGAATATCGATGACCATGCCAAACTCCTGTGTAGCTTCGGGATCGAGGTTTCCAGACCAGCGGAAACTGCTGATAGCTTGGTTGCTGCTGTTACCCTCACCAGAAGACGACGCATCACGATACTCGATTTCCAAAGTCTTTTATGTCAAAATGAAATCAAAGTTAGTACAACTCTGTGATATATATCAAGTGAACCCTTCTTAACAAGTTTGCACAAAAGCCGTTTTTACCCAGTTTGTGATTTCAGCAGGCTCGATCGAAGTAATTTCTTCAGGTACAGTAACTGAAAATGAAGTGGTGGGAGAACCATCACAGCCATGGTTGACGGCCAAAGATGTGTTCATAGACGAACCGGGCTATCAAATAGAAAGATTAATCATTACGAAAAAAAACTCGATCTGTTACATACTGAATCATCTATATGAAAGTAAAGGGAATGAGTCCTATATGATTCGAAACAAACATACCAATGCCTGCTCAGTGGTGAAGCTCGAGTGAGCGTGCGAGCCTTGAATGGCAAGTACAGCCAAAGCGAACAATGCAGTTGCAACCATGTTTATAATTGTTGATTTGTTGTCGTGACCGTGCCGTCAATAGTTAAAAACTTTTTGAAACAAGAAAATTTCGTCCTTTTTATAACATTGCGTGAGGCATTTGCGGATCTAGAGCATACAGAAATCGCAAAGTTTACCGAGATCTTCATCCACTCAGATTCTGCCTCTATGAATAATTTCGGGCTGACGTGACACAACTGTGCTTTCACCTAAAAATTTAAGCAGTCCAAAAATTTTTGGACATCAAAGATCTCTGCTTCCCGGTACGTGTGTAACGCTTTCATGGAGGAGAGTTTTATCTTCCATAGATTGTCCAACTTGAAGGTGAGGTAAGCGGATATAACGAATGTCCAGAAGAATCACAAAGTCTGATCCTTCTCAGCTGACTTAATTCGTTACATATCGTGCTTATGATGGTACAGTAGTCGAGGGAATAATGACAACAACAGCAACGCTTCAAACAATGATGTTTATACTTTCATCCTTCCTCACTCCTTAATGAGTAGGCTTTACCCCGTTTCCATAAAATCCAGGCTTTTTACTAGCAGCTTTTGTCATTGAAAGATCATAAAAACAACTACTCAAGGGAGGAAAGAGGCACTTATTGAATAACTAAATGTATACGATCAAAAAGCTCCATTATTATATAACACTATTCGATCAGTTTGATTCGTTCTGTTCCAACCCTAGGAAAGTACGTCGTACATTTGAGCTACTTTATAAAATTTGTGTTTGCGAGTACTCACTTGATACCAGGCTTAAAAATTTTGAGTTAAAGCAAGCATCTTGTACCATACTCTATGTATACATTTTGAAAAGCCTTGTTCTGTACTAGTACTCATGATAGAAGCTACTTGTGGCATACCATCATTGTTGTTGCACCACATACGGTGTACTCTATATATGCCAATCGATGGACAGTTTCTTCGATAGCTGTTGCTCGCCACGAAAATACCGCTGCTACGAAAAATCGTAAATGGGGCCAAAAGTTGACCAGCACAGTAGCCGAATTTAGGATTTGGAATAATCTCTATAGCAATCGAACTATAAGCTAATGTTTCTCGTAACAACAACTGTTTATTTATTTATATCTTTGAAAAAAGCGGATATCAACTCTGTTAAACCAAAGCAGCTGTCCGTTTTTGTAAGCAATTGCTTGATTCATGGCTCATTCTCCACATACCTATCTACAAGCTTATAAATTCCATAGCAACCAGCTAATAGCATGTTTATCATGGCAACAGAGTTTGAATTTTACATAGAAACCGTCTGATATCTCTTAGCAGCTATATCTTAAGCTATTAGTTTCCCCTTTGAAACCATTTGTATTAAGCAGCTAGCAGTAAATGTTATCATTATGGCAACCCGGCTTTTGACGCGCACATGAAGTTTTTGCATAATGACGGTATGGCTTTTTTCTTAGCGTCGAGAAGGAAACATAGGAATTCATGGCTACATACTACGATAAAAAAAATATATCCAAATTTTAAAGTCCCATGTATATGTATTACATAGCAACAACAGCAAAACAGGTGTAAGAACTTTACTTTATGTGCTTCACTGGCAACTCTACCGCGTCAACACTAATTGATCACTCTTCATTGCTGTTTTCACGGTTTACATTTTGCAGCATCACTTAGTAACTGAAAGTGCACATCTTATATACAACTATTTTGGACCTTTTTCCAACTACCCTTTTTCATCTTCCCAACGTATAAGCCACTTCACCATAATCGAGAGTGATGAACAACACTCTCAATTGATGTGCTAATCCTCCTGTCAAATACGCAGAAAGAAAAAGTATGTAACAGCTAGCGGCATATGGATACGAAATTAAGGGTACGGAGTTTCAGCAAATGTATTTTGCATGAAAGCACACGTTGAACAATCGAGAGGGTATTGCTGTGGCCCATTTTACCCAGATTTTGCCGGTGATTTTGCTGAACAAGTCTTTCTTTAGCGTAGTATCTTCTTTTATAAGCCCTCTTCATAGCCATTACATATATAAATATGTAAAAAGCTTTTCTGTCTATTAGTCGCTTCCTTTTGTATAGAAAGGTAAGTCGTTCGCTTTTCGAGAAGTTATGAATTGAAACTAATTGTATGCAATATAGCAAGCGACGATCTATATGCAGTATGTAATCCCTTTTTTGTATATCCTTTTCTTTTCTCCTATATATTACCACTGCGTGCGAGAAGGCTTGGAGAAAAATAAGCTGTGCTATTGATGACGTACGATAATAGGGGGAGAGGAAAAGAGTACATGTTTTCTGCGAAAACAAGACACATGCTCTCCTATCTTAAATTACTGGAAAATTAAATCTCATTGTCTCATAACGTTTGTACCGGCTGTTTTGCTCGTAAAGGCAATTCTACTGTAAATAAGCAAAGAAGAGGTTATTAGATTATCCCACATTATCATATATATTACCACCAACCCCGTTAACCCAAATTTGAGTGGCGTTCCTTGAATGGCAAACCAACAGGTGCTCCGCTTGGACCCACGTTTTGTCCCGCTTGTTGATCTGCGACACGATGCACACACAGCCTGCTGTGTCGATGAGCTCATGTGTAATTAATTAAATAGTATGTGCATAGTGTCATTAGTAAAGAAAAAGAAATGACATTGATTTTTATAGCAATATGCTCTATCATACATTTACTGCCATACGTCAAAGTAAAATGTTGAAATAAGCGAGAGGGGAAAGAAGGGAAAGCGCTATCTATTATAAAAATGCTCGGATCAGCACACATGATCACTCGGCTTGTCTTTTTTCAGCATTATCGCTGAAGCAGATGGTAACATTGAACCATTTTACATGGAGGAGTACCACTGTTTACTATCAAACCATACCGGCTAGATACATATGCTAGACAAATTTAAGAGTAGACTGTGATCTTATGTCTGTCAAGATATACTGCTGCTATCAACGATAGAGTATGTAATCTGCATGGGTAAAGATTCTCGCCGGAATTGGTAGGAAAAAGTGATATTTTCAAGCTGAAACAATACCGGCCGAAACAAACTCGGGTTGTTTGGACAACAGTTGTCAAAGTCTCTATAAGCACTACTCATACACTGCATATAACAATGGTCACAGTAGGGTTTGACGCACAAAAGACACTACTCTGAGCCTCACTGAGAAACAATCTAAACTTTCTCCCTTATGCTTGCATCGACGAAGACTCCGAAAATGCGATATTCAGCGAGCCATGAGTTTCATCGGGACGTCGTTGCATATGCTTCTCATGCTTAACTTTAACAACTGATTGTCTGCATTTGCATCTACTACAGACATCTCGGGTACGATGCTTATTATGAGACTGTTACCGAGATATAATATATAATCTCATGGATTCTTCGTTTTCGGGCCACAAAGGGAGGGAGCATGGAGACGCTATATTGACTCGTGGAACAATGTTCAAAATTGGTATCACCTTAGACCCGTCATTGAGGAACGTATACAGGCGAGCCATCGAAAAAAAGAAAGTACGAGCATGCTGCTTGGCTGCGGTATTATTTTTACGTACAGTAAAAGAGAGTAGCACAACAACAACAACAGGTAGAAAGATAGCTTCCATGATGGACTACGATACTATAATACCTACACCACATAGCGGGTGAGAAAATGGAATCATGCCTAATCCTCAAGTATAAACATTTCATTATTTGTCTTTTTGTTTGGGGAGGTTGTTGTATCAATTCTATATACATAGCATGGTTGTTGCTGTTGTTGTGTAAGAACAAAGACGATCGGCCTACTCCGAAATAAGCTTTTTTTTTTCTTCTTCTTCTTCAGCTGCCTGTTTTGTTCACATGAGCGAGGCGCTATTTATTTAGATTGCACGGAAATCAGGCTACGACCATCTCGATATGTTGCTCGAGTGTTCAGTATGCTTTTATGCAATCTCTGATGCAAGCTAACCCGCTTTGCTGCCTGTGACCCGTTTGTGCATCCCTTCTTTTTTGTCATTATTATTATGAAGTAGGCGATCGTCCATAAGTGAAGTAAGGGTGATAGGGCACAGTAAAAGGGGAAAGCACGACAAGAATGAAAGTCATGGAAACAGTCGTGCAATTCGAGGGAATGCCATAGGCAGTCTAATGAGAGAGAGCTGCTGAACCTTGCAGCAGGCAGAGCAGCAGGTCCTTCTGAATAAATGCCATTCTACCATCCGATGTTTTTTAAAGGTCACCCACGTCACACAAACAGCCAAACCTAAAGCAATCGAGCTGGAAAAAGAAAAAGCGAGTCCCCCCTCCTAACCTCTCTGCTCCTTAAAACCATGTATCATTAAACTTTCAATCGCAAATGGCAGGAGACACTAAGCAAAAGAAGCCTGCCTGTGCTTATCCAAGCGCACGGCTTGTCTGCTTCTTCTTCTTCTTCTTTGTCCTGCCTGAGCGCTGTATGTCCTGTAAAGAGAAGCACACCTCGAAAGGAACACGCATACACGCGCCATATAGTAACGAAGAAGCCTGCGACACCCTTCCGGCTGGTTGGGATCATCTGAACACGGACGAACAACAGCCAGGGCCATGGTTTGACGCTATACTTTTTTGGGAAGCAGAAGCGCACAAGCAATCCGTGTAACATTCACTACTGGGTGCATTTTCCGCGGCTGCTCTTTTTTCTTTGGTTCGCTGCATACAGCACGCTCCTCTTTTCTCGTTCCTCTTTAATAGCCTCTGTCCTCTTCTCTTTCTTTCCTTCTCTCCTTACTTCTTCCCTTCATCCCACATTTAGCATACATTCTCACTGACCCACTAACGTCCTCGTCTTGCACTACTACTACTACTACTACTACTATTTCATACCGTCCACGCACATCATATTGACATAAACAACCTATCATCCTCATCATCCTCATTCATCCACCATGGCAGCATACGAAAGACCAAGTAAGTTGGAGTTTGTTGTTGTTGCTGCTGCTGCTACATGCGCTTTCTCCAAAACAACGCACCTTGCCAACGACGAACAAAAAAACTACCACACACAGTGATACGGCTCGAGCAATTCAAGACACAGCATGAACTCGCCCGGAACTTTTACGACGACTATGACTTTTGTCCACTTTTATGTTCTGACGACGTAAGTGATAGCACTCTGCTGTTCTCGCGAGCCTTTTTTTTTTCGTGGTTTTCTTTTACCGAATCTCTAAAGGGGCTGTACATAAATGGTTTCTTTTGAAAGGTCATCGAGCATCGTCAAAGGATTCAGCAACGGATATCACCGCAGTCATCGCCAAGCACATCGCCTGCTTCGGGATCCCATACACGGGCTATTCCAATCATCGATCCAGCAAAAAGGACTCAGGTCTCTGTACCAAATAGCAAACTTGCATCATGGCCTGGACTTCCAAGCAGTAGCAATAGCAACAGCAATAGAGCCGCCAAGATGCGCACGTCTCGAGCCATTCGTATCATCGATCCTACATCTGGGCATCCCGTTACTGGCGGGTATGATCACCACTACCATCATCAACAAGCACTTCATCACCACCAAGCACTTCAGCCAACATTCGATTATTACGACGTTTCTGTCCGGTAAACGGAAAACTCAAACCCCTCACTCCCCTCCACCCACACACCCCCCCCTTTCTCTTCGTTTTCCTTGTTCTTCGCCTACTCTTCTTCCCTTCTTTCTCGTTCGCTTTCTTTCGATCCCCTACTTTTTTCCCTTCTTTTTCATGTAGTAATTTTGTTCATCCTCATTTCATCACATATTATATATAGTACAGAAACATATCACCCATCATTATATATCTCAGTAGCGTTAAATAAAAGAGTTTGCTTTTTTTTTGTAAAAAATAAACGAAACTGGCGTAACCTATTCTTCTTCTCTGTTGGTGTTGTGTGAATGCTTTATTGGCGGTTACTTTGTCTCCCCGTCAATCAACTTGTTATATGCTCGTCACCCTGCTGCACTGTTTGTTTTCTCCCTGCGCGCCAAAAAGGCAGCTTTTTTTCTTTCTCCCCGTCTCTGCTGATGTACTGGCGTTATAATTGGGTCATGTGCTACCGCACGAAAAATTGCGTTCTACGTGATGCACACATACTACGTATTTAGCATATCCATCCGACAACAAACATCCTTCTACATACTGCTATACGTATACTGGTAGGCAGCAGCTACAAAGAAGCGCTTTCCCTTCCTTTCCCTTGATGATACAAGAAAAAGCACTTTCAATCAATTTTCGAGCTAGGGAACACTACGTTATAACCCGATATCAAAAGAGTGACACTCGTGCATATCTCCTCTCTAGGTAGGAAGAGGTTTTTGATATATAGAGGAGTTCAATTGACCAAAGCTAGTGACAGACTCTGTGCTGTTTGTTTTTCTATGTCTGCAGATCCTCAAGGTTGCGCCTCGTTTCGTTTTTTCAACCCAATCATAGTATGCATGTGTACTGCTAAAGTCAGCGGAAAGACGACACCACAGCACACGTTACTTCTGTGTCGCTGATGCGTATCTGTGAAGTCTTCCAAGATCATATCTCAACTCAAGAAAGACATTCTTCGATGACAGTCGAATTTATAAGCTATAAGTACAATACTTCAAATGTTGTTTCAAGTAGTTGCTATAAAAAAGGTCTTTGATGAGATAATAAGTCGTGGCTCTTTTCAACTTCGATCAATTCGGCACTGTTATTTTGTACATCGGCCAGGATACCTACCAGTATATAGTTCCTTTTTCTCTTTTCGTTATGGTACATACATACGTAGTAAAAAGCTATGTTCATGTCGACGCCTAGATTTGATTTCAATATTTTACCGTTCCATGTAGTGGTCTGCCAGAATTATTATACGATCAAAGTGCATACAATCCCTCTTTTTTAGATTTGATGCCGGTGTATATCTATGACAATACCATCGGTATTGATCCGTACATGCAACTATTAAAAGATGGCAACAGAATATGGTTTATCTATATGTGTTTCGGTTTGGTATTACTACTCGAGCAAGGTAAATTGCAAAGACAACACAAATAAAGCTAGGAAGCACGTATCTCACTTCTAAAACCGCTTCTCGGTCAAAGTGCAGCGGGTGCTCCCTTTGCATTGTCACTTGTGCACCAGATATGCTAGGATCAACAAGGAGGAAAATTTTCTCGGTCCCCAAACACTCATGCTATGATACTCCTTGAAACAATGATATTTATACGTCCATCTTCTGCAGTTGGCAGTTGTAACATGCACGGATCCCAATACATGAAAGATGTCGAGAACAATAGCAACTCGTATCTTGGAAACGACACATTGAACATATAGTAGCAGTAGTAGAAAATTCACTTATATGAACAATCACAACATGTTAATATGATCAGCTTTTACATATGCTCAGTTTATTGTATATTGGAAAAATCCAGCACTCTGTACAAGCGCACCTGCGTCCATACTGCTAAAAGACATACATAGCTATGTTGTAGTACATATGCAACGACAATGGCTACAGGTATTACAACGCTAACGCTTGCCTACAAGTTCCAAAGTGTTTTTAAAGGCTGATGGCTCTCCAGACCATTATTGCTATACATTTCGTAGGCTGAGCCGAAATACAATGTATGAATATTCTCTCGCTGACGGCAAAGGGACAATGTGTCTGCAGAAAAAGAAAAACACTGAGTAATTTATATGCTGGACGCAATCGCAATTTTCATTCACCTCATTAATACACCCATTTGCGCCTTTTTTAAAAGTGCTGGAATAACAAACTAATATTTTCCCGCTCTTAGCAAAGCAACACAAGTATAAACGTATCTGGATGGTGACAGGCTCAGAGCACACAGTGTTGGCTAAATCATTTTTGAGTATATCTAGACTCTTCTATTCGCGTTAGAAATTGAACCTTCAGAACGCTTAAAATCCGTAAGCGACACCCGTTCCCGTGTCAGAAAGAGCTTGAGAAGAGGAAAAGGCGTCAGATCCATCATATAGCTTCTTTTAAACAAGAATCATAAAAGCTAGAAGCATGATAGCAGTCTCTATATCAATGTTAAACCACTGTAGTACGAACTCGTATTATGTATGAATGATATTATACATGAAGCACGGTGGAAGAAGCTATCATCATATGAAGGATGCACTACGAAAAAAGTTAATGACAACACATCAAACTACTACATATCAGACGGAACGATGCAGCGAAAAAGAAATAAAACAGTGATAGGTTGAGTTTACCAGTCAAATGTTTCGTCGGGGAGGGGGGGGATGGCTGGCTAGGAGATACAGGATTTTTCCTAATGATTGGCGGGGCTTTTTTCCCATCATGGCGGGCCTTTCTTTTCATTTTGGCGTTGGGGGGTGTTTGTGATTGGCGGTGTGATTTTCGTGAATGGCAGGAGGAAAAAAATACAATGGCGGCCGAATTACAGATTGATGGCAGAATAATAGATTCATAAAGGCGGCCGTAATTTCAGGTTGATGGCAGAATAGTAAATTCATACTGGCGCTGTAATTATAACACTGGCGGCATCATTTATAAAAAATGACATTAGATACTAAAGGAGGTTCCTCTCCATTAAATACATCACAAAAGTGGGAAGATGTATGAGACAGTATAATAGGACTGGCAAGTTTCTACTAGATGATTAGCACATTGCCTTTATATATATCAACATAGATGCTTTGAGAACTAAGGGAAGAGCCGCAACAAAAGATATCGCAAACGAAAGTTAATGGTTATGTGTATGTAAAAGGTTTTTTTACAATGCAAGAGTTACTTCACATCACATCTACAAAAGCCGATCCTGCATAAGAGCACCTGCAGCGGTCGCTGTTACGAAACTGTTAAATTTCAGAGTTTAACAGCCCGCTTAACAGTGCGTAACAGCTTAACAGGGCATTTCGTGCAGCGGTTACTGTTACGAAGCTGTTAACTTCACACGTCGTTGGTTTCAATGAAAGCTTTGCCCTTTCTCCTGAGCAGGGGGCAGCGGCAGAAACGTCAGACAGGCGATTGGCGTTAGAAGTAGTGTTGTTCATTTTGAAGAATAAAAACAAAGAATGAAGTGAGATATAACTTTATTTTTCAAGTCCTTTTTTTCGATTCAAGAAACTGTTAAATTTAACAGTTTTTGTTGAGGCTGTTAAATTTAACAGGACGTTAACAGCAACCGCTGCAGGGTCTGGCTGTTAAATGACCTGTTAAATTTAACATAACAGGTCCGTAACAGCGACCGCTGCAGCTGCTCTTAGGCAGGTACTACGTAGTATGACTACGTCACTCCAGTTTTTACTAGCGGTATCGCTAAGGCGCATCACACCATCTCCTCCACTGCAAGCTGTCGACATGATCCCTCTCTCTCTCTCTCTCTCTCTTGTGACACTTTATCGGAACTGTTAAAAATGGTATGTGCAGAATAAGATGTGCGACTGTAATAGATCATGCACCATATTATCACGTAAATCATCTCAAGTGATACCTGGACCCCTTATACGTTCTTCTTACTTTTGCAGGACACATCTGCAAGCGATGTCAGCGACAACCACCAAGGGAGTGAACACACCTTGGCAGACGAGGATGCTGCTGCTGAAGCGATAGCGACACGTCGTGCACAGTTATTAGCTCTGTTAGATGACCGAGGCTTGACACTGCGACCGGAATCTAGACTTTGCTCAAATTATATCAGCCGCGGAGAAGGGGACCCGGAGTTTATTGTTACAACAATGGAAGAAATGGATTGGTATCATGCGAATGGCAATTATCACTACGAGGTGATGGAAGATACCGAGGATTTGGACGGATATCGACGGTAAGAACACTTGGATTCACGATTCATCTACTGGTCAATGTAATCTAAGTATATCCTTTTTCGCAGTTATGATAACACAAAGGGGAAAGTCCGTGCCCGTCGCTATTATTTCCGGCAGAGACTTTTGGCCGGGGGGTTTTATGACGATGAATCCATGCCACAATCTCTTCTCCCAATGTTAAGAGAAGAACTCTTCGACGCCTATATCGAAGAAGCGAAAGCCATTCTCTCGGTCATCAGCAACAATAACAATAATCATCGTGCTATGCTACACAAAAGTGTTCTTCAGCAACCTCGCACTTCACAAGTAATTGACCATAATTCAAAAGCAGCATTTATCAGTATGTTACCACTTGTTGTACGTCAAGAGCTTGAAAGATGGTTTGGTCCGGACGATGCATATGAAGAAATCGGGCGAGCGCTGCTAAAAAACTTTAAAGAAGAAGCGTTGCAGCACAAAAAGCAGCAAATTATGCATCCAGTTTACCACACTCAGGCAATGAGAAATCTACTGCGTAACAAGAACGAAAATAATGCTGATGCTTCAAAAAAGCAGTGGCGCGAAGAACGACACAACTTTTATATACGAAACAAGGAATCTCTCGCAAAGCACTGGGAAATTCATGAGTCTTACGCCAAAGAGATTTTTATGGAGATCACAAACGATTACAAGAAGTACCAAATATAAAAGGCTCACCTTTTCCGTCTTTTACAATTACTTGCTTTACCCATATTCTGTATATCAGCACTATATCGATTGCTTAGTTTGCGCTCATTGCTACTGTTAACCGCCGATTTTATGTGATTAGAAAGAACGAATGCGATGAAAAAATTATATAAGCAATGTACAATTTTTTAAGAATATATATAAATAACATTATATTCTGACAAGTGCAAAGTGGTGGGAAAGAGAAAGGAGGAGACGCAAATACGAGAGAATGAACGATGAATAGAGAAATCGAGCAGTAAAAAGACCAACAAAGTTATTTATTTTCAATATCGTTGATCCATTTACTGAGGGTGGCACCTTTGTCATCGCCAAGTTCCAGGAGATTCACCATCCTTAAAGGTTGATTGTGTTTAAATTAATAGATTCGCGTCAGGTAAAATACATATGCTCATAAATAACACTACAAACTTACGACTTGCAATGCTAAGGGATACTGTGGACCTAACATCGATGAAAAAGAAAAAAATCGTATCATGGCTCGTATTATTTAACTTTTCGGAAGGTGATGATGCTACCTTGGTACAGCTTGCATATCAGCTAGCAAGATCCAGAAAACGCAGTTGCTTTCTTCAGGCTCCATTACGTCAGAAGAGCCACGCTTGACGGCCTCTTCAAACAATGCATTCTTTTCTGAGGCATTCTGGGACCTAGTTCGTAACGTCATCGTTAGTGAACTACCTTTTCCTCACATATATCATAGCTTTCAACGATTACTTACAAAGATGCATTCGCAAGAATTGCATACAGCAAATGTGTTTTAATACTGCAGTTGGAGACACTTTTTTTCAAGCACTTCTTGTCGAATATGCGATAGCGCTGGTTAGTGGACTCCAGGTAATTTCGAAGCAACGCAAAAATTCGATCCTTGTTGGGCAAAAAGGACACCCCTATCAAAGTGTGTTGTTCAGTTTGTACGCCAACTGTCCTTGCTACTGCTGCTGCTGCTAATGATGCTGATGATGCTGATGACGATGGTGATGACGAGGGTGCTGCCGTTTGCACTTTGTGAAGGCACTTTAAATGCGTGCCGCAACGTATCTATTCTCAGCAGTTGTGAAATCCAAATTTTTCACTTCATTATTAACTTTTTACAACGAACGTTTACCTTTGACTTTCGACAGTAAGCACAAGCTGAACCTTGTCGTCCTGCTTTGATGTTCACAATGTTTGCGATTCGTTTCCTTGGGCGAGGGTTCTCCGCGAAATCAGTCTACCATAACTCGTCAGAATTCATTTCAACGGGGCTTTTCTTACTTTGATCTTCATTTTGGCCATAAGCAACATACCTCTGAACCGAGCTTTCTTTTCGGACCTGTGAATTCTGTCGGTTCCGTAGAAGGAGGAGGATTAGGCGGTGACGATGGTGTATTTCGAGTGGTATTCCGTTGTTTATTGGTTTGACGTTTGCGGTGCTTGCCCATGTTGAATTAAAGAATAAAAGGCAGCAGTTATTTCAGTTGCGTGTACTTTCCCAGCACGTCAAAGTCAGGTCTATGTGCACAATCACGTGGGTTCCCAACTTTAGTATGGCTTCCAAATCACATTCGTAAGAGGTGTATGCATAAAGCAGCATTGTTATTCATGATACCCAAATCCACGTCTTAGTTGTGCACGAGAAAAACAATGTAGTGTAAAATGAGCCAGAAGCATGCTATATTTATAGCCAATACAGTGCACTAAATAACATAGCTGTTATTTTGCTTAAGTCCTTGTGATTCTTTCCAGCCCCCCCCCCAAGATTTTCATGGATTCCATAAGCAAGTCTTCGATAGTAATAATAACAATAGCAATGAGGTATTGCTTCTACCTTAATATCTTCAAGTATAAATTCCACTACTGATACGGTCGTATAAGCTCCCATCATTATTTTACTAAGCTACCGTAGAAGTAATGCTCTTTCACGAATCGAAGAGTGTAATTGATAAAAGGTGCTATGGGCAGTTTAGCTTCCGATACCACTGGATAAGATTCCTGCAGCTCCAGGTACAGTGCTCGAAAAACATAGTTTCCTAGATTTATGGTTGATGGAAGATACCGTGATATTTGTTTGTTTCTGATATCTCTAAGCATTCTACAAAGTGTATGCATGTTTGACATCGATTCCACATTGGGCAATAAATGTTATTGTGTCACATCAAAAGGAAAAAAGATTACACATGAAGGAACTACTTTGTTGAAGCTTAAAAAAATTCTGGCTAGAAAATTCATATAAATAGACAATGCATTGGTTTTTTTATCTGTCATTATTCACCCTTCTTTTATTCACCTTTTTACAAATATGGAACATCCTGAAAATCTTCAACCTCAACCTCAACCTCAACCTCAACCTCAGCCTCAGCCTCAGCAACCACGATCGTTCTGGGATTTCCGGACCCAGCAGCTTGCTGCGGACTTGTGGTCGCCTACTGTAGATAACGTCGATATGTTCGAAGAACATTGGAATACCTGGTTCGATATGAACCTCACCGTACCGCCAGAAGGCTCAGCACAGCCTCGTTTTGATGTCGCACCGGAAGGCGAAAATCTAATTGTGCCAGTGGGGCCGGATGGCGACGATCCAGACAATGAAGATGGAGGGCTGTTCGGCTTTCATCGCAGGGATTTTGACGTGGACGAATTTGATGATGATGAAAGAAACAACGGCCATTGGAAAACGCACGTGCTTGGTGCTTATCCGTGTAAAGCCGTCGCAGAAGCAATGAAGAATCATTGTAGATATAGCATGATCGTATACAACACGGTGATTGCTTATTATAAAGGAGCTCCACTAGTAACTTTCTTGGGTAACATGTTCGCTGTCTTATTTATGAATGAATGACACAATACATAGTGCGTATAAAATGATGGGTGCTAACCAACCATTCACTAGTCACACCCGGTTTGGTTGACGTAGACAGCTATAATGACACAGACGAACGACGTATTGTTCAAGTGCTGATCCAAAACAACTTCACAAGAACTGATCAGCTGGAGGCTTGTAAGCTGCCGGGGTGGTCGCAGTTTATGTTCCTATATCGTATTGCCAAGATTGTTTTGCAAGTCTATATAAATCGCAAAAAGGATGTTACCCAGCCAATCATGGATAGCATCAACAGAGCTTGTACTGATGCCCTCAAGACGGTGAACCGAAACTTTGGGAATCTCAATGGAATCAAATACAAGAAAATGAAGGTAAAATTGATAAGAATAAATGGCTGTATACACATATTAAATACTAGTTTCTAATCACTCAACGACAGCGACGAATTCATCTCTTCAAACTGGATATGAAGAATTATCTAAAGCATTTCCAAGGTGTCAAGCTTCGAGGCGATGCTCGTTTGAATATAGGGAGCAATGGCAAGGTCATCCGGGTGATGTACCATCACCGCCTGGATAAGTGGAAGATCTTGTGGAGTGTTCAAGTCGATCCCGAGCCACAGCAGCCAGTGACGCACGCCGTTGCCTTAGACCCCGGCGTCCGAACACCACACGCCTGGTATAGCCCGACGTTGGGGGCAGGATTGCTTGCACCAAACGCAGTGAAGCGATTTTACCGATTGGCTGCGGAGCTCGATGATCTCATTTCGAAGCGTGATCGCGCATATAATCTAAAAAGCAAAGCAGGCGAAAGGCACGGTCAAGCTATCAACCAAGCAGTACATCGGACGTTTCAACGCATACGCCAACTGCGAGACGAGTATCACAACCAAGCGATTTATTGGTTGCTCACCAATTTTGATGTTGTGATAATTCCCCCCTTCCATGTGTCAAATATGGTACGCCACCAAGTAGGAGAAAGAGCACGGCGCATCACAAAGAAATCAGTCCGAGCAATGCTCACATGGGCACACTACCAGTTTCGTGCGAAGCTGAAAGAGAGAGGTTAGTTGACACACATGAAAAGAAAACAATTATGGACGAGGTTGATTGTGAACTTGATGATTTCTGATTTCTTTTTCCGCTCTCGTATAGCTGCTGTACGTGGTGCAACAGTCATTGAACAAGAAGAAAGACACACTACAGTAACCTGCTCAAGCTGTGGCAACGCTCGGATCATGGGTGGTGCCGAAGTGTACCGATGCCGCGGTTGCGGTGCGGTAATGCACCGTGACATCAATAGCAGTAAAAACATATTCATAAAAGCGCTCATGGCTAGACGCCTTGTACAGATTTAGCTCACTTAGTAAACACACAACAACATCACCCCCTGTCTTTTTATACGTAGTTTCTAGATTTTTCTTTCTTTGTGCGCTTTCGCTTGTACTCATTGTTACTATTGCAAGATAAAACACTATATATGCATACTCTTATTATTAACATTTTGTGGAAGATGTGTCGATAATGCAAAGCAGTAATCATCGAATCACGTATGTCCGTCACAAGCGTAGTACCTGCTCTATATACATATAGACTTCCATTATCTCTTCATGTGGGCTTATACGATATGCCTAATCGATAGAAAACAGTCAACCTGTACGTACATGATCACTGTTGTCAGCATCTCCTTATTTGGCTAGCTGAAACCGATCCAGACTGCATGAAAAGCAACACACTATGAAGTGACCTGTTCCGATCAGACCATGGCACTTGTTTGCTTTTACTCTACTTTGCAAACACGACAAGACCTCTTATCTGAAATAAAACATACAACAGTGAACTACAAGACCGTGGCTAGAAAATGGTACCAATATCGCCACAGCTTAGATGGGGAATATCCATAATGAAAGAGCAAAGAACTTGACGGCTCTTTTGGCAATTCCTACGCATCTTGCTCGTGAAAACTGTCAAGCGATTATCGCCCCTTCTTTTGGGTCATTCGAACGTAGACGTATATATACGACACTGCGTATTTTTTTCTCTGAAAATTTTCTCTCTTTTTCTTTATTGTCTTCCATCAATACAGTATTGCCACTCAATAGGCATACCCGTGCGATTGTTCATCCAAGAAGCACGGCCATGCTTTCCTCCTGCTGCGGCTGCGCCAAGGTTCTGTTTTTATTATGAATGGTATGTGATGTTGTTTCTTCTATACAACAAATGGTGTACATACGTTGTTTCCACAATCATCGTCGCCTTCAATTCCCTCTATTAACCTTTTACGACATCCTTGTGATAGATGACCATCTCCGCTTTGTGCTACACAAGAAGGATCCTCGTCGCAATATGCAAGCTGGTTCTCCAAGATCTCAGAAGAGAAGGATCGTAAGTTTTATGTTTGGCAATTGGGCAATGGGCTAGGTAATTGTGAAATGACCGTGTGTAAATGGTTTTAAAAAGAGTGGCTAATCACAGTTGGCATTTGTGTAAAATTAGCATTTTTCATATATCTCCCTCTGAGCAAGTATCATTATCTCCTTCCGCGTGCTGTCAGTGTAACAAGGTCAACGTAAGTATTATTACAGTCAAAGGGTTGCTCGGACAGATGAAGAAAGATGCAAATGGATAGGACAAATGCTGGGGACTGCGCCATAGGATGATTGATACTCATCGTCACCACGGATGTTTCATAGGGCACACATTACGATATTTCTCTTACTCGGTTAGTAGTGTGAGTATTAAAAAATGTACGGCATTCTATTTTCTTTGGGATGATGGGGTATACTGGATGTGGGCATGATGATTGCTGAGGTATATATGCTAGCCGCTTACACCTTTCTCTTTTCTTTTTGACTTGTATATTGAAACTTATGGCAGCAAGGACAAGGCGTACAAGGTTAGGAAAAGAGCCATCCGTTGATTTCGTGTTGCCATTCGTCTCTGCTGTGTCCACCGTTCAGACCTATCATGTCATCACTCGTGTGATAATCAAGACACCTCACACCACTGCCTCTGCTGCTGCTGCTACTGAGTCTCTTGGCTGTCACTAGTTTCCACCACTGTGCTACTCCCGGCCTGAGAAACTTGTCAAAGAAGTTTACCTACTATGCTCAAGATGTATCCACCATCCATCCATCCATCCATCACAGACAGTGGTTGAAATCACTCCATCTTTGTTCTCAAGCAAGCCAGGCCTTCTCCTGTGTCTAGGGACAAGCTAGTTGCCGTCATCCTGTTGCTCAAGCTGCTGTTTCTCGTGGTCAACAAGTCCATCTCGCTTCTTGTTGCTTCTCGTGCTGTCAAGTTGAAGGCATGGCCCAATGAAGGATGAAAGAACAAGGATGGTTGCACAGTGTGATCGCTGCTTTATTACTGTAAGTACAGTACATCATTTCATCAGTTAATTTGGTGTGTGTGTCTCGTCTTAATGTACGTTGTCTGTCTAGCAAGACTGCTAACTGCCTTAATTTCTTTCCTTTCTGTTGCCCAAAGGGGCGGGCCTTTTAGGCTCGCTCCTTTGTTTTTGTCAGGCTACTACTGGGAGCACAACGCCCGAGCAAAGGGCATTTATGTTGCTTGCTTTCCAGTGTTATATCGCACGTTCGATGAAGCTTCGGCTGAATTCGTGCAACGAGTATGGGATTGACGATGTTTCGGCAGAGTCTTTCTCATATGTTGTGGGACGCACCGTCGGCATGCCGGCGCAGGTTTCGGGAAGCCTTCTTTTCGGAGAGGGCGAGCCCCGTTGCTTAAAAACGTGTAAGTTCTTTTCCTTCTTTTTCATACGAAAATACTCGGCATGCGTATGTCGGACAGTGAAACTCATCCGTGAAATTTTTGAAACGCCTTCCCTAGCATTGTTATACCGGAATCCCAAAGTCTCGTTCTTCTACATATTTATTACTTACCATGCTTCACTATATTTTATTACTGTTGACTACAGTCACCTCGCAATGTGAAGCAGCCGACCCCTCATTATTTTGCAAATGTTTCTGTGGATCTAATAGTACCATCTTTGAACTACCTCTGCTCGATCCAAAACCATGTAGCAACTGCACAAAGCAATTTTGTTTGGACAACGTACAAGATGGCATGTGCGATGGCATTGCCGATGAAACTTGTCCCAGTAATGATTTTCGCACTACATGTTTTGGTAACTAGCAAACACCATTTTTCTTATTTTCTCAAGCCTCTATATATTTGCTTTGCGGAACGACAGACAGACTAACAATTATTGCTAGCACGCGACTCGGTTAAGGACGAGTCGATTGTCTTTTTGTTTCTCATATTAACTGTTGGTCTGCTCATTTCGGCTGCATTAAAACCTCGATTTGACCGTTGGCAGGAGGTAATAACCATGCGATTGTTTTAGCAGTAAATCATAGCTGTTGAAAGACGCATTTTAAAAAGGGTTATGTTTGCTTATATATTGTAGGGGCGACAGAACAGGAGCAATTACTCGGCAGTCGCGAATCAGGAACATTAAACAAAGCACACGAATGATTCTTATCGCGATTACAATATAATACCTTAACTTTTCTGTATATATAACCATTTTTTAAAGCCAAAATAAACACACATGCCCATCCAACACTCTAGAAGAACACCGCATATTGAACGATATACTTGATCGTCTCAATCGATGCAAAATCACTTCTATTTCATTATTAAACAATGTATCATGCGTATCTTATTTACACTCGAGCACTTTATTCTAGCAGTATACGGCTTTAAAAATTGGCCGAGAGTTATATTAATGACAATAGACTTTGTGAAAAGAGAGCGAATAAACTATTTATATGTTATTTATGTATAATTTTTACAATTTGGTTATTGGTATTTACGAAGAACAGCTAATTGTATAGCGTCAAGGGATTTTCTTTATGCCGATGAGGGTTGGCTTTGCTGTTGCACCAACACAGTCAGAGCACGGACATGCTGCACCTTGATCTGTATGATAGAGAAATGCTTAAATGAGTTCACTTATCAAAACTTCAATCACAAAGAAAATTGATAGTTACCCAGGAAGGAATGTATGTCTGAAGCTGTGTTTGACGTGGTACGGGGATCTCAAATGGATTGGCTGTGTCATCAATCGGAACAGAGTCTAATAGAAGAACATCAGCAGTATCGCCGGTAACGACATGGGCAGCTACCGCTTTTAATATAGCAGGTTTGATGGGGTTCTATAGCAGAAAACAATAGTAATCACCGTTAAAACGATACAACAAAAGTCATGAGAGCAAGTACCAATACAGAACTTGATCTTTCTCGCCTCCTCACCTCATAGTCTGCTACATGGTAATTGGAAATGAGTTTCTGGACTTGTGTAGGAGACAAGATCCAGCACACATCATAGATATTTTCAATATCCTCGACTGATGATTTTTTCATTTGGAGCATCTTCGTCGTCTGCATCAAGTGCTCAAGTTGGAGACTGCCCTCAGGTATATCATGGCCCTTGCACCACTCTTCAATACGCGTAATATTGTATTGGATTTGCATTGCTATTACAAGAAGCAAGAAATAGATATGTTTACTCTTTCCTCCTTTTCATCTGTCCCATTTCATCCTCTCGCCTGTATATATCCGAATGTTCTTACCTCGTTTCCAAGAAGAAAAGTTCTTGCGCATCAATAGATCATTGAAACCGTTAACTCCAATCATTTTCAGCAACTCTGTAAGGACCTGCGTAGCCACAGATGGTTCAATGAAATAGCACTTCATTGTCCGCCACACCTTGTTTAAATAGTTGAGCAGATCGTCCATGCTGTAAGCTGGCTGGGATGATCCGGTCAGCAATTTGTTGAAGAAACGACCTGTATCGGCAGTGATGAATCCGGGCAAAGATTGACTTTCAATGACAGCAGGGACAATTATCTTGCTTAAGCGTCGCTTCGTTTCCTTCAACCATGCATGGAAGATATTGTCCTCGAGACACTGCATCTCGAACTTGACCGTAGCTACCAGCTTTTCAAAATCGGCCCAACCAGAGCTTCGGCCATGGTTGAATACTTCTTGTTCTAAGCTGTGTTCAGCCGTGCAAACCATTGACAACAGTTCGTGTACGTTGGTAAGCCAGAAGGCACAGGGCGTGATGGCCTCTTCTCCCGAACAGCTCTGCATTATTATTGTCCATGTGATAATGATGAATAACTCAACCCTTTGTCCCATGGTAAAATGCTCAGCTAGACGAAATTGTGTCTTCTCTACACTACTTACCAAGCAGCGTTTTTGGATCGTATCCATGATGGTGAAGAGAAGGCGCTCTGATTCTTGGATATATTGGCGTCTCCACATTTCCGTTACGCACATACTGATCATGTGGGCCGGGAAGAAGATCTCCTTGCGTGAAGGAGGATTTTGCATACTTGGCAATGGCATCTTGAGCTCCTTAATAAGACCTTCGGTAATCTCGGCCAATAACTTGTCTTCTTCTCTTAAAATGCTATGGATCTATAATAGTAATAGCGTTAATATGAGAAAGACTTTACTGATTAATTGTTAATACCTCCTCATCCGGATCTTCAATCACGCTGCCAGGGATGATACGATTGCCCTTTGCACCAAAAATGTTGCTGTACTGATCAATCGAGGTAGGACGTGGATTCTTGTCCAAACGAAGTCTGTCTACCGGGTTGTTCATGCTAGGTGCATCCAAACTGTTGCGGCGAGCTTTTCTTCCTCTAGCCGGTGACCGGCTGCGCTGACGAACGTCGTCCTTGAAGTCATTAACATCCAAAGGCTTAGATGGCGATACACTGCGAAGACGATCTGGCGCCGGTGACAGGCTGCGCAAGTTGTTTGATGATGATCCACGACGCATACCGCCACGCATGGCCTGGGTCAACTGTGCCTTTAATGCAGCAATCTGACTCTTGAGCTCTGTCACTTCGCTTTCATCGGCTGCACGCTCATTGGCTGCTTCCAAATCCTTATGTAATTTCTCGTTTTGTTTGCGCAGTGATTCCATTGAATCGTTGATGCTAATAATTTCCTTATCTCGTGACTTGAGTGTATCTAATGCTTCTCGATAGTTCTTGGATAATTGATCCCGTTCGCCCACAAGCGAATCCCATTGTGTTTGAGGTACCGTGGGCTCTTGAAGTCTCTCCTGAAACTTTTTAGATTGTTTTTCCATCTTCTCGTACTTTTCCATCCATGTGCGGATCTCGCCCTCCAACTGAGTAGTCTTGTCACCCATGCTTTTCTTTTCGTCCTTTAGCGAAGTGATCGTCTGTGTGAGTTCCACCACAGTGTTTTCAAGCTTATATGAAACTTCCTTGAAGTGGTTGACTGATCGTGCTTCGGCACGCAATGACATCAGTTGCTTACGACCAACACGGCGGCGGATACATGATTGCAAATGTATGACAAAGTCGCGCTGCGCCTTATATTGTTTTCGAGCAAACCTATAAATCATGGTTAGGATTTTCCAACCAACGTCTTCAAATATATCCTGAAAAAAAAAACAAGCTACATACCAGCCCCGGACGAGTCTCTGGATCTGAATGGCAGCATGTGTCTCACGCTCAAACACCAACTTATGCCGGGCATGGTAGGCTCGGATAGCAGACTGTAGCTGGACAATGAACCGCTGTCTTTGGTTATAGGCCTTGCGAGCAGCGAATCGCCGCCACTGGGTTTGGATTTGGACAGCGGCCTTTTGCTCGCGAAGAGATCGAAGGTTGGCGGCAGCAGCTTTTTGCCGTGCAACGCATTGCAAGCGAAGAGCCAGATCGCGCATATGAACATACCGCGAACGATAAATAAAGCGGCGCATATGCTTCTGTAACAATGTCGCACTTGCATTGAACTTGTCCGAACGAAGCTTCTCCATTAATGCCAGCTAAGTGCATACCCGCCGGGAAAAAATACAATCGTGAGTGTCCATCCTTCTTTTGAATCGTTGCAGCCCACTGATGACATGTGTAATACTCACTTGACCAGCACGGAAGAATATTTTTGTAATACCAATTTGGTATTGGGTCCCATCGGGGATCGAGGCGTCAAGAATAACCTTGGCAAGGCCACGCAAATCATCACCATTCCAATACTTAGACGGTACAAGGGCATAGTATCTTTCAGCAAACTCTTCAAATGTCCAGCGCGATGGGTATCCTGCGCAACTAATGCGGATGGTTTCCAGGACGCCACAGGCTCGGAGCTGAGACAGGACCATACTGGGTTCAAACTCCCAAGCAACCTTGGCTTCATTAGGCTTAATGCACCGGATATAATGAACGTTTGTTTGACCGATAGTATCCATGAGTTGGATGAGCGACAGCTATTTTCGTGATGCAATGAGACTAGTAAGTACTGTGCAGTGTATGAACACTTGAATAAAGGATGGATTCCGTTGATTTCTTACCTTGAAGATTGAACCAAGAGTAGGCTTTCGAGCAATCATACTCATTCGCTTGCTCTTTTCGGGCTAGATATAGCGAAATAAACAACATGGTGTGTTGGTGATTTATACTTTCAAGTGATAGCCACAATACTCTTAAAGAAACAGGAGCCTACCGTTGGAGCCGGGTTGTTAGCAGCTGCCTTATCCATGACTTCCTTCAAAAAGTCAAACTCTGAACCTTGCAGCAATGCCAAATGTTCGTCGGGCACAGTATCCTTATTTTTGTCGATAAAGCTCTCTGCCTCATATTGCACGTCGTGTGCATAATGCGCCACAGTGAATGCATTATTGGAGAAACGTGGCTTTTTGAAAAATTGCTTGTAGTCTGGCTTTCCAAAATTGTCGTAGAGTTTTTGACAGAAGCCTTGATCCGAGCCTGCTGGGAGACGCGATTCCTACCGATACATTTAACATGAGTTGCTATAAGCTAACAATACAAACGGGACTCTATACGAGTTCGGGATGACATGTGTACCTCATCGAGTAGAGACAAAATACCGAGTTTGCCTTCAATAAGATCAATGCACTTTTGGTTGTCACTGAAATCGATAAATGTCCAGTTGATCTGCTCTCGAACATACTCCTCTTGCTCCAGCTTGAATACGTGTTGATTGAACTAATCAATGTCATTCGTCAGTAGCTAGACATAACAGTTTGTAAATGACTGCAATGGATGCTTCTTCTCGTTACCTGCTGTTGAAGTTTTTCGTTTGCGTAATTAATGCAAAACTGCTCGAAGGAATTCTTTTTGAAATGCTCAAAACCGTAAATATCCAAAACTCCGATAAACGTGAGAATCTTTTCTGGATCAGGGGATGACAAGCTGTCATTGATGACACCCACGAGCCAGTCAAAGAGGTTGGCATAGACGTACTTGGCGACCGAGTCCTTGACAACCTGTGCCTGTGTTGGGTTGAGATTTGTGACAATCTTTTCTGAGCGTGTCACAATCTGTTTGCGCACGATCCACTTTCGGAAATCGGCGGTTTTGATTCCCAAGAGACGTGTAGCAATAATCAAAGCCTCGTCTGTGTCAGCCAGCATAGCATCGCCGCGACCTGTGATTTGGATATTGCCGATATGCAAGAGTGCGGACAAGAGGCGGAAAATCTGCCATTGTAGTTGGAGAGACAAGCCGACGGTCGAGAGTGCGCGCTGTGTTACTTCGAATTCGTAGGCGTCGTCCACACCGGGTATCGTGCCTGTGCCGCTCTGGTTAAGGTAGTGGAAGGAGGTATAATCGCCGAGATGGAATTCTTTTCGCTCAGAGGTAGGTGCACCTGCGCACAACTGTGTGGAAAAGAATATGAAGCGTCACGGCATCGCATGTGACACACCCACGGAGAAGGGGATTGAAAAACGAAACGATGAGCGATGTGCATATGTAGTCTCGTAATACGCAAATACGCAGAGCACGCGAGTGCACACAATGAAATTTACCTGGTAGAAGATGTGGTAGTTTCGCTCAGTCTTTGGCTGGAAAATCAGACGAGATCGTTCAAGCAGGTAGGTTCTTATCTTGGCACCAATGATGTTGGCGTCTTTGTCGAACTGGATTTCTATGTATTTGCCAAAGCGGGAACTGTTGTCGTTTCGGGTTGTCTTTGCGTTACCAAAGGCTTCCATGATGGGGTTGGTTGCCAGGATCTGCTCTTCCACCTCGGTCATGCCTCCACCCTCTTTCTTCTTCTTTCCGACTGACTCCTGGTCATCTGCCGTGGCAAAGTAGCGCATAATGTACTTTGCACTGACTGTTTTACCCGCACCACTGTAGTATGTCATACATGTGCATCAGTGACTGACTAGCTAGAGCAGCAGTTGCGTAGTCTCCAAGTGTTTTACCTTTCTCCTGAGACAACAATCGTCTGGTTCATCTGCTCCCGAATCATGCAGCGATATGCATCTTCTGCAATCGCAAACAAATGCGGCTCTAGCTCCCCCCGCCGTCGTCCCGCGTATTGTTGCACGATATCTGGCTCGTAGAGCGACACTCGGTCGAAGGGGTTCACGGCAATCAAGACGATGCCAGAGTATGTGTAGATCAGGTGCTGCATGTAGCGAGTACGGATCGTGTTGAGAACTGAACGGGTAGCAGTAGTAGCAATGATAGTGGTAGGGTCATGTGTGTGAGATACACGCTGTATGTGAACTTTCTTTCTTATTGCATCTTATTACCTGCAGGTTCATTCAGATAGCTGAGGTTGGTGAGATCATCCGTGTACTCCATCTTGGGTGGGTTACGTAGTGGAGGAAGGTTGGACCCATCTGCTTTTTCGATCTCGGCGAGCTTGCTCTCGAATATATGTTCCTACAACAACATATCATCGTTGTCGATGGTGGGTGCTGTTAGTTGCTTTGGGATATGATAAGCGTGTCGTACAGAAGTATCTTCTGCTGCCCTTAGCTACCTTTTCTTCGTTGTCGTCTTCAAACACGAGACGCACATTGCCGTCGTCCGTAATGGTGTTGGAAACGCAAGTGACGGAGATCCAACAGGCATCCGTGTCGACCGGAAGCCATGCCTGGGTTCCTTTTGTGTACACTTCGGCAGCCTGGCGAGCTTTCTCGGTTGCCATTGTTACTCCTTCGAAATGTGCAGAAGAAAAAGGCAAAAGAGATTTATGAAGTGGTGAAGTTGTCGTTATAACACCAGAAAGTTTAAAAAAAGAAAATGGCGCGTGACAGACCAGAAAACCCGCTCTCTTTTAAAGAGACGGTGTGTTGTGTCAGTTTTCGATTTCGGAACATCAAAAAAGCACTGGCTGCTCCTCCGCTTCGTGATCTCGGCCCTTTGTCCCCACCCATCCGACCAGCAGAACTTAGTTACACACGCACCATCATCGGACCGCGGTGAATTTTCGCTTATATTAAATTAATTATGCGTTTGAGTCGATTTGGCTGTTGGCTCCATGACAACTGCCGTGGGTAGTATTTTCTTCCATGAGTTGGTGCCATTCGATCACAATCATGTACATGTAGATGATACTGAGAAGAAGAAGATTTATTTACTCAATCCACTCTAGATACAAAGTCGTGTTACGTGTATTAGAAATAGAGTTGATCGTCTTTTGTATCATGTACAATATCATATAGATACTTTATATTATATGCAACAATGAGCCCTTGATTATAAGTCTGTGTTACTTTTTGTGAAAACGACATGTCAACCAGTCTTTGTATATATACTCTTGATGCCCAAGTGGACTTCACATAAAATACAATGTATGCACCAAAAGAGATTTATACTGCGTACGACATACTGTTCTCCTGGATACATAGTTCCTTTGACACGACGTACATTGACCCGCCGTACCAAATAGATCGGATTAGACTAAGCATTAATTAGGCGGCAGCGTGTACATAGACCAGATACTTGACAGCTGCTTGTATGTATTGTACACAGCAGTATATGTAATCGCACTGATTCTCTTCTTGTTTCAATATCTTGATGTGATAGGAATGATTCTGCTGTTTACTAGCAGTGCCCCTTTCATTTGGCACAATCGAATTGTAACAAGCTGAGTAAGAGAAAAAATCAATAGACTCCACACCAAACTATACTCTACAGTGATGCTACCTTATCTGTTGCTGTTGGTCGTTCCTACATACAGCGATTGTCGGTGCTTCCGCTCCAGTCAGCAAAGTATGGTTTTGTGGACAATTCGCTGTTTCGCCTAGCATTATTCTACTCGACACGAGTGTAAAGCATTACGATTTAAGCGGCGATCATGACACGGCTGCATATCAGCATGTCAAAAAACACATTGAGCATCCATGTGTATATGTATGCTCATAAACTACAGTGCTACCATATGTCATGCTGGCTCTTATAGTATTAAAGCGACGAGCGGCCAAATGCTTGGGTGTGTTCCACCATCATGTATGTATAATCGATCGATCGAACGAACGAATGGAAAGGGACAGCTCATCCGTCAAGGACGATCAAGAGTGACACGCTTGTTCAAAGCACTTATTATTTCTAATTTCGAACTTTGGAAGGCAATCGAGTGTGATCAACGCCATTCACTTCGAATTGTTGTCATTCGACAACGTTGATTCAGGTTGTGTCTCTTTCCACAAGCACTGACGACACTCACAACGACTGCTCTTTTTTATATCATTTTCTTTGTTTTAAATTGTGTGCCCAATGACACTGCGCTTCTTTTGAAAAGAAAACACACGTCATTAGGACTTAAAAGTGGTGAAATCTTGCCCCCACGGGCTTATTGGGGAGAAATATGGTTTTTCACACACACGCGTGTCTGCTTGCTCACTCTCACAGGGGGGACCATCCAGGGGCTTTCGGGGTGCCCCAGCTAAGAGTAAATAAGGAACTGTTAGTAGCCGGGTACTTTCTATCCTAGATACAAAAAGAGTGACAATGAACGATAAAGAAAAATAAAAAGGCGGACAAGACAGGGTGGGGGAAAGGCAACGAGTCGGCGTAGTGGACGTATAGTTTTTATTAGCTGTCCTTCTAGCTATATTCTGGGAGCCGGTATTCCTCGCATATGCAAAAAACGCAACACTGCACTGCCAATAGCCAACCCTACCAACCTGCTCCTTCTCTCCCCAAAGAAGCAGTCGTAGGCGTCCCCTGAAGGATGGGTGAGGGAATCTAGGGGACCGGATGAGAGAGTGAGCAAGTAGTCGTTTGTGTGTGAAAAAAAGGTAGGAGAGGAAAGGGAAAGGAAAGAAAGGAAAGGAAAATCTGGACCGGTTCTTTTTATCTTTGGTCTTTTTTTTTGACGTCCCGCCCAACCGCCGCAGCATGCTCATCACATGGCTTTCTCTTTCATAACGTAGTCATTAAGGGCAGTGACTTGCATGAGATGGTGATGGTTGGTGTTGCCTATGAGCACGGCTCACTGCGATACTGGAAGTGTGTGCACCGTATGCAGCTCATTGTTCTCTCTAGATTCTTTTAAAGACACCGCCATGTCAATACGACGCGACCTTTGTGGCCTGTCAGTGACCTGGCAGCATATTCAAATGAGTGTTTACGCTGATGTCGGTTTGTTTGATACAGACTGCCCGTACTGGGAAATGATATCGACTGTGGTTTTGCCCTACTTGTTCTCCGCTGTTGCGATAGTTCTGTCCAATAAAGAGCCTGATTCTTTCATGTGAAGATATGTACTGTCATGTGTATCTTTTGATCCGCTACTGTCCAAATTGCCACTGGCTGCATTTCCAAGTCAAGAAGCAGTTGTTGATGGGGGAACAGCACATTGCGTACGTTGACAGGCGGTCGACCTTGTCTCAACATGTAATGGTTAGTTAAAATTACGACGCATTGCTTTTTAAAGCTTCAAGGGAAATTTCGATCAATAGACGCGCCACCCAAACGGATACCTGATATGATTGATGAGTAGCTTACAGAGCATGTACCAGCAAAGAATTTCTTTTCTTAAAGTTGCCAAATGGCTATCAAGTATGCGTGGCTGGGAACGATGTGTGTCGAGTAAAGCGCCTCGCGAATGAAGGCTCGATGGCTTCGATAATGATTGCTGTCGATTTTTCCAAAAGAATGGCTCTGATATGCAGTATCGCATGTGATTGTCACGGGTGTAATTAACCAATGTTTATTGATAGATACTGCTCTGATAAGAAATAGGGGCTGTACTACTGATTGGGGGGGGGGAGATGGGAGAGATGGAAGGGGGAGCTACGACTATTACATCACAATTGCGGATATCATAGCTAGTCTAGCTTTTACAAAATAAAGGTCTTGTCTTGCCTTGGATACGCGCATCGTGAGATGCAGAAAACCGCTCACTGACCTTTTTGCTCGTTATTTCTATATGCAAGGTGAACGCGGTCAGCCTTTTTGAAGCTTTACTGAAAGAGAGAAAGAGAGAGAGAAAGCAAGAGAAGGAGAGCCACCACTAGTTCAGCGATACAGTTCCCAACAGCTGCAACATTAGGGTGTATGCTAATTAGCTATATCGTCGTCTTCAAGCTATGTCTCAAGTGATTTACATCGATTTCCCTATCATAGTCCCCAGGTGAACTTGCCGGCAGCCTTCTCCGGAAATCCTGTACCTTTGTCGAGATCATATTGTAGATGCGGCTGGCATCGAAAGGTGTGTCATCAAATATATATCGCCAATGTGATGCCCAGATGAGGTGGACGGCGATGATGATCGTGTGTGGTGGGATCGTGGCGGTGGTCTTGGACCGAGGTGGATCGAGCGTGTGGCAATAAGCATTGAGCTCTTGAAAATTATAGGAGCAATGATGGTGTCGGAGCATGCGTTGCCAAAGCGGTTGTTTGGAGGGACAAGTAAAGAAATAATGGTCTACTACCGCCTCGGTGACATGCTGGCAGAGGCGGCATCGCGCGTCGTCGAACCGGTCAGGCATGTGGCGATGCGCAGAATAAGCAGGCGCCACCACGTCGTCCGTGCATAGTGAGGTAGTTGCATCGCCCAGAAACGCCTCCACGGGATAGAAGCGCTGAGGGTGGGGGAATGATGGTGTGTATAGACGGTTTTGCGGAGGATAGAAGTTGTGAGGTTGTTTAGTGAATGATTGTTGACCAATGGAATTAGGGAGATAAGAGGCCCCTCATTAATGACCGTGGTCGGTCCAAAGCTCAATACTGTGCAAACGTTTGCTTAAAATTCAACGTGGAGCTTGGTGGTTTGAATGCTTGTTTGCCAGCAGAGCAAACCCCTTTCGTCTCCCAGCGACCGACAATCGTATTTGGCGCCGATGTGACACATCCATCACCTGGTAACATGAACCAAGCCTCTATTGCCGCCTTGACGGCTTGCATGGATATGCGAGCCACGCGATACTCGAGTGCCATCAGAATGCAAGCTATAAAACACGGGAATTACAAGTGATTCGAAGGGTATGGTCAAAATGCTTCAAGAGACGCTTCATCAATCATGCGGTCAGAAGCCGCTACGGGTGTTATTTTCTCATGACAGAGTCGCCGACAGTCAGGTTGAGACTGTTCGAATTGAAGAGATTCGGGTAATCCACAGTGTATGTGAGGAGCTTGACAACGGGTACTAAACCACAGTGACATTTGTGGTGGCTCAAAAGCGACATCATGTCTGTTTCTTTTTTATTCAACCAGAAGGTGCGGATCGCTCGATTGGAAGCTGCAAGCCAGGCACTAGATTTTTGATACAGATATTGTTCATTCTTTTCAGTTTGACTTTTGTAGCTTCCTTAGATGTATACTTCCAGTATTCAAAGCTTAGTTGTAAACATACGTGCGCTAGGAGTAGCGATGAAAACTGTTTTATCCCATCAAAGAGACCTGTTATCTCTCTCATCCTGGGCTACAACGCTCGGCAAACGCATGATGTATTATATTATCATTATTACCTAAGTTTGTATTATAAATCTTCATGGCTAGAGTACATAGTAGCCAGTTTATATGGCAGCTGTAGACACAGCCTCACTGATTTTTTCGTATTGTATCATACGTAGATTACTTTATTCTTACTAACGCTAGCATAGCTCATCAATAAAGCACAAAGTAGATGTTATTATAAAGTTCTTATATTAAGAGATCATGTTGCCATTGACAACGAGCTTTGCTGTTGTCAGGACAGCACTTCAAACAGTTTGCCCAGACTTTTACAATAACATCATCATTATCGGTGATAGCAGGGCGATCGTCCCTTAACAGATAGCCATGGGAGTCTTGCAGCTGACGTTACTATTGAGAACAAGTTGATAACAATCTACCATGCAAACAAGGATTTGATAATCGTACGCTGCATGATACCTCGGCGCAACTGGAGCATCCAAACAGAGCTGTGGAGACATCTACGTTCCACTGTAGTCCATCATCTTTCCATCTCATCTTCACATTTTTACTGTAGAGAACCCACTGTTGTTTGCATCGATTATATATATACATGCCAACACAGTAACCGTACCCCTGGCGACAAAAAGAAGCTTTTTGGATGATTAATGTTAGGTGTTTATCCCAAATTGGTTTATATACTTTCAGAATGCAAATCATTGTAATAAGTTATCAAAGAATTGAAAAGGGAGAAAAATAAAGTTAAAATAGGATGCATAGAAAGAACAGACAGAACTATTATGCGTTATCATAAAGTGATTGCAGATATTGGTCGCGTTCACACTGAGCGGGTGTCCGCTTTGAGTTGCTGCCATCATTATCACTGTCCATCCACGGCATGACTTTGCGTCTAGCTGATTGTCGACGACCCACGTTTACAGTGTTGAAGAATGACTTGTTTTCTGCCTTTGTTGTTGCTGCTGCTGCTTCACCAGACTGCTGTAGTTGCTGCTGCTGTGGGAGCACAGAAGGTCTGTTGGATACACGATTGGCACGACCGTTCCATGTCTGATGACCATTTTGCTGCAATAGTGCAAAATTGGTATCGTCAATTTCAATTTTCTCCTGGGCTGCCATTCCCGCAGCGCCAAAGGATTGCTGATCGTTTTCTGGGATCATGGTTCGTACAGTAGACGATGAAAAGGACGCGACAGGGTCCGGGCCCATTGGTGTTGCTTCATTGCTGCTTCTCCCTGCGACCTTGGAGATACTGGCCATTGATCCACTTTCTGCCATAGAGGCTTGAAGCATACGTCGGATTGTATCCACGTTTCCTTTTTGTTGATCGTCTACTAATTTGCCTGGCTTGCGTGGCGGTGGAGGTAACGTTCGGCTGTTATCATTGCCACCGGTATTGCCGTTTCTGATATTACCAAAGTTACTTGTTGCATTGCTATTATTGGCACTATTACCAGCAATCTTGGCAGGTTTTGAATCTTCCGGTGACCACCATTCTGCTATTTGTCTTACTGACGTTGCTCCGTTACTATTCGTGGCACGTACGGCCGACACAGTAGCGCTCTTATCCGTGACAATGCTATCACGCACCAAGCGCCGAACAGAACCGGTTGTGGGCTTTTCACGTACAGTAGCAAAGCTGTGGCTATTGTCACGTTGATGATGCTCTCCAGTAGGACCAAACATTTTCATGACGTCTTCTTCGTTGACAAGCATAGACCTTGTTTTTGATTTACGTGAAGCAGTACGAATGACACGCCGTGCAGCACGCATGCTGGCATTGTTATTCTTTCCATCGTTGTAGGCAGCTGCAGCAGCTTCTTCAACAACTGGTGGTATCGTTACTTCGTCAACGTCATTAAAGTCAAGTTGCTGTTGTTGCTCTTCTTCTTCTTGTCGTTGCTTTCCAGCAGGGGTAGCTGTAGGAGAGGGGGTTTTTGTATGAACAGGTGTTTGAGGAAGCGATGGCAACGGCGATGCACTGGCAGCGATGCTACGAGCTTCGGCGGAGGTGGCTGAGGATGGTGTAGGTGGCGGCTGATAATGATAGGATTGCTGCTGCTGCTGCTGTTGCTGTTGATCCGCAGTAAAAAGCTGATTCAATGGGGTGGATGACTTGTTTGATTTTTCACGGCGGAGAGATTGTCGGACAGTGCTACGGATGGTACCTGCTTTACGTTGCATGCTCGAATAAAACCCGGGCTTTTCTGCTTCCTTGCTGTCAATATTCATATACTTGTCAAATAACTCCATGGCTTCCTCTGAACTGAGCTCCATTTTATCAGAGAACAAGGATGTAGAAGGAGGCGGTAAGGGTAGGTTGATTTTGACATTGTCCTGATGCTGCTTCCGTTCAGTTCGAGACATTTTTCTAGGTTTGGGCGTCGGCGGTCCTTCTGTTTCCTCCTCCTCCTGCTGCTCCTGCTGATGTCGATGATGATTCTGAGGTGAGGGTGGGGCGTGATGAGGTGTCATGGGTGGTGATGGCTGCTTGTGAGAGCGTACAGTTGTTGCATTGCTGGTCTGTCCGCCATGTGCTTCTTGTTGTTGTTGCTGTTGCTGATAATTCATTTTTTCGTCTTGGATGATATCCACCGTAGGAGAAGATGATCTGCGTTTTCTTTTGATCAAAAATAACGCAAGCCCGGTCAACAGGATCGCGACTACGGCTGCAACAACGCAGATAATAGCCCAGGCAGGGAAGCCCATGATGATTATGATTCCTAAAGCGTTGTGGGAACATCGCATTAGTGTCGTTCCTTCCTGATGATGTGTTGGAGTACTGTATGTAGTACAGCTAGCAGTAATGTCGTTCATATGCTACCTTAAGAAATGACTTTTTCGAAAAGAGTGACTTGACAGAATATGTAGTATATGTAATATCGCCGTTGCTATTGTTATTGTTGCTGCTATGTGTATAATATGTAGTATGGGGTGCGTAGTTGTGATATCTACGAGGAAAAGAACAAAAAACGAGTGGGAGGGAAACGAAGGGGAGAAACAAAAGAAGCACAATCAAATCCAGGATTCGTTGCAAGTTTTCTCCAGGCCAGAAAAGCGGGGATGTGCAAGGCGCAACAACATGGAGGAGGGGTAAAAAAACTCGTTGTATGTAGTAATAATGTAGCATGTATGTGCAGACAAGCATACGCTACAAATATCCATGAAACCTACATGTGTAGAAGTTCACCATACGGCTTTTCAAATGTATTAAGGGGCAGGCAGAAAATAAAAAGGAGAGCAGTGTTGGCAAGCGGAAAAGAGAGTATAGAATAAAAGTGCTATTTATTCTTACTTCGTTCACTACTCCTCGTTTTGACCGCTCCATCTATAGTAGCGTGTCACGACCAAGTGTATTAGAAATAGGAGAAGAGAGAGAGTTAAGTTATACTCATCATGTAGCAAATATATTTGATAATGTTTGTAAATACTATTATTACATACGGGTATGGTTGTTATAAACGATGGACGTTTACGAATGTTGTGGACTGGAAAGAAAGTATGTTTTAACCGAAGGTAACTCTACTACATATTACGTATTTACACATGCAATTCGCCACTTTTGCTTTATTATTTTTTACTTTGTGCGTATACGTTACACCTGCCGCATGTCAGCACAACTGATAATAATGCCTGTGACATGACAAAGGAAAAGTCAGATGAGGATAAGCACTTCTTATCTATCATGAATTCTATCATTTCTTGCAAAGAAGAGTTAGGCCTTATTTACCAGTTATTATAACAGCAAATGTGTAATGAGCCGGTATGTTTCCCGGAGACCGAGATCGGTGTTTTTTTGTGTGCCCCATAATATCAACAAGACGACGGCCCAGAACTAGCATCCACCTAGCGTACACACGGCGATATTCATTGCCGGCTGGACGTCGTAATGCGTTTAAGATACCAACCATATTATATGTGTCATACTGAGAAAATAAAATCTAGTACTGTTTTGATGCTGCATTGTAGAGGAATGTTAGTAAAATTTAGACAGAAGAAAGGGCAGTAACGAGAAACTCATTCAACAACTTTGTTTTGGAGCTATAACGTTTTGGGGGGGGAGGGAGAAGGAGCCCGAAAAGGACGGGTGAGCTTAAAACTAAGCGGTGCGACATTATGCCACAAATGTTGGCCTGGAGCTGTTATATTGTTGTTGTTGTTGCAGGTTTGATGGCAATTGTTCCTCGTTAGTACGAGGACATTCATTTTTTCTTTATATACGCAAACTATCAAAGCAGTAAGCATAAGTCGGTTGCAGCTAAACATACGAGTCCATATTCTTATCATCGGTAAAAGAGAGCAATAGCTGCAGATAATGCACGATAAGGGGAGGGTCGAACTTGGGCACGTTATGCTGTCTTGGCGGAAAGCGAAAAAAGAGGCAACGTGTGTCTGTGAAGAGTAATGCTATGCATTAATAGTGTCGCACACTGGGCCCAAAACTCAACAGGAATTGGAAGCAAAAACGAGTCGACGGGCGGCGATATTGTAATTTCGACTCTTCTTCTTTTACTGTATCTTCACGTTTTAAATTTCTCGCATGATGCTGGGAACGTTTGCCCTCGTCAGTAGACGATGGAGGCCATCGAGCGTTGTATACAGCAATTATGAAGATTATGCGCAGCTTACACGGTTTGTACGTTGTTGTTGGTCCGATTATACATAAATTACTATGTATGATATATTTGTCTACTATCAAGGATACTGGAGCTGACGTATAGCATTATCGTATTACAGATACCAAAAGAGTTATTCGAAGCAAGAATGACAACGATAAAGCAACTTGTAAGGAAAGAGTTTCCGCACACTTGGCTCGACAGTCATCTGTTCGTGCTGGCTATAGCTCTTGTCATAGTTGTTGCTGCTTTCGCTATTGTTGCTCGCGCACTGACAATTGCCATGTGGTATCCGTTGTTCATTCTTGTTATACCTGCCGTCATTGCATATTGGACAACAAGGCGACGGGGACTGCGGTCTATAAAAATGAGCAAGGTATTAGAGCACCAGCTCATTTTCTGTCTGACTAACTCTTTTTGCAAATTTACGAAATTCAATAATAACATCGTAGCGTATATCCAGTTTCACGATAAATTACACGAATGTCTTAGGAAGTTGACAGTGATGGACGCAGCATACCGAATTCGATGGAGCTACCGCCGACTCAAAGATGTTGATAACAGAGAATCACTCCGCTTGAGATCTGCGCTGGACAGGCACACGATTGCCCTCGTCATTGAAGTGACACGGGTGGAGTACAGCTGCAGTAGCGGTAGAGAGCAGCAGAGAAGAAGCGATATACTACCGACATATGAATCTGTACAACAGGATATTGTATTGGATGTCGGACCGCCGCCGCCTCCTGTCATGGAAGAAATACCAGTTTCACCACCTCCGCCTATGTATAGTAGTGGATATCATAATAATTCTTCATCTGCATCTACATCAACTGGACCACTACCTCGTCCGCCGTCGTATTGCCATCCAACGAGATCAACCTTGTCTTCTTCGCCTTCTTTGGTACCTACAACGCCAACACATGATCTACCGTCATCACTTTTATCCTCATCACATATTAGCCAGGTTGCCAACGCACCTACATAATTGTACATATACATTTTTTTCGGCACCTTTTAGACTGTATGTAGCATCTTTCTCCTCATCCTGCTCTAGATTTACTGTAGTATAGTTCATACATTTTCTTCCGTGTATCATCCGCATATATTGCATTGTCTCAATATTATATATTATGCTTCCTTTTTTTATGTAGAATTATCATATTTGCTTTCGTGCTTCGTTCTCTTAATATTGCGTGTTTACATCTTGCAGGATGATAAACAAAGGTAGAAATACTTTGTATATCATTGACGAGCAATTTCGATCGATTAACTTATCAATCAACTTATATAACTCGCTTTATAGTGTGAACTTGCTCTCTATTTTTGCTGGCAGGAGCTGTTTCTATGGGATTAGAAAGTTATTTGTTTCATGCAAATGGTTTGTCAGCCTGTCTCTCTACTTGTTATAAGGAATAGAAAATGCTTGCTGTAAGTACATTATAGATTTGATTTGCTTTGTCGGGGTACAGCATATTCGGGATAATGCAGACACCATGCTTTTCACTTTGAAATGCGCTAGCAGTAGAAAGCACGCAGTGCATCCACTCCCCTCGGATCTGTCAATTGAAGCAACAGCTTGCTTCTACAGCTAGCTACTTTATAGATCCGTGCTACTGCCATTGCAGTGCTACTGCCATTGCAAATGCTTAAAAAAATGAAAACTTCAGATAATGAAAATTTGTATCTCACGGTGAACATGAAAACCCGGATGATTGTAAAGAGCAGATCAATCGGCTTCTTTCATTGCTATTACTTGATTTTTATGGCAGCAGATATTTATCGTTGCTCGGTCACGACTTGTTCATCATTATGAAAACGAAGAGGCTATCATACAATTTCTGATAAGTGAAATGTAACCGCCTGCAGCAGCAAAGAAGTGTGAGCTGGTTGCGGAGAATTGATTGCCATGAAAGCTGCAGCGGTAAGCGTTGCCACACAAAACATCAAGCGGAGCTGTGTGTGTGCGTGTGCTACAGAGGACTCAAAAACCAAATGCGGCTTGATTGTCAACAACAGTTTACTTGCAGGAGCTTGAAAAAGAAATGTTTTCTTTGGCAAAGCATGTTGCATTCCACAAGAAACCATGGTACCTGTTGGCGGCCCAAGCAGCAGCATTTTCATCAGCAGCGCTCCGTTTTGCTGCATTACCACCTGCATGTCGTGATTCACTGGTGTGGCGACGATGTCGAGGGACCCGATTTGACGGACAACGCTGCGAGCGAAAAGTAAAAGCAGACGTCCTGTGTACTAACGAAAGCGATCTCTACTGTCATTCACATCGATTTGCTTTTGCGACCCCCTTTGCAAAACAAAAGCGAGTATCCAGCGTTACTTTGAGCGATCCGCTTCATGATGGCTGGCATCGTAAGTCTCTTTTACTTCATTTTTAAATTTGTCAGGAACACACACACAAAACTCTTCTTCCAACGATAACTGATCATTATAAAACACTATCCGGTGAAAATTAGTATGGATAGACCAATCTATCAGCAAGCAAAATCAAACACTGTTACGGCAAGAAATGAGCAAACCTTTATCCGAAAACGACGAGCCCGGTTACATTTACGCGTACATGCTGACACATGGCCCGCGTGTGCCAACTTCACGTTACGCGTATTTCAAAATTGGACGAACGATTGACCCACATCGTCGCATGTACCAAGTATCCCAACGATGCAAATATACCCCTGAGATTATAGAACTGTTTCCTCATTTGCCGCCACAAAAGTCAAGCTCCCTCGCCACCTTGCCCAAGTGCCCAATATCGCATCGTGTGGAACGGCTAATTCATCTCGAACTTTCGGCTCGGTTTGCAACAGCTGGATTTAAATGCCATGAGTGTGGGACAGCGCACCGAGAATGGTTTCGTGTACCACGATTGCATGAAAAAGGCGGATTGAGGATGTCGGATCAGAATTTGTGGACGCTATATATTCGACCTGTTATATTAAAATGGCTCCAATATGGTGTAGCCATATCGGCCATGACCCATGGTCGGGCGGGCTAACGCCATTTGTGGACATGTATATAAGTATTTGTAAATAGTAAATAGTAACTATATATAAAAGAGTGTAGAGTGAAATTTGACACCGGTACATTAGTGATTAAGTTCCAAAGCGATCCCGTTGAGTAGATGCAAGAACTTATCAATAGATTCCAATTCTTCTGGCAGTGAAAGTTTAAATCATCAATAACAGCAATATGAATGTTGCGTTTGTAGTATATCAAGTATAATGATTATTAAACGTGCCCTTCAATACATACAACTTTTACTCACGAGTACAATTTTTGTCTGACTATATATTGCATAGCCTATCTATAATGAAAATACCAACATATACTGTAAACACAATGGTATATGTGAAGATGACACTCAATCTACCATACTGCACTGGTATGGATAAGGGTATTTATCGCAAATGCCAGCAAATATTGGAGGCAATAAAATTTATTTGAGGAAGCTTTGTGATACGAATGAAAAAGAGCAATGTTTAAAACTTCCAATATGACCAGTAATTTGGTGAATACAAAGTGAGCTAACTTGTATGCGTTATGGCATAAATTTGCCATAGATATCGCCCTTAATAATGCGGCAAATATCGATCCTGCGGCTACGTTCCCAAAAAATGCTTGAGCACCTGCTGCTAGGATGCCTGCGGCGAGTGGCAGACCAACACCAGCTGTGGCGGATGGTACACCAACAATAATAGAGATGATAATGGCTCCAACTACGACTCCGACAGCGAACGCTATGGGACCCATTCTTGTATTTACTGACGACATTTTACAGTGGTTGACGATGGAAAAAAAGATAATGAAATAAATCAGACGCGTGGTATTTTTGGCCTTATATATACTCCAGGAAGGCCCTATCTGGATGATAAACCAGAAGAGCAGAAAACGATGATTAATACTGTATGATTAATCGCCTGGTTTCCTTTATGTATGCATATATGTACGAGTATAAAACAAGTTCTCTAGCTTTTATCTAATGATATTATATCATCAGCCTTAATTCCACCTTTGAAGCTCGTGCTTAACAATATGCTTCATTCGTTTCATCACGTTCCGACGACGTTTTGGTCAAGCAATGAGCTAGCGAATGATATTGGGTAAGTTAGACTCAGCGTTAGCAGTATGAAGATGAGATATGTAGACTCTATTAAAGAGTCTGGCATATACTTCTTCATCGTGGCACTGACCGCTTACATAGTCGCATACATGAAAACAGACATGGTATTATACGTATTGCTTATAGTATCGATTATATCTTAGCCTAGTCTCGTCCACCATCTAATAGGCATTGCAAGTCTACTATGTAAATAGGTAAACGTAACATAGTATCCATCGCTGGATATACACTCTTCCTTTCAATATAAGAAGCAGTGTACTATATTGGAAGGCACTCAACGACCTGATGATTTATATCCAGTAATCTACATAGTTAATACTTGGTCATTAATAAAGGGCACATTTCAATAGTAGGCTGACGCGGTAAGCAGCTGTGCCCTTGAAATGCAAGATAGGTTCTGCTCTAGTTATAATGTGTTATTGATCATCAACCACTAGATTTTGCGTTCAGTCTGTTGTTCACGCCCTGCTTCGAATACACGGCCACACGTGGAATCACGGTAACAGGCCATAATATGTTGCACTGATCAGAAGCAGAACCAGCATGTGCTTATTCTTAGAATATTGCTGAGTACTACATATGCACAGTATCGGGCACTCTTTCTATAAACGCATCGTCGCGTTCATCCATATAATATATTGTGTACCCTGTGTAAGTATTTTAAAATCGTAATCAAGAAGACATTTACTCACTATCTCTACGTATGACACGTACGATCATGAAGAAATGTAATTTCATTGAGAGCAAATCCATCATCGTCTCTAATGTCGGTAGTATTAAAAAGATCGTGGTACAGTCCTTAATTCAGGGTCTTCTTAATACATACTTCCGAAGTAAACAAAAAGCATATCATACATAAACGTTTTATATTTTTTTTACTTTCTAATGTTATGGTTAGATTTATACAAAACAGAAGAGAAAACGATAAAGAGTCTCACATATAAATATTGTCTACAAACAATCGATGGAAAAATAACAACAACAAATACCTATGTAGCCCATTTCATTATGAATGATAAATAAAGTATTGAATTGTTTCTATTCTATTTGTGCTTATAAGCAAAGCTGGGAAGACGAACCCACATCTTCGTTCAAGTCGCTCAATATTGATAAGATTGATTTTGTAGTACGTCGCTGTGATACGTCGCTGTGTGCGCGGCCATATCAGTGTTCCAAATCTCTCAAGGATGATGGTACGACAGGCGCATCATCAGTGTAACTCTCGATACTGCCGGGAATAAGTCCACTCATATCAGTATATCAGGAGGAATATGAACGTGGCCACACGGATCGTATAGAAAAGATGCTGATACATTTTAAGCTTCTGAGCTGCACAACGGCGGAAATTGTCGGCTTTTTTTATTTTCGCACGGGTGATCCGAGTGAATATCAGGATACTTTTCAAATTGTCCTATACTATAGAACAACATCATTAGAATGGATAGACTAGTTTATTTGACGTAGCACATCATATTCGAAGGCAGGAATAAGCCTTTCCCTTTCCTTCCGTAACAAAGGAAAAGTGAATAAAGGGGTACAGTAACACCATTTAACTGCTTGTGATGGCAAGAGCAGTAAAACAAACAGAAATAGGAAGCTATTCAAGCTTGAGAGTAACAAATCGTGTATGGGGTATAGATGATGCTGTGATGCATGATCGGAGCGATGTAGCAGCAGCAGCATTAACTTTTCAAGAACAGATGGCGGGAAAACAGCATGTTGTCTTGGGTCTTATGATCAATTAGTCATTGTTGTTGTGGGTTTCCTCGTTGAGCAGAAAGCCAGCTCCACCAAAAAGGTTAAGAAAAAGTAAGTGTCACAAATATATTTGCTTGATACATACAACGATGGTGCTTCTCAATCGAAAAGACGTTCGTTTAGAGGTATCTAATACTGTTTGTTATTTTTTGTGCCTCTGCAATAAAGAAAGCTAAAAACTCAGGTACAATTTTACCAACTACTCAGACACCCGTACGTACAAACAGATTGTTGGTTACTGTGGCAAGATGGTCAAAGAAGGAAACTAGGGGTAAGAAAAAGCCAAAATCAGCCACGTTCTTGGCGGAACGAAATTTTACTGGTGAGGTAATGCTTTTGTTTCGATCTGATTGTTTGCATAAACAAACCGGACATGATGGCATGTCAGGGTCAATTTGTTTCGTAACTTGTGCAGACTTGTTTCTTCTTCGCAGCCGTCAATTTTAATAGACGTGAAACATCACCGACGAGGTTGTTGTTGTTGTTACTTTTACTGGATCCACGGAACTGGAGAAAACAGCTTTCTTGATTTTTGGCTTTGAAAAAGCATATTTGGTTATATTTATTTTATTATTTACAGAGTTTGGACTAGTAGTTGGCACATTCTATGTCGATTTAAGAAGATTGCATTTACAAAAAATCAAGAGAGTTGCTGCAAACGAGTGTAAGGAATATTACATGCAATAAATTGATAGTAGGTAGATGAACGATAGAAGCTCTTTTGCGGATGGAAAGGACAGTTCGTTTGAGCATGAGGATATGTGGGATGTGGGGTATTAAAAAAAGTTTGTACAAGATGATGCAAAAAAAAAGATTGGTATGTCATTGGTAATATGCAATAATGATGGTGGTAGTAAGTACATAGTAAGGATAAGAATAGTAGTGGAAACCAAGTAGAGATAGAAAATAGTAATAGGTTGGTGCGCTTCGCCTCGTCATACATTCACATGGAAGAAGGCTGCTCGTCTAGTGACTTCCATAGTGCATCGCGAATTACGGAATCGTTTTTGAGCACCTCGGCGTCTTGGAAAACAACGATATCGACACTGCAGGTTTGCTTGGCTCTAGCAACTCTCGACTGCAGAGAAACTGAGGAAACAGACACCATATCGCCCAAAGTGGCTGCTCGCCTGCTTGTTACATCATTGCTGTTGACGCTATTGGGGGGTCGTTGTCCTTGCTGCTGCTGCTGCTTTTGCTTGTTGCCAGGTGTGAACATGGCCGTAAAGGTGTTGCGACGTGCCAAAGAACCTTCGACTTTTTTCGAGGAAACATCTCGAATAAATATCTTGAGAATACGATCTGGTTGTTCGCGGGCAATGGTAGCGTATATTTCCAAATCGATTTCGCCAGAATCACCAATAAGAACAAACTGTCGTTGGGGAAAATCTTTCATAATCTGAAGGATGGCATCGCGCTTTGCACGGCCAGGGACTTCCACTAGACGAGCGAGCAGCTTGCCGTCCACACGGAGATGCATACTTCCAGGTGGGAAGTCGCACGATTTGATGAACCGGTCCAGCATGGGCATCAATTGGAACGGACTATTTGAAACATAATGGAATGATGCACCTTGGGTATACTAATATCACAAAAAGAAAAATAGTAAAATTTGAGTTAGATCTACATTCAAAACTACATTAAAGTCAAAGGTGATCATCGTCGCTATGTTCACGTATTGTGTCGTTGTAGTAGCAGCAGTATATCATCATCACAATTGCCAACTTACCCAATGCATGTATGCATCCGCCATCCCTGGTACATCGCGTGATTGTTTGAAAAAGGTATTCGAGAGCACGGTTCGAGCACCCGCCAAAATTTGTGTGTCCTTGATGGTGTCGTCAATATCGGAAATGATGGATATGCCCTTGGGCTCTACTAAGCTGACAAGCCCAAAGCTTGGCTTGAATGTCTCGCTCGAGGACTTTAATCGAATAGTACGAGTAGTACATTGATCGTGCTCTTTGGCCCATGATTGTATTCGACTGTCTGGAATGACGATTTCACCATTCAGAAATCCTGAGCTTTCTGTCGTAACATTAACCTTATATTCTGTTTTTGATGAGGATAGTTGTGATAATTCAGAGGCTGAGCGAACTTTGCTGATATTGTCCTCTTCGGACGATGATGAGGATGACGACTCGAGAGAACCGATCGTAAACTGATTGTTGTCAAAGTCGTCCAGGGAACCATTGCTACCGGAAGAGCGGAACGAAGCGGTGGATGCGGAGTAGGACTTGCGACCGCCATCCAAGACAGTGGAGAGAGGATTACCCGGACGAGCAGCCAATAAGGAATCAATCATCGGAGGCGGAACTTGCTCATAGTAAAAGTCGTCAACGAGCTTTATTTCGTTATCGTCGTCAGCAGGTGAGGATTGGAAACCTGAGTCATTGGACTCTGCCGAACTTCGGCGAGTGTTGCAGCTGTTGTTGAATGATGATGGCGTGAAAAATGATTCGATAGCTGCGGCTGCATTCATGTCTGCGGTAAGGTCGTCACTGTCGTCGTCAATCTCGGAAACAAAGTATTCGTCGTCGTTGATGGGGTCGTTGTTCATATCATGTAATCGTTCTTCTACTGAAATTGCACCGCTGGCTTCTATGACGAATTGTTTGTTACGTTTGTTTTTCGCCAGAAAGTATTTGAAGCGTTGCTCAAACCGATCCGAAGACGGCCGATCAGCTGAACCTTTCCCAGCAAAGTTCTTCGTAACACCTTGAATTTACAATAAAGAAAGACGACTATATTTAGTTTGACTGCTCCCGCTGAATGCTGCTAGGCTTTTCAGTCAAAAATACAGAAAAAGTAATAATTCGCCACACATACCCATAGCAACTTTTTGCTTGGCAACAGAAATGTTATGCGACAAAGCCCAGCCTTTAGTTTGGACTATCCATTCAGAAGGATCTAGTAGTAATATATAAAATAACACGAGGGTCATGGGGAGAGGAGTGATGCGTGAGAGGCCATGAAAAAAATAGAGAGAGATGATGATGCTGATGATCTATTACCGTATGGGTTCCGCATGGCGTAAGTGGGAAATAACACGCATTCGCGGTCTGATGACGGTCGAATAATGGTATTAGCTGTGTTGTCAGACAGTTTTGTGGGGATATTGGCAAATGACGCTGGCATGCTCGAGCTGTCAGTGCTGGTGGGCGAATAAGGCAAGTCGTAGTGGACGTTCGTCGGCGACGCGTAGGGATGAAAGGGTTGTGTGTAGCTGACGGATTGCATGGTGGTGTGAAGAAGGCATAAACGGTTTCGAAGAAGGAAGTAGAGCGGCAGTGGGGGGGAAGAAGGTGAAATGGGGATAAAGCAGAGCACGTTGCTGCCCTTATATATGTATCGGAATGACCGGAGTGATAATTTTTTTTATTTACTTATCGGCACGTATCCACGCTGATGAACAAAAGAGAAAGGTGGGGGTGGGGTGGGCCCGGGGGGGGGGAAGGAGGAAAAGGCATTCGATGTGGCATGCATGCATGCAATTGTGTTTGTAATCGGAAGCTCTTAAAAGAAGAAAAAAACAACAACAATACGTACGCAGGGTGATCTTCTGTTTACAGACATGTGGCTCTCTCTTCCTCTGGCGCACTATATATCCATGTTGAACTCCATTTAACCTTCCCTTGATAATTCTTCTTTGTTGCTAGGAGGCGGAGTTACTGACTTGGCCGTGTATATCACTATCGTTTTGAGCTCCCGGTCTCTTTTGTCCAATAAACTATTCCTTGCACGCTGTTGCACCATCACGACCAGGAGATAGACAATGTACAATATGTATAGTCGGCGGAATTACGCGTTTCGTCGCCTGTGTACTACGAGAAGACAGCAAGTAGCATGCAAGATGAATGTCGCCATATTGAAAAGAGCGACAAAGCAATAATAATCTATTTGTCAGTTTCGTAAGATTTCACGAAGATTTCACGGTATTGCTTATTTGGTGGTGTTATTACTAAGTGTTCTTTCTCGGCTATAGATACTGGAGACTGTATACACATCCAAAGAAAGAAAGAAAAGTGTTACATATGTTGGCGATGCGAACTCATCATATCATGTGAACACACCACACCACACCACATAAGCTTCAAATCGGGTTGCATTGTTATATAAGAACACAAAATCCCGATGCCCTTGATATAGAAGGTCCGGGTTGTTGTGTCACTCGTTTTAAAGTTCCTAAATGCTACTGATCACCGCTATTATTAAACCCGTTTTACTTTTTTGTCATCACAGTACGACATGCCCTTCATCAGTTAAATCTTTCCGCGTTGCCTATATTAGTGCTGTCAAACGCTAAATAACAAGCCAAGAAGTTAAATTTCAAAAAGAAGGCCAGTCGGTGGAGAACAACATAAACCTTGCTCATATATCAAGTTGCTCATTGAGTGTCTCCACAATATGTCATGGGAGCGACTTGGCTTAAAAGGACGCAGGCAATCATAATCCTTAATAATAATAACGTATTGAGATAGCTCGTTAAGGCTGACCTAGCCACGTAGTAGAACCGTGTCATCTCTATTGACTAACGGGGTAGAAACACTGCAGGGTTCAAAACAAGAAGACAATAAGGGCTCTTCGACGTCGAAACTAGTTTAAAAGGCATGCAGGAAACAAAATTATCGGCATGTAGGAGAAGCGGTAGTATGTATACAAAGAGCTGGGTCTCTCTTCCACAAATATTATTGCCCCATGACTTCCGTTCAACAATAAATTAGTGTTTTACAACAAAGTGCTTATTATATTATATTTTCACATTCGACATGTAATATTGTATGAGGAATCTATGTAGCTCCCTACTATTAACCACTTGCACTTCCTGTCTTCACAGCAAGTAGCTGGGCGTGGACGAATTTAGGACTGGGTTGAATTATATTCCGTATGCTGGAACATTATTGATGCGCGGTTCCAGTTACACTTATTCCGCGTTGTGATCGGTGTTATCTTTAACTCATGCAAGCCATAATAAGTAACCGAGCACTAGGTAGAAGCTCAGTAAATTATTCGAGCCAATATCCATATCTTAGACGCATACAAGAGGGTAGATAGAGCGGGAAAGCTGATAGGCTTGTATAACTGTTTCATTATAGCATTTCCGTCTTTGGTGTACAACACCCAAAAGCAGCCATTTGTGTCAATGCAACACGCTTTATTCTTTAGTTGGATTGCATCAGCAGCGCTGTGCCTCCGGTTGTTATGAATACTCAAAGGGAGGGTATATTCAAATATGCTAGTTAGGTATACATAGCCATCCTTGAGTGCTTACAGTGATGGTGCTTAGATGAAAGCTGTCTGATTCTTGTGCTTTCTGGAACTCATTAATAGTTCAAGAATCTGCATTTTATCTCCTAAAGGAAAAAGATATTGTTTTATTAATAAGCACTCTAGGTGGCGGTGGTGACTGACAATCAACCTCCAGTAGAGTTTACGCTGACAACAAGTGCATAGCTGCAAGTGCTTATAATTGCACATTTGAGGATGCATGTGCTCGCCTCTTAAGTTTTTGCTTGCTTACATATACACGGGTCAACCTCATGATTGTCTATCACCGCAGCTGTAGATTAATGCAATTTGCGATCATGATACTATATCCCACCCCCTGTAAGTCCTGTTCACTTTATTTTACCACTCTATTTATCATTGAACTTTCTTTTGTTATGGATGCATTGTGCTATGCATTTTCGTTTTAGGAAAATTAAGTAAAAATAAATGGTGACGCTGCCAAGCAATTGCAGTGGTCGCCTTCTAACTACCAGTGTCGATGCTTTAGATTATCAGCAGTTGTCAAGCATTAAAGAGTGCCATACCACTAACTCGAAGCATTTATAATGATACTTTATTGGTTGCTGTGATATGACACCTGCAAAGTGGTTGCTCATAATGTACTTCAAGGTTAGCGAAGCAAATGAGAACTGTTCATCATTCCCGTGGCCCAAAGATCGGCTCGTGTTCCGCTGTTCATAAGCACAAAGGCCCAAAAACGAATAGTCAAGTAACTGAAATAGGTAGCACGGGAAACGTTTGTTCTTTTTTGCCCATTTTTTCTCACAATGTCACGGAACCATATGGTTGTACATAATGTGCAATCCTGCAACGGAAGATCCCTTTACAGACCCGATATAAGATTTCTCATCCTTATATTTTACTGTATAGACGCACAATTAAATTCTAAGCTTAGACTATCATATTGCTTTTTAACTTGCTTGGTAATGTTTTCGTACAAGTCAATTGCGGCACACGTCTGTACTATTCACACTATCTTGATTGGAGAAGTGTAATATGCCAAGCAATTTGGGCTCATGCAATGAAGAATTTTTACAAGGAGATTGGATGGAAAGCAGTGGCCACAGCAGGGAGAAAAAAGCACGGGACTCTCGATGACTTTCACTTACCGTGAAGGGAAAAGGTTACTATGTAGAAATCACGGGAATCACTGACGCACCCATAACAGTTAAAGTTTATGAAATGTAGAGTCAACCACCACAAGGCCGCGCGGGCCAGAAAGTAGTGGGTCCCGCTGATGTAAAAAGAGCCCCGTGAATATGTTGGGAGCTTTGTTCAAGGTACCCATGAATTATCAAGAAAGTCTTGGAAGCTGTATGTAACATAGGTATCACAAATGGTGACCCGTGCGCTTGCCCGTCTGTCTATCTATCATCAGGAAGAATACTGTTCCAGACCTTTGTCCTTTTCTTTCGCTTCTACTCTTTCACGGTACCTTGAATTGTGAGGCGTCTGTAAAATATCCTTCTTATTTCTACGAGATATGAGTTCAGCAAACACCAGCCGAGGATGATGTTTCGATCAATATTGGAGTCAATATGTATCACATAGTACCTAAACTTTATATAGATTCTAGGATAAAATTACCTGAGCCAACTATACTGCCACCAAGCAATAGGTAGATATTTTGTTGATCGTTTGGTATATCGCAAATGCGACTTCCTTCTTATGATATTTGTTTTTAGAGGACAGAAAAAATAAGAATTGGACATTTAAAGCTTTAACTCCATAATCTTCGCTAAAAAAATAGGTGTACCTTTTGACTACTTTAGTCGAAGATAAAATAAGGGCGATGATGAAACCAGCTAATGCGGACACTTTTACGACCGTACATGTTTGGCACCTTTAATCGTTGAAACCTGTGCTTTCTACAAAGCAACATATGTTTAAATAAAATAAATTTAAAAATACGTGAATACTATCTAGCAAGCCGTACCCTGCCCAATTCTATACATAAGCGATACAGAGAAGAAAAAAACCAAAGGGCGACTCGCGTAATTAACCGTGATTTTAATTTGTGGGTTTCGATGTATATCCAGCTTACTATAAGCATACGCTACGTGGCCGTAGAATATCACTCTGATCGAGAAACATTTGTCAATGAGTTACAAAGCACCTTTTCTTTTTGTGTTCGCATCACCTTCTCCTTCGTCAGCTTTCTCTCATGTAGTGGTACTCGAATATCAAAATAGGATGATCGATCCGGCTTTTTTTTATTGTGGTGGATTGGGAATTTTCTTTCTTTGCTTATTAGACTCATGGTCTGTCCGAGATTCCAGCTCCCGAATCTTTTCCTTCAAACGTTGGTGCACTTGCTCTTCTTCATCAACTTTGCTTGTTATTCTGTCCTTGGCATCTTGTGCACTGTTCAGGTCCGCGGTCAACTTCTCGATGATACGATCGCGCTCCATGAGGATATCGTCCGCTCGCTATTAATGTTTGAATAGTATTTTAAAAAACGTGTTACTCCAAGGATGCTGTTCATACATTGTTCAAAGTTTCAGCGCCCACTTGTTCTAACGTACCTCTAGCTTTAGCCTTAAAGCGCGGATTTGTTCTTTGATTTCGACAAAAGATGAGGAAGATTCCGCTACTGCTTTCTTTTATGCAGTTCGGACATATGTGATTAGTCAGTAAGTACTGATAGAATAGCTAGCTCGACGCAAAGGACTTACCTTTAACATGGCACTTTTTGTAGTTTCTACTTCGGCCTGTTTTTCTGCTGCATCCATCTTCCGCTTGGTATCACTGAGCTCAAGTTCCAAAGAAGCGATCTTCCGTTTATATATCATGTTGTTGTCTTCCAGTTCCTGGGAGTGAATACGTTGTTGCGCTTTTGCATTTTCTAATTCTTGCGCATTTTTTCGTTCTACCGCCTTTTTCCAGAAAGATAGTTATCTTCTGTTAATATATCCATTCTCCCTCCTACACCTTTGATTACAGATTTCTTAAATAAACGTGTTTGGATTACCTGTAAATCTGCCTTAGCTTCGGCTATCCTTTGAATTACTTCTTTAATTTCAATATCTTTCTCCTCTGCCGTACCGGTAAGCCCTTCTCGATATGCCTCCAGCTTTCCAACTACGTTTTTATGTTAAAAAAGGGGGACGCGATCAGTCAAATGCTGCAAGGTTGTTAAAACACACACTATCACTTTTGTTCTATTAATGAGAACACCTACTTTGATCGCGATCTCGTTGTAACTGGTCTTCCATGTCTTGCATACGTCCCTAAGCAAGGTGGTTAATACAAATCTCTAAATCGCACACCATTGCTGTAGTATGGCGGCGGCGACGCGTTGAAGTGGTTTTTTTAAGAAAAGGAATGGGCCATACCCGAATGTCCCATTGTGGTCGCTTCTTTTTTGCAGTCGTTGGTGACGACGCGGATGCTGTTGTACTTGACGATGGTGAGCTGGTAGTTAATCTTCGTTTTGTGGGTTGTTTTGATAAAGGTCCAGTGGTACTGGGGGACGATTGCCGTCGTTGTTGCTGTTGTATTGCTGCTGCACGAGCAGCAGAAGCTCGTGTTGTGGCGACAGGGGGTGCTTTTGCGTCAGTTCGTGGTCGCCGTATTCTGTTGTTGGTAGAGCTTGTGGACGAGGATGTGGTTGGTGCTTTACGTTTAGTCGATTCTCCTTTGGTCATGATTGTGTGTTTAGTTGTATCGTTTAACAGAAAAACGAGAGGGATGATTTTTAAGGCCCGTGATTTTCGTTGCCTGAACGCGTTTGGATCGCGCGTGCACGCGCATAGTTCGGAAAAAGCAACTTCTTTACATCGCTTCAATTTTCTCTATGGCACACAGTCATGTGCACCTTGTAGCAGTATATGAGACCAAGAATACTCAAGTCTACCATGGCAACAGAAGTGCTGCCCAATTTGTGTCCAAAGCTACTCTTCACGTACGAACTTGCCATGAGAGCGTACTACATTTATCTGAAAGTCTTTCATGTTTTAAAACTTTCTTCTATAATATGGTCATACACTAAACTAGTTTGAGACTGTTGCCGATATCACAATGTTTTAACGATCAGTATATGGGCCATCTGTTGCCTTCAGGTCAACTCAAAACTCAAATCCATTGGCGGTTCGCGGTGATCTATGTTTCGAGCAAAGCATTGGTCCAATGCCGACGGAGCTAAATTCACGGTCACATTAAACGACATAAAAGGACGTCGACTCAGTCTGCGCTGCTTTTTCCTATAACATTATGAGAAACCCCAAGACGTCAGCGATTGTAGAAGACGATGAAGAAGACGACGTTCCATATGACGAAGACGAAGAAGTAGAGGATAATGACGATGTCGACGAAGAAGAAGAGGACGACGAGGACGACGATGAAGACGATGATCCTGTACGTTTATCTTTTTAAATTTACTGCGTATGATTTTTCATAGGGGACAAAGCATATACAGGAAAAACTAAAGGCTAATTGTAATTGTCGATAATTAGCGCCCCAAAAAACGTGCAGCTAATCCTTTCATTGATGAAATGGCTCTTGTCGATGAAGACGAAGAGGAGGAAGAAGAGGAAGAAGACTACGAGCGTGAAGGTGAGTTTATCCCCTTTTTGTATGCTACATTTTTGTGGACTACTGGATTCAGATTTGGAGTATACATCTATATATACATTAACATTGTTTTGGTTTATTTCAGATGGATTCATCGATGAGGGTGGGGAGGAGATTCCATCCGAGGCCTCGATGCAAAGACGCCACTTGGATCTTGATCGCCGGCGTCGTGAAATGGAAGGCATGGACGATGAACAAGTAGCGGCATTCTATGCACAAAAGTACGGTGGGCGACGGGCGCAGGCATACAAGTCTTCCGAAGAAGTGCCGCAGCAACTGCTGCTGCCAAGTGTGAACGACCCAAATTTGTGGATGGTTAAATGCAAGGTAAAGAATTATCTGGATAGGGATACGACAAGAATATAAGTTTATGAGTTGCTAAAACCCTTATTTTGTGTGAATAGCCGGGCAAGGAGAGAGATATCGTTTTGGGCATGATGAAGCGATACTTTGATCGCTTATACAGTGATGTGCCATTGGATACGTTTTCAGCATTTGCAAGAGAATCATTGAAGGGCTATGTATATATCGAAGCAAGAAGATTGGCTCATGTACAGCAGGTAACAAACTTATGACATATGATCGGTGTATTTAATGGATTCAATAGTGTTTCAATGGAAACTCATACTAATTTATACAAATTTAGGCCATTGCAAATATACCGCATGTTTATCAGACAACGTTAATTTTGGTGCCGATCCAGGACATGATCGATTCTATCAACATACAAAAGAAGGTGACCGAAATACCCATTGGCGGATGGGTCCGCGTCACTCGAGGAACATATAACGGTGATCTCGGCAAAGTGCTTGAGGTCTCTGATTCGCAGGACACAGCTTTGATCAAACTGATCCCACGTCTGGCACTGGATCAGCCTGAAGAAGAATACGAGGCCAGTAAAAAGCGAAAGAAAGGCGCAGCAGCACGACCGCCACAACGATTATTCAATCCAGAACGCCTCAGCAAACGACACATTTCGAGCTTACAAAAGAAAGGTCCTTATTGGGTGTTGGGCACCGACAGTTTCCGCGACGGCTATCTCGAGAAAAATATAAAGGCGACATCATTGCAGATCGAAGATGTCAGCCCGTCTCTTGAGGAGATTACTCGGTTCATAGGAGATTCTGGTGCAGCGGGTGAAGATGGGGATCGTGCCCTGGATTTGTCTGCAGCCTCGCTCCAGGCTGTAAATGATGCACAGGCAACATCATTATTGCAACCGGGCGACACTGTCGAGGTCATTGAAGGTGATATGGTCCATACTATTGGTACGATAGAGACAGTCAACGATGCGTCCGTTATCGTAAAACTTGACATGGGCGGCTTCTCAAAGTCGGTGACTTTGCCTGCCAAACAAGTACGCAAAAAGTTCAATGAAGGTGACCACGTCAAAGTCATTCACGGTCTGCGTAAAGATGAAAGTGGTATGGTTGTCAAGGTCGAAGGCAACGTGATCACCATGGTTTCGGATTCGTCTCTGGAAGAAATTAAGGTGTTTGCAAAGGATCTTCGTGTTGCTGCCGAGGTCACCTTGGGCAAGACGACCATTGGCAACTATGAGTTGCATGATTTGGTTCAACTTGAGTATGTTTCTATATATTTTTGATGGACATGAGTGAGAATCTTGATTAATATTCAACCTTTGGCTTTTCACAACAGCTTCCATACTGTGGGTGTTATCGTCAAAGTAGACAAAAACTCGCTCAAAGTTATGACACACAATGGAGACATTCGTACGCTCGCACCACATCAAATCACAAACAAACGAAATAGCCAAAGAGCTGTTGCAACAGACGCCAACGGCAACAGTATAACCGCCGGAGACACGGTTATGGAAGTGCGTGGTGACAGACGGACATGTACAGTGCTTCACATTTATCGACACCTTGTGTTTTTGCACTCGCGTGAAAATATGGCAAATTTCGGTGTGTGGGTTGAAAACACACGGTCTGTCATGAGCATGTCGCCCAAAGAACGTCAACCGGTAAGCTTCCGATCACTCCGTACATATGCTATTTGCTGTTACACACGAGCTTAACCTTCTTTTCTACTCCCTCATTAACCATCTTAGTCCCGAGACAACTTGCGACAACCTAACAATGGCCCCAACTTCCGCGGAGGCTTCGAAGGCCGTGGTCGTGGTCGAGGGGGCGCTCGTGGCGGCTTTTTCGGCCGTGGTCGTGGTGGTCGCGACAACTTAATATCCAAGACAGTGCGTGTTACACAGGGTCCACACAAGGGCTATGTTGGTATTGTCAAGGATTCGACTGAAACAATGGCAAGAGTCGAACTTCACACAAACTCCAAGGTCATCAATGTCGACAAAGCCAAGCTGGTACTAATTGGTGTCAAGGGCGAAACCGTTGGCCCTGTGTTGGACGGCGAGCGCGCTGGTGGCGCAGCAGATTCGTTCAGCTCGCGTCCTCCAATGACGCCAAAGCGCTATGGCGACGGCGCCATGACTCCACGACACTACTCTTCTGGATCACAGACGCCTGCATGGAGCATGAACTCACGAACACCCAACCCATATGCGAATGATGGTTCCAAGACGCCGGCATGGGATCTGGGCAGCAAGACGCCCAACCCACACGCTTATTCAGATGGATCAAAAACACCTGCTTGGGACTCGGGAAGCAAAACACCTTCATGGAAAGCGGAGACGCCTCGGTGGAACTCGTCTGGTGGACGCACGCCTGGTTTAAACGACTATGGAGACCGCTCGCCTACTTGGAGTGGCAACAGCAGCAGTCGATACGGAGACCGAGACGTTGCACCCACACCAGCAGCACATGCCATGGCACCAGCCACACCAGCAGTAAGTTATCTTTTCGCCGCACTATTGTAAAGCTAACAAGTGCGAGATGTACTGATTTGCTTGTTATGTGTAGGCCTCATCAAATAATGTCGCACCTTCTCCTGCACCTTTTCCACAGACACCTGGGGCAAACTTCCCTCAAACACCATACGACAGCGCACCGACCCCTTACGATGGTGCACCAACGCCGGGCGCTAATCTTGCACCTGCAACGCCTGCTGCACTCACAGCCCCTACTCCAGCCGCCCATATGCTAAGTGCACCAACGCCCGGTGGCTACATCCCATCAACACCAGCAGGATCAGTACAGCCACAAACTCCGTTTAGACCTACAGGCGGTGATTATGGACATGTTGAAGAGCAAGGTAGAGTATATGAATATGATTCTTGGCCTTTTAAATTGCTCATACATTTTTCTTTATCTTTACAACAGCTGAAGACAGTTCAGACTGGCCCATTGAAGAGATTGAAATCAAAGTAACCAAATCAGGCAATGGCGCTCAACAGGGCCAGCTTGCATCGATCGTGTCTGTGGACAGCACTGCACGGACATGTACAGTCACTTTGAACGACGGAGGCGCACGAGCAGATTTAGCATTTGACAGCATGGAACCTGTTCGACCGAGCAAAAAGGATCCTGTCAAGGTTTTGCTGGGCCAGCATCGTGGTGGTATTGGTGCATTGATTGGTGTAGATGGCCATGATGGTATTTTGAGGCTGAAGGGCCAAGGCACAGCATTCAAGTTCGTCAGTATCAATGCTGTTGGTAAATACACTGGTTCAGAAATGAGTAATGGCGTAGTATAAAGAAGCCAACATCAATCTCGAGCTATGATTCCCCTCCCTCCCTCTCTCCCTCCTTCTCTCTTTCACACATCTACCTAAAAAGCGCTGCTATTAAAAGGATTGACCAAAATTTTTCATTATATTTATTATCATCCGTTACAAAAGAAGATAAGAATGCGTATCGAAATCTTGTACGCGCTGATATTGTTATAGTGCTATTTGCATGTTCCGTACCATAGGTCTGGCATTATTAGCCGTCCCAATTTTACTGCTAGCCTCGCATCCAAATGACTTCCTTAGGACTTGTTTGCCCTGACCCTCGTTTATTGCAGGTACAAAATACCAGTGGTGCATGATAGCAACTTTTTGGTTAACTGCTATCATTTAATCGATGCCATGTATATTTTGGCTATTTTTTCTCATTCGTTTACGGAGTTAGCATAAAGCATACATACTCGATGTATTGACTAAGACCCGTTGACAACGAAGTGCATAGCGCATGAATTTTGAAACTGCCTGATCTAAAGTTGTAAACAAAAACAAAAAATGAGAATTTCCTCGTACCTATTAATGGATTGGTAATCACACTCGTGTGGATGAACGGTTCTTATGTGTTGCAACCATGGCATAGGATCCATGATACAAACTGCAGCAAATGTGTACAATCTCTAAACATGTGTCTGAGTTCTCTTTCTTAAAGGTAAGGTATAAACAGCTCTATTCGTTTCCGTTACATAGACCTTAATCATGTTCAGGGTAGTGTAACGCATGTCTCATTGCAAGTTACAAAAAGGAATGAGGGGCAATCATTTGTCCGTTTTCTACGAAATCGGCGAGTATGACTTCTATCTTATGGACCTTCACAAATCAAACGTGCGCTTCGATGCTGGCATATTCTAAAAGAGCAGATTTCGTGCACATACCCGAACGTAGAGTATAAAATTTTTATTTGGAGTCAATGCATACTATCTATTATCCGCGTCATAAAATTTTACTTTTTAAACAAAAAACACTTGTACTTGTTGTAACTTGAATCTTTGCATACTTTCGGCCCAAACTAGATACACACAATTTGCGAGAGTTAACCCAACGGTTCGATAGAAAGTATGATATCATAATAAAGCCAGATGATCATGCCGCAGTAGGCTCCACTAGTTGTATTACAGCGATGTCATGACAGCTTATAAAAAGGAATTAGTGGCGAAGGCCTGCAAAGTAAAAACCATGCCCCGCCCACAGCTTAGCAGAGTAAACAACCATGCCCCTCTCACGGTCAATGCAGTAATAGTTAGCTCAGGGGTAAGAGAGCGAAAGGGGTGGAAAATATTTAGTGATGTTACACAGTCTATAATAAGCTTGCGCATACACATGCATAGAAGATACAGAGTGGAAAATTTATACATGCACACATCAAAGTTTTTTTATTAGCTTTTAAATTGACGGCTACCTTTTCAGGTAACGCTTTGGGTGGGAAACTCTGTTTAATACATCTTGCTGAATAAAGCACATTCTACATCTGATATACAGCTATGTATGAAATGGCAGAGGCCACGTACAGTATACAGAATCAAGAGCGCATCATTTGCATTAACCCCTTATGATCTTCGTAAGATTGAAGGATCGCTATGTGATTCGAAAGAGCAGTCAACTGCAAGAAGAGACTGAATTGAAGGATGCAAAAAAGGAGGAAAGTGTATTAAATAGTTAGAAGAAAAGTAGTACATGCTATAATGTATAAGAGCGATTGTGTGAATTGATAGTTTCAAAGGGGTCTATGAAAAAACTAGAGAATGGATCGTGTGTGTAGCATGTTGCTTTTTTTGTTTCTACAGAGTAAGTAGCATAAATATATGTGTATGTATGTAGGAGGTATTGATGATGATAAATTGAAAGTTATTGATATCCAAGGCCATTATTTGGCCAATTGGCCATGCTGCGTCGGTTGCCATTATTCATAGGAGCAGATCGATTGCCAGAGCTCATACTTGGCGTCATCATCCCCGGCATTTGCATTGGGGTACCACCTGTCATGGGCATCAAATACTGACTGTACATCTGACCGCTGGGACCAGCAACGCCAGGAGGCATGAACGATTGTCGGTTATTGATAGGTGTCGACATGCTTGGCGCAACCATTGGGGCACTCTCGCTTCGCATCATTTCGGAACGTCGTCGTGCGTCTGTGTTACTGATGCGACCACCACCACCGGCCTTTTTCCCCATGTTAGCGACGTCCAATGCACTTGCTGAACGCAATGCCTTTTCCGGTCCTGGACTACGGCTACGTCGTTGGTGACCACCACTCATGGCTGAAAGATTCATATCACTGCGGCTAGCAGTTGCTCCCATTGAAGCCAAGTTCATATCGCTTCGACTTGCTCGCATCATCATTTTGTGTTGATGGTCCGTGCCAACTCCTTGTTGCAACTGCTGGAAGCTAAGATTATGGCTCTGTTTGGCGGGCATTCTACCCAGCAGACCGCCGTCAATAGTTGCACCATTTGGTGCATTTACACGTGTCTTGGGATTAACCGGCTTTCGACGCGAATCTTCCTTTTCCTTTTCCAACTGTGTCAATAGATCCATGGCTGAAACACTCTTGCGGTTGGGATTAAGGTTTGCAGGTGGTGCAGGTGGTGTTGGTGCCAAAGCTTGCTGCTGTTGCATCATCATGGCTGCCGCTGCTGCTTGCTGCTGTTGGAATTGCTGATATTGTTGGATTTGGGCCATCTGTTGCATCTGTGCGGCTTGCTGCATTTGCCACTGCATCTGTTGCTGTTGCTGTTGCTGCATATGATGATACATCATGTCCATTTCACCGATGGTGGAGCGTCGGCTACGTCGATAACCCGAGGGGACAAAGGACGAACGTGAAGCTGAGGAAGGCAAGGCTCCATCCTCCTCCTCCTCTCCGCCATCGTTTTGATTAGGTGAGTCTTGAGCGGATGACGGACGGGAACTGGTTGGCGTTCCGTCCGTAATACCTTGTCGCCAACGCTCAATAGCTCCCGATTTGCCGGTCGCTTCTGCATAAGGGTTTTGAGTGATGGCCGCCTGGACTTCCGCTTGCTCCGTCATCAAGTTCATGTCGCCTTGCGACCGTGATCGTTTGTGCATGCTCGGTCCTCGTTCCAATTGTCGAAGCGTAGACATACGTCGTGCGTTCAATGCGTCGTCATCCAACATGGTATTCGACGGTCGTCGGGCCGTAGCAGTCATGGACATATCCAAAAAGTTTTGCGTGATGATACGATCATCATTATCAGCATCCTCTTCATCATCATCAGTGTCATCATTCTCATTCTCATCCGAGTCTTCAGAGTCGCTGGCTTTCTGACCTATAAACATAGAAAGTACGGTAGTGTGGATAATTTTAGAATAAATTAGGTGAATGACCTTCTTGTTGATGAACACGTGGTCTGGAAAACGTGGACGAAAATAAAACACTTACCATGTAGGTTCCGACGAGAACGGTTCTTTTCCTCATGGTGCTGTTCCACTGGTTTTTGCTTGCTCTCATCTTCATGATCGCTAAGTTGCTGAAGATTTGGTTTAGCACCAGGGGTAGGAGTAGGAGTTGGCTTGCTGTTGTTGAGAATTTGGAAGGATGCGCTCTTGCGGGGCATCGGTGTAGGCTGAGATTCTTCATCGGAAGACCTTTCATCTTCGTCTTCGTCTTCGTCGTCGTCATTATCCTCGTCGTCGCTGGCAACAATGGTTTTGCGCCGAACTGTGGAATTTCCATTCATGCATTTGTTTTGATAGATTTAATACCAGTGTTTTACACAATAGGTTCTATCTTGGGTTACATACCTGCAGCAGTGGGTGGGGGTGTGGCACGTTCCTGAGACGATGATGCGCGGTGGGATGAAGAGCCTTGGCTGGTGCTGCGATCGCTTGGCTGAGGTGATGATTCATACACTTCATAGCTACTGCGTGGTCGCCCATGGTGAAGCATTTGTTGTTGCTGTGGTGATGGCCCTCGAGATTGTTGGAGCTGCTGCTGCTGGTGTTGCTGCTGGTGTTGTTGAGGAGGATGTTGTTGGTAGTCTAGCAAGTGAGAGCTGCTACGGCTTCTCCTGCGTTGTTGAGGATGGTGAGACATGGGACGCGCTTGTTGTTGCTGTTGCTGTTGTTGAGCCGGGTGGTGGGGATCATGACGGAGCATTTGCGAATGGGGTCGAGCGTGGTGCATGCGTTGTTGCTGTGAATGGCGTGGTTGATTTGGAAACAGCATACTTTGACGCATGTTTTCGGAAACGTGGGATTGGTGAAAGATCACACTCTTGGTCCAAGGCTCGGCCTCTGATTCACCGTCATCAGGAGTTTTGATCGCTTTGGCCAGGGCGAGACGGGATAGGGACACAGTAACATTGTCCGTGTCAAACTCCGAAGACATGTTTTTTTTGAAGGGAAAAGGGAGGAAGAGAAAAGGAGAAAGAGAAGGGAGTGGAATAAAAGGAAGCGAGGCTCGTCCTTAATTCCTTATTCTGTTTCTTATACACTTTTCTCACTTAATAATTTCACGCATTTCTAAAAATAACTTTAGCTTTGATTTCCAGTTACTCTTGGCGCGTCTCTGGGATATATTATGTCGTAGCTCAATTTTTTTTCTTTACTTCTACTAATTTATAATAAATGGCTACCTTTATTTATAACGATGGATGTGGGAATACGCATGAAACCGGAAAAGACATTATTCAAATGGATATGGACGTTGACGCGTGATGTACCCAATAGAATCTGTCACCAATTACAGCGAATACCTGGACGTAAACCCCCCCCCCCCGAACCATTGAAGACCACAAAAACAAATAAAGAGGAAGACAACGAATCCGTCAAAGCTGATGTTCCGAAAAAGAAGCCCAGTCGTGTACCGAACAAGCACTACAAAGATACGGGAAAAGAACAGCTTTTCTATTTAGTGTATGAGAAAGAAATGACGGTCCGAGCTGCAGCATTGCAACTTCAAATCAAACCACGTACAGCGCAGCATTGGGTACAAAAAGATCAGAAAGTCCCACAAGATGAGATACAAAGGAAGACAGGAAACGGTAGACCTAGAGGAAAACCGGCGATACTAGGGGAGGAGCATAAACAGCTCCTGGTAGACAAGATAGACGAAATCCTTCGCTCGTGCCGGATCAGATTGTGGCAAGCCTAATCGAATAGTTTTCTGGGCTGGAGATCGGAAAGACTGCTCTCTACAATTTTGTGACCAAAAAATGCAGGATTAGCCTCAAAAGAGCTCACTTTCACTCGGTTGAAAGAAGTTGCTCTGAGAAAATTGAAGAGAGATTCCAATGGATGAAGAGTTGGATGGAAACCGATATAAACTATGCTAGCAATTGTATGTTCATTGACGAAGCTGCATTCCATATTAACATGAAACGCTCCTTTGCGTGGTCAACAAAAGGAACCAGAGCAACAGTGAAAGTACCGAAAACAAGAGCGAAAACGACAACCATTTTAGGTGCAATTTCTTCTTATAATATTGTAAATATATCAGTTAGACGACCTAAAGCAGCGCTCACTTCAAAAGAAAGGAAAACGGCAGGTGGTTATCAAATTGCTGAGAACAGCAAAAGTGGCACCGTTACTGGACACTACTTTAACTTGATTGCTAGCACTTTGGATGTGATGGATCAGCACGGGGAATTCAGGGACCAATACCTTGTTATGGATAATGCACCTATTCATAAGAACGCTGATATTCAGAAATACATTGAACACCGTGGATACCGTTGCGTCTATCTCCCTCCATATTCGCCAGAGCTAAATCCCATCGAGCAATTTTGGTCAGTGTGCAAGAGCAAGTTGAAAAGGGAGCAACTGTTGGATGAAGAAACCTTGACCAGCAGAATCCGTGACGCATGCAATCAAATCCTGATAAGTGACCTCAAAGGGTTTTGTAGATATTTTATCTCAAAGTTTGATGACTGTTTACACAGTGACTCAAAAAATTGCTCACGTGTTCGGCGCTTTTTCACTTTTACAGTTCTGTTATGTAGTCTTTTCTTTGCAGCTGTCAATCACAAGAAAAGATGGAAGATGTAATTTGCCGAGCTCTCTTCGGTCCTTCTCTGGGGGTTATGATATTGAGATCGCTCTCAATAGTATCGGTAATGATCGTACGATGGGGATGTTTGTACGATATCGGCTAGCTCAATACGGAACTCTCGTTGTTCCCAATATTCAAGATTTATCCCTTTTTGTCAAATTTCAGCAACAAAACGTCTGGTTAATCTGAAATCTGTCAACCAATGAAGAAAATTTGGACCACTTACAATATCACGATCATCGGCATGAAAGCCGTGTATACAACACATCACTATTTTAGTTATCTTTTATAGATATAGTACGACAGTCTGTTTAGTGTTTTATTTACAGATAAGTCTAACTTATTTACAATTATTGTAAGGATGTTTCATTATCTACAAGATTATGGTCAATCCTTGACTGGATCATCACAGCAAGTCTTCATTGCGGTTTGCGGAACCGTTAACCGTGTGAAACCAAGGATACTCCAGCACTGCCATAGGTATCAATGTTGAACCAACGAAATCCCGTCTACACATTTCTTGTTTGCTTTCCATTTCAACTTGTGAAATAAAAAGAGTGAGGATTAGTTGCTAGAAAATAATCCAATTCAAAGCAAAGTGGAGCAAATTTACGGACCAAGATAGTTTCACCAAAGCGCAAGACTGCATTTGGAATCGAGTACACAATCAATCGACACATAGCAGCTCTAATATAAGAGATAAATGGTAATGAAAAACTTCATCCTATAAAAAAAAGGAGTGAAGTCGCAACAATCATGAGGGAACTGGGGAAAGTTTAGACGGTTGCCCCAATTATGCAATGATCGTTACTTGACCCAATCCCAAGCGGCACGAAGCGAAACAAAGGTAGGATCTTACATTCTCAAGGGTTTTACCTTGATGCCATTTCGAAAACAAAGGAAAATTGCCATGAAAGTCATTCAGAAGAAAAATGTTGTTGGCAACGGAATCCTTCACTTCTTATAGGACAACTTGGCGCCATGACAACTGTTCCACCTCCATTTTTCGACGGTAAATGTTTACATGAGTTTATTTGCTGTTTATTTCGTACGCTTATTATTATGTAGTTTTTCAGTCGTATTTTCAATCGACTACAGATCCGAATCTGGCAGATTTTGTTGAGACCCATGAACAATCTATTATCGCATACCACCAGAAAGGTGAAGATCTTGCGTTCGTATGGTCTACAAGATATGGCAAAGCGCAATCATTCTATTACAAAAATTTTATAAAACGCGAGCCACTAAAAGTCAATACAAAAACCGTCAATTTTGAAAAGGTGGCCTTAAGATTCTTTCAGTAAGTGAAAAAAAAACAATTCTGCAAAGAGTGTTTTATTGATACAGCTATTCAGTCTGAGGTTCCGGCGGGCAAAGAAGATAATGCAACGTCGGCAAGCAATTCCAGCGGCAGTACAACAAGCAATAGCACGAGAAGCAACAGAAGTGCGGCACCTGTCTCGTCAGTGTTCCTGGATAGATTTCACAGAACTTATGAAAATATGATCGATGAAAAAAGTGGATTGTGAAGATAGGAAAGGTCGTTGAGAATGAGATTTTCCGGTATGCCCTCCAAAGCCAATTCGAAAAGTAAGTGTATTTTCTTACCAATAGTAAAATTGCTGACTGCTCCAGGATAGTTTGTCCCATAGTTTTATTATCGATCCATTCGATCCGCTGTGGAAAAACAGATTTCCGAGTGATGAAATCGATGAAATTCGCAGACACAAGCTGCATACACTTCCACCTTGCCCTGACCAACTGCTGAATTACTTGAATCATTTTTCTGATATTGTAAGCACGTCTTTTCTTTCGTTTTTTATTCTTATAATTTTATATGACATTCTATTTTATCTGACTATTTATAGAAAACATTGGATACTCTGATCAGTCAAACATAGAAGCATCATTATAATTTTGATCAAGCTTTCAATCTTAAATAGGTGCAATTCTCTTTCGTTTCAGTATTATGGCTCTTTCAAGGAAACTATTTTCCTCTCATAAACTAAACAGAAGCTGATATGGTCTGACGCATTTGGTTGTTCATCGACACAGCATTTGACAATGTCAATCTGGACATATGATGGTAAGACTGAAAACCACATGTTAATTAATAATTAATTAATTGATTATATAATTTTCTCTAGTAGTGAGAAGGAAAGCATTAGGAGATAAACATAAATTAATAAATAAAGATTTCTTGATAAAATATATTTTTTTAATTGATCTTCATTTAATAAAAATAATATAATATTTTAAATTAAAAAATTGAATTTTGTTATTATTATTAAATATAAATCAAATATAAATCAATATATACAATATGGACACAAGTATAAAAATTATGGATGATTATAAAAATAAAAATGATGAGAATATTAAAAATTATAAGGATGCATAATTTAAAAATAGACATAAATATATTATTATTAAACGAATGGCAATTTTTATCAGAAGATTGGAAAACAAATAATTCATTTAAACGTAGGATAGAACTAAATATTAAATATATAGATGAAATATATAAAGAATTATTAAGTAAATTGGGATATATATCAGTTTTTTCTTTTTATCTGTATTAATACAAACAAAGAATATACCAGACCTTATTATGAGTTAAAAAAAGGTTTACTAATTTTATATCATTTAGTTAGTGGCTTTACGTCAAAAGAAACTAAACAATTTATTCCATATTCAACATTCTATATGTGATGATAGAGCTTTAATAAAGATAATAAGGGACAAGATTAAGTATCTTTGAGATGATGTTTTATTCCAACAAAAGATAAAGCTCTTTTATATTCTAGCTATTAAGACGGCGATATCAATTCATCTGACTAATGGATAAACTATGTGATAGAGGATGGATCAAGGACGTATCAGAACTTCTATTGAAGTCGCTATGTTAATCGGGCACATCTTTGAAACCGGCGTTAGCTGATGTAATGGCCGAGGTACCTGTTGATAGGTTCATTGTCCTGTTCACGTAAGGTGGATCATCTGAGTGAGAGATTTTATTCAATAGTGTTTAGCCGAAATGCCGTAGTGCTCATATGTATGTGCTATAATGTTTAACCGAATATCTTATTATTGATATCTTAAGCAGTGTATTAATGTGGTTCACCACACTATACTATTTATAAAGAATTTTGGATAACAAATTATGAAAAGTTAAATAAATTTACTGATTATTGTTTTTTTTCAAATATAAAAATAAGAATTTTATCTGTAAAAATTAAAAATTCAAAACATTTTAAAAATATAACATTATTATTAGACAGCAGACACGATTCTTCTATAAGTTATAGTAAACCTGATATATCTTTTCAAAAAAAATGGTCTTTTAAATTAAAAAGTCAGGAATAAGAACACAAGTTTTATGTGACATAAATGAAATGGCTATTTAATTTCTAAAAGTAGTTTATGTGGAAATAGCAGTAATGGAGGTATGATGCTTGATATGAAGGAGTTATATAATAATATAAATAAAGGGAATTCTATAGCCCTTGATAGTGGTTATACACTTTTTATAAAACAATTTGAAAATCTATGTAAAGAAAAAAATAATGAATGATCAGATGATAACTTTTTTTATCCAATATGAAAAGAAAATAATATAAAACTAACAAAACAAGAAGAATATTATAATGCTGTATTTAGTAGTTTTCGTTCTATAATTGAACAACAATTTTGTGATTTACAACAAAAGTATAAAAGATTTGATAATAATAATTCTATGTTGAAAGCTGATGATATTAAATATATAAATTTACAAATAAAAGTTTCATTCTTTTAAAAAAATATCCGAAAGTTTTGTGATAAACTTAATGTTGTTATTATATAAGATCATCACAAGTTATAGATAAATTGTGATTTTGAATTTCCCACAGAAACTAAATTAATTAATATAGTTTATACTAATGAAATAGAACAATTAGAAAAGCTTAAAAAATTAAATAAAATTCAAGATGATTTATTAAATTTAAATATTAATAATATTGATATAATAAATAATAATATTATGAATATTGATGAAACAGAAGATGATAAAAGTGATGTTGATTTTCCACAATATGAAAATCCTACAAAAAAAAGGAAAAAAAGATTTAGAAAAAATAAAATTATTAATATATATAATATAAGAAATTTAAATAAAGATGATGATATTTTTGAAATAGAAGATATAATAGACCATAGAATTAATGATAATAATTCATATGAATTTTGGGTTAAGTAGAAAAACTATGATTCTTCAGAAAATACTTAGGTTAATGAAATTGACTAAAAGAGATAATTAAAGAATATTTTAAAAATAAAAAAATAATATATAAAATTTAATATCATATAATTAAATAGACAATCTTTTCTTTATAGAATTAAAAATTATTTACAAAAAATATATATATCACAGTTATTGATTATCCAACATTGCAAGTAGTCATCGAAGGAACCAAGAACGATTAGTGAACAATCACAAAAAGCATGGTCACAAAACCAATTTGTTGTTCAAATGCAGTGTGGGAGAGCTTAGATGTGCCGAAGTTGGAAAGAAAGACGATAGCGACTATGGCAGCACCAAAGAGTTGCATGAAATGGGATTGAAATGTCCTAAAATGATGGAGGACCAATTATGCCATTTGATCAAAGTCACTCCTTATCATCAGTACGATCTCGCGATTGCCGGATTTATAATTATGGGTAAGTGTATTTTGTGAATGTAAGCTGTTAACAGGGTCTTATTCCAGTTTCTTTGGTTGACAATAGGTTTAAAGCTCCATACCATGGTTCTGGATCGGCCATCGACGTATGTCTATCGAATTCAGAAGACACCAGCTCTCTTTTTCCCAAGCAAATGTCGAGACAATAGGTGCCAGATTGGGAGCATTGCTAGCTTTACTCATGCAAGTAAAGCAACTCGTTTGTCAAACCGTATCGTTAGTAAACGAACCAGTTCTGGTTGTAAGCCAAGGTTTTGACGACTCAAACCACAATGAAGACTTGCCCTTTTGTCCGACCACTCCGTGATCCGTTTTCAGAGTCAATCATTGTTCTAAATTGCATTCCTCCTCTTCCCTTTCTTTTATGTGCTATCATTTCATTTCTTTCTCCTTCGAGTTGCTTATATACCTATTCTTTTCATTATATGATCTTTGTTTTCTTTAACAGCAAAACCTGTTTATCTTAACATTTTTATAACCTTTCTTTCTTCGTTAAGACACTTTCCAAAACATTTAACCGAATGAGAAACAAAGCCGTTGAAGTCACTTCAGTATAAACTATCACGGGCTTCGCCCAATGCTGCGCTGTACGTGGTTTGATTTGAAGTTGCAATGCTGCAGCTCGGACCGTCATTTCTTTCTCATACACTAAATAAAAAAGCTGTTCTTTTCCCGTATCTTTGTAGTGCTTGTTCGATACACGACTGGGCTTCTTTTTCGGAACATCAGCTTTGACGAATTCGATGTCTTCCTCTTTATTTGTTTTTGTGGTTTTCAATGGTTCGGGGGGGGGTTACGTCCAGGTATTCGCTGTAATTGGTGACAGATTCTATTGGGTACATCACGTCGTCAACGTCCATATCCATTTGAATAATGTCTTTTCCGGTTTCATCCTGCGTATTCCCACATCCATCGTTATAAATAAAGGTAGCCATTTATTATAAATTAGTAGAAGTAAAAAAAAAAAAATTGAGCTACGACATAATATATCCCAGAGACGCGCCAAGAGTAATTGGAAATCAAAGCAAAAGTTTTCCATGTGCCAAGTGTTTTCCTCGCCATGCGCGAAAATAAAGTATTTCTGAGCATATGTGATATGCGTGCGAGCGCACGGTGTTCTAATCAAATTATTATTATTTTTTTCGGGCTGGGTTCCACAACAGCAAGGTAGGAAAAAAAATGAGCATGCAGAGATGCTAAACAGTTGGGACAATAGGCGTGCAGATGTGTAGAATGAAAATGTATATTTTAGAAAGCTTGGGATTGCACTGTTTTGTTACTGGAGGTGCTAATAGAGGCACCAACGATACTTTAAAGATAGTATACGCTCTTAAAGAGCGGGAGTTGTTATGCTGGATGAAATGGTCGTGTAGTGGGAGTGGGAAGGCGGTGGTGAGTGGAGTTCTTTTTTTATAGAATTCTAAAGATGTTTACAAAGTGTGTATCACAGACATATGTTCTTCTTTCACTTTTGGGGAGCAGCAGCAGCAGCACCACCACCGGATGTTGCCTTGGACACCGCGCTCAGGAATGCCGTCTTTTGATCAAAGCCATAGCTGGCATTGCCTCCCACCAGCGAGTTCAGGCTTTCTGCGTCGACTGCCTGTGCGAACTGCATTCCATTCGACACCTGGAAATACCGTTCATAGTCTCCCGTCTGCAGCTCCAACATCACCTTTTCACGCTCCTCCGCCGTCTGTTCCGTTGACACCATTGACGCAGCCACCTCGCTCTCCTGATCATCAAATCCGCTCATTGCCGTCCAGTCAATATCCTTGTCGATAAATGTTGTTACTCGTCGGCTCTCTACAGCCGGCTTCCGTGAGACATTGTTGTTCTGTCGTGGCTGTCGCTGCTGACGCTGCTGTCGCTGTTGGTTAGCACCGTCTGCCTGACGCTTCTGCTGCTGTTGTGGACGATTGTTGTTGTTATTGTTGTTTCCTCTAGATCGTTGCTGTTGTTGCTGGTTCTTCGGACGTTGTTGCTGTGGCTGTTGCCCTTCTGATGCATCGTCGAACTGGCCAGGTACTGGTGCTGCCTTTGCCTTTTGTTTGCCACGGAATCCCATGCGTTTAAAGTTTTGTTGTTGAGCATTGTTTAAGAACTGGGAAAAGGGATCGGCAGCTTCGAGTGATTTGCCACGACCGGAACCACCAAGACGGACGGAAAGCTGGGCTCGTGATTGTTGCTTTTGTGGTTGTTGTGGTTGTTCGGAAGGCTGCTGTACTTCTTCAGCTGGAGCGGCAGCCGCGGCAGCTGCTGTTGACTGTTGTCGTAATGTAACCAGTGACGATCGCCATTGGAGACTTCTCAACGCAGTACTTGATCGCAACATTATTATTTCTTTTTCTCTTTTGCTTTGGGAAATGCCAAAAAACAACAGAAGAGTCACAGACCGCAAATTGCCCTGGCAAGCCAACATTTGGAACTCAGATCGAAGATTTAATATGTGATCGCAGCAGCGCTACGGTGACCACATGCCACAGCATGTCCGATACACACTTTGGACGTTTAGAATAATTGCAAGAAGAGCTGTGAGATGCACATAGATGAGACTAGTGCTATCATTATTATTATTCCTTTCTTTGAGCACCCACTTACTCCCGTGTTTTTGATACTGATCATTGAGACGGTTAAAATTCCGATTGGCTCTCGGAGAACCAGATAGGCGACCTGACGTGCAAGTTCTAGCTAGTGTAAAATCAGGTAAGAATGTTCTTGTCGATAGCCTATTTTATTTCAATTGTTCATCGATAATGGAGTCCAATTTTTATATAGTAGTTTAATCATTGCGTGTACTATAAGATAATACATGCACCCATCAATATAGACCTGAATAATTCACATTAGTACTTAAAGGGACGTGTGACTAAAGGTGCTTTGAATTGGAGACAGCGACATCTTATTTTTTTGGTACGTTATTTAGCATATACATCCAAGAGTTAGAAAAAGTCGTTTTTCTAAAAGTATGTGATAGGAATAAATCAATCTGGCAGTGGATAATTATCAGCCGTTTGTTAGTTGAAGTGCTGAAAGCGATTAGCCGCACCTTGTCAAGGAAGATTTATCTTTCCACTCCGTAAGAATGAAGATAAAGAAGCGGTAGAATTAATAGCTGGTTTACCTGAGGATGGGGTTAAGAAATAAGCCCTTTGGATTAAGTAAGATTATGCAGAAACTTTGAAAAGGAGATTTGTCTAAAGGAACCCTTTAGACCTGTCATTTCTCAAAAAGAACAAGATGAAGACCAGCTTGGAAAAAAAAACCTTGACCATAACTCCTATAAGAATTCTATATGGAAAAGAACAACTAGGCTCTAAACTGATTATACTTTTACTCTGTTCGTAAGCCTATATAACAGCTTTTGGTATGCTGTATTTTGGCTCACTATACCATATAGGAACTCATTATATATAATTATTTCACATAAGCATGGAGGAAGGACCCCAAATTCATCTGGGTTCGAGGCTACTTATAAGATCCTCTATAGCTTTCAACAGCTTTGGATTACAACTAATAACAACGTACAGGTGGTGAACTTTTTTTTGGCATCCCGAAGAATCGTTGTGCTCCTGCCAGATTGATCATGGAAACTGGCAAGTGGTCAGATGAACAAGCACAATCAAGAGCTATTATCTATGTATTTTCTGGATGCTGCTATCAAAGATAACATCTATATTACCCAAGTCAGAACCCTCTTCCAAACCAAGCTAGATGAGCGCAGTACAAGTATAGTTTTCTTCCTTTTTATCATATTCTTGATAACTTTCATTAATTTTACCTTTTTATTGGCTACGGACTCTACCTATTACAGTATGACTCCCATAGAGTGGATAAGAGGTTGGCCTGTTTGGTGTGTATTTATGGTCCTCGGATCCTGCTTGATGTAAAGCATTCCTCAATTGCTTTTGTCATATATATGAGCAATTTTTACTCTTTAAACTCTCCTCTGTATAGCTCCCAGGTCCTAAATATGACATGTTCATGACAGTGAACCACGTTTATTTGTTAGATGCTTCACCACACTCAAGCCCGATAATAATCCTACGTAAGCGATGCCGCTCTGAATCAGTAAAAGAAACCCTTACTGAAGTTTAAAGTACATGTCAATATATAGAAGCAAAGAGAAAAACCAGCTAAGCAATATTTGGCTGTATATCATTTTCATATACAAAATCGCCAGTGACATCCTTCTTCCAATTCTAGTTCATATAAAAGCTTCATGGTCCGCCAAGGTCCTTTACGAAATGACCTACAAATGGCAACTAATTTGTACGATGGTAGTTCACTTTTTGCTTGCAGTTTCCTATCCATGGATTTGGTTGCTTATTGTTGGATCCTCAAAACTCATTTAATTCTTCTTCAAAGAGCAGCTGCTTATTTCGTTTCTCCCTCTTTTCTTGTATACTGTATTGACGATTCTTATACTTGTCAAAACTTCATCTCATGGATCCTCTCATTGATAGACTTCTTCCACTCGACCTAGTTAACGATATTCTATACTAATCACATCTCAAAACCAACGTGCAATCTTGTACTACATTGTTGTTGATATTGACTTTTGGGCAGTAATGATCATTTAATTAAATTGCAATAATAATGCTATCATGACGAGGGTGCAGGCGAAAGAATGATAGTGGTGGGATTGGATGGTGTGCGACCGCCCTGGATGACACCTACATAGGGCGTAATATCCCAGTGCAACGACAAATTTGCCTGTTGATGACTATGTGGCAACCCGTCAGTTTCTTGCCTTTGGATCAAATCATAACCACACGAGTAATATATACAGACAAACACTCCCTTCTTCCCCACCGTTATTACCTCCACTTTCGGCTAACGTCGACTAGAGCATATTTGTTTGCAATGTTGCGCAGACTCAGGCTGGCATCCTCTTTACGCGTAATTATCTTATCCCATAACACGACCGAGTTACGATCATGCGTCTTTGTCTCGTATTCGGCAACGACAGTAACAAACACCTGCTTGGTATTCCAATTAAAAGCGGGCGTGAAGTCGGCATCCAAGTCAAACGCGAATCGCGCAAAATGGCTCTTGGGAGTGCCATAGTCGTAGTAATCTGGTCCATATCGTCGGCTCACACTGTAAATTATGCAGAGGATTGAATAGGAAGACCAAGACAAACGTGTAAGTGAATCAGAGGACAAAAAGAAAAAATAAATCTGTTAAAGATAAACGGTAGCTGCTATACAAACTTACACGCGTAATGTGTCGGCGTCGACTCGAATGTCACTGCTGATGGAAGCATAGCCAGTAATGTACGAGATGCCAGCAACAACAGCAAGAATGCCGCCAAGTGCGGTTATAGCAAAAGAGAACAAAACCTATAAGCGTAAAGATTTAGTCGTTGGCAACTAGGAATGGCATTTAATATTCCCAATTGTTTCCGATTTACATTAGCACGTTGCTGTAAATTGTACATTTGAGGTGGGTAAAAAAATGAAAGTAGTCCAGTAAAATTATATCCAGAAGGCTGCAACGTGTCACTTGGATTTTTCAGGCACCACTCCTTTATTTGTGAGTGTGGCAACACGTAATGCAGAAAGATTTACATATGAGCAAATAAGAAAATGCGAGAGAAAGATGACATTTTAATTCTGGAATGCTCGTGGTCGCTTCAGAGGTACTTTTGAAGCTTCTTGCCGCATCGCATTGTCCATATCCTCATCGTCTGTATCAATCAATGTTTCGTTGAAATCCAGTGACTGACGCGATATATCCATTGTTGAATTTGTGGGCATGGCATTCTCGTCAGTATGCTTGTGTCTGACATTGGCATAGCTAAAGGAGATTGCTTCTTCGTCTCGGTCATCAGGAGGAGCATAATACCAAGAATCAAGCATCATGTCCGCTGCCCGTCCTTCTTGGGTCTGTTCCTCTGGCGGGTCTTCAGCCTTTGGATCTGATAGCTGTTCTTCACTTTGTTTTGATTGTAAATCGATTAATTTGTCGAAATTTTTTGACAATTTTTGATAGTGCCGATAACGCAACTCTTCGAAACTGATTGGAACGTCTGATCCTTTTCCACCAACGCATTTCTTCGTAGCTGCAATGTACTCTGATTTTCCTTTTGAGTTTTCGGATAATATATATAGCGACTGATATTGTGCGAAACGTTTTTGAAGATACGGCGGTGCTTGTGGTGCTGATGATGCTTTCCTTGTGCTAGTGTTTTTGGGATCCTAGAAAAGATTGAATAGATTATCATATATACGAATGCACATTACCATTTTTACATGCTATCCTGTTGTCCTCCCACCGCACTCTTATTAATATGCAATTTAACAGTAAGCAACTCACATCATCTCGATATACGCTGAAAGAAGATGATGGTTTAGGACGTTGGTATTGTTTTTGTGGTAATGTTGTTCCAGCAAATTGGGTAACTTGCGGTTGGTTTTCAATTCGTTGGGTCGAGTTATTGACAAGTGAGGATGATCGTGTCGATGATGTTGGAATGGCAGAATTGGAATCGTTATCGGGGTCGGAATAGACGGAAAATTGTGGTTGACGTGACGCAGATGATGTTGGTCTTGAGGATCCAATGCTGCTACTAGCGCTGGCACTGGAGTATTTCAAGGCGAGAGGGACACGGTCGTTGATAGATTCTGTTCTGGCCATAGTAGTTGTGTTCTGTTGTTGTTCTCGACGTTGCTGATCGACTCTTTCGAGAAATTGTTTGTGTTTGCGTATCATCCGCTTGATCGGGTGCGCCTGTTGCTCAATCCCCTTATTATAAATGGTCATGGCATCCATATACTTCCTCTGGCTTTCAAGATAATCCGCGTACTTTTCATAAAACAGGGTCAAGCTCTGACCAATGTTGTTCCGAATCAGCAACTGATACGCTTCGTCAGGATTGTCCAGGTATTCGATATGATGAATCCAGCATTTTAAGTAACGAAGGTCTTGCTGGTATCGTACACATGTTTGAAAGCGGTGTGTTGCTTCTTCCAATAGTCCACGTAGATCCGATGATTGATTGTGACCTTCTGGATACATTTCGACAGTCCACTGAATGTACCGTAAATATACGTCCAGCGGATCATCGTGTTCTTCAATATCTTCTAATTCCCGTGTAAAATGGTCATGGCCATCTTGCAACTGTTGTTCGCGTTCTTGTGTTGTGGTTCGATAGACACTCGCTAATGCGACTGCACTCCGGCCTTGTCGTCGTGGCATGACATTTTCTTTTTGACCTTCAAATTGAGAGCATTCTGGAATGTTGTTTATAATAGCTTGTCGCTCCTCGTCGTCCATATTTGCTTTTTGGTTTTTTCTGATAGTGGTGAAGTGGGAGAAAAGGAAGAGAGGTACAGTGCAGCATACCGACACGCCCACGCGGGATGGCGAATACAACTCCGCGGAATCGAGATACACTTTTGCCCAAGCAAATACTAATACGAATACGAATACGAATACGAATACAACTACTACGAGTACTAATACAGCTACTACGAGTACGAACACGAATACGGCTACAACTACAACTACGATTACGAACGATACAACGAATACAAGTGAACCAAAGGAAACGAACAAGAATAGGAGATGAAGAGAAGCAAAACTTGCAAGTGAGGTGCAGGTTGACTGTTGGTTTTGGATTTTTATAAACTGTGTATCGTTCCTGCTAAAGCTTTGGCTATGGCTTTGGATTCATTCTTTGAATGAACAATATTTTTGGAAGCTAAAGTAGTGCCACCTCCTCGTGGTAGCTTCTGGAAGCATTGCTATCAAGCAGTGGCTAAGAGCACTACAAATATCATAGTAAACATAATAAATCTAATAAATGACTTTTCGTATAAAAAGCATATTATCTCTATGGTCTTGATACATCTTTTGCTTGGTTTCTTATACGTCTACTTGGCCGCATGCAATCTCGAATCATTGCTGAGCGTTATGTTGCATCCGCCTGTGGATCCCGCCTGGTCTGTCAAAGGTGATTGTGTGAGAGGCATTTGTGACGAAGTGGCCCTTTCGTGTGGGGATTACCTTTGCGTCAGTTTTTGCCTGGTATATGTAAATACATTTCCTTATAGCACAAAAGCACTAATAGCAGACCCTTAGGCGAATGCCCATCTACAACGGCGACTGCATACATACGCAAAAATGGCATAGAATTTCGGTCACTGTTAGTAAACCTCTTCCTTTCTCTGTTTGTGTGTGTGTGTGGATATCCTGGCAGAGGGCGCTGTTGGTATGGAATGTTTGGGTCACAGATCCAATTACTCGCTAAAATGGCGACATAACACCTCAGTGACTGATACTGTTTCGCATCCACTTCTAGTAGGTAACGTACATGGCCACGCCAGTGTTTTCAAACTGGTTTCCTCCGTTGACTTTGTCTTTGCGCTGAGCTTCTCAGCTGCACTTCTCGAAAAAAAACTGTACGCACGTACCCAGGGATGTAATACATATTATTAAGTAGGAGGAGTAGAGCATATTGTATTATATGTTACAATTACAGAGATAATGACTGTTTATGTGAGCAGCGTCATCATAAAAGCGGATCCACCGCAAGGATTGGGAAAGGTTTTTGTTTTCTTAAAAAGGATCCCATTTCTCTGCATCGACCAGCTCGCCAGGTTACGATCATCGTCAATCACGCTGACCACTGAGTTCGATGCGAGGCTAAAATGGACAAGTAGTCTACCTCCCAGGATGTGGAAAACTCTATCAAGCGTATTCAGCAGCGTCGTGTACCAGTGATGTCTCCAAGCTCGGGATCCCCTCCGATGTCCCCCCCCACACACTCCCTACACCCCCAATTTTATTTTCACGGCCAGCACGAACGGTCTGCGCATATAGAGGCCGAGTATGATAGCAAAGTACAATGGAGACCCTGCACGAAAAGCATCGTAACTTGCCACAGAGCCGCAGAAAGACAAGGTCCTGGTATGTACGTGTTGCCAGGAGCCTGTACATTGTGCTGGTTGCAATTGTGTGAAAAAAGCTTTGCGAATCTCTTCGCGAGAACAGCCGCCATTCCGCTCGGAATTGGCCAAAATGCGTGACGCGACGAATACAATAAAATAAATTTTTGACATGCTTGACATGGCAACAAGCAGCTTTCAGGAACAGGAAATGTCACAACCCCTGAATGCCATGGCAACAAAAAGGTCTTTTTCTGCTGTATAGCTCTCGAAAACAAGCTTCCAGTTGTCTGCTTCAAAGGTCCATAAGTCATAAAGAAGGATCTTTAATGTGAGTGGTAAGAGATCATGGGGCAAGGCAACCCAAAAAAGGAAATTTTTGTGCATATCAAATCAAATCAGATCAGAGCAAGTATAGATAAGGAAGCAGGATACAAAAAAACGCGTTTTCTTTTTTTTCTTCTTTACCAGTTTTCCATTCTTCCGTACTTTTACGATGAGCACTCACGCTGAAACACCTACGACCAAGCCACAGGCTACTACAACTTCGACCACGACGATGCGTCCACCATCCCCTACGACCCTGACGCGGCATCACAGCTTTCATACCATTCCCGTTCCACCATCTCCTCCGCGCCACCCCAATTCTCGCCCGTCCTTACACCCACCTTCAGCTTCGACAACGCCAGCACGGCCTCACACCACTCCTTCGTCACCGTCTTCTCTTCCGACTCCTCCCTCATCATTGACCTCGGCAACAATGATGATGCGTCCAGTGCTCTGTCGCGTGCGGGTTCGTCCCCACCGCCATCACCGCAGTTCAGTCCTTTGCATTCTCCCGTCTTGCCGCCGTCCCCTCTTCCTCACCATTCTGCTCCCGCTTCCCTGTCCTCTTCCCCGCTCTCGCTCCTCCGATGGTTGAGGTTGCCGATGACGAAGAGGCTGAAGAGGCGCCAGTGCCAGAAGAGGATGAAGAGATCCCATATGCTGGTGATATGATGGACATTGACAGCGACGACATGGATATTGACGACGATCAGAGCAATCTGATGCACGTAGACTGGGTTCCTCCTTCGTACCCCTGGTGGTACTAAAAACATCCATAAAGTAAGCTACTCACATTGACCTTTTTATTGAGCGCGTTCACTGACTTGGACACGTCTATTCTTTCTGTTATGATAGATCCCAACAAAAAAAGCAAAAAACACCACAAAAGGTAAGTATAATGTTTCTGCTGTCTTGTGCTTCTGCTTCTTTCCTATCATAAACGCGCTCATTGATACCGGCTTCTTCTTTTTCGTACAAATTCTAATAGCACCCAAAAAACAATTCAAAAGTCAAAACCCTCAAAAAAACATTCAGTATTCAGTATTCAGTATTCCGTATAGCTATTGGTAACAAAGTCAACTCTCGTTTTACTAAGCCTGCTTCAAACACATTGCTGCCTGATAAAGATGAAAACTAACATTGCTGGCTGGTCGATTTAATAGGCCCTCCTTTTCCTGCTTCCGTTCTTTTTTACCGGCTCCTGCTTTATCCTCTTCTTCCCGCTTGTTGGCGTTGGTTTGTTGGCGCGTCGGCGTCGTGGTGATGTGTCGGTTCCTCGGTGGTGCCTTCTCCGCATGGCTTCTTGGGTGGTTCGTTTGGGCCGTCTTTGGTCGGCTCTTTTGCGTGGGCTGTTTTGGTATGTAGTTCAAAGAAGGCTGTCTCAGATTCAAGGCATATATTTACTGATTGGATCCATGTTCTTTAGGTCTTTGCGTGGTCGGTTCGGCTGCGATGCTTCTGGTGTTTGGTCTGGCGGCTTCCGCCTTCGTCAGGCGATGGGGTGCAGTGGAGGGTACCCGGAGTAAGGTAAGGGCTGAGATGGAAGGCTGTGGCAAGGCACTGTGCTATCGCCTGTATAGGGAGATATAGGGGGCCTCTGCGCATGTTTCACGATGACTTTGGACTAGATGGCTGTGGCACCACCGGTGTGCTGTATGGTGATGCTAGGAACATTGCATTGTCGTTTGTCGGTTTTGGAGGACGAGGGTGACACCTTGCATAGCAGGAATGTACAATGGAGCGGCCCGGTAGACCATGGCTCTGTTTGCAGGCACGTATTGATCATCTTTACTTTCACGTAATAAAGGAAAACAAAGTGAGCATGATGTACTAACTAATTTAAAGTATTTTTGCTAGTCGTCCATCCCCCTTTCTTGTAGCAGTCAATCGTTTGACGATTGCTAATACAAGGGAGGGGAGCAGCTCTATGTAGGACCTGAGGCCGTCTTTGCATTGTGCATTTATTTAGTCGTGGTTGCTCCATTGGTTCACACTGGCTCAAAAGACACCCCGTGGTACTCCTGCGTCGACAATACCACAAAGCATTGTTCCACAAGCATTACCACCTCACCGACCCCACAGCACGGTTCTCGGTCGTCCTCTGGAATGTGTTTACGCCTAAACCGCGTCTGATCCCTCAGGGGGCCTGGGTAGCAGTTAGCTGTCCCTCTGCTATGGAAGTGAGTATCCTTCTGTCTCATAACCCTTACCCTCTGCTTCGGGTGCCTGAAGCTGGGGTGTCCGGGCTGGGGTTGTCCTGGCGAGAGCGGTGCGGTGGTAGTACGCTGCCATGTTGGGAGAGCGCCAGCTTTCCAGGCTAGCCGAGTAAAAAAACTTGGCGCTGATCGCGGATTAGCAGAATCCCGTCTTTGGCTTGATTACGTCGTCGTTGCGTGTGGTTAGTATGCATGTGCCTGACATGCCGTCATGGTGGGGTGGCGCCAAATTTCAGACTAGCCGAGTACAAAAGCACCCTTGTGTCGAATCGAGGATTCGGAGAATCCCGTCTTTGGCTTGATTTTCTCTTGTCAAAATGCATGCCCATCACGAAAAAGCGTGCAACAGTGAATCACATGTTTCAGCGCAGCAATTTTATCATCACATCAAGAAGTAGCGCAACTCAGTGGTACGGATAACAAGCAAGAATTCGTAGCAACGAAGAGACATCAGCATGGCTGACGGTTCAACTCGAATATTCCAACAAGTTACGTTAAGACGGAAAGGAACTGTTCGGAACAACACATCAAAAAGAGCGGTATCGGCACGTTGTAGACATCAAACCAAAAAGCACAAGAGCAAGAAGAATTGACAACATTGCAAATGACAATTGCTACAGTCGAATCGAGATGATGAGTCACCTCTGCTTATGACAACAAACAGCAAGATTTATTCATGCGACAACATCGACGCAACAAAATAGTCGTCATCGGCGTTGATGACATCCAACTTGGTGGCAACAACTCAGGCAAACAGCATTTCCGGTAACAATTGACAACAGCGGGAACAGAACAAGCTTTCGAGCGGATCTTCATCATGGCACAACAGCAGATCAAGAGCTCCGGACGACAACATCAACCAAGGCAGGAAGGTGGCAACTAAACCCTGGAATCTGGCGACAGTACACTTATCAAACAGTCAAGCGGTCAACAACATCTCAATTACATGACAATTCTCGTCCGCTTCTGATCGTTTATCGTTGAAGAGAACAAGAAGCCATGGGAACGCTTTTTTGTCAAACCTACATAATCTGGCGATACTATAGTATGCAGCGTAATGACAACCACACATCAGAGACAACAAGAGCGACAAGAAACGACGTAGGCAGCACAATTAGTCATTTTACTTGCTACTTTATGAATTGAAAGTAAGTGCGCATGATTATCTGATGACACCGATATCAAGTCAAAAACAATGGTATGCTCATATCTATTATCTCTTCTTAGGAATCGTAAAGGCGATTCAAAACTTGGCGATGACCTCCATACAACTAAGCATCACGGGTTTGGACGACAGGAAAGGTCAAGGACACCAATGCGAACAAGTAAGTGAACAAACTAGCATCACATCATATGTGGCGGTTTCATTCTTGCTATGGTTGTGAGGCAGTTAACGCGTGGTGAATGAAAACGCAGCTGTAGTAACCGCAAATCAAACACAGGACACAGCTATTTAAACAATACAAGGTCTCGCTCATAAGGCGCATCAAACACGACATTGGCTTTGAAGGCGTCATCATCAAGTGGCCCATCATATTCAGATCCACACGACGGCACTGTATACCAACAAAGCGGAAATCAAGAAGAGCCTACCACCAGTATACAGTCTACGATACATTGGTGATAGAGACGATCCTACAAACCTGATCGGTGGCAAGCGGAAGCAGTCAATACATCTTTCAAAGTCAAGATGGAAGATACATATGCACATACACACTCAAGGCACATCAATGAAACGCACGTGATTGTCGACCAGCATCCATATTGCTCGCTCAATTATCATGCGACGACAATAAGATCGTTTGTGGAGAAAACGAAAAAGGGTAATTGTGCAGTGCTCTAAAAGGATTACAACAAACGTCATTGGGACATACCACATATATTCATCAAAACTTCAAACCATCCATTAGCAAAAGTGGCGGCCGAACGATATTGCTATTTAATGCATCCTCAAGAGATGCAGACACATGCTTCAGAAAATCAGCTACAGACAGCAAGATATACCAGGGGCAATAGGCATTTAGAAAAGCATCACGGTAAGAATTAGTGGCAAAAAGCAATTGATCCACCTTGTAATGTTACGCAATTGTGCTCACATTGCTTTGTCGTAGAGCCCTGCATGTTCCTATATACCAGTCAACGAGATCTCTCACGAATATATTCCCACTACAGATGTTTGGTAAGTTAATGTCCAGGTAATGATAGACCCCGTAAATAAGGAAAAGAAAAAAGAAAAGAAAAGAAACACAAAAAAATCAGAAAAGAAACAGAAAGGGAAAAAACCAGAAAAAATATATATACAAGACACGAGTTGCAAGGCAAATGCTGCAAAAAAAAGGCAACTCGAGAACAAAAAAAAAGAACGACAAAAAGCAGCACCTAGAGCAAGCTTATGGAAAATTATGATACAAGGGCAATACGTTTCTTAAGATACGAATGCACTTGTATCAATTCCGGGCTGAAGACAAACAATTGCATTCAAGACAAACATCAAAACAACGATAGGCATTACCTATACAAGTGGACCAATTATGGAAAAGTAGTTTTAACTGTAAGTACAAAACACATGGTGATATGTTGCCATCAATTTCATCAGTAGCTAACGTCACAAAATCCACTTATGTTTTCAATATTTCAAACAACAGTAACGAAATCAAGACTCTCGAGTTTTGTAATCGCAAACAACTTATCCATACCTCTAATCAAAAATGACGTCTGTGATCCACAAGAAGAGATGACGAGATCATCATACAACGGATGTAGCTGATGAGTGATACAACAACAATACCGTTATACAAAAGCAAAAAAATTACGAAGGATAATCATAAAGTACAACGAGTCAGTGCAACAGCAACTGCAGCACAGCCTTGGCATTTAAAGCAGAAACTTAGACTAGAAGCAAAAGAATAAGGGGCTATCATTACCACGGACGTAAACTTACTAACATTTGGTAGAATAAACATATCTTTCTTATTAGTTCAGAATAACACTTACTTTTGCTAGGAAAATTTGGTCAAGACAAGGGATTGTTGCATATAGCCATTCTCGTAGAATATATCATAACTTCTTTTTATACATAGCATTTCATGGTATCAACCCCTCGGGAATATCACGCCTTTTATCAAGCCACCTGTACGCTCAAATTTAGACAACCTAAATTTGATATGGTCTCGCGATAACGTCATTGACTTAAGACACAATTGGAAGCACCCGGCATAGCCCAAAACCAATGCCTCCGTATAAGTTTTTGCCACATAAGGAGGGATACTGTCGGAGGTTTGGGTATCATACTGGAATGAAGATCTGCGAGATTAACGAGTGACGATTGTGGATGCGTGTAGCTCTCAGGGTGGCAATTTGGGTGCTAGTGTCTACAGACGGTGCTTTTGGTAATATGTTTAAAAAGTATGGAGTTGAACCTTTAATGTTAGATGATATATACAGAACGACCGCTTTGGCGTGTGTTATCCTGGCAGTTTGTGCGTACATCTCTAACCTTACGACGACAAAAACAATCGTGGTGCATGATATAATGCATAATTTTGATTTAATACTGTTCTTGGGCTTTGTGGTCTGCATGTTTGAAATACCTACATAGTTGCCATGTCATTATATAGTATCCAACAGAAAGGCACAAGTTTAAGTTAACATCCGATTAAATAACGGGGAGGCTTGCAGGTACTCTATGCACCAAGCAAGCCTTTTAAGGCCTTGCTGAAGGGCTTTCATGAAGATGTTACTAAAGTTGTTGTCCAACTTCATCGGAAAGCTCTTATGCAAGAGAGCGTGTATAGATAAAATACACGATAAAACTTCATGGGATTATTTGGCAAAGCTTCTACTCGAAACCGTTTACTTTGTAATGATGTGAGCACTTGTAAAGCTGAAAACTGCAAAGACCATGTGCAAAGTCAGGAAACCGTAGATATAGATACTTTCGCAGAATGTAACAATCTCATTAAATGCAGAAGCAGGGTTTATCTAAGATCTACGCTTGCAAATACATCTCGTGCGTACTATGTACACGCTTCTAAATGAACAATGAATGTTCGTAATTTTGTAACTCGATTAAAATGCCTAATAAAAGAGCTGCAGTGTCATTGTAGTCAACGCTGCTAAAATGGCAAGCGAGTATATGTTTCAGTGCGAAACGATCTGTGCTTCACGGAGGATTCCCTTTTTTTTATATACAGTGGAGCTGACATTCAGGAAGACAAAGTCCAACGACAAGGGTAACGGCTTTGATGGTCAGACGGCAGCCTTGAAGGTGCTGCCATTACTGTAGCCTACGAATCTCTCTTTCAAAATTATACGTAGTCATGAAACCATAACCAAACAGATCTTTGCAACTTCAACAACACTTTTTGTGTTTATTTATTTTTATCATTTTCTTATTTATTTTTGTAGTGGTGCACCTTGTTGGTCAAGGAAACACACACAATCAGATAGTTTAGACGTCAACAACACTTTTTGTGTTTATTGATTTTGTCTTTTGGTGGTGTACACCAATGTGCTTTTTGTCATTTTCCTATGGGGCCCCGTAGGGAAAAGTATACACCGATGCCCCCAAACATCTGTTGGTGCTACTGCATAAAGAAATCCTTCTTGCTCTGAAAAATAGACCTGTATTTATACTTTTTCAAAAAACCAAAAAAAGTCACACGCTAGTGGATCAGCAGGTCAAGACTGGTTTTCAAGCGCAGTCGCCCCATCACGTGATTGGCTTTGTAGAGCCCTTCTGCTTCTCCTTTGTTCTTTGCTGTGCCAAAGCAAAAGTAAAAGAAGTATCGTTGGATTGACACTATGGAAACACACACGGTCGCTGTCATGCCGCTGTAGTATATAGTGTCGATCCGTGTTTCACCTTGTGCACCATCTCCGCTTCTTATATGGGAACCCCGAGTCCGGATCTCAGGTACCAATCTTGTACTTGATTGAAAAGGCATGGTAACTGCTATACACTCAAGCAGTGTAGCGATGGTAATAAGCAGACACCAAAATACAGAGACTCACCGTTGTCGACTCGTAATCAAAGGACAACAAGTTCCAAAAAATAAACAATCCAACGTCCATTTCATCATCGGGAAAGATTCGGCGGTTGCAGTAAAAGCAGGGCACGAAAACCAGTGTCTTTTTATTGCGTTCCTCGCTACTCTACGCACTCAACTAGAACAACCTGATTGTAAGGTACCAAACTCACCGATTAGCTTTTAACGTGTTCTCCAACATGAAGGACGGATTTACGAGATGGATCGACGGCGACAAAAAGCACACGATTGCCCTGCTTTCCAAAGCAGACGGAACATGTAAACGGCCCACCGACATTGGCTGGCAACTTTACCAACAGAATCAGAAGAAAGTTGACGGTGGAGTCAGCATTATAATACCAAGATCTCCCTTGGTGCTATACATAGCGTAAAGGATTGTTGTAAGCAAAAGACCATCAGGTCAAACCTGCTAGCACTAAGTTGCCATTTTAAAAGCAAAAGTGTGTTGAATGCAAAGGAAATATGCAACACATTGCCTGCGACGTCCAGGTGAACTTCAAGTTCATCCGTTGGGTGGGCACTGCCCGGCACTATGACACGCAATCACATGGTCAATATGAAGCAGCTCATATAAGCAAGCAATCAGTCGCCAAACTTACCGAAAGGGTGGCCCTTGTTGTCGGTAGCAGCTCTCAGAGAGCAATGAACCCACCACAACAACCTGCGCGCGAGATCGACGTCGATTTACAGCACGCTCGTAAAATGGCGTATCGCCGTCGTAACATACTTGCTTTGAACGGGTCCAACGCTAAGGGCGCACCCAACATTGAAACGGCAGCTGCTCCAATTCGACAGCTTGATATCGATTTTCCCGGTTTTGTACGGTCACCGCTGGATATCCATTCCGATACGTTCTGCATTCCTTTTGCTTCTCCTTTCATCCAACAGCATATCAAATGCACCCTAAGAACCAACTTTTACAGGTGTCACATACTCTTGTTTTGGTGACGGTTACTACCTGTGCAATTCTGTCATTTCCCACGAAAAATTGCAAAGATATGCCCCAGTTCTCCTAGCAATTTTTGGTGCTTTGAGTACAGAACATTGTGTTTGTACTTTAATACAATGCTCAAGGTGCTGGATACTAAGAAGAGTGACGCTGGTGAATCATCCATGTGTAGAATAATGATGGACTTTCCGCAAGCCCAGAGAGCTGGATTTTTTCTATCGCTTCTAACAACACTTTCTCTTGGTGTCAAAAGTGGCGAGATTTGAAAGGTTGCTACTCTCATCGATTGGAAACAATCGGTTGAACGTATTCAGGGTGAAGTTCGGTGGAACGTCGAGAGGTATTCTTGGAATATACACCAGAGTTATGTACGACACTACTGCGGGACGAATATTCGACATGTTTATGATACTGGTGATATGGAACGATAATTTCCGCGCACTACGAATTGGATGAAATGGTGGCTACGACCCAGCGTTGCGAGCATGAATTTCGGATCGAAGACGACGATGCATGAAGAACTTTTATGAAATGCTACAAGAACGAGAAACGGCGTAGAGTCCTTCCATCGCAGCACTTATCGCTTTGTCCAGCAATCCGAACAGTTTTTTCCATGTTACCACAACTTTTAACTACTTGAGGAACGAAGATCTGGCAAGAGGATACGTTACAAGATCTCCCCGCCGTCGTAAGTTTCATTTAGGAAAGGGTGCGTTGAATTGACCTTTAGTGATCGTCCGGCTTAAATCACTCCTTGATCTACCTGCAGCTCATCACGCAAAACAGCAAAAAGAAGCTTAAATAATGGTTGTCCTCTGGAGAAACCCAAGCATTTACCTAGTAAAAAAAATCAACAAGCGCAATTCAGAGAATCCTTCGACCGGAAAAAAAATCAAACAAAAGAGCAATAAAAGGAACTAACAATACTTGACTAGGTAAAAAAGAGCTAGTTGCTTGTGTGAACTGGAATTTGTAATTGAGGTCGTATGAAAAACATGTAGATTATTTAACCATGCCTAAATCTGGGAAGGAAACGAAAAAATTCGAAAGGAAGAAGTAATCAACGCACGCGGAATCACTGAAGCAACCAAGGCTCGAGAAGAACGTGCCAAGAAGCAATCTGACATTCGAGAATCTTTCCAGAAGCAAAAGAAGCATGATTGTCGAGCGAAGAAATTCACAAAGAACAACGTAAATTACGTAAACTACAAGGGGATGTATGATAGATCATAACATATATGGCGTGTATACTTGTTATTATAGCGATCAGCAGCCCGTTCATTTTACTTTACAAAATGGTTATCCAGTCACTATTGTCCCCAACGCCGATAACGCTTGCTTCATCAATAGCCTTCTGCAAATATCGTTAAAAGTGATTATGCTGTATATTCCAGAACCTCCTAGAATCGGCAACGATGAAAGAGCATGGTTACTCACTCAAGACTTTGGACTGCGTCGAAACATAAGGACTTTACCGGACCTACCTTACCATTCCGCCAATCTGCATGGGATCATGGTGCATCCTTTGGTATTTGCGAAAACGGAGCATTTGGAGATTCATCACATGTGTTGCAATGTTTCCTTTGGGATAATGATATTCTGTATTCGCAACTACGATTTAATACACGGTTCAGGGCTAACACGATATCTACACCCAACGATAACAGCGCCAGAATGTGGGGATTCGAGAGGCCTGTGCTGATGCCGAAAAATCCATAAGTGCTCATCTCTCCTCCATCTGTCTGACAAGAAGTTTGAGGGAAGATGACCTTGAAAACTACCGCACAACTGGCTTTAGCGAAATGCTGCAGCAAAAGGTTATGAACGCCAAGGCCGAAATCAAAAACCTCTTTTTTAGTAATGTTCTCAGTTATGCCGAGTTCATCGTCGTTCATGATATTGGCAATTAGGCAAAGATCACGAGTGGCACGTGAAATATGCGAGCAACAAAAGCAGCATGGTTTATTATCGTGACCAGATAGAGATCGGCAAAGTAGAATATCAGTAGGCTTTCACTACAAGTCAGCTTACAGAGCGATTGATGGCAATATCTACGAATTCGACAACATGAGACGTGTCGCTAAAAGGCTCAAAAGAATCGATGGAAAGTACCATTCATTCACTCTGTATATTCCGTAAACTGACTCCAGACAATGCTCTCGTCGATATATACTGCATATATCATTAAAGAAGAAGAAGAAGAAACATTGATCGGCGATGAGCTTAATCTCTATACCAGACAGTGAAGCGTCAAAGTGATACTACTAGCTATTTTTATTATGACTCTCAATGATCCTCTAGTCTTAGAACTCCTTCAAAAAGCTTTTCTTTCCCTTTTCTCTCTATATCATATAATACCTCTTTTTATTTAACTGTATGCCTCTTTGCTCTCAAAATACACAATCCTTTCATCTTGCTCTCCGATTAAGTTTTATTATGTACAAAATATTATATATATGCATATAAAAGTAGCTCATTTCTTGGATGAACCACGATGATGTGATAGTTATGACGGTTTTAAATAGTCAAAGTACGCTACATGTAGATCAGTATTAGCAGGAATGCTTACATATCAAAAGATAACTCCTGGTTAATTTAGTAATATCTTTAATCACATCAGCATACGTGATTGACATTTACTCTTTCCTTAGTTGTATAGCTCAAATCCACTCTCAAAAGTATTACGGAAATGGTGTTTTTATAAGACCAATGTGTAAAACCAAGAAAGGGGCGCCGGTGGTTTGTGTGAGCGGAACACGAAAAATATAAAAATGCAGGCGGATGATCGTTGCTTTGCTTTGCCGCTGCTTTGTTGAAAAGGAAACAAGGTAATAAACCCGTTTAAAACTTTTTTTCGCTTCAGTGGATTATGCATTCTCTAATCGATCTGTGTTCCATTTAAACGACAGAAAATAAGACTTTTTTTTTTCCCAAACACCATGCCACGCCCTCAGAGCAACATTTGGCAATATTTCACCGTCGTCGATGCTTCTGATGGCAAAGGACGAAAAGCCAAATGCAACTATTGCAGTCATCAACAAGCGTGTGGTGTGACCCGACTTCACCAGCATTTGTTGCGCAAATGCACCAAGATCCCGGAATCGTTACATGAGGACTTGCTACAAAAAGAAGCTGCGCGAGGAAAAACATTGGCAGTGCAAGCAGTAACACAACGATCGACCATGACGCAAGCCCTGCAGCTCATTCGTCGACAACAGCAACAAAATCCTTCGTGCCAAGCTATAGAAATAGACCGGGCACTGACAACGTTAGCAAACAACGGTATTACGGATTTATCGGGTGATTCATCATCACTGCGTGCAACAACAGGAATACCCTCCTCACAACAGCAGCAGCAGCAGCATTCCTCTTCGTCATCATCCTCCTCATCCAACAATAATCGCTATGATAACTTGTCATCATCTCCAACATCGCCTTCACCGCATCAGTATTCCAATACTAATAATAATAATCACGGCAGTCATAGCAGCCATCGTCATCTTCATCATCATCACCCACATCACAATAACAACAACAACAACAATGGCAGCAGTAGTAGTAGTAGTGCTACCATCACCAATAATCTCGCATCATCTGATCCCATGTCACAACGCATGTTGGACTATAACCTCGCACGTGCCTTGTTTTCAGCCAGTATACCATTTAATGTGGTCAACAACCAAGAGTTTGCTACATTTCTAAAGCGGATGCGTCCAGGCTATGCTGTCCCCAAACCACATGTGCTGCAACAGTATCTGCTCAAAGAGGAACATTATGATCTTATCCCACAGGATCAGCAACAGCACTCGTCTTCAGTTTCCCCCTTATCACCTACATACGACTCGAATGGATCAAACGTCATCATCGCGCCACAATCACCTCCTTCTTCATCCAATTCAGCAGCACCCTCTACTTCATCAGCTGCAACAATCAGTCGGATCATACATACACAAAGCATCAGTAGCAGTGCCAATGGGGGTAACAACGGAAGTAACCCAACGAGCGATGTCGGTTCTTCGTCCACTGCACACACTTCACGAGTTTCTGTGATGCATCGGCCTACCGAGATGGATGGAAGCTTATAACGGAAATGTGCCCTTTACTTGTGTGTGTTTGATGAGATACTTTATATCAAAGTTACGTGCTGTACATTGTATATGCTATTAGCAAAAAAAAAAGTTAAGTCAAATGTATAAAAAGAATAAAAAGTAGTAGTAGTAGTAGTAGTAGTAGTACATTTAGTTTATTGCAAATAATCCAGTCCAATTGAATTTGATTTCGAACAATGCTTAAAGGAGTAACATAAACTTTCCCTTTCTGTCCCTTTTATTCCCTTTATCTTTCACTTTTTTTTTTCTCTATTACGCTCAGAATGACAGTGACCACGTACGACGATTTAATTTACCAACAACGACCTGATGCAGTTGAAGAAGATCTTGATGATGAAGACCTTGAAGACAGCATTCCTCAAGTACTGAAACTGGACCTGCGGGGATCACGTATCGATCTTGAACGAGAAATCCTAGTCAGCTTACCTGAAAGTCTACTGATTGTCATGTTCCCCAATGGCCTTGTGTTGGGCAGTGGTGGTGGTGGTGGCCATGGCAACGGAGGCAGTCGAACGTCATCGGATGACCACGACGATGGACATGCATACGACGACGAAGATTCTATTGAAGAAATCACTCAAGTGGATTTCGATCCAGCAGCACTCAAGCATGTCTTGGAATGCTATGATCGTGCATCCAAGATGGATAACAGTGCGTCAGCCGTCTCGTTTCACCCTTTGCTAAGCAATAAGCAGCCCATCATTGTGTTGCGTGAAGAACTTGAATATTTCTGCGTGCCTTGTTCAAAGAACACAACAGCGACCGAAAATACGACTCAACTCAAATTACTGTGCGGTGAGCACTTGAAGCAGAACGACAAGATCTTTATTGCCCTCGAGAAGAATATTGCACGTGAAAACAACGTGGCAGAACAGCATCTGATCGATATGTTATGCGACGCTGGGTTTGATCGGCAGGACCGATGGAGTTATCGTGCTCTTGAACCATTGCGTACCTGTGTCATGAGTATGGCGTTGGTGCTGTTGGATATGTCAGGTCCTGACAATCCAGTGGCCACTGCACAAAAGTTGTTGTTATTCTGGCGTAAACCTGCTGTAAGTCAAAAAGAAAACGTTGATGTATTTTTTATTATTGGTGTTTCTAATTGCGTTGTTGTTGTTTTGACAGAGGAAATGTTGGTGGGAAGGAAATACTGTTGAAATACAAGAGAAGTCTGTGCGGTTATGGGCAAGGCGTACGTGGACGTTGGAATTATCGCTTGTGTAAGAGGGCAAAAAAGAAACGATTGCTTTATTGGTTGTCTTCTTTGTCCTCGTTTTCTTTATCACCATCACCATCGTCGTCACCGTCTGTATCCATCGCCTCATCCCCGCCTCCTTGTTCCTCGCTTTTCTGTTCTTCTGCCTCCTTGGCCGCTGCTTCTGCACGAACCGATTCCACTTGCTCTTGGCTTAATTTAAATACCAATTTACCCAATTCCTCCACGTTTTCCATCGTTTCTGCCTCTGAGTGATCGTTTACCTATTATAATAATATCATTATTATCTGCATATTAATTTTCTTTTAAATATACCTATATATACTAGCAGTGCACTCTCTTTCCATGTTTTTGTTTTTAAAACACTTACACTTCGTGTTGTCATATAAGTTTCGTTGGGTCGCAGAGTGAGTTTTGTGGGTCGCTTCAAAAGTCTTTCAAAGACTGGGCGTAGTTCATAGCAGTTTTCGAACAATTCCTTGCGGCAGAAGATGTAAAGACCGAGCTTAGCACGGGACATGGCTACAATCAAACGGCGAATGTCGCGGATATGGCCAACTGACTTGGTGCGGACAAGAGACAATAGTACATCTGTATTCATTGATATGTGAGTTTTTCGCCACACGGTTGAAAGAGTTAGATTAACACGTGTGGATCAAATGTAAACAGACTTACGATCGTTCTGTTGGCCTTGGTATTGATCCACGGTGGCCACAGTACCAGGCTTTCCAAAGTATGGGTTCCATGAGCAACGTCGTTCGAGCACATCATTGATCAAAGCACGTTGGCCGTTGTAGGTTGTCAGGATCGAGATTTTTTCGGCAGGATAACTATTTTGAAAGGTGGAATATAAACTCCAGTGAGTAAAATAATAAACTATTACATTCAATTGCTATTATGAAAGCCTACCCAACAAGACGCATGTACTGATACATGGCGACAATATATTCTGCCTCGCCAAGGTTCTGGTAAAAGTAAGGGACGGGCTCCGTTTCACCCTTGCCTTGATAATTACCAACATCGATAAGCTGGTACTCGTATGCAATACCGGCATTTGCACGTTGATATTCTTCTGTTGAAGCAATTACAGGCAGATCTTCCAAACCATTGTATCGCCAGCTATACAGGTCAGCAATAGATGATCTTGCTCGTCCCTGGACACACATAGGCAGAGAATGAGCATAACACTCTAAATAAAAGAACAAATACCCTAAAAACTAATCATTTTTTACCTGTGCATTCAACTGGATGGTAGGAACACCTAATCGGACAAAGCGGGTAAACAGGCTCTGTTCCATGTTTCCGTATTGTTGGAATGCCATATTCTTGACGACTGGAGGCAGCTGGTTGTGGTCACCAATCAAAATGACGCGCTTTAAGCGACTCTTTCCATCTTCTGGTTCTTGAAGTAACATGGGAATGAAAGTCTCGACTTCTAGGATCTGTGCTGCTTCTTCCATGATGATATTGTCGTATTTGAAGTTGAGTCCTACCAGTTCCGATCGCTTTATGAGGCGGCGCAAAGAGATATCACACATAGATTAGTAAAAAAAAACTTGATCAATCGAGAGATATAGTAAGATATACCTTGAGTGCAGCGTGGGTACATGTCATTGCGATAATTTTGGCTTCCTTGGTAATCAAGTAGTTTGCTCGATCGTATCCAGTACGCAGGAGCTCGAATGCTCGGATTTCTTCAAGTTCGGTAAACATCTTTTCCAAGTGTCTAAAGCAACCCTGGGCAGCTTCAAGTGCCTGCTCTGCGTCCATGGCGTCTGTAAATACTGGGGTTGGTGCATTTGAGAAGAAATAGGCGAATGGGAAACAGTTGCGAACATTGTCGGCTGCGTTGGTGTTGTTGACATCTCCTTTGAATTTATCCCACAGCGTCAGGACGTGGTTGCGATAAAAGTATCCGGCTGTCTCACAGGTTGATCCATGTTCGCCAGAAATACCCAATGATTTTGCTAATCGATCCACTTCTTGCAAAAGTTCTAAACGTCTTTCCAGGAATGACGATACACGACCGTACTTGCTAAAGCTCAGTTCTGTATTGAGTTCTTCTTCACCATGGCCCAAGCGTACCAAATGGTTCGAATCAATGTCTGTATACAGGTCACACAAATAAACGGATTAGTAAAAGAAAGTAGAAATGAGCGTCATGTAGGCTGCCGTGACGACGGGCTCTTACCGAGTTCCATGATCTTTTCAAATATCTGGTTCAAAGCTTGATTGCTGTGTGTAACAATAAGCGTGTGTTGATTAGGATTGTTGTGGTAGAGATTGGCGATGGTTTGTACAGCAACGTCAGTTTTGCCAGTACCAGGGGGACCAACGACCATTGTAAGACCATGGTTCATGCCGGAGCGAATAGCTTCGACTGAATGATAGATAGCAAAAGTAAGTTTTAGCATGTGGTTGTCTAATTCTTATCATGGTAGATATGTTGTCTCTCACCTTGGACAGGAGTGAAATGCACTGAGTTTTGCTTAGGTATGTCCTGTGGATAAGGTCCCATGTTTGGCACTTTGTATGTGGATACTTGCAATTGCTCAGGAGCCTCCTGTGCGGGTGCAGCTGATTTCTTTGATTTCTTTCTGGGTTTTTCTTCCACTTGTCCTTGTGCTGATGTGATAACGTACGGAGGCTGTACAGGTGCAGAGAATCCATCGGCGGGTTCGACAGTCTGAAATAGCGAAATAAAAAAAAACACATTTAGGAAATGCCTCATTGCTAGGTCATTGACAGAAAAACCATTTTTTTACCTTTCCAGGGAAGCTCTCCACCAAGTGATCCCAGTCCAAGAACGTGTCTCTAAAATTCAGTTCCCGGATACGGTCTGGCATGTTTGTATAATGCGCGCTGCTTGGATCGCCATAGCCAAGGAATACTTTTTGTAACCAATCGGGCACAACTAGATCACTTTGCATAAGGGTTCGGATCGTCTCGAGCACAGCCTTAAAGTTGTTTTCTTGTGGCTTCCTCCGCACAAGGATGTTGAACGTCTCATGCACATCCTCACCCTTGTGTCGATGAACGCGCTCCATATCCTGTTTGTATTGATTGGGATCCAGGGCCACACGCATTGTCCGTTGATAGCCAGTGAATCGCGGTCCACGATCGTTCACAGTAGGCTTGCGTACATCGTCAATCGGTCGTCCGTCACTGCCAAGCATGTCAATGATCTCGCAGCCACGGACATACTTGATACCGTAATGCGTCTTAAAGTCCTTGTTGTCCGTGTATTTTTCAACCGTCTTTTCATTAGCCTCAATCGTGAGCAAGAATACGATATCGTGCTTTCGAAGTCTGTCCCATTCACGTCGAATCGTATCGGTGTATTTGCCAACGTTGTATGTGATATCTGCAGTCACGTGGGCTGGATGATCTTCTCCCAGGTTGGGTTGTGCGACATCCACAATGTTGACATGCTCCAACTGCAATGCCATACGTGCCCAGCCGGCAAACTCGGTTTTGCGATCAGGGTATGTTAATCGAGGAGCGAGGCGCTTCACAATATCTTCAATGTCTTGTCGGATTTCATAGCTGCTTTCGAGACGGAAAAGCGTAAAGTTGCGAAGGAGATAGTCGTGGATGGTGAGGAATTGCAAGTTGAGCTTGGGAAGAGCGAGAGGTCCTTCGCCAGAATAGAATTGTGTTTGTACCAAAGTGTCGTTGAAAAGCGTTTGCTGTAATGGGTTAAATTGTTAATAACGTTTTCAACGTTTTGTTCGTCCACAAAATAATTTCTTCTCCTTGGCTAACCTCATCAGGGTACAGTGGCAATGCATTGATTCTTTTAACTTGACTTGTACGCTTTTCATACTTGGCAATCAGGTTTTCCAACAAGAATTTCTTTGCGTCGACTTGTGATCCGATAGCATCTGATGTAGGGCGGCTGCGAACATGGATTGCGTCACAAATCTGGACCAGTTTTTCAATAGGAACCGGTTCGAAATGCCACAACAGATCCTCTCGGGTGTCGATCGATCCCAGATTGGCTAGTGGTAAATCAGGCACGTCGTCTTTAAAGTTGCGGAAAATGGTATGCTAACGACATCCAACCAGATTTGAGTGAGTCAAAAAAAACCCTATCTTCCTTTTGACAGATCCACACAGTCCCTTAAAATTACCTGAAGCTGGATCAATTCGGATGAATGTGCCTGCGTCATATCAACCTCAGTAAGTGCCAGACCAGTTTGATCATTGATTTCAAACTTGGCATAAAAGGCCAGAGTTTCGAGCATTTGCTTCATACGTTCGACATTCTTGTGCTCGCGTTCAGTGAAGGGTGCCATACGACAGAGTATCACCACAGCATGATCGTCGAGTAATGTGTTGAAGAAACGGCGTGTCGGCAACTGTGCTTCCAAGTCAATCAAAAGTTCAAAGAAAGATTCGCAGTACCGAACAAGTTCCACATCCACTAAGTAATTTTTTTTTTGCTAGTGAGTACTATATGTGATCACTACCACGAAAAAAAAACCACATCCCCTACCATCTCCCTCTTTAGGTATTTGATAGACGGTTTCAATGAACTGCGTGAGGAGCATGCTTAGCCATTTCTGCTCAAACAAAAGCGACTCCTTTGTCTCGTCATCTAAAAAAAAGCATCACACCGAGTTGGCAACCATTTCAATCAGCACACTTACAACTAGTAATATTTTCCTACCGCTACTCTTACCAGCTGCATCAAACTTCTTCTTTGCGCTATTCCATAGTTTCCGTAATTGCACGTATTCATTCATGATAGCCTCGCGTCGTCCGTCGTTGGCCAAATTGGACCAGATCGTGATCGGTACCAGCCTTTTTTTAATAAACCGCGGTATTTACAGATCAACAAGTGATTACGGACCATTGGGAACCTTTTGAGGGGCTAAACTTACTTTAAGCATTCTTTGCGAACAAGAGGATTTTCCAAGCTCTGGAAACAATGAATAAGGAACGTCAAAATGATACGGCGGACAAGTAATGACCGTTCGTTTGATTGTGGTGGAACAGAAAGACGAATCACGCGTCCAAAGAAGGAAGCAAATTTGGCGGGATCAGAAGCGAACGTGTCTATAAAATTAACGTTTGTATTGTATATCCCTGTGTGTCAATATCCCAAACGTGTGTGTACGAAATCCGCTTTCTTCCTCTGTCTTTACCCCATGGTGATACGCGTTGACGGAACTTTTCATTGACAATAAGGCAAATAGACAAGACGTGGTTGAACGTTGCTGTATTCGCGTCAAAGAAAGGCCAGAGGTACTGTGTTGTTGTTTTTTTTTGGCAGCGTGTAAGTTGAATATTCAATCATTGGAGTGACATTCTAGATTCAGCAAGATCGCAGCCTCGATCGCGTTTGGTAATCTCTTACCTTTTCAAGATATTGTGTATATTCCAGCAACATGACCTTTCGAGCATTGAAATTATCAAGTTCTTTTTCGATAATTGTCTCGACGATGCTCGGATCCCATTCTGGTTTTTTGTCGGTCAAGTAGTAGTGTTTTTGGGCGATCTTGGAGATGGCATCGGAATTAATGTCTTCCAAGGTAAGATTCCGTGTACGTGAACCATAACCTGCCGCTACTTCACTCGGAGCCGCATGGAGTGGTAATGTCGTGTGCTGGAACATGTGTGTCGACATTACTGTAGGAAAGAAAAAAAGGGCCTCGAGACGGTCACGATAGGAGGAGGCTCTGGGTAATTGGGTGGTAGTAGCATTTTCTCTGACTTTGAAGGGAAGCTGAGACCCAAAAAAAAATAGTGCACACTTTGCCCCCATTGATGCTTTATGCTTTTGCATGATAAGAAGAGTCACTCTATTGATGATGGTGGAACTAGCAGCTGTCATAATAACATCCTTTACTACTGGTATCTTTTAAAAGTCTGCCAAAAGCTCGAGTCAGTCACCGAAAAGTGCGTAACCTCTTTTGTAGATATTTTACCTTGACAAATAGTAACCCTCCCCTTACTGCAATAGCGAAACATGGCTCATTGTTCTTAGTAACTGCATCATCATCTCCACAGCCTTTGAACCTTCGTTCATCCGACCATGTTCCGGAGTGCAATTGGAGGTCCGGGGGGTGGGGCAAAGTACGTTTACAATCTCAAGTTCACATAGCGGTCATAGACGGCACGCGGTCATCGTATTGAAATTTTGAACTTGGAGCCGGTCGCAGCCAAAAAAGTAACTCGGTGATACCAGATTTTAGCGTGGCCTGCAATACAATAACGTATGACGGTTACTATATCAGCAGGTTTCTCTCCAGGAACTTGTATCATGGTATAATCTGTGTGGATTTGAATTGCTCGCGTCAGAGAGACACCTGACGTGTTTGACGAATCGGATAACAAAGAAGCCATTCGTTTTTCACTCGTTGAATGTCAAAGCGAGAAAGAGTGTTTCTTGGAAGTAGGATGGCAACCTCTTTTTTTCCTCGAGGTCAGAGTCCAAACATCGTTTGAAAGAGCGTCTGTGGGAGAAATCATTAAAAGAGAAAACTCAATTACACCTGAAAATTGAAAGTACTCAACTTGTATCATAGCAACACAATTTTGGTAGCTATGCGACCGTAACTATCAAACGTTCAACAGTATCGTCACAATGGTTATATAGAATATGAATGGCTGTCAAAGAACAAGATTCTGGGACTTGATGCATGCATGCTGTGTAGTAGTTTGCCCAACAAATGGCTGCATGCCTAAATGTCATGTAATACGCTGGGCCACTTGGCTAAGCCGAAATAAGCAGTATTCAACAACAAGTATCCTAAAATTGTTAAAAAAAGCGCGCATCAGAAAAGGGATCATTAACAAAGAGAGAGGAAAGGGGGCCCCGTTTGGGGGGGGAGGGGTAGGATGGGGTACGTATGTGATGATGAGAGGGGCCTAGCCTCTTTCTTCTTACACACATAAATTGTAGCAAGACGCATAATCTCTCAATGAACGCTCGGGTACTGTACACACACGCACGACCGTTTCTTGGACATTGTCACTCCACTCTACTTGCAAGGTTGTACCCTTTTGCAATGACAACTATCAGCTAACTACCAATGCCGCTGGCACCCGTAAGATACGATGGATACGTGGAGGCTTTCTCTCTTGTTACTATAATGGGATGTATACTTGCTCATAACATGATATATACTGTATCACGCCAAAGACATTTGCACCTTCTGTACACTTGTCCCCTCCCCCCAACCAACCAACCAACCAACCTAAAAGCCCATTCAAGCGTACAGTAGAAGGCTATACAATCATCATTGTGATTACGAGAATAGACATGATGACGGGAAACAACAGAAGATCATCATCCCTGCTAAGCATTGATATACCAGCAAAAGCAGAAGCACTACGGCTATTAATAGCATGACGCGGCTCATCACTGCACATCGCTTTTGATGATAACGCTGATGATGACGCTGATGCTGTTGTTGTTGGGTGTGTTGTGCCGTTCCTCTTTCCCACCTCCCCCACTCCCCCCCCCTCCCCCAGTACTACTACCCCCCCACACTCCCACTCATCCTAAAACAGTCAGTTGACTATGAAACTTCTTTTTCTATCAGCAATAATCCCTCTCAACCCGCTTCCATGCTATTCCAAGCGTAGATGGCACACTGTGCTTACAGAAAAAGACACGTTCTTGGAGGAAAGGTGGCAATCTTGCTGTGAGAAAAAGAGAAGAAGAAGAACAAAAAGCAACACGCTCTCTCTCTCTCTCTCTCTTTCTCTTGACATACCAGAAGCAGTGAAGTTTCCGCACCTTCCCTAATTGGGCTTAGCTCAGAATCACCATTCGATGACGCAGTTTGAATTTCCACACTTTTACTCTCTTGTTTAGATAGAGTGTTCAAAAAGGTAGAAAAAAAAAAAAGAAAGAGAAGGTCTCTCCTTGGTAAGAGAAAGAGAGAGAAAGAGAGAGAGAGGACCACACTCTACTCCACAGATAGGCTCTTTGTTCAATACCCGCAAAAACTCCCCTTTTCCCTTCACCTTCTCTTTGCTTCTTCTTCTTCTTCTCCTCTTCCTCCTCCTAACAAGTCCTCTCTTTTTCTTTCTTTTCTTTTGCTGCCCGTTTTCCTTACTTATAAACCTCTTTCTATGCTCTTTCAGCAAAACTACATGCCTGGCGCCTTTCCTGCCGACAGACTCTATCTGCAGTCCCACAACAATCGTCAAAAGCAGCAAGATCCTAACACACGTTCAAGGCATGACTCTGATCCCGTAAGTTATATCTCCCCTTTCTGGCCTGTCAGTAGACCCGAGATGTCCTTCTTACCTGTCCTGATTTATTGTCTACAACTCATAGATTTCGCGCAACACTCACCAACAACAACAACAATCATCACAGCTCTCAGGCGCAATGCAATACGATCCTTCAATCTCCTCCTTCTTATACCCACAACCACAACAGCAGCAGCAGCAGCAGCAGCAACCACTACAACAACAACAACCACTTCCATTCCAAGTAACAACGAACCAGCATGACCCGCATTTACCGTCACCGCAATCAGCCTTTAGCCAATACCAACAACTGTATCAGCAATACTATCATGAGCAATCGCAGCAACAGCAACCGCAACAATCACACTATCTCCCATCCATCATGGTGCCGCCACAAAGTCCAACACTCGCGAGTTACTACTTTGAAGGGTCAAACGGCTGGGTGAACCACTACTACGATCCAAAGCGACGGCAGTATCTGTCAAGTCGGGTGGATCCAGAATTTCAAAAACAATACCAGCACCCACCACCACAACAACAGCAGCAGCAGCAACATCAACGTCATGGGACCTCTCACCACACTACCAGTATGGCCGCCGCTTTGCCAACCCTGGATAGCTTGGGTTTGAGTCCGCAACAGTTTCAAATCGCCGTACAACAACAACAGCAACAACAACAACAGCAGCAACTCCTTCAATTCCAACAGCAACAGCAACAGCAGCAAAAGACATCTCAGCAGCATATTTATCCTTACTCCAGCTATGATCTGAATCAGCTACTTGTTTCCACCGCCGCGGTGGCAGCAACAAACCAGCAGCAACAGCAACAGTACCTTGCAGCAGCAGCAGCAGCAGCCGCTGCAGCAGCTGTGGCGCAGTCTTCGAGTGCATCCACAACGTCGGCGGGTGGTGCATTGTCACAGCAACAAACAGGAGGAGTTGTCTTCCCATTGTCCAATTTGCCACAGTGGACCGAAGAGTGGCGAGAAAACATGCTGCAGTACGCTCACTCTCTCTACTCGACCGCGCCACGCAACCCAGATCTGCTCACCATCCTCCACGGCATCCACAACGCGTATCCTGACCATCTACCCACGCTGCTGCTGTTGGCATGCGTCTATTATACCTATCAGGACTACCAGGCGTCGTTAAGGTACAACCAGCTGATTCTCAAGTACGACCCGCATTATGTGGAAGCAATGAGCAATATCGGTACCACCTTGCGGAGCATGGGGCGCACTGCGGAGGCAGAACAATGGTGGTACCAGGCCGTGAAACTTCGTCCAGGCTATTGGGATGCAGTCGAGAATCTTGTTGGTGTCTTGTGTTCGACATTAACTAATCCCAGTGAAAGCCAACAACAGGACAAGGGATCGACAAAGATTGCTGTTGCATCATCATCGTTATCGGCACTGTCACTGTCTACACCTACTGCATCTTCTTCTTCTGCCGCTACACCCCTTTCAATAGGAGCAGCAGCCCTATTAGGCACAACATCCGCAACAACCGCCTCTTCATCAATATCACAAACGTTAAACAATGCCACATTAACAAATGACGATGGCAAAAAACGTCAACAACAACAACAACAACAGGTCTATCCACGGTACAAAGAAGCATTGCGCGTGTGCGAGTTTGTCGAGCAATACTTTTTTAAAGGCCAAGAAACAGCAACAAGCAGCGGCCCGATCAAAGCGCCGAAACAGCTTCCGGTGCACCAGCTGCCGCGGATGCAAAACTTGTTTTATGCCAAGGGCAATCTCAAATATGCACTTGGCGACGTGATCGGCGCACGGCGAGAGTACGAAAAGGGTCTTGAGCTGGTGTTTGGCGGTACGAATCTTGTTGCAGTGGGCAACCACATTGCACTGGCGTGCGGTTCGACTGCTGTCATGGAAGCCACACAGTACGGCAAATTGTTGGACCCATCGGCGTTGCCGTTGGTTCTGCTTCAACCCGATCAGGCCGTGCGCATCATTCAAATCGCATTTGCTCAGTCAAGCGGGGTCCTGCCTGGTCTTGTTGGCTTGACTGCAGGAACGGGCACCACCACAACGACAACGGCGACAGGAGGCGACACTACTGCAAATGCTACCAATGCACTTCAACAGGCGAATCAGACAACCTCGACCATCCTTCTAACGCTGGCCAAGCTTTTCCAAGACATGATGAACCCATCCACGCCAGCCATTGCAGCTGCCGCCACAGCAGAGGGACGTGCAGCACCGACCATGTCTCTCTTATTGCCGCTGTACTACCTCAGTCTTGCGCTTCATCCAAGTCCATCGACAGCAAACAACTTGGGTATCATTCTGAGCAACATTTCAGGCGCAAGCGCTGCTCTTGCAGTAAAACTGCCAACGACTGCAACATTACCAACCCAGCAGCAGCAGCAGCAACAGCAAGCAACGACGGGTACAATGCTGGCGATGCAATACTACATGTATGGTCTGCAGCTGGATAACCGCCATCCACACCTGTACACCAATCTAGGCTCGCTTCTCAAGGACATGGGCCATCTCAACGAAGCAGTCTGTATGTACGAAAAAGCGGTCGAGTGCAATCCTCGCTTTGATGTGGCGTTGGCCAACCTGGGCAATGCCATCAAGGACATGGGACGTGTGCAAGACTCGGTGCAGTGGTACCGACGTGCGGTCGAGGTGAATCCCAACTTTGTCGATGCCGTCTGTGGTCTGGTCAATTCGTTGGGTGGTGTATGCGACTGGCGTGGACGTGGCGGTGTTGGCAACGAGGCGACGGTGGATCAGCTTGGCAACTTTTATCCGGCAGCAGGTGACAAGACGGCGCGCAGTGGATGGATTGGTCGCGTGGTAGAGATTGTTGAAAAGCAACTCGACGAGGGTGCGGTGTGGGGTGTAGGCGTGCTCAAGACACAGGTGGATCAACAAGGCAAGTCGCTGGGTGAACATTTTGCAGAGATTCTAGTGCAGTCGAACGCTTCTTCTTCTCCCCTTGGTGTGGTCAACAATGGTGATCCAGCACGGTTGGTGGAGCTGTGGACAAGGCGTTTGGCCCACTTTTCGGACCTGCAAAGCTCGACGACGGACAACAAAAAGAACGAAGGCGGTTGGCTGATTCGTCTGATCGAGCGTATCATGCGGCGGCTTCAGCGCAACTGGTACTTGGAACAGTATGGCGCGACGGTGCATTCAGACTTGCCACAGAGTGCTATTTTGGTGACCAAAGAAGCGTCACAACGGTATCAGCGGCCACTGATACCCTCGAGTCTCGCAGCACCGCCAGTGCCGACGGTGCTGCCTTTCCACACGTTCACATACCCGCTGACTGCCCGCGAGGTTCGCCTGATCTCGCATCGGAATGCACTGCGCATATCGCACGGAACGCTGACATCCTCTTGGGTCGCTGGGCATGTATACCCGCCTCCAGCACCACCCGCACCACGGCTCAAGGTGGGCTATGTCTCGTCCGATTTCAACAACCATCCACTAGCGCATTTGATGCAGTCGGTGTTTGGTTTCCATGACACCCACAAGTACCAGGTGTTTTGCTACGCAACAACGGCGAGCGACAGCTCACCGTACCGTCAAAAGATTGAACGCGAAGCAGAGGTGTTCATTGACGTGTCGAGCTGGTCGAACCAGCAAGTTGTGGAGCGCATCATCAGTGACGGCATCCACGTCTTGGTCAATCTGAACGGCTACACCAAGGGCGCGCGCAACGAGATATTTGCAGCAAGACCCTGTCCGGTGCAGTGCTCGTTTATGGGCTTCGCCGGTACGCTGGGCGGTGGCTGGTGTGATTGGATCATTGCCGATCCGATTGTGTGTCCACCTGAAATGGTGAGTTGTGAAGTGTGGCGACAACGGCGACAACAACAGCACCACCAACTACACGTCTCGCTGTTTGTTGAAGACGGGGGCGATTTCGAGGGCGACATTGATCCGGAAGAAAGCAGCGATGATTTCGTATACACCGAAAAGTTCATTTATATGCCACACTCGTACTTTGTCAACGACCACAAGCAAGGATTCCGGGAAGAACATGAGACAACGACGGACAAGAACGCGGCACAACAACTGATGCTTCAACAACCACCACCCCCGCCACCGCATGCCGATGATCACGAAGGGCTTTGGGCAGTCGAGGAAGACCGAAGATGGTCGATGCGACAAGAAGTGTTTCCGAACCTGCCACCGGATGTGGTCATTTTCGCCAACTTTAACCAGCTGTACAAGCTCGAGCCATCGACGTTCCGGATGTGGCTGCGCATCTTGGAGCGGGTGCCCAATGCGATCCTGTGGCTGTTGCGGTTCCCTCCAGCCGGCGAGCGCCATTTGCGACGATGTGCGACCGAATGGGCCGGCTCTCAGACAGCCAACCGGGTGATTTTTACGGATGTGGCGCCCAAACATGTGCATATCCATCGAGGCCGTGTGGCCGATATCTTTTTGGACACGCCTGAATGCAACGCGCATACGACGGCAGCGGATATTCTCTGGTCTGGCACACCGATTGTGACGTATCCCAAATACATGCACAAGATGTGTTCGAGGGTGGGTGCTAGCATTGCGCAGGCCACAGGCTATGGCGAGGAAATGATCGTCGCGACGGAACAGGAGTACGAGGATCGAGCAGTGAACTTGGCGCTGGGACTCAAGTATACATACGAAACGTCGCCCAGAGACGGCAAGACGCATCGACAAGGACATGGCGAGCTGATGTCGTTGCGGAAACGGCTGTTTTTGACGCGTGAAGATAGCAGGCTGTTTGACACCTGTCGATGGACGCGTAATCTCGAACGTGGCTATGCGGAGGCGTGGAGACGATGGGTGACGGCAGAAGAATTCGAGGATGTTCATCACGATACGAATACAGCTGGCTGCATTTGGGTGTCTGATCCAGATGATTAGACTGCTTTTTTACTACTTTTTACTACTTTTACTTTTTCCCTCTCTTCATACTCTACACTTTTCTTTTTACCATACATAGTTTCTTCCTTTTCTAACCACTGCACACATCATCGTCATATCGTCCTATCGTCATCGTGACACGTACGCACCCATACACACACCTTTTTAGATATTTCTCTACTTACGCCGATCCATATGAGTAAGAAAAGAAAAAAAAAAGCCGGGGAAGCAACAAAGCAAGAAGAAAACAAAAAGCAGACTGGTTGTTGTGTTGGATGGATGGAGGGATGTCTTATTCTTATTTGTATTTCATATAACGTCACTTGTACCTTAGGCTATGTGTATGTTTGTGCGTGTGTGTGTGTGTGTGTGTGTGTGTGTGTGTTTGTATGTGATTGTTATTCTAAGCTGTTCAGCTGCTACTGCTACTACTGCTATATCTTTGCTACACACAGCCCTCTCTCCCCTCTCTCCTCTTTTTTTCTTTATAAATTTGACAGGTACTAGGTAATCTGGGGGGAACCATTCAAGTCCGTCTAACTCATTCTGGATCTTCGAGAATCCCCGCATGTCAATTTAATATATCAGAGTGGTAAGAAAGAAAGCAAAAAAACAAATGTACAAAATCAATAAAAACAAAAACAAAGGATACGTGTGTGTGCATGGGGACCCCATTCCCTCTTGATACGTTTTTCGTCGATCGACCATGGCTATTATTTTACTTGGTATTTATCTGCTGCATCAAAGTCGCAATACACATTGTATTTTTGGCCTGTGCCAAAATCGGCCTCCATTCGAATCTCCGTCGTGCCAAAGTACATTCTACACGTATAAAGGGAAAGAACTTTTGAGTTTGCGGAAAAAAAGACAATGGAGCGAATTGGGTTTACCTGACGCTGTATGCAATCCGTTCGCCAATCATGACACCGGGCATATCAGGGATCGGCACGGATATGGCTGCAACGTGACGTACGCCTGGCTCATCGTAATACCGTGGCACCGTATCATTCTCTGTCGCATAAAGCATGATATCGGTGTGCTTCAGTGTTCCATAGTACACATACATTTGCTCTCGTATGCAATGGTCGACAGGAAGCACGTCGTTCTTCTTGACAAACATCAAAAACCGTGATGTGCATCGCACACTGCCATCAGGTCGTACGATCCGTGTTGAAGGAGGATCTATCTCATCGTCAAAAGGCAAGCCTGCGTTGATGCCGTATGTACGTCTTGACACTCGCGAAACGACGACTTGTGGATGGATCCCATAATAGGCTGCGCCTCGAACAACGGCCAGAGCCGCGCGTTCTGCCGGACATACGATCTGATTTACCTTGGTGTCTTGGAAAACTTGCTGGATTCTTTGGTATAAGTAATTCGACGAGCCAAATCCACCCACAAGGAAAAGATAGTTTAATTGGCCATCCGGGATTTGTTGGTATTGATGTTCAATAAGTGACAACTATCACAGATGTTTTAGTTATTTACTTATCTTCTGTAATCAGATTTTGAAAGGGGCATTTGCAGACTTACCACTTTGTCAATGATTGGATCAAACACTTGCTGTTTAAGTTCGTCCGCTGACAATTTAATCGTACCTTCATCCAAAGAACCGTCATCATAATCACGAAGACTTGCCGGTAAATCCTCTAGTTCCACGGATCGCGGCAAGGTGACATAATGATCATCGATACCATCAAACTCGGGTTTGATGCTATCGATAAACTGATCCATCAGATCGTTCATTTCGCGTGGCTGGATCTTGCTCATGACATGCGTGCCCAATTTTGCCTCCAACAAATCATGATATTTGTCATCCAGGAACACACTGCCGCAACTTTCGCCCATGCCCTTCGTCACTTCTTTAAGTTGTCGCTTTTTGCGGACACTAGTAGTTTCATCACCATCTCCTTCTTCAGTGGATGACGGTGATGATGAAAAGTTGACCTGAAACACTATTAAATCGACCGTGCCACCGCCAGCGTCGCACACCATGATCCGATCATTGTCTTGTAACTGAACCTGATCCGCCATGGTTTCCTCACAGTACAATGCGGCAGCCTCTGGCTCTGAAATAAGCACGAGTCGGTCGGATGGATCGGACGGAGCAATCAATCCAGCCTGGATGGCAGCTTGACGCATCATATGCTTGGCCCGGTCAGACCATAATGCAGGGACAGTCAGACAGTACCTGAACGTATCTGGATGGTAGTTCTTGGCAAAGCCACGCGTTAATTCTTGTACCGTATGCTGGTGTAGCGCTGCCAAGTAATCTGCAACGGCTTGAACGGGTGTCCTAAAATGCTAAATAAATAACCGTTTCTATCTATAGGCAATGGTTTTTTTTTTTTTTTTTTTTTTTTGGGAGAGGGAAAAAAAAAAGAAATATACTACTAACAAGCCATTTTCAAGCGGTGGTCTGTGCAGGGAGTCATCCAGGTGGAGTTTAAAGTGAGAAAGAAGTACATTTTGCTTGGCAGCGTGTGGTTTGAGCATCGCCTTCTTGGCGCCATGCCCCCATTCTGACAATTTCGGTCGTCGTCGTTGTTGTTGTTGTTGCTCTAGTGATGCTGGTTCTTGACGTGGATAGACAGACAAAGTGGGCACCTTTGGGAAAAAATTACCAGCTTTATGAGGCCTGTGTTTTAAAACAAATGAGAATGCGTTTGCGTTCCTGGAATTTTGTCACGCGTATAGATTTCTTTTTGGTTGGATCGGGGGGAGTTCGACGGGTTACCATTTCTGAATGTCAAACACTTCTGTAGGCGTGGAATGTGTAAACGCATACGCTGCTCCGGAATAGGTTGTACCGAAATCGTAGGCGATGACGACTTTATATTCTGAAGGCTGTTGCTGATTCGATCGAAGCATCTTGTTGTTGTTGCTGTAGCTGTGGAATATACAAATGAGAGGAAGAAATAGAAGAAGACGAAGGATTTGAAATAAGTAGGCTTTAAAGCTAAAGGTGACACAGAGAACCCAGTAACCCTATTATTTTTGGCGGGCTCTGCATTTATTTTAATGCACCAATGTTGGGAATGCAATGCGTACAATCTCCCTCCTGCTACTGCTACTGCTGATGTTTACCAAGTGCATGTTTGACATTGCTAAACTTGTGTTTGATTCTTCTCTTATATGTACGAGAGTTTCTCCATTCACAGTTCCTTCGTGTGTTAGACCGATTTTCCTCTTCTCATCTTTGTTTTATATCAGTTAAACAAGAATTGCTTAGTGACGACGGTGATACTCCTGTTTTCCACGTAGGCAATTGTGAACATAAAGCGACACAGAAAGTTTACTCGCGAAAGTACACGATTTTATAATTACACACTACGTAAACCCAGTTTGATACAGAATACTAACTTTTACTTTTAATAAAAGAAGTCGTATCTACATCACAAAGAAGTGGAAGCAGCCCTTACGCTCACTACCAATATTCGTGTGCTTTCATCATCTCCACCACCCCACTTTAACAGCACGACCAGGGAAATAGTACAGTAGACTTCTGTTCATTTCTAGCTGCTCATTCTTAAAGGTGTATCTACTCATAGTACTGCGAACATTCCATACTAATATTGAGCACAAAAAAACTATGCAACGTCGGCAAGATCTAAGGTTTTAGATATCAAGTAGCCTGCCCAATGGGGCTTTATATATTCTAATTCTATATCATACCATCAAAGAAATACAACCTAAACTCAGGATCAACCGTGTATGGTCATTATGAATCTTGCCTATAGAGCAAATCAAGAGCCGAAGCACAGTATTTACAGCAACACCTTCGTAGCCAATACCACAAACAAAACATCCTGAGGCTTCTTCTCATTGATATCAATATTGTCTCAAATCACAAAATACAATGGCATATTTGCCGTACTACAAAGTAAGCTGGATCAGAAAATATCTGTAGATCGTTAACTTAACAGCTCGATACACAGGAGGATACATACAGTTACATATTGATACATCAATCCTCACTTAGAATGCTGTATGATAGAGTAACTACATGTCTTTAAATAGGGTCAATTAATAGAAGAAGTCGCTAGGTTTGACGGCGTAGACAAAGAACTTAGCAAGCTGGAAAGCCCCCTCCTGAACCCGGATATCTTTTGACTTCACTGGGAATAGGATGTGAACTTCAGTTAGAAGAAGCTTGGAGCGGGGTGCAGTCTTGATGGTATGTAGTAAAGAAATGAATAACCTGCATCATTACTACGGCCCAACAACATCAACAAAAGGAAGCAACTTCCGCTCGTAAAACCAAGCTTCGACCCAAACTGTTGGCAAGACCGTGCAAAAGAACAAGGACAAAAAGAGTCCCCAGAAAAACAATAATATAGTATTCATGGGCATATAGTCATCAATATAGAAAGAGACATATCTACAAAGACACATGGTGGACGCTAGACAAATAATCGCAAAACAGGTACTTATTTTCAATTGCAGTCACATCCTTGGAAGCAGATACGAATTACTACGATAGCTCCACTGCATAATATCGAAAGACATGGTAGGCGTTTTATTTGACGAGCGATGTAAAGAAAAATGATTATGTCTCTGCAAAGTTTCGTGGCACAGTGCCAATCGGCTCGCCTTCAGCAGTCTGAATAGTAGGCTTCCTTTTTAGTGTGTGTGTGTGTGCACGAAAGACAGAGAAACAGAGAGAAAAGAAGATATATACGTACCACGTAAGCGTTAGCCAAACCACCATCCACCAGAAAGTCCGTTCCCGTAACGTATGAGCTTTCATCCGAAGCGAGGAATAACGCACCGTACGCCTGTTCAATTGCCTCACCTGTAATTGTTATCTGGATTAAGTAAACGCCGTGACATAAGTGAGCACTAACATCTTTTTGCGTCTTACCGAACCGTCCTTGAGGGAGATGAACAAGCCGTCGTTGTTTTTTCTCCTCAGTGTTCAAAAAGTCCATGAGCAGTGGGGTACGCAATGGCCCCGGGCACAATGCATTAAACCGGATGTTTTCCCGAGCATGCACCATGGCAAGTTCACGGCTACACAAAGTAAAAATTTAGCGTGTTGCTTAGCAACATCATGCAAACTCAAAATAATAAAGTAATCGAAACGCCACTACATACGTCATGGCCAAAACAGCGCCTTTGGATGCGGTGTCTATTTGGGGTTTATGAAAGGGACGGTTACTACTAAAGACAAGTACGCATTGAATGGAGATGATACCTGTCTAGAATTACAAGTGAGCTTACATGCAAGTTGGGGTGTCGCAGCACCACGCAAGGCAACGAAACTCGCGGTATTGATAACGGATCCTCCACCTGCCTGTCTCATGGCTACGATAGCATGCTTGCATCCATACCAAACACCCTTCACATTGATGTCCATGGTGAGATCCCTAAGTAGCAGGACAACGACATGATCGTACAGTAAGCACCCAATGGCAGCAGTTTCGCCCAATGTCGTCAAAAAGAAGGGAGTATGTATGTGTCTTACCAAATACGCTCTTCGGTTGTTAAAGCACTGTCGTCCTCGGGATGCATGATACCCGCGTTATTGAACATAATGTTGAGTTTTCCTGTTTTGTTGGTATTGCAGAGCAGCAGTAAGAACTATCAGCTATCTTATGCTGCAAGTACGTGTATGGAGAGGGTTTAAGCCTACCGTATGTTTTGACAGCGGTATCCACAAGATGCTTAACTTGCTCCTCCTTGGATACATCTGTCTTGACAGCGATCGCTCTTTTCTCGCCTGCAACAGACGTAATCTTTTCTACAGTTTTCTGGATGCCTTGTTCGTTGAGATCGGCACACACGACTTGTGCTCCTTCTTTCGCAAACAGCACCGCAGCTTCAAACCCTATGCCGCTACATACAACGAATGTTCAAGTTCAATGAATTCTGTTTAGGAATGGCTATACCACCAAAAGCGTACGACGCAAATAGGGGAGGTGCATGATGATCCTGACGACGACAACCGCAACAACACACTACCTTGCAGCACCGGTGACTATAGCAACCTTTCCCGATAATCTTTGATTTCCTGTCATTTTTCTTTTATGTGTGTGTGTGTGTGTGTGTGTATGGAAAAAGGGAAAAGAGCAGGTGAGAGAAGAAGATGAAGTAAAAGGAGGGGACGCGATAGATTGCAGTGGTGAAAACAAAGAGAACAGGTGTGGGAAGATTTAAAGAAAACTGGATATATAAACACAAACAATCGAACAGAAGCAACTTTCATTCGCTCAACGACATCCTACTGAGACCGCCACTTGCATCCTGCAAATTGAACGACGATGACGACAACTGGCCCGGTTTTTGCTGGGCACGTGCAGCCGCGTTGCTTGTTGGGCTACTCCCATAAAACGAGTAAGGAGGACTGGATATTGCAGATAATACAGGTGACCCTGAAGCGGAAACAGACGGCGATACGGCTCTTCGTTTCAAACTGCTTGTCGGATAAGGTTCAAACCGATCCTCAGAAGCTATCATCATCATCATCATCATCAGCAAACAATCATGATGATTTTGTTAGCACACACCCTCAATTCTCATACTTAATTACCTTTTCGTTTAATGCTCTTATATGTCTGATGGATAGGGGATGGGAGGTTATCACATTGAAAATTCTAAATGTGATGAATATACCGCGAAAATGTTATTAGGTCCAAGAGTCATGTGGTGCTGTTGTTTCTGTATAACTTACAGTCATTTCCATCTCTGGGTTGAGCTTGGATGCATGATACGGTGCCATAGTAGGAGAGCCTTCAGGATCCCTGATGCGAGCCCAAGCCACGGCAGGAACCGATCCTGATGCCTATTCAATATTGTTATTCCTGTTTCCTCTCTCTATATCTCTCTTTTGCATGTTAGATAATAGACGTACAATTGGTTTGGCATCGTTACTGCTACTACTACTGCCACTGCCACTGGCATTAGCAGATAAATCCGTATCCATTGACATTCTGCCCAGTCGTGCCTTTATCTGGTTTGTCATGTCCCGCTCCCTACGCATTTCTACATCGGCAGGCCTTGTTTCCTCCTAAGTCATGATAACATGTAGAGTAGAGAAAAATGAACATGAGTCGATATATACATGTAGTGCCTTATAGATCCAACAATCTACTCTCTCTCCCCCCCCCTCTTTCTCTCTCCTTTCCTATTCCCAGAAAGCAAAAGTGATACTTTACATCTGCTTGACTCATAACTCTGGCCAACGCCTTGGATCGTGGCTAAAAAAAACAATTAAGTAGGAATGTTGTTAGACAATCCAGTAAGGAAAAATGCTGCTTTACGGTCACCAAGACTTACTAATAGAGAACTTCTTCGGGTAACGCTCCTCCGCTCAGGATCGCTGCGTTTCAGAGGACTGCCGCTGCCGCTACCACTTCCACTGGCTTCAGCGCTACTGCTGCTTGCTGACCGATGATGGTGTCGATGGTGATGGTGATGCGATATCCGCTCTGTTGAGGATGATCGTCGAACTATGTCTGGTCGAACAGAAGACAACGGAGGGATGGAAGGGGCAATAAATTTCCTCCCATCAGTCAAAGAGGACGAAGAAGAAGGAGAAGCGTTGGATGCTGTAGGATCTACCATGATTTCATCCATACCAAAATCTGGCTGTGGAGGTTGCTGTGAAGAGGATGATGATGATGGTTGTTCTTGTTGTTGTTGTTGTTGGTGGTGGTGATGATGATGATGATTCTGGTGTTGATGAAGTCGTGAAGAAGGCGTGCCAGGAGACCAGGTGCTTGAAGCAAGTTCAGAAGAAAGAGAGCGAGTTAAGCGCCGTGAAGAAGGTTGCGGCGGTGGCATGGTATCCTGGAGCGGATAATAGAGCGGTCGTGAGGAAGAAGAAAAAGAGGAGGTGGGAGAAAGAAGGCGGCTGATACTGTTACTACCACCACCCATACCACCACCTGCAGATATAGAAGATACCGACCGATTGTCGTCGGAATCAATGCTCATTTTCTGTGAAGACGATGAAGGAGATGCTGTCAATGAAGCAGAAGACGATCGCCTTCGTCGTAACAGTGGTGGGAACTCCCGAATACTGCTATGGTTGGTATGGCTGTCGCTTTCGAGATCAGACATTCGGCCAAGTGGGTCCTCGTCATCCGTTGTGTAGCTTCCGCGACGTTGACGGTGATGGAGACTCGGTGTGGAACGTCGCTTCATATTGGTTTGTTAAAGTGTTTGACACAATCAAGGGTATAAGGAAAGAGAGGCTTGCTACAGTATTAAAAAAGTAGAAAATTGGGGCGAATTTCTCTCACACTCCCTCTTAACTACCACCACTCGCATATATTTGTTTTTGCGGCACAAGGAAATCAATCGAAAAGATCGACTTTTCGCAGTATTCGTTTACCGGGTTGCGCCAAAGCATACCATCTTTTGATAACACAGTTTTATGTACTGTGCTTTTGACGACGAGAATACACAAAAAATGCGGCCAGCTTTGACGATACTAGTGTGCAATGGCCATTTGTACTGATTAGGCAATAGAGAGTTTGGGTTTCATCGTGGAAGAGCTCAGGACTTTGTGTCCAATTTCCAAGCATATTTGAAACACTTTAAACAAATGTGATTCAACCAGAATACCCACTTCTCTGCACAAATATCAAATCAAACTGGAGCGTGGAATGGCAGCGACTCTATAGTACGTATAACAACCGCGAAGCTTTCCTAATCATTTCTTCACATACATATTATAAGCGTGAAGATTAAATTGTCACCTAACGGATAATTTTCATGATAGTGCTACTGAATTAGTATGATATTCTGTAGAGCAAAAGGTGCCAGCATATATGTACTTGCCGGGATGAAAGCAAAAAATAATTGCAAGATGACACTTGCCGGCATTTTTCGTATCATCATCATGATCAATCGAGCATGCACATCATCAACATATACATCGTTAACGGCATTATGGTTATCGTTAACTTCGGATGGACCATGAGCAAAATTTTTACGCAATTTAATTTTTCAGTTCTCCTACCACACTAGCGCGTAATGTGATGGATGACAGTAGTAATGCATAACCCCCTATGCTCACAAAATTTATAGTTCCCTGATCAAGAGTACCTTACAAGAAGAATCTTGCTGCTTATAAACAACTGAAATAATACTGATATTTCTCAGGGAAAGTTGTGGCAGGGAGGGATGAAAGAGTCGAATGACTAGGAGCCATTCTAAGATAAATATTAAAGCTTGTCAATGCTTATGGCAAGAATCACAATAATAACCATTGTGAATGGAAGATTGAGTGATCGTAGCAAAATTGGTACCGCCAAACAGTCTTCTACGGTATGTACTATTCTAACCATCATCTGTTTTTGAGAGATAGATGTAGGTTTTCTGCTATTGATGCGATAACGCTGCATATGACAAAGCGAGGTGCATTCGACATAGACCTAACGAGTATTACCTATATGTAATCACAACAGTCAGTATGTGTAATTCAAGGTGCCCCTCTTTCTCTTTTATCTGATCATCAGCTACATTATATGTATGCATATGATGTCTTAATTGTTGGAGGGCTGATATGTAATGGAGATCTTCTGCGTATAAGACTCATTCACGATACTGTTGCAGGTTTCCATTTTGCTCTCGGATATAAACATAGATAAAAAGTACATGTGTGGAGACCTGCTTTAGTTGCCAGCGTCATCTAATAAGTTATTATTCGACACATATCACTCAAAATCTATATACTGGAACGCATAAATTTGCCGTGTGCCCGTATGAATTCCGAACCTCTAACTCGTGTTCCTACTTTTTTCTACAGTATGTGCTCTCCTCTCCATTATACTAAAACCTCGACGCTGCCATCAATCAACAATGTCTGTAAACCTAACCGACATAATACTACTTCCGAAACATGGCAAAAACAGGCCCACCAGTTTCTTTCCTTTTTTTTTCACCAGATTAAGTGTTTCATTATATGCAGTCATTTCAAAAGCAATGGTTTCCTTGTGATATTCATACTAATATCATCACTATGAATGGTATTTTCAAGGAGTGAGATCCATTTGCACTGCCATCGGATAAGATGTAGTGCTAAAAGCGGACGTGCGATTTGTGCACAAGACCAAAGGCTACGACACGGCAGAATTCTGCAAAGACAAGCCTCGCCCGTTCAACAAAGGAATCGAATTGCTTTTGGAAGGGTAGGCTTTTGTTAGGTCAATTTGCACCATACGGCTTCAAAATGGTCTACTGTATTTGTTACGTTTAACAGGTAACGCGAAATTCATTATTGAAAGGAGATAAAATTGGCTTACTAGAAATTTCTTTTTGCCATCAGTGCTATCAATGTACATTATTACATTGGAGCTGGTTGCTCCTGGTCTGTACGTTGCGTACTCTAAATCAAAAGAGATCGAGCTGCCACAACTCAAGAGCAAGCTAGATATCTGAAAAGCAAAAGCACACCAGCTCTGCTCGCATTCTGGGTTAGGACTCTTCTGATCAAGGAAAAGAACAAGCTTAGGCGATTGCAGGCTGGTTTGTAGTAGTGAAGGAATCAGAAAACGCGCATCCCCTCATTTTGTATATATTTTTTTTGTACAAACTAATTGAAAGAAACCGATAAATAGTGCGCAGTTAAGACCGGCCAACAGGTTCGGCTCTCAATCAAGTCAAATCCTTGATGAAGCAGCCCTTTCAAAAATTAAAAGCGTGCAAAATCTGAGTGGTACCTGACCCCGCTAATTCCAAATTCAAACCTCCTATTTTAGCGAGGCACCACTATACTATCGACTCAATTTTATCGAGGTTTCATAAAGAAGATGCTGCTTTGTCAGCCCCAAAAGTTTATAGATCAACTTATAGAAGGTAATAATAGATACACAATACATATACAGGCGAGGTTTCATAAAGAAGATGCTGCTTTGTCAGCCCCAAAAGTTTATAGATCAACTTATAGAAGGTAATAATAGATACACAATACATATACAGGCTAGATGAATCAGATTAAGGAAGGGGTTAGCAAGGCTGCTTGAATTCTGGTAGCGCTGTCCAAGTGGCCAGTACCCTATGCTTTCGCCGCTTTGTAATTCTTAACCCAGCTTATCATACTCTTGTCTTTCCCTCTCACTTTCTCTCCAGATCCTGTCCGAGAAAAAATAAGTTAACTCATAGCACTGGAATGACAGATCAACGGATCAGCGCTATTGACAATGAGCTTGAACGAATCAAAGAAGAAATCAACCTTCTCAAAGCAAAACGCGTCAGCTTACTCGAGCAACGACAGGATGTATTAGACGAGATCGCCAGTGCCGAACATATGGAGCTTGCGGGCGACAACAACGTCGACTATGAATTACAGAATTTCCCTTGGTCACAACAATTGCAACAACTTGCGTATCACCACTGGAACATCACATCGTTTCGACCACTACAAGTACCCATTTTAAATGCTGCGCTCGATCGTAAACGCGATATTTTCGTGGTGTTACCGACAGGTGGCGGCAAGTCCTTATGTTATCAGTTGCCAGCGCTGTTAGAGCCTGGATTTACATTGGTTATATCGCCACTTGTTTCATTGATCCATGATCAGGTGTTTCATTTGCAAAAAGCCAATATACCGGCAGCCTTGTTGACAGCTGGTAGCACCAAGGAACAAATGAAAATCGTCCATGAAGTGATGGCAGGCAAGAATACCAACCCAGAGCATCAGTTCAAATTGATTTACGTTACGCCAGAACGAATTACCCAGTCGAAACAATTCACAAACAAGTTGAATATCGCCTATGATCAAGGACGGTTATCGCGTATCGTCATCGACGAAGCCCACTGTTGCTCGCAGCAAGGTCACGATTTTCGGTAAAAAGAAACATTCTTGGTCCTTGCTTGGTTCATCTGTTTGGCTGAATGAATATGATTGAATTCTACATTTGTTTGTTCGATAGAAACTCACTATAATTTTCATCTAGCCCTGATTACAAAAATCTAAACGTTCTTCGGGTCAGTAGCTTATTCAATCTGCATTTGTAAATGAGACGATTAGGGAAAAAAAAGGGACTAATGTGTTGATGATGTTTTTTAAAAAAGACCGTGTTACCCAAGGCACCCATCATGGCACTTACGGCGACATGCCCTTGGAATATCATGAAAGATGTGATGAATATCCTCGGGCTCCGACAACCACAAGTTCCCCGCGGTACACTGGTTTACAGCGCGCCATTGCATCGTACGTTTTTCCCCTCATTCATGATATTAGTCAAAAGAAGTAAATTATAGGGCGATATCCACAAAATTTAGGACCCAATTTGGTTTACCAAGTGCTCCCAAAGCCAGACACTATGAAAGAAACAATCCAGGACATGTCAAAGTGGATTTTGGGACACTACAGGGGTCATTCCGGTATCATTTACTGTCTTTCAAAAAAGGATACAGAGACCGTCGCCAGAGATCTGTATAACGAGAGCAAGGGCAAAATCAAGTGTGAAGTTTATCATGCTGATTTAACATATGTATGGCACCACCTTTTCTTTCGAGCAGATATTATTTCATTTGCGCATACACACACACACACACACGCAGAGAGAGAGAGAGAGAGAGAGAGAGAGAGAGATGACTAACAAGAACAAAACTTGTACGTGTGTGCCGATCTTTTATAGGAAAGTAAAGAGGACGTCCATCGTTTGTGGCGGGAAAAGAAGGTGCATGTGATTGTTGCCACGATTGCTTTTGGCATGGGTATCAACCATTTGGAAACCCGGTTTATTATTCACCACTGCATGTCCAAGTCTCTGGAGGCATATTATCAAGAAAGCGGACGAGCTGGTACGCCCTATTTTCAAAAGTTTTTGTAGTTTCGCCCCCCCCAAAAAAAAACAACATACTTGTTGTAATGAACTCACAAAATCTAAATCTCGCATGACGTTTATGCTACTAGGTCGTGACGGACAACGAGCCGATTGTATCATCTATTATCGCGGTCAAGATGGTACTGATCAGACTTTTCATTTCAGCGTATTGTTTAATCTCTCTTTCTAACTTTTTAATTATAGTTGCACGTCTGTCCACTCTGGTTGTTTCGGACGTGTTTGGCGGTGTCAACTGTAAGTCATCATCCTCGCTTATACAGGACGAAGAGGGAAAAAAACATACCACTCACATAGAGCACACACATACATCTGGAGCTAACAAAGATAGTTCTTAGTATACAAAATGGTGCAATATGCGCTAGAACTTAACATGTGTCGAAAAATCATGTTTGAAAAGTACTTTGCCGTTGATCCATCCATTCCAGCATTTACATCAGGCCTGGTGAACGAGATAAGTCATGACACGCCATGTGGGACGTGCGACAATTGTACTCGAGTACCCGGTAGTGTTAATTATGTGAATATTGCAACAGAGGCCGTCACAGTAGCTCGCTTGTGTCGTATGCTGAAGGAGATAGGCGAGCGGGTAACCTTGACCAAATTAGTTGGTCACTGGCAAGGAAAAGGCTTGAAAGCATTGAAGTTGGACGGACTGAAAAAAGACAGCAACGTGGAGATTCCTGCCAAAAAGTCCTTTTCCACTCAGGTAAAAAGCAAAGCAAAAAGATCACAAATGGGCTATGTAGACGAATAGGAACGATAACTGGGTATTTCCTTCATCTAGGACCTCGAACGCATTGTAAACTACTTACTGATCGAGCAAGTCTTGAAGGAAGACTTCCATTTCACTCCATATAACACCATTTCGTAAGTTATTGCTTGGGGGAGCATAGATTTTTTTTTCTTAATTCTTTTATTTGTCACACAGACACTATGCTTCATCTTTGATGCTCACATGTCTTTCTATTATCAGGTACGTTACCGAAGGACCTCGATCTCAGGAATTACTGCAAGCACACCAGAATGGCATGGCACTTGATACACAAGTTGCATTCCTTCATCGTTCCGAAAATGACAATAACAATGCTGCATCGTCATCATCATCATCTTCAACAAGGAATAATCGAACGACCAGCAGCGATCATACAGCACCTAAAAAACGTAAACGAACAATACCAGATGATGATCATTCATCTTAGAAGACGAATAGTATCCATGTTTTCTACTCTGCACACCCTCCAGTATGTACCAACGCATACCCCACATGTACTCTGTTCAAGCATCACGAAATCATTACAATTTGCTACTCCAAAGAAAATGTAGAAAAAGAAAATAACGACCATTTTATACAATTTGGAAAAAAAAAGAAGGATGATAGAGGGGTTGAAACCTTGGAAAAGAGGGGATGCACAGAAAGGAAACATGTGTGGATCTCGCTATCCACAAAAGAAACAAATCGTGAATTATATGTAATGTGGATCTGCGTGTAATGTGTAGGTGTGTATGGGTGTGTATTTGAGGAAGAGATGGAAAGAGAGAGTGAAGGAGACCAGATCAAAGCCCACCCCTCAGTCTTTTCTTTTTTTGAATGTGTGCGCATAAATGTGTGAGTGAATAATATATATAAAATGTGGCACCAGAGAAAAACTTACTATGGAGGGGGGTAGGTTGAGAAAAAGAGATGTGATCATTCTTTTCTTTACTCCCAAGAGGATTCCACAGTTTCACGCACTCGTCTCACGTACTCCTTTCTGTTTTCACGGTAGAGATTAGCGGCCTCGGCATTGGCGGGCGAGTTGGGATTGGGGTCATGCAGCAAGGACTGGATGCTGGTCAGGATAGCAGCCACGTCATAGGTAGGGCTCCAACGGTTTTGAAGAATGTCGAGACACAGTTCACCGTTGGCATACACGTTTGGATGGAACATTTTCGATACGAACTTGACCTGAGGTGGTTTGTTTGGCTATTACAGATGCTATTAATAATCACACTCGCCCTCACCCCTCATCAAATGTCGCAGCAACACAAACAACCATCACTCCCTTCCAATTTCACCATGTACACTTACATAAGTCTCATCAAACTGTAGAACCAGTTTAAACGTGCCGTCTTCGAAAGGGGTATCGGCTATGGAAAAAAACACACATATGAGTCAAGATTCAAAGCTCATCTCCAAAATTACAGTAATGTTCTCAACTGAACTTACAAGGCCCAAAGATTACTGCATTCCACATCATGATATTGTCAGGGCAAGGAGCACCTAAGAGGAAAGCACATGTGTGTGTTGATTACTTGCTTTCTTTTGAATCTCTTCACTTTTTTTCTTTAGTGATCACTTTATATACCTGATACACCTCCTATATAACAAAGAAAAAGAAATAGATTAGTAACAAAAAAATGAGCAAGTTGATCGATTATTACTATTCTCTTTTGCATCTTTTCATATAATAAAAATCATATTACGTACCTGGTGGATCGCTTTGTAGTCTTTTGAAATCACGCATCAAACGTCTTCTAGTAGGGGTCGACATTCTGTTTGATTATATATGAAAGGTAGAAAAACTTAAAAAAGAAAGAAAAGAGAATATGAACGGATATGATACCAGGAAATATCAAGTCCGCCTTAACATCCCGCCCGGTATCCGGTAAACTGCAGCTTGCTTGGGCCCTCTTATTCTCGAAACGATGCGTCAGCTGCCATTGGTCAGAACTTTAAACCTCCTTTATTCAAAGAGCAGTATTACGTATAATGAAGCCCAGAATTGAATGATCATCCGGTGAATGAAGAGGACCTGGATACATGATCTATTTGTGGTAATCGATTATGTTTTAAAACGAATGCGAACGTTCTATAGCTTAATTTTAAAACAATAACAAAAAAGTGATCCATTCGCTGCAAGATAAAAGGCCGTAGGACATCATCCAATAACTCGTGGCGCTTAAACTTAATGAGCTTTGGACTTTGCTCTAGCCTTTGCCTCCCTCACTCGCGGCAGTTTATAGAAAAGTACCAAACTGCAGACGAAGCAGCGTTTTGCTTTGCCGATGTTCGTTTCGCTCATTGACAAGCACGGCTAACAAATACGATGAATTTCTACAAATTCTCTGTATGATATACTTGATTGGAAGTTCTTTCTAGAGGTGATAACGTACGTAGCGATAGGTAACATAAGTGTAAGGAGAAGTAATTTTTACTGTCAATTACAGATTGGCGTTCTTCTATTGGTCTGTGTAAAGCGGTGCATTAAGTAACAACTGACTTAAAGCGACGCTTTTGACACGCCAATTTAGCATAAGCACACACTCACACCATGGCCATTGCAGATTACTTTGAGTGGACAATTGTACTATCAATACAAAAGTACTCACCTTTAACTAAGAAGAAAATACTAACGCGTAAATTTCGTTACCCCTTTTTAGGATTTTGAAGGACAAAAGCTTGCTGATCAGCTTACGCATCTAATCCTCATCTCTTTTGCGGTATACTGAGCGAATCACGCTTCCTGACAACAGCAAAAGCTATTTATGAGAATGATCACTAACCACAACATGCTATTATACTACAATGATTAAACTAGGCGATCGGTTTTGTTGCTGGCTATGCCCTTGAATCGTTATTAGTAACAGTGGGAGTCTTCGCTGTGGGTCTGTTCCTGGCAGCAGTAGTAAGTGCTTTTTATTTCCTTTTTAGTGCGGAGACAGTAGGTTACATATATGATGCAAACGTCGTAACCTCGTCCATAAAAACATACTTCACATAGCTCGTCTTACCACCATGGCCCATGTATAACCGCAATCCTCAGAAATGGCTTGCTTCTACGAAAGTCAAATAGCCTATTACGTGGCAATTTCGATAGCAAGACAAAAACATTGAATAAATATGATTTCACCTTTTTTCTATTGCTAAAAAAATCATCGTTCATTATGACCAGCATCATCATCATCGTCTTCGCTAGTAGTACTATTGTTATCATTCAATTGAGATTCTGCCAACATCATGGCTCGTTGGAACTCTTCAGCAAACTCTGCCACAGTCCGACCATCTGACAAATCAATCACATCGCGTGGAATCATATTGGTTGCGAATCGAGGTCCATTGCATACGTGGGTATTCGCTTCGGCTTCAGATCGGATGATACGGAACTCGGGCTCCTGATTGTCAGTTTGAGAGGAAGCATCAAAATTCACTATTTAAAACACGTCATTATCAGCTTAAAGGAAAGGAAGGATATGGAAACTACGGAGCAAAGGTCAGAAAAGAAGAAAAGGCACTTACACTGAGCTAGTTCTGACCATTCAAAGAGGAGTCCATCGGTGGCAGGGGTAAAGGGATTGAAATCAACAATCCATACTTTTCGTCGTTCTCTTTCCACATAGACGTCCATAACATCTGTTCGGTTTTTGGTTAGTTCAGATGACTTGCTGTTCGGTTCAATATACATGGCCATCGAAATAAATTGAAAATACAAACAATTAGTGCTGGGGAACACCTGTTGCACCGAATCTTCGAAAAAGTCAAAAATCATATCTTCTATATCGTCTTTCATTCCTTCTAGAAAGTTATAGAACGTGAGATCGCGTTGTGATATAGCTATAATAGTTATAAGAACAGTTAGGTGGAGTCTTCAACTGGAAAATATGTGATACAAGCCCTGGAGGGCCCTTTCGCTGTCAATTACCAACGATTTCCTTGTTTTTGATGAAAACTCTAAACTCCATCGATGGTTGCAGATCTTGCCACTTCCGCAGTACCAAATGATGCTGGATACCTTCTCCCTCTGATGTGCTATTGCTACCGATACAGTTTTCGAACGCGTGGTTCAAGTCATGGTTGATAAAATCCGAGGATTTCAAAAGCAGAAACACATCAAACGGCGAAGTGCATTTCAAGGACTGGGTGGCGGCTATCCATGCAGCGTCGCGTGGCGAACTCCACGTCAGTTTAGGGAAGACAGCACCGCCAAGTTCTTGTACAGCGTCTCGAATGAACGATTCAATAGCAGGAAAGTTTGGTTTAATAGACGGGTCACCGCTGTCGCTATTTTCGGTTTCAGAGTCGTCGTCGTCGTCGTCTATCTCTTCAATTGTTGCTGCTGCTTGTGGCTGGCTAATTTGTCAGGATATTGTACGATATGTCAAAATAAAAAAAGGGCTTGGCTTTCCCTCTCATCATTTACGCGGTTCTCTTCCCTTTTTCTTTTTCTCTACACTCTATTCACAATATATTTACCCTTCCTCGGGCAAAAAAATGCCATCGGCATTCAAGTAATCGACGAATTCTGAAGGCAATGCCAATGTCTTTGATCTAAAGGTCACCCCTCGGAATTGATCGTGCCACGACGGAAACGAGCAGTTTATAATATCTTGCCAAGTTGTTTCTGGTAAGAGTGGTAGATCGGATTCATCAAGCTGTGCTGATGTAGACGAATGTAACTGTGGATCGGTTGGCACTGGCATTTTTTTTTTAAAAAAAAACGAAAAGATCTCGGGTCGAATATAAGACAGAGAGAGAACCTCAGCATTTGCATTATGCGTGAATTTAATTCTATTTGGTGATGGCATTTCATTGCTTTCTGACTCACTATGATCGGGCCACCTGTATCTTGAACAATAATCTGGTAAATACTGCGATTATGTAACAATCCAGTGTCATTTGCTCTAGCGATGCTTCTCGCTGTTGTAGCTCTAGAAGCGCCGATGTCAATGGTGTTGACGACCCATTCCTGCTTGTTTATGCAGCGAGCTCCTGAGAAGAAAGGGACAAGCGATAGTGTCCAAAAGGCTTAACGACATCAAAGTTCTTCCTCCTATTTATACATAATCTAAGTGGGAGCTAGTGATGGAGATATCCTACAATACAGAGTAAAAAATATTTTGATAGTCTTACTTTGAGATAGATTGAAATAGTCGTGTGTTGAGTAAAGTTTTGCTACTATAATTCAGAATTTGCTGATAATGGCAGTTTTTCTTTCGCGAAACAGACTTGATGACCGCTGTAGCGCAGTATTATAACTCATCACAAGGCTAAATGGCCTCACACCTTCTCATAGTACCCGAATCTCTTTTTAAGAGATATTCTGCAAGTGCTGAAAGCAATTACGTTCATACGGACCGAGAGCTTATTGTCATATAAATCAATCAGCATCACCTAGGTGCTAGATCAGAGATTCTTTATCTAGTACTACTAGGCTAGGCATGTATACTTGAAAACGCCTACATAACACAAACAACCAATTTATAGTACAAAAAAGAAATCTGTATATCGCATACTCTGAGAAGAATCAAAAAGATGCCAGGACTCACAAGCAAACACATCCATTCGGCAACTCAATGCGGCACCCAGTCACGGTAATAAAGTTAAAGAGATCAACACAGAATCGAGGGTCGCAGAGATATAACTATGATAGCCATATTACATCCTGTCGGCTTGAAAATAAGAGATATGTATGGTATCCAAGTTACAATTTCGCTCAGTGATAATAACATCATAGCAGTAGTGATACGTATGCAGCGTGGAAGGGATAAGTGCCCAGGATTTGGGCATTTGATATCCCTCTTCTAATGATTTGTTATGTATTTCCAAACAAATGTTTTTTTTCAATGGTGATGACACTCTATGATGGAGTTTATTTACCGGATTTTGCATTTACCCTCTCTTTTTCCGTGAGTTGGGTTTCTCCTTATAGATGAGCATTTTTATACCAGTAGTTCTTCTGCTACGAGCACTTATTTCTAGTTTCACACATACTACAGTGGTCCTCCTTTACTTTTAGACTTGGAATTCCCAAGAACTAAGGATTGTGAAAGTTAACGAATACTAGGAAAAAACTGCCATGTACGGATGTTCTTTATCTACACACATCTTGATGTTATATGGATCACCAACGCTCATAAAGTTGCCATTATATAATGATCATGCAGTTCACGTAGCTTGTTACCCGATACACTTACCTGACCAAATTGGCCTTCTCTCGACATACACAATAGATAAAGATACACCAAATGAAGAGACAAAGGACGATCAAGAAGCACCCAGTGAAACAGAGAGACTGCTTACCGCCTAGCAGTACCATTGAAGACGAGAGAAAACAATTATCACGGAATACTGTTTTGGATTTTTTGGCCTCTGGTGAAGATGAAGAAAGTATAACCAATCTCTCTACCAAACTACGAGAATTACGTGACAAGCTTCAAGCAAAACTGTACGCTAAGACAAACCTCTTTTCTAGTTTTTTTAAGATGGGTTTTTAATGTTACATTCTATTCAACCTTATTCATATCACTTGGAGCAAATAATATGCGATGCTTATTTTCTGAAAAGTATACATGGAGGAGCACTTTTTGTATTAACCCGATAAGGTTCAGCTCTGAATGATACATTGATAGTAAAATATACGAAGATGCGACATTCTTGCTATGTTTGAGCAGTCACCCACGGTATATCATACGTTGATCATCAATCTAAAACCTACAAACGCACCAATAAGAATATATACAAATTTTCATGATCGCTTCAATAAGAGCAGCAGAATTATTCATAGTGCATAATAGTATGCTACGATAGATCTACGTACATACTACGTATACACATGTCTTAAAAGATATGTGATGACGAGGTGTATCGATCATGTTCTGCTATTTTTGCAAATATGACGAGATAATATCATTCTACTGTACCTTTGCGTCAGTTATTGCCTGGTATATGTAGTTTGCACGGACATTACTATTTCCTTATAGCACAAAAGCACTAATAGCAGACCCTTAGGCGAATGCCCATCTACAACGGTGACTGCATACATACGCAAAAATGGCATAGAATTTCGGTCACTGTTAGTAAACCTCTTCCTTTCTCTGTTTGTGTGTGTGTGGATATCCTGGCAGAGAGCGCTGTTGGTATGGAATGTTTGGGTTCACAGATCCAATTACTCGCTAAAATGGCGACATAACACCTCAGTGACTGAGTACTGGTTTCGCATCCACTTCTAGTAGGTAACGTACATGTCTTTGCGCTGAGCTTCTCAGCTGCACTTCTCGAGGATCTACTGTACGCATGTTCCCAGGAATCGTAATACATATTATTAAGTAGGAGGAGTAGAGCATATTATATTATATGTTACAATTACAGAGATAATGACTGTTTATGTGAGCAGCGTCATCATAAAAGCGGATCCACCGCAAGGATTGGGAAAGGTTTTTGTTTTCTTAAAAAGGATCCCATTTCTCTGCATCGACCAAGCTCGCCAGGTTAGGATCATCGTCAATCACGCTGACCACTGAGTTCGATGCGAGGCTAAAATGGACAAGTAGTCTACCTCCCAGGATGTGGAAAACTCCATGAAGCGTATTCAACAGCGCCGTGTACCAGTGATGTCTCCAAGCTCGGGATCCCCTCCGATGTCCTCCCCCCACACACTCCCTACACCCCCAATTTTATTTTCACGGCCAGCACGAACGGTCTGCGCATATAGAGGCCGAGTATGATAGCAAAGTACAATGGAGACCCTGCACGAAAAGCATCGTAACTTGGCCACAGAGCCGCAGAAAAACAAGGTCCTGGTATGTACGTGTTGCCAGGAGTCTTTACATTGTGCTGGTTGCAATTGTGTGAAAAAAGCTTTGCGAATCTCTTCGCGATAACAGCCGCCATTCCGCTCGGAATTGGCCAAAATGGGTGACGCGAACACAATAAAATAATTTTGACATGCTTGACATGGCAACAAGCAGCTTCCAGGAACAGGAAATGTCACGACCTCTGAATGCCATGGCAACAAAAAGGTCCTTTTCCTGCAGTATAGCTCATCAAAACAAGCTTCCAGTTGTCTGCTTCTAAGGTCTCATAAGTCATAAAGAAGGATCTTTAATGTGAGTGGTAAGAGATCATGGGGCAAGGCAACCCAAAAAAGGAAATTATTTGTGCATATCAAATCAAATCAGATCAGAGCAAGTATAGATAAGGAAGCAGGATACAAAAAACGCGTTTTCCTTTTTTTTCTTCTTTACCAGTTTTTCTATTCTTCCGTACTTTTACGATGAGCACTCACGCTGACACCAACTACGACCAAGCCACAGGCTACTACAACTTCGACCACGACGATGCGTCCACCATCCCCTACGACCCTGACGCGGCATCACAGCTTTCATACCATTCCCGTTCCACCATCTCCTCCGCGCCACCCCAATTCTCGCCCGTCCTTACACCCACCTTCAGCTTCGACAACGCCAGCACGGCCTCACACCACTCCTTCGTCACCGTCTTCTCTTCCGACTCCTCCCTCATCATTGACCTCGGCAACAATGATGATGCGTCCAGTGCTCTGTCGCGTGCGGGTTCGTCCCCACCGCCATCACCGCAGTTCAGTCCTTTGCCTTCTCCCGTCTTGCCGCCGTCCCCTCTTCCTCACCATTCTGCTCCCGCTTCCCCTGTCCTCTTCCCCGCTCTCGCTCCTCCGATGGTTGAGGTTGCCGATGACGAAGAGGCTGAGGAGGCGCCTGCTCCCGCTTTCCCTGTCCTCTTCCCCGCTCTCGCTCCTCCGATGGTTGAGGTTGCCGAAGACGAAGAGACTGAAGAGGCGCCTGTGCCAGAAGAGGATGAAGAGATCCCATATGCTGGTGATATGATGGACATTGACAGCGACGACATGGATATTGACGACGATCAGAGCAATCTGATGCACGTAGACTGGGTTCCTCCTTCGTACCCCTGGTGGTACTAAAAAAATCCATAAAGTAAGCTACTCTACATTGACCTTTTTATTGAGCGCGTTCACTGACTTGGACACGTCTATTCTTTCTGTTATGATAGATCCCAACAAAAAAAGCAAAAAACACCACAAAAGGTAAGTATAATGTTTCTGCTGTCTTGTGCTTCTGCTTCTTTCCTATGATAAACGCGCTCATTGATACCGGCTTCTTCTTTTTCGTACAAATTCTTATAGCACCCAAAAAACAATTCAAAGTCAAAACCCTCAAAAAACATTCAGTATTCAGTATTCAGTATTCCGTATAGCTATTGGTAACAAAGTCAACTCTCGTTTACTAACCTGCTTCAAACACATTGCTGCCTGATAAAGATGAAAACTAACATTGCTGGCTGGTCGATTTAATAGGCCCTCCTTTTCCTGCTTCCGTTCTTTTTACCGGCTCCTGCTTTATCCTCTTCTTCCCGCTTGTTGGCGTTGGTTTGTTGGCGCGTCGGCGTCGTGGTGATGTGTCGGTTCCTCGGTGGTGCCTTCTCCGCATGGCTTCTGGGGTGGTTCGTTTGGGCCGTCTTTGGTCGGCTCTTTTGCGTGGGCTGTTTTGGTATGTAGTTCAAAGAAGGCTGTCTCAGATTCAAGGCATATATTTACTGATTGGATCCATGTTCTTTAGGTCTTTGCGTGGTCGTTTCGGCTGCGATGCTTCTGGTGTTTGGTCTGGCGGCTTCCGCCTACGTCAGGCGATGGGGTGCAGTGGAGGGT